CTCTGACTTTTACTTTTGTGTTGTAGCATAAACACCTCAGACTAGTCTTGCAGTAGTTTACGGTGAACCTGCGGCAAGCACCGATTTAGTATATTTGTGCAAGGTGAATGATTCATTGGTCCAGTCTTGCAGAGCTACTTGTTTGAGATGAATATGTGAGAAGCTTCTAGCTAGGGAGTACGTTACCCTACACAGGCAGCTTACACAAATTGCAGCGCAGCGGTTGATTCGTGATTTTCACTGATGTAGCGATATGGTAACTAAGGTCTAAAAATATGCTAGAGGAAGTCAAAAGACAAGAAACTGTTCGACTGTTATTGTATGATATGTAACGTATTATTGAGCTCACTGTGACAGCGCTGATCTTACAAGGCCGCATCTGCACTCACCAGCCAGCCTCAGCCTCTTTCCTGATTAGGAAGAAGCAGATCCATTGCGGATCAGCAGATCAGCATCGGTATGGATCAAATATCTACGTCTACCCTACTGATCATGCCTCTAGATGATATGAGATAGCAATGCGCTCTTTGGCTTATCGCGAGTTATCTAGTCGATGCGTCCATGACTTTATAATGGAAAAGACTGAGATAGGCTGGCTTGTAGATTTGGAGGTCTAAGCTCAAGCTCAATAACTACCTATTCTGGGAGATGGTATATACACTGGGTACGATGCAACAAGCGAGCTCAAGACAGTGATCAACTTGGACTCTGATGATACTAGAATATGTCGTGAATAGTATAATGTCATATACATTGTTTTAATAGGCTTGATTGGATGTCCTCGTTGCCAACGTTCGGTAGTCCTGCGCATATCTCTTGAAGAGGTTACAAATGGTTGAGTGCTATAAACTGAGTCATCAACCTCTAAGAGAATGCTAGCTCATGATGCTCCTCTTCCATCTAATAATGATACATATCGCATGATAGATGAACTGCATACTGCTGCGGAGGTGTTCAAGATCCAACCTGTGTCGCTTGCATTGTCGCCAAAACTACGGTGTGCAGCAACGCCTGTAAGCTCGACCTGAAACCCCCAGCGGGTATGATTATCGCTTCAACGGTGGCCGCTTGCTCTGTGGATTGCGGCCCACTGAGCTTCAAAAAAACGATCTACAGGTGAACAAACAGTTTACCGCGAAGCGGAGCCCTCGTGGCCCTGTCTGCCGGATTGCCCTAAACGGGGCTATGGATCTGATGATCCATATGATCGATCAGTTTACAGAGTCTCCATAGCGACATTCGCTCTTATGCATTGCTATAATCTGAAACGAACAACTCAATGGCAAAAAAGGTTACCATCGTGAGAGTTTGAGTGGGCTGTTGGCCAAGTCGTATGAACTAATTGGCTTTTAACTGTTGTGCAACGTTTCTTGCGATGGATACTCTGTCTCAGATATGGACAACCCCATACATGTTGTAAAGCTTGACCTGCAACTTGACTACTATCATCTGGAGTTTGACTACTAGTGAACGAGCACAACATGGTTGACACCATTGGCTTGCTTAATTTGCTTACACAGCGAGATGTTTGAGACAGAAGAGAACAAGGTTTTCTTACTGACAGTATCTCTTATCATAGCCGCTGGGAGATATTTGGCTTCATGGGAAGCCTGTACATGCTCAGAAAGTAAACAATGCTGGATCCGGTCCGCATGATAGCCCACACCGCCCTATTGACTTAGACAGGAAAATAATAGCTGCAGAGATAAACTTTAGTTGTCTCTGTTTGTAAAAGAGAGTTTATTTATTCTCTTTGCGACACTTAGTTCATATGCTGAATGCTCTGCTATCATATCATTTTGAATTATCCATGATATAGCGATTGAAGACTTGTCAAGGGATACATGAACAGCAGCCAATTATATACGCTTAGTAATTCGATGAAAAGGATTCGCAGCGGTGAATCCCAGTTTAAACATTTGTAATATGTATTCCTCTGCAAAAGGGCCAACGGAGGTCTTTGCAGCGGAACCAGCGCAAGGGTTGGCTTGGATCATGTGTCGAGGTTGTCAGACTATAATCCTGGCCTATAATACTCGATTCTCCGCACTCTGGGAATCTTTGAACCCATCCGTGATGCACGTGCTGCGCTATCCACCATGTTGCAACCCTGTGCCGTGGATTCAACCTCGGGTACTAGAGCCCTTCCCTCCTTCAAAAGCATGGTTGCAATGCAGGGACCTCCACACTCATGCACATAACATGTATGTTTCACTGATAACTGCGTAATAGACAGTCACAACCAGTCCGTCTTTGCGGGGTGCAGAAGAAGCACTGCTGCCGAGGTTGCAGTTGCATCGAAGCACGGCACATGCAAGTCGTCGTATTCAGAGCGATAGCCGGGCAGAAAGATGCGCGGGGGAGTCTAGGATGCTTGGAATAGGAGGCTTATCGGGAACGAAAATTGACCCCCGGCACCGGAAGATGCCCAGCCGGGGCTGATTTAAACGCTCGGTTCCTGAAGCTTTGGATGAATATGGCGAATCCGTCGGACTCAATTTCGTCCTCGGTGTCATAAGTGATGGGAGTCCCGTCAACTGAGAGTGGTTCCAGTCAACCAGCAAAAGAACCTTGAGGAATTTGGCAATGATTTTGCTACATGGTTAAAATTGTTTGCTTCCATCGGTCCAAGGTGAGAAGCTAATAATCCAACTAATCCTTCAACCCACTGAAGCTTTATCACGGTCATATAAAGAACAGCCGACTGGACAACTCATAATCATCATCTTGGAGCAGGTATGAAGCGAGACTCTATATATAGAAAGCTCCCTCGCTGCCATTAATGTGCCCGAGACTACAAGTAGAGCATCTCTTCCGCGTAACCACGAGAGCAATACCTACTCATGGTAATGCTACCAATGCTACCGTTACCATATTGTATTTGTGATTGTAGCTGCAGTTGACCTAGCACACCGCCGTCGATCTTTTAGGAGGGCATTTACATACATTTACAACATTCTGCTTTGATGGCTCGCCGTGCCGATCTCCGACAAGGATCATGGCCAGATATGGAAGCTCAGAAGGCAAACCCGCCGAATTGGGCCAGACATGCTATTTTAATACGCCATATCTCACCCACGAGTAATGAGTAGAGCTCAGTTTTTGCCACCGATTACTTGCATCTGCAGGCACAGTCTCTGAAACAGGCGGCTTACATGTTTGCTTCTCAGCAACTCGACTTTACTTTGTATATCTCATACTTGTATAGATAGTACTCTATTTTAGCACTCAGCACTAGGCATTATTACCAGGTTAAAGACATTACGCTGACGGAGGATCCGAGTCAATAAAGACACCGCCATCGTGTCCGCTGCCTCAAAGGCGTCATCATGCAGATGTCATTGCGCCCGCGCTTTGTAACCTTGTCTGTGATTCTCCATGGCCCTGCGTGAATCCATGAACGGGCATGGACTTCTCGTGCTCGCCAGGATGAATCCCTCCCTGGTTTCTTGAGGTACATCTGTAGTGCTACCAGAATATGCATCCCTGTCTGTGGCTATATAGTACTGTCAGCAAGGTCCCTCTTCTAGCTGCATGTCTGCTGGCATCTTAATGCTTGTATTTCACGCTAGTACCTGGATTATATGCCAGCATCACCGCCACAATCCATCACCACGACGACGCTAGAATCTAACAAAATACGCCCGCTACGACAAGAGCAGTGGACGCTGAGAGGCGCTATTCCCGGCCCGTTGCCGTAGGCCCGTCCCTCATAGCTGTCATATGAGATAAGCTATGTCAATTCATAGGATAGTCTGTAATCTCAGTCCTTGATAGCCAAGATCCCAGACGTACGGGGCGCCTGTTCGTTTTCTAGCTTCGACGCAAATTACTCACCGAGAGTCGTGAGCGGTATGGCGTCAACCAGGGTAAACAACACTCATTGTGTCTTACATATTGCTACTAGGATCTTTCAGCCCTTGGGATTCTCGCCAGGGGCATAATCTTTGGTGGGCACCTGTAAGAACTACAAGTACGTGCTGCTTTCACCGCCTCGTCATAGGCTCGAGCGTCAACAAGTTCCTCCTCGTGGCATGTTATAACCCTGTCGGGATTTACCGCCTAGCCGGGACTACTCTATACCTTTGCAAGAGATGACATGAGACGCAGTGCCTGGTCTTGTCAATCCCCTGGCAGATTGTCTTTCGTCCACATGACCTCAACTACCAGCACGTGGGCACAACCATTTACACGGGCCATCTTTGGCCCGGATAAGAGACATGAGCATCTAATCCAGGTTGATGAGTTAAGTGGCAGTGAAAATATCAGTCATAACAAGAACCACCTGAATATAACAAACTACGCAAGTTATAGGAGGGTTTAACAACAAAACTCATCTCATATAGCCGACTCATCGTTCGTAGACCACATGTAGCTATCTAATAGGTATATCAAAACATCTCAGAAACAACTCCAAAAATTAGCAACGGTGTCGAGAGCATCCCCAATACAAGCCAAGCGAAATAATGTGACTCAGGCGTCCGGGCCTTGGCGTCAACCTCGGTATAAAACATTGGGTTGATATCAACCCCCTTGTCCAAAAGCACTGCTGCCACCTCTTCTGCGTCGGAAAGCACAGCGGCTATTGGGCCGATAGGATAACTTTCCTTATAAGCATTGACATTTGCTCCTTTCTCAACCATTCTTGCTGCGTCATCGACATAATTACCTTGTATGATTAGCCAACAAAAAAAATCATAGATCCACTGGTTATAGGCCACTATTTTTCCTTTGAACAGTGTTTCCACAGTCTCCTCCCGCACTTCTTCGCGCATAGCCCTTTCAAAGAAGACTCGCAAAGCTTTTTGTGTGCTAGGACTCCCGTGTACCCTTTGTTTCAATATCATCTCGAGAAGTTGTCCTTCTGTTTTCGGCGTAATAGCTGCTTGAGCCCCAGGATTGAAAAAGCTCTCTGGGGGGTTGGTATCTGCCTCTGCTTCAACGAGCAATTTCACCATCTCTTCGTCTTCTTGTATTATAGCGGCCTGGAGAGCATTACCGTAGATTTCTGTTTTAGAATTGACATCCGCTCCTTCGTCAAGCAGCAATTGTACAGCATCTGTCTCGCCTTTAATTGCAGCTGCACAGAGAGCATTGCCGTAAGGTCCTCCTTGGGCATTAACATTTGCCCCTTTTTGGAGTAGCATTCTTATAACGTCATTATTACCCTCTGTTGCAGCTGCACAAAGAGCATTTCCAAAAGGCCCACCTTGAGCATTAACATCTGCTCCTGCCTCAAGTAGAATTTGCACAATTTTTTCATCGTCTTTCGCTGCAGCTACACAAAGAGCACTGCCGTAAGGCCCGCCTCGAGCATTAACATCTGCTCCTCCTCTGAGCAGCAGTTCAGTTTTTTTTCTATTGCCCTCTTCTGCAGCTGCATGAAGTGCATAACCAAACATGCCTCCTTGGGCATTGATATCTGCTCCTTTTTCGAGCAGTATTTTCACTATCTCGTCGTCGTCGTCGTCTTCATTGTCGTCGTCGTCTTCATTGTCTTCGTCTTCGTCTTCATCTTCATCGTCGTCGTCGTCGTCGTCGTCGTCATCTTCGTCATCGTCTTCGTCTTCATCTTCGTCGTCTTCATCTTCGTCGTCTTCATCGTCGTCGTCTTCATTGTTCGCTGCAGCTGCCTGGAGTGCATAGCCCAAGATCCCTCCTTTGGCGTTTACATCTGCTCCTGCTTCAATCAGTATTTCCACTATTCCTTTGTTGACCACTGCAGCTACACAAAGAGCACTTCCGTAAAGCCCGCCTTGAGCATTAACATCTGCTCCTTTATTGATCAGCAGTTCCGCTATCTCCTTATCGCCTTTTGATGCAGCGACCTGGAGTGCATAACCAAAGTGGCCTCCTTGGGCGTTTACATCTGCGCCTGCCTCAATCAACAATTTCACTATTTCCTTGTCACCCCCGAATACAGCGGCCTGGAGTGTAGAGCCAAGAGCCCCTCCTTGAGTGTTGATGTTGACCTTCTTATCAAGAAGAGCTGTTGTAAGTCTCGTGTACCCATGAAACGCTACTATGTGCGGTAAACTGACTCCTCTGGCACATCCGGAGCCAGGAAACTCTTCAAAAGAATTGTGAAGAAGCCTCAATTTTTCCAAAGTATCGGGCTCTTCTAATAAGCGTTGTAAAAATCCGGCTTGTCCGACTTGGTTTTTATCCGCTTCTTCTGCATGGGCGAGAAGATAGACAGACGCATATTCCAAAAACGGATAGGAAGAACCAAGAGCCTTTATTTGCTTCCGATCTGTTGCTGATTGAAACGTGTCCTCCATAAGATATGCCATACAGCAAGATCTTAGACATTCATGACTGCTGCCTAGACCATTCACCTTGAGAGCTGGGTCTAATTTTTGTAGTCTTTTGTTTCGAGTGAGAAAGTCATTGACCGACTTGTGGATGAACTGTACCTCGTTTTCTTCGCTGTTTCGTACCTCAATAAGACCTCTCGAGGAGTTGGTGATGCGCCGTCGGATATCATCTAGTGTAATCTTTGATTGATCCCAGGGTTTGATTTTCTCGGTACTCGTTTTGGCCAACGTGGCAAAATACAGCTCTTCTGGTCTTAGCGGCCGTTCCGCCAGTAATACAAACTGGAGCATGAATATTGTCTCATGCTTATTCGGATTGTCTCTGATCAAGAGTGCCTCAAACACTTGTTCAAGGTCACGGGGTACGTCGTGTAACGTCTTATGCATGGCCTCGATTCGGCCTTCGTCATATGCTTTGTTAAGCAGTTTGATAACGAGCACAGCCCACATGAAGACGCCAGACGCCTTTTCAAGAAGTTCTTCCTCGATCTCCTCATCTTTTGTTGTCAATTTGTCGCGAGTATATATAACAATATCCTCATTATGCTCGCTTGAATTTTCAACCACAAGTTGTAGGTGCTTTTCCATACGAATATGCGGATAATGGCGACTTGATAAGCAAACGTAGAGAGCTACTCCCACACCAATAGCTTTAATGCTGAGCTCTTCGAGAAATCCAACGACATCTCGCACATGTGCCTCTTCGCATTCGTCCAAGGCATCGACGAGAATGATGAGCGGCTTTGACTGGTAATGCTGTATTTCTGAAAGCATGAAATTCTTCAAGTCTGATTCTTGCCACTTCCAATTTGTTTTAAATTTTTGCTCCTTGTTGCGAAATAAAGGCGCAAAATGCTGATGGATGGATCGTTCTTTTTCAATTAATTGGTACAACAATGAACGCAGCATGCTTAGAGGCGTTTGCTCGGAGGAATCGCCTCGGGCATTGAAAAAATGAGCGGCAATGATATGCGTTTCGGAGAATTCTTCTTCCAAATGCATCAAAGTATGTTTCATGAGAGTTGACTTTCCAGTTCCAGGATGTCCCTTGATCCAGAGCACTCCATTGTGGTTCTGTAGATTATCGCGGTGACGCCATTGTTGGAATTGGCTAGTTTCGAAGAACCAGTCGCACGTCCGGGGATGGGCGAGAGAGATATTTTCTCTGCGAGCGTCCATGTATTCGAAACTGAGAGAACGTAGACAGGCTACAGCTTGTCAGTTTTTGCCGGCCTTTTCACCAAATAAAGTTGAAGCCAAGGACAAATCCCTGACCTTCTTTTTCCTTCGAGGGTATTGGAGCTTCATTAGTCTTTGATTCGTTGATCCCAACTATCGTAAATCAGCAACTGAATAGCCGAGGACTGATTCTTGCGGACTATTGTTCGTACTCACAATGGACAGTGCTATTGTTGATCTGCAGGCCTTGGGCATTGTTATTGTTCTGATGCCCATCGCCTGTCTTCACATTCTGTGGACCGTTGCCGTGATTGCCGGCCGAGACAGTCGGGGCCGCCATCGTCGAAGCGCGTGTTGCTCTTTACTCGTCTTTGTCGTATCGTCGAGGAAAGTATCTGTAAACTTGGATGTTGTGTTGGGCACAGCTGAGAGCGCGAAATATTTCAGGCAGCTACCCCGCAAGAGAGATGGGGGCCCTTTATAACGAGGCTCTGAGTTGGCAAGACCTCATAGGTCAAAATTGGTAACCAATGCGAGGTAAAGCATCTATCATCGCAGTAGGCTGGGCTTCCCAATATACACGTATATTACTCGTATTGGCTGACAAGAGAGAGTTGGTTTATACTAACCAATTAGGTACATGTGGAGGAAGGTGCTAGGATCGCGCCGACCCGAACCTTGATAGATAAGCTAACAATAAAACAGAAATGAAAGATGAAGCCGTTCTCTCTCATCTCTATTGCAAGCGAAATTCATATTCATATTATGCATTGTTTCCGCTCTCAGCGGGCTGTATGTAAGCTTTTCACAGTGCAAAGATTTATCAAGACTCGCGCATTTGAATGTGCACGTAATGTACATTCCAAATGTCTAAATCACAGCAACTGAAAAGGGTTGACGTTGCTAATAGCAACGTACCACCATTCACTTGTATTCCCTTATCATTGTTGTTATTCTGGGGTCCGCTCCCTGTATTCACATTTTGAGGGCCGGAGCCATAGTTGTGAATCCCCAAGGCGGGACTCTCGTCCTGTAGAGGTTGCGGGATTGTTGATACTTCCTTGATGGTTTTCATGAGCAATTCAAGCTGCGATTTAGTCGCCAATTGCATTTCGTCGTCAATTGTCAGTAAGAGCTTTAAATTTTTCATCGCATCCATCATAAAGTCCTCTTTCCGACTCTTGTTGCCTATCTGACGCACAACCATGCGATAGCATTCCAACTTTCTATCAGCAGCCGGCGGTCCTCAAGCTTACCAGAGCAAGAGTAACCCTTTGCTGTGCAAGGGCTGCTCATAAAATCCAAGTCAACGAAGCGAGTTTTCTGCCAAGTTGTTTCTCCATTTTGGATAAATTTCTCCGTCTTATAAGGATAAGACAATAGCCAGCTTTTCAGGCAGACAAGTAGTAGTATATGGAGCGGGGAACTTGGACGAATCGTCGACCTTGAAACTTCAATGCCTACATGCAGCCAATCCTCTGCGTCCACGATTTTGTGTCGCATCGATTTCTTGATTTAGTTTAACCCATGGCTTAGTCAAAGTTGCAAGGCGGCCACTCATTGATACCAATGAGAGTCCAAGAGCCTAAGGCATTACTACGCTGCTGACGGCAATATCGCAAATATTGAATAATTAATTTTCGGCGTGAATGATTTGATCGAACACGGACACTGCTAAATATAAGGCACAATATTATCATCTATGCCCTCAAATATTTCCATTAGCAACCATGGCTCTGGCCCCCAGAATGTGGCTACAGGCGACGGCCCTCAAAATAATAACAATGCAGGTGGTATACAAATTAATAATGGCAGTTTCTCTGGATGTAAGTACAGTACAATTAGAGACATTTGGAACAATCGTTGCTGACTAGATAGGATTAGCCAATCCTTTCCTCGACCAAGTCAAGGCTGAGAAGCTACAAGGGGAAAACCAAAGTGCATTGCCTACTTCTAGTCAAGGACAGCCACGCCACCGCGAAGATTTCCAAGTAGCAGTCATCTGTGCTCTAGCACTTGAATACGACGCAGTTTCATTGCTCTTTGATCAATTTTGGGATGAAGACGATGAGCCTTATGGGCGCGCCCAGGGAGACACAAACATTTACACGACCGGGAGGATCAGCAACCACAACGTTGTGCTGGCGCTTTTACCCAGCATTGGCACAGCTGCTGGGGCAGGATCAGCTGCTAGCTTTCGTTCAAGCTATTCTGGTTTGAAAACTGCGTTTCTCGTGGGAATATGTGGTGGCGTCCCAGATACGGGCCAAGGGGAAATCCTGCTCGGTGACGTGGTCATCAGCAAGACCGTGATCCAGTACAGCTTGGGGAAGCAATATCCCAGTGCGTTCGTGACCAAGGATACTGTCAACGACAATCTCGGCCGTCCGAGTAAAGCTATCCGCTCCTTGATCACCAGTTTCGAAACTGAGCGTGGAAGAAGACGTCTGCGGCAGAGAGCCGGGCAATATTTGAAGGACTTACAACACGCAGCCATGGAAGAGGGACATCGCCACGACTATCAATATCCAGGTGTTACAGAAGACAAACTTTTTGCGCCGGCCTATCGCCACAGACATCGAGGGCTACAGACGTACAACTGTCGTTGCTATGAGGAAATAGACAGCTTTTGTGATGAGGCTGCCCATGCATCTTGTACTGAACTCTGTTGCAATGAGGAACATGTTGTACCAAGAAAGCGTTTGGAGATGAAGAAGAGGATGGAGCCAGATCGTGTGCAGTGTCCTGAAATCTTCATCGGCTGCGTGGCATCTGGAGATGTGGTGATGAAATCTGGCGAGCACCGTGACCAGATCGCCAAACAGCGAAACGTGATTGCCTTTGAGATGGAGGGAGCTGGTGTTTGGGACGAGGTGCCATGCATCGTCGTCAAGGGAGTTTGTGACTACGCTGACAGCCACAAGAACAAGACATGGCAGCCATTTGCGGCGGCAACGGCGGCGGCTGTGCTCAAAGCAATGCTGATACAATATCCAGTGACGGATTTTCCATCCTCTCATCCCTCGTTTGCTGCGATTGCGGGATCAAACAGGCGATAGACCAGTAGCTGGCAGATTATCTCAAACATTGGACTGTGACCACATATGCAGGCTCCTATCGATGAGCCGATGCCGAAAGCTTATAATAGTGATACCAGTCAACATTTGGTTTACTAATAGTCTCTTTATTGAAACAAAAGGCCTTGATCTAGCCAGATCTAATTATATCAAAATCATCTATCAGCCAAGTCTTGTGACGAAGTGAGCCTCTATCAGTATAGACATTGTACTGTGTATGTTTACAGTTCTAGAACTATTGTTATTGTCGGTGCTACTGCTGCTACTGCTCTATATATACATGTATAACAGTTGAATATTTCTATATAGGTATATTAAGCTACAGCTGGGGTGCTGGATACTTTCCCTAGTTTAGTCACGTTTACATGAGGCTCAAAAGCTGTAGAATTCACTAGAGAAAGTAGGTACCTAGTCAAGCGATTCTAGAATTTAAAAGGTGCAGTGATTAGGATCCCGGCAAGTGCTCTCGCGACAACTCTCGCCTAGAATGAGGAAGGAGTTGGAGGGCTACTGCAGCGCGCAGGATGTTGTTAAGGAGCCTGCCTATATAAACAGTGTCCTAAGTGTTCTCTCCTCCTCCTCTCTGCCTCCCCATCATCTGCTATTCAACACGATCCTTATTTCAGCCAAGATGGATGAGCAAGACGCCGAAATCACAGTCCCACAGCTTGACCCAGTAGTCACGGGGCTCTTGGCGCGTCTGCCAGAGGAATTCTGGGAACTATCCAGGAGCTTTTGGACCCCATTGCGGCGTTGTCTTCGCAGCCAGCAAGAAGCGATCCAGGAGGGACGACGAGCACTTCAGCAAGCACGGCTGGCCATCCGGCGCTTGGAGCGCGAACATGAGCAAACTCGCCGAGCAATCGAGGAGCTGTTGAGCAACACGGTCCTGGCACAAGAAGCCTCAGCGATATCATGCCCAAGCCCGAGCCCGAGCCCGAGCCCAAGCCCAAGACCAATAGCAATACCAAGACCAGGACCAAGATCAAGCACTCCAGACTTTGTGCTCCACGCCCGACGCCGAACCAAACAAGAACTCGTTTCCAAGTGTGCCAGCCTTGTGCCAGATAGCCAAGTTGCAATGCTCAAGACAATCCCACCCGAGTGGGCGCGAGAGAGGCTCGAAAGCACCCGAGACTTTTCGCTAGACAACGACGTCGGCTGCTGGTTTACGAGTGCGAAGCCGTTAAAAGGGCAATTTACGAGAATCAATCTCGATAAGACGCCTCACCCGTCGGGGCAAGGACATATCGGTCTCAAGGTATACCGGCACAGGCTTGCTATGGTGGCCAAGGGGGAAGCACTCTTGCTTTCTATAACATCGAAAACTTGGCAAATTTCCCATCTGTGTCGCAACAAGGGTTGCTTCCGGCCTGAGCACGTGGAGATGGAACCAGCTGAGCTGAACGCAGCGCGGGACGAGTGTCGGGGTAAAAGCATCTTTATGCTACCAAATTGTGGCGTCTTACACCCGTGCCCACACTGGGACTGGCAAGGCAGGCAAGGCCACCTAAAGTGCATTCTGCCAGTCGAATACATACCTGAAAATGAATATCTGGAAGTTGGAGGTAACGGCAAGTATAAAAATATTAGGTCGGATCGTCATACTGAACTGTTCGATGATGGAGTGGTGGAGTTTGGTCCTGTATTTTAGAATAGCTCTCTCCAGCTGCAACTTGACAATATAGTTATATCTGCGTATGTGTGAATCATTATAGGTGCAGTAGATGCTGTATCTAGGGTGCCGGATAACTTTTCCCTATGCTGATTCCTGCCTTTGAGCTGTAATTGCTTGGAAACTGTACATACTAGACGCCTACATTGGGATTGACGACATATGCGATGAGCAGACTACGTGTTTTATTGCTCAAAGTCTTATATAGTCCCTATAAACTCTGCTACTCTATCATATGTCAATTCAGTCAACACTCTTGGACTACTCGATCAGATGATGCAAGAAAATAAATGCAGAGATTGTCGTGTATTTATCTCGTTTACCATAGCTACTCCTGCTCACTATCTCAAAGCTCAATATTAAAAGCTTCATGGCTCTCATATACCAAAGTCTTGTGTATCCGGCCAGGGACTAGACTCAAGCCAGCAGCCGCGAGAGAAATATTCAAGTCCTCGTCAAGAGATTTGTGTCAAGTTAGCCAATGCCCTTCCATAACGTTGAGACTGATTCAGCCCAAGACTCACAATGGTTGAGTGGCGTTCTCAAAACGTCTTCAAACACCGCAACAAGGCCTTTGGCAAGTTGTTCATCGCTCTATTCAGGTTGAAGGTCCGGCTTCTCGCCGTTAACTCTAATCATGCCGTTTGGAGCCTTCTTGAGCACATGGACAAGATGAGCTTCAGTGTTGCTCCCATATAAGTAAAAGGCATTCGGTCAGGGTACGCTTGACTTGATGCGTTCAAAAACATTGACTCCCGAATCACGACGCGGATATTGGACAATTTAAAGGTCGTGACAGGCTCTGTACCAGATGCGAGTATGCCCTCGTCCAGACGCCACTCGATCTTGATGCCTGCTTTGATAAAATCTTCAAGCAGTGCCTTTTGAGTGTTGGCCACGGTGTAGAATTTATTTAGATTCTCTTGCGGAGCTGCTGGTCGCGTTACTTGACATTTTCAGGGAACTTGGTGGTGATGATGAGCTGCCAGCGGTGGTGGCCATTTGAAACATGGGGAAGTGGACAAGATGAATCTGGTCGAGGCCCTGCATGACGAAGCCACGGATGTCGGGCTCGATCTTGTTGCGGATGATGCATTTCTGTTACCAGCTGATCTTGCAGCACTTTGCCCATCAGATCGCTCAAGACATGCAGGTTTTCAGCTTTGGGCCCCAGAAAACAAGACCCAACTCTTGCGTTTGCAAGTCTTTCACCATGATGAGCAACATCGCCCATGGTGCTACTTTGTGAGTGATGAAGTATACAAGTGTATTGAGGATGACGGGCCGGTTATTGTAGATGGACTATTACAACCAATTTTATCGAGCGAGTGTCTCGGTCCACGTTTGTTCCTTTTTCAACTTGCAGGGCCGTCTTAGACTGCAAGCACATTGACAGGACACAAACTATCCGAAACAGATTAGCAGTCTATAGACGCCTGCACCTATTTATACGAGGCATCCAAGCGAACGGCACTTACAAGCTTCGGGAAGACGAGTGTGGGAACAAGCCGCTTCATACCGCCTTGCATATAAATATTGGAACGCCTCACTCCTTTCACCTAAATCGGCCACTGAAGAAGCGCAGATCCTGGTTGATTGCATTCACCAAAGTTCAGCAGGCTAATTTATTGGCAATAGTATATCTCTTCAGCTGCTTTGCGTTCTGTCACTATTCACTAATATCCATATATGTCGTATATGGATTCTAATTGACGAATGACTCTTCTACGTCTTTAGACATTAATTGGCGTAATTCTTTTACTATATGCTACAAACTTGGATAATACACATCTAGCTCAGGTGTTGCAAGAATTACTCCAACTACTAGTATCTATTGGTCAAGGAGTAAGTACCGCAGCTACAGCGCTGTATGTTGTCTATCATCAGTACAACTTACTCCAAATTAACCCCAACACTGCAATAAAAGTCACCAATAGACGTGTAAAGTTCTTCAATTCACAGTTGTCCACAATCCACAGCCAACGATACTTGCTATCAAAGTAGGTGCAAGAGTTCAGATCGTACGTTTTCGACACAGGTTGGATGAGACAAGGAACAAAAAAAATAGAAACGCAAATGAATGCGAAAAGGCAAAAAAAGAAGTATTTGAAGGGCATTGAACCCAACCCGATTCGAACGGATAACCTTCAGGAGATTCCAAGTAAACTGGAATCTGACGCGCTACCGTTGCGCCATGGGTCCTGTTGTTACTAAGCCCTCAAAATAAAGCCTGTAAAGCCTTCTGCGCAGAAATTGTACAATTTCATCAGAGTACGGCGAAACTGATGCATTAGTTCAAGCTTGATCAGTCTAAAAACGCAGGAAATAGGTAACATGGTCCTAGAATTGTTCTTGTTTTGTACGAAAGAATAATTTGGCTTTTATTTTAAATTCCTAGGTAGTTAACTATGGACAGATTGACTACCTAGAGAGTTTTCTGCGAAGAATGCTTCTTGCCTATACAAAACGTTGTAAAAGAGGAGTAACAGGTCTTGTTCCGATGAATACAAAGGAAACGTTTATTGCCACCAAGCGCATGAAACGAGATTAAAAGGCCTCCCCAAATGATCTTAATGTACAGCTAATTATATCTATGGGGCTTAAACCTGCCAATGATTGCTGCTTGCGTTAATCTATTCACCTTTCACCAGCAACCGACACTAAACGTCCAATTCTAGGGTAACGAAAGCGTGATGGACCGCCCTGGAGAGGATCCTCCCAAGAAGATCTAGTTGCGTCTAAAATGCATTCTCATAAATTTTAATGTGTATATCATATTGATTTCCACCTGTAGAAAGTTTTAACTGCGTTTCAATGACTACCAAGAGACTCATGCACCTTCAAACATATGATGCAGATAAACAGCAATTTCTTGGTGCTCTGTTTCAGTGAATGCTGAAGCGCTAGCAAGTGAGGGGCTTATGAGTATTATTTTCGAGGTTGCCGTCACAGCGGACCCATGGCGCAACGGTAGCGCGTCAGATTCCAGTTTACTTGGAATCTCCTGAAGGTTATCCGTTCGAATCGGGTTGGGTTCAATGCCCTTCAAATACTTCTTTTTTTGCATCTTTTTCCTGGATGCTAATGTCGATTTCATTTTTTTGGGAGTGTAAAGCGACATATAGCCAATTGCACCCTGTTGTGTGGCAAGGAAGCGTCGATCAACAAAGAGTATTCTTAGGGTTTTTTGACAAGTCGCAAAGCTAAAATGCTACTGGTTACTGTTTTTGCACATAGACTCGGCTTATACACGTATACGTCCGTCCTACACAATACTCAGCGGTCCAGCACAGTTAGTATTCTCGGTTTTGGATCGTGTCTACAAGAGGTTTCAGGTGGATTCGCTGGATCTAAGTAGGCTCAACAATTTCACCGTCAAGGAAAATATAGATGTGCCTCATTTCTAGCTTCTATGTCTGGCTACTCTATTCGCGGATGGTCAGAGTACGACATGGCCACAGTCAACAGTACGACAGGTCGAACGCTCAAGCTTGAGAACATGTCCAAATCGTATACTACATTCTCACTCTCCTATATACACATAGTCAGCAAACGCATCCGAGAAGTAGAGCTATGATACACTTTTGGCAAGCAACCTATGTAACTTTAACACATATCGTGACATGTCCCAAGGTGCTTTACAATTCCCTGTTCTACCACAACCAATATAAGAAACACAGGGAAAAAAGGAGAAGAGTAGGGGGTCCGACCTCATCAGCTCATCTCGCCTAACCAAACACCGACACATTTTCGTATTACTACAAAACAACACAATAATGAAACGAAAGAAACGAAAACAAAGAAATGTGAAATTAATCAAGCTTGTATAATTCCGCTCAAAAGTCCAAGCCACCCCCCTCGTACCCGTCCATCCCATGTAGACTCTGCCTCCACCCAAATGCCAAGACAGAAAAAAGAATGAGAAAACGCCGCCAACAATGAATCATCAGCATCATCATCATGTCGAGTAAAGAAGAATCCATTTTTAATAGGGAAAGAGAGAAACCAAATGAAAGCTGTATCTTCACAAACAAAGAGCTGAGTAGTAGTGGAATATGCGTAAAATTAACATGTAATGACTGTAGCCGCCCCCATAAACCAAACAAGAAAAATAATGAATAAATTTGTTTTCGCCATTTCTTGCTATTAACATTATGGACTGCGACTTGATTGCTGCTGCTGCTCATCGTCGCCCTCTAATAAAGTGCCGCTGTCTTCGTCGGGTGCCGCTGTTATATCCTGCTTCCTCTGCTTTTTGGGGCGGAAAAACTCTCCTATTGTATCGCTTAGACTTCGTGATCTCCCCCTTGAAACTTTTGTATCGGCACTTGGCCCAGATTCATCATGACCCAAGGCTTCTGGTAGATTACCCTCTGATACCGGGACAATCGGTAGCTCCGCGATGCGTTCCGGCATAAAGACATCCTCGTCGTCGCTGTTAAAGAAGAGACTTGCTCGTATGCTGGATCGTATTCGTCGTAGAGAAGATGCGGTCGCTTCTGGGCTGTCGTTTTCCCGGAGTATCACATCTTTGACTGCTGTTGTGACTGTGGAGGAGAATGGTGAAGGTGAAATGAATGGCCTTGCTCGGTGGCCAGATTTGGAACTGTGTGGCGCTCGGGGCGTAACTGGTCGTTCAACGGAATGTGGATGAGAAGCAATCCCCTGACCGTCTTTGAAGGACGAAAGGGGATGTGGCTGTATAGGCGTAGTGGCGAGTGCAGATCTGGTGAGGACAGACTCGGCCGAGACAGTCCTAGTTCCTCGAGGTGGATCTGGGCTCACATATAGACCTTGCCATGGGTTACTGACAAGAACATGAGCCTCGTCGCCTTCGAGATGGGCCGGGGAGTGTGTTGGCTCAAAGTAATGGGTCGCAGAAGACTCCATGCCGTTGTGGGCCGAGTCTGGCTTCCTCGTCTCGGCAAAGCTCACTCGCGACATTCTGCTGGATCGGCGAGACGGTGTTGCAGGTATGCTAAGCCGGCGCCGGTTCTGTTGTGGCTGAGGAATTGCAGAAGACGAGGCGCTACCGTCGTGCTGCGTGAGGCCAATAGTCTCCTCGACTCCATCGGCTTCTGATAGTGTATCCTCTTCATCATCGTCATCTCTGCGCTCTCTCCCAGACGTAATGAGAAAGACGCCAAAGAAGGTGAGAAGACAGCCCCCGACAAACTTGGCAGCCTGCTTCATGTTTGTCTTTTCAAAGTCGCGATATAGAACAGCACTGCCAATGATGACACACAGTGTGAACATGACGAACTGGATGGGAATGACCTGGGTCGAGTCGAAGCGGGACAGCGCTTTGTTGACATAGCGAATCTGCATAACAGCAGTCGATAAGAGGACGAATATGAGTGCATATGTGACGGGGGTTGTAAAGGCCGCAACGAAGCTTGTAGAGAGCATTGACGACACGCCCTTGGTGGCTAAAGCCGTATATCCTCCTGGACAAGGTCAGTCTCAAGACAGCAATAAGAAGAACAGGATAACCCACCGAAAAGACCGACCAGACCAAGATCGATGAGAATGGTCCGTTTGCCATATTTAGCGCTAGCCCACATGAGAACAATGATGAGAAACGTCGTAACGCCAAGGTAAATCTCAAACTCCATCGTCGTGATAGCTCCCCACACGTCGTGAGGATTCAGCTTCGTCTCCTCCTGGTTCGCACTCAAGACAACAGTAACAACGCCCGACACAGCAATCACGACGCCCCAAAAGTCGCGAAGCCTAAACTTTTCGTGAAACATGGCGGGCGCAATAATGCAGTTGGATACCAGCGCCACGACGCCCAGCGGCGAGACGATGGAGGCGGGCGCAAAGCCGTACGCCAGGAAATTGCCTGCTTCTCCCAACGTTATCAAGATCTGGCCGAGCCACCAGTACGGCGATTTGAGGTAGTTTGAGGACGACTTTTTGGATTCAGCGTCGGTATCGGTGCTAGCCGTGGTTGCGGTCGACTGAAAGGACCCCATCAGCGGTTCGTCCTCGAGGTATTCGTGCTCGTCCTCGGAGGGCTCGTCGTAATTCGGTATTGAGAAGCCGTTGCCATCGCCATTCCGGTAGCCGTTGCTGTTATTCCTATCCCTCTCCCCATCGCCCGCACCGTCGCCGATGATGGTGCCGTAGACGCCCACCTGCGTGCTCCCACTGCTGTTGCTGCTCTGCGCCCGCTTCAGCGCTGCCCGAGCCCCCTGTTTTCTCCTCTTGCGCTCCTTGTGCAGCCGCGTGTGCGCATATCGCTGCACGTTGAGGGCGAGAGCAATCAGCACGTTTCCCACTATCGCCGTGATGATGCCGATCAAGGACGACCACCGCTGCAGCGCATCTCCGTCGTCGTCGCCCGATCCATCGCCGCTACCGCCAGTCGCCGTGGGTGCTGCCAAAGCGCTCGTCCAAGTCGGGAGAGTCGATTCGGAGAAAGTCAAGCTCATCGTCGCCGCCAAAGAGAACCAAAAAGAAGCAACGAAAGACAAGAAAAAAGAAGAAGAAAGAAAAAAAGAAAAAATAGCGCCTGGTGACAAAGCCAGGCAGCTAAGGGGAAGGGGAAGACGAAATACTGCAAATGACGGTAGGATCGGAGATTGGTGGAGAAACGAAGCGCGAAAGTGCAAGTCGCTGGCAGCCGCGGCAAATTGCCTGACCAGGTATCATCGGGGCGAGAGGCAGGCACGGGGAATGAGGCCGAGAAGGGGGTTCATGATAGTGTAGACAAGAAAGAGGGCAGTGTAGAGAGTCCCGCGATGCCTTTGACGCAAATCGTAGCTTGAGCCGAGTTTCTTTGGCTGCATGGCCTGGCCCAGATGACGGGGATTCGGGGTACGTATTGGCCCCACATGCGCTATGTCATCACTGGACGGCTGCCCATCAGCTTCTTCAGCACTTCTCCAGCGCTTCTTTTTGGTGTTATAGTGGGCTCAGCGGCAGGCTGCACCGCCACAGGCGCCTTTGAGAGCGTACATGGGCGCACATGCACATATGCAGCCAGTTGAGCGCTACCGTTGCACCGCACTTGTCTCGGACGGGAAAGGGCTTCAGCTGCCATATGGCTCCAAGTCATGGGATTGTGACGTCTCTTGTGCAACTCCAGCCTCGACCTCATCACCAGTTGCTGCGCACGCCACAATCACTCAACTTGTCCATCGCCATCGCCGTCATCCAGACAATGCCCTCGGCATGCCCCGCGACGGCGACTCCTCGCTAACCACCGCCTTTGTTCGCTTCAAGCAGCACGTGGATTCAGCGGTCGCCTCCGGCTTTCACGCAGTGTTTGCCCGCCCGCAGCCCCTCCACCAGCCACCATCGCCAGATATCCGCCAACAGCCCGGATCTGAGCTGTCACCAACCGTCAAATCAGCAGATACAGCGACTTCTAACAGCTCCAGCCAGCCCGCAGCTACAGTCACAATGGCCAACACCGGGTCGAACGCTTCATCAGCAGCTCTCGACACCGTCTCGGTTGCGTCGTGGTCTTATTCACCAGCCAATCTGCGCCACCTCCAGCAGCCCGTCCCAAATGACCTGCCGGCGCAATGCGACTCTACCGTCTTCACCTTTGAAGATGCCTTTGAGGATCTGCTCACCGTCTCGCAGGGACGACCGCTGCCTGATATCAAATCCAGGTATAACCAGAGACAGCTGCTGAGACAAATGTTTTCACACGGCGAGCCCACCTGGTTCTGGCTGCGAAGGCTGGAATCTCAAGGCTTGCTCCGACGCCCCACTCAAGATGAGCTTTACAGGCCACGCAATTTTGGTCTGCTAGAGGACCATGTTGAGCCTGCATTCACAGAACCAAATTGGAACGATTGGTCAAAGCTGCATGAAGAGCTGGACCGCAAGGCAGCTGAAGTATGGAAGGGCGCCACCTCCGCCGAAGAAGACAACGGCCAGCCCAAGACCCACAGCTTCTTTGACGATGTGCACCAGACATTCAAACGGCTAGAGGATAGTTTCTACGGCCGAAATGGCTCACACGATGAAGAGCATAGCAGCCAGCACCAGAAACGCTTCCCTGACCACTTTGACGATCTCTTTTCCTCTCTGAGCTCGACCTTTGCAGAAGGCCACAAGACGTGGGACACCTTTGTCAAGAGCATCACGGATCATAAGCCCGTCTCTTCTGAGTACTCGGCCTCACAGCCACCCAGCTCCACCGAGGAAAAAGTATACGATAACGGGAATAGGGAGGTTGTCACGAAAGATGAAAAGATCAACAGCTTTGGCTACTTGACGACGACGATTACGAAAAAGACGTATGATAGGAATGGTAATGAAATTGGCACTGAAACACACTTTACGATGCGTCCTGCCGAAAAGACCCAGAATGCCAGAGCGTTGGAAAATGGCGATGCAAATGTCATCGAGAGAGCGGATGCAGACGCAGACGATCAGCAGGTGCAGGATAAGAAGTCAGGATGGTTCTGGAAATAAGCATCTCGAGTTTTTTTCCTACCACAAAGATTGGTTTTCGAGAGTCTCTCAGCTCACATCTTGTATATAATTCACCATTAATCAAAAGCATATAGCTCAGCCAACTTAGTAATACTTTTATACCCTCTATACTCCTAATCAAACAAGAAAAAAGCTTCCCTACTATCTATATAGCTCTTGAAAAATTCATGTACAGATGGTATTCGATATTATAAATGTACACTCAAATTACGCTTTTCCTCTCGCCACAGCCTTCTTCTTGCGCACCTGTCTCTTCCGCGCAATCAGCTTCTGCTGGATCGCCTCCTTTGCATCAGCCGGCTTCTTCTTCTCATCCACGTCTCCTTCCTTGGGAGGCTTCGCCTTGGTTCCCACTTGAGGTCCCTTGTTCAAGTTTCCCTTGGGCTTCTTGCCCTTTTGCTTCTTCTGCTTCTGCTCGGGGACCTCTTCTTCTTCGTCGTCCTCTTCGTCAGATGCATCCGCATCATCCTTCTTCGGCTTTCGAGCTGTCTTTTCAGCCTCCTGTCGTCGCTTAACCACCTGCGCGTTCTCAATGGCAAACTCGACAATCAAGCGCTGCTTCCTGCCATTGTTGCCGTCGAGCTGGTGGCCGTTCAGATATCTCAGACCCATCAAGGCGTGGCGATGAGACGTGTACTCGATGAATCCGTAGCCACGGCTCTTGCCAGCCCCGCTAGACTCAGATACCTTGGAGCCCTTGTTGTCCTCAAACACAATCTTTGCTTGCTTGACGATACCCTTGCGCTTTTGTTTCCTGTCCTTTTCCTTGTCCTTTGCATCCTTGCCGTCTCTGGCGTTCTCTTCCTTGGAGGGGGGCTGTCGGCGCCCTTCCTTGACGTCCTTGGCAAATTCGACAACGGCCTTTCTAGCCAGCTCCTTGAGTTCCTTGGCGCCCATGTCGTTGGGAATGTTACGAAGAGCAAGTCGGGTTAAGCTAATGTGCAGCATGGGGTTCTTCTCCACGAGCTTCTTGCGCTGCTGGGCACTCATCGTCCGCATCCGAACCTCTGCATCTGTCAACAGGCCTCGCAGCGGAGAGTTTCCAATGGCACCTTCGGACAAGAGGTACAGATGGCGCTTATCTTTTTGCCTCCTCTGTGCGAGCGAATTCTCCGCCAAGTTGGCAGCCTCGTTCTTGTTAACGGCTTGAGCCACTTGCAAGACTCGGCCGTCCATTGTGTATTTTCCGCTGGGATCGGCGTTCTCGTCTTGCAGGATGGAATGCTTGACCCCTCCTGCAGTCGGTGGTGCGCGGCGAGGAGCATTGATTATGCAGGATTTCGCATCCTCATTGTCGACAAAGCAGACAAAGCCAGTGCCGGCCGGTCTGTCCGTAGCCTTGTCCATGACAACTCTGGCATATCGAACAGTGCCAAAGTGGCCAAAGAAAGATTTGAGCTGCTCATCCGTAGCCGTAAACGGTAGATTCCGAACAAAAACCGTTGAAGAGTTATCCGTCATCAACTCTCGCTTTGGTTTCTGGGTTTCCTTTTCTTCGTCCATTTCATCCACCAGCTTCATGTCCTCGTCATCGTCCTCATCATCTTCGTCATCCTCATCATCGTCTTTTTCGTCCTCATCCTCCATATTCGTCATGTGGTTCTTCATAAAGTTTGCAAGATCCGAGGCTAGTTGGTCGTCGCGGTTCTTGACTTCGCCGTCATCTCCAACATCCTTGTCCTTCTTCTCGTCTTCAGCCTCAGCTTCATCATCATCATCTTGTGAGTCCTTCTCGCCGCTTTCCGCACCCTGCTGCTTGTCCCAGGTCGCTTTATCAACAGCCCAGTCCACAGCCAATGGTCGGCCATCAACAATCTTGCCATTCACGGCCTCCAGGGCCTTTTCTGCGTTTGGACGTCCACGAATGGTGACGAAACCGAATCCCTTCAACTTTCCCTTGTTCTGTGGAAGATCAGAGTATATGACCTTGCCGTAGCTCAAGAATAGTTTTGATAGTTGTTCTGAGGTTTTGATGCTCCAGGGAAGATTTCGAATAATCAGCTTGGTAGACGGCCTCTGGAACGCCTCTCTGCCTTTTCCGGGCCTCTTGTCTGCTTCATCAGCATTACGCTGTCTAGGCTCCGCAACTTCGATTCGAATGCGTCTGCCATCCCACTCCTTCTTGTCCAACGCCGCTTTGGCATCTCTCGCATCGTCGGCATCAGCAAACGATACGAATCCGAATCCTCTTGATTCCTTCGTCTCTTGGTCCACAACAACTGTAGCGTGCTTGACGGCAAAGTATTCCGAGAAAAAATCGGTAAGACTCTCGTTCGTTACGCCAGGGGGCAGTGATCGAACAAAGATGGACCGTCCATCGTCGACTTTGGGCTTCTTCGCCGTTCGCGCAATTCCGCCGTCTGGATCATGCGATTTGGTGGCAGCAGAATTCTCGGTATCCTGGATCCGGCGCTTGCGGTCATTCGGGGGCGCCATGGCTGCAGCGGTGAAGCAATTGCAGCAAAACTCTGGTCGTGATACAGCAGACTCAAGTCCAAGTATCTGTACCTGGTGCTAAGAAAAAAAAATCTGGACCTGCAGCTATCAGACTGCCTTATCTTATCGGCATAATAAAAATGTCTGCGCTACGCCAAATAGGGATGGCGGGGTACCAAGGCAGCGTTATGCCAAAATGGGAGAATTGTTGATTGGGTCTTTTGGCGACGCGCTGGCCAAACAACACCACCAAACTCGCTTTTTGCACAACTCAGAGCGTCATCTTTGCGATTCAAGCGCAAGGCCTCTGGGGTACGGAATTATCAAAAATGCCTACGAGATCAGGGGCGCGAACCAGAAAAGCCAGGGAGGATCCCGGTTCTAACAGAGCCACTCCCTCCCTGGAATATGTCGACACGCCAGACAATGCCCTCCGAACGCAGATTTGCGCCATCTTTCGCGATGCCCAGAGAACGACCGCCACGCACCGGAAGCTGGCTGTCAACCTGCGCAAAGTCCAGGAAGCCTGCTGCTACGAGCCCATAAACCCGAAAAAGCCCGCGGCCGATGAGTTTGACGAAAAGGCCTTCAACCACGAGTTCGTTCGGTGTGTGCTGCGAGTCATGCCGGTGAAGAAGGCGGAGAGCGTTGGCGAGAAGTTGATTCGATTCATCGGACTGTTCCTGCGACACGCCTCAGATAAAGACAATCAGCTGCTGGACGAAGCCGATGCCGACGCGAGCATGATGCCCGAGACCCCGAGCACGCGGCTCTCGTCGCAAGTCCTGCAGACTGCGCTCTCCATGATGCAGGCCAAGGACAAATACGTGCGGTTTCGATCAACGCAGCTTGTTTCACACATCATCAACTCTCTCGATGCAATCGACGACGACTTGTTCCAGATCCTTCGCCACAACCTGCTCAAGAGAATCCGAGATAAAGAGCCCATGGTGCGCGTTCAAGCGGTGCTGGGTCTTGGCCGACTTGCCGCCAACCAGCCTGAAGAGGAGCCCGATTCGGACGACAGCGAGAGCCGTCAGCCTAGCCTCTTGGACAAGCTGCTGGACGTCTTGCAAAACGACTCGAGCGCCGACGTGAGACGCACACTTCTCGTCAACCTCCCGATCTTGCCCGCAACTCTCCCGTTCCTCCTCGAGCGCGCAAGAGACCAGGATGCCCCCACTCGAAGAGCAGTATACTCTCGCCTTTTACCCGCGCTAGGAGATTTCCGCCATCTCTCACTATCTATGAGAGAGAAGCTCCTCCGATGGGGCCTCCGTGACAGAGACGACAACGTGCGAAAGGCTGCAGGCAGACTTTTCCGAGAGCGGTGGATCGCAGATTGTGCCGGTGTACCAGCGCAAGAGGACGCACCGCCGAATTTCGAAGGCTTATTAGAGCTTCTTGAGAGAATTGATGTCATCAACTCTGGAGTGGAGAATGGAGTGGCCCTCGAGGCCATGAGGGGCTTCTGGGAGGGCCGTCCGGATTACCGTGAGGCTATCAATCTGGACGACCAATTCTGGGAGACGCTGTCGGCCGAGTCGGTGTTTATGGTTCGGAGTTTCAACGACTTTTGCCGCGAGGAGGAGAATGGCCGCTACGAGTCGCTGGTAGAAGAGAAACTTCCCGAAGTCACCAAACTGGCCTTTTTCCTAGAGCGCTATTTGAAAGTGCTGGTGGATGCCGTCAAGAGGATTGCACAGCTTGACGCCGAGGAGGACGAAGAAGAAGATACCGTCGAGCAAGAGTTTATCGTTGAGCAGATGCTTCATATCGCGCTGACTCTCGATTACTCTGACGAAGTCGGCCGCAGAAAGATGTTTACGCTGCTTCGTCAAGCCCTGGCTATCCCAGAGCTACCGGATGAAGTTACAAAGCTTGCCATGGAAGTTCTTCGATACATTTGCGCGCCAGATACCGCCGGAGAACGAGAATTCTGCAGTGTTGTTCTCGAAGCCGTTGCCGACGTTCACGACACAATCGTGGATCTCCCTGGAGAGGACGATGACAGCTTCGTATCCGCTCATTCTGATATCAGGAGCCGAGAAAACTCTCCAGCTTCAGACTCGAAAAAGGCTCAGCCTGAGATGAGTGAGGAGGAGGCCCAGGAAAAGGCAGTCAAGGAAATGATTGTCAACATGAAGTGTCTGCACATTGTCCAATGCATGCTTACACATGTCGCTGGAAACCTCAAAGATAACGCAGACCTGGTGTCCATGTTGAACAATCTGGTGGTTCCAGCGGTTAGGAGCCACGAAGCACCTGTGCGTGAAAGAGGACTTGTTTGTCTCGGCCTATGCGCTCTTCTGGACCGTTCTTTGGCCGAGGAAAATCTTGGTCTTTTCATTCACTTCTTTACAAAGGGACATACTGCTCTGCAGATTACGGCGTTGCACATCTTGACAGATATTCTCAACGTCCATGGAGCTCAGCTGCTCTCAACAACTCCAGCCGTACTCAAAGTCTATGTCAAGGCAGTCAAAGGTGGCGGCAGGTCATCCGAAGTGCAAGCCGCGGCTACCATTGCCGCATCGAAGCTTCTCCTCGGCCGGGTCGTGTCTGATGAAGAAGCTTGCGAGGAGCTGCTCAAGTCTCTGGTGGTTGCATACTTTGATCCTGCATCATCTGCCAACCAGACAGTCAGGCAAGCTCTCAACTACTTTTTGCCAGTATTCTGCTTCTCGCGAACGGAAAACCAAGACCTTATGAGAAAAGTCTCTTTGCTGGCGCTGCACTCTCTACTCAACTTGCGCGAGGGTCTGGAAGATGATGATGTGGATGTTGAGGAGGACATGGTTAGTATGACAACCATTGGCGCTTGTTTGGTGGATTGGACAGACCCGCGAAAGTGCTACAGCACTGAGCTTGTTCAGGAGGGAGAGAAGAGGAATGTACCGGGCGATGTCCACCTTGATTTTGCCTGTGACATTTTGGAAAGGCTCCGTGGAAGCATCAGCAGTAAGTTTACCAGCCATGCTTTGGCTTGGATCAAAAGAATTGAAGCTAACAACTGCAAACAGAAGCTGAAAAGAAGCTGGTTGCCGGCCTTCTCGGAAAACTCTATGTGTCACCCACCTCTTCAGAAGAAAAGCTCCGAGAATCTTACGGCATTGTCAGTGAGGCTGTCGAGGAGGGCCTTGTGACTGATACTACCGGCCGCAATGCGCTGTACAAGATTCACGTCAGCCTGGGCAAGATTGTCAACAGCCTTGAAGAACAGCGGCCAGCGCTGAACCGTGACGGCCGTAGCACATCTGAAACTGCAGAACGCAGCACGCCGGAAGAGGCTGAAGAGGCTGAAGCTGAAGAGCCAGAGGAACCAGAGCCTGAAGCAGAGGAGGCAGAGGAAGCGGAAGAGCCTGAGGAGGCAGAAGAGCCAGTAGTAAAGTCCTCGAGAACAAGAGGCACACCCAAGATCAAAAAGGAGGAGAGCAGTGATGATGAAGGGACGGTGATACCAGAGCACAGAGACGACAATTCGCTAGTAGAACTGTCTGATGAGGACACCAAGATGGAAGATGTGTATTAAAGGAGTGGCAAGGGATAAATGGATAACGTCTCACGAAAACAAATTGGCTTGGGAAAGGTGCTTGTTTTGGAGAGGTACATATGTGGTGCTTTGGGAATATAGCTATGCTTCTTTACGATGTCAATGATGCAATTACATCTTTTGTTTATTACACGATTTAAATTCAAGCATAAATACATATTATGTTTAAGGACGAATCACCTTGGTCAGCTCAAGTACCTATCCAGAATAACAAGCCGCCAAAAGCCACATTGATCAACAAATGCTGCCCCAAGCTCCACGCCATGCAGTACAAGTACTTTGGCGAAAACACGGTCCAGATGAACAAGTGCGTTCGCAGCGCCGTGCACGCCGCAATGACAAACGCCACGCTCATCGCCGCAAAGGCCGTCAACAAGATGAGATGATAGCGAAATGCATCCGCCCGGCCACGCAGGCGATACTCCCTCAGCAACAACAAATTCGTAGCCGACGTCCAGAATATGGGCCCTGCCCAGTTGCTCACGAGGGTGAGGACGCCGACGGCGACGACGTTGAAGCCGCTGATGCCGTTGTATGCGCTGGAGAGGTCGACGGAGGAGATTGCGTTGGAGCCGCCGGAGGCGAAGAAGGTTGCGTATTGGAGCAGGATGGACGAGGTTGTGATTTGGGCGATGGAGAGGGTGGTGGATTGGAGGGTGCGGAGGATGAGGGTGGAGAGGAGGAAGAGGGGGATGTTTGTGGCGCGGGATTGGGTCATTGCGAGGAGGGTGATGAGGTGGTGCGTTAGATGAGCTGGTTGAGTTAGCTGTGTTGAAAGGGAGTATATATCAATAAAGAGAGGGGGGACATACCGGCTGATTGAGTTGTTTGGGGTCCTCCGGTTTTTGCTCGGTATACGGCAAAGCTGAACAAGGCTGCGAGTAATCCAAAGATGATCCTCGCTCTGAAGATGAGGGATGGGCCCTGGAGGATATCGAGGAGCCTGTGTGCAAACCCAACAACCAACTCAGGGGCATCTTCCGCAGTGAAGGCCAGTTTAAAGGCAAGAGTAGCCGAAAACAAGAGCGGCACTACAAAAGTCGTCAAGATGAAGGGCAAGCCAGCCGACGACAAGCTCTGCAGAGTTTGCAAAGTGACCACGACGTAAGTCAGAGTGATGATGACCCATAGCAGCTCGGGGTTGGGAATGAGAAAGGTCTTGACGGTGTCTGGCTCGCCGGCGAATTTCTGGCCGGTTTGGTTCCAGCTTCGGATGAGTCTGAGGGCGGCGAGGGCGGTTATGTGGCTTGCTGCTGAGAAGATGCGCGAGGACCTGAAGTTGTTAGTCGTGAAGAAGAATAGAAGGTGAGAGTTGTAGTCTTACCGTTGGACTTGTTTGGCGCCGAGATAGGCCAGCCAGATGGTGGATGCCCAGTACCAGAAATGGTGTTCCTCTTCAACATAACTACTAGCAAACATCATAGGGCCATAGGACGCTGCGAGTAAAAAGAGCGGAAGCACATGTCCCGCCTTCCTGAAGCCCTGTACTCCCAAGCTGGCTATACTAGCAACCACGGCAGCAACTGAAAGGCCCTGGCCAAGCGATAGCCTCGACATGTCGTAGTTTGACGCCATGCTGCTCATGAGATCTTGAGCCTCACGAATCCAGGCAGACGTAGCCGAGAGCCATTCTTTATCAACCTCATTGGCATTGGCCTGGTGAGCTGCTTCCGAGTTGATTTTGCGCCATTCACAAGCTAGTTTGCTGACGTCTGTTGCGGATTTGGAAGCACAGGGGTCGACAGGTGATTGGGCGTCAAAGAGTTCGCTCCCAAACGCCGCGGTGACAATGTTGAGGATTTGTCTGGCGTTGCGAATGAGGATCTGCACCTTGTCGCTGGAACGCGGCCAAAAGGGCAAGAATTCCGGGATGAATGCCCCGAGGTTGTTTTTTGAAATGGGAAATCTCATGAGAGCAGCGAGCGTGGGCGCGATATCAGACTGCTCTACCGTGGAGTAATAATCGAATTCGTTCTTGGGTTGTGCGGGGGCAGAGTATTTAGGCGAAATCTCCTTGAGTTTTGGTGACATGAATACTAAAGCGGGTGATGTTTCTCCTGGGGATGAGGCGCCGTGATTTCCTGCGTCGTTCATGCCGTGGTCACCGCAGAGGACGATTAGAGTTGATTGGAGGTGGCGCTGCGTTTCCAACGCATCAAACAGTTGGTGGACGATGCCGTCCATTTCACGCTGCTTGGCTGGCATGTGGCTGCTGCGAGGTCCTGATTTATGGCCAATGTGGTCGAGGCCGAGATAGTGAAGTACCATGAGGTTCCAGTCATCTTTATGAAGCTCATCATTGATATGCCTTGTGACATTATTGTCGACTTCTGTAAAGTCCTGCGGATACATGTAAGTCAAAGGGAGTCACGGGATGAAGCACTTTCGAACCGAGTCTTACTGCAACAAAGAAGCTTGAAGTGCCATCATGACGATCAAACGTATCGGGGAATAATTTAAGCCACGTATCGTCACCGTACATGACCAGCTTGCCCGTGTCTTTTGCCTTGAGTTGGGAGAGCCACGTATCCTGCGCAGCCAGCGTGGACGAGGTGTCTGCCTCGTTGATGTTGAGAATCAAGTCCACGAATGAAGGAATAGACCCTGTCGTTATGGCCTTGATTCTGGGCATCGTCACGGTGGGAGACCGAGCATTGGCAGTAAAGGGAATGGCACTCCCATCGCGGATGAGACTGTGAAGTTGTGAGAATATGAGGATAGATCTGGCAACATGTCAACTAACCTCTGCGTGTATCCAAATTCAGAGGCGTCAGAAAATACAAAATCGCTATCATCACATCTCAGTATAAGAGCGCGTCCAGGCATGTGAATCAACTCTACCTCCGCAGCGCATCAACTACCATGAATACGAGTCTATCAAAGGGAGCCTTGGGCGGAGGTCCGTATTCGAGGGCCTCAAACTCTGCCAGCCCGGGAATAAACGGCTTATACGGGAAGAAACCAGTGGCGAAGACGAGAATAGACAAAGGTATTAAGATATTGGCTGCGGCGAGCAGGATTGAGGCCGCCAGCGACCCATTTCGTGAGGCCACCATGGCTTGACGGAAGAACAAATGAGAGAATTGGGTCAATTGAAAGAGGAGAAAGAGGCTAGAGAGGCGCCTTGAGCTTTTTCAGTACTTCAACATTTTACACGGAGAGAGCCATATAGAGAGGCGCGTATCAAGTGAATTGTCTCCCTTTCATTAAGCGTGGGAAGAAGGTTATAAAACGTGCATGTGGAAGTGAGAGCGTGATTGGCTAGGCGAAAAATGGAGCGTCTAGTTCGGCTGCTGCGCCACAGGAACGTTCAGGACGCCACACGCCTAGACTTTTTTTTCTTTTTCTGGATTGTCATGGGTATCGTCAATTGAGAGACTGCAGTTGATATATATGACAATATGTATGTATAAATAATGAGTGCTCCGTATGTGCAAGAATGAAAGCCCAAGGATGAAACCAAAAATTGAAACAGTAAAAAATGAGATGATTTGATTAAGCCTTCTTCACCTTGTTGGCGGCCTCTCTCTTCTTCTTGGCGGCCACTCTGTCGCTGTACTTGGGGAATGTGATGCTGGATTTTGTCCTCTTCTTGGTGATGCGCTTCTTAGAGATGGCGGCCCGTGTGGGCTTCTTTGCGTCGACATCCATGGCTAGAGCAAAGGTGTCAGTATAAGCCGTAATTAGAGTAGAAGTGCAATCGGTGAACTGGAATCTTACAGTTGTCGTCTGCGGCCTGCTCTTCCTTATCCTGTGCATCGGCGTCGTCTGGAGGCAACGAGTGTTAGCAAATACCAGCAGTCCAAGTTCATCCCAACTTTCAGTCCCATCCAGCCAAACTCACCATCAATCTTCATCTCGGCGGGCTCGGGCTTGGCCTGTCGAGCCAGCTCCAGCAGCTTGGCGGAGAGACGCTCCTGTCTCGCAGCCTCAGCTGGACCAAAGATGGACGCAGCTTTGCGCTGGTTGTTGAATTTTTTGCTGCTCGATCGAGAACTCTTTGCCATTGCTGCGGTGTTTGCCGAGTTTGTCTTTTTTTCTCTTGTCCCTTTGCGCTTCCGTCGGCTCGTCCGTCAAGCTGTCGATCTGTTTAGTGTTTGTTTGGTGTTTGCTTTGCTTTCTTCTACGAATTTGGTAACTGCAGGAAAGAAAAGTTACGATAACGGCGGAAAGATAAGATAAGGATGGATGGACCCTTTGTGGCGTAACAGTTCAGTGCTTGACTCGAGTTGTGGCGCATTACTCAGCGGCCTTTGCCAGCTGCTGCCGCCTGGCCGCTGCCCAAAAAATCGGCGACGGCGTCGAGCAATCACTGCCATTCAAAAGCGACGTCCTCCGAGTGATGGCCAGGCGACGACGAGGGTGAGAGGAGAGTGAATGCGACGGGCGCCGCTGAATCACGCACTGATCATCTTCCATCGCCAGAGACCAAGTCACCGCGCTGTTCCAAGGCATCTTGGACCGATAAGCGCCCATCTCCATCCATTTCTCGCCGATAAACCCTCCAGCCTCGCGATTCGCGGCCATTGCCGGCATCACGAGAGCGGCTCCAGCGACAGCCTGCGCCTTTCGCCGGCCAAAGCGTCTCGCAGTTGCCTCTGCGACTCTCTTGCAAAGCTGCGAATCAATCGCGGCCCATTCCACCACTCGTGCTGACGAGAATATCGACCAGATAGCGACCACTTGCCGATAGAGACGTCTGCACCATCTCGCCTTTTCCTCGAGCAGTCCGACTCCTCTCCCGGCTTCTTCACCTTTTCTTCAGCCTTTACCGCTCCCCTTTGATGCCTCGAGGCCTGGCTCTCGCCTCAACCACACAGCCATGGCGTCACCAAACATGAACTCCATCTCGCGGCACGACGTGAACACGCTGCTGCGACAGGTCCAGGGCAACTCCCTGTTCAACCGCCAGCTCTCCTCCGTCTGCCAGGTAAATGGGCTTAAGAGCACCGGCGTCAAAGCTGAGCTCCAGCGACGCATCGTCCACCGTGAGTCAATCCTGCAGCGCCCTGAATCGCGAACAGTGTGCGCGTATTGCTTCACGGTAGTTACCACGGCCTCTATAGCGCTGCCACTGCATTTAACCCGTCCATGGCCTCTATCCGCGTAGCATATGCTGACCTTGCTTCGTCTGTAGTCATCAACGAAACGGTCGCCAACGACGACGTTGCGCGGTTCCACCAAGTCCGGCAGAGCATCGTCAATGCTTTTGCACAAAGAGCGAGCCCGTCCAAGGCGGCAACGGCCCGAAGCAACGGTTCCGTAGCATCTCAGCCAATACCGAATCTCTCTACACCGTCAGGATCGCCTTACGGCACCACTGGTTATCCCAGCAGGCCGTATGGGCAGGTTTCGGCAAACGGAATCTCCCCCCCTTATGGCTCCGCCATGTACAGCTTCTCGTTCAAACCGAGCCCTTTCTATAGCGTCGAAAGCGCTGTGAGTGGCTTGCGTACCTGTGAGGGCAAGTAACCTTTTTCCCCCATCGTAGTGGGCTCCAGTCTGACCTATACTCTCATCAGTCATGACCCAGCATAGGAACACTGTCACCATACCACTGAGGCTAAGCGACCATCCTATTCTCCAGCGATGCAGCGACGATAAATCATACAGGATCATGGTGTTTTGCGCCAACGACGACAGCGGTCTACAGGATGTGGCATTTCCACATCAATCTGAGCTTCGGGTTAATGGCGATGAGATCAAAGCCAACCTGCGAGGCCTCAAGAATAAGCCTGGCTCCACCAGACCCGTTGACATCACCAATGCGCTTCGCCTGCGGTCAAATTACATGAATAATATCGAGTTTACATATGCGCTGACTAACAAGGTGAGTTATTCTACTAGAGGATACACGAGTTGCCCTGACTTGGGTATATAACTTTAATAATTGCTTTACTAACGCCTTTGCTCGCAGAAATTCTATCTTATTGTCAACCTTTGCAAGACTACATCAGTAACCGAACTAGTGGCAACGATATCCAGCCGTAGAAAGATTTCCGAGGATTCGGTAATATCAGAGCGTAAGTTTGGAGCATATAACAGTGTCTTGGCATAACTTGATAAGCACTCACTAATGCATCAATCGGCAGTGAATAAAATAGCACAAGATCCTGACGTCGTAGCGACATCTCAGGTTTTGTCACTGAAATGCCCCCTGTCATACATGAGATTGGAAGTCCCTTGTCGGAGTCTGAGCTGCACACATCTGCAATGTTTCGACGCAACATCTTATTTACAGCTTCAGGAGCAAGGACCGCAATGGTTGTGTCCTATATGTAACAAGTCTGCGCCCTTTGATCAACTGGCCGTTGATGGGTGCGTATCCCCGTTTACACTCCGTGACGCATGCACTAACATACACCAGTTACGTCAAGGTCATTCTAGAAAAGACTTCAAAGAACCTGGAAACAGTCACGATTGAGCCAAACGGCAAGTGGTCTAGCAAACCACCCAAGGAGGACTCATCGCCATCCAGACCGCGAGGAGCACCTGTCGAGGACGATGAAGACGACGACTTGGAGGTGTCTGAAATCATCATTGGCGGGCGTCGGTTGGAAACGCCTAAGAAGCTGAGCCACTGTACGGACACGCCGAGTTCTGGTGGCAGAGACCACTCCTCCACAGCGCCGCGAGGCTCACACAGCGCCAAACGACCAGCACCAGCAGTTATTGACCTAACGCTGTCGTCGGACGATGAAGAGCCCATTCAGCGGCCGAGCAAGCGCCAGCACACTTATACGTATCATCGCGGCACAACCCCGCCGTGGCTGAGCGAGTCTCCCGTCAATCACCAGCCCTAGCAGGGACCCTACGAGATATGAGTTGGCAGATGCCGTGGTCTAATTGAGTGTGGTGAGGGGGGAAATAACATTTTTCTATAGAGTAAACTATTATATATTGCTTTTATAAGAGAGGAGAGATGGGGCAAGGCAAGGCAGGGGGAAAGCATGAACGAGGCCCGAAGAGTTTTTATTTCTAAATCAGCAAAGGCGTTCAGGGTGATGAGGGCAGGAAAAAGGACAATTCCCCTTTAAGGTTTGGTACAATGGTAGTTCTTTCTGCTATCTATTCATGAGCGAGGGAAGAGGCAGATTACCAGCGACGGAGGGGTTATAATTGTATCGGCCACAAGGGCCTGGTAGCTGGTAGCTGGCCATTATGAGAAACTGGATATTTGATTAACCCATTGAGCTGTGTCTTTTTTATTGTGATGTTGGAGCTGTTGCTGCTTGGCACTAATCCAAGGAAACACTAGTTGATGTGGATTTACTTGGGGTAGGATGTTAAGCAGAGCTTTGTCTTATGCTACATCTGGTAGTTGCTGCATTTGGCAGTTGGTGGTTTGGAATCAAGAACGCTGGTCAGGCTATGCTATTGTCTGTCGCTGCTTATTCACGCGCTGTACAATATTAGTAAAATCGCAACCTCTGTATAACAATTGTAGCCTTGTATATAACACGGCGATTCTGAATATAAAATAATTTAATAATCCTCATGATTTTTCAACGCCGTTCTATAGAATACTATCTACTTGCAAGCAATAGAAAAGTCGCTTTTATCAGTCCAAAGTCATGTCCACCAGCAACCCATTCCCAGACATTCCCGAGCTCGGCATCACCATCAAAGCCAACCCAGTGCTTCTCGAAGCCTACGACTACTACGCACAGAAGATGGACAAGTCCGTCGTCGACCACTGCGTGCGTTCCATGTACTGGGCCGTCCTGCTTTCACGGCACAAGAAATTCGACGGTCTCAAGTTCAATTGGGACGTGGTCTTCCTGGCAGTCCTGCTGCACGACTTTGGTTTGTCCACTGACAAGGCATTGATATCCGACGACAAGCGATTTGAGATTGACGGCGCCAACATAACTCGGCAGTTTCTCAAAGACCGTGGCGGCGACGCCTGGACGCCGCATCTGCAGCTCGTATGGGACGCCATTGCGCTGCACACAACAGCATCCATAGCGCACCACAAGGAGCCCGAAGTGGTCTTGACCTCGTTCGCCGTCATGGCCGACATGTTTGGCCCCAACTTGCCCGGCGAGATGCTCAGCAAGCGCGACTATCTCGTCGTGGCCAGGCGGTTCCCGCGGCCGGGCTTCACGGAGACGGTCATGGAAACAATGTGCACCGTGTGCAGGGAGAAGCCGGCGGTGACGTTTGACAACTTTGTGCAGGAGTTTGGGCGGAGTTTTGGGTATGATGGACGGGGGGAGGGGAAGGAGGAGTTTGCGAGGCTGGCGGATGGGAATAAGTTTTCGGTGGTGTTTTTAAGGGGATTGGGTGCGCTTGATGAGATGGAGTAGATTTTGATGTGAGCTGAAGTTGGTGTATAAGATGGGCTAGTCTTATACTATGCGTAGAACAGATGAGCTTTTTCGCTACAAAAGAACATAATACAATTTATCTATTTACAAACCACTGTAAATACAAATAAATATATATATTCAAAGGTTCAACTAAAGTAACACCGGCTGGAGAATAAACTTGGCTCCTAACTACCAGATTGCTGTTGCTCTGACCGAGCTCGACGCCAATTCGAACCACCCCTCACCGAAACCCCGGACTGCTAGAGCACAGGTACCCCCGTACCTACGGCTTTACCTCTCACCACCAAAAGTCATCCTCTCAACCATCACCACCACCCTCTTCCACCTCAGTCTCGCCTCTTTTCTACTCGCCTCTATTCCCCCTCCTCTCCAACAAACAAACAAACAAACAAACAAACAACCACCCATCAATCAAATCAACCACAACCACCAAAAATGTCCCTCTCCCCCCCCCTCCCCCCCTTCAACTCCTCCGACCCAAGCGCCACCTTCCTCTCCTCCTCCACGCTCGACTTCCTCCTCATCGAACTCGTCCCGCTCGCCAACCGCATCACCGCCGAGCGCGACTTTGCCTCGCCCTCCACCACAGCAGACGCCCTGCAATCTCCCCCCCACAGCGCAGCGACGGCCAAGTCAGAGGCCACATCCGGCACGGTCGTGGGCGGCGCAGCAGGGGACACGCCCAAGAGGATAGACGACGAGGAGCATCTCGATGCGGTGCATTATAGGCTTGAGGCGCAGGGATACCGCGTCGGCCAGGGTCTTGTAGAAAGGTACATGGCATCTCTCGCAAGGCAGCGTATATCCAACCTCCAAAAGGAATGGTAGCTAAACAACTCCCGAATTACGCTTGGCGCAACACAGATTCTCTCGCGACAGACCCCGCTTCAACGACACCCTCGACGTAATCAAGTTTCTCTGCAAGGACCTGTGGTCCCTCGTCTTTGGCAAGAACATTGACAATCTCAAGACCAATCACCGAGTACGTGCGACGCTACATAAACATATACACAATCTTGTCCCTACTATTGCAGACATACATCGCACTACGACAACATAATGGCTTATACAATCTCTAGGGAGTCTACGTCCTCACCGACAACGCCTTTCGACCATTTTCGCGCATGAGCACAGAAACCGGCAGCCAAGCCGTCATCCGAGCACAGCCTGTACGTCCAAGAAGCCCTTCTCTACTACTAAGAGACCATACAATCACATACCATCCCTTCTCTACTACTAAGAGACCATACAATCACATACCATCAGTCTTGGTAATCGTTTGCTTACACTTTTTTTTCCAGTTTCTATGGTTCCCCTGCGGCATCATTCGCGGCGCATTAGCTGCTCTGGGTATCAACGCCACCGTTCAAGCCGAAGTCAACGAGCTGCCGGGAGCCATATTCCAGATCAAGACCATCCCCGCCAAGCCATAGTAACCAAACCGCTACGACGACCTTGCACCTGAATCTAAGAGAAAGTGACAACATAGAGGGGTGGACGAATGAGCCATGTGCGACGACCACCAAATCCGCCTCTCAACTTCTTTCCCACCAACAAATCCATTACTCAGCTTCATGCAACTAGCAGAAAACTAATAATCAATGGGACGAGAGGCTATCCGACAGGGAAAGGCTTCGCATGGGAGGATTAGAGTCTGGGACATTTACAGCCTATGAAAGAAGAGCAAATCATCAGCCACCCTGCTTATGCGTGCGTATATATTTATACCAAGTAGTCATAGCTATTGTCCTCAAGACCGGCTCCATCGACACTAGAACGCTACCAGCACATTTGGGGAAGTTGGAAAGTATTTACTTTTGGGGAGGGTTGTGGGCAAAGTCGACGCCCTTCTGGATGTTGGTCTTGAGACCCTCAACAGCCTTGCCCAAGAGCTCCTTCTCCCGCTCGGTGATGCCCTCCAGGGGGTTGGTGACCTTTTCGACACCATTGGGCTGCGAAGCGTTAGTCAATATGATTTAAATCGAGAGCTCTCGAATCTCAACTTACTCCAAGCTCAACAGGGACAGAGAAGAAGTCGACGCCGGTAGCCTTGGCGACAGCCTCACCGCCGGGAACACCAGGCAGGTAGACGTAGCTGGGCTCAACAAGGCCCTTTTCGCCCTTGGCAGCGCGGAGCACCTTTTCGGCGAATCTGAGGTTTCATGTCAATATTTGCAACGTGGATGGGGGTGGGAAGCAATGTAAAGGGGTCTTACCGGAAACCGGCGTAAGCCATAGACAGAGTAGCAGAGCCAGCACCGTCCTTGGCCTTGACGACCTCGTCACCACCAAACTGCACACGGTTGACCAGAGCCTCGTACTTGTCGGCGGGGATGGTGACGGCAGGGTTGGCCTTGCTGATGAGGGGCAGGATGGTCTCGCCAGAGTGGCCACCGACGACGGGAATGGTCAGCTTCTGGGGCTGGGACTCGCCAACAATCTCGGCAACAAAGGTCTCGGCACGGACAATGTCGAGGGTGGTGACACCAAAGAGGCGCTGGGGGTTGAAGACCTTCTTGGCCTTGAGGACCTCGGCGGAAATGGGGACGGTGGAGTTGACGGGGTTGGAGATGACGAGGATAAAGGCCTTGGGGGCAACCTCGGCAATGGTCTCGATCAGGCCCTTGACGATGCCAGCGTTGATGTTGAAGAGGTCATCACGAGTCATGCCGGGCTTGCCTGTGAGCAACTGCGCGTTAGTAGCTGTAGCCGTAGCTGTAGCTGTAGCAGATTATAGCCAATCACATGCCGAAGCCTCAAACAGCCCCAGGGATTTGCTATAATTGCGGCTAGTCATATAAGACGTGATACGTACGGGGAATGCCAGCGGGGATGACAATGATGTCGGCATCCTTGAAAGCGGCCTTGGCGCCGTCGTTGGCGGGCAGGTAGCCGGTGACCTTCTATTCGAGGGAAACAGCCATCGCGTTAGCCATGTGAGGTGCGGAAGTCGGCCCAAAGGAAGCCCGGGGCATGGCACTCGGCGATGCGGCGAGACGGCGAAGCGGGCGAGCGAGATTGGGAGCTTACCGCGGGGGAGGAGATGTGGGAGAGATCGGCGGCAACACCGGGAGTGTTGACAACATCGTACAGAGCCAGCTCGTCGATGAGGGGACTGGCCTTGAGGAGGAGGGACAGAGGCTGGTAGCAAGATGCGCTGTTAGCTTTGGGGATCCGATTACGCTGATGAGAGGGGTAAGAATCAAAGAAGCGCAAAAGAATTCCATACCTGTCCAATACCTCCAGAGGCACCAGCAACAACTATTGCGCCAGAACGGTCAGTATCACGGCCTGCATGCAACGGCAATTTCTCATGACGCGAGCTCTTTGGACAGCTTCGTCGACGCCGGTGCGGGGTTGAGGGGCAATGCAGCAGCTGCAGCAGCTCTGGGCCATGGGATTCGGATTCGACTTCATACCTGCTTTGACCATTGTGACGGTTTTGTGTGTGTGGAAATAAGAAAAAAAGATGAAGCCTGGTAGAGGAGGATGAGGTTCTTGATGGAGGAGGAAGATGGAAGAATGGAGGAGGATTAAAAAAGAAAACAGACGACTCTTCTAGGAGGGAAATTGCGTGAGATGGCTCTTTCTTGTATTTTCTGCCAAGGGGAGGGGCGTGGCATTTCTTGCGCTATGGCTTTACAGTGGACTGCGGGCGGTTTAGGCTGCTTTTGGCCAGCCGGAGCCAGAAGTTGTTTTTGGAGGGGTAGAGCTGTTGGTGCTTGATGCTGCTTTTGATTTTGGTTTTTGGCCAATCGGGAGGGTGGAAGATGCTGCGTTTTGATTCGATTTGTCTAATATCTATTAGACTACTATCTACCGCATCGCTTTTTGATTGAGCCGCCAACAAAACACAGGTAAAATCCATCTTCATGCTACTCTCGCAGTTCAACATTTACACATGCATTGCACACACAGAGACACACACGCCCCGTCATGTTCCGACTCGTGTCCCGATGTTCATCTCCCTTTTCCCGATTAAACATGCCGAGACAAATACAAGTCGCAAAAGGCTTGTGATTTGGGCTCCGGCTCGGGGGAGAGCCACCTAGTGCAACTGTTTTTTTGGAGAAGGCCGGGGTGGAGGCCGCTGCGTTCCGAGGTCTACCGGGACCCGGCGGCATTGAATAGGTCTGGGGGGAGGATCTGGAGTAGCCGAGCTATCGCGTGCAATCGGAACTGGGAGTGGCTGATGCATGAGTAAATTATTAAACAGCGTGTATCTTGTGTTTGCGCTAATTAGCACGCAAGTCATTGGTGCTTGTTCGGGAGAGATGATGGCTGGCCTGGGAGATGCAAGTCCGGCAGACAGGCCGGGAAGGTATGTAGCTCAGGGCTAAAGATGCTGCAGGGCGGCCTTGACTCTGTGCATTGCAGCCACCGTCATGACATATGGCTTTGATGTATGTTGTTAATCGTCAAGCTAAGCAGCAAGTATTGACTCTGAATCTACTCAACTCAAACCATACCTTTGACTAGTCCTTACATATACGATACCCAAGTCATGGCATATAACCCCTACTCACACATCACATGCTTCACTCATCGCAACGTAGTTGTAAGAATTCATTGGAATTATCATCATCTTCCCATGAACTCCATATTGCAGCTCCCTCATCGGCAACCGCAACATCAGTTTGTTCGTCTCGCTCGAACCGTTTCGGGAATCCAACCGCAGCCCCCAGCCGCAGCCAGGCCAGTTCAATGTACAGTATAAAAAAGGATATAACAGCCCGTCAGACCCCTACTTGCAGCCCCAGCCAAACTCCCATGCTCATCCCCATGGTTCTTTTTTTCAAAAGCGCCATTATCCACTTCACCCTTTCATTTTTATGTCTTGTCCTTTCGTTTAGGACTCGCCGGCGGAGGCAGCCTTCTGGGCCTTCTTGCCCCTCAGCTTGGGCTCGGGGTCGGCCTTGACGGGCAGCTGGGACTTGCGGATGGCGGAGGCACGCTCGATGGCGGCCTCACGGAGGTCAGCGCGGTAGCCGGACTTGGCGATCTGGCTGGCAACGGCCTTGTAGGTCCTAGATTACACGACATCCGTCAACATCTGTTTCTCCTCCTTTTTTCCAAACGGTAGAAATGATAGTCTTAAGAGTCTCGTCAACACTTACTTGCGGGTAGACTTGCCGCCACCAATGGTGGTAGTGGCAGAGCTCTTGGCGGGCTGGTTGGCGACAGCAGCCTTCTTGCTGACGACGACAACACCACCCTTCTCACCGGCGGAGATACCAACAGCCTATGCAGCACTTTGCTTTAGTAACAGAATTCGGCAACATATTCGAGATGCGCATGTGTTCGGATCAAGGACATCATATCGTTCGTACCTTGTCGTTGACAAAGCCAGCGTACTACCAAGCTAGTTAGCCCACGTTCATAACCTCCATAGTCTAAAAAAATCGTAACATCGCATCGTACCTTGCGGCTGTGCTTGTTGGTCAGGTTGAGGGGGTCGCGAGACAGCTGGATACCGCCATTTGAGGCAGCACCGGTCTTGTGGAGGTAGCTGTTGTTGCTTCCTGTGCCAGAAATGTTCATTTTAGCCCATTTTCCTCCATCTTTGCAATTCCCTTTTTCCCAATCCGAGTTGAACCAGAATAAAAGCGTCGTCGGAGAAACTCACGGACAACCTCCCAGATGAGGTCCGAGGAAATGTTGGGGAGAGCGGCAGCCATTGTGTCGGTAATCGTGGAAAATTGATGTATTTCGCGACGTCGAGGTTCGTTTCCTTGGCTGGGATCTCGAAATTGGGAAGCACTTCTGGCAGTCTGCGGGAAATGTGTGGGCTCGCTTAGCTGCCGCATTGCGGTTTAGCGCGCAGCGTGCGGTTATCGCTCCCTTATCGGGCGGTCTCCCTGTCGCTGTGGCTGGAGTGGCCACATGCTGCAAACGGGGAGCTTGAATGGATCCCGCTCAGCCACGTTTTGGCTGCCGCTTTTGATCTGAGGCAACACGTCAGACGGGGCTGATGCATGAGGCCCTCGTACCGTAAAACGCCGTGCGATCCAGCAAATCGCGGCATCTCCAGACAACAGCATCGCCCGACCACAACCTGCCGGGCCATGAGCTGGAGCATCTGCTAGTCGCCGCATCTCCAGGCTTTTATTTCCTTGGTTTCTCTTCTTCCACGCCACGAGCGTCTTCTTTTCTTGCATCGTTTCCTCTCTCCTATTCTTCCTCCAACGACACTCATCCGAGATAACCGAAAACAACATCACCATCACCATGTCGTATCTCCTCTACTCCGTCTGCCTCGCCCTCTTCGTCGCCGCCACAGCGCTCTTTTTCACGCGCTCCTTCTGGCTGCGCCGCCTGCACGAGATCCACCTCCCCGGCTCCGACTACCTCTACTCCCGCCTGCCGTCGTCCTTTGCCGGCGACATCGAGGCCGGCCTGTCGAGCAGCACGTTTGACCTCCACGGCAACGTCGAGGACGGCGACGAGCGCGCCGGCCTGGACGAGGAGAGCAAGGTGGCCATTCTCAAGATTATGAAGCGGCGGCGCATGAAGTTTGACCAGGCGCGCAAGGTCTACATGGAGGAGCGCTTCAAGGCCAACGGCATTGGCGCGGATGGCCGGCCGAGGGATCCCAAGTTTGTCAGCTTCTCATGAGGCGGAGCAAGATGCATGAGCGAGTGCATTTTCGGGGCCGGCGTTGATCTTGGTGTGATGTAACTGTCTGGACCGCTTACAGCAACTTTACAACTCATACAAGCCGTGATTCCGGAACATCTTCTCGCGCGGCAATATCTCTTTGGACTTTTCACAGTCGTTTCTTTCTTTTCTTGTCTTTTTACATCTCTTGTCAGCCTGCGCTTGGTCGCATACATCCACTCGTTATCCACTCTCTTATACTATCTTCTTCTTTTCTTACCACTGCTCTGTCGACATACAGAAAAGCAAAACCCCGAAAAAAAACCGTCACTGGGTGCATAAGTCCACGTAATGCGGGACTTTTTTATTTATCAGAACGCGAGCGTCACTTTTTTTTTTATTCCTTCAATTTCATTGTCTGAGCTGGTGTTTGGGGAATTGTGTCATTATTATTATTACATTCGCCGGGCAATATGCGCCGGTGTGTTCGATATCAGTCTTTAGATAAGCTATACTATACATCATCAAAGAGACGTTTTGGTTTTTCGTGTTTTGTTTCGTGGTCCCATCTGCTCTAAACGCCTCTGCCACCCAAATATGCTTTGAAGAATGATCCAGTTGTGAAGTACCCCGGTAATGTAATGGGAGTTTTTCATCATGTGTCCCACCCAATGGACTTTTATGAAATGGAAAAAAAAAAAAGAGTATATACACTGCATATGAAGAGTGAAGAGAAAAAGTGGCAGATTATATCAAAAGTATAAAACCAATCAAATAGCTCGCCATGGCGTGATGAGACTTTTCATGGTCGTAAAGGTGTGATTGTAAAAATGGGAAGCGCAAATCTTTGAAAAAATGAATAGCTGCGCTTATTTGTTCTTCTTGGTCTTGAGGTCAGGGCCATAGGTCCTGTCATCAGCACCCTCGACCTCCATGACGGTCTCGTCGACGGCCTTGGACTCGGCATTCCACTTGTCCTCGGACATTTTGATGTCCTTTTCAAACATCCAGTCCTCAGGCATCCTGTAGGTGCCGCCCATGCGGTCAAAGGCAGTGAAGAACTGGCCGTAGTTGACCTCGAATCGCGAGTGGTGCAGCGAGTGGCAGGCGGCGCCGTTGACAATGGGGTTGTTGGTGAGGTACTCGCCGTCGTGGATCATGATGGTCCAGAAGTTGACAAAGACGAAGAGGAAGACGTAGGCCATCTTCTGCAGCGGGAAGACAAAGGGGAAGATGTGGTAGGGGATGGACTGGGCAAAGCCGTCGACGGGGTGGAAGGCGTGGCTGGCAAAGGGCGTGGGCATGATCCACTTGTGGTGAGGCTTGTGCAGCGTCTTGTAGACGGACGAGTGGTGCAGGCCGCGGTGAATCCAGTAGATGAGGAAGTCGGTGAAGACGATGAAGAGTGGGAACTGGAAGAAGTTGTACCACAGGCCGGGGCCTTGTTCGGTGACGTCGTAGAGCTTGCCGTAGCCGCGGACCTCGAGCAGGAAGAGCGGCGCCGTCATCATGGCGATGAAGGGCATGGACTGGTTGGCGTGGACAATCTCGAGCCAGATCTGGTTCTTGAGGAACTTGGGGTGGTTCATGATGCGCTTGTCGAAGATGAGGAAGAAGGACATGGAAGCAAAGATGAAGTAGACCATGATGCCGAAGAGCCTGGATGGACCATTGTTAGCCAGACTGCGTCTCTACTAGAGCAATTGTATACATGTCGAGGGGGGGAGCATTCCAACAGCTTCATGATGCACGTACCAAGTAATCAGAAAGAGAGTCGCTCCCTGGCGGTAGATGTTGTCTCGCGTCATGGAGCTCATGTACGCCGCCTGGCTAGGCTCGAGCTGGAAGTACTGCGTCGCAGGCTCGTAGGACCACGACGACAGGGCCGCGGCCGAAGCATTGGCAGAGGCATCGGGATAGTTGTAGAGCGCGGCCTTTAGCGGGAAGAGGTAGGCGTAGGCATAGTCGGCGATGAAGGTGTCGGTGACTTCGAGCACGACATCCATGGCGGGCGAGTTGTAGGGCGACACGCCTCGATTGAAGAGTCTTTTTCTATTCACAGACAATCGAGAAAGAAGGAAAGAAACAACAGAAGTGAATGTGTTGTTTTGCGCGGATTCAGAGACGGCGGGCTGGTCGCGACAGCGAGGAAGGGCCAATTTAAATGCTGGGTCTAGCAGTTCGGACTTTGGAACAATAAGAGAAAAAAAAAAGAAAAACCGGGGCACAGAGTCAGGGGTTCTGCGTGGATGGATGGCTGCTGCGTTCGCCCGATTGGGGTTTGGCGCAGCGAAAAAGCGCAAAGGGGGATCAGATAAAGAGGGGAAGAGGCGATCAGTTCTTTTGTCGACGGCTTTGAGCTGTCAATTGGTGGGCGAGCCGGGGTTGAAGAAGAAACAGTGCTACTTGTATGTTATTCAACGCTGACGGCTTGTTCTGGTGATGCCGTCTTATATATCGATTGTTGATGGCAGATGCCTGGTTTTACAAACAGTGTAGGCCTGTTACTAGCTATCACCGATCTACTCCGTGCTCCCTCTTCGCATCTCTCAATACAGCTACTGCAGCAATTCTTCAACCAACGCATCTCGCCCGCCCCTTTCCACGGAGCGTCGACCACCCGGCGCCAGGATATGGTGTGATTTGGCCTCATAATCCCGAAGCTTCGTACGGCTCTCCGAATCAGATCCAGCAGCGAGCGGAGCCGAGCCAGAAAAGGTGGCCAGAGAGCGAGCTGGAAATGTCCTGATATCGCGGATGGTGCCTGAGCCGTGCCTTAGCTAAGCCGCCTGTTTTGCGGGGAGCCGAGCTGGGCAACGTATTCGCGGTCCACCGATACGAATACGCGAGATGCATGACATTTTTGATTTGGATCGCGCTGCGGCGATTGCGGCAATCCACTCGTGTGCTCCGTCGCAAGATTGGGATTGATTGGCAGCCAATTGCCAGCGTTCTGCGGTAGGGCAGCTTTGGTTCCCAGCAATTCGTTTGAGCCCGACGATTCCCACTCACACTGGCCGTCTGACCGCCAGATCGTGATCCGATAGGCTGTTTCGGCGCCATCAGGACGATTATCCATATTGAGGGTATATTGAGCGAGCACGTACTCGTATCTGCCAGCTACTCAGCTACTCAGCTTTGCCCACAATTTCACGCTTCTGCCGTGACCATCGTGCGTTGCTGCATCGCGAACTGATATTCCCAATCTAAACGTATGATGATAAGCCATCGAGGAGACGATGCTGCTCCTACAAGTATCTTTATTATACCATGCTACTGGTACCACTACTTATAGAGAGTGGCCATCTTTCGTCTTGCCATTTACACCAGCTCTCTCAGGCATACATGAGCAAATGTATAATAAGCGTTTCTTCTCAGATTCGGGCGATGAGTAGGTATGATGGTAGGATTGCCATGCATGCAGTGCCGCGTTGGGCATCACGGTATGAGACTTGTTCTAAGTGCTTCCGCATGGGGACATGACTGCAGACATCTCGAGAGGTACGAGCTGGTTTCAGACGACTTCTTCTCTTGCGTTTCTCAGTACAGAAGGGGACTTGTATTCCAAGACATGACTGGTCTATATAAACTGATGCTCAAGCAGGATGTATTCATGATGTGCCTGGTGATGGATTTACCTATGAAACATAGAGTACCCGGTGCTTCACAATGAGATGGCGTATGGCAAATGCTGTGGGTTAACCGCGATTCAATCTACAAATCCGAGCCGTGTCCGATCCGCCATCGCCGAAAGCCCGGATCGCGATACCGTCTCCATTCTCGTAGTAAACGCAAGTGGGCTCGGCATGAGCACGGAACGAAGCCGGGATTTGCTAGCAGACTCTGATTCCGCGGAGCAACATGCCCTCAGCCATTTAATCTTCACTCGCCTCTATCCAGCACCGCAGCTGTGCCCAGGCCATGTGCAGGTAGCGTCGCCTGGGATTAATTGCGGGTAGATACCCGGCCCTAGCCTTGAGCTGAGGTTTGCCGGGTAGCAGCGATAGCGTGTGCTGGGGTTCGGAGGTTTGGTTGACTGAGCGATATGGGGGTCTTGGAGATGTGCTGCTCCGCCTAATTGATATGACGCAGCTCATATGATCGCATAGATACGCCATCTTTACGCTGACAATTGATGATTGTGTCTTGGTCTTATTAGACTCATTCGTACAATACCTTTTAAAGTATCAAGTAGCATTATCTGTGTATTCATTCATAGAGCAAGGCTTGCGTGAAAGTCCAGGTGAAAGCAGGCATATCCGGCCAAATGTTTCTTCTCTAGGGTAGCCAAATCGCCATACCGCGCCTCAATTGCAATGAGGCTCCTCATTGTGTGGATCGTACATATGGAGTATGGAGTACAAACGGCGTTCATACTTGGCAACTTTCAATTTATGGACCCAGCTTTACTGCGAGGGCTAGGGTTTTGCAACAATTCCACGTCAATACGTTTGCGCTCAAGACGTGCAACCGCACCGAACATTGCACACATGCCGCTGACCTACTGCATGGAAGGATCATGGACATTCCTGACGAGAATAAAGTGCATGTCGTGATTAGTATTTCTGCATGCAACGTTGGGGCCGAGGTGGATGCTGCAAGCTCCTCTCTCACCTTGGGCACATATGAGCTGAAACACACAGTAACAGAACAAACATGTTTGACCATTGATGGCTGTTTGGCGCTACTCACCAAAGAGCCGCCGTCTACCCCAAAGCAGAATCTATCCCGCTTCTAATAATACCACCCTGCGCTGAGCTAGTAGTAGTACGAATAGTAGAGCTGCTATCAGCCATGAGCCCGATGCTGGCCCGTGGACAAGGTGAGAGCTTCCAAGACACACCTGACGCCTGTTACATCGCAGGATCACTAGCCGGCACCGCGCACCTCCCTCACGGCCAGCGGGCGGATGGGCCAATCCTACCGGCGGTGCTAGATTGATTACATATATTGCTACCCAACAATTGGCAAACGAGCAGATCGATCATGGGGGCCGCAGAGGCATGTAGCACTCCCTTGCCGCACATACACAAACTGAGAGATGTGGAAAGCTGCAGAGACAAAATGGGAGAAGCCGGAAGGTGGCGTAAAAATCCATCAAGCAGAGCAGGGGATGTTTTGTTTCCCCGTTGGTACCCACGTCTGCCAAAGGAGACAGAGAAAGTGGAGATTTGGACGGAAAAAAAAAGAGAAATAGAGAGCCTGGGCAAAACAAACGAGGCTGCCAAGAGTTTTGCCTCAGCCTCATGTGGCTGCAGCCGGCCCGGGGAACAAGCCGCGCGAGACAAAGGACATGGCAAAACGGTTTGACGCAAACGGGCCATTTAACAAACAGCAACGCAATAAGAAATACAAGACTTTTTCTGTCATGTAGTTTTAAGTGGCTTCTTGATCGTTGAGGCTTTTTGTAAACTGAAGCCATCGCCAAAGTGCCACAGTTGCGCCACTGCCCGGCCAGCCCAATTTCTGTGATTCAGAGTTTTTGATGCATCAAGTGTGCATCGCAGGAATAGCGCTCACCGACCGGCGTCATCGTCTGCCCATCCTTTTGCCTTGGCTTGGCATCATTGGCTTGCATTAAGCCCGGGTAGTGACATGGCGCGCGCCTCTTTTTGGCTGCCAGCCGCCGGATATCGGGCCAAGCCTGGGTGTGGCCCCGTGGCAGGAAAAATGCTGCGATGCGATTAAATCATGCATGTTTGTCTGTCTGTATTGGAAAAGCATCCATGATGCGTCTTGATGCGAACATGTACCGTGCTTGTACAGGCAGCATTCACGGCACGCGTGCCAAGCACGACGTCAGCGACCGCCCGGCCTAAGCCGCAAGTGGCAGCCTCCAGAACGGTACCTGGGCTGGTACTCCGGCCGATATCATGGGGAACTCGATATGGCCTGGCCTGGCCTGGGCTGTGGCTGGTGTTAGGCTCGCCGCGTCCAGCAGGTTGAGAGGCCCCCGCTCCCTAAAAGGCGCCCCCTTGCCTGCCTAAAACTCCCCTAGTGGATCCCCGCTGGTGGTCCCGACGAAGGGTCCCCACTGGATGCGGTGCCAGGGCCCACTCCTACAACTCCAACCACTGCGGAACCATCCATCAGAGCTAAGCTGCGCAACCCCACCGTGCCGGGCTGGGCCTCTGCACGCCCTGGCCCTGCTGCTGGCTGGGGGGAGAAGAATAGCGGGCGGCGGATTCTGAGCGTGTTAGGGGGGGCAAGCAGAGATGGATAGAGGGAGCACAGGCGGGAGATGGTTTGATAGGACGAGATGGGAGATGGGATGGCATGGAGGGGTGCAGGGTGATGGCAAGAGGCGCTTATTTACAAACGCCTTGTACCCGTTGCATGCCGTGCCACAGCCGCGTATGAGTGAGTGGGCTTTAGTAATATGCACATATTTGCAGAGAATCAGCCAGTAACTTGAGTTGTTTTTCCTCTTTTTACTTTGAATTGCTGCTGCGTGGCGTGTATGCTTGCGCGACATGATGCTGAGAATGGCATCTAGGCGCTTGTTCTTCAGCCTCAGTTCCCGTTTCAAAGCGCCACGCGCCAGACCGCGCTCTCCAGCCACGCGCAGCTAGCAGCAACTCTAGAAGTTGAGAGGACGACACCCTCTTCCGATGCCACGCTGATGGCTGCTTTTCCCAAGTGCTAGCGCCGTGGAAGGTAAAGAATGTGTCATCCGCAGTGCTTTCCTGAATCTCCTTGCATGTGCATGTGTACGCGGATGTGTGTACAGGCACGGGTGTATACGATACAATGCGTGCAGGTACTGTGTAGTGCTGTGTCATTATATTGCTGGTGTTGGTGCTGCATGTGCATGTGCAAGAGTGTGTAACCCCTATATAAGAGGTCGGCCATGTGAATTGTGATGCATCCAAGGCTTCTCTGTGCTGCCTCAAAACCCTCCTAGTCTGCCTGTCTGCCTGCCTGTCTCGGGCGTCCCACGTCTGCTGCAAGCCACATCTCGCCCCTAAACCAAAATCCTCAGCATATACAAGCAAAAACAGCAAAAAACGAATAGTCACGCAGCTATCAGCGTGGCCTAAGCTTTTTTTTCTTTTTCCTTCGCTGTCGTTTCCATCCTTCTGCCCACGCCCCTCCCCAAGGCCCCAGTCGCAGCCAGGCCAGCGGGTCTGCGCTACCGGTACGAAAAAAGCACCCACCCTCTCTCAGGGTACATGCAGGCCCTGTCGCCTGTACATGTGGGCTGCGCACGGAGCACGCTCGCCGACCCGCCAGCGGCGTGGAGCCTGTACTTGGGCTGCATGTACAACGAGGCGCCCCCCCCTTGGCCCTTGGCGGAACCAGCACCAGAACCAGAGCTGGGCTTCTGCTTCTCGCTTCAGGTGCTCCACCGAGTTACCTTATTCCCCCAGCCGCGACGGCCTGTCGTACCTCACAGCGTTCCTCTTCTTTCGCCTTTTTCGCCTTTTCTCTCTCTCTTCCTCCTCTGCCGCTCCGCTTCGACGCAAAACTCCACGCTTCGAATCGAATCACGCCCGTCGCTGCGAGTGGACACGCGATCGCGGCCGCAGAGCCCTTCAGTGCCATCCCTGATTTTCATCACCGCCTGAGCCGCTCTCAGCCTCAGCCTCACCCGCCGTCAAGCGACAAGTTTCTTGTCCTTGATTGTGTTTTTTTTTTGCTCTTGTCGCGAAGTCGTGCTGTGGCCAAAATCAGCGGCCTCAATAGGGCCTGGTTGAGCAACTCGGCATTCCGGGTGTCCCGCCTGCTGATCTCCGGATCGAGGCGACAAGCTGGCCTCAAACCGCCTCTGAATTCTTTTTTCCTCCATCACCACCATCGCCACTTTCTCCAACGTCGGATCGAGTCGAATCGATTGTCGCGCCGCGCCGCCTCCGCCATCTCCGTCTTGAATCCCACAGTCGCCAACACCATCACCAACCATGTCCATGTACTCGCATCGCGGCATGGGGGCTGTGCCTCCCGGCAATGCTCGCCTGAACGAGCTTCTCGAGCAGATTAGAGCCGAGTTCGACAGCCAACAGCGTCAGACCGAGAGCTTTGAACATCAGAGTACGCCTCCCTTGCAAATACTGTCCATACCGACAACTATTGCGCGCGTTTGATTGGGTGGGAATGTTTTTGAGCAAAGAGCAGAAAATTTCGATGTTTTTTCTCATTTCTAAAAACAATCAAAAGGCATTGCAGTTTGAAGCAAAAAGTATCATGAGCTAACCTCTCTTCTTCGATTTATAGTCTCGGCGCAAGTCAGTGAAATGCAGCTGGTACGTGAAAAGGTCTATGCCATGGAGCAAACGCATATGACGCTCAAGCAAAAGTAAGCTTCTCCTCCTACAGCCCGCACGCCTCACATGTCGCTAACCGCATCTCAACTCTCCAGATATGAGGAGGAAATCAACATGCTGCGGCACCAGCTCGAACTTGCTCGCAAGGGAGCTCCGCAGTCTGGTCTGCAAGGGCCTCCTCAACACGCAGGGCCGTCTCAGCAACCCCCATCGATTGCTCCTGGAAACGGCCTCTTCAGCGGCATCATGGCCGGCGGCAACCAAGGAGGTCTGGCGCCGCCGCAGCCTCAGGCCACTCCCCAGGATCAGCAGATGGGCCCTCACCACCACCAGATGGCTCAGGGACCCCCAGGACTGCCAGTGCCGCCTCCCCACCCCAACGCGCAACAGCAGCAGCAGCAGCAGCCTCCTCCTCAGCAGCAGCCCCCGTACCAGCAGCAGGCCTATCCCCAGGGCCCCGGCCCCGTCGTGTCCAACGGCATGGGCCCTCAGCCGCCGCAGAGCACCGCGTCGCCCGGCCCAGGTCGCCGAGCCATCAACCGCCCGCCAAACGCCGTCGGGCCTGCGACCCCCCAGATCAACACCCCCGTGCCGTATCCCAACAATGCTCAGTCTCCGCAAGTGAGCCACCCGACGCCTGACCACGCTCGCATGGGTCCCCGCGCCCCTCCCCCTCCCATCAGCAACGCGCTGGGCGACCTCGAGGTTGATGCCGTTGCGCCTCACAATAAGAAGACGGGCAACGACTGGTATGCCATCTTCAACCCGCAGGTGCAGCGCGTCCTGGATGTCGACCTGGTCCACTCTCTCACCCACGAGAGCGTCGTTTGCTGTGTTCGCTTCAGCCACGACGGCAAGTATGTCGCCACCGGCTGCAACAAGTCGGCCCAGATTTTCGATGTCCAGACTGGTGAGAAGGTGTGTGTCTTGGAGGACCACAGCGCTACCGACATGGCTGCCGATCTCTACATTCGAAGCGTCTGCTTCAGCCCTGATGGCCGCTACCTGGCCACCGGTGCCGAAGACAAGCTGATCCGAGTAAGTTGATTAATGATGTAATCTAATGGCGGCACATTGTTGTCACTCATTCTCCCCAGTTCGCAAGCTGACCATTGGCGCTACAGGTGTGGGATATTGCTACCCGAACCATCCGCAACCACTTCTCGGGTCACGAACAGGACATCTACTCGCTCGACTTTGCGCGCGACGGCCGCACCATTGCCTCTGGCAGTGGCGACAGAACGGTCCGTCTCTGGGATATTGAGCAGGGCACCAACACCCTCACCCTCACCATCGAGGACGGCGTTACGACTGTTGCCATTTCCCCCGACACGCAGTTTGTTGCGGCCGGCTCTTTGGACAAGAGCGTTCGCGTCTGGGACATCATGACAGGCTACCTGGTCGAGCGGTTGGAAGGACCCGATGGACACAAGGACTCTGTTTACTCCGTCGCTTTCTCGCCCAACGGCAAAGACTTGGTCAGCGGCAGTCTGGATCGAACGATTAAGATGTGGGAGCTTAGCTCGCCCCGCGGCCCGCAGAACTCTGGCGCCAAGGGCAAGTGTGTCAAGACATTCGAAGGCCACCGAGACTTTGTCCTGTCCGTCGCCCTGACCCCGGACGCCAACTGGGTCTTGTCCGGATCCAAGGACCGCGGCGTCCAGTTCTGGGACCCCCGGACGGGAACTACCCAGCTAATGCTTCAGGGACATAAAAACTCTGTCATCTCAGTTGCCCCCAGCCCACAGGGCGGCTACTTTGCCACTGGCTCAGGAGACATGAAGGCTCGTATCTGGTCGTATCGTCCATACTAGACAGGAGTGGCAGGACACCAGCCCCGAGGTAGAGGAGCGCAGCTTACTGGATCCAGAGGGGTGCGGCAAACTCGAGGTAAAGAAGTGCAGCAAACTCAAGACAGAGGAAATCGGCGAAGAAGATGATGAAGCGTCGGCCAAGGAATCCTTGACAGAGTTTGACAAAAAAGCCTATGGAGACCCCTTGAATCAAAGAGTCATATGACCGAGGCTGAGGATAAGAAAACGGCTTCAGTGGAGAAGCTCGAGACACGGAAGCGAAAGAAGATGGGGTTTTGGAAAGGGAAAACGTAGGAAAACAAAGATATATTCCCCCGACCCAAGTCCAGTTCTTCCTTATTTTTTGTTATTACAAGTTTGGAATATGTGTTTATGAGGGAAGATTATGCGGGGGAGTGGTTCTTTTTATCTTGAACTTTAAAGAGGGCTGGCGCATAGGCGGGAAAGCACAGCCTTATTTAAAACAATTGTACGGTATGAGGGTGGGGAGGGCTAAGGAGATGGGTTCTATTTACTTATTAATTCGGCCTTGCTTTTGCTCTTGAACTTTTTGTGTATCTCCCTTTTTTTGATATGAAAATTACTCAGATTATCTCTGCACTGCCAAGTCGGGAATACAGTAACATGTAATTTTGAATTGGTATTGATGGTTCTATGCTAGTAGGTATGAAATTGATGCTGTAAATGAATAGGGTATAATATGATGAAATTGTGACTTGATGTTTTATGCCAGAGAGCCAAAGAGGCTGGATAGTGCGTCTCCTTTGCCTTTTTTCTTTTTCTTTTTTTCTTTTGATATTGATGATGATGACGTGTTGGCTTCGCGGTCGATTTTACTGCCTTGCTGCTGCTGCTCACTTGATACAGTACCTTCTATTGAAGTTGCTGAAGGGGTAGCCTTTGTCAAAGGCAGTTCCTGGCGAGCTATTGCCACGCCCTTGTCTTGGTTTGTGAGGTCATTGGAGCGATTGGTTTTTGGTTGCGGCTTGGTGCTGGAAGTGTCGACTGAGAGGGGAGAGAGGGCGGTGTGAATGCGGGCGAGAATGGCGAGGAGGAGGAGGCCTAGGGGGGCGTGTTGGTTGTCGGCGGCGAGTTGGGAGAATGCCCTGTGTTGTATGAGATTGGTAAGTTTCTTTATGTTTGCACTGAGAAGTAAGATGGGTAGAATGTGAACATACACGTATGCCCTGGGAATAAAGTGCTTGTTGAGCCAGATTGCACGAGGAGGGACAGCTTCGCGACGAGGACCCGGGCGTGAGGAGAGCGACGTGGGAGGCGAGAGATCGTCAATGAGGTTGCGGATTGTGCGGCGCAGGGAGCGGAAGACGGGCCACCAGTGGGCGAGGCGGTGCTGGTTGTGGTGGCGGTGGTTGAAGGCGTTGAGGATGGGGAGGAGGGGAGTGAAGGGGGCTGCGGTGAGTGGTGATGATGATGCCATGGTTGGTGGTTGATTGATGCCAAGATTGGGGTTGGATGGATGTTTTTTCGATAAGGCTGCATGTGTGATAAGAGGTGTTATCTGGTGGTGGATTAAGTGCGTAATGGTATTGAGCTAGCGGGACTGGGATTATAGGACTACTAGTAATCAGGGGATGCGATGTGAAGAGCTGGATGGGAAGAAGCTTTTAGACAATACGAGATTTTGAATAAGAGTTTGCGTGTTGTAATCGTGTAGTAAATGATAAACTACAACAAATTGAGTGCTTCATTCAAGCCTCTGGATCCTGCTACTGCTGGATTGATGATCTGATCTCCCTTGCAGGTCAGTTGATGTTAGTGCCAGGGCCGGCGCAGTTGCATTGCAGCGTAGTGGAGTTTTGCACCTCGTACCACGGCGCAGCCTCCCAGGTGGCTCTACAGCAATCTGCTTACTGGCGACAATACAGTTCCATGTCTACTCTACTCACCCCCACACTCATCTCTACCGCCATCGAAACCAAGAGATAAGCTGTGCCTTTATTCTCGCTGCGCTCCTCGGCATCGCGTCACTATCATGCAGCTGCTGCTTGTTAGCCTCGTCTCTCCAACTTGCCTGGTGTCGCATGGACCAAGTTCCAACCCGGCCACCTGACTCGGACAGCGGTGTTTTTTGTGTCTGTTTGCTTGTTTTTTTTGCCCATGTTGTGTCCTACCTTGGCTGGATCCCCTGCTGTTTAGCACTACCGGGGAATGGCTTGTGTCGCTTTTTTCTCTCTCTTTTCTTTTTTCCTATTAGCGCCGTGATTATGATGTTGCGCAGAGACGGAGGGGGTTGGCGCCACCCCTCACGGGCCATCTTGTTTTCGACGCTATAGATATCTCTTGGCTTGCTGCGATCTGCGCACCTGGGAATATCTTCCTTTTTCTTTTTCTTGTTTTCTTGTCTGCTGGTGCTGCTTTTGCGAGAAACTCACTGCCTCTTCTCTCTTCTCATACGCTAGACGTCTATCCTTACGAGGGACTGCGTTCTCTCCTGGACTTGCACGTGCCATTCAGCACATCGCCACCGCATAATTTCATCAACTGCCGCGTCTCAACCACCACCGCTCGGTTACTCGCGGGCACCAGGAATCGCTGAACGGCAGCCAAATGGCCCCGTCTTCGCGGAATCCGACGACATGGAACGAGTACGATGGCGTGGCTTCTCCCACTGGCAGCGTTTCTTCAAATCCCTTTGACGAGGAACGGGAGTTGCTCGATGATGACGATGGCGCACACCTAGCCGGTCGAAACATTGAGCGCAGACGGTAAGCTGACATGAACAAGAAGAGACTCTTCTCGAAAAAAAGGAGAATTCGCTTTGCTAACATATCGATTGCTTCCTCCAGGTCTTCCGTCACCGACCGTCTAGCCGCCATGGCTGACGTTGGCGGCGTCAACAGCTTCCGCTCTTTTGCCCGTAGCTGGCAGCGCGCGGCTGCTTTCCCAGAAGTCATTCCCCGTCGCCCGAGCTTCATCTTGGCTACGGACCAGCAATTGGCCGGCGACGCCGAGGATGCCGAGTATTCGCGGAGCTCTGACAGCCTCGACGCGGGCGGGCTTGGACGACGTTTGGATGGGTCGCCGCGCCTGGGCAGTTCGTTTGCTGGCTCGAGCAGCAATATTGCGAGTGCGCATTACAGAGAGCGGGAGGGCAAGCCGCTGGACGAGGAGATGGCGAGCGGTGCGCTGCCTGCTACCTTTTCGAGCCATTCTAGCGTCTTTGGGTCGTCTCCTTACTTGGCTACGGAGTCTATTATCGGTAGCTATGGCTCATATCGCAGCGGATATGGTACGATGGGCGGGCCGTCTCTCATTCGACACCGACCGTCTATTATTCGAATCAGCGGCCAAGCAGAGGATGAAAGTGGCGAAGAGGATAATGCTGCCTTTGGCGAGGAGCAGCCGATCTTGGTGAAGGAAGTCAAGCAGGGAAACAAGGTCGTTTTGACGGTTGACGGCCAGAGCACGCTGCCTCAGTCTGTCTTCAACTCGATCAATGCCATCATCGGCGTTGGGCTGCTGAGTTTGCCGCTGGCTTTCAAGATGAGCGGCTGGATTTTCGGTCTCATCATACTCACTTTGACGGCCGCCGTCACGGCGCATACGGCCAAGTTGCTGGCCAAGTGTATGGAATATGATGCTAGTCTCATCACATATTCTGATTTGGCATATGTTTCGTTTGGCACTAGAGCTCGTGTTATTGTGTCGTTTCTGTTTACGATAGAGCTCATTGCTGCGTGCGTTGCTCTCGTCATTCTGTTTTCCGATTCTCTTGCGCTCTTGCTTCCTGGTGTTGCGGGCGTTAATTTTTGGAAGTGTGTGTGTGCTGTTGTCACTCTTATTCTCAATGCTATGCCCTTGCGGTGGCTTAGCTATACCAGCGTGATTGGCATTTTCTCTACGTTTTGCAGTAAGTTTCAGGCGTCCTTCCCTTAGACTTGATTGATTTATACTAACGAAATCTGTTCTTATTGTTAGTCGTCTGCGTTGTAATTGCTGATGGTCTCGTCAAAACAGATGCTCCCGGCTCATTGTGGCAGCCTGCCACTACGCATTTGTTTCCTAAAAACTGGTTGGCGTTGCCTCTTGCGTATGGCTTGATGGCTAGTCCATGGGGAGCTCACTCTGTTTTTCCTTCTGTAAGACTACCAGACTATTGCTCCATTGTCATTGGAAGACGTTTGCTTGTTTCTGACACATTTGGAACAGATTTACCGAGACATGCGCCATCCTCACAAGTGGGGGCGGGGTGTTGCCATTACCTTTTCGTTTTCAGTATGTATTGTCTCCTGAATTCTCCTGGGAAGTAGACTTGCTAATGATATTCCGTAGTACGTCTTGGATACCTGCCTCGCCGTTATTGGCATCCTCATGTTTGGTGACGGCATCAGAGAGGCCATCACTTCCAACATCATCAGGAGCTCTGGCTTTCCCGAGGGTCTGACCATCTTCATGTGCATCTGTGTCACCATCATTCCGCTCACCAAGCTACCACTCAACGCTCGTCCCCTCATTACGACCGCCGATGTCCTCTGCGGCCTTCATCAGTCTCATCACCACCACCACCATTCTGCGGCTAATCCCGCAGATCGGCAATCTGATTTCATCAAATCATGTCTCAGGGCATTAGTTCGCGTCGTCGTCGTCCTCATTTTGCTTGGCATCTCCATCCTGTTCCCGGCGTTTGACTCTGTCTGTGCATTTCTCGGCGCTGCGCTCTGCTCTCTCATCTCCATCATCCTGCCTATTCTCTTTTATCTCAAGCTTTACGGAAAGGACGTTTCGATCAGGGAGCGTATTGTGTTGCTGTGCTTGTTGGCGTTGTTTTCGGTGCTGGGGCTTGTGGGTACTGTGTGGACGTTTTTGCCCAAGGATCTTATTGGCGTTTAGGGGGATATGAGGAGTATTTTGCATTTGGCATTTAGCATGGCATACAATATGAAGATCTCATACACTGTTGTACGATATCAAACATTAACAGATAAGCTAAGCACTGATATAATGCTTTGAGGTTACAGTGCTATCGTATACAAGTTTCGTTATTTTTGACACCAGATACACCGTCTTGATAATGGATAAACCGTCTCTATGACTAACTACATTTACCTATTGGACAAAACTGCGAAATGGAGATGAGCTGCTTCCAGCTTTGCTCTTATTAATGGAATAAAATACCCAGCCTCTGGCGAGCACTCAGCCTCATGCAAAGCTAATGCAGTGTTCAAAAGCACAGCAGAGTCCGCGGCAGTGCTGTGTAACGGATGGCAACGAATCCCAAGGTTGGCCGGCCTGGTCCTATTGGCATTCCGCCATTCCTGCGATTAGGTGATTAGGCTGACTCGGCTGCAGCATCGCCTCGTCTATCGCGTACTGGCATCCCATATTGGCTGCTCAATCAAGTAAATGACTCCAGCCTCTAAGCCTTGATGACAGCATGAAATTAGGCAACATGCCACTTGCACATGTCCTCATAACGCCATCTATGTAGGCGGAATTGGGACTTTGATTGGCAGCCTGACGATGTCTGGACTCTGCATAAATAGGACGCATGTAGCCGGTATCAGCAACTCTTAGCCAACTAATACTCTCGAGCTATCTGGTTATACATATTGCTTGCGGAAGTAGATTGGACAATTCGGCCAAAGAATCCGATGGAGAGCGATCCAAGAGCCAACAGCGAGGAAGCCACCGAGAAGCATGTTGTATACACCGTGCCTCGCAATCGCCCGATTACGGAAGCGAGCTTCAGAGCAAATGAGGATTATGCGTCGTTTTCTGATGAAAAAATAGCCCGGATGGTGGAAAGTCTGAAGCACGTAACCTCAAATGATTATCAGGTACGCATGCAGTCGCTTAGCCAGGCTTGCACTGATCTTGTACAATTGCTCATCGCTTTGGAATAGATCTTGATGGACAAAATCTTCCGGGGAGGGGATCAGGCATCCCAGGAACGCTTGATAAAAGAAACCTTAGCCAGACTGGGCAACCCCGGCATTTCAGAGTCAGAAATCCAAGGCCTTGCGTCTAGCTCGCGGCTCAAAATATCTCTCTGCAACGAGGAGTCAGACAATCGTCCCGGCATCGTTACCCAGATCCCACTCAGCGTGCGCCAGGGTGTCGAGTTTCGCGAAATTCTTGGAGTCTCTAGTGAAAAGAAGACGAATGGCCTCTCACCTACGCTCTCAGAACAGCACAGGCTGGAAGACACTGATATGAGAGACTCGGTTCCGAAGTCAATGGACCCCGTAGGCCTTTCTTCCGGGCCCTTTGTCTACAGACCCCTGAATCCGTTGGCAAGAGAGATACGTCTTCTGAGCCTCGCAAAACCGCTCAGCCCAGACGGTTTTTGCATCACTCTGAGACACTGTCGTCTCGACGAGGCGCCGCCGTTTATGGCCATATCGTACTACTGGGGCGACCCAACTCCTAGATGTGACGTTGTGTGTAACGGACAAGCGTTCAAAATCACGGGAAGCCTGGACTGTGCCCTCAAGCGCATCTTCATGTGGAGGCAGGATCTCGTCCTTTGGGCTGACGGCATATGTATCAACCAAAAGGACATCTCCGAGCGCGCTTCGCAAGTCATGCTCATGGGCGACATCTACAGCAAAGCTCAAGCTACCGCCGCCTATCTCGGCGAGAATCTCGCAAATGGCGACGAAAGCGACAATAGCCTAGAGACTGACCAGACGCCTTTCGCATTGATGCACCAGCTAAACGCTGTTTGGAGCGAAGATGCCGAACAAAAACACCAATTTCGCTCCAGCGATGAATGGATGCAGATGCAGATTCCCACGATGGAAAACCGGGAGCACAAGAAGATCTGGGCGTGTCTGATGCATCTCTGCTCGCAGCCCTGGTTTTCCCGTAGCTGGGTCTTGCAAGAGGTTGTTTTGGCCAAAGATGTGCTTGTTTTTTACGGATCTGCGGTTGACGACCTCCAGACATTAATCAAGTTCTGGAGCTTGGCAACCCGGCGAGAGCCTCCATCGGCGTTCAAGTATGGCCCTGTGGCGGAGTGGAAAGAGGGGGCTGTGAATAGGAACCAGCTTGGCATTTTTGGCATCATCCGTAACAACCTGAAAGAGGCGGCAGAGATGAAAACAACGCCATCAGCCCTGATTGCTTTGCACCAGCCGGGCGATTGCGGATTTTCACTGAGCAGAGGGCCAAGGTTTCACATACCCTTCTCAGTCGTCTGATAGAGAATCGCTCTGCAGATGCTACAGATGATAGAGACAAGGTGTATTCTCTCCTCTCTCTCGCAGAGGATGTGGAATATGTGGGAATACAGCCTGATTATTCCACAGACTGCACAGCTAGCAGCCTGTACTGTAGAGTTGCGGCTGCCTATATCAAGTCTACTTACGGTTTCCTGCTTTTGAATCATGCAGGCTTGCCCCAACGTGTCAACAATCTCCCGTCGTGGGTGCCAGACTGGTCCTCCAAAACTAGACAGCCATTGGATATCTCTCTGTACAGCTGCGCCATAGATACATCTCCAGAGATGAGCCTCGTAAACGACGGAATTCTCCGTGTCCGGGGCTCCATAGTTGATGCGGCATGCGTACTGACTCTGAAAGTCGAGTTGCAAGATTTCATTGATCCCCTGAGCACTAAATCTACGTGGAACAGGTCATGGTTCATCCAGGACGACCCGATCTTACCCAATCTCCCCTTCACTGCTGACCGCGATAGAGCCTTTGGTGCCATTGTTTCAGCCGCAGAGATTATGTCATTGAGTATGCTTCGCTCATATCCCAACGGTGAGAGCGTGCTCAACGCGGTGTGGAAGACACTCATCACCAACCGAGGTTGGATGAACAACAGCGATCCAGAAGGCGAGCGGTTCGCATACGAGGCATTCCGTGAATCCAGGCGTGATCCTTTCGATGACGAATGGTGGCCACCAAGGTCGCTGTCTGCTGCTGATAAGGAGAAGATATGGCCGTTTCAAGCCATGGTGCTCAAGGCGAACCAGGGACATCGCTTCGGTATCACGGCATGCGGATTCGTGGGGCTGTTTCCGAAGGAGTGTCAGATGAGCGATCTGATTGCTATCCTCCCGGGTGCTCGGACGCCTTTCGTGCTAAGACCCGACCCTTCAAGATCTTTGTTTACTCTGGTTGGAGACTGTTATGTGCACGGCATGATGAATGGGGAGTTTCTTTATCCGAGGAGGAGTGGCGAGCTTTGTGATGTAAATTGGCCGGAGCGGCAGTATCGCATTAAGCTGCACCCTTGGAATCCGATGTTTACTGAAAAGGTGAAACATCTGCTGAGGCAATATTTTGATCCTGATCGGCAGAAGTTTGCTACTGTAGGATATTTGGACTTTCATTGAGACGTGAGAGTCGGAGTTTGAGCCGGAGAGGATGTCTACAAGTAGCGATGTGTTATTTACTGGATACGTCGAGTCTTGTTGTGTAATATTTTCAAGTAAATTATATGAATAAGCCGTGAGGCTATTATGAGCTATTACGAGGCTACCTTACTTGGTCATCGGCGAGGAACTCTATCTTTGGCGTGGGAACCTTATCTTGAACCTTGTAAGCGATCTTGATGATCTGGCGTTGTTGGCGTTGTTGGACCCAACGTGGCTGAATATGGAGTTTTTTAGTCCTCTATTGCACCGGCCTTACAGGTCTTTTCCAGAAATAAATGACAGAACTGCTCCTGTAATTTCACACATATAGCCAGGTCACAAGTAGCGTTGGCCCTTATAGAAGCCTTTTAATAACGCTGTCACTAATACCAGGTATTCTTTTAACATTCTGCAATACGCATACATGTAAGTATCTCTCTTAACTGGTATACAAGGCATACTACGGAGGAAGAAAATCTCGCAAACAGCATCCTCATGATCGCCTGGGCAAGAAGAAAGAAAGAAAGACGGAAGCCTTTTCTTAAGAGAAAGTATATTTCATCCACCTCGTCTGTATCCGTATAGTGGCTTGACATTGTTTCATTTACACCATTTAAACTTTCAATTGCACCCTGCACAGCCACGCTGCGTTATCTTTTTCTTTCCATAATGCCCTTAAAAAACTTTAATCTCAAGTTATTCAGCGATCCCAATCACCTATATATTGGCGTTCCCATCCTAAAGAGGCTCCAATTATGCTCAACTTGGACTCGACGACCCCTATCAGACCTCTATCAGACCTCTATCAGACCACTTTCTTATTGTCTCGTCCTACGTTGTTATAACAATATGGGTATCTGGAAACAAATATTCAGATTTCTCCGTCCAATCCAATCTTCTTCTCCTCAGCCGGATCCTCCCGACCAACCAACTTCTCCTCACCTAGGCCGGCTTGAGATCCCCACAGAAATCATCCTAATGATTGCAAAACATCTTGACAAGCCTTCACTCATATGTTTTGCCTTGTCCTGTCAAACGCTCAAACGTTATTGTTTCCCCAAGTCTCTCGACCTGTCTTTCTCGGAAAAAAGCGAATTCCTGCTTCTTTTGGAAAAAGATGCAGCCAAATATTACTTTTGCCATCTTTGTGCCAAACTCCATCCATGGCATGCCTGCTGGTTTGAACATTCTCATCTCAGTATGGAATTCTACACCAAAGATATACACCACTGCAGAATGATAAACTGGTTCAACCTTTTTTCACTCTCCATTCCTTATCCCCTTGCTCGAGTTGTCATGAACCGGCATTTTTATGGCGCCGCCCATGGCGTCCATGTCGATAAACTAGCGTATCGCGGCAAATTGACAGATCCAAGCTGCGGCTGGACATCTTCTAGAGAGTGGGGAGCTCGAATTATCGACGATCAACTAATGTTATCATCGATCATGAGTTTGGGCCCTTTACGAGATTCTGAGGGACTGAGAGCGGTTATCGATACGGGATTAGCTTCTTTGTGTCAGCATATAACAGCCAAAGTATTGTTCCCTCTTCATCAGATTCCTACACAGGTTCTACTCGGCTCTCAGCCAGATCACGTCGCCCAACGTCTTCAATCCGTCAATTCCTGCCCTATATGCATGACAGACTATTGCATTGATGTTAATTGGCAGGAAACAGGTTGGACAATCGAGATTATCACATATCATATGCTAGGAGACATTCGATCGCCGTGGGATTGGACTTGGGTCGCCATGGCTTATTTGCCTTACAAGGCCCTCAAGGTACCCCGATTCAAACAGCCATCAGGAAATCAGCCGGGAATCGTGAAGCATATGTGGAGCAAATCAGATGATGATATATTTCAGCCCACGGGAGAATGGGTAACAGTAGATTGGCATCCTTTCTGGATGTGTATATTAGGGTGCTATTGAGAGAGTCAAAGTCAGGTGCGGCCTGAAGATGAAACTGCGCCAGCTCACTTTGCAACTGTGTTTTCTTTGAGAATTGTACTGGTCCCGGAGAAGAGACTTCTTGTATTCACAAATGCATTAAAATATTCTATAAAAGTAAGAGTATAGGTAATATAGAGAATGCTAAAGTTGTAAGTCGTAACATAGCTATATAATGTCACGCCTGCCTGACATCTGCACGAGGCAGGAGGTACCAAGTCCTCCGTCAGACAATATAGCTCATTGCGCTCCCATATTCTAGATAGAGAACAAGCCTTGTGATTTCACCTTTCGTGTCCCTACGTTTATTGTCATAGAGGCCACGCTCCGGGACCAGCTTTATCCTCCCACGCTCTTTGCTTGTCCCGAGACATGGTAGCAGTTGCTATGATACCACGATCGACTAAAGGACTACCGACGACCGACAGCACGCCTTGAAACCTCAGTCCTCGTGACCAACCTACGACCGTTTCACCTATGGAAACGGCCCTATCCCTGCTACGGACCCCCGAATCCGGCGAGGCTGAGAGCTTATACCTCCAACCACCCGCTGGTTGATCTCCAGCCTGATACTCCCCCTTTTCTGCGTGGTTTCACCATGGCTTCTGAGACCTTTTCTGTCTGGTTCCCAATTGTTTAGTCGATGATTGCGACCCTTTTTGACGCTGCTTCCTTCGTTCTGGCATACCTTGTGGTGATGAAGCCACGATATTTTCCAACAACAAACACTGAAGAGAAACTTGGCAAAATGGAGATGAAGCTGGGAAATATTGAGACAAACACGAATCATTTGGATATAGTCCAAGCCTCCCTCAAAGAGACTGGAAGAGTTTTAAAACTCATTCTTGAAAGATCTCCAACTCCTGGAGGATTTGAATGATTGCATCAAACTTTAATATCAATTGAGAATACCTAATCAGCATGAAATGGGGCAAGATATTCAGGTAATGAAGCAAGAAATGTAATTCTGCAGTCTGAGCATGCGTAATTTCTCATCCGACGTCAATCGATCAAAGAAGATAGTGTGAAAACCCGGGACCTACTGGCTTATTCGCCTTTACCAATCATCCGTGTAAGTCGCCCGTCGAAAGCCTCTCACGAGAAGAATTTGTTATTGAGCTTTATCTTCATACTGCTATTACTGCTATTACTGCTACTACTGCTACTACTGCTACTACTGCTACTACTGCTACTATCTACTATTACCTACCTCTCTCTTGTTATAGCTGGTGTCTTCGAGCACCGGGCTCTCTGGTGTTTATGTCCTGTTGTTTGTGTCGGTGATGATGCTGACGTGCTAGGAGGGCACGATTCCTTTCGGAGCTCTCGTGTTTATGAATCGGTGTTTCTTCATAAACTCTGGGAACCACGTTTGTCAGGCGCATGCCTGCGGTCCAAAGAGGATGCGAAGGGAAAAGAAATTGGCCTACGTTGGGGTTTGTAGTTTTCAATGTACCTATATAATAACTAATTACCTATTCAAATGTAGATTAACGATATGTACTGTGTAGAGCTACAGTTTATAAAGGACTCTTTTTCAGGAGATGATGGTTGAGTATGTAGCTTGTCTTTTTTTCATTTTGCCAAGCCAATCTCCACTAGATGTCGGTCTGAATTTTCCTAGCAATAAGAGATTTATCGTATTGTCAACTGACAGATAGCGTTAAAATGGCACTCGGGTATTAGTCTGTGTTCAATCCCAGTCTTAAATTACTCAACGGTATCAATATTATACAAGTTTCTCATAAGGTTGGTTGTACAAGTCCTCAGCGAATGTCAACTCAGAATCTTTCAAGTCTTTCAGCTCAAATCCCGATGGAATCCTCAATCTTTCCCCGTCTACATCTTCCCAAAGTTTACTCTGTTGAATCTGTATCCATACATGTCCAAGTTTATTGGCCTCCAATAGGGACTTGCTATCTTCACGATGGAAATTAGACGCCAAAAGCTCTTCAACTACGGCTATATGCCCTTTCATGGCAGCGATAATAATCGGCTTGATGGCGAAGTCGGCTCCTTCAATTCTCAGTAGCTGGCGAACAATTGCGATACGACCTCCCTCGGCCGCAATGGAAAGTGGCGTATGTCCATTTTTATCCGCTCCGTGAGGGTGGTACAATTTCCCAGAATCCAGGAGCTTTTGGACGTAGGTATCAAGGCCCAAGGCTGCTGCCCACCAGATGGCCGTCCTGTCCGACGTATCCGTATAATCTGCCCTGACTTTTGCGAAATTCAAGAGCTTGTCGAAGATACCCTCCTTTCTCAGTCTAATCGCGTGTATAAGAGGCGGAGAGTCAATTGTTTCTCCGTAAAGATGATTTGGATCCACTTTCTCACTCTTTAACAACACATCCACAATCTCTTCTTTGTCCTCTTGAATGGCCAAATGCAGAGCCGGTTTTTTTGTATCGTAAGCATTGGGAGATATAGAACTGCCCTCTCTCGTCAACTCCAAGACCGTGGCAGCATTCCCTGAAGTGATTGCCCAGCTCAAAGGCGTCATTCCCTCCTCGTCTTCATAGTCCAAGCCAGAAGACCCACTGAAACTTTTCAACATGTGTCTAATTATCGTTGCATGTCCTTGTTTTGCGGCGAAATGAATGGCTAGTTTCCGGTTTCGGTCATCATTGTTTCTGTTGCACAGAGAAGCCCCCAAGTCCATCAATGTGCTTGCTGTATTGATGTCACCAAGTTCTGCCGCATAGGACAATGCTGTTCGCCCGTTGTCATCTTCTTGATCAATTGAAGCTCCATGCTCCACCAGGCTGTTGGTTACCATAAACCATCCCTTTTCAGATGTAGCAATCATGGTCTTGAAAAGGAAATGGTCAGTCAATTGTATTGACCCTTGCAAAGTTGATGATTGCAAAAAGTAAAGTAAAGAGCTCAAATCCGATCTCTCGAGGGCCTGTTCGGGACTGCTAGCAACTTCTTTTGAGCTTGTATATTTCTTCAACTGCTCCAGATAACGTTCTTCTAAGTCGGGTAGTGACTGTTTGCGGCGGATGCTCCACAAAGCAGCTTCTCCATAGCAGATGAGCGTGTCAGCCAGGCTGAGTGATTGGCCGGTTCGAGCTTGGGTATCTGGTACATTGCCAACGTCATGCCAGACCAGCGGAATATTCTTGATGGTCTCGTCTTCAGAGTATCTTTCTACTAACTGAAGAATTCCTTGTACGTCACCAATCGTTGATGTTTCATAATCTCGTAAAAGTATTTGACGGTACGCTTCACAAGTTTCGATAAAAGACAGTCTAAAGTCATTGATTGCATTCAATCTCTTGGTCGGGTCTTGTTGATTGTATGCTGCAACTAGACTCATTTTTGAACGGCGCAACACCCAGGCCATAAGCTCCCGAAATAGCCTCCAATTCCCCTGCTGAAAATGCTTGTACGCTATCTCACTAGCTCCAGACACAATCTCATTAGGGACTGGCAATTTATCCTGGCATTTTAGGATTGGAATGATACAGGCAAAGGCATCTCCTGCATTGCACAGGCCATTTCGAATGAGAGTGGCTTGGATGCTTTGTATAGTTTGGTTGCGGACGGTGAGCTTGTCTTTGTGTTCCTCGAGATGTGTGTCTCCTCCAATATCTTTCACAGCGTGCATGACTGCCGAGAAGAATGATGAATACATTTCCAGGGCACAGTTACCCAGTAACGAGTTGGGCGAGTCTGTATAAAGAATCTGGAGCTCGTTATATGGCGGACTTTGCTCCAACCAATACCACCCAAAGAATCGACGTCGCAAGTGGGAATAAAGTGGTGGGCCCCATTCACCTGTAACATACGCCTCCTGCCACGTACTCTCTCCTCCTCTCCACCACAGTGCGTTTTGTACGTCTGGGCGTTTCATGGTATCTCGTAGAGGATATCTGATATTATTGAATTTGAGCTCGTTGTTGGATTTGGATATATCAACAATTCCAGGATGCTGCACTTTCAACCGCGCCTGTCGTATCTCGACACTACCACTTTCTCGCCAGTCATTTAACTCGGCTGTTTCATCAGACATAACAGTGTCATTTTCCTTGATGAAGAGAATTCTGTTGATGCGCTGAAGTGTTTTCTCCTCATCTACATCCTCCAACACATCATTCCTCTTTCGCGTCTCTTTCAGCGACCACAGCCAGAGACCAAGTACAGCCTCTATCTCAGACCTGTTAACCCTCCACGGACCCCCAGGGACAGCATCTTCATTGATTGACCGTCTCAACGACATGTGTATAATACTCTCTTTATGGCGCTTCGTCGAGGGATCTATCAGCGAACACTGGATCGCCCAGAAGATGGAAAGGGCGTCTTCCCATGGCTTATGCAACACCACCGGCGAACTCCCTTCCGAAGAAAATAGGATACGCATCGTTTCTTCAATAGCGTCGGATAGTGCAAGAGAAATGCTTCGTACATTTACAAATTCTTCTCCCCAATAGCTGCTTAGTGTTGACTTTGGCCCTTCTATTCCCGTCATGCGGGAGAGACGGGCTCGGTATAAAAAGGCCTTGACAGTCGCACTCGGGTCCCTTTTGCATGGATCTTCTCCACAGACGCATTGATCTTTGCACTCTGAGCAATATTCCGCCGACATCCATTCAACAAGCTCACGATCCATTGCAGCGCGCTTTAGTGATATGAATCTATTATCGATTGACTGGATTCGAAACCCAGCGAGCACGGTTGATTGCTCATATTTGACTGAAAGTCGCTCCAGAATAGGTGAGCCCCTGCTGTTGTCCGCGCTAGTCGCATGAATTGTCTGGGGGATAGAACTTCTCGAGATAGAGTTGAATACCCTCCAGAGAGGGCGCTGTTGAACTTTTGTTGAAGATGGGGTTGACCGCTGTTGCCCCAGCTTCAATGCTAAATAATCCAGCTCGTGTCCCTCATAAAATTCGGGTACATCTGCCATAAAGTTATCCTCTGTTCTTAATCTCTGACTTCTAAGCCCCGCTCGAATAGCGCTCATAAAAATTGTCACACCCAGCTGCGCTATCGCAACTGAAGAATGAGCAGCTCTGAGGCCTAAAAACTGGCAGATAAATCCGATACATGTTGTTATTACCGCAGCCCAGATTAATACCATGGTGGATGGCCTATTTGTAGTGTCTTTCCAAGATGTGATATACTTCTGTAGCGACTGCTTAGAATCGGAATATGCAAAAGAGTCGAAGAACTGATCACCGATGCTCTGGTTTCCGGGCTGGACCCAGTACATGTTTGAAGGTGCATCGCCGGCAACCGGTGCAACTCGTTGGTAAATCTGTTCCTTCGTTTTACTCTCAATGAGATGCGCGCATTCTGCCATCCCAAGGCAAAGGAGAATTGTTCCAATAACAGTCAGAGGAACGGAGTATTGGTCTGAGAAAAGATTAGATCGAATGCGAGGAGAAGGGGATGAGACGTGGGAGGCCAGACTTACCTTCACGACCATTTCTCAGCCAGCGAAAATAGTACCTAGTCAAAGTTGCCCATACTAAGATGAATAGTTGTAAAATTACACCCAGAGTAGCAGCGGCAAGGAACCATAGCCTGTTGAGGGGTTTGATTCCGATATTGAGAGAAAGATTTGGGTTTGGAGCAAAAACGGTTTTTCTTTGTACTTGAATCAGTCCACTCTCATTCGAGCCTACTGATCTCCTTCTTGTGCTCGGGAACTTTTGTTCCAACGTCCATTCCTTCATTCCGCGCTTTGTTTTGATATACTTTGGAAACGAGTATATGCCGGCTGTAGCTTCGCTTCCATCAGAGGGATAAAATTCATCGCGATTAGTCTGAGTATCATGAACAATTTCGAGAAGTTTCGGACGTCCGAATACGCGAGCGATGCCTCCGTTACTGTATAGCTCACAGACATCGCGGCTGGTAGAAGAGCATAGTTCTGCTTCAGCTGTACCAGCTCCTTCTTGCGCTCTTCCCACAAAAGCCCGAAGTGACGGAGTCCCGCATACGCGAATGGCAGAGACCACAGCGGTGATGACTCCCAAAGGGGCGACAGCAAAAATGACAATATCTTCCACAGTCAGGCATTCGCTAAGATATTGCTTCGTCGCCGCCTCTCCAAAAAGAGCGATCAGAGGGGCAAGATCGGTCGCAAGGTTGTTCGAGAAGTCATCCCACCAGCTGTTGTCCATGCTGCTGTTTATGGTGTGGAGTTTATTGAAAGATTCTCTTATATTGAGTTAAATGTAACTGATGTTGTAAGCTGGTTTCTGTAAAGGTGAAAAGGAAGCTAGCTTTTATCCTTTCTATCCTGTTGGGCTTTTAGGTGCCGACATACAGCAAGCCATCGTTGCTGCATTAGCAGGGGTTTTCTTACAAACAATGTTACACACATATATGTTTGAACCAATAAGAACTGCAGGCAACTGCAGGGCAATATGCCTTGGAGCCCAAATTAGATTAACAATATTGTTAGGCATATATAGTGGTACATTGTATTCTACACGTCGACTCTATTCAATCATAATACTTTTCATCATAAAAGGCTTGCATAACTAGAAGAAATAGATCAACAATTGAGCTGTGACGTTCGAGGCAAGGCTACTCACTGCATGTCGTCGTATATATGAGCGGAAGTGAATAGTTTCCTGTTCACTAGAACAGCAAAGAATTCTCCTTCCAATACATGTTCAAAATATTACTCGCAAACACTATATATTGATAGCTTATGCATCTAATCATTGAGAATAATTGGAAGCTGACGTGGATCATTCACAGCCATTGGATACCAACCCAAGGGGGGCGAAGAACAATAGGGACCACAAAAGAAAACTATACACACAAGTTTAAAATACAAACACTATTTATTAAAGGGAAAGTTATCTAGCACCTTGGTTTTATTATTTAACACTAAACCTTGAATATAGCTTAATAGTAGCAGCAATAGTAGTAGCAGTAATAACAACCTAGTGCTGGATAACTTCGGTGTTATTGTAGTGTGTAAAGTTGAGAAATGTGCGCTGATGGATTTAAATCCCCTCTTTTCCTTCACACCCCTTGCTGCCATGCTACCTCGCTGTCACCGAACCGTCTTGCTATTGGCTCCATATCATGTATAAGGGTTGCATCGCCCCATAGCCGATAGCACCTCGCCCCCACGCTGGCCTTGCGAGAAAGATTAACTTTCATTGATCCTCGGCAGGAAAGTCTCCCAGCAGGGCTCGGTTGTTGATATAGAGATCCAAGTCAAATGTGGCCCGAATGACGAAATTTGGCTAGCTGTCCTTGCAGCTGTGTTTCTTTTGAGCATTATACTGGCCCCAAAGAAGAGCTATCAGATTCTTGTGTCCCGTTCTCAAGTCAACGAATAGAATAAAATATACCATAGAAACAACACAACTATAGAGTGTGAAAGCTATAAGTCGCAATGCACCTACAATTGGTATGTTGGGATGGGGTATTACAAGAAGAGTGATAGAGGATCAAGTGGGGCAAATGCGATCTTGTTGGTAGATAGAAGCTCAGGTCTTGCGAAAGGACCATATATGTATCTCTGTCCTTCTTTCATTCAGCTGGGGCTTTGCTTCTTTATATGTTGCGGCACAGCTTCTTTGTTTCTGTCATCTGACATAGTATCAAAATTCCAAAGTTAGGATTACACTGGTTATGTACACTTGATGATTTCCATAGGTGATGTTCAGTCTAGTATTTTAACAAACTAGCATCAACTGCCACAATTCTAGCCGAAGTAGTCGGATCTGAGATATTCCTCCCCGTGGAAACATAGAACGTATTGGTATCAAAAGTACCTCGTCCAAAGGCTAAACATGTTGAATCAGGCATTAAAGGATCAGCCGGCCCCCCAATTATACGCTTGCTTTTCCCGGTCCTAACATCGACATGAACGATTGCGTTTTCGGGGCTATTCGTGGCGAGAAGAATATTGCCCTGCGGATCAAATATAAAGTCATCAAGCCCAGGCGCCACAGATGAAATGTTTGCAACCAAAGATGGCTGAGCTCCCTTGATGAGATATCCATTGGAGTCAACCTTGACCTTGAAGATTGACTGAGTCGACGGATTCCCAAAGTACAGATAAGGCCCTTTCATCCGCATAGCGCTTACACCAATTGGTAGCTTTGCCCCCTCGGGCACAGTCATTTCGTCGAATGCAAAAGCCCTGGGATCGTAGTGGCCAGTTGAGAGATCTAAGCGGCCAATGGCTCCAACAAAAGAATCGGCGACAAGCACAGATCCAGGGGACTGTGGAATAGCAGTGACGCCGTTTGGAAATGCTGAAAATGGCGCGAGATCGCTAACTTTCTGAACAATGGGGTTGCCATCTCTAGGAAAGGTGATTCTAAAGCCTTTGAAAGAGCCAACAACTGTAGTGAAAGTCGTTAGGCTCGTAAAGTTGCCGCCAACGAAGAAGAAAGCTTCTTCGCCATATGATTCTGGCAATTCGGTTATGCCGAGGAGACTGTTGACTTCCGGAACAGAGGCGAGGATCTTGGCCGTGTTATGTGCATGCATAGATGGCTGCGATACTGTGAAAATATTTGACGAGTAGAAGAGGCTTGTGGCAAGAATATCACCATTACGGCGTACGGCAATGCTCTCCAACCAGGTCTTCTCAGGAAGTTGAGTTAGCACTCGTGATGCAGAAGTTGCAAATGGGTCAACAGGACCGCCTGTTGCCGAGCCACCAATGGCTATCATGAATGCGAAATATTTGAGAAACATGGTTCAGTCTGTAGTAGCTGTGCTGAGATGAGAAGTAGTTCACCAAAGAATGGCACAAGAATGCTGATGAGACTGCATGAAATATAGTGAGAAGATCCATGATGCACTTATACTTCTATAATCCTCTTGCGCCAGGTTTTTGGCCAGCTGTATACTTGCATTCCGGTAGATGACAAACTGGCTTGTAATGCTGATGAATTCTTACAGAGCAGCCATATGATGCCTAACAATGAAACCAGCGCCAGGATTCTTTATGTGGCAGTAGCGTCGACTCTGATATATCCAACGGCACATATTCTACCTGGTCTTCGTTTCGACAAGGGTTATCGACAAGGGTTATCGACAAGTGGCGGATGGCGGCCGCAATCGGCCGCTCCTTGCACTGGCGGCGTGTTTTAAGGCATTATTAACATGCTCTGCTTAAAGTATAAGTCGCTGGCTTCATTCAAGGGCTGCTCGTAAAAGTCTCATAAATGGCATGTTAGCTATGGCGTAGCTCACCTAGAGTACTGTAGTTATGCTAAGAGGCGTCATCTTCGGCACATGACTAGGAGCAATAGACAGAATAGTTGGTATTTCTCAGCAATCACGGAAAACATCAATAGCCGGTAATGGCTTTAACGCCGCTGCCAGAAAAATGTTGCTGCAATGCTCATTGCAATAGGGAGGTTGAAAGGCTGCATTCCAACACTTTTTCATCTTGCGTAATATTCTAGCCATTTAAGAAGCAAGGCTGTTTACCATATAGAGGCATAAAATCTTAATAAGACTGGCAATAATGCTACTCTAATAGGTACATGTACCTAAGTAGACTAAATAAACTTCGAAGCAACAAAGATTGTGCCCCCTAAAAGGAAAATATATCGCATGTTAAACAGTCCACTAAACGTAAAAAGAAACGCTTTCAGTGATCCAACGATTAACCCTGTGGCAAAGCCGGTAACCTGGTTGGCTACACTGACCTGAAGAGTCTTGCCAAGGGCCAGCGCATCTTCGGCCCCGCCAAGTGCTTTATCCAGCACCATCTCGGCTCCACCAACCGAGCCATTAAGGACATTTATACCACCATCCACCGTATTTCCAAAGGCGGCCTTCGTCTCACCAGTCGCGGTCTCAAAAACGCCGGTTAAGCTCATTATAGACTTGGTGGTATTGAGTCCGGCGAAGAAATCACTTATTTTTTACTTTAGCTGCCAAAAGTTCAAGGGAAGCTACTGTGTTTGTTATCGCTCACAAGTAACTTGAGGTAGGCAGTTGATTTGCCAGGGGACGATAAGATATTGATGCCAGAGATGTTTTATGCCGAGACATAATTGTTGAGTCCTTGATCAGTACAAGAGGTGCTCTTATAATATTCCGAAACTCTGACAAAAAAACTTCCATACTTACAACCATGCCTCCGGAAAAAGCTCAAACGCACATGCTGCAAATTATCACTACAAAGCAATTAATCAACCCAAACAGATGCAAACATTGCACGGAGCAAGAAGGGTAAACATATACATGCTCTTCTAGCTGTTGGATATCGAGAATAAGAGAAAGATTTTATTGTGCGCAACTCGTGGGGGGAAGATTTTGGAGACCGAGGCTACTTCTACATGCCATACAAATGGTTGGAACTCTGCTACGACTTTTGGACCATTCGAAATGTAAAGTTCTGGGATCACTGAACTTGTAGCTAGTTCAATACACTTTGTTTGCTTATTTTTATGGTGGAATATCATATCTATATTAATCATGAAGTGTATGTCAATTGGCCAAGCCTATTTTACGTCGACAAGCTGGGCGTAAACCTCCTACTTATGCCCGGTGTAGCAGTGAGACCAAAACTCTGTACGCCAGAATACATGTACCGGTTATTCCTAAACCCGTGCCACTATTTTCTATTAATAGGTCAATCTTCAAAGTCGAGGAGCAAGGGCAGAAGTTGTTTCATTTGCAATTGTACGCAAACACTTGAAGAATACCTTGACCGTATTGGACACCGATTGGGCAAGCGCGCTTGCATCCACGACCTACCAGTCTCTCGTAACAGCACCTTGAATATTTTCGGTTCTTCACTCACAGTCATTGTTCCAATTGCGCTGATGGCCTAATCTCTATCTTAATTGGCGTAACGGTACCGAAAACCGCCACAGCCAATAAGTCTTCTATGCATTTGAAGGCTCATTTGCCGGATGTGTCTTTGTGCCTCTAGCCAAACGAGCCTTCGACACCGGCAATCTGTGGACCAAACATTTAGGTAGGTCAGACAAATATGTGAGACACGAGTAATTTTACAAGCACTCTCGGTCATGGAAACACGCATGGCTGCCCAAGCATTGCCAATAACGGTTAGGTTCCATAAAAAGTGACCAACTAGATTTTGGTTCGGTGAGCAATGCTATCCGGCCTGACTTCGTCATCCTCGCATGGATGATGCATGAAATGAGGCTCCATGCAGCCAATAGGGTATCCGTGTTGTATTAAAGCACACTACAGTATGACTCTATAATGTGTCTACTTATCCAATCATCTAGGGTTGCATAGAATGTGACTTAAATTAAACTGTCGTCCTGCAGTGATGTTCTAGACCGCCATTCACTCCCGTCTGCCAAACAGAATCAGGCTCTGTACTGCAAGACACGTCGGTGATGATACACACGAGGACACATAATCAGTGTGGCCTATTCAAATGACTATTTGCGAACTTTCTTGCAAGAATATGCCTGTAATGAAACAAGCCACTTATTCAAACGCTGATGACTCTTCATATAATTCGGTATCAAATCATCACAAATATTAGTATGTTCATGACTTTCCTACGTCTTTCATGACCTTCTATATGGAACATAGATAATACAGATTATTTAAATATTAACTACCGCATATATGAGAAGATTGTGATATATTATCTCACATTTTTCACTTCCTCTCTGTCACCAAGATTGGTAGAAAGCTATACCTTGCATTCCCTCCTGTACTGCCGCCCCGCATAGCTTCAACGTGGTGATGCTTCTCTGGCTGGGAAAAAAACAACAGTTGGCACTATAACAGCCACACCGTCTATCTAATTACTTTGAATACACACGTCATGTTTTGTCACATCTCTATGGCCCTATCTTCTGCTGCCACGCTGTGTCGGTTTTGAAAGCTGTATCCCTCACCTCTAATCTCACGCTGCATGGTCATCACACGCAAGACAACGTGGCTCTGCAATAGAGCCACGTCGTATTTCTTAGGTAGCAGGGCATATTCTTGGGCATTAAGCCTTGAGGAGTGGAACTGCAGGTGCAAAGCATGTGGTGAAGCTCTTAAGATAGATCAAAGGAAAATCGAAAATCTCACTTGGTACTTCTCATGAAAGCATGTCATTCTCTTAAATACGTCCAACTTCCTTTTCAAGTACTAACCGCAAGCTCAAATTCATCGACTTTAAAATCTCAGCATTCAATTTGCTTCTCTTTCTCACTTTTCAGCTCAAAAGAGTCAGTGCAATAGCCATCCAACTCTTCTGTTTCTCACAGCCTTCAAAATGAGTCTCTTTGGTGTTCTTGAGAAAGCTATCGGCGCCACCGAGGCCGTTGTCTGCAAGACCATGGATGGCGGCCTTCTTGGCACCGTCGTAACTGAGACCGGCGGCGTCCTGGGGAAGACTGTGAGCGGTGCCGAGAATGCCTTAGTAGCGGCGGCTGGGGCATTGGGCCCTGTAGGCGCTGCCGGACAACCATCCTCGCCCGCGGCAACGCCTTTTTCACCAAGCCAGGCTCCAAATGCGCATACAATGCATCCTCATGTCTCCGGCTACTATCCGCCTCAGATGATGCCCAGCCACTATCCGCCTCAAATGATGTCCGGCCCTCAGCCAATGATGCAAGGTCACGGCCAGTACATGCATCAAGGTTTCCCTCCTCAGCAATATATCAACATGGGCAGTCCTTCACAGATGCCAAACCCAGGACCATATGCGGGTAGCCAGGGATGGCCAAATACAAACTGGGGTGGAATGCAAGGAAGCCCGGCTCAGCCTGGATTCCCCATGCAGGGGAATATGGGGGCACCCCGCCAGTAAAATAGCAAATATGTCATGAAGCGCCTAGAGCTTTGAGGAAACGGCTTACTTATGGCTGGGGATATTCTTTTGTTTTCTTGGTTCACAGAATAAACGCTCCTTTTGTCTGAAGCATAAGTATAGTAAAAAAGGTCTCCAGTGTTCAATCAATATAACCAATGAAATGTTAGCTATGTGCCTTTTAACATCCACCCCGGTTTAAACGCCCGACTTGTTAATTCCCATATCTTGATAAATATTCAACTACTTCAACCTTAAAATAGGAGAAACGGCCTTTTTGGAATTGCGAGGATGGCATGGGTGATTGATTGGCTTGAATACTTATACATGTTGAGTTTTCAGCTACAATGAAGGTCACGTTAATCGGGGACTTTGATATGAATATGAGACATTCTGCTATGGCAAAGCTAGACGCCACCTCCTAGGGAAACAGCGTGATCGTTCATTGCGAACGAAGACGCGACCATTAACCTGATATCGTCCGACCTATTCTTGACAATATCTGCCTCACTGGGCATTCGTCAAGCCCTCAGTTGCCCCAAGTGTGGTGGGTGCCGACAGGCAAGCTGACAAAGTTCCCGCTCCATGCAGCTGGTTACCATGAGAACCAAGAGGATAGCTGTGATACAGCACTGAATATGGTCGTCTCATCATATGCGTCGTCGATTAAAGCCATTCTACACGGCCGTCGGCAGCAGCATCAAGAACCGACTGGACCGAAATCGCCACGTCTTGTGGCCGTGGCCATGGATGAAACAAAAGGCCACAGTCCTCTCCGGCATGCATGCAGCGAGGTAGAGGAAGTCACAGTTGCCTTGGGATTGAAACAGTCATCAGACAACCGGCCTCGGCGTTGTAAAGAAAGCATATTGTCAGCTATACAGATTTGCCAGATTTTCTATTTCGCCGGCCACGGGGCTACAAATGCCATAGAACCACTCCAAAGCTAACTGCTGCTCGAAGACTGGAAAGAACAGCCGCTGACTGTACAAAGCCTGCTAGAAGCTAATCTCGATGGCCATGCGCCATTTCTTGCGTATCTCTCTGCATGCGGCACGGGCCAGCTACGGAATGAAGAATCCATGAATGAGAGCATTCACCTAGCAAACGCTTGTCAGCTTGCTGGCTTTCAGCATGTTATTGGCACTCTCTGGACTGTGGAGGATGAGATTTGTGTAAGCATGGCGTCCATGGTGTATAAGTTCCTGCGGGACCAAGAATTTCGAGATGAATCCGTCAGTCGAGGAATTCATCATGCTACTATGGCGCTACGAGAAAAGTGGCTTGATAGTTCATGTGGCGTGGATAGGCCCCTACAAGATAATAGAGGAAGCAGAGATGCTTAACTGGATGGCAGCTCTGAGCTGCAGCCTCTCTGGGTTCCTTATGTCCACCTTGGTCTGTGAGTCTGATCTTGAAAGCATTATGATCGATCTAGTCGATATTTGTGGAATGGTAATATAGCCGATAAGAATATGATATATTATAACTTCGGGTAGCAATATTTGAATGACGTCTAATTAATTGAACTCAAGTTTAAATTTAAGCCAATGGTTAATATTACTTTGTTATTTCCTTTAGCTATTGTTAGTTACATCCATCATCAGTCTGGCTTTATCTATCCCGGCTATATTTGACGGTTGCACGTGGTCTGATCCGCTCTCTGATCACAATCACTCCTCTACTATGTTAGACCATCTCGCACGCATAAAGACACAAATGCCCGACGGCCTAGCGGCTCTTCTAAGCACCATGTTATTACGAGAACCTTTCCATCGGTCTAGCGCTGAAGACGTTTTGGTGGATGCAGTTTGGGAGCAAATCACAGAGCCGGCCTTTGCTGACGCTTCTGATCGCCACAGCAGCGAGAAAAGCTCCAGCATATAGTAGCGAGACGAGAGCGACTTGCGTTTGTCTGGCTCAGGTAGGGGGGATGGCCAAGACAAGAGGCTGGGGCTTCTGATGCCAGACGCTCCACCCAGATTGTGAAGCTCGAACAGCGACACATCTGATGCTGATGATCTGACTCAGTGGATGCAGCGCTCAGATGCGCTGCCCCCTTCGTCCATAGCTGACGAAGACGCCAGTTCACCAACTGAAGTGCTTGGCCGGAATGATATAGGCGAGCAGATGAATCGTTCAGAGGCGTCACCCCCATCGTCGTCTACAAACAACAATAATTAGCAATGTAGGGTCTTTATATACCAATGTTTATATGTTTCTGTTGGAATAGACTAAAGGACCCCCTACATGAGCGCACGCTGTCTATCAGTTCCACACTACTCACAAAGCTGACCTATCCAGTATAGGTAAAGAACAACCGGTGATGACTCTTTTGGTAGATATGGTAGTTCATGAGTACGGTTCTTAGTAATAGAAAATAAAAGGGTTTGTTTACTGTTTATAAGTAACCTAACTACCTGCTACCTAATAGTAGAAATACTTTCTTATATAGCACTACAGTTATCGATTACCCAGTGAGGTCGATGGGCCTTGCTAGTTTATTTTCTGAGGTAGGTTCAAAATCCAAAAATCGTAGCAAAGCTTGAGGTAGGGGTATGGCATATAGAAATAACCTTTTTGACCAAACCTTTCGCTCCAGGAGTTGCGGACAATAATTACATTGTATTTGGGTTCGTCACGCTCGATGTAGCCAACTGCTAGGAGCGAATGCCTGGCCTCACCTCCTTGTAATTCGGGCACTTCCCATGCTATTTTCAGAATTAGTTGCTAAACAAAAAAGAATATGAATACTTCTGAGATTTTAACATACGTAATCCTTCCCCGGAATCGTTGATAGCGGAGCCTCTAAGCAAACCGTACGTTTTCATCCCGAATATAACTGGGTGTCCCTTAGAAAGACACTCTTTAAGCGGCTGAATATTCGTCTCAGTGGCATTTAGTCTGTGATATGACGTCCCAGTAGCTAGGAGCCGGCTGGCATGCTTCCGTGCCGTCTCTCCAGTAGCTAGGTGCCCTAGGGCATGATTCCATGCCAGTTTCGGTGGCGTCATTGCCGCTTTGGCTCCATTGAGAAATCGAAGAGTTTTCGTATTATACTCGCCTACTTCATAGGACCAATCTTCCTCGGAACAGACACCTTTGTCTTTCAGAGACTTAATAGCGTCTCTAATATAGGTCCCGATATTCTTTTTAACAGCCTGTGGGTCAGGAGATCCTGTCGGAGTGGTTATCGCTTTACGGGCATTGTACCAAAGAAAAAGCCGAGAGGGCGAAAACAGAGACTGTCTATGAAGCCGCATAGTCTGAAACTCGAATGCTCCAGCGACTGCATGCGCAGTACAGCTCATCATTTTCCCTTGATCGTATACCGGAGGCATATACTCGCCCCGAAGGTCAATAAATGTCTTTGTGGGCGCCATGGTAGGCTCGTAGATATGGTCACGATCATCGACAGGGTCAGGACGGGCGCCATGGCCTCTCTTATTGTAATTAGCACCTCCTGGCCCGTCGTCTAAATCTTCATCCTGGTTTCATTCTGTTAGGCCTCCGTATGAACACATATCCAGTTGGCTTATACTCACCTCGTTATCAGTGTTATTTTCGCTGTCCTCATCATCACTGTTATACTCGTCGTTGTTGTAGTCTTTGTCTCCATATTGGCTTTCTTCGTTCTCTTCTCCACTATGTTGGTATTGATCTTCCTCGTTTTTCTCGTAGTTCTGCTCCTCGTTGTACCCCTCGTTGTAAGCATCATAATCAGCATTTTCTTCATTATCTTCCCTATTGTAGGAGTCTTCGCCGAAGTTTTCTCTTTCTTCTTGGAATTCTTCAGTCGGCTCGCCATCTACAAACCGCCTATAAGGATTATACCGTTGTAAGCAAACAATATATCCATTAGTATCCTAGAAAATATTTTTGTACTCACTCGATATTTCTTAGTATATTAGCGCTGGAATGCCCAACTCCGAGTACAAGGTTCTGGGGAACATTGTAGGCGTTATCAGCGAGATCGCGAACTGGAGTAGGTAGCAAGCCTCCAATACCGACGGAATCAAGAATGCCGTTATTTGTACGGCGGACGACGTCAATTGCCTGAGCTCCTAGCTCAGCACTATCATCAGCAGCATCTGCCAGAATACCAAAAAGCATTTTTTTTTAGAATGAATGATACTTTAAAAACGCAGTGTAGGAAAGTGATAATGTTTTAATGGAGGGTTACTTGAAATAGATAGAGACAATAGCCCGCCCTTGATTACTTTCATGGAATGCCCCCTCACTGTATTTTATATATTCCGATTTTATCCCAAGAGTGAGACCTTGTAGCTTTAGAGCCAATAGATATATTGTTTCGGTGACGAGTTACTAAAATATTGAATCTACAGCCAATGACTATAATTCTTCGGTAAGGAATCGGTTGAGAACGAAATCTGGAGCCAATGAATACAAGGCTTCGGTGATGAGCCGGCTGAGAACGAAATCTGGAGCCAATGAATGCAAGACTTCGGTGATGAGCCGGCTGAGAATGTAACCTAAATCCAAGTAATACTACGCTTTGGTAATAAGCTGGTTGAGAGTTAAACCTAGAGCTAACAGTTACTATGCATTATTAATCCATTTCCACTTTATACGCCAGTTATTGCAACCATAAGTGTTAGGTTGTAACACAAGGTATATGTTTTTTAAGATTTAACAATGCTTTTCATGTAATAATACTGCGCATCTACCCGTAGCTCAGCCTCAAGGCCTAGACTCTCGCTGAACAAAAGTACTGTCGAAAGCAGTCATGAGCTTCCTCAACGTATTAAAATCTTACAAGTTAGCTCACGTTGCAATGCATCTTGCTGCGGAACCAGCGAATAGGAGTAGGTATGTACAGCTTGCCCGTCACCGAAAGTCAATCAGCTGCCCTTGGTATCGTAATTTTATATTAATGTCTCATACAGCAGTGTTACTAGACTTTTTGCCTGTCACATTGATGATAAGCTTCCACTCACTATTGGCCAGAGAAAAGAGCTGTGACCTCTTGGAGGATCATTACCACACGTTGTACGTTAAAGTAAATCCATAATACCACATAATCTTAGTACTTGCATAATATGAGCTACCATTGTATGTATCCCCATACCTCAATGGAGAGCCTTTCCATTTAAACCCTCTATACTTTGTGTTGTAATAGGCGAATATATATAGTTCTGCCTCTTTTCACTAGCTCATAATTACTGCTCTTGGTAACAATCTGCCAAAACTTATAATAATATTGCCACAATTTTCTGAGAGGCAAATTAAACCACCATGGTTCTTGCAAGAGATACCTGCCGTGACTTCCTTCAGCGAAATGTCGAAGAGCATAGCCTCGAGAGATTCTTCTCGAGCGAACAGCTCGACGAGATTGCAGAGACCGCTGAATTAAAGCTAGACGAATTGAAAGTACTAGCCGAAGGTCACTTTTCGGAAGAAGAACTTGAGAAATATGCCTTCGCTATGCTTTTGCTTTCTTTGTATCAAGTTCATGTTCTACTAGGTAACTCTCCCCCATGGCCTCTAAATCTAACCACTTACTGAATTCAAAAATTCTGAAGATGATACCGGCTCAATGCATGAGGGAACACGGATTGCTACGATACATGCAACGATTCGTGGAATTATAACAATTGATAGCAGAATCATTGAAAAAGGAATCCGAGTACATTATATCAACGAGAATGACCCACCTGAGCCCGTAAGCTCAGCTGCAGATTTCGAGTCACTATGGACCAGTATTCAGTTCAAAGGGCCAACTAAGCTGGGGACAGTACTTAAAGAGAAAGTCTGGTTGCCAATAATCGAGGATGAATCGCAATTCACGCGGCCTTGTCTGATTTACACAATCACTGATGGCGAAGTAAGTGGCTAACTTGGTGACTCTTAATGTATAAAATATAGATATCTAGTTGACACTGGACAGCCTACTCATGAGCCAAGAGAAGCTTTACAAGAGTCGATTCTTGAATGCAGACAGCGACTTGAAGACATGGGGTTTAGCCCGGCATGTAAGTTTGATTTGAGAAATGATCAAGAATTTCAAGACTGGAAACTAATGCGCATCCTCAGCCATTGCATTTGGCTTGGTTCAAGTCGGAGAAGACTTAGAGGCTCGAGCTTTTCTTGAAGAACTTATGAATATCCCCGAATTGGAAGATCACATTGATGTGGTTAATGAAAGTATGCTTGTGAAGGCCAAATAACACCTATTTCTTTGGCTGCTAATATATTTTCTGCTAGATGACATTCTCGAAAATAAATTCCGCGCCTCGCAAGGCATACCTGAAGAGCTTGCGGGCGCACTGGTAAGATTACCAATCCCACCTTTTTTGTAACATTTTGCTAATAGATTGTAGTATTTGGAGCTTCTCGTGGGTGCCATCGAGCGTGTTCGTCGTTTATATTGATGACGGCGGTCCTACTATCATGAACGGGATGTCAATTGGAGGCTAAGGCTCAATGTAGACACGTGGAATGACTTTAGAAGAGATGATATACCAATCAACAGACGCTGCTGCTGTATATCAAAGTTCCTGCCTCTATCCGCACGCGCTACAAACTAAATCTTCATTTAGGATGGATCTAGAGCCAAGATGTGCCCTCAAGGGCATCCCAACTGGCTGGTTGCCGTATTTATTTCCATTGGCGAAATCAAGTCTGTTAATGTCCCTTCCTCCATCAACGCTCGGTAGGAGAACCTTAAAATAAAGAGAAAGTAGAAGCAATTTTTTGGTTGTGGCCATCAAATGTCGTCTCGGCCTTCGGTTATCTCTCTGCCCACAGGTCGAGAAGAATGGGGTCCTGAATGCCGCCATGCTGGATCAGCGACTCGCAATGGAATGGATCCAGAAATGAATCCACCTCTTCGGCGCGAATACCAAGCATGTTGCTGTGATGAGTTAGTTGCAGTGCCACATCCCTCATGCTGCATATGGCCGCATACGGCAGCAAGGCTGGCAGTACGACCCTCCAGCACGCCATGCTCTCATCTGCCGCCATCATGCCCACATTCTCCGTGTCGTTTTCCGCATATGATGATTCTACTTCAGCTCTGAACGGCACATGCCTTGACGACATTCGCAAGCTAGATTCGTAGCCCCTGGTCAACGTTGATCAACATCGTCATCATAAATTACACGCCCTGGATAGTAAGATTCGAATGGAGCATCGTGTACATAACAAATTGCCTGTGATAAAGCCTCAAATATCTGAAGCTAAGCATTTGATCCTCATTCAATGACTCATAGCCTGATTATTGCGCAATTCTAGATCTATTGGCTACTGTAGGGGAGAGGATATTTGTTGTACTACCACCCCCTCAGTATACTGAACAAATCAGATCATGATCCTACACACCATTGCGAAAATCCCATGGAATCCCCTCACGAGGCATTGATCTGCTGATCATGCAACCCCGCGATTATTGAAAATGGTGAAATGGTCAAGGGATATCTTTCATGCTTCTAGACATCTTATAAAAGGATTACCGGCCGCCCCAAAATGACTCCAGAGTTGAGTAATTTCACAAATACCTTCAGAAGAAAGCACATCAGCCTATTTGATTCGCTATCAAATTCTTAGCTCCTTTTGTTAGTTCCAAAAACTTCTTTGGTCGTATTCCGCTTCCTAAACATAAAAGGTTTATCTTAAAGCATTACCAAAATGCCCTCAGAAAACAGCCATAACAGCAACAATAAAAAAAAAAATTCCCAAACTACAAAGCCCAGGCATAATCAAGCTCGGATCTCTCCAGGTAAGATATTAAAATACCTACATAGGATTTATTATTATGCAAACTACGTGTTTGCTTTTATAACAGTTATAAGGCTCAGTGGCTGATTTTAGACAAAACTTTAGGAGTAGATAATAACGTTTTGGACATCTTGGACGAATCTAAACAGCTTAGACACTCATGGACCAAGAAACCACTAGGACAAGGAGTAGATAAAGAAGTTTTAACAATCTTAGGTAACTCTAAAAATCTTAGGGGCTAATGGACTAAGAAATAGATAGTATGTAGATTGAATAGTCTGATACTAGGTAGTTATTACTATTGCTTAGTTGTCAAGATTAGTTTCATGGAATTTGAGTGAGGCGCATAAGTAGAATGACCTTGAGGGGGTGCATACAGGGGGTAGGCATGGCTTTATGTTGTTATAATGTAGCGTCCAGTACAGAGTCTGTCATATTGAACCCTTCATCAAGACTGCCCTCCAAATCTAAGGAAGAGAGTGCCGACCAAGTATCTAAGAACATCCAAAGTATCCAGAGAGGTTTATTAGTCTTAATGTGCTCAGTTAGTTTTGCTGCCTAAATTATTGTTTACCTTGCTTGGATTCTTCTCACCTCCCTAGATGTATTTATGGCAGCGTTGCTGAAGATATGCTTCGTGCACATCTTGGTTCCATCTTCTTGGGCTACTACATCCAAATTGTTGAGAAAATGGCTCAGGCGATCCATTGATCTTGCACGCTCGAACCGCTTGTAGAGCCACGATGTAAGACAGCAGGGGATGGTTTGCATCAGCTAGGATATGATATAATTTAATAAAGAGTGTTTAAATCCTCCTAAATATGCCCAGACACTTGACAGCGTGTATGCCAGTCCTATCCAGAACTGAGGCTTAGCATTAAAAGAGAGCTAAGAGATCTTACTATCCCAGCAGTAAATCGTATTATGTCGTGATACTTGATAGGTAGGTATGGGAGAGGATGGATTCGTCGCGCAAGACTAGGTTATCGGCGATGAGAAAGATGATATCCGTTGGAAGTAGAAGAACTACAATACCGTTAGTTTAGTAGAACAGTGTTGTTTGCTCGCTATTGTTGATAAAGCTAACATCTACCATCAACGCTATATCAAAGGACTCCGAATATATCCGCCTGGGTAGTATAGTAGAGGGTAGAATTCCTATTTTTCTTGAACTTGTGGTTAAAGGCTTGACTAACAGTATCCATGAATTTTGGAATGTTCGCGGCCTCGCCCGCTACAAGCACTAAGTAGTGCTGTCCGAAGGAATGATTATCACTGATGGCGTACTCTTTAGTTTGGGATACAAGGTTATCTTGAAGCTTACGCCAAAAGCTTTTCTCGTCGCTTGCCTCCTCTTGCTGGTTTAGACCAAACTCGGGATTGATAGCTCTAAATCACTGCTTGCAGCCAAGATAAAGAAGCGGTTGCTAGTTGAAAAGGGGTGCATAGAGAGCAATTTATAGAGTTAAATGATGTGTCAGCAGCAAATCTTGTAGAAGAAGAGAATCTACCCAACAACAAGCCAGCACCATACCGTCATAATAAATCATCGATGAGGATCATCTCGGATACTAGTTGTTAGCACACTTTATATATAAAAGTTTATATAGAGAAATAGAGGAGAGCGGTGGAAGAGCTAGTTAGTTAGAGGATAGTTGATCTAATGGCTTCTCGCTTACTGATGCGTAACAAACATAATATACATTCAATAGGTATAAGCCCATTCCTCCAGTCCCCGGTATTTGTATGACTATCAATGCTAGCAAGTGTTAGAGCTATGTGGCTGGGTATGGTCAACATAGCTACCTAGGTAGACAGTTGAGGCCATGAATGATTAACTATCTGAAGCGTGTCGTACCCGGTCAAATATAATTTATTTTTGTTGTGTATTCAAGCACATACGACCATAGGTAGTGGAGAATTCGGGGTCCCGTCTGCTCCCCCATAGACAAGCCACTAACCGGCAGATTAGTAGTCAAGTGGGTGACCATTGGCGAACACCGGCTGTTGTATGTTTTTTCTTTTGGTCTTTTACGTGGTTTCTTGGCTGTTGTGTCTATAAGAAGACTCAGCACCGAAACAAGCACATACGACCATAGGTAATGGAAAATTCGGGGTCCCGTCTGCTCCCCCATAGACAAGCCATTAACCGGCAGATTAGTAGTTGAGTGGGTGACCATCAGCGAACACCGGCTGTTGTATGTTTAATTTCTTTTTTCTTTTTTGTATCGTTTCTTTTGTGTTGTTGAAGGCGAAATGGGCGTGGCGGGCTGATTTGCTGACGACTTATATGCAGAGTTCCATTTTTGGTTAGAATGTGTGAATACCCCTGTCCCCTAACACGTACTGTGAAGATACTGTGACAAGTTGAACAAAGGACTAGAAGAGAACTAGCAGCAGGGTGTAAGACAATGAATAGACGGCAGGGATGGTATAGACTGTTTTGGCTTTGTTGGTCCATCTTTAGACTTAGAGTCTTGGCTTATATCCTATGCTTCTTTCTCATAACTGAGCATAATCTTGCGACGTCCTCCTAGCCATTTACTGCACTTGCATCACAATGTAAATTAAACATAACATGCCATGTATGTCCTACACTAGATTATGAACAGCTCCGTGGGACATGTTAAGTCCTTGACTTGATTGAAACTGCAATACTATATCCGCTATTCCAATAAACAAAAGGGTATCATCCTGCTAAATGTAAAGATAGACAACAATTTTCCATGACGCCAACGCATTCCCAAGCGTATCCGTAACCAAGACCGAAATAACACACATCTCAAGGAATCTTATTCTTGAGCCCTCCAAAGACTACGCCGCTGCATCCAGCCCTGCCAGAATAACGACCATGCCTTCAGAACCAGCCCTGTCCTGAATACAAATTCTGCGGTCAACTCTCAACTGCGCCGCTGCCTCCGACCCTGTCAGATTAACGACCATGTTTGAATAGAAGACGCAGATATTGCATCGCGGAGTGCTAGCTGGTAGTCGGTGATACTGCAGGAAGAAAGCTGCCCGCTGCCCCCAGCCCTGCCAGGTTAACGGGTATGCCTCCTCAGTCCGACTGGTGCTCAAGTTCGTAAAATTCCCTAAAATGTGTGAGCGTGACCCTCACCTTGAAGATGATGCAACCAAGCAAGCTTTGCCGTTGTCGCCCAAGAACCACAATTGAGAACTCGCAGCTCTCCTGGATGACCGTCGTGACTGAACGGGCTCTTCAATTGTCGATGTAGTCTTCGATCTCCGATTACGAGGCTGGCGCTTGTCGCCTTTATCTGCAGTCTCCCGCCCCAGCTTCCTCTTGTTCTTTTTGCGTGTTTGGCGCTGTGAGATTGGCTTCTCCGCACTGCGCTTCATGGTGCTACGTTGACGCGAAACTTGAGCTTCGGTGGTTGTAGATGACGAGGCAGGCGAAGTGGCGGGTGAATTGGTAAGGGAAACATTTGGTGCTTCCGAAATGACAGAAGTTGGCGAATTTGACGAGATCGATGATGATTCGGAAGCACTGATGGGCGCGATTTCGAGTTGACCACCTTCAGCTGCATCTGCCTCTTCATCATCGGAAAGCTCTGGGCTTAGTAGCGGCTCTTGGCTTCGACTTCGGTAAGTCGAGCCAGCATCTTGCTGTATTCCAACTGGTTCTTCTAGTTCTGGCTCCATCCCCGGATGGTGCCAGCATTTTCGGCCAACGACTTGGTGATACTTTCCGCATGGGCAAAGTAAGTAGCCGTGCATCGCTAATGTGGCTTGTTTCCGGAACTCTCGCGCCTTCGGAGTTAGCTCCTTTGTGTAATGCTCGTCTTCGTAATATATATGTGCTTCTGACTGTGGGTCGTCAAAAGCGCTCGGCCATGGTACGAAATCTGGATCATCTTCCCAAGCTGGCCATGGTTCAAAACCCGGATTGCGTGAATGCCTCGTTTCGCTGGCTGGGCTCTGTGTCCTGGCTCGTTTCGCGCTGGTGCCTGGGCCTGACTCTTCTAATGAGCTATCGGTAGAAACACTATCTGTTCTCTTGCGTTTTTCGCGTCGTGAGGGGGTCGGAGGTGATGATGCAGATGCTCCTTCGTCACTGGATATCTCGAGACTCGGGGTATCGGTCGGCAGGTCTAGCCTGGCCTTCTTGCGCGGCGAAGAAGGACTCGTGATGGATTTTCGCTTGGCCATGTTTTCAATAGGCAAAGTAACGGAATAGCGCGATCAAAGCTCTGTGGTTTTGTTGCGATTGAGAATGAGAGGAGATGTCATCCGTGACACTGGAGCTAGGTGGAATGAGGTTGTTCAAAGTCACGTGATATCGCGTCAGCAACGGGATGCGGCTCAACATGGAGACGCGACAGACAAGCGGCCCCGTGATTGTGATGACTTCCCAGCGTATGATATTACTGCTGTCATTACTACCATTGACTGTTACTGCTGCTACTGCTGCTATTACTACTACAGGCACCTTCAGAGTCGCTAGACTTACCGAATTGCTGCGCATCCGGTGAATTAAGCGCCATGGCGGCTGCTTCAAGCTCTCCACCACGTGAAATTCCATTTGCTACCTTCACCGCTGCAAACGACGCAGCCGTTCTCCTGCTCGAGCTCATTCAGACTAAAGCGTCACCGCCAACTCTCATCAGCAGTGGAAATACTATTGGCTATCACATACCGCTACCCCTATTGTCCGATACCTCTACTTCACATGACAATGGCTCCGGTTCAGCCTCTGATTCCCAAGCCAACTCACAATCATATAAACTGGTGCGATGGAAAATTGGCGCTGGTGCATCTCCAACCTTGGCTGAGAAAGGCCTGGGTTACACCAACCCAGACATTCTTCTCTGCGCTCCAGGCGACACGCCGGCTTCTCACAGAATTCGCAACTACATCAAAGATTTCCACGCCTACATCACCTTCCATCCGACTTCAGGCGTACTCAGGCTTATGACAGTCTGCGATCGGCCGGTCATCTACGAGCAAGGCGATATGCACGATAATGACCTGACCCTCCGCTTAGACGAATGGGGTAAAGCAATGACATGCGTCCTTCGGAGAGAACGAAACTATCTTCGTTTTGGTCCCTATCGTTTTCTTTTTAATTTCGTTACACAGACTCGACAGAATTTCGATAGATTTACTACTCATATGAACGAGGTTATCAAGAGCGACTTCCACGGACTTAATCCCTCACGTCTGTTCAACTTTATCCCAATGCCAAGTCCATATCACGAGACTTCATGGAATATCTGGCTTCACCACAAGATCCCTACCACCAACGTCATCACCGGTGTCGACATTCATACAGGACAGCCGGTTGCCGTCAAGAAGCTGTTGAACAAAGAGGCGTCCAAGACACGCCAGTATGTTGTCGAACGGTTGAAGATGGCCCTTCAGAGCAGAGACGCACAGGACAGTGGGATCCTTGGAATTATCGATATCTGGTGTTCTCATCAGACCTCTCCTCCGTGCCTATTTGATGCGTCCAACACCGAGATGCTCGATGAATGCCAATACACCTTCTATTCAATGCCGCTAGCCGGATACAGTTTTCTGAATTTTCCTTGGACCAAGTTGGAAGCAGATACGCGCCTTGCATACTTTCATCAGACATTATTGGGTCTCTCTGCGCTGCATGAACAAGGCCTTGTCCATGGGAATATTCGGCCTAGTTCACTGCTTGTATTGGCCAACACAACACACAAATTGTATACGACTACGACGGCTCTTTCAACCAAAATGGCTGTCCTGTCGCTCTCTATGAGTCAAACGGAGAGAAAGCTGCATGATACAACTCGTATATGCATCGCGCCTGAGGCCTGGGAGAAGATAAATAGTAGATCAACAACAGACCTAGATAAGGCCAAACTCGACATCTGGGCACTGGCTACTTCGTGGCTTTATACCTTTATGCGACCACCAGATAATTTTAAGATTGTAGCAAAGCGCGACTATCTACAGATGCAAGGACAAGTGCAGTATCGGATTAAACGACTTTCATCCTTGGGGCCTTTTGCTCCTCTTTTGAACCAAATGCTTGCCTGGGAACCAGAGCAGCGGCCAAGTGCAGCCGAAGCTCTTGCAAGCACCGCCTGGCAGCCTGTATGGGATGAGAAGCGAAGGAAGGAAGATAAGATGAAGCAAAAGCGGAAGGCCAAGGCGCAATCCGACGGAACCAAAAGGGTCAGAGTGCTTTCACCTGGTACAGAAGATTATCAGACCATTGAGTCAGACTCGAAACAGGATTGAACAGGCCACATGTGTGGTTCAATCCACGAGCTAAGACTCCTCAAGACAGTGCTGCGAGAGAAGACAGACGTCGAATCGGTCAAGACTTTTATGAAGTCATGGAAAGATTTATCCAACTGATCCAGAGCCTTGACAACACATCGATGAAGAAAAGAAACCGAACTCAGATAAGTCGGGCAGTTGTGATGAATTCAGCTCTGATCGCCAGGAGTCGAAAACGCCAATATACACCGTCGCACTACCACTTTGGTACATTTCCAAACCATCCCAAACAACTCTGGCTGCCAACCAAGCTGGATGAGAAAAATGTCCTTCGATCTCTTGCTGTAAGCTTTCCCTCAGCATTATTAGTTACCCGAAGACGGTGACTGTTGAAGAGTTGTCTTTGTCAGTCTCTCACTGTCTGCGTCCCAAATTCTCTCCCGTCGCGCGGCGGCAGTGACAGCCTTGGCTGTCACTTCTCCATGGCTGAGCCGGAGAAGGTGTGACGAGCGACACCGGCGCACTACTGGCAATGAACGGAAGCTTGCAGTGTCTCTCTTGAGAGCCCATTGATGATCAGACTCAAGTCATTTGGTCTGGTATTGTGCCCTGTTAACTGGACTTGTTCGACCACCTGGCATTACCAAGATCGTAACAGAGCGCGACTATCTACAGACGCAAAGGCAAGTGCAGAGTTTGCTTCTATTGGATTGGCCTGCTCCTGGGCAGTTAAGCAGAAGAAGACTCTATCAGCTTATCTACATGTCTTATCGCTCAGTCGCGCTTTTGGGATGTTATTCGCAATCTTGCATGACTTTGTCGAGATATCTATCTACATCTCCCGTCTCGTGAGATGTTTGGGCAAGCGGAATGTGGACGTAGTTATGAAATTGTTGTTCCACACTACATTTCACGCATTCATGGAAGATGTTCTCTCTGGAGGACTAGATTTTCAGTGTCTCGTTGCCCGTGTTCTGATGTGTCCGTTTACCGACTTTGGACTAGACAGAGCGTTGAATGGCCAACCCACGGCCTAGGTAGCTATTTCTTTATAATCGGTCTAGGTGAACTCTTATCCGTGACATCTAGCCTGTGTAGCCCACTAGTGGACCAAGAGTCCGTGCAAAAGGGTAGGGACTTGGGATTTGGCAGTGTAGCCTTGTGAAGCAAAGTGGCATCCGATTCCTTGATTTCCTTTAGTGCATCGAGAATGAGTGCCAGGTCGGCCTCGAGTTCCTGGCGTGTAGCGGTGTGGTGCGTCTCGACGATATAAGTTTCGATGCTTGTTGACTTTACAACTAGCATCTACGGCATACCAGCCTCAATTAAAAAGACCTCATAATTTCCTAGTACAATAACTTTTACGGGCTAGTTGTTTGACATACTTTGGCTGCATTATCTGTCGTTTATTCGTGCATCGTTTCCCGGCGAACAAGCCGGCTGGAGTCCAAGCTAAATTTAGAGCTGAATACGTGACTATTCTTGTTGGCAATAGATCAACGGCGGACCCGAACGGCACGGCAAGAGCTGCATTGTAGTGGATCTTACGCAGGGAGAAACAAGAAACAAGTTATTGAAGCGGGAGAAGCGCGGCACGGCACGGCGCGGCACGGCACGGCACGGTTAAAGGCGATGAGAAATGTGGTGAGACACGAGTGAGCATCTGAGTATAAGCCGCGATCGAGATGTTGAAAAGATCCTCGTTTAACGTAGGCGCCAAGGTCGAGGTCATGTTATCAATAAGCCGGCATGATATCCATCGTTTGTCATTCCGATGTTGAATCGATCTGATTTTATAAATGCTGCCTACATCACCGTACTTGGATAATAACCTGTTTTCTTTCGCCCTGAGTGGAGGGTATAGCATACATTCATATACAGTGACGATGACCTGTACTATTTAATGCAACACTCAAATGCCAGGTTATATCGAGCTGAAAGCACCATCTAGTCCACATCTTTTGTTGATAGTTATGTGTATTTTCTATTGAAATCAAATTTGCTAGTATCCACACATGATAATATGACTTATGCTATAATCCGCTTATAAGTGCACATATATGCCGTTAAACGGCTTCTGTGCATACACAACATGACTATCATAGCTTAACGTTAGCCATCGTCAACAGGCATTTGAGCCATGCGAAACATCAACAGACTTACACTGCAAAGGCAAAGCGAATCTGCGGATTGTGAATATCCCTCTTTGCACGCTCCTTCAGATCCTTGGCATCTGTGTGGGACAACCCTGCTAGGGTCAGGAATTTGGTGAGACTCTCAACCAATCCCAAGAGATTATGTTTGTATATGGCGCCAACCTCCTTGAGTTTGGGGTTCTCTGGCCATTCGTTAAATGGCAGCGGGAATTTGGCGTCCTGGACATTAACGAAGCCCGTTTCGTTGAGCCACGTCTCATAGTGAGCCGACTTGAGCATATCTCGCCCAACGATTCTGCCGCCTTTGACAACCAATTGAACCCATTCTTCAACAGCAGTACCCTTGGCGGAGTCGCCGTCAGCAATATTTCGCAGTTCAGGATCGTGAAGCTCAATCCAGCCACCGGGTTTCATGTGGTCAAATGCTTTCTTCATTACGGCTTTGGTGTCGTCAAAGCAAGCAATCACATGTGCGAAGTGGATGTAGTCAAATTGAGTCGGCGGCCACTCGCCATTCTCGGCATCGAGCTGCTGAAACTGGCAGTTGCCGGGTAGTAAGCCCTGCGGTTTCGTGATACTAAGATCAACACCGAGCACCGTTGAGTCGGGATGCTGCTCAGCTGTTCTCAATATTAGCCCAAGAAGAAGAAGTACAAAAAGGGAGAAGTGATACGACGTGCGTACCATACTGTATGGCCCATATTCCTGTCCCGGTGGCTACATCTAAAACTTGAGCTTGTGGGTGAACTGGTGCTTGTCCTAGCCTGCCGCCAAGAATGTGTAACATCATGTTGTGTTGGTAGTCTGATCCAGAGTTAGCCATGCAACTTCCATGCCAGGAAAGACAGTAGTGTGAATTGTACTAAGTCGATCTTTCTCTGTCTACGTAGTATGTAAGTATATATCTCTTTTCAACTGGCATAGGGTTACTTACTTGTTGAGAAGCCTCGGGCAAGAAGTAAGTCATTGTTTCGATGTTGTTACACAAAAATGACGAAATGGGGCTAGATAGCTCCCCCTCAGCAGTGTATATCCTTGCTATTGATGCAAGCAGTAATGTTTGTGGTGAATCTGAGCCAGTTTGGATTGATTTGGCATATATAATTTGTGGGAGGGCGCTCTGTATTATAGAACGCACTCATATTGGCCAGATAGCTGAATTAATATAAACGTCATCAGGCGCTTTGCTTGGTAGTTGTTGTGTAACAGTCATGGCCACGAAACAATCACGCGCCGTGCCGGATCTACACCTCCGGGAGCGGCACGCCGACCAATCAACTTTCCGGGATATACCGCAAATCTCAGCTGAGCTCCAAGTCTAACTTAGTGTAAGGATTCATTACACCGTCTACCTGGTGGTGGCAATTCTAGACCAAGTATTCAACTTGGATACCTTGCTGGAAGAGTTACTGCTATGTAATATTTTCCCATCCGCCGTCTCCCTTGCCTTTGTTAGTGCGTTAAGGGGTCCCGTGTACGTCGACATAGGATTCGGTATTCACCCTACTGCGAAGAAAAGGCTGGTTAATCCAAGACTTACTAATATTTCCTGGCTCAGCACCGTCCCCCTTTAGTAGCTCATTGTAGGAAGACTGTATGTTTGTTCGTTGCGAACTGATACAGTCTCCATACACTTCTAAAGATTACATTTGGAAAACATGAACACCAAGTTCTTCATCAGTCAAATTGTTGTTCAAATAGAGCATTTTCTTGCTACTATAAACGTTGAGCCATGGATACATGTGCATTGGAAGTAGGGCAGCTGGCGCCTGTTCCCAGGTTCTACATTTTGTTGCAGACTATAGGCGAATCACATGCCCACACATGTTGTTCCAGAGTGTATGAGGTCATGAACAGTCTTGGTCGAGCAATGCAGCTAGGACAGCTCCGCCGTCTAATCGATTCGTTAGACAAGATGCTGAATGTTGAGACCTTGGTTGCTCTACATGTTGCAGCAACGTTGGAAGCATTTGTATCTATATAAGCGCTGGTGGTGGGGATGCTCCCATCTGGCAGATGCTCAACGCCCTACGTGTTGATAGGCAAAAAGGATAATCCCCATAAGACTATTGAGGTACATTTATTGACACCCACTAGCTTAATAGGCTCTGGCTCTCGCTCTTACTGGCTCTGGCTTCTGGCACGATGCGGCTGCAGGCTTCTCATCTCCTGGGTAGAGTAGCAATTTTAAATACATGGGTGCAGTGTCGGCAGCCAGTTGGACGAACGACCTCTTGAACATTAAAGTTATGTTTTAACTGCTAGGCTATCCGGCCTTATCACCTGTTAGGAGGCAAAAAGGGATGATTCCGAGAAAACTATTGAAGTATATATATTGACACTATGTGGCCGAGCAGACTCAACCAGCCAGTCAAAACTGCTTGAAGAGCTTACATTCGCTCGCTAGCCTGGCTCAGGACTTGACTAACAGTGCATATATTAGAAATACTGTCATTTTTATCCCGTCAAGCTGGCTGCTTCACTGCATATCCCTACCTATGCAATATTGAGTTGCAGACTCATATTTGGAGTTCAATTTGTTTTTCAAGGAAATAATCATAGTGCAGAGCAAAAGCAAAGTGGGCCATTATTTCGCTGTCTTGACGATGGCTTTATTTGCTTTATGTTTGAGAGATAAATAGAACCAGGATTGTGAATAAAAACCGACTAGGGCGCATGAGATGTGAGTGAGATGGAAGCATGCCTGTACTACCCAAAGCTGGCGCAGTGATGATGGAGCATGAAGTGCGTGATTATGGTAGTCACCAGAGGTACACTGGGGAGAACGGCGATGCTTGTGAACTCGGGTTTTATTTGCATATCTATGGAGGATATGAGTGACAGGAAAGTGGCAAAAACGAAAGGGTAATAAGACAAGGTGTGGATACATGGTTGTAAATAATCTTCTCTATAGCCTTATCGGCTACCTCGGCTCGGTATATATACCATTGTAGGATGCAATCAATTTTTAATCCGGGTCAGATTTCGAAAATTTCCATAAGCAGGAAAAAAGAATCAGCAGAATTATTATTCCCATCTAGCCACAGTTGGAAATCAACAAATTGCTGCTTTAACTGTAATTAGGGTAATACTTTGTTGGACTTTAATTACTATGATAACTATCATTTTACAGTTACAATTACTCTTGAACTCAACCTAGTATTGAAGGTTATCGAAGCTTTAAAACAGGTCAAATAATGCTACTTTTTCCGCTTAAAATAGCTAGGTTGCCTTTATCTCACTAGCTTGGGTTGTCTCTTCTGACAAGGATTAATAATTAGTTGCAACCCGCCGCATATGGAGATAACATGGGGGATTTGGTTGTTTGTGAGAACCCCCCGCTACTTTGCATTGATAAGTAGCGCCCGCAGCTTATAAAGGCTGACAGATTGGCCTATACTGCAATATTCCATACAGTATCGTGCGTTAGACAGGGCTTCCTTGAAGCGCAACTGGAGGAGTGGCACCATCTTACCTCTTTGACCCCTCATGTTTTCAACACGGCTTATTATTGCATGCTTGCATAACAGCGATAAGCGACGCTATCATTTGGGATGCCTCGCAACTTCATGCTTCTCTGGACAGCCGATTGTCGGTTGAGATATTCTATCCAGCAGAGTTCCGGCGAAGTTCCAGCGAAGTTAATGTTCACCGATAACTCGAACTACTTGCCATGCGATAGCAGAAAGACGCCTTGCAACTATGCATGCAAAGCTTGATTAGTTTTCAGTTCCGTGAGATTTATAGCCTGGCTTGCCAATGAAAACGCCCATTGGTCAGCAAATGCAAATGCAACCACTCTATATCTCCGTTTCTTCTCCGAGTACTTTCTTGGTCGCACCCACTCCTTACACTTGTCGCGAACACACTTCTATTCGACAGTGAGAAAAGATTGGTGGTAAGCCCTAAGGCAATCCTGCAAATAGCCTGAACGATATGAGGGGAAGTCAGAAGCTATGCTTAATACAGGGGAAGAAAAGTTGCATCTGACTTACGATATGGCTTCATAAGACTATATTCCACCTATTGGATGTTGTTTTTTCTGTTCACATATTCGCTTAATCGGATACACGGCATTTTCGATGGTCAAATTCATGGATGGACTTTACAGTTGCTCGATGTCATGGATTCTCGACTTATAGGTGCTCGACCTCACATTAAGGTAAGCATGAAGCATATAAAGCATATCTGGTTTGCTAGTCATTTTGAACAAGAGCTAGAAGAGAGAGAAACAACAGTTCCGACTCATCCGAGTCTTTGAATCATCTCTTCTGCGGAAGTCGAGGCTTAGACAAGGCCACCGCTACGCCTGTTGATGCCAGTGAAGCTCAAAACATTGGCATATCTCAAGGATCATAAAGTCCTTTTCCACCTCCTTGCCTTTTTTACAAACTTCATCACCGTCGCTCTTCTATTTGATCGAGCAAAAGCATCCAAAGGCAGCATCCAAAATGCGTGCTACGCCGTTGGCATTGCTGACCTTGTGGTTGTCAGCCTCCAACTACAATGGAGTCTACGCACAATCTATTCAACCACTAGATCAGCCGATCAAGGCGGTCTCGAGTGGTGAATTTGGGTTGCCTCAGGAACTCCACGTCCAGTTGCACAGCCACCTCCCAGTGCATGGTCGTGATGGAGAAGCCATCGTGCTGGGAACTTATAGCGGAGGCTCTGATGCCCAGCCTGTGACGGAAGATGACCATGACAACCTTGAACGCCGAGGACTGTGGTCGTTTGTCTGGGCAGCCACCAAGGTCTTCATCAACCCAATGTCTTGGACGTCTGGCATCACACTCGGTAACCTGGCATGTCAGGCTCTCGGATGGTGGAATAGTGCTCCGTCATGGGTGTCGTATACTTGCAACTCATTTGGCATCATCTCCGCAATGTTCTCTGTCTGGGACGGGCGTGCGGATCTCGCTACTGCGTGGAACGACTGGAAAAACGAAGGATCGTATCAGGGCAACTTGGAGAGCCTGCAGCTGCTCCCCTTCTACAATGATTATGGCAACGTTGTCGACAATGTAGGCCGAGGATTACCAAGTGTAAAGCGCGGTAATGAAGCTGGCTACTATGACTGGTCCGTCCTCCATCCTCACCTGGCAAACAGGACCATCAGCAACGCCCTCTCTGGAAAGGCCAGCATCTTGCACGATGTCGGCCGCAACTATTCCATCATCACCATGGCCCACGTGCTCAACAGCACCGCTTCAAACCCTCTTCTGATCCAGCGTTCCATCAACGGAACTTTGCTGGGTGCCCCGGTCTCCATGTTCTTTGTCAATGGCACCGGAAGCACAGCAGGCCTCGGGTCTCACCATGCATTTGGAACGGTCACAGAGAAGATGACCAAGCGTGATGACGGAAACTGTGATGGATTCGGAAACGACAGCGGCAACATCTACACCGACAACACGGTCGTATGCGGCGGAGATGGCACGACTTCGGAAGATGGAATCACGGGCGTCTACTACGGCATGGATTTCTACGGCACAGAGTCTCAGTGGGAGGAGTACGATGCCGACGTCGGGGGCCAGTATCCAGACAGCAACGGTGCGTGGCATCTCGCCAGTGAGCTCTCCAGCGATACGCAGAACAGCCAGTGGTGGCGAACCTGCCTGTGCGATCAGGAAAGCGGCGACTATGCATGGACGGGGGCACTCCAGTATACTTGGAATGGCGGATTCAATGGCTACAACGATTGTTATTCTGGCGTTTGCGGAGGGGCTTCATAGTTACCTATGTAAGTCTGCAGCGACTGATATCAGACAGCTTTGTGTAAAGCGGTTTACAAGGATGGACAGAAAGAGCATCAGTTATCCCCTCTTATGAAGTAATAGTCCAAAATCTTTCTCATATACAACTGCTAGCAAGAAAACATAAATTCATCATAAGGTGACACATCGTGATAATATCGCTACCACTCGATCAGTTCGCTCCGCTCATGCCCTTGGCCGGTATATATAACACACGCTCGTTTCTGACTCGCTTCCATGTGAACGGCAACAGATGTAATCCGCTGAGAAGCGGGTATGTCACTCGGTTGTTGGATTGGCTGACTTGCTTCCTCCAGCTCCACAAGTCGCTGAGCAACTCTACTCGTTAGATCGCTGCTCCAGATCCCTTCCTGCACATGCTGGGTTTTGAGCAGGTTCAGAGCTTGCCTTCGAATAGCAGGATGCCGACAATGGGCTATGACCGAGTATAAGAGAGGGACAACACCAAGCTCCAGATGAAAGAGAGGACTATCCTCGGTAGCCCTTCCCACTATTGCTAGCGGCGCGATTTGGACCAGTTCTCGAAACCTTTCAACGTTTCTGTCCTGGTTGAGGAAATCTTCTTCGGCTGTTTCGCCGCCGGCCGTGTCAAGAATCAAGAGTAAGTATTTGGCTTGCAACTCAAGCAAAGCAAGGCCTTCTTTAGCGCCACTATGCTGCTGACTGCCGCTAAACTCATGAAATGAGTCAAGCCAATTGTTTACACAGCTTCTTGCGTGTTGTCTCCTTTCAAAGTTCCCCAATATCGACTGCATGCTGTAAAGAATCAGGTTGGTTAAAGTGTGCCGAGCGTCAGAGAGTGATTTGATGGGTCTTTGGGTTGATGAGGGTTTGCTGCCCATGCTGCCCAGAAGAGTCAGCGAAAGCTCTGGAGAGACATCGCCGATAAGCTATAAGGAGATTAGCAAATCGCCAAGCCATATTAGAGTCTCGAACATTACCAATTCCACTTGAACGGCCAGCCTATTGAATGATGTCTCCAAATACCGCAGAGAGGCGCCAATGTCAGATTCGCCTGCAGAAGTTCGACGTGCTCTCTGCTGTTGCAATTCCTGAATCATCTTGCAACCGTGCTTAAAGAGATGGATCGCAGCTCCGTGGTTCCCTTGTAGGATCTGGAAGGGTCTTCAGCACACTGACAGGTTTCTAGGTTTCAACAAGCATACCTCAATGCAGATGAATATGAAACATGTCATTGGATGTAAATGTGTCAGCGACTGTTGATTCGGCAGTAGAAGCTCCCGTATAGCAAGGTTTTGTTGCCGCGTGGCAAGTTGAAGCTCGACCTCAGCCTGCTTGCTGATGAAGTGCTCATGATGCATGGATAATGCAACAAGTGCATGTCTTATAGAGCCTTCGGCGTATGCAAGCTGCAGGATTTGAGTGTTCCACCATTCATCTTGGAAAAGTGCCGCGAATTGCGTCCTAGACTTCTCAACGAAGAATTCGATTGAGCGAATCTCGAGAGAAGTAGCCTCGATCTTCAAGGGCTGCGCAACCGGGGGAGTTTGAGCCGTCTGGCTGGCGGTTGCTTCATACCCGTCGCATATGCGGCCAGTGGAAGTGCCTGGGGACGATTTCAGCATGCCTCGCCCAAATTCCAGTCAAAGCTGAGTTTAATGATGTGAGATTCATTGCCTGAGATACTCACATCGACTGCACGCGGGCCGGCTCTCGTCACACTTGACCTTGCGAACTAGAACCCAAGATTAGTTTCCGGAGCCAGTTGGAAAGACGCCAGCTTTGAGAAGGGGATGTCAAACTCCTAGATACAGTTGGATGAGCCGTCATTGTCACGATTTGTCTCTTGGCAGAGTCATGAGACAGTACATACTTGCATGTTAGACAACCTGTCCGGACCTTTGGTGCTCTCACTCTTTGTCGCTCTCCTGGTTTAACGCGCGTCATTGCAGCTGAAACAAGCGATTTCGCAAAGGATTATGGTGTCTGCTATAAGTCCTGGTAGAAAAGTGTCCATACGAGGAGGGGTAGGAGTCTGATGGGGGCCCTGCAGCTCTCTTTCACGTGTAAAGTGTAAAATATCCCTGTTAGAGAGATGAAGTGCTCATTGTCTACTTATAAAGGGATGATTTGGGCAAACTTGAAACTATCTATAGGTACGCAGTCTCTCTGTTTCTCTTCGAGTAGTGCCTCTACCCCACCTCCCATTTTCTACAAGCAGCAATTTGTGGAGTATAAGCCACAGGGATGAAGGATCGGAAGGCTGAGTCTGTGGAGATGCCCGTACGAGCCAACCAATCGCGAGTGATTCTATAGGCTTTAGTCTGCAAGGATGGCTTTTACTCCCAAGGAAGCTTGGCAGTATTGGGCTTTGGTCTGAGAGGAGGGAGAATCGTCTGAAGATATATAAGCAGTGCTGGCTTCCGGGCTGGAAATGAAAGATTCTTCCTCAACAGTTTCCTAGATTTCAACAGCTTTTTGTCTCTTCAAAATTTCCCTGCTCACTAGCCTCTGTATTAGTTGGGCATCCCGCAGCTGACTGGTTCCTTCAAGCCATATACAACTCTTCAACATGGACGTATGCAAAGCGATAACAACTCCCAACACTCTATGGTCATTCTGCCCCTCAATAGCACCTTCGATTCTTTTCATTGTCTTGTTTGCCTTGACGTTAATCACCCACATTGGGCAAGCCGTCTACTACCGAAAGCCGTACAGTTGGATCATCATCATGTCTGCTCTGTGGCAGACTTTGACCTATATATTTCGCACCATAAGCATACAAAATCCTGCAAGCTATGGTAACTACGCCGCCTGGTTTGTTCTGATCCTTGTGGCACCTCTTTGGACCAACGCTTATGCTTATACACTCTTTGGGCGAATGGTCTGGGCCTACACAGCAACTCATAAACTGTGGCGGATCAAAGCTTGGCAGTTTGGGTTCATCTTTATTCTTTTGGATATTGTCGCATTTGTTGTACAAGTGGTAGGCGCAGTCCAGGCCACCGGTTCGAATACAACCGACCAGCAAGTCCTAAACGGCCTGCATATATACATGGGCGGAGTTGGCCTTCAACTTGTGTTCATTCTTATTTTTTGCATATATGCACTGCGATTCTATCTTGAAACCCGACAAAGTCCAGATGCGAGACAAGCCCAAGTCCTATTCTATGCTCAAATTTTGGCCTTAGCTATGATTGTCGTATGTACTCGATCTTTACGTACTAGAGTTTACAAAGACTGACTTAATGCTTCTCACAGCTCCGCATTATTTTTCGCATATGCGAGTATTCTCAGGGCCTGGACAGCAAAATCCCCAACCACGAGGCATACCAATATTGTCTTGACTCGTTACCTATGTTTATTGCACTCGTGGTCTATAATGTAGTGCATCCAGGTCGCATTATGCGAGGAAAATCTAGAGATATGCCTTCAGTTTGGGAATTGAGAAAGCAGAAAAAGAAAGGAATATGTTTGGCGGATACATCTCTGGTGATACAAGCCGATTCTGCTGTCAAAGTATAGGTATATAATCGAGTCTATATAGTCTGAATCTTGTGTCTCATAAACTTACCATCTAATACAGTTGCCTTTATACACTGAATTTAAGAAGCTTCTCTGCATTCTTAAATGAAATCTTGGAGTATTCCTCTTCTGTAACCAGACCACTTTCTCGAAGCTTCGCCCTGTTCTGTGTTTGAGTACGGATAATCAACACTATACATTATCCTGTCGATACTCATGCTCCTTAGCAAACACGCCATCGGTGGCATTGTAAACGTCCCACTCGTGGTTACTTAGATGTTCTTTACTTAAATTTGCTTGAAGCTCAACTCTGCCTTGTTCCATATTTGTATCACCTTTTCATCTATGCGGTCCAGCATATATGGCAGCATCTCGCCCATGTGTCCCACTACCACTTTCATATTTGGGTACCTCCAGAAAATACCTGCAGCGTACATTCTCAACACGGAGAGTGCAGTATCGCAATGCCAGTCCCAGCCTGCGATTCCTAGCACAGCACCAACTTCTTTGTCGTAGTTTCCGTCATAAAGGGCCACCTGAACATCTTCAAGAGGCGTGGTGGGATGTATGTAAATTGGAACATCGAGTTCTTGAGCCTTGGCAAAGACATCTAGAGCAACTTCATCGTAGTACCGCCCATCGTCAAGATGACTGTCAATGAGTGCGCCGACCATTCCCAGCTCCTTGATACATCGCTCAAGTTCTTCTGATGCAGCTTTACCATGTTTCATGTTTCATGTTTCATAGGAAGAGTAACAAAGCCTTTGAAGCGTAGCTGGGCCTGAATTGCGTTGAGCGGCCGCTACAACTTTTGGAGCCAGTGAGGTGATGCCGAAGCTGTTGGAAAGGACCTGGACATTAACACGTCCGCTGTCCATTGCGTTAATGCGAACACCATTCGGTGTAATGTCGGTAAGCTTTTCAAGCCAATCAGGTCTTACTTTCGTGTAGAACTGGCTTTGGGAAGTTGGAAAAGCTGTAATAGCATTGCTTGATAGGAAGTGCTCTTCAAGAGTAGTAAATGGAGATGATATGATGGCTCAATATCGGATAGCGGTACGTAGGAAATATAGTATTAACTGCTAAGCAAAATGAAGATGGGAGATCATGTTGATGTAGACTTGAAGTAGCAATATATATACCCTTTCTACTAGGACATGAACATTTACTAAATTGGTGCGAGTCTGTAATACAAGAGTTGACCTCGGCTACTGCGGATATGTGCTATATCCGCGGAGTCAAGAGACGCTCTAGTAAACTACTTGAATCATGATCCGCGGAAAAGGCCTATTTCTATTGAACTACTCTAATCAAATGGTAAAGGCGCCTACGTATTATAGCCTAAATACTTGAAAAAGCCTATAGCTAGGGCGGGGGCTATGGTAGGTTGCTGATCTAGTTAGGTTGCGGATATGGCCCGGCATCGGGGGAAAAGAGATCCAGAGATTGCCGGTGCTGGATAAAATAGTGAATACACATTACAAACAGAATGAATATGTCACTAACTATAATAGCCATGAATCGAGAACACGTCAAGCATTTAGCTGAATATGGCTGTCGAGATCCAAGTCCAGAAAGAGTATCTAAACCATCGGACGGATCACACGGTGTTGTGGCAAGAGAGATTCGTCATAAAGCGCATACTGTTACTTTACCGTATTCCACCATTATAAACAAAAGAATCCTTTTTATTCGGCTATAAATAGTATAAATTGCCATCATTCTGTTTTTAGGCTTGAAGTTGTACGTTAATCACCTAGGTAGGTAGTCTTGTCACTCTACCGCCTCCATACAACTTACAGTGGGGCGTGCGATTTATTTGTGAAATGCACCGCTGCTTAGACTCTCAAGTTCTGCAATATTACGATCCACTTGGTGGTCAGAACTGTCCGATTTAGCAAACGGCTTGCATATGAAGCTAGCCAATTTACAAGCAGGGGCGCTCTCTGGGGTGGAAACAGTGGCCTGTTCCAGTCTGATTTTGGCAAGTAAAGTACAACATTATTGGCAGCTGAATATCCTATGCTCGTCAAATTTCTCTAAACACGATTTGGGAATATACAAGTCGTAAACCTGGCATATCTAAAAACGTCCAAGAATCACAGCAATGGGTAAAAGCTGATTTCGTGTGATTAGGTCCGGCGGCATCAAAGACATTCTTGACAGCTCTCACAGCGGTCGATAGGAGCGAGACTATCACAATCGACAACGAGCTTGCTGGAGTGGGCTTTTCTCTACAACAAGATAACTATAAATAAACTCTGGGCAGCAAATATTATTCTGCACGAGCATTGAGATGGGGAGGAAGGCCTTCTCATTCATTGTGATTCATTACTATATATGTATATAGCAGTATCAAAACAGATCATTTATTTACATATCAATGTACTTGACAGATATGTTGAGAAATACTGCTCAAGATTTCTGGCCTTGTACTGAGACCATGCTGAGTTCGATGGCCTGCAAGCGGGTACCAGAAGTGGAAGTATATGATGTGAAATTTGTATTTTTTGAGATACATCAAGTGCTGGTGCTATTATGGGCGCCCTGTGCCATATTGAGGTCCGACGCAATATGTGACCACAAGAAAAGGATTTGACTGCTACATCCAATCCAACTTTCAGCCCTCATTCATGGTCCGCCATTATAAATTCCATAGCTCAGCCAGTCTCCGTTGATGCAACCATCTGGATCGTAGAGCCTCGTTACAGCGCCACTTTGAGAACCGCCTAAATAAAGGGCGACGTGCTTTCCGTTGCGAATTGAGTTGACTCGAACACTGCGCTGGTCTGGCCAGAATTGATCTTCGGCTCCTACACTGCCTATAATGGTTGTACCGCCGCCATTGCTGCAGTCTGAGCGAGGAGAGTATTAGCATTCTGAGCTCTATCAAAGGAAAAGACACTACCAGAATCCATACCGGGATTTGGATACACTGTGAAGTCTGCATCATAGCTTAGCGCAGTGCCAACGAAGGCAGACAGCAGAGCTGCGTAAATTCTTGGGAAATGCATTTTGCGGGGTTTGATCTCTTGGGGATAGCAATAAAAGATTTGGTGTTAATTGCCATGAAAGACTCAGGGTTTGAGAGCGCTCTTTATATTGTTGGCACTTTGGAATAGATACGCAATTGTACGACCCTCTAATGCAGGCATAAGCTGATATACTGCGATAGGAAACTGCAGTGCAGAAGGATGACTGGCTGTGGGGTGGTTTCAATACTCGTATAAGTGGAGGATCGGAATGATTAGCTCATTATCTGTTACTCAGAATACAAACGTAGCATAGGTCAATTCGTCCAAGACAACTGGCTAGACTTGTAATACCGAATTGGCCAAATCCCCTTCCGTCGCTTTTAAATGAAATCTCGCCTGATATGTCACATAGGCACATCTGGTGAGTTAGTAATGTCAGATCATGTCCTTTATTTACTTTCCTTAGCGCCCTGATACTGATATCTCTCTTATATACCCGCTAGTAATACCAGTGCCCTTTATAACAATGGCATAGAAATTCTAGTCATTTACTCCCGTATACTAGCATCTGCTCCATATTCAAGCAGCAATTGAATAATGTCCATAGAACCATTTTTCATAGCAGCATCAAGAACACTTCCGCTCACTCCTTGTGCATGTATATCTGCTCTACTAGCAAGAAGTATTTTGATAATTTCCATAGAGCCGTTTTGTACGGCAGTATGGAGAGCGCTTCCGTTCACTCCTTGTGCATTAGGATCTGCTCCATAAGCAAGAAGTCTTTCAATAATTTTCACAGAGCAGTTTTCTACGGCAGTATGGAGAGCGCTTCCTTTCACTCCTTGTGCATCCATATCTGCGCCATGATCGATAAGTAATTTGACGATTTCCACAGAACCAATTTTTGCAGCGGCAAAAAGAGCGCTTCCATTTGCTCCTTGAGCATCAATATCTGCGCCATGATCGACAAGTAATTTGACGATTTCCATGTGCCCGTGCGCCGTCGCTGTCTGAAGCGCAGGATTGCCGTCTTCTCCCGTACTGTTAGGGTCAACTCCCTTCTGCAGTAGGAAACGAATTAGGAATGTAATGCCACTGCGAGAAAGATTGTACAGCAGATGGCCGTATCTGATGTCAGTTGTGGCTATTGTCTCCGCTTCGAGCAGTGTGGCCACAACATCTAGATAGCCTTCGGCTGCCGCAATGTCCATGCAGTCGAATCTAAAACTCGTCGCTCGTTCTAACAAGGAGTGGGAATGCATACATAGCCCGGCTTTATCGAACCAGGACTCCAGAATGAAAAAGGCAGAGCTGCCCTCTTGGCGCATGATGGAGTTCGCGAATTTGACTCCGATATCAAGAGCCTGGCTACCCTTGTCCGAATTTTGCATGTGTTGGGGGAGAAACTGTAGGATGTAGGAAAGCAGAGGCCAATTTGCAAGGTGGCGAATAATGTGTTTATAATCCGGTTTGTCTCCATTCATTGCAGGGCAGTTTTCTGCAAATAGACGAAGATACGAGATGCAGTTGAGGAAAATCTCATATTCTCCTAGATGTTTCTTCATGAGGAACTCCCCTGCTTCGACGTCGCTGGTCAAGAATTCTCGGACGGTTAGATGTAGAAGCTGGACGATATCGTTCGTATCGCGCAGAAAGAAATCGGCGGAATCCTGTGATGATCCAATCTCCAAGAGATCTCCACAAATGTCACTCATTCTTTGTTGCACAGCGGTATCATCGAGAAGGCGATAATCCTGTAAGTTGATCCTTGAATTCTCTTCCACAGTGTCTGGTATCGCAACTACGTCGCGAAACTCGTTGACGCTTAGCGCCCGCTCAGCAAATGTCACCCACGTCAGCATCCGTTGCGCTTCTCGAACTCGTGAATCAGCCTTTTCTTGCCCTTCGTTATTGAATCTGGCTAACAAGTCTTTGACAATGCGCTCATATAATGGCTTCAGATCGTTGGGGAGTGCGTCCACTGTTTTCTTGAATTCTCTTGCGGAAACACCGCGACGTACTTCCCGCTTTAATTCTCTCGTTACAATCTCTACCCACATAAAAACTCCTCTCGCCTTGCTCACGAGGTTGGCAGTTGCATATGCGGCCATATCTTCAAACTCAGCCGTGAGTGCGGGCCGCTGAGCCAGGTACGCGTCTTGCACTTTGCACATTGCTATTTTGATAAACTTTTTGATGTCCCCTTCGTTCTTTTTCTCGAGCACCACGTGGAAAAAGTTGTGAGATTTCCGTATATAAAAAAAATTGTCCTTAATGTCCTCTTCAGGTCGACTTGCAAGAACACATTTGATAACACAAGCTGATTCATTCTGGCAGAAGTGCTGCAGTAATAACAAGATATCGGATCTTTCTGACTGCTCTGACTCGTCCATTGCGTCGATAACGAGGTAGATTGTCAGAGGAAAATCGTTAAATTCACCCAGTGAGGTGAAGACATTGTGGAGATCTTTGAAAGTCCAAGAGATTGAACCCCGAGAACGATCTAGCAGGCTTCGATATTTTTCTCTAAAGGCCGGGTAAAATCTTTGCTCCTGGCTCAAAAGCTGGTACAGAAGCGATTGAAGCATATGAGTATTGCTAATCTCAGATTTGGCGCCTCTGAGACTGTAGAAGAAGCTGGCGAGGAGGGCAGAGCGGTTCCTCGGCTGTGGAGCAATGTCGTGAAAGGCAGCTTTGTCAGGTGTAGCGTAAGCGTCTGAAAGGTCGTATTGATTCTGTAAATGTTTGAGAATCTTTTTACACAGAGTCGATTTTCCACTGCCAGGTCTGCCTTGTATCCAGAGCAATGCTGACGTTGTCTCCTTGCTCCAGAGTTTATACGCATCGTCCGCCCAAAGCCAAGCTCCTGTTTCTTCACTCCCTAGTGAGATGATTCCACGGCGCTGGTTATCCGCCATCGGTGACAGAGAATTTAAACAATCTATACACGTAAAAATAATTTAGCTTCCTTCTTTTTGTTTTGGAGAGTTTGAGCCAAGCCCATAACTCATGATGTGTACCTGTTGATTCCTTCTCCGGGTTAATATATGGCAGATCTTCCAAGATGTCCGAAATGTTGAGAGATGGTCTACTGACCGTTAAGATCTTGAGTTTTGATGGATTTTCTGTGTTGCTTTTCCCTTTGATGTTGTCCCATACTTCGCGAAGATTTCTTAGAAACCGACCTAAGTCTTCTGGATACAACTCATCAATACCATCAATGATAATCCGAACCTCCAGACGCTCTCTACTCTCCAACAAATTATTTAGCACTTTTTCTAGAACTTTCCAAAGTGTAACTTCGTGACTTTGTTCGATAAGCTGATCGCTGCGGGACAGACACGTCCGGAGATGTGGAGGGATGCAGTCGATAATGTCACACTCTAGTAGCTGAGATATGATTGATGCCACCGCAGTCGTCGAGCTGGGTTCTTTTTTTCTTTTGAAGAAGAAGAATGCAAGACGAGTCCGAAACGACGTGTGCATCTGCTTGATCTGTTGCACTATATGCAATGATGTTGTGGTCTTTCCCGAGCCTGGGAGCCCTGAGTACCACAAAAATTGAGGTTCGTGACTGGAAAGCCAATTTGTATATTCTGGGCTTTTCAAAAACTACTCCATCGTTTGGACGTCAATTTGATTTTGATCTCGCTGAAGGTCATTTTGGAAATCCGTTTCCACGTAGAAACTAAGTGCTTTCATCGCTGACACGTCGGAGACGTCCTGCTTGTTGATGTTATTGTCAACCAAGCGCTTGATGCTTTGGCATAGGCGAGTGTATCCGACATCTGTTTCGCTCAGGAATCTATGAATAGCACGGTATTTCCCATGACAAGGAATGTTATCCTTCTGGGGTATCATCGCGGAGTCTTTTTTCACGGCCTTTGAGACAAGTGTTAGCATATGAGTCTTTCTTATGTTTTCGTATCACTATAGAACCGACATTCATGATTGGAAATGGACCGACGGATTCTGGCTGAACCTCATAAAAGTTGACCATGTCCCTATTTGCAAACCGGGTTAAGAAGATCTCATGTAGAGACTTGTTTTCCGGGGATCTAGGATCAATAACTTCAAGAAGCGCAGTGCTTGCGCCTTGCCAATACCCGAGCAACGACAATGCCTTTGCGAAAATGGTCAATTCCGAGCCCAAATGGGGAGTCTCAAGGAAAATAAAGCCTTTGGCGCAATCTGGAGAGAATGCTGACTGTGATTTTCCAGAGGTATCGCCATGGGCCATGAGCATGGCCTTGAAATATTCAGTGTCAGAAGCGAGCCCTTTCTTCAGGCGTTGCACATACCTGTTTGATGATGAGGCCCCCGAAACTATATCCGATGAGTACCACTGGGCGATGTCGTTCCTGCAGAACAGCCGTGTTAGAAGTGCTCAATCATTACTACAGGCTATCGGACACTGCGTCATACTGTCTCTGTTTGCCTGACGCCCTCGATCGAAGTTAGGAGATCTTGACCATAGTCTCTGAGAGACATGCCTAATGCATGTGCTTGCCATCCGGAATTGTGGTAATAAACTAGGACTCGGGCCTGAAGTGCATCGAGAGGGAGAAAATCTCGAAGCCACATAGGCCCGTATTTTAAATTTGCATTTGGTTGGGTGTAGTTTTGAGCCAGAGTTGAATTGCCAGCTGCGTCTCGTGGAGCATCAAGCTTGTAGGCCCATGCCGTCTCTGGAGAGGAGCCAAGTCCATGAACAGCTACAATACTACGACCCGGCCACATGATTAGCTTCTATTCTATAAATAACCTCAAGAATGAATTCTTACTCGACCGATATGGAATAGCCGGGATGCGATCCTGGAGCTGACTTGGGCAAGAACACATCTAATTGCCTCGGCGTTTCATAGGCGGCTTTTTGTTTGAAGAGCAAGACTTGGACCGGGGATAGAGCAATACAGACGGCGAGATTCAAGAGGCATAGAGTACCGTATAGGAATGAATATGTTGTTGACTCCTGCTGTAAACACTTATCTGCAAGGAATACGAGAAATAATAGCGTTCCTGCCCAGACTTGATGAAAGAGCTTTCCAGATACCATGGCTGCCCAACAGAAATACGTGCCAAAGATGAGAGCCAAGGTTGTCGAAGCCATATTGAGATGGGAGCCTGATAGTACGGCGGTCTTCGTGTTAGCCCTGTTGGGCGGGTGCTGTTTGGATCTTCGCTGACAACAACCAAGTCGCGTACACTGAAGTTGATGGACGTGACACAGGAGATAGGATGAGGGGGAGAGTAATCTGAGGCAACAGATGCTGGTGATGTTGCTGAGCCGCGTTGCGTTGCCCCGCTCATGAACGCACAAGAATGAGCGAATGAGAGCCTTGTACGTGGGATATCAGCCGCAGCTGGCCAATCAAGCATGCATCTACATCTATTGGCTGTAAATGAAATCGCGATGCAGCGAATAGTAGTTGAGCAAACTGGGTGCCTGAAAGAGGCGGCTGAAAAAAAGGCTTGGCTGCGACAGGTAGGGATTGAAATGACTCTCGAGCAATTTTATTTAGAGTGGACAAGCCTGTTTCAGCTCAGAACGCTCTCGACGGAAAAGCCTGGAAAGACATAGCCAAACGCGTAGAGACTGACTCGGCGAACGCGAATATTTCCAGAGACACATTTCTGCCATGAACGAAGTGCCTTTTCCATCCCATCGACAGCTTTGTTCTGAGCTTTTCATTGTTGAAGGCACGCAACGCGTACTGACCAAAGGCTCGGACAACGTCGATCCCTCTGCCGCGATCTCTCAAGAGGCTGCAGACAGCGCCTCGTTACTAGGCCACCCTTGGGTTAGGCTTCGAGATCCTTATAATGGAATTAGCCAATTCCTGAAAGACGAATTGATAACGGATAGCTTGGACAAGCTAGCTCCGCATCTGTGGCTGGTTGCCACGCAGAACAGCACTCATATTTCGTCGCTGACCCATCAACTGGTCCGAGGCCGACAGATAGTTGTCACAGAGGATCCAGGCCTCCATTTGACATGGATATACGAAAGGGTTTTTATAAAGCCGCTTCCCGAGTATCTGCTTTCCCACGCGTTTTGGGATTACTTCCTCGTCAACTCCAGTTCACCCATTCCCTCTCCGGACAGGAAAGCAATCTTCAGAGCGGCATGTGGCTTCTTGAGATCCTACGCGTTTCTCATACAGCACAAATCGGACTATCTGCTTGCAATACAGGATGACAAACTGGACCTAATTCCGAAGTCCATCCCATTTTCCGACTTGGTTGAGTTTCTGAGATGTTTCAAGTCCATTCCAGATACTGAAGTTTCTCCCCGATATCTATATAGAGATCTCCGACTTACGCGCCTCAACTTCTGGGTCAAGATATTCCAAGGGAAAAGAACATATTTCAAGCAATATGGGCAGTATGGTGCCTACTTTGCTCAATTTTATGGCCCTCTTCTATTTGTCTTTGGAATAATTACTCTTGCATTGAGCTCGATGCAAGTTGTTTTAGCTGCGGAATCAGTCACCGGATTTGGCGATGGATGGATGAGTTTTGTGTGGATGTCGCAAGGCTTTTCAATATTTACTCTATGCCTGACCCTTTTGTTGTCATTATTTCTGATAGCAAGCCCCGTTTTGTTCATTTTCCGAGAGGTCATTTATGCTGCGAAACACCACCACCATGGTGAGCTAGTGAGCGAATGTAGTTCAGGAGCGGCTAGAGGCAAGACAAATACTGAAGGCGTCGTGTAGACTGAATGAAAAGACTTCAATCGTTTTAATAATGCTCAAGAGCTGTCTGAGATATTCATTGTTTACTCGGGCAACGATGTTCCATTTGCGGCGGGAGGACATTCTTGCTTATTCTCTGATATTCTCAAATACTTCTATTTTAATTCTGCTTTGTAGATATGCAGCGTCTCCATGCCTATTGGCTTTGATAAATTATGTGACCAGATATTGAATTGTTCATCTTGAAGAGATATCGTGTGTATTGTGGCATTCACAATCACACAAAGGGCGGCATTTTAGCTTGCTGATCGCGGTCAAAGCGTACTGACTCTACTCCTCAAAGAGAAGAGAGCTGAAAATCCCCTCCACATATGTTAAACATGCCATATTATTGTACTGACTATCAGTTGCGAATGGTGGTCGTTCAGCGTCTCATTAAGTACGACGCTGAGGTGAATGCTCGAGGGCAATGGAGATCGGCATTTCACGCGACGGCAGCACGGTCGCAGTTTGAAACAGCAATCAAAGTGATAAAGGTATTGATTGATGACGGCGCCTTAGTTGACCAACGGGGCGGCGAAAATTGGGGAAAAGTGCTGCATGTTGCCTATAGATGGGAAAATAGAGGCCGTTCAATTTCTGCTGAAGAGAGACGCGGGTGTCAACGCTCAAGGGGGTCGATTAGGAACTCCATTGCAAGCTGCTATTGCCAGAGAAGAAGAATCGACATCTTAGCCAAGAATCACATGGATCCAGACGTGATAAACGAGCAGCAAGGCTTTGCGCTTCATATGGCATGTGCGAGAAAGCATGAAGGCAGACATGCGAATCTCGCTAGTTTCCGCTTGGACTGTGCACATATCAACGGCTCATCCAAGAAATCAAAGGAGCTCCTTCAGAAGTTTCCTGATATGAATGTAAATGCACAAGCCGGTGTATTCGGCACAGCTCTTCGGGCTGCCGCCTATTGCGACCAGATACTGTCAGTAAGGCTATGGTTGGATAGAGGAGCCAAAGTCAACACGCAGATGAATTTCGGCAGTGCTTTGAATAGGGCTATTGTCAGCGGCCATGAGACAATTGTCAAGAATCTTTTTGATGCTGGTGCGGCCCGATTGTCATTTGCGATAGCAACTTGACGAAGAGTGACTTCAGGCTATTTTAGAAGATGACCAAAGTACCGTTGAAAGGCAGAGACAGTTTTTGCGAGGAGAAAAGCAGGGCGGAGAAGGAGCTGTACTTCAATAAGAAGAGTAACCCTCCCTTGAATAGCCAAATTGGACATTGCGCCCGTTGTTTGCAGTGCTGTAGTTCTATTACAAATGTTGAGCTCACGCATGGACTCAGATGCGAACACCTTATAAAGCCAATGCTAGATTCTCCTCTGAGGACAAGGCTTCAAAGCGATATTTGAGCTGCAAATCAGATCTTATTACTCACCTAGCGGTCCTATAGCCACTGGAGTAATTACTACTGGCGTTGCACCTTAGTATTGGCCTGCGTTGAGTGTTCAAGATGAAAATCAGCTTCTGAAGAAATAGTAAAGAATCTGGGTCGATTGAGGCGTAAGCCAAGTAGAGACTTGTTTCTTGGTCAAGATAATTTTCTGCCTATGTCTCGATAGCACTTTGGCCTACACGATTTCAACCAAGGTTCCATTGTTTTATCAACTACCTACATGTAGTTAAAACATGCCGAGATACCACCCCAAGCGGACTTTACAACCGGCATGTTCAGTTGCAAAAACTCCAATCTGGCCATCAAAAGTGGAGCCAAGTGGTAATTTCACAGAAAGCTGCAGATGCGAATTACTAAGCTAGGAAGCACGCCAACCACGCCGGCTCTCTGTGGGATGTTGCGGTGGTATATCGCTCCTGGTTGTGCCCGAAAAAGGTCCTAAATCCGGGCCCCATCAACCGTTATGGCACCCAGAATACCCAATAAGGCTTCTATTCTACCTGAAATCTCACCTGTTGATTTGATATCAAAGGTATTTGTGTAGTATTCGATCACACGCTGGGTATAGTGCCGATGGGATGGCCCACGAAATCTAATGGTGGCGTTGCTAACTCGGTTAGCGAAATTCCATGTGTCGACATACATTGGTAAGTTGCGAAATACGATGATATAATGTCGCGAATGGATCATTATTCTACATGGGCAATATAGAGGCAGAGAAGTAGCAATGCAAAATATAAATATTTCGCACAGTAGCAATTGAGCGCTGTTTGTATTAATATCTATCTTGTATTCTGTCAATTCACCAAGCGCTATTCATCGATGTGTGGAAGTCAAGAGCTATATCATTGAAGATACACACACCTCTATTGCCATGGCAGAGATAAAAACCACTACACACGTTTACAAAACTGTGAACGGGCTAGAGCTCACTATTGATGTTTCCACTCCTGCTACAGCTCAAGCCAACAATATTGCCCTTATTCATTTTCATGGAGGATTCTTGGTAAGCTGACATTGCTAGATACAGTTATGATGAAGTAGAATCTAACAAACATCGCATGCAGCTATTTGGAGACAAGACTTCGTTTCCGCCTTACTGGTTAATTAACGTATGCAAAAAGAGAGGCTGGACATATGCAACTGCTTCATACCGGCTACTTCCAGAAGCTAAAGGCCACGATATTCTCGAAGATTCCTTGGATGCTGTTCGCTGGGTCTATAACAACATCTCGCGTCGAATCATCATAGCCGGCTCCAGCGCCGGAGGCCATGTGGCATTCACAACAGCAGCCAGTCCTCTGTGTCCAAAGCCTCTCGCACTGCTATGCGTTTACGGCATGATTGACTTTTTGAACGGTCGATATGTTCATCCTGGGCGGCTTCTAAGGGGAGGTATTCCCAACGAAGACGAAATCTTGAAAGAGATTGATGCAGCTATACAAGGTGCTAAAGTAATTGACGGGTATCCCATCCCACCTGACTTGGAGGCAAGTCAACGATTCAAATGGTCTTCTGTGATGCATCAGGCGGCGCGATATATCGACGTCCTTACCCATTCTCCTGGGTTGACGGAAAAGATTGCAAAGGAGGGTGTTCAAGTAATACCCGAGGAGCATCGGCCACTGTTTCCAGCAACATTTGGCTTAAATGCAAACTTTCCCCCGACTATTCTCATGCACGGAGATGCAGATGATTTAGTCGACTTTGAGTTGAGTTCTTCCGTTGCTACAAAGCTCCAAAATGCGGGGGTCAATGTTCATTTTGAACGCGTCGCCGGCCAAGGCCATGGCTTTGACTGCACAGAGAATATCGACTTGGATGCTGAGAAGAATGTGGAAGATCGAGATGGAACGCGAGAAATTCTTAAACGGATTGTTGAGCTACTTGAACGTTACACCAGGGATAACTGAGGTATTACCTAGAAGAAGTAGATATATAGTGTAGCGAACCAAATGAAAGACCGTTTGTCATTGTGGTATTCATGGGGCGTTTGACAGCCTAACGGAAGTCTCTCTAACTAGTAGAAAGACGGACGAGAACCAAAATGGACCGTATTCTCTTGGGGAATGGCGTCTGACAGGAACTACCACGTGGGTTGGCTTACGATGCTGGTGTCGCCTATCCCGCGGTTCTACATCAGCCACCGACGTAAAGCCTCGATTCCATTACAATCTAGACCTCTCAAGTCTCAAACATCGTCATATGACCACAGAGAGTTGAGAGCCCATTCCCGGGATGCATTTCCGGCAGACTCGAAAGAGCGGCGCTAGTCTGGATGTTGGATCTAGCTCACAAGTGTGGAGTGAAATGCAAAGCAATCGGGATACCTTCGGGAGAGAATCTGGGGAGAGTTTAATTCGGAAAATGAGCCGAAGCTGACAATCGTGGGGTAAACATGCGGAGAAGACGCCTGCCGGGGGAGATCCGGGGGAGTCCGGGGAGAGTTTCGTTAGCGCCACTGTCCTAGATAGTAGAGTGAGGGCATCGACATCGACTATACAAAGGTAAAGGTGTAGATCGTGTAGCTCCCCGGGAAAGAGATGGCTCTCGAAGAAAAGGAATATGGCTATAAAAGTGCTACAATTTGCTCAATAGGTGACACGATGCACTGCAAATGAATATGCGCGGCTAGTGATAGGATGCTTCGACAAACTAATTGGAGTTGTATTAAGACGAAATGTATCATCTTCAGTCGACAACCTTGTGTTATTTGGTGTGCCTTTGCATGAGCAGCTTGTCACCTGCCATCGCTTCTGCTGTCCATCACCAAAATGCGCCCTCGGCTCACACCGTCAATGGGACTTACACCGGCCTCACTCTCAGCACTTTCAACCAAGAGGCCTTTTACGGCATCCCTTTTGCAATACCTCCACTTGGAGACCTGAGACTCCGTTATCCCGTGCCGTACAACCAGTCATGGACAGGCACTCGTAATGCCACCGTACGCTCAGACTCGTGCCCCGGCTTTGACAAGCCCTTTGCCCAGGGCTTTGCCGACGGCTTAACCATGAGCGAAGATTGCTTGACGCTTGACATTGTGAGACCTGCCAATGTTCAACCTGGAGACAACCTCCCTGTCTTCTTCTGGATTTACGGCGGTGGCTTCAAAGCCGGTGGATCAGCCGACCCGCGTTACAACACGTCGTTCATGGTGCGCAACTCGATGCAAATGAAGAAGCCAATCATCGCTGTAGTGCCCAACTACCGCACATCTGCGTTTGGCTTGTTGGCTTCAAAGGAGGTTGCGGCAGCCGGCGTAGGCAACATTGCCCTCTTTGACCAGCGGCTAGCGATGAAATGGGTGTCTGAGAATATCCGCGCGTTTGGCGGCGATCCCAGCAAGGTCACAATTGCGGGTGAGAGCGCGGGAGGCTCTTCGGCGGGATACCAGTTGGTGGCATTTGAAGGGAAGAATGACGGCCTATTCAGGAGTGCTATATTGGAGAGCTCGAGCTTGCTTGGTGCTTCGAGTAAGTTTGTCTTCAGTACTTGTAGCGAAGATCCAGCTGATGTGTTACTGACTGCTCATAACAGTGAATACTGTTGAGACGCTGAACGTAACTTACCAAGGCTGGTATGATAACATCACGACAACGGTTGGCTGCAACACCGCCACAGATTCTTTGGCCTGTCTCCGCACCGTTCCATACCAGAAGCTCTTCAGCGCCGTAAATGGCTTCCAGTTCAAGCCCTATATCGACGGCAAATTTATCTCTCAGCCTCCCTCCGTTTCAATCGCAAAGGGCCAGATTGCTGATATCGCTCTCATCATGGGGTCTAACACAGACGAGGGCACTGCCGAGTTCTTTACGCCTCGAGGAACTCTAAACAACGACAGTGACATTTCATCTCTCGTCGCCCATCTTGGCGGTGGTCTCAACAGCTCAGTCGTCGCCAACATCCTCCGTCTCTACCCTGATGATCCTATCCAAGGCTGCCCCTTTGGCACCGGACCCGAGAGATTTGCAGACCAGGGCTTCCAGTACAAGCGAGGCGCTGCCATTAGTGGCGATGTAAATATCCACGCTGGTCGCCGAGCCTTTGCCATCAACCACAGTCAGCGCAGTAAGCATCCGATTTACACGTACCGCTTCAACCAAGTGCCGTGGAACATGCAAGAAGTCGACGTCACTACCACTGCGCCTGTGTTCGTTACGCATTTCACTGAGATTGTCCATGTTTTCGATAATCCGGATAAGAACGTCAACTGGATTGGGCCATATCCAATCATCTCGGAGCTAGCCACGTTCGTATCCCGGTCTTGGGTATCATTTATCCACGATCAGAATCCAAATAATCACGGTCTTGAGGGAAAGCCAGCCTGGCCTAAATATAATGCTTCGAACCCGCAGAATATTGTTTTCAGGGCTGGCGCTAGCTGGGTGGAGAAGGATGATTGGAGACGGGAACAGTTGGCATACTGGAGCACTCTCTGGACGGAAATAATGACATAGGTAGTCAAATATGTTGGTAGTTACTGCTGATTTCTTAATATCCTTCACAAGTTGAATGGTTTCGGATATGCGCTTGAGCAATTTCGGACCTAGAATTGGTGTTCGATAGTAGTGGATGTATGCTAATCAAGTAACATTTAGAGTAAGCTACATGTAGTTATCGGCGCGTGACGAACTACTATGGTGTCAATACTTTGCTACGGCACAGTTTAATGACGAAATTTGTTTGATGTTTCTTTTTATATAAACATTTAATATACTTCACAACAAAGTAACACTATATGCATCGCAGCAAGCAGTTATCAATGTTTAAAAAAAGAAGAAAAGTCTCTTTCACGTCTGCAATTCCGCCCAGATAGTGGGCCAAAACGCCAGCTTCTGTTTGCGGTAACCATCCTTTTCAACAAAACTTCCCCCTTCGCGAAATACAATGTTTTGAGGGTGATTGGAATTATACTTGGGCCATTTCGGAAGATTTGGGTCTTGCAGTCCATGGTTATTGGGATCCAAGTCATGGATGAATGACACCCAAGATCGCGACACAAAGGACTGTAGCCTTGCATAGCCTGGGTACGGCCCAATAAAATTACTGTTATTATTCGGATTGTCAAACACATACACAATCTGCAATTGACAATTAGCCAAGAGATACCGAGATTGCTGTAGTGGACACGTACCTCAGAGTAATGTGTGACATAGACTGGTGGTATAATCATAATTGAGGGCTCCCTCATATTCCAAGGTGCTTGATCAAATCTATAGGTATAGATTGGCTTTTGGCTCCGAATGCTGTGCGAATTTGCATAAAATCTTCGTCCTGAATGTATAAAGTAGTCTCCAGCAATAGCAGCACCGCGTTTGTACTGAAATCCCTGATCTGCGAATCGTTCGGGTCCAGTTCCAAAAGGACAACCCCAAGTAGGGTCATCCGGATATAGATTCATAACCGTCTCTACTGTTTTATTATTGAGACCGCTTCCAAGAGCCTGGATGTATTTGAACACATCTTGATCGGTGTTCAAAGGGTTCGCACGGGGTCCTAAGAAAACTGCGGTTCCTTCGTCAGTATTACTGCCCATGATGATGGAAACGTCGGCAATTTCTCCTTTCTGAATAGACTGTGACGGTAACTGTGAGATGAATTCGCCATCCATGATTGGTGTTTGGCGGAACCCAGTGCACGCTTGGTGTAATGTTTCATAAGGGACCGTTCTCAGGCAAGCCAGGCTATCGTTTGAGGTGTTGCAGCCTACGGTTGTTGTAATGTTATCGTACATGCCTTGATAGCTCCGTTGCAGTTGTTCAGGATTATTAACTATAAAGTCAGCCGGATCGTTCTTATTATACTCAAAGTGTCTCAGGCGTACTTGGAGCTCCTAGGAGGCTCGCACTCTCCATTATTGCTCCACGAAACAGTCCGTCATTATTGCCTTTGAAGCCAATTAAGTGATAACCCGTGCTTGAGCCACCTGCACTCTCTCCCGCGATTGTCACCTAATTGAGTTATTACATGTTAACCGGTTATAGAGACCAATTACCTTGTCAGGATCACCACCAAAGCTTTCAATATTCTCTTGGATCCATTTGAGGCCCCTTCGCTGATCAAAGAGTCCGAGATTGCTAACGTTGGCATTGAGAACTTCTTTTGATGCCAAGAAGCCAAAGCACATTGTTCGATAGTTGATAATGGTACCAATAATGGGCTTATTCATGTCCATTGAGTTTCGCACAATGTATGACAAGTTGTATTTTGGATCAGCGGACCCCCCGGCGATGAAACCTACAAGGAATCAATTTTGCTGTTTAGTGCAAGCCAAGAACAGTGATTATGGTTTACCTCCACCATAAAACCAGGTGAAGACGGGTAGTTTGTCAGAAGGATTAATGTTGGCCGGACGGACAATATCAATGGTCAAGCAGTCTTCTCCGAGGGTAAGCCCGTCGACAAGACTTCCACCAACAAGAGCAAGCGGAAATCCGTTATACCCCGGGCAAGAGTCAGATCGAACTGTTGCATTTCTTACACCGGACCAAGATTGGTTGTATGGCAGAGACCGTCGGAGACGAAGGCCTCCAACAGGCGCTTGTGCATACGGAATGCCATAGAATGCTTCTTGGTTGAAAGATGGTATGTTCAGTCCCGAATACGTCCCATTAACAGTATGAGCCGTAGGTGAAGACGCGGCGAGGACTGCAAAAGCATGCGTCACGGTGCTGAAGAGGTAGTAAGCCGTGAACAACATTGTAAGATCTTGTCCCGGGCGGGAGGGGGCCACAATTGCTTGCCAAAGGTTGAGGTCCAGCAGTCTTTTGACGTTTTATACCTACAATTACGAATTATTTTCATGTATTATTTTTTACGTTTTTAATCATCATATAGACAATGATTTATTCCTGTGTTTTCCTTAGCTCTGTCTGCGCCGGATGAGACTTCCGACGAGTGTTTAGTTCCCCGCATCTCCCCGTCTTGTCGCTTCTCCCCGTTTGTTGATGGACAAATTTAATACATTTGATTGGAGGACCATTTTAGCTAGTATAGATGATTGATAAAGCCGGCGTGAGTTGATTTTATGAGATCTGTTGTGCGCAACATGTAGAGGGCCTGGATGATTCACGTATCCCGACTGGGCGAACTGGTTCAACCAAGAATGATGTCAGCTTCAGCGAAGACAGCCCAAGGGAAAGGGATTACTAAGTGTTGCCTAGTCGCCTTGTTAGGGGAGAATCAGCGACTAGTGGCACAGCCGTTGAACAGGTACATGTATTTATGGTTTGAAGCGTTTTGGGCCGGGCCCCAGTGTCGCATCTCCCGGTGCCAAATGTGACAAATGAAGTAGAGATAGAGTTGGTCTCTGCTACGCTATTATCTCCGACAAAATGTTTGCTGCGTTTCATGAAATGCTCCTCCGTGGTAGGACAGACAAGTTGCATTGTACCGAGTATTGCAAGCGTATTGCAAGTGCAACCACTCCTGCGCCGACAGCCACCACATCTGCAGGTGCTGGATAGTACTGGAAGGAAACCAGGCGAATATATCATAATGCTGTTTCATTGGTCAATGTTGAAGATGGAAACTCGCTCCCAAGATCGTTAGCGCTAGGAAAACTTGGAGAGGATGCGACACGCTTCGGGGCAATGCATGCAAGACGAATGGCCAAAATCCAAGAAACAATTATAATTGAATGCAGAGTCCATCTTGTCCAATTACATGTTGATTGCTTTCTATGGAATTTGTATCGGTTCAGAAAAGGCTTTGTAGTTCTCAACTGCTCTGTTTCTCGGCCAGTGGGCTGCGGCCGACGGGTTAAAAGTCTCAGGCTATGTGATATGTGATATGTGATGTCAGCAATCCTACAGCCATACTCGCCAAGTAGAGTAGCCACGGATTTAAACGTCCTGGAGGATTTACTTTTAGGGTTAATCGCCCAATCTACCTACTTTGACTGCCCATGTAACAACAAGACCCATACATAGACAACGCTCTCTCTCTCGGAATTACGACATTGCCGCTAGCCTGAAACTCCTTCCAGCGCTAGAGCTTCGTTTAGCTAGTCACGATTCTAGCGTAGCGTTTATGCAAGCCGTTTGCTCAATCAGGCAATTCCACAGCTTGGGCTTGATCCACTGGTAACTGATCCCTCGCGCCACAAATGCCATCACTGTACTTTATATGTCAGCGCCTTGATACTTGAATGTGAATGCCCTTTTAACTGAAGAATACGATCTAGAAGGATCCTGACAAATGTGATGGATATACGGATGGAATCATTTTAGTTAATCTCCAAGGCTGATTAATTTGAAGAAGCTAGATTCGCTCTGATGGCATTTCAAATCATACTTTCGCGATGAAAGATACATAGGGGTGTGTAAATGGAAAATTGATAAATACTCGGACATGCACCTGCCATAAAGAGAAGAAAAATCGCTCATCACACACTTCATCTACAACACCCTTCAAACAATAAACCGCAAACCACCTTCAATTTTTCTAACCGTTTATATAAAATGGCTGCCAGCAATCTTCTTGTCCTCACAGGAGGCACCGGTTTCCTGGGATTCAAGGTCTTGACCATTGCCCTTGCCGCCGGATACAATGTCCGACTGGTGGTCCGGTCCGCCGCCAAGGCCAATACCGTTCTCAACTCGCCGTCTATCAAGGCCTTGAACCTCAGCCAAGAGAAACTCTCGTTTGTCGTTGTTGAGAATATGGAACTTCCTGGAGCCTTTGACGAGGCAGTCAAGGGAGCGACATATGTCATCCACTGTGCTTCTCCAATCCCCAGCTTTGGCGGCGCAGCCCCTACCCCCGAACAGTATGACGAATTTTTTGTTCGGGCTGCTGTCCGATCGACCGTTGAGCTCCTCGAAAGTAGTCACAAGGCCGGCACCGTTAAGCGTATCGTCATGACCAGCTCCATGGTTGCCATCACTCCGTTCCATTACTACCTCGGCCAAGGAGACGACAGAACTTTCGACGCCGAGTTCCGCATTCCTGTCGACAAAGGCCCTTATGGTTTCGAGTTTCAAGCCTACAGCGCCAGTAAGGCTGCTGCCTTGAACGAATCCGAGGCTTGGGTTCGGCAGATCAAGCCAGGCTTCGACTTGATTAGCATCCTGCCTGGATGGATCTTTGGCGCCGATGAACTAGCCACCAGGGTCCAAGACTTTGAGACTAGCTCCACTAACTCGGTTCTTCTGGGTTTGCTCCGGGGTAGTGAGACAGATGTTCCGTCAAACAGCAACTCGGTTCTGGTTGATGACGCTGCCCGTCTTCACGTATTGGCTCTCGATCCCAAGATTCCCGGCAATCAGGCATTCGTGGCTGCAGCAGATGGTGTCAATGGTATGGCGTGGGAAGACAGCATCAAAGTTCTCAAAGAGCACTTTCCGGAGGCAATCGCAAAGGGACTTGTCAAGACAACTGGGAAGCAGCCAACCCTTACTATTCCCGTTGATGCTAAGAAGACCGAGGAGACTTTTGGTATCAAGCTCGCTGGGTTTGATGAGCAGGTTAAGAGCTTGGTGAACCAGTGGATCCAGGTTTCAACGGCGGCCTAGATTTTGTAGTTTAACTAAAGACACAATTTAATTCATCATCTTATAGTTTACTCGGATTTGAACATTTATACCTCGCGATAATATTTTCTTGTTCTGTCTAGAGCTCATTTTGTGACTTGCAAGATTTCTGAATGTAGATATGAAAAGGATATTAAATATATATCAGCGGTATGGCCATCACCTAGTCAGCTCTTCCAGATAGTGATGTGTAGAGTACACGATATACATTGCTCGATGGGATCCACAAATGACTGAGCAGATAGCTAAAAGTACAAAGTGTCATAGAGCAATCCCGTCTAATTAGCTATGCAAATATCTAGCAGAGTGTCTATTTCTATCTCTTAGTTCGGCTTATTGCTCCTGCAGATTGCATGGCAAAGTATCCAACCTCTGCCATTCTCGCTAAAATGCCATCTCCTTAGGTAATTCCCTAGCAGCTGGCAATCTTCCAGAGACCAGGTGCTATTTCCATCAAAGCACTAACAACATCCCCACTCTCGCTCTAGAAAGATCTGATGTAACACAACATTGTCTCTTTCAGTATATAAAGGCTTCCTTTCCATGTAAAACTATGGGCTTCTTCACAGGCAAAGGATCGCTCCAATTGGAGAGAGGATGCACGCCAATCACTTATGATTATCAGAGAATTCTTATTCGTAATACTAAGCATCAAGGCAATAGTAAATGCTGAAGCAAGCATAAGCAGGAGTTGACCTCCAAAGCTGCCTGTTATTGTCCCTGAAGCAAGCAAACTGTCGCTGCTGGTTGTTGCCACTCCCTGCGTACTGGCCGAAGCTGAAGCTTCCACCTTGAATGTGGGTCGTAAAAGTGTTTCCAGTTGCGAAGCTTGCGGTGTAAGAGTGGCCCTCCCAAGTAACCAGACTTGCTGGGTTGGTAGCAAAGGCTATATTCTGAGAAAACGGTGCCGTGTTTGACTGCGAGTCATCTGCGTAGTAGGCGACGACGCTGGTAAACGCCGAGTTAACATCAGGGCCACAGTTGGCAAGATGCACGCCCCTGTAGATAAATCGCCCTATTAGCCACACATTCAGATCATTTCGTAGTAGCTGAAACATACTCGCCAGCCATAGCGCTGGGAATAAGGAGGGCGGTTGCCGCTAGTAGAACAGCGATGGGCTGGAACATTGTGGAGGATTTATGTAAAAGAACAAGATGGAGTTGCTACTTCATGAAGCTATAACAGTGGTGCTTGGATAGTCTTTATATGTGTTGCTGCGCTCTCGTGTACATTTGTAACTGTCGGTATATTTAGAACCCCATGAACTACAGCTGAAAGAGTGAGGCGATGGAGTCTCGTGAGCGGGTGCTGCTAGTACTCTTTCCGTGCATAAGCTTCATGGACTCTTTGTACACCGCATCAAACAAAACAAAGTCAGCACAGAGAACTTGGACTATAGGATAGAGACGGTCCAAGAGACGGGAGGCTAAAATAGCGGCAGGCAAGTCCACCAATTGCATATGAAGCCAAGACAGGCGAAAATATGACACGCAAATCCACCAATTACGAATGATGGGGTTATGCTTTTTCTTTGAGCCTCTTGCGGGCGCGCGAAAAAAAAATAGTAATCCAGTTGAGAGCAGAACTTTCACATGTTTAGGATAGCTGCCAAAGACTCCAAACCATGAGAGTTCCGTAAGTCATTTCTACTATGCTAATGCTGCTCATAATAAAGAGGTTTGCCCTTTAGCGGGTAACATGTAGTATTGATAACTAGCCGTTTTATTTTTCGCACAAGCCGCGAGCGTCATATTCCTATGAAGCGAGAAATTCAGTCTGCCCCTCTATTTGTTAACCATTTGGCGTAAAGAGGGCCATGACACAGCCTCCTGCACATAAGCAATAATACAATTTTAGAGCTTTAAATAAACTCTTCCCACCATAGCTGCAGCCTCATCTTTAAGCTAGGCTCTTGTCCGACGCTTATTGATTACATGTACTGATTAATGAGCGCTTTAGTGGGACGTTTGTCTTCCTTGTGGAATAGTATTGCCCCTAATTTCCTTAACGCCGGTATGTCCTTGTTAACGGCAATTCAGTCTATTTTGGCACATCGTGATTGCCTGCTACATCTTAATGCTTATGCTTTGTTGCCTCCAATTGTATAGTTGGTCATTGCCTATCTGTTGTCGCTCCGGACTAAGTGCAATGGTCTTCCCAAGTCCTGGTTGCCAAACCTGCCGAAAGCGTAGAGTCAAGGTATTTGATGAGCTAAAGTCATTTCCGCCATTGTAAAACCAGTTATTGATAACTCACGGCACAAATGATAGTGCGACTGTACGAGACCTCTGTGCCGAAAATGTTTGACCGGCAATCGGAAATGCACCTGGGACTCGGACGAACAGACCGGCTTGCACTTTAGAAGTGAAAACGCGTTTGCCATGGGTCGTCGTCGACGTCCACCCAAGACAAACAGCAGCCCAACAATAAACTCAAACGCAGGTTTCACACCAGTTATAAACAACAACACAATTCAGCCAGCGCTGTCACTGCCACTGGAGATGCACGCACTCTACTATTATGCAGACAGCGTTTCTATGGAAAGACACAACTTAGGAGATGCTTGCTACGAATATAGTTCACACGTGCTGCATTACTGGGACTTGGCTAGGCCGGGCTCTTGTCTTCGTCTCGCGCTGACGGCTTATTCGCACGCCGTAATCGGGCGGAACCGGGGCGTGAGACAAGCTCTTGGCCTTGCCCAAAGAGTATATGCAAAGGCAGTGGAGGAGATCCAGAAGGCGATGAGCACAATATCGAGCGATACGATCTATCAGGTGATACTGGCCATGATGCTAATGGGCAGTTATGAGAATGTCATGTACTTTTCGAGAGAATCTACCCTACCTCCTGATGCTGTTGGCTCCCGTTTCTGGAAGAAAATCTGTCATGAGAAAGGCGCGGGCGGCCTTCTTATTGTGCGTCGCGAGAGGGGCTTTGCAATGAATGCAGAGCTGGAGAAGGCGGTTCGACAAAAATGTGTAAGTGAGCTGCCATTAACCTCATAATTGCAGGCCAAGTGCTGTATGCTGACTTGCGGTTTGTAAAGCTCCGTGTCATCATCCTTCGTGGAGCAGCTTCGGCAGCTTGGTTTGAAGATGGCCGGAGCTGGGGCGAAGAAGGACATGAGTTGGAACTGGACTCGCTCATGATTCGTGTCTTGATTTTGAGGAACAAGTCGGTATCTTTCCTGGGAGATATGGATGCATCAGATCTAGGGACCATTGATGAAGCGAAGTCAATTGCTATGGAGTCATATACCCTCGATTACGATCTCGCTTTGTGGGCTCTCAGACTTTCACAAGACTGGGAGTTTCACGTTAGCTGGAGGCCTTCACAGCCAAGCTCGAATGGGACTGACGCTCGTGTGGATATCCCCTCGCATAGTTACCCTTCAGTCGGCCACGCGTCAACATGGAATCGATACCGTGCTCTTCGGTTAATCACAAATAGTATACAGAAACGAGCCCTCTGTGCGCTCCGATCACTTTCTAATGATGCCTTCCTCGTTACGGATATACAGAGGTGCCAGGATAACATTGACAAGCTCGCTGTGGACCTTTGCCGTGGCGCAGAGTTTTCGATCACTCGCCAAAACACTGCTAGAGGCTCTGAGGCTTCCACACTACTTAATGTGATTCATCCAAGTGTGGCTGCATTACTAGCATGGCCATTGACTGTGGCCGTGAGTGTTGATGCCGTCCGGCTTTCAGAGAAGACTTGGCTGAAGGGTGTCTTGAAAGCCGTTGCTCGCTCTCTGGGACACACACAGCTTGAATCCGTCAGTGATGAAGGGGAATACGATATTTGACCTCACTGTCGCTTCAAGAAGGCAATGCTGGAGAATTAAAGGTTTGACCGATCACCTGTTGTGCTTGCTGTGATTGTGATGGGATCAGTACCCACAGATCAATCTGCAAGTGTGAAAATTGGCATTACGACTAGATTTGTCTATGACATACAATTACATCTCGGAAGATAAACTCGATATAACGTACTCTAAATTTTTAGCATCATCATCTACTGTATACTCGATAAATAATTATATTGACAATACTCATCTAGTAGATTGTTGATCCTGATCTCCTAAGCGTTGATTATCCGAAGCGTCATCACGATCTGTAATTGTGCTCTGAGTTGCAGAGACGACGGGATTATCGGGCTTAAGCTGAAGCTTCGTACCGTTGTCTTGTCTTTGTGCGCCCAAACGTCTCTATGAAGAAAATCAGAAGCGATGGATTGATATTATTCTTTCACAGGCCTGAAGTACCATGGTTCAATGTTCGGATTCAGCTTGCAGGGTATCTTCACGGACTTGGAGGGCATTAGTGCCATCTACTCGACTCTCTGCAAAACTCACTATATATCCCTTGTATCGAAGCTACACCCTTTTTGGATAAACGCGCGAGGTATCCATAAATTCTCAGTTTGTCAGCCCGACGATCTAAAGGCTCAATTGAGTAAAAGAAGTCTTCCAATGGCAAAATGAAGAAGGATTGGAAGCGAGGATGGACTTTGGCCATCTAACTCCATTCACGAATACGTGTGATACATGTCAAATGTCAAAAATATAGTGACGGACTTAACGGACGTTAAAATCTCAAGAGTTTAGAGGGTGTTTGGCTGTATCGTGTAAAAGAGTAGACCAAGTAGTTGTTGCTATGGCTTCTACATAAATAACAACCATATTCCACTACATTTGAGATTTCTTTTTCGAGTCAATTTCTCATCAGAAAGACATCAGCCGACTAAACTCAGTAAGATCGTTCCTACACCGCAGACTCAATGACTCTTTCACTACCTCCAGCGCTCCAGAAGAGCCTCGATGAAAGTCGAGTCGAATATGTGAGGCTCGGCACATCTGGTCTTCAAGTCTCTGTACCAATCCTTGGAGCCATGTCCTTTGGCTCCTCTCGGTGGATGCCGTGGGTGCTCGATGAAGATGCCTCAATTGAGATGCTCAAGGCTGCTTATGATCGAGGTTTAAACACATGGGACACTGCAGACATGTACTCGAATGGCATCAGCGAGGAAATTATCGGGAAAGCTCTCAAGAAGCACAATATTCCACGCGAGAAGGTTGTCATCATGACCAAGTGCTTCATCGCCGTGGCTGATCAACCAGACATTTTTGCTGCTCCGTGGCAGCGAGAGATGTCGCAGATGAAGGATTATGTCAATCGAGCAGGCATGTCATCGCTCATTATATGTGCCTAATAATTGGGTGATCTAGAGATATGAAGCTAATATTATTTTTTAATAGGTCTCTCCCGAGCCGCCATATTCAAGGCCGTCGATGCGTCGCTTCAGCGTCTCGGAACCAATTACATCGATCTCTTCATGGTGCACCGCTTCGACCCCTCTACGCCGATCGAAGAGACAATGCGAGCTCTAAACGACCTGGTTGCGTCTGGCAAAATAAGATACATTGGAGCCTCCTCGATGTGGGCAACGCAATTTGCGCGCATGCAATCCGTGGCTGAGAAGAACGGTTGGACCAAGTTTATCAGCATGCAAAACTACTACAACTTGTGTTACCGCGAGGAAGAGCGGGAGATGATCCGGTATTGTAATGAAACCGGCGTAGGCATTATACCCTGGTCGCCCAACTTTGGCGGTAAATTGGCGAAGCCACTCGGAGACGCAACGTCGACGAGAGCGCAGATGCCTTCGCCAACAGGCAACCTTACCAAGGAAGACGAAGAGATCATCCGCCGGGTTGAGAAATTGGCCACTCGGAAAGATTGGAAGATGAGCCACGTTTCTCTCTCCTGGCTTCGAAGCAAGGGTGCGGTACCTATTGTTGGTTTAAACTCGTTGCTTAGACTTGAGGAAGCTTGTGAGCTGCGCGGGAAGGAGTTGACAGCCGACGAGATTAGTTTCTTGGAAGAGCCGTATGTTCCCAAGAACATTGTTGGTCATGTCTAATGGCTTAAAGGAACAATCTGTATCAAGAGTTGGGCGCATGAGCCATCTCTGGACTGTTGCTGGTGGAGTTGGCGCTCCGGTTAGAGTTGGATGTGGAGGAGGAGATTTTAGTAACGAGATGTGAAGATGTCTTGGATCAAATTTGACTACAAAGAGGTAGTTGAACATGAATAAAAGCCGCCTAGTCCATGTCTCCGCAAGTAAAACAGCACTGTCCCATTTGCGAGTCATGATATAAGCAAACTCAACACCAAAACCTAACACATACGACCAATGGGATTAAAGTCGTGCGCAGTCAGCACGACCCGAGACAACCTCACCAGCACATGTCGTTTCCTGCTCAGCAACTCCTCATCACTTATTGAGATCTCCCCAACCCGTCTGGTCATCTACCGCCCAAGAATGAACAATACTGTGCTCGGCACTAAGCTCATGTAGTTATAGATAGCTTAGGGCGATATAGTCCTATTCCTGATGATTTGGGTAACTGTATAGACAATACAACTAGCTCGACGTCTAGCATTGTCGATGCTTCGATCCCGTTCACAAAAGGTCAGCCGCTGATGCGGCACGCGTAGGTGCCCAGTCATCAGATGTGCAAAATGCATCGAGATAAGCCAAGGAAGAGAGGCTGGACTCGTCCACCACATTCTCCACACCCTCGCCGTCCCAGTCAAAGCCGTAACGAAAAAACAAACCAGCCATTCTCGCAACCCGGATTAGCTGCAAATCACCATCCGAAGTACTGTTAGCCTCTGCTAAAAAGGTCTGCCAAAATATACCCTCGAGTTCGTGGCGGTTATCATAGTAATGCCACCCCTCAGAATCCATGTAACCAAGAAGATTCTCAAAGGCCCACAGCGAGAAGCCAAAAGAAAGGATCCTTGCCTCGGCCCAGTCGACAATCCCTGTAATGCAACCGGTTTCAGGATTTATAAGCATGTTCATTTCATTAAGGTCTTGGTGACTAAGAATAAAAGGGAGTCTCTCTGAGAAAAGCAACGGTAGCTCTTTGCGGACTGCATCTAGGTTTGTCGCAAACCGAGACGGTAGTGATAGGGAAAGACGATCAAGTTTAGAGCGGAATTCGATAAGTAAGGCAGCAGCCTTATCTGGACACAACTGTTGGCCGTTGTTCCATGACTGAGCAAAAAATCTATATGCTGTTAGGCGAAAACTTAAAATAAAGCAAGAAAGTTGTAGTCATACTTTGCGAGGTCTTTGGTAGTGTTGCATTGTCGGAACCTGGCCGCTGGAGGCTGAATAGCAGAGCCGTCGCGTGCCATAATGTAAGTAGTCCCAGGAAGCTTGTCCATCTCGTAGATGTGGAGAGGTCGTGATTGACCGATTGTTCCGTGGTACTTGCAACCAGTCACAAACTGCGGATGGACTATCTTGGCAAGGTCCAAAAGGACAGTGTCTAATTTGGAATCATGGACTCGAAATTGGAAGAGCTTGGATCCGTCTGTCCCAGCCGTCAACGTGTAACTAAACATTCCCTGAATCTCGACGGGAATCACCGGCCCGCCGACACAGGACAGCACAAAATCATCACATTGCTGCCTTATCACAGACGTGTTTTCTATGAAGAAATCGTTGATTGCGCCACTCAGGGTGTAGGGGACTGCCATTGAATTGATGAACAAAGAGCAGTGGAGAGAAGTGGGGAGTAAACTAATAGTGAATAGGTTAGTGTCCTGTGTTGTGGGAATTTCTAACTTACAATAGGGTTAGTCCAGAACTGGGCACGTGAGCTGCGTGTGATATCTGTTGTTGTTACTCGAGGTTAGGTCCTGCTCAGGAGTTTTTGATGACTTACCAATGCCTCGAAATTTGTTAAATTATGTCTCTACTTTGTTTTTATAATTGATGACTCAGTTTTCCAAGCCGTATTTTATCTTATATTATAACCCAACTTATTTAGTTTTTAATTATCGATCTTGAACTTGATGGACCTTTTGCTCTTAGTGTATAAAAACATAAGGACTTAATTTTGAACACTCTATATACTACGTAAACAAATCTGCTCCCTTGTCTACCTATATACACATCCGCGAAAGCTCACTTAATCTTTTTTTTAAAAAAGGAAAACTTATAACTTTCTACAACTACAGATCGCCATTTTATTTTTCTTTTGGTCCATAACAGAGCAGGTCTTATGGCCGCCACGGTCGCGGTATTTTCGAAAACCTTTGTGACGGGGCGCTTCTGAGAACATGAGGCTGTATGGTCTGGGCCCGAGAAGACGGCCGAGAATTAGGCTGAGAAGGTCCAAAATCCAATTCTGAAGGTTCCCTGTTGCTTGCGATCGTGTGAAGTTGTCTGCCTTGGCTGGGAGTAGTGCTGCGTCGTCTATCAGGAGGGGGCACAAGGCTCGGCTCTGGGTTACAGCAAGTTCTCTTATATCCCAAGTTCCGGTTGCTATCCTTTGTGGCCAGTTGGCGTACTGGTGGTGCGCTCCTGGTTTTGACGGGAGGAGGCCGCTGGCTTGGCATAGGAGTAGCGCTTCGTGGCACTTTGTGAGCACTGATCGGGGTTGGTTCAGAGAGTTGAGCCCGCCTATGCCCCAAGCCAGCATCATTGTTCCTCGCGCCTGGGCCATATGTTGATGTATTCTTAACCATGGGTGCAGGCTGTCGATCTTGGCTGCGAGGGGGAATAGGCTGCCTCTCATCGGGAGAGATCGCGCTTGGTTCCGCATAGTAGGATCCGTATTTGTACCCAAAGAAGCGATCATCTTCGGTGCCTTGGTCATATGCCGGTGGATTCATACTGTAGGTTGCCACTGGCTCGCTAACCCTTCTCATATTATGATCTTGGGTAATATTTGCTCGAAATGTCGGCGATTGCGGAGGCGACCATGGGTAGTTATTTGCCCCATTGCCGGAAGCATCATATCCGTTGTTTGGGTATTTCATAGATATATGCAGACCAGAGGGCGCCGGCGCATTGTGGAAAGATTCATTATGGCCATAGTTGTAAGGCTGCTCAGGAATCGCAGCCCTGTACTCATTTTGATAAGGCGATGGCGATCGGGGAGGATACGGAGTAGGCATCTGCAAACCTTGGGGTGCTTGGTAAGTGGCACCATCATTTCCATAGTTTTGGCTTCGCTCGTTGTTGACTCTATAATCTGGCTGGAAAGGTGAGGGAGTGCGAGGCGGATATGGCGCAGTGTTGAAGTTCCACCCAACATTGCCGTAGGGATGACTCTGGCCAGAGGCATAGCCCTTGTACTCTTCTTGCAATGGCGCAGAGTCTTTAGACGGCGTATCGCCCCAGCTTTTGCTCCGCTCAGGTGGTGATGCCGGTGCATAGTTACTCGTTCCAGCTTCAACGCTGCGACTGGTGTCTTGGCGATTGTTGTTCCCGCCAGTGGTATAGCCTTGTGTCGCATTTCCTGTTTCTTGAGGAGGCATCATTTCACTGAGGCCCATGCAGATACGTCTCACTGCATCTTCGACATTTCCTTGTTTGAGCATCGTTGCCAGAGATGCTGGTGCTTCCCGTAGCCACGTTTCAACTGACTGAGGTTGGGAACCGTTATCAGATTTTGTTTGTGCTGACATAGCAGTAGTAGTTGCCTGTGTCGACGCGTCGGTAGGAATCATCTGTGATGGCATCTCGGAAGGGCTGGCGTCTCTCGACTTTCCATGAGGGCTTGCGTCTCTTGATTTGCCTCTTTCACGCGACGTCGTCTCTGGGAGCGGCACATCGGTTTGGCCCTTGATGTCTTTTTGTGAAGCCATTGCTGCTATAAGTGTTAATGAGAGATCTAGTGAATAGCACACTCTAAAAGTCATTGCATACCTGATGGATTAGGGACGTCCTTCTTTTCGCCTAGCCAGTATGATGATGACAGATATCGCTTTGCACCCTCCACGAGACCAGGAGATATCGTCACTGATTCAATTATTAGTCAGACAATGCTTCATACCTGATCAGATCTGAACTTACGTTGCACTCGCTGAAGCTTATCAACCTCGCTGGAGGGCAGCACCTTGAGTAATGCCTTTGCACAAGCCGCGGCTGTTGCTGCTGCGTAACCCTGCCACTGGTCGTTTTTATGCGAATCTGCGTAATCGCAAATGCCTCGGATGACAATGCAAGGAAAGTCATTCATCAGGCCTGCAGCTTCCATTTCAATGCAGAGAATGTTGTTGTTGAATTGCTTGTAGAGCTTGTCGCGAAGAATAGCGTCCTTGATTACCTTGCTGCCGGATGCAATCAAGCCGCAGTGGATCATCATATCGTCTTCTCTGGGACCTCTTTGGACCACCCTGTTCTTATCACAAAGGTGACAATCGTCTCCCTCTTTGTGGTTATAACTTGACTCGTACAAGACATCCTGGAGAGAGTCCGACTTGAGGAAGCTTCTTGGGATGTTCGGTATGTTCTCTAGGCTCTTTAGATAGCTGAGCATGTTGGTCCGTGTTGTGATTTGATCGGCTTCAAACTTTGTTAATGCTGTGAGCAAGGCCGTTGGTGGAGGAGCCAGGGACCCTGTCCGTTCAAACTGGCCATTGGCCTCGGCCTTTCCCATATCCCACTGGACAACGCCTGGCTCTGTTCCGCTGGGGCAACTAATGACAACATCTCCAAGCCGAGTCTTTTGCGGAATACCTCCACCGATTCCTACCATGAGGCCAACTCGAATGTTGGGGAAAGTTGAGACCATTCGCGTTGCCGCTGTTGCTGCGCTGTGAATGCCAACTCTGCCTTTGGGCAGGCCAGCAATGACAACTTTGTGCTTGCCGATGCTTCCGAGCGTGTATGCATTATGGTCGCCGGATGGGTTGGGAAGATCTTCATGTCTCTCCTCAAGCATGAATATCGCGGCCGATTGCTCCTTTGGCAACGCGCAGACCCATCCAATGGTGTAGTCCTCATGGGTATATGGCAGATGCAAATCGTCCATGGCTGCTGATGTCTGTGCTCAGTGATAACAACGCTTGTTGGAAGAAAGTCTTGAGCTCACAGGACACAACCAAACTTCATACAGATTGTGGCTGGCTTTATAAGTGGTAGAGAGCGGATCATGCATGCAAGTGCAAGATATATTGCCTATAAAGTGAGTGACGCAGACATCGCGATGACGATAAAAGGAGCTGCACTGCACAAAGTCACACGCTCATTATTTGCTAGATCCAAGCTGAAATGCCGACTAATGCCAGTAAGCACATATTGGGCACGATGCAGACGCAAGGCCCATATCGAGATACCGAACAACCATCACGTTCACAGCATCATGCGCCAAATTGCACAGAGGCTGAAATACGAATTGTTCCGCTCCCATTATGCCACATGCCAATATTATGCTTGGCTACCCAACTCATTCCGAAGAGGGTCTTGTCTTAATACGTGGACCAAGAGGAATAAAATTTGTGGTTTACGAGCCTCATTGTCTCATCAATTGTGGGGTGGTGCCCGATATCATGTTCAAGATATGCGGAGATGTGACGGCATCATACATGAGGCTCGACAAGTAACAAATTTGCCCATTGAATGCAGGGCGTCGGTGATGCGTTGGACATGTCCCACATTTTCCAAAACTGTCACGCGCCAGAAGACGGCAATTGAGTTCGTGGCTGCCATTGCTGACAGCAATCTAGATCCCCATAACGGGCTTCCATGCATGTTGACACTTCACCAGAGGTTTGTAGTCAAATGGGACTCATGACGGCACTTTTGTAACTTTTTTAAGACCTGCAAAGCCAATGTATATATTGCAGCAGGCTAGAACACTTTTCATCTTTTCGTTTTAGAGAAAAATTTGTTATGACTTGGCAGAGTTCCCTAATTGGGAAGATGACCATATCGGTCCAGCCGTTTTCAGCTTAAGCTGGAAATAATCCAAACCAAAGATTAGAATTCATTTCTAGTTTCTAAGATTTTTTGTTTAATGGGTCAATCGCAATGGTTGCCAAAAAAAAGGGGAATTCTTAAACAATCGGCACACTGTTCTTAACTGCACACACTACGGTACTACTACATGTAAAGTTATCCAGCACTTTCAATAGTTATAGCATTAATAGGCTGCCGCTATTACTGCTATTACTGCTATTACTGCTATTACTGCTATTACTGCTATTACTGCTATTACTGCTATTACTGCTATTACTGCTATTACTGCTATTACTGCTATTACTGCTATTACTGCTATTACTGCTATTACTGCTATTACAGACCTGGTCTTCGCGACATTGAATCTCTGGTGTGCTTACTAACGAGTGCAAGAAGTAAATTACAAGGCACACTGCGAGGCATATGCTTCTCTATTGTACATAGGCGCATGTATAGACTACATGTAGGGGCTCATTGGTACATACATGAGACACAGCCTTGCTGCGGGGTTCAGCGATGCCCAAAACCTTGACTGAACTTTTTGTTGGGCTTATTGGGCATGCCGATATTATGTACCATCAGGCTCGAATTGATGCTCTCATCATATTCTACATCTATCAAACTCGGAATCGCCACACAGTCATACCCACCCGATTCATCGAAGCATATTACACCGTGATCTCTGGGCTACATCAATACGCGATATCCTTTTATGGCTACCCCGCCCGTCAGCCGCGACGAATTTGAGGTGGCTCTGGTATGTTCACTGCCACTTGAATACGATGCTGTCTCGCTACTTTTTGACCAATTTTGGGACGAAAACGGCGATCGATATGGCAGGGCCATCGGAGACCCAAACACTTACACCACCGGACGCTTTGGAAACTTCGATGTCGTCCTCGTCCTGTTACCAAATACGGGGCAAGTTAGTGCGGCTAGTGCTACGGCAAGCCTCCGATCGAGCTATCCAGGGCTAAGGCTCGTAATCTTGACGGGGATCTGCGGGGCCGTGCCTAGCTCTGCCGCCGGTGATGAGATCCTTCTTGGTGATGTGATCATCAGCAAGACCGTGGTGCAATACGATTACGGCACGCAATACCCCGATAACTTTGTGGCAAAGGATACGACAGAAGATAGCTTGGGAAGGCCGGACAAGAATATCCGCAGTCTGGTTGCGGTTCTCGAAACAGCCCGCGAACGAGAGCGAATCGAGGAACGGGCTGCCGTTCTCCTCGAACAAATGCAAGATCTTGTCGCCAAAAAGCCTCGCCGTCGCAACGCAGATACCTACCAGTATCCCGGAGCCGCCAGTGATAAGCTATTCGAGTCAGAGTATCGCCATAAACACCGCAATTCGCCACAATGCCTCTGCGAACAGTCTCACAAATACTGGCATCCTGTATGCGAAAAATCTCGAGATCTAGCTTGCGATATACTCGGGTGCGATGACAAACATGTTATAAGGCGACAGCGTCTAGGAATAACCCTCCAGAAAGGCGGCAGTAAAGGAAATCGAATTCCATCCGTCTTCATCGGTCGTTTTGGCTCAAGTGACAAAATACTCAGCTCTGGCGAGCATCGCGATCGGATTGCCAAGCATTATGGTATCCTGGCCTTCGATACGGAGGGTGCTGGAGTCTGGGACGAGCTTCCGTGCATTATTGTCAAAGTGGCCTGCAACTACGCAGACAGCCACACGGACAATCGTTGGCAGAACTTTGCGGCTGCGACTGCTGCATCTGTCTCCAAGAGTCTTGTGGAAAGGTATACAAAAACAGACAGATCGACCATTATTCTGATCAAGGAGCAATTTGAAAAGATGATGGAAAATAAAGAAAACAGCGACTGTCTTAAGGATCTACACCAGACAGATCCCCGCGACGATAAGACGCACATACAGCGCACCAAAGGCGACTTGTTCAAGGACTCATACCGCTGGGTCCTTAGTCACAACGATTTCAAGCAATGGCGCGACAATCCTCAATACAGGCTGCTTTGGATCAAAGGAGATCCCGGAAAAGGAAAGACAATGCTTCTATGCGGTATCATCGACGAGATTGAGAAGTCAACCACTATGCATTGCCTATCCTATTTCTTTTGCCAGGCTACGGAGGTGCGACTAAGGACTGCAACAGCAGTGCTGCGAGGTCTTATATATATGATAATTACCCAACGGCCGTTACTAATCTCACACGTTCGAGAGAGATACGATAGTTCAGGAAAGAAGCTTTTCAATGATGCCAATGCTTGGGAGGCACTTTCTAAGCTTCTTATGGCTATCTTGAATGACCCAAGCTTAAAGGACGCAATCTTGATCGTTGACGCTCTCGACGAGTGTGTTGAAGGACTGCCACTTCTTCTTAAGTTTCTTTCCCAAGCTTCCAGTTCATCGCGAGCCAAATGGATTGTTTCAAGCCGTAATTGGCCTCTTATCGAAGAAAACCTTGATACGGCTATGCAGGGAGTTAGGCTATGCCTTGAGCTTAACGAGACTTCAGTTTCTGCCGCTGTAAAAGCCTACATCCAACATAAAGTACAAGAATTAACTGAGAAAAAAGCCTACAATACTACCACGCAACACGCTGTTGAGCGTCACTTAACGTCAAACGCTCATGGTACTTTTCTTTGGGTGGCTTTGGTTTGCCAAGAACTCGGAGATCCTAAGGTTAAAAAACGACATACTCTTGACAAATTAAAGACATCATATCCACCAGGGCTTGATCCTCTATACCAGCGGATGATGGAGAATATTCGCGACTCACTTGATGCGGAAATTTGTCGGCAGATCTTGGCTATCGTTTCAGTCGTGTACCGCCCAATCACGTTGGCAGAGCTAAGCATACTTGTAGACTCTCACGATGACTATGAAAACGACGAGCTACCGGATGTTATAGGATCTTGTGGCTCATTTTTAACTATTCGAGATGATGTGGTCTACTTTATACATCAGTCAGCAAAAGATTTCCTGCTTGATAAAGCATCCGACCAAATTCTGGCCGCTGGTATAGGCCACCAGCACCATATTATTTTCTCAAGGTCATTAAAAAATTTGACCAAGTCGCTGCAGCGTGATGTATACAAACTACGACTTCCAGGCTTTCCCATCGAACAGGTCTCTTTGCCTGATCCAGATCCATTGGCATCGATGACCTATTCTTGCATCTATTGGATCGACCACTTTAGCGACCCAGAATGCTTGAAGGCACTGAATCTTGAGAGCAGACACCGGAGCGAAAAGGCTATCCTCAAATTTTGTGAGCGGAAATACTTATATTGGCTGGAAGCTCTGAGTCTGTTACGTCGCATATCAAAGGGAATACTCGCAATTCAAAAACTAAAAGTAAGTTAAAATCTCTGTCATTGCATAGAGAACAATGACCTGATATACGAAAGGAGGATGTTCAAACACCGCAGCTTGCCGAATTACTCCAAGATGCACATAAATTTTTTCTTTCAAACAAGAGAGCGATAGAATCTGCTCCATTGCAAGCTTATGCAGCCGCACTTGTATTTAGTCCTTCGCAAAGCAGGGTGAGACGACTTTTTATAACCGAAGAGCCGGAATGGATCCTCACCAAACCGCATGTGGAGACGCACTGGCCTGCTTCGCTCAACACTCTTGAGGGCCATACCAATGAGATTACGCAGATTGCCTTTTCCCATGATTCATCACTCATAGCATCTAGCTCATGGGACAAGAGAATCCGTCTCTGGCGAACCAATACAGGCGACTGTATGCAAGTACTTGAAGGCCATAAACGCCCCATTACGTCGGTTGCCTTCTCGCACGACGCAGAACTCTTAGCATCCGGCTCATGGGATGGCACAGTCCGGCTCTGGCGTGTTAGCACAGGCGACTGCCTGAAAATACTTGAAGGCCATACCGAAAAAATACATTCAATTGCCTTCTCTTTTAATTCGGAATTTATAGCATCGGCTTCAATTGATGGCTCTATCCGACTGTGGGACACTGATTCAGGCAATCATATACACAAACTACAGCTTAATGGTAGTCCTCGTGCGATTATCTTCTCGCAGGACGCATCGCTGCTAGCATCAGCTTCCAGAGACGGGGTTATTCAACTCTGGCACATTAAGACGGGCAATTGTATACGAGAAATAAAAGTTGACCAACGTTCTATTGATTCAGCTGTATTCTCATATGACTTGTCACTCTTAGCATCAGTCTCACGACACGGATATTCAGTCAATCTCTGGTGCATTGATACAGGAAAGCGTGTGCGAAAGCTTAAACGTGCTACTGACTATATTCATATCATGGCTTTTTCTCAAAACTCAGATTTAATCGCATCAGCCTCAGATAATGGAATAATCCGGATCTGGCGCCTCGATACAGGAGACTGCATGAGAGAGCTCAAAATTAGTGGCCAAATTGATGGACTTTGTGGTGCCTTCTCAAGAGATTTGAGTCTTATAGCGGTACCACAGATGTGGCTTGCAATCCGTCTCTGGCCCACTGATGCAGACAACGATATACAAGAGCAAACCTCTGGAGCTGATGTCACATCGATTGCTTTCTCGCCCAATTCAGCGCTCGTGGCGTCGGCTTCAATGGAGAATGATGAGGGGACGATCTCGCTCTGGTGCACCGAAACAGGGAGACGGATACGGGATCTACGAGGCCATTCAAAGGGGATTATATCAATTGCTTTCTCACATGACTCGTCGCTTTTGGCATCAGCTTCTGCAGATCACACTGTCAGAATCTGGCACACCAACACGGGCGAGTGTGCGCAAAAGCTATACCACGGCAGGGGACTCGGAGAAGTTGCCTTCTCGCATGACTCTGTTCTTGTAGCATCAGCTTCCGGGCGTGAGATACGACTCTGGCGCACTGCCACAGGCAACCGCGTACAAACGCTGATCACAGGTAAATTGATTGGGTCAATTGCCTTCTCACAAGATTCAGAACTTATGGCAATAGGTTTGTGGGATGGTGACGTTTATATAAAGCACGTCGCAACGGGTGCCCATGTGCAGACATTAGAGGGCGTTGACATTGTTGCATCAGTCGCTTTCTCGCCTGACTCAGCACTGGTGGCAGCTGTCGCGGGGCGTGAGGTCCGGCTCTGGCGCATCGACACAGGTGAATGCCTGCAATGTATCGACGTTGGTGCTAGATTACAGGATCTATCAATTACAAGCGTTAATTCGCGAATCCTTACCAATATTGGCTCTATCATTTTTGATAGCACAGATATAGCCCATACGAAGATTCCAGCTCATTTTTCAGGCATTGGCGTGAGAGGCGACTACAGTTGGATTACGTGGAACGACAATAATGTACTCAGGCTGCCGGCGAAACTTGGCGCGTGTCATTCGGCCATATCAAGATCTACTGTCACCATCGGCTGTGAATCAGGACGGGTGATTATTATCCATTTTTCGACTGAAGAGCTATCAAAACTCTATGATTGCGTTGAAGACAGCTGTATAGCCTAATGCATTGCAATGCTACTACCGCAAGTCCGGTCACAGCGATGCAACTAAAAAGCCTGGTACATCAGACAGCTCTTCTTCATTGTTGATACTTTGTATAGACGCATTCGAGAGTCACTATAGATTCACTGTACATATCTAGTCCTACCAAGATCTGGCCCTATCAAGGAGCGCTGCTTTTTCTCATACCCTGTGGATTTCATATGGAAGCACGACTGTAAAGAGCCAAGGACGACAACAATCATAAAGTTCTATGTCTTCAATTAATGTACAAATGCCACCTAGGATAGCTTCACAGTAGCGAGGTCCTTGCATTCCATGATCTCATGTTGGAAAGGAAAGAACATACAACAAACCAAATTTAAATTAATCATTTGTCTCCCCTTTAGCAGGCCTCCACGAATCAAACGGAACAAGTAGAACCCAAAAGGAAAGGCTTTACTCCCAGTGTTTATTCCAAAGGAAACAATGATCTAATCTAGTACGTGGTGGAAGAGATAGTGTCGACACTAACGCAACTAAACCAGGGGAAACACTGTGGCGTCTTTTCTTTCCTTCAAGGCTTTTCTTCCGGCAGCTAACCACTGGAGCAGAACGAACGAGAAAATGATTCAAAGCGAAATGATCGATATCGTTGCTTTAGTTGCAAATAGTAGCAGTAGTAGCAGTAGTAGCAGTAGTAGCAGTAGTAGCAGTAGTAGCAGTAGTAGCAGTAGTAGCAGTAGTAGCAGTAGTAGCAGTAGTAGCAGTAGTAGCAGTAGTAGTAGTAGTAGCAGTAGTAGCAGTAGTAGCAGTAGTAGCAGTAGTAGCAGTAGTAGCAGTAGTAGCAGTAGTAGCAGCAGCAGCAGTAGTAGTAGTAGTACTAGTAGTAGTTTGCAAATCTGCTATCTAGGTAGTGATCAAGAGATATGGCTTGATATAGTCTAGTCACAGGCGGGGAGTGCGTATCCTCCAGTCTGCCATCGTATGTCTATGTCCAGAGGAGACGTATAAAGACCCATCCGAGACACTCAGGAACCGCTTAAACAGTTTTCCTTTAAATCTAAAAAGAAGGAAAGCAAAGTCTACAGATCAATCACGACGCCCAAAAAAACACCACTCTCAAGAAGAAAGACCAAAGCAACAATAGCTTCTCCCATCATCTACAACCGCGGCGATCCCATCCAGACAGCCCATCCTGGCCCTTTTACTTGTTCGCAGACCCATCTGCTCGGACACTGCATGCGCGGAGAATAACCTGGAGAGCTTTAATGTCTCTCGCAAGTCATGCAAGGGTACGACATCTCCATTCTCAGCTCGGTCATGGAGTGCGACGGCGACTCAACCGTCTATCCATATATAAGCTGCACTTGCTTAGAGGATTTTACTAATTGCGATGATAATGGTGCTATAGATGGCGAAGACAGCCCTAGTGTTGATAGTGCGGGTGGCTATGCTGCAGCTACCACTGTGATTAGGAAGCTTAACGGGAGTGCATCTACTTAGACAGCTGGGAGCATTAATTGGGGCATTTAAACCGTTCTTATTCACCTTTATGTTAGAATATACCTGAATCGTCTCTGCCAGATCCATTCGAGCATCCCCAGTAGTATGGAGAGGTAAATTCTGCTCTAACCATATCTAGCACTCACCTTGGTCAATTGAGCATGGCAAAACTGGAACTAAGGTGCATAGCACAGGATATGGCATCTCGCATCGACGAATTAGAAATTAAGCACGGTGAGCTTGTAGCCAACCAAGTTCTTGCCTTTTGCTCCAAACTGCACCGGCACAGGAATCTGGGATGCAGGGATCACGTGCCAAGTCGCTGCATCTTGTATCCAATCCCCAGCTGTCGGGCAGCATCTCATGTCCAACTCCATGAACCAACTTTCTACAGGGTAATCCAGTCCGCAAAATGTCAATCAATGGAGAGGATCCGAACCCCCCACCATCGTCTCAATCCCACTTCGCCCAGTTTGAAAACTTTACTCCCAACGATGCCGCGTCATTCGACGATGAGTTTGGCCGCCTCGCGTCATCCCAGAACTGGGTGCCCGGCTCTCAGCTGTATGCTCGGGAGCGCACCATTGCAATGCGCGAGGAACTCAAGTTGCATTACTTTAGTCAATCACAGCCACTAGACGGCACCGACGAAGAGCTCACCGAAGAAGAGACTCTCAAGGGGTATCAAAGCCTATGCCAGGAGGTCCGCATACCTCCGAGCGACTCCATCGCCGAATGCAAGAAGCACCTGAAGAAGACGCTGGTCAACATTGTAGACCTGATTGACGCGCGACGGACGCGCAAGGAGGTCAAGGTATGGGATGATTTCGAAGCGTTCCGCAGCTACACTCTCCAGGATGAACATAGGATCAATATGCATGAGGCGAAGCAGGACGGGGGGTACCTGGCATCGTTGTTGCGGTACCTCCGAGGTCCGCGACGGCGGAGAAGAGGTGGAAGGGATGGTTCAAGCTCCAGAGTACTTTTAGGGCGGGTAACCAAGAAGAGCTCGGGGTGAAAACAAGTGTCTGTATATACTGGATATACTTGAAGCAAGGACGGGCACATATCGGTGTGCCTGGCACAGGGCGGCTGATGGAGCATCAAAGGAAGCCTCTGGATATGACTGAGTTGCGGGAGCACACTGCAGACGATATATCGAGTCTAATACCCTATGAATCCTAATAGAAGCCACATCATTTACCATGTATGGTTTGGCGGATGGAATTTGAGATCTGGTTAGGAAAAGCAACACTCGACAAACATTGCAACACGGTCTTACGACTATATGTAAAAAGTTACCCGCAGCAGGTAGCATTACATGCTAGCTCAGTATACATGTATCCACTTACAACCAACATCAAGGTCTGCTAGTCATTGTAAGTTGTGAAGCCCAACGTTCAGGCGGTACAAATGCTGATCGCGAGGCGTTAGACAAAAACGAAGAGCGTCAGCCACGAACGCCTCATGTTCAGAGCTATATCTTTATACAAGTCTCCATGAATTAAATATAGTCCATGGAACTTAAAAGGAAAGGCTTGGCACCTAGTGTTTATTCTAATGGAAGTAATAATCTAGTCTAGTACCTAGTGGAAGAGACAGTGTTAACACTAATATAACTAAACTAGGGATATACTATAGCTTCTCTTCTTTTCTTCTAGGCTTTCCTTCCTACTGCTAAGCACTTAAGTAGAATAAAGAGAGAATGAATTAAAGTAAAAAAAATAATAATTAATAGTGTTGCTTTAGTTGTAAACCTGTCACCTTGTGATTAAGCGATATCGCAAGTTATGCAAGGGACCGGCATCTCTTTTCTCAGCTCGGTCATGTAGTGTAATAGTAACTCCACCGTCTTTCCCTCTATGAGCTGCACATGCTCAGAGGATCATCTCAATTGCGACGATAACAGTGCTATAAATGGCGTGGGTAGTCCCAATGTCGGTGGTGCGGGTGGCTATGCCGCAGCCACTACCGTGATTGGGAAGCTAGATTGGAGTGCACCTATACAGACAGCTAGGAGCATTGATCTAGCCACTCAAACTGCTTCTGTTTTTCAGATGCTCGGTGGTAGCAATCAGAATAGTCATATTGCTACGACTACTCCGACTGCGCCAAAGTCGCCCAACCCGGGTGCGGCCAGCAAACACTTTGGCGATGTGCTTGGATAGGAGCTGATACTTGGTCTTGTCGTCCTTGTCTCAGCTGTGCTGGTCCTCTGAGACACTCTAAACGCTGGAAGTCTTGGACACTCGACGGAATCTTACGTCTTTTAACAATCTCTATTGGTACACATTGAATTTGTTCATCTCCTAGAGATGGGTATCCGGGAATCTTGCTTCTCATGTATTTAATCACTTTCTTTCAATGTTTGGCTCCTATTCCAACTTTATCCGAATTAATATTCCTTTTTGACTTGAACCAGGCGAAATGATGTTACGTAGACTTGTAGCATGTGCTATGAATGCATACTTCAAACATAACTTGCTCGAGTTTTCTCCCCAGCGCTTTTCTGTTTCACGCTGGAATCCTACAACATGAAGGCAGCGCTCACTAATTGTGACCCACAAGACTAGATACCGGTCCAGTTCCCATTGGTCCCGTGCCTAGAGAACTGATACAGCCTTGTATTTCTTTATGAGAGATGGATGTATGCACCTCGAATATGGATCATGTTATAAATATAACTAGTCAACAGTGGCTTGACCAGAACGTATTGTGAGCAGACAGGAAACCTCCAGAATCCACGTGCCTTGACGTCGAGCCTTTACTCCTCCCTTTCTTCTTCTTCTTTCCGTACGTATGTTCATGAATCCAGCTTACATGCCTATCCACCGGTTTGTCTGGCTCCTGATGCCAAAGTCCTGCAAACCAACCATGCATCTCCTTCAACCTTGAGAGTACAGGAACTGAACTCTCCAAATCTCCAACACTTTATTGCCGTGAGATGAGAAATACATTTATTATTACTTTATTTTAAGGCCCTCCCCGCATAAATTTGGCCTGTGACGTTTTTGGCGCTTCCCAGGTTCCTTTAGTGGTGGCGTCTGGGGGAGCGTGCGGCTCTCGCCCTCCCTCAGATCCAACCATCACGGCTCTGTGTGCTTTTCATAGCCATTTGCATGTGATCTTCTAATTAGTCACAGTACGCCAGAAAGCATTTCGATAGTCTCCTAATCACTCTTTCTCGCGCTGCTTGCTGCTGCCGTGATTTCATTCAAGTCATCAGTCTTGGTAGTTTCCCTATTTCTATCGGCTGAGTCCTGTCTTGTAGAATTAGGTAAGGTGGGCCGTATATAATCTCTCTGTCAGAATTTCTCTAATTGCGCCGGAGGGTGACACACCAATTGAACTTGCCCTTGGCCCAATAGAGCGAGGCAAGCCATAGCGTGCTCTAGAGTTTTCATGATGATATGCTAGATGGTCGAAACTACCTGGGAGAATACAAGAGAACCAATTAGCCAGGGGTTGTCACTTAGCCCGCGCTGATTCTGTGACCCAGAATGTTCTTTCCCTACTATGATCGTATCACATATGATACCGCATCCAGGTTTTTGACGTTCGACACTGTAGGGTCCTGACCGGCAGTTGGTGCTCCAGGTCTCCGCGATCGACCAGCCAGCTCAAAGATGGCTTCACTCCGACGCTAGCTTAATTCTTTTTCCACCTCAACACAGGGAGCCAGATAATTGTTTGCAATCAAGTGTCATATCAAAATCTGAGAAACTAGGGCTAGTTGTGGAAACAGGACTGGTTCAGACACTATAATCGTATAGAGCTCTTTCTTCTTTCTCATTGGCCATCTCTTTCTTCTCGCCCCTTCCGGCTATTTTCAATCTAATAGTATCGCCGCTTCTCTTCGAGATATCTTTTTTCAGATGGTAACGTTCTAAAAGTAATCGGCTACTGGGAGACTCTATAGCATCATGATAGTATGCGTCGGATGATATAGATGTCTCTTCCCATTGCGTATTACACTCTGATGCGTGCAAGCAGAGGTGGCGAAAAAACTTGGGCTCTCCAAGTTCTTTATCAGGCCCACCGTCCGCCATGCTTTAGGGTCTTGGGATCAATTCTATGTTTTGATGCCCGTCGCAGTCCTCTCAAGCAGTTTCTTAGTTATAGTTTGATGCTCACTAGGTTTTGATGCTCACTAGGTATAGATTGGCTCTTCCTTAACACATTAGCGTGCAGGTTTCTCGACAAATTGGGTGTGAAATCTGTTTGCTCAGAACCTGTTCAATCCATGAGCGATCACAGTTCTCAGTGCATAGCATGATTTCAATTCCAAGTTAATCACAAGCCCTAGCATACAGATAAATACACAAACATCACTAGAATCATAATAGTAACAGTTTTAAATGTATAATCAATCTGAGTATGATGATAGATTCAATGCTTCGTTTTTTTGCGGGGCCGAAATTCGGTTGAATAAGATTTGAAAAACTCATTCGGTTCAGTGGGATGGGCTCCTGTGACATCATGGAAGGCAGTCGTGGCGATGTAATTCGTCTTTCCCTCTCGGACCAGACTGTAATATTCCAAAATGTATTCTTTTTCTGATTCATCGCTTTCACTCTGAGAGGCAATTACTCTCTTGGCTTCGCTTCTTCTCTGTGTATCAGCGGAAGCTGGTGGCATCAGCAGATAATAACAATTAACTTACTCAGATATATTCTCAAATTCAATCTTCGCTGCCAGCTCCCTGCTGGCTGCTTCGGCTAATTCTTTTCCAGCGCATAAAAGCGGCCCTGGGCATATTTAGCAAGCTACCCATGGTCTTCTATTGGACTGGATTCAATCCACAAGCGCGTTTTACCTGTAACAATCATCATTTGGCCTCGATGCCTATCATCAAAGCCATGCTTGCCTTTGCCAGCGAGAACATGGGCAGCCACATGTGCAACGTCCTAATAGGCTCATTAGTATCTTGATTCGAGAATGGGATAGCTAGCACTCACGCCTAACGCAACAGGGGCAAATTTATGGCTCTCTCCTATCGGCAGGGGGAGCACACCGTCAGCTTTGGCCTGCTCTGAATAGAGCAACAAATTCTCTGCATAAAATCCGGCACTGGAAGCAGTTAATGCCTGTTTACAAACCGGCTGCAACGATGATTAAACACACCGGATCACGCAGGGCGAATGGCCAAGGGGAGTTTCAGAATCTCCCTTGGACGCAAGGACCGCGCTTTCGATGTCGATGAACTCTCTCAAACGAGGCTGTTTCTCGCGGTCCGCATAATCACAGCCCGCAGAGCTGATGAGGAGAACATTGGATACGCCTGCTTTCTTGGCAGCATTTGCAAGTTCCATTGTTATGTCATACTTGTCGCGATGAGCGGGAGGAACTAGACAGATGGTGTCGCATCCAATGTCCTTGAGGGCCTTCACCATAAGGCGTTCGCGGCCCGGCTGATGATGAACAACTTTTCCACCAAGTTCCGTGAGTTCCTGGGCTCGCGCGGCAGACGGATCCAACGCCAAGCCGGTGAGACTGCTGATCTGTCGGGAGAATTTACCCTCCTTCAAGAGAAGCTCAGCTATGAGGAAACCTGTCTGGCCCTCGACGGCCGTGATGCAAATATTTCGAGACATTTCAATGCGAGAATAATTTAATTTAGGTGTATTTAGCATTCACTTTGAAAATAGTGCCTGCTGAATATGGAAGATTCAGTCCTGTGGCACACTCATTTATTTAAACGCTGCTGTCCTTAGTCTTTCGCGTCACCGATGACGATGAGGAAATAGAACAGCCACACTGAAATCTAATGCTCATTGATTTTTTACTGATCTCATACTTCCCAAATGTCTGTCAGGCATCTACGCACAATTTCGTTTCAATGCTCTCACGATGACCATGACGTGCACGTACCCGAAATAGCTCGCACCTTATTACCGGTAGCGTACGGCTCGTCTTAAACTAGATTTGCGAATGAAGAGAGTAAAAAAGCCAAAAAAGCTCTTTTGCAACACTGGCAGAGCTTATTTTGAGGAAGGCGAAAAAATAGGAAGGGCTGACAACGAGTAGTGTGTGCCCCTTAATTAGTATACAGTACGTCGCCCTATGGATCAAGTCTACCTCGTCTTCAACAAAAAGGTCAACAAGAAGTCCCAACTACCTCTGGCTCACATCCCGCTAAATAAATAATTCTTGACCCTCTCGAATTTATATGGCTCCGCCAAAAGCTCGTGGTTGATAGATAACGCAATGATTACCCGTGATGATACATACTGATGTCAATATAGTAAGACTAGCTCCTCTGGTCCCTGCACCCCAGTAAATGAACCACAATCACTTGAAGCAATCCAAGGCATCGCTACACTGCACCAGTCGATCCAAAAATTGTCGTCATCAATCGTCCCGTTTGAGAGATCGTTGGGGGAAGCATAGACTCTGATGCCCCGCATAGAGGTCTATTCACCTTTTGATTGGCCGTGGCTAACATTTCTTGCATCTCCGGCATGCTTCATTTTATAGGTAAAGACAGTAGAGTAGCCCATTGTTCCTTTTGATCCATATAATTGGAGCTTTAGGTCCGGAGGATGTAGGCCTATCTGGCACATGCTCCGGCAGAGCCTCTTGGAGTCGAAGGGAGTTTCCGCCAAACATCTCGAGCTGTCCTTTTCTATGAACTCTGCGGATTTTCTTGATTTCAAATCTTCGTTGCCATCTTTGCAATCTATGATTAACTCTCCACACTATCCACTCAGCCCTCATGGCGCATGAAGCTCAGATGCCTGGCCATGTCGGGCATCCATTGCGTCGGCTACTTCCCGCTACAGAACGCACTCAGATTGGAGTGGCTTCCCTTCGGGATCCTTCGGCAGAGAGCGAATCGAGGCTCAGAATCAGGTCGGCTTGTAATGCCTGTCGCACGCGAAAATCCAAGGTCAGAGGCTTTGCGTTGGACTGTTACAGGCCTCCAGTACTTTGTTAACAATGTGATGCATTTATAGTGTAGTGCGGAGCGACCAAAATGTGCTGCTTGCATCTCCCAAAAGACCCATTGCGAGTATAACACTGCCAACACGGATGAAACGCATTCTCACGCTCTCAAACGAAAGTACGACGTGTTGACTCAACGAAAGACGAACTACGAAGAGCTATATGAACTGCTTCAAACCCGTCCTCCAGAGGAAGCCGCTGAAGTCTATACACGCATAAGAGCTGGCGCTGATGCAGGGTTCCTTCTCAGGCATATACAGGACGGAAGTCTTCTTCTGCAGATGAGGATGGTGCCCGAGAGTCGCTATCGCTATCGATTCCCCTATATAGACGAGATGCCGGCATTCTTACTGTATCCAGAAAATCCATACCTCGATTCATTGCTATATGAATGTACTCTTAGGGACCGAATACCTCTCGTTTCGCAAGCAATGGCACCAGCATCATCTTCAGCGCCCGGTGGAGATGAACACCAAGGCGCCTACCTCAAGCCTTTTCATGCAGCGGAAGTTGTGGATCCAAAGTTGGAATTGATTAAGCCGTCTGCTTGGACTTCTGTTTGCTCTGATGATGGGCTGATGCGAAAACTCTTTGATATTTACTTTCTCCAAGAATATCATGCGGCTCCATTTTTCCACAAGGACTATTTTCTTGAAGACATGATTGATAAAAGACATGACTTCTGTTCTTCTTTATTGGTCAACGCCATATTGGCCATGGCTTGCGTTAGTTCTCTTTGTGGCTAGGTAATCAGTCGGCAGCTTGCTAAATATGTCTTAGCATTCCGATCATTCCAATCCGAACCGTGCAGAGTTCTGGAACCCGAATAACAGAGCCTATCGATTTCTTGCCGAAACCCGTCGCTTATGGGAACTGGAAGCGAGAGAACCGAATCTTATGACCGTTCAGGCCACCCTTATCCTCCATATTGTCTATAACATGAATGGGACAGATGAGCTTGGTTACCGTTACCTTGAACAGGCAGTAGAGATGGCTAATAGTCTCGATCTGTTCAAGTCATCCGCTATAGCGAGCAGAAAGAAACGCAATGCCCGAGAGTTGACTGCTTGGGTTTTGCATGGTTGGCAAGGGTATATCTAAATTTGCTCGCAACATGTTTCATGTCTCTAATTTACACATTCATTCATAGTGTTATGGCTTATATGCATCAGCGCTTACCTTTATGCCAGAATGCGCCTGAATCGTCTCTGCCAGATCCGTTCGAGCATCCCCAGTGGTATGGAGAGGTTAGGTTCAAGTTCCCGTGTGCTCCAACCATATTTAGCACTCATCTCAGTCAATTCACCTGGGCAAAAATAGAATTGTGGTGCATAGCACGGGATATGGCATCTCAAATCAAGGAGTTAAAAGCTAGGCACGTTGAGCTTTTGGCCAACCAAGTTTTAGCATTCTGTATTAAACTGGTACACTGGTACAGGAATCTTCCGCGGTGCATGAGGCCGGATCGAATCGTTACCCCATATCAGCTACAGCTTCAGTGAGTATCAATGGAGCTTACATCTGCGTGACTTCTGGTTACTAAGTATTTTGCAGCATGCAATTCCATAATTACATAATCAATCTCCTCGAAGAACCAATGGTTACCAGGCTAGACAACCCGCAATTCATCGACATCTTCTCTCAGTCCCTTGGGCAAAAGCCTCGGGAGCTTCTCTCTAGTTCGAAACTTTTATTCGAGACAGTAATTCGCTTATACTACCTCCGCCATGGCTTTGAAGCATTGGACTACTTCATGGTCCAATATCTCAGCATGCTTGCCTTTATGGCTCATGGTGCTATTCATGCAAGCATGCAAAAGACGACGCTACAGGCGCTACAGTCAACCATTTTACTCGCCACCATGGGTCTCCGCGATCAAAGCGCTTCCTCTTACACGGGCCGGATGGTGTTCAAAGTAGTCCATAGTGGAATGAGGCCAGAGGAGATTGAGCTGATAGATCGATTTACAGGGCAGGGCCGACATATAGAGAATCAGCCACCGCCAGGCTGGCGAGCTATATCTTCATGGGGATTGGATTTTGGCAGCATCGCTGCTGATCGCGCAGCCTCTAATCTCGGTAAGCTTTTTGAAGAAGCTAGAATCAGTGAATCAGCTGAGCACGATGACTAGGATGAAATGTGTTCGCCGAAAGCACGCTCTAATGTTCTATATAAGTCATCATACAGCGCTTTGTTTTTCTTTCATATATAGCGACATGCATATGCAACTCATGATAACGTATCTGATCCAGGCAAGAATGAGCAAGAAGTATATCTTGGTCTGTTTTTCATGTGGTATGTCTTGGATATATCTGGTAGTGATCTATGCCTTCAGTACCGGTCCGACTGCCAATAGCAAGGCGCGGTTCATATGTGGTACGAGTCCCATGTGACAAGACAAAGTCTAGACCGCCAAGCCTACTTGGACAATTCTGTCATTGAAATGGCGTTTAAGATTGTCAATGGTCAATAGCCAGTATGGAATAGGTCTTCGGAGAGGCAATTGCCATGCCAAGGATACACACAATGATGCAACACGAGACAGCATCAATAGCCGACTGTCAACTCACGACAACCGGCTAAGAAAAGTGATACTTTACGCCATATCCGGCCCGCCCTTAACTATAGTCTCACACAACTTACCCTGATCCTGGCTTCCTTCTTCCCCGCGATTCATGTCTCATGCTTATTTTCTAGGGCAAAACGACAAAATGGTGGAGGTGGCGACTCTCGCCCCCCGGAATACCCGCCGAGCTATGCCGGCTTAGACCTGGAGTCGTCTCCATCCCGGCTATTGAAACTCAGCTCATGTTTAGCTCATCGGCAAATGAAAAAATGAAGGGCTCAGCGCAGCCAAAGAGTTCAATGGAAAGCGTCGGCTTTTGCTTTCCCCAGACTGATGGAAAAAAAGTGAAGAACAAAGGTTGAGCTATTGGCGCAAGGGTTGACTCGAGTTTCTCACGCCATGTGGGACCGGCTCAACCACTATCGTCCAACTCTGTTGTGAAGAAAACAACTCCACGCTTTATAAAAAGGATCCATCACCTCCGCACATTTGATCCGATCTGAATCCGGGGAATGTCAGGATCGAGTTCATCTCACGTGCGGTGTTTTGATCTTGTCTCCATCTCAATCCTAGTCACATTGTCATTATTATAGAGAGAGAGAGACTGCCGCCTTTCACAGTCACAATGGCTCTCGCAGACTCAAAGCCAAACTCCACCCACGAGGAACATAAAGGAGGCAGCATGGACATTGACGGCGGCAAAACACAAGTCAAGCATGGAGATCGGGCTTTGGCTCTCATCGGCAACGAGCAAGTCGAGCTCACCGAGGAAGACAGCCGTCGCATCTGCCGCAAGACGGATCGAGTCATCCTCGCCATCTTAGTCTGGGTCTATTTCCTGCAGATTCTCGATAAATCCGTCCTCGGCTATGGCGCTACATATGGGTTGAAGACGGACACAAACTTGTCCGGCAACGAGTATTCTCTTGTTGGCTCAATTGCTCCCATTGCGCAGTTGGCATGGCAGCCCTTTTCATCCTATCTCATCGTCAAAGTCCCGCACCGTATCCTGATGCCGTGCCTTATCCTTGGCTGGGGCATTGCACAAGCCTCAATGGCTGCTTGCCACAACTTTAGCAGCTTGATGGCCGCGCGTTTCTTCCTTGGTCTCTTCGAAGCCGGTTGCCTGCCGCTATTCAGTCTCATCACGAGTCAATGGTACAGACGCGCTGAGCAACCGATTCGAGTTGCAGCATGGTACGGCACCAACGGAGCTGCCACCATTGTCGCAGCTGCTCTATCCTATGGACTGGGACATATTCAGTCCGATGTTCTTCGAGAGTGGCAAATGTATGTATCCCTACAACTTGATCCCAATCTTCTATGCCCTAGTCATAAAGACAACATACTAATATGATCTACTGTAGCATCTTCCTCTTTGTCGGTCTCGTCACCATAATCTCCTCCCCCTTCGTCTACTGGAAACTCGAAAACGACATCCCATCCGCCCGATTCCTCACAGAACAAGAAAAGGCCCAGGCCATCGAGAGACTGCGCGCCAACCAAACAGGAACTGGAAGCCGAGAGTTCAAGTGGCGACAGCTCCTCGAGGCCGCCCTGGAACCAAAGACATACCTCTGGATCGCCATGGCCATGCTGCTCAACGTCGGCGCCAGCGTAACCAACACCTTTGGACCGCTTATCCTAAACGGCCTTGTTTCAGACAAATACATGACCAGCCTGTTGAACATGCCCTTTGGCGCTCTACAAGTCATTGTCATCTTGCTGGCCAGTTTCCTCGCCCAAAAGGCACGCGTCAAGGGCGCCATCCTCATGTTCTTCATGATCCCCGTCGTTGCCGGCCTCGCCGTCCTCTACTCCGTGCCTCGCGACAACTCCGCCAAGGCCGCTCTCCTCGTGGGCTACTACCTGCTGGCCTTCCTCTTCGGCGGCAACCCCCTAATCGTCACCTGGATCGTCGGCAACACCGCCGGCACAACCAAGAAATCCGCCATCATGAGCGTCTACAACGCCGCCAGCGCAGCCGGCAACATCGTCGGGCCTCTGCTCTTCAACGCCAATGACGCGCCTGCCTACAAGCCCGGTCTGCGCGCCTGTTTGGCCATCTTTGTGGCGCTCGTGGCTGTGGTCGCGATCCAGTGGGCTAATCTCATTGTGCTGAACAAGCTACAGTCGAAGAAGCGTGTGCGCAACGGGAAGAAGGCGGTTGTTGTCGATCACTCTATGGATGCGACATATCGGGCCATGGATGATAGTAACGATGAAGAAGTTGTTGTTGCAGATGGAAATGCAGCCGGTAATACAGAGCACGTGGGAGACGCGAGGCTCGGAGAGCAAGCGTTTTTGGATCTCACGGATCGTGAGAATGACGAGTTTGTGTATATTTATTAAGCGAGGCTGTAGTTTATGTTATTGTCATGATTAGGCAAACTTTGCATTGGAATATTAGATACCCAAATGAAAACACTCAAACATTATGCATATACGCTTTGTTATACACTCGACAAGTATGCCAAAAATTCCCGTAAGATTCAATATCCAGCACTATCTCTTCATTTAGTAGAGACTGCGACTTATTGCATTATCCTTACAATAACAGACTTGCCCAAAATTAATACTCAAAAAATTATATCATGCCCGGCCCACCTCGTGTCAAACTGCGGCTGCACTACAAGATCGTCCAGTCCACCGGAGCTATGTTCCCAATCAAATTCCCCCCCAGCAAGCATCCCGTCTGTCATGGATATTGTTGAATTACCCGCAATAAACTGCCCAAGTGAATCCAGATCTCTCCACGAAAACCCGCTCAATGGATCCATGTCCATGGCCGCTTTGCCAGTAGGCAGCAGGGGAATGCCTTCTTGCGCTCGGATGTCGTCCATTGTCGGCGTTGGCGGTTCAGTCAAGGGATCGCGGCGAGCAGCAGCAGATTTGTTTGGCTGCTTTGTGCTGGATTTCCTCCAAAGAAGGCGGAGCGACGTTGCATATCGCCTTCCAAGACTTTGTGGGTTGTCCGACGTTTTCTGTAGCTGTGTAATAGTACCATGGATTGCACGACGGACTCCGCGATCGCTACCCTCGCTGCTAATGGCACCCGCCATTCTTGCCTAAATCATTGATTAGCATCATTCTAAATAGACGCGCACATGGTTCATCAAAGGGCAGCATACCTTGAATAAAAAGACGGCGGCATAGATCACGTAGAGACAGTATTTGAGCGGCATGCATTTTAGGCCGGCCACAGGGTCGATGAAGCTGTTCAAGATGCTGAGAAGCGAGTTTGCAGCATCGATGGACTCATATATGAATCGGGCGTCTGGCTTCCCAGCAACATTGGAAAACAGTGGCCCACTAGCTTTACCAGGGCCTGCTTGCGCATTGCGGGCTGCGGCCCGGTTCAAGTTGGCTTGAAAGGCGAAGGCGTTGATGTAGAGTCTTAGGAACTCAAAAGACAGCACCAATGAGGCTTTCACGGGAGGCGTGACTATAAAATGTTAGCTGACGCTGCCAAAAGGGGCAACAGAACGAAAGAGATAGTCAACATACAGCTATGGTTCGCCCATGAAAGCTTCCATTTCCGCACCATGGAAGCAAAATCATCCTACACAAGGACGTTAGAAAATGATCAACTGGTGTATAACAGCTTGGCACCTACAATGTATCTGACGTATTCCCCGCCAATGTACAGCTGCTGCCGGTGACTCGTTGACGAATACAAAATGTCGTGAGCATTGCTGATCAGCTGGGTAAGTTCAAGGTGGGCTTGAAACAACAGGCCCATGTTGTCTGGGCCAAGCGCCTGCTCTTGCAACGTTGGAAAGTCTGCAGCCCGTAGATGAAGAGCTGGGCCGGGCCCGCGAGACCAAAAGCCTTTTCCAAGTCGGATTGAGACTTGTCGGTCGCACATGTAACACGCTGTATCGTTGTTAATGTCCGAGGGCTACAGAGACATTTTCCTTGCTCAACTTCACATACCTGCCCAAACAACCCGTTTCCTACTCATTTCCGCTGAAAGTTTCCCTTCATCCGGTAATAGCGCGGACTGCTCAAGCCTTTGCAGGTATCCTAGCCTTACAGCCAAGCCTACAAGCATCCAAGCACCGTGGTCTTCTTGACCACACCCAATGGAGGAATTCTCCTGCGGGCGTTGTGGCGCCCATTCTGCAAGAATAAGAAGCGCCTCTACAGAGCCAACAGAATTGGATCCGGCATATATAAAATTCGACAGGAAGGTTTCGATGTGGCGAGAGCACGCGTCGTACACTCTAAACCAGGCCGGGTCGTCTTTTGAAGCAACGGTAAGGATTGCTGTCAAGAGATGGGGTTCCTTGGCTGCCCATTCCGATATTGAGCCCTTGAATATGGCGCTATGAGCAACCGGAAAGAATGGATGAAAGTTTTCATGATATCTAGGTAGGAAGCCATTAGACTCGGTACATATGCTCATGGATGTCTGCGCCGAGTTACCTTTTGACAAGATATGACGCCTCGGACGGCGTTATTATGCCATCATCCAGCGGAGGATAGTAGCTGGCAGCCGATCTACCGACGATTTGTGGCATGCCGTCCACTGCAAGTCTACTATTAGAGCCGGCTTGGCCCGCCAGCGCATTTCGCTGCCTATCAGGATCCAGGTCGGCAACCTGGGCGAGAAGGTCGAGGGCATCTGAGGGGTTCAAAAGATCGGTATTGGCAATGTGGCCTTCCAATCCGTCCGAACTCGTTCTCGATTCTGCAATCTCACGAGTGGAACCCCCCTCGTCAGGCCAGTTGCCGGTCTGCTGCGACGACGAAAGCCATGCTCGCATATCATCCGCGCCGCCTGGATGCTGGTCGGGGCGAGCATGACTTGCGTGTTGGCCGCTATAATCTTCATTATCATCGTCGTCGTCGTCGTCGTCGTCGTCTTCGTCATTGTGCGTCGTGTTTGCCGGGTCATGGCCTTCGCTGTTGCGGCTGGGCGTCTGAATCATGGAATTGCGAACGCCCTTGATGCGGCGCCCACCACGCCTCGACTTTGTCAAGACGCATTCCAGCTGGTGTTCGACACATCGACGGCATGGAGGCACGCCCGACACTCCCGCAGAATCGCTGCTCCCCCAATAAGCGTCAGTAAGCGAGGCTGTCCCGGGGTCTTCTCTGCTCACAGATCACATCTCGTCTTGCGCGTGCGACACGATAGACAGGCACGAGAGACCCGCCGGGCCTTTGATCGAGCCATGGCAGCGGTCGGCATCTGTTCTGGGTGCAACTCCATCGGCTATAGCGAGATTTGGCAATTAAAAGCGATTGCATGAACTGGAATCCAGTGCAAGGTTGAGAGCAAACGCCGCAGCTCGAGTTTGCGGGGGTGGAGCTGGGGACAGTAGCCGGATAATCTGGGGCCGACGCGGCTAATGGGCAAATGCCGCGGCAAATGGCCGGAACCCCCACCCGTCGTCACTGGGACGAAAAGTGTCACGTCACCCCTCGGCTTTGCTCTTTGCTTTCTCCATCATCTTTTGGTCCTTTTCGATTTTGTGATTCCGAGTGTTTGGCTTGATACTCTTTCGTTTGATCAGCATCGACATTTATCCGTTCAAATCACCAATTCTTGTACAATGGCCGGATCCACCTCACAAAAGCCCGGCGTCTTGATGCTCGGCATCGTCCACCACGCAAAGGCAGAGTTTGAGAAGCTCTCCGAAGTCGCAGATGTTGTTGTGCGTTTCTACTGCCCTCTTCCAAGTCATCTTTGAGGACATGCCTTTTTTTGCTAACATCTCTGGAACTTCACAGCAAGTTACCACTGGAACTCGTGACGAGTTCATCCGCGACTGCGACAATGGCAAATACGACAACATTGTTGCTATTTCAAGGACCTACGATTCCGTCAAGGCATGATTGCTTCTCTAGTAAATTTATCCCAATCCGACTGCTAACTGAGGATTATAGATCACCGGGAGATTCGACGCCGAGCTAGTCTCTCACCTCCCCTCTTCAATCAAGTTCATCTCTCACAATGGAGCGGGATACGACCAGATTGACATTCAGCCCTGCACAGACAAGAGTACGAACCACCCAGCATTTCTTCTGGAAGTAGTTTGCTAAAATTCTCATTCTTCTGCTGCTCAGAAATCTCCGTATCAAACACCCCCAAGGCAGTCGATGCTGCTACCGCCAACACTGCCATCTTCCTCATCCTGGGTGCATTGCGTCGCGCCTGGATTCCTCAGCTCGCCGTTCGAGAGGGCAAGTGGAGAGGCGAGAGCCCTCTTGGCCGCGATCCTCATACCCTGACTCTTGGCGTTCTGGGCATGGGCGGCATTGGAACCGCAACAGCCAAGCGTGCCGCTGCTCTTGGCTTCAAGCTGCAGTATCACAACAGAAAGCCTGTGGACGGTCTGGACAGGCAATTTGCTGCAAACGAGGTTCCTAAATATGTTGGCTTTGAAGAACTCCTCCAGAGCAGCGACGTCATCTCAGTTCATCTGCCCTTGGGACCAGCCACCCAGGGCTTGATTGGCAAGAAGGAGCTCAGCTCAATGAAGGACGGCGTAATCATTGTCAACACAGCCAGAGGCGCCATCATTGATGAAGAGGCGCTAGCTGAGAGTCTCGAGTCCGGCAAGGTTTGGAGCGTCGGCCTGGATGTTTTCGAGCAGGAGCCCAAGATCAACCCGAAGCTGATCAGCCACCCCGGCGCTGTCTTGCTGCCTCATATTGGTACTGCGACCATTGATACTCAGGTATGTGGCCATTTTTTATTGACCCATCGTCTTAAAGCTTGATGCTAATGATCATTTTTTATCAAAATGCAGAAAGAAATGGAGATTCTAGTGATTGACAACGTCAAGAGCGCCATCACACAAAGCAAATTCCTGACGCTGGTGCCTGAGCAGAAACCTCTGTTGGCAAAGGTATAGAGACCAAGAAACGAAACAACCTTGTAAAAAGTGCATACATACATATCGATAGAGAAGAAAAACATTAGACAAAAAATTTTATTTGTATCGTTTAAAAGCAGGTTTTTATGTAACAATAGTGATAGTATCCACATTGGGTACGATGATATGGTACAGAAGTAACACTAAAACAAACAAACTGCTCTATTTCAAGCCCCCAGCCAACAAGACATCTTGCCCTGTCATATATCCAGTCTTTGCGAACCTATATTCTCATAATTAGCTATGCTTTAAAGCCTGTGATATGAGCAGAAAAGACTTACATGACTACCACATTAGCCACCTCTTCCGGTATCCCAAGCCTATGTATCGGCACACTGCTGGCAATTGCAAGTCCTGGATCAGACTCCTTCATCGCCTCCATGTCATCCTTTGACGTCCAGGTCCTGTTTTTGCCGGTTAGTCTCCCAAAACAAACTGCAATACTGCTACGACTTACCTCTGTTTTGGAGTGGGAATCATGCCTGTAGCTCCAATCATAGCCGGTGAAACCTAGAGTCGTCAGCATATTTGAGTACAATATCGGAACGAAGCTGGACTGACAATGTTGACTGTGATGCCTTCCGGAGCCAGAACCGTGGCCATGTTCAAACCCATTGAACTAGGGCATATTAATACAAGTTTAAACAAATACAGGCCACTCAAGCTGGACTCACGATAAAGCACCCTTCGAGGCTGCATAATGACATCCGTTTAAACCACTTCCCCGACTCGCAATGCTGCCCACGAGAATAACTCGTCCCCAGCCTTGCTCACGCATCCCCTCCACAGCAGCCTTTGTAATGACAAACTGGCTCCGGGCATTGACTTCCATAATGTCATCCCAGTCTTGTTCCTCGATATCCTTGACATGGCGAATGCGACGGCCAATGCCGGCATTTGCAACCAGCACGGATATCGCCTTGTGTTTCTCGGCGATGGCCGGCGTACTCAGCACGGTGGTGACAAAATCTCGCGTGGATTCTCTGTTCGTTAAGTCGGCTTGAGCGGTGACGAATAATTGATTCAGATGGCTTTGTCGGAGTTCGGAGGCTAGCGACTCTGCTTTGTCCTGTTGAGGGTTGAGTTATTCGACCAGTTGAAAGACCCAAAAGATGTGAATGATGTGCCCACCTTGCTAGAAGAGTAATGAAGGATAACGTCGCAGCCTTCAGAAGCCAGGGATTTCGCACAAGCCGAGCCAATCCCACCACTTGCATGCTGATGTCAGTCTGCGGCCTTTGTTACGTGCCACGATTCCCTGTACAAACCTGGCTCCTGTTACCAGTGCAAGACGGCCTGACAACTCATTGTCTACTGATTGAAGATGATACGTGGTAACCATTGTGTGCCGTGGTATGGCTGAGGCCAATAAGTCGAGACAGGTAAAGAAGCAAGCAAAGTGCAACTCAAACCAAGACGTAAGGTATTTTGCTTTCGGCAATTGACAGGCAACTCAAGATGTGAGTTCAAAACACAAATAAAAAGTAAACAACTAATCGGCAATCATAAACTACGTCAATAGTATGCCATGTTGGAACTGTACAATGAATGTCCCGCTTTCATGAGCGTTATTTCATTGTGCCGCAGCTGGCGGCAATTGATGCGGCTTTTGATCCAGCTACGCCACCAATAAAGGTCGGCGCTAATTGTTAGCACGTGGCTTCCATGCTAGCAGAAACCTTGAATGCTGCGCGGGGGTTTTACCCCGGAAAAATACCGCTTTTTATGTAGAATCAGTATTGTGATGATGCAAGTCAATACATATATAATCATATGCAGGGGAGGATGTGAGATTCAGCCACATCGCTTTATTAAAGCTCAAGCATGTCTTTATGGTCCCAAGATTGTGAATATTGACCGACATACTATTCCCTAACATGTAAACCGGGGCGGTTTGGCTGATTTAGAACTGCTACAGATCAAAAAATTGCCGTCGATGCAGTGCAAGTTCTGCCCAGGGCTCTCAATGTCAAAATAAATAATTCAACCAAGCACTGATGAGCGGGGGAAATAATTTTGACTCTCAAGGTAGCCAAATGCTTCGTCATCGAGTTCCCTCGTAACGCGTATGAATGGTTAACAAGATTCCCACTATTCCCGTCTACTATCTTGCGAAACCACAACCAAGGGGCTACCAGGCTTTCAGAATCGGTGGAAAAGGGAAACCTTGGTGACGACTCTAGTCTGGCATTGCGAAAATACATTGGGGGTGTAGAACAGGTGAGAAACTCAGTATGACACATTTAAAAATCCATAAAGCAGGTGTCTTAAAAGGTGGTACACGTATTATTCATCTCTTGTTTACGAGCATCGCCTCAAGGGTCAAACACGGAGCCAATACATCCTATGCAAAAACCTTACCAATGAGCACGTCCAAGTACAGATACGCAGCATAATGAACGAGATCCATCTTTTATCGAAGCACACAACCTATTTTCTAGTAGTACCGGCTTCCCAAAAGCTCCCTTTTATCTCTGTACATCTCTTTAGATCAGATTTTCTGAACATGGGTAGTTCCTCCTGCTGAGGAGTTACTGTCTACATGTAGTTATTATACCCTTCTACATCGGTGTCGTCAGATTCAGTCCCTTCTGGATCAGAATTTTCATCCAAGTCCACCGCATCTTTTGGTTTCTGGTCATATAACGGCTCAATCGCCCGAAAGGTATGTTCCCCGTCGTGAATTAATAACCGGTAATTGCTGCATTTGAAACAAAGTGAGAAGTTGTCGGGGCATTCCATGCATTTCGATGCTGTACCTATGATATCCTGTATGTTTCAAGATACGTTAGTATTCTACTTGTCTGTTGTCGGGGAGGTTTACCAACCACGAGGCAACTCTTGCAGGTGACATTCTTCTTGTCTCCAGCCTTGACATCATGCAAATCGTCATTCCACTCCTCCTCTTCACCCTCTTCATTGGTCCTAGTCCGTTTTTTAGGCTTCAACTGTTCTCTCAGAGTTGTGTTCCGATCTGAAAAGTTCATCAACTTCAGTGCCGACCACTCATCTTTCACGTCGAAAACGCAACCTCGGGCCCATACGTCTGCCTTCTCTGCGATTAGCCTAGTAATGGTGCTGGCATGTCCAGATCGCGCTGCCCATAAAAGCGGCGTCCAGCCGTCGTGGTCCGCGGCATTGATGTCCATGTGCTTCTGCGTCTCTAAAAGATATTCGACGCAGCTATTTGACGGGGATGATGCCGCAAAGTGAATGGGCATGCGACCAAAGCTGTCTTTTACATCAACCTCAGCGCCAGCCTCGACTAACAGTTTGATACCGCTAGCATGCTGTGAGGTACACGCAAGATGCACGGCGCGGCGGCGCTGGCTATCTGTAACATTCAACTGAGCCTTGCGTCGGATAAGAAACTTTAGCATCTTGATGCCGGTCGTATAATCGGTCCTAGTCATATCCGCTGCTTTTATAATGGGATAGCCGAATTCACCGCCAAGCTTATCAATTGGCACCTTGGCCTCATCAACCAGATATTTTACCATTTTTTGAAGCTCTGAGTTGCCTTTTATTCCCAATGCTGTATATAGCAATGACGCACCATACTTGGGATCAACCGCTTCGCAATCTGCACCTGAGTCAATGAGCAGTTTGACAAGGTCGACGGCACCTTTAGTCACAGCAAGGTGAATAATGCTACCAAAGCTGGGACTAAAGACATTGACGCTGGCCCCCTGATTTATGAGATACTTGGCAACGCTCAAGTTGCCTTCTCTGATAGAGATAGCCAAAGAGGTGAAGCCGTCATTGTCTGGCCTGTCAAGAAGGGCTCTCCCTTTAGCAAAGAGCTGAACCACATCCACAGGTGTTTTGTTATTGATCAGATGCAGCCGAGTCTGACCTTTCGTATTAACATAAGCTCCATCGATGTAGTCAGACTCAAAAAGGATCAGCTCAAGACACTGCACGATGTCTTTAGAAAAGTGATCCGCCTGAAGCAGGATGTCAACGGCATCCATACCGTTCTTGTTCCTAAATTTTGCATTGGCACCAGCCTTTAGCAGAATCTCAATACAATCAGGCGACTGATATTGGCAAGCAATTTGCAGCGGCGTACATCCAACATCTGATTCGACTTCCATATCATCGCCACAAACACGTTCTAGATTTGGCTTGGGATCATGTTCCAGGAGCGCTTTGATTGTTTTTGGCCAGCGTGATGCTGCCATATGAAGTATAGTTCCCCAGCTACTATAGTGTTCTATCGACACACCTCTTTTAAGTAGCTGTCGAACTATCTTCGGGTTCATGTATGCTGCAATAAGCGCATTCACACCATCGTGCCTCGCCCAATGAACATCAATGCTTTCATCTTGGAGCAAGTATGTTGCCAAGTCGTCGTTGGAATGAAGAATTGCAGCAAACAGTGGTGATTCTGACATGCCTCCGGTGTAATTTATGTCGGCATTCTTATCAAGGAGAAATTTCACAATATCTAAATCTCCATTTCCGCAAGCGCGTGACAGTGGTGTACTGAAAACACCACCATTCGGGTCAGCAAACTCAAACTCAACGCCGTGTTCAACCAGCATCGATACAAGATCAGCATTTCCTGTATTAATCGCGCGTAATAAGAGCTTTTCTTCTTCAGGAGGATGTGCATCCAAGTCTGGCTTTTTCTCCTGTTCGAGTAACAGCCGTGCGATTTCTATATTATTGTTTGCAACGGCTTCGTACAATGCGGTCCCGGCAGCGCATGAGACAAGCGGATCAGCTCCGTGAGTAAGCAAGACCCGAGCACACTCCAGGGCACCAAATTTGGCCGCAATAATCAGTGGCGGTTGCAGGCTGGTTTTGTCAATGTCATCCTTTTCGCCGCTGTTGAAATCAGCCCCAGCCCTGATGAGGATATCTGCTGCCTTATGCCTATGGTTATAGACGGCTATTTGGGTCAGCATTTGGCCTGAGCCATTTGGACCATCTGTATCTGCCAAATTTCCGCCAGCTTTCAAGACCATTTCGACAACTCGTGGATCACCTTTGTAGACTGCCAATGTGAATGGGGTGTCGCCATCCCTATCTTTAAAAGACAAATCTGCCTTGTGTTTTGAGTCCAACAGAACTTCCAATGAAGAAACGCAGTTCCGCCATATCGCAGTCATTGTTGGTGGGGATTGATTAAAGTCGCCGATTTCATTGATGTCATAGCCAGATTGTAGCATTAATGTAAGGACACTCTCAAGTCCAATAGCACTAGCTCGATGAAATAGATGCTTGGGCCATTGAAATCCTTCTAATCTCGGTATCTTCTCGACAAGAGCATTCAAAGTATCCTCATTGCCATTTCCGGCGCTTGCAAGTAGTGCTCTTTGAAGCTCTTCTTCATCCACTAAGACATGTTGTAGAAGCTTACGAACGGTATCACTCCGACCCATTCGGGCAGCTTCCGTGATAGCGAACCAACAGTTCTTGTTAAAGGGAGACTGGCCAGTTTCAGATTTGATAGTATCATCAATAAGATCCTCCAAACCAAACCCAGCAAACATTGGCAGCGTTGAGATATAGCCTCGTTTGGGCCGAGTGAACGGGTTGGAAAGAAGCCACAAGAGCGTTTCCCAGCAGCCACGAGCCTTCTTGTTGGCAAATAGTTGAAATACAAGCTGTTTGGGCTTATAGGGCCCACTTGCTTCATAGTGGCACGGCCAAAATCGAACTGCGTATCCTGCCATATTGGCTCTGGAGTGGGAAATCACAGCCGCATCGAGCGGTGTCTCCCATTCATTTCCCTCAAAGATTTCTGAGCAAGACTCTGTGATTGCGTCTTGTACATTCTCAAGTTGTAAGTAATGCAGACATATCTCTGCCATGGTGCCATTGATTTTGGCAGCCCGTTCTTCATCGCTACCTTCCACCCCTAATGCGGGGACAAGATAAAACGACAAGTGACTGAACTTAACATCGTTGCCTTTGACAGTGATGATTCCACATAGAGAATCCACTATGTCTTGTATGAAATATTCAGTATGAAGATCAATGAAACAAAGCTCCTGATTCGGGAAACAAAAGACTGTAAGAGCTTCCGCTAAGGACTGTAGGGACCACGGTTCTGATGCGTATTTAACCCAATTGAATACCCTTTGAGCCCTTTCTCGGAGCTCAGGGGTCAAAGAGGATACTATAACATGAACTGTATTCTCCGCTGTAGGAGGCGACATCTCGTTGATCCTGGTCGCAATCTCAGACTTTGGCCTGCCACGAGGGTAATGTTTAAGCCAATTTAAAGTGATATATCCTAGATGTGGTGTATTTTCACACTCTCTGAGCAGTATCTCGAGCTGTTGCTGAAATTCTCTGTATATCGGGCGCTCTTTAATTAGGCGCTTCATTTCTTCTTCAAGCACATTGCCCGTTTGTCCAATACTGTTGTTAATTACCGGACAATCGCCCAGATTGATTTGCAGGGTGGCAGGAAAATCTTTAACTGCCAAACCATCCCGCGTCGAACTGGACAGAATCAGCCGATATTCTGCCTCGCTGTAGCTCTGTTCCTCCAGAACGCGCTCTAAAAACCATCGCCGCTGCTCCAGGGGACACTGGTCAAAAGCACTAAGGAAAAAAGTGAGCTGATGTGTGGCTTGAAATCTCAATGTAGTATACAAGTGATAAAGATCTTCTAGTGACCAGCCACGTGTAACATTCAAGAAATTTAAATCTTGGAGAATGGATTCCTGCGAAAAGTCGTTCCAAAAATGCCATATCATCATGTTGATGAAGTATGTAAGCATCGAGGAAATGTTATTATATCGAGAGTCCCCTTGGTCAAATTCGAAATAGAGAATGGACTTCTTTATTTTTCTGGAACCATGCTTCGAATCATAGTGAGTGTAGAAAAGACGGGAAATCAGTTTGATGTCTATTAAAGAATTTCCATCGAGATAGAGATGCATGAGCCGTGGTCTCACGTCTGCCGTAAAAAACGCAAGATATGGTTTCTGCTGGCAAATCCAGCCTGAAAATAGTGTATCTGCCATCGACGGATTGAAACTTGTATCCGTGCTCATGGTTGGAGGCGCCAGGGAGAGAATATGCGTTTGCAGTTGAAGAAGCTGACGATTTATCCTGGTAACTAAGATTATAATCAGTTTCAGACGTAGATCTTTTAGCTCTACAAATCTATACTTACTGCAACCTTCTGCATTGAAAATGGAAGATATCTCATTGATCCAAAGCTCATTCCAATAATAGCCACGAATGAGATCAACATGATTTGTTACATCGAGTTGAATTCTTCCATAGGCTTCAAACGATTGTCCAATGAAGTGGGTATGTTGTAAGAATGGAGTGACTGAATTGGGCACATCGTCATATTCATCGCCTTCTGGGATGTTATTATCGCCTTTTTCACGCTTCTTTCTTGAAGTTTCATCCCAATTTCGAACAACAACGTTCAAAATGACAGCACGATCTAGGAGCTTTGTCTCTAGAAAATCTTTGTTGATTCTGTTGACCTGATACGCAAGTTTTCTAGCTTTTTCCAAGGATCCGAACGTAATGTCAGGACCTGGGAGTGAAAGAAGATGACGAATTTGCTCTGCGAGATCTGGTACGGATAGAACCTGGTGGGGTGTTCCTAGGAATATCTGGTGCTTAAGTTAGTACAAGTTCTTATACAAGACTTGTGTCGCCCAACTCACAATTGTCGTTGTCAATATTGCTATTTTTCCATACTTTTTGCTATTGGTTATGGCTCGACATAAGGCCTATTTTGATTAACATGTGCTAAGATGGGAAAGAGTGGAAAATTACCTCTTTCACAATAGTCCCTCCAAGATCATGGCAAATCCATATGATAGGGCGGTCTATCTCAGTCTAGCATGCCAACTGTCAGTCATTCCCTTCATAAGATGGCGTATTTAAGAGCCTACTTCTTCAAAACTTGCACGATCTTTGGAATAAGCCGTGAGGAGCCTTTCAGCATGCAGTCCAATACCGTCCACCTCGAATATGGCTGCTTCTTCATCAACCTCGTAGGAGTAATCCACCTCTCTGATGGATACATGTTTGAATAACTTGTCCTTCAGCCACCAAGTGCCATCTTCCTGTGTCCAGGCGGTTTTATAGTCGTCGCGTATACCGTGAACAGTGACCAGACTATGAATTCTGTCAGCTCGATATCCCCCGGGCATCATGGAATCAACACCATACTCATAGCCGCTATAATATGAGCCCGACCAGCCTAAAGGATAAACGATGTCGAGTCCTAATTGACGCTCCTCAGAGATGCTATCGCCGCTTTGCGAAAAGAGATCTTCTGTTCGTGTCTCGGGGCTATCTGCTCGTTCATTTGCACCATACTCCTCAGGAGTCGGCGGCAGTTTCAAGTTAACGTCTGTCATCTTTTCTGAAATTCCACGTTAAAGTGCTACTACAAATGGATAACAAGAAGTCGCAGCATGCTTGGGATAGTCGGTGCTAAAATGTGCGACGCACTTCACGCAACCAGATTGCAGTCAGGTAACAAGAAAGTCTGACGCATGCAGCTACAATCTTTTTGCCACAAAGAAAATAGAATATCAAATGAATAGAGGCTTTGTTCAAAGAAAGAGCAGGGGCGGCTGCTATCCAATAACAAAAACGCTCCTTATCTTAACCCCGCTTGGTTCTCTATCCAAGTCGTAACACAACATAATTATCTCCACCTCAACGTAAAAAAAATTGGCAAATTGTGTGACACCACGGACAATGCAAACTTTCTCATTAGTAACCTTTTTGAGTATTTGCATGTGTGCGCAATCCTTCTGTGTTAAAATGCACTGTGCGCGAATAAAATCGACAGTTACACAGAGTGCATGTAAGCTACTCCAAGTGGACAAATGCTAGCCCTGGAAAAGCAGTATCTGATCAAAAACAGGACGAGACGAGACGAGACGCCAACTGACGAGCTGGTATATTATTGCTATATACAGGCTCTGAAACAATAGAGAGGGAGCTATGAGAGTACATCCTGTAAAGCACTACTTCCATATTCCATGTCTATCTAGGGAACAATTGGCTTTAACGTGACCCCTCCAAGTTCATCAAGATTGATGCTGCCCAACTCGTCATTGCTGTATGCCACATTCCTGTTTGGACGGGTCCCTTTGTCGCGAGAGTCTGGCTGGAATAAGACGGGGTCGTCTTTAGGGATCTTCTTGAAAAAGCTTTGAGCGGCCGTCTTGCAATCTGTCTGACAGGTAAAGGCGAGCCTACAGCGGAATATCTTCCGCTCTTTGCTAGATACGAGTATGGCGACCTTTAGCGAGCAGGGAATCCCCGTGGGTTGTGTGCGGTTCTCAGAGATAGTCCATGTTGCAATCCGGTTTGGAAGTCTGTTGTTAGGGGCCAGCATTCCGCCGGACAGCCTAATCGCATCCGAAACAGTCTTCGTTGTAGTTTTCTCCCATTTGCCACCTAAGCCGAGATTTGCAAACTGTTGGATACCGATGGTAGGATTGATTCCTCTTGTGAATGATTCGTCTTGTTTGGTTGGCATCAAATAGTGCGTGCCAAGGAACGAAATCTTTTCAACAGCGACATCGTCATCAGCCGTATCAGACTCAAACAAGAGCTCTATGGTAGGCTCGGAGATTCGACGCGAGCCCTTGGGCTGGAAGAACCATTGCATAACTATCAAACTCGCATAGTCGTTGCTGTCGGCGGAAATAGCTCCATACACAACTTTCTCCAGGCTGCAAGTAATGTCAATGGCCCCGGTTCTTTGAAGAACTTCCGCTCGATGGTATTGGTCCTCCGCAACATTAAAGATATGAAAGCCGCTGCCTTCTTCTCCCCCAGTCTCGTACATTTCAATGGGTATCTTTTCTTCATCGTTGCTAGAAAAGATATCGACGTCAAGGTTGGACATTCTATCACAGGGAACGATTTCGGATCGGTGATGAAGGTGAAAGGTTTCTGCCGGTCACTTCCTTACAAGGTAGATACTAGTATTTATAATTAATTCGGCATACTTTGATCTTATCTTGATAGAGTCGTTATGACTAATATGTGTACGGTCTGTGAGGAGTAAGCCGTAATAGCTTCGAGGTTCCTTGTGTTACACCTTACACTGTGTGCTTGGCCTCTCATGCGGCCATGAGGGGTGACCATCAGTATCCAGTAGAAATTGAATAGTCGACCCACGATACCGTGTCCCGTTCTCCATGTCCCGTTCTCCATATCCCGTTCTCCATGTCCCGTTCTCCATGTCTCCTTATATTCCATTACCTTACGTATTGTCACAGTGAGGGTAAACAGTGACCCCTACAGTCATGAATTTTGATTTGGACCAACGCTTCGACGATTTAGGATTGGACGATGACGGCGACTCTGTTTACACTGAGGCCGAAGAAAACGATCCAGAACCCTCCATCTTCATTGAAGCAAAGAAGGACATTAAGAACAAGGAGGGATTTTGGGATAGCAACGACGTTGACCAATTCTTCGGCAAATATAGCGACATTGTTGGACCTTTAGACAAGCCTGCGAACAATCTTTTGCATACGCTCGTCGACGTGGTTACGCACAATAGTATTACGCCGGAAGATATTCAGCTCCTTGTCCAACGCCTAGTCAAAGAATTTCCAGCTCTACTCGAGCATAAAAACGAGGACAAGTACAATCCCATTTTTATGGCTATCAAAGCGTCTCACTATCAGCTCGTCGACTACATGGTCAATGCATGTACAGTGATAAAGACAGGTACCTTGCATAAGCAATCACTTGACGTCGCTCTGAGAGAAAAAATGATAGAAGGCAAAACGTGTCTCCATCTTGCGATAAAAGAAAATTTCGATTCAAAAACCAGGAAGGTACTAGTCGAAAACGCCAGCGACGAGGCCTTAGCTATCCAAGATGATGTTGGGAAAACGCCCATGCATTATGCTGCGGAATACAAGCGCTGCACCGATGACGGTGCAGAACTCATAAAGTTGTTCATCGAGCGGGACTTAAAAGCCATGAACAGCTCAAAAAGCCCTTCGAAGACATTCCTCGATCTTCTTGACAACAGTGGCGCCTCAGTTTATTTGCTGCATCGTACAGAGCGGCTCACGGAAAAACGTCAGTCACATGAGCGCAACTCGCAAAACTTACCCCGAATTTCAAAATCTGTTGATAAACCTGTAGTCGGAGAGCTCAGGCCACAAGTTACTGCAGGGCCATCTAAGTCGGTGGCCTCGAGTAAGCCAGTCAGTAGCCAAGGAAATCGACTGAACCGCGACAACGCCAAGGATGTTGTCGGCGATGAGCGTGAAAAGAAATACCACAAGAAGAAAACCGAAGAAGCTGAAAGTTATAAGAATTCGGAACCACCTACGAAATCTGATCATATGAAAGAGAGAGTTGTTATCAGCCATGATGCAAACCAGATTCGATCGATCAAACCCAGTGAGCCAGATGAGAGCAAAGCACAATTGAGGGCATCCCCAGTAGCAAATACCATTGCGCAGCTAGAAACAATGCCTAATACACCCTCAAATTGGGTGGCCTCAGCGGGTTTGGCCGCTGAGTTGGGCCAGGAGGAAGAGAGGCCCGCTGCAAAAACCAAGCGTGATTCTCCCAGGACCAAGAATTCAAATAATATTCTACAGCGCCTGAAGCTGCACTACATGAGAACGAGAAGCACTGAAATGGTCATCTCCTTCCTATATGGTAACAACTTGCAAGGTGAGTGCAATAAGACAAAGCCATGAGTGGCAAACAGCGACTGATGAGCGCATCTCAAGATATTCAAGTTAGCTTTGACTATGATAAGCTACCTCGACAAATACAATGGTCCAATTTCCTCAGTCGCTTTGGCGCCGATTCTAATTCTGATCGCCTCAGATTCGATAGTGTGCTACAATATGTGACTTTCCCCAAAGTTCAAGTCCAAATCAAGGGACGTCATGCCGATCTTGAGCGGGAGGCTGAGGAGCAGTCTGGAGTACGCCAAGTTGGAGTTTCTGGCTGCAAAGATATGAAGTACTTCTTTGATTGGCTTAACAAGAAGGGTGTTCGACACATCATTACTTTGTCCGTGGAAGACTCCAGAGATTCTGAAGAGAAGGTCCACAGCGACCAAGTTATCCAGGAATCCCTTGAGAAATTTACTATTGAACATCTCGACTGGAGGAAGACTGACTTGGACCCAGAAACAATACTACATGTAGGCAGCAAGGCTACTATACTACATGTAGGCAGCAAGGCTACTATGGCACAGAATTCTACGATGTGCAACGAAAGGAGCATACAATCGATTCCTCAACAACTAAGACAGCTCTCCCTGAAATGGAGCGGCAGTAATTCCGTGCTTCGAGCCTGGAGTGAGCCAGAAGGCTTGCCATTATTACCCTGGCTTCAGAAAATACATTTATACAAACTTTCTTCTAATCTGGTACGTATATAACACTTTCCGTCGGGATCCTGTTGCTCTCTGCCAGCTAATTTAGGCAATAGCAGTACGATAGCCCGCATTGGATCCAAGCAAACGTGGAAAAGTTCAAAATAAGACTCAATGCCAACAGAAAGGCTATTCGAGATCGAGAGGTCACAGTCTGTGCCGATCAAAACAGTTTTTCTGATGATGGTGTAGCATTTGGCGACGTCGAGGTCGACATAATCGACTCAGACAAGGAAGCAGAGTTCGCAACCAGATCTCGTGACACTCCTCACTTCTCGTTAACCATCCCAAAGGGTATTAACTCACATAAGTGGCTGGATTCCACTATTAGGTTTGCAGCTGAGATGGAGCTTTTTTGGCGCAAAACGACTCTGGAGTTCAAATCTTCGAAACACAATCTGGACCCAACAAAAAAGATAGCTAGCGACGTCATTGTTGCCTTGATCGACGACGGTGTAGATATGTTCGACGCAGGCCTTTCTGACAGGGTTCTCGAAGGTAAGAGCTTCGACTTCCACGACGGAAAGGTCAGGCCATCATTTTCGTCAGCGGATGGTCATGGCACAGTCATGGCCAGCATGATATTACGGGCTTGTCCCATGGCCAAAGTGTATCCAATCCGCCTCAAAACGTATCCAAATTCCAATGGTAAGAGTAATATCGATGCGGACTACGCGGCTCAAGTACGTTTCACCCAGATTATTTTAATGTGTGGCTTTAACTCACCGGAATGCAAGGCTATCTTATCCGCTCTTAACAAAAAGGCTGACATTATCTCAATGTCTTGGACACTGCCAATGTCAGGTGACAAGAGTGGTTCGAGAAACCGATGTACGTCTTAAAGGCCTCTACTCCGTCTTTTAGAGACAGTCTGCTTGAAAGTTTTCGATACTCAAACAAAGCCATACTAACGCCTAAATGCATTTTCATCAGTGCATGATGCCCTGAAAAAGGCCGTAGATGGCAAAGCCCTGATGTTCTGCTCTGCACCCGACGAAGGCAAATTCACGAAGCGTGATTATCCAAGTGGTCCATGGCGCGAGGACTTCTTCCGCATTGGCGCCGCGCGTGCCGATGGCACTGTTTTCGAATGGACACCAGAAGACGGCATCACGTACGTCCTACCAGGCGTTGATGTTATTAGAGACCAAGCCAGCAGCAACTCCTTTGGGTGGGGTTCGGCAGCAAGATTCACAAAACGTATAGAAGACTTCAAGTATGAGACTGGATCAAGCGTCGCGACAGCACTAGCAGCCGGCCTTGCTGCCATGATCATTTATTGCATAAAGTCTAGTATAATGAGCATGAAGATAAGGAATCAAAACAAATATCCGATCATGGGTGCTGCGATTGGTGATAATGATGCGAGTCTTATTGCTGCCCCAGATGCCATGAAACGAGCATTTGCTCGCTTGGGCAACGTTACGCCAAACAGATTTATCCAGGTCTGGGAGAAGTTTGATGAGATTAGTGAAATCTTGAAGACATTGAGAAGGGAAGAGTCGAGCCCGGAGGAGAAAGTCAAGTGTATCGAGCGATTTGTTGAATTTGGAAGTGAACTTGCAAATTCTATCCGGACATCTTGATATAGAGTATTCAACATGCCATCAGTCTAATAGTTCTGTACTGAGATTGCATTAATTCAAGTCAAATAAGATTGTCAACCCAAGTGTAATAATGACGAAGAAATTCTATAAATTCAGGTCCGTGACAGGCCAGATTCTCCTTAATCTTCCACACTGTTATTACATAGTTCTTGAAGTAAACTCCGCCATCCTTATGACTCTATAATTCTGGAAGATGGAGGCGAGATACCACCTCCAAAATCATAAAAGATGACCACAAATGTAGCCAAATGGAAAAACGCAATGGTGCAAACAGGAAGCCCGAAACAGCTCTCAAATCCGCTCTCTTACATCTGTTCATGTTTTCGTATTTGATGGCTTAAAAAGACCAGAATATACAGCCTACAATTGATGAACACTTTCATACGCCGCGCTGCAATCTAATCATGCTAATTGCAAATCATTGAGGTTAACGAACCAAAGCTCACCTATCCCACTTTAGGTCTGTAGCCGTTTTGTAACTCAACTAGAACAGGGTTGTTCCCAGCGTTGATCAATTACCGGCGGCGAAATTGTAACTCCGTATTATTAAGCATATTATCCAGCATTCTCTCACTGTTCTAGTACTCAAATTGAGCATCAGGTTGTTTCACAAATCAATGCAAGGGCCAGCATATTTGAAGATGAGCATGGTACCTGCATACTCTAAGCAGCCTTGTATATTCGTCGATGGATAACGCTACATGAATGTACTGTTCTCAAATATATTCACATTTCAATTGAGGATATCCGATGTCCCTTCTTTATGGAATTCTCAAAGAGGTTGATGTGTTCTAAGGCGGCTTCGCAATGCTAAATATCTGCCTGGAACCGAACCTTGACTTCGTGAGTTTTAGCCGCAAGCTCGTGCAAAAGCTTTGCTTTCTTCACATCAATGTTTTCAATATTTTTCTCTTCCATCTTACGCTTCCGCTGTTGCTCTGCAATGTTGGAAAATACAGGAATAACTGCAGCAATAAAATCTTCCGAAGAAGCGCTGTTGTTGCACTGGAGAATCTGTCGCACAACCTGATTCATTTCCTTCACATTTTCTTCGATCTCGTCATTGATAATTTTCGTGTTTTTTGCGGCAATATCACTCTCTACCATCAATTCTTGAAATTCAGAAATTATGGTAGGCGCCCGCTGAACGAGTTGCTCTTCAACACTTGTAGATTTCCCGCCACTCAGGTGTGAATTCAAAGGCGAAGGCTGTTCAGGGTTCATATTTCGCTCTCTTGCCTCGTTTTCAGACTCATTTGCTGTCACATCTGCTACATCGGTTTCATTCGGGGTATTCATTTCGTTCGGAACATCCGCTTCGTCCTGATTTGGGATGAGCGAACGGGGCAGACTTGAGTAACCAGACCTATCATCGGGTGGATCTCTCTCTTCCACATCATGATCGCTTCTTGACCGGATATCAAGGTCAACTACGTAGTCGATTCCTTGGTCATCAAGGGCAGAATTCTCTTCAGGAGACCAGGCGGTATCCTCAGATTCGCTCTCATCATCCTCGACAACTGTGATCTCATTCTCTTCCTCGTCATCAGAAGCCTCATTAATCTCGGCATCACTGCCATCTTCATTATCGCTTCCGTTCACTAATATCATCATTACTAGTATAAGCTAATCAGATAATAGAGCGGAGATTACAAACAGCAGGCTTTAAAATCAGATGGCTGGAATTCATATCTTGGGTTCTTTTGGCGGTCAATCCGATTCAAACGGTTGCTGCTAACTTCTTCATAAAGCCGAGCGATTGCGAGGCCTGGACGCTTTCTGGCAATTTTGCCTATTGCTCGCGCTCTTGCCTGTTCAATACGATCGAAAAACAAGACAAACTGCCACGGCGCGACACCAAATGCCTGAAGAGCATAACTTGCCCATGTTTCGAGGTGTCCAAGATCTTTGTAATACCCCCATGTTAAAATCCTCTCTAAGCGCTCTGGATTAAACTGATCGGAAGCCCAGAGTGGAAAGGGTCGACAGTCAGTGGGATGAGAAGTTGCAACATCTTCGTAAGATCGGCGTAGTTCTTGCCAAGCTTCTCTAAAACGTTCTGATGAATCTCGTAGGCTATCAAGTGAGTCAACAGCCTCTTTCGCTGTTGTAACTCTAATGTTAGTGGTGATAATTAGTGGAGATGTCATATTGGTCTGAGTGTGCCGCCGTTGCGGATATTATCAAACGTAATTTGCAATGCTTGACCAGTGGTTATGTGGCGGCCAAAAATAAACAAGAAAAATTCATCGGGTATGAGGCTATAATATGACTCTTTAAAGGGGGCAAACAGACAATTATGACTAGGACGATGTACCGTGAATGTTTGTGAAATGGTACATGTATCTATATGCATAATCTGGGGTAATAGGAAGTACTGAGGCACTGCAGCCTACAGACTTAATGAAATGTGACATGTAATTTAGATGGCTGTGCACCTTTGATGCCCATTCGCCAACAAATAGCAGAAGGCGACACTGTAACAGGGTAGACGGGCAAAGTGAGTCTAGGATTGGTGCACGAAAAAACTTGAGCTGACCAACAGCATAAAGTATGGGGTAATTATAATATATGGTGCATACGACAATGTAGCTTTCACACACCACCAGCAGTAGAAAACTCGGTATACTTTGGCATGAAGAATATTTCTGGCTGGGCGCTATATGTATTAATGCCTAGTATCTTCGCACTATAGTAGCATACAACCCACAACTGATCTCATACAACGCGACACTGCTATTCAGCTTCTCGAGTATTCACTGGCCTCGTGTGAGTTTTAGTTGCAATTTCTGCGCCCTGTTTCGGTTTCTTGGACCATATCCTTCTAAATAAAGTACTGGCTGGAAAATTCTCTGAGCTTTAAGGAGCGTTGGACTATTTGGTGTCAAACATCACGAGACACTTCTGCCCATTCAACGAGGCGATGGAAGTGGGGTTTCGGGATTAGCGAAACGCCAGCATCGCGGGTTTCATTGGTTCACTTTGAGTCTGCAGGCATCAAGGCGGGGAATTTACTTGCCCATTGAATATTCCCAATTCCGCTAAAAATCCAAGCCTATCTCCATCCGCTATTAGCCAATGGCTATGTAGATCATTAATCGGGAAGCCGACCGAGTCAAAATTACTAGGACTCCATCAAATAGAGTCAAGTAGTTGCGCTTCGTGCGCCTAAGCAACATGCTACGGGAAAGCAAAATAGAAGACGATTATTAACATCTACGTCCATTGTTTGTCTAGTTACTGGGCGGTTCACTATAACGATGGCGTGCTCTCAGACACGCTCTGCGAAACGGTCGTCAAATTCTCGTAAGACGGCGCCTTGTCTTGCGCCAATATAAAAGCACTGTAGACGGGAGCCGTCTCATCGTCCTCAATACGGCCGACCCAAAACTTCAGTCTTGTATCGGCCAGATGTTTGGGTAGCGGCTCAGCTCCGCTTGTATCGCTCACATTTATGAGTCGACTCAGCTCTGCGTTTCGTGTTGTGCGCAAAATGGTGGAGAATGATTTGCCATAGGACTGCGAGGCCTTGTTTATGCAAAAGAGTCCGATAGCAACAACTACTAGTGTTGCGAATATGCCGGTTCCGTAAGCAATATACAGATTACGTGGAATGTACACATAATTGTTCATGGTGTTCCATACAGTAACATTGCCCATATTCGGCACGGACTCGTCATTGCTGTTCGATGCATAAGCTTGCAAAACTCAAGACGCCATGATGCTTGGCGGATGCACTCACAGGAAATATTGATTTGAGAAGAGGCTAACTGTCACATTTGCGACGAATTGTTCCATAATTTGTGTCAACGCTATGTCAGTTGGCGGATTGGATGGGTCTGAAACAATGTTGCCCCACGAAGAAGAAATCAACATTGGCTGCAGTTCACGAGCCTGCATAAAAGCAGAGGACATGACCTGAGAGGTGGAATACAAGACACCCTCGTTTCTGCGAATGATTCCCAGCACTACATCGTTCAAGCCACGCATGATGTATGTTGCGGCGAGCTGGTATACGTTCGGCGGGTATTGCCGCTCATCAAACTCCGAGATGCCATTACCCCGTTCCATCAGCTGAACGTCGATTTCCTGAGTGCCGTTGGCAAATGTGAACTGGGCTTCATAAGTTGAATTATACAGGCCACATTCGATTGTATGTCGTGAGGCCGAATACGTCTCGATAGGCGCGTAGGGTGTGCCAATGACAAAGACGCGACAGTGATCCGTGGAAACCGTGTCTGCCGTGGGGATCTCGTCCTGTGAGACTGACGCATTGGTCGCGATTTGCAGGCCAAGTAATGCCTGTTGTTCATATGAAGTGTCCGTATCCAAGTTATCGCCTAGCTGAGGGACGAATCCAACATACACCATTTCGGTATTGCCTTCGTGGTTTATGGCGTATCTATAGATCTCATCGTACTCATCGCGAAAAGAGCTGCTGCCTCCAAGAGGCCCGCATGAAACTGAAGGGCCGTGAAAGCGCAGGGTGTAAGAGACTTTGGGAGCGTCGGAAAATGGCATCGCCAAAGGAAGAACAGCGCCTTGTGCGGCGACAGAGGACATGAGTCTGGCCAGGGCAATCGATGGCCCACTAGGTCCAAAATCCACTGGACTGTTTGTATACCTTGTGAACACGAAGGGCGAAGAAAAGTTCACCAGAGGCAAAGATATGCGGTGTATTGAAGAAGCCAAAGTCTCGGCCTGTTGGATTGTCAAGGTCGCCGGAGTGAACACTGCTATGATTGGGATGGCCCTAATGTAGAACAGATGTAAGCGGCATGTCCCTTCTGTGAAGGAATCGAACAAGTCGCAAGGATAGTGGTCTTACCATAGAATTCCAGCCAACACAACGAGTTCAAAGCCCCTCTTCCATAGTTGCCAGTTCAAAAAGGAGAAGGGATTGGTAACCACGTCAAACATGGCGTCAATGCCACTTAGATTGGCCTCCCGGGCTTTGAGTGTCCTCCAAAGCACTTGTACATAAGCAAGGCCAGCGGCAGCCGTTAGAAACATCCTGACACAAAAGGCCATGCCGGTACCAATACGGGCATTCCATTCTTGTTGGTTTTGGGTGCCGACAGTCTGTTTGTTAAGAGACATGTAGAAGAAATGATGTCCAACTGCCATCAATATGCCGCAAATGAGATTTCCGACCATCAAACCGGGCACGACCCAAGACGTCTTGGGGCGCGGCATGTTTTCTTGGAACTTTCTAACACACAAAAAGACTGAGGCTTAGATGGGAGAGCCAATCTGTGGCTCCGACTAGTTGTAAGTCGAGGTTCGCGAGTTGTTAATTTGTCAGTAGCACATCGCTACTTGGTAGCAAAAAATATTGATAAGTAAAAAATGTTCTCCAAGAATGCACTGGAGCCTGTAAGCACCCGGCTTGGTGAGAGGAAGTGATTGATATAAGTAAAGTCTTTCGTGCGTCGCCCTGTCCTCATATAAATATGCTAAAAAGCCTCATGAGTGCAGCTGCGTCCAAATTGCAACACTGCGCATAGGTTTTTCGAGACTTTACTGAGAATAGCAGTACGGATTAAGCAATACGAATGCTTCCAAATAGTGATCCATTTTGTCCTACAATTTCTCAGCCATGGCCTACCACAGGCGATATCCTACCAATCACGAGTTGAGATTATCAGCTAGAGACACTTCAACTATATAGACAGCGCGTCCACTCCTGCAGTTAGTCGATAGCCTCTCTCTCCATGTACACGGACTATCCTTGCATGGGATTGTATCTGCCAATTAAATTCCGCATACCCAGCACCTTGTGGGCGGGAGGATTGTCAACCTTGGATCCTGGCGGGTTCCGAAGGATGCGATGAAGCACAAGCATGGCTATGCTGAGAGTACGTGTGTTACCTACAAGCGCCCACATCTCTGAAGGACGCTATATATAGAACTGAATCTATGCAGATAGAAGGCAGAAAAACAGGGAACTAGAAAGTCTGAACATGTATAGACAGCTTACAGCTACACTCGTGGTGCAAATGGTCAGCATAGGTTCATACACACACGAAAAAAAAGAAAGGAAAAGAAGGAAAGGGGAGAACAGGAAAGGAAAGGAAATTGATGTTCAAAGAGGCCCAAGTCTCATAAATACGGCCATCTGCATTAGGTAGGTCAAAGCTCTGCTCGTATGCAAGAGCAAAGCTAGAAGTGCGATTTTCTCCGGTTGGCACCTTGGCAAATTTATCTCGCAGCTTTTCTCAAGAATCCTGCCATACTCTAAACGATATGAGCACATCGTTAAATATCAGACTACAGTACTTCATTTACCTTTATTTCATACATTTTACAGGACTTACTTGACCTGGCGATTAGAGCTGTGGCTGCCGCTTTTTCTTGGGGCTTGAGTAAGCAGTTACGGCCAATAATAGCTTCGGTTTTTAAAGCGATCAGCACAACTTGTAAGACTCATTAGCAAACACTCAATTTATAAAGCTAATTACTAATCCTTATATGTATAAAACCATCTAGGCATCTCCATCTCCTGGACGGCTTTTCAACATACTCGTCACGTCCACAACGCTTGCATACAGTGGCTTATTTGTTCCAGGGGGTCCACGCCCTGGTAATTACCTGCACCGAGGATCATCAAGTGATTGGGATACTTTTTAAAAATGTGGAGGGCGCGGCTGTAAGCTTTTGGCTGAGGAGTATTGTGTTCTTCCCATTGATCTGGTTGACCGTTTGCCCGATTCGTAAAGACGCTTTGATGGTCGGCATCAGACACGATGATGGTGCCGTTGATGCCACCCTCTGGCGTCCACACAACATATGGACTGCTGCTGGGCTGCACGCCATTGACAACAATGGGATAGCCATAGGCATATCGGAAGTCAAAGGGACTGTCAGAAAGCCTGTAGTAAACGGGGTATCCTGCACCAGACCACGAGTCACCACCTGGGAATTCGTGAACGAAGATCCATTTCTTTAGAGGCGGGACGTAGTCAATGACGGTCATTCCAGGACGATCAGTGTAAAGAGGATAGGCGACATCGTTGATAACATCGCCCCAATGTTCAAGATCTGTCGACTCTTGATGAGAAAGCTTCTGCCCATGCAGGGGATCTCTCTGGTCAGAATAAAATACGCCCACGGTATTGTTAAATGGGCTACACCCAATATCAGCTCTACAATTCCCCCAAGTAGCATGGTTGAAGAAAATATCTCAAACACTTACAGGATAAAAGGTTCCCAGATGCAAGGGTTTCCGTTCTGCGTGCTCGGAGCGCTTCCTCTAGCAACATTGCTGACAAACTCCCATGTCTTGCCCTTGTTGAAGCTGGCGTATAAGTCAATGTTTGTGCCATTGGCGCCAGCGCTGTTCCCGCTCGCGAGCACAGTTCCAGCTTTGAAGTGTCCAAGGTCAAAAGTAAGTTCGGCCAAAGCAGGCTGAGACCCAAAGCCTAAGCCATTGACTTGGTCTGTCAAATTGCTTCGCCATTCCCACGTCGCGCCACCATTCTCACTGGCAAATATAGGAAAATGCGGTGGGTGGTCTCCAGAATATGCCGATGTTGCAAGAATAGTGCCATCAGAGAGTTCAGCCAGTCTTGGATAGATGACGGCGTGGCTGTTATCTGGCTGAAATATGACCTTTTGATCATAGGTACTCCATGGTCTGAGGCTCGGCGATTTTGCAGGTGAGCCTCTGACTGGAAGAGAAAAGAGGAGAAAAAGTGGTTTGTAAAACATCCTGTCCGAGTCAGCTTGAAGCTGGAAGGAAAAAGCAAGGCTGTCAAACAAAGCTTTTCTCGCGATGCTTCTCATTGTTTTAATAAATTTCCAATACTATCCCCCTTGATACTCCACAGTCACCTTGTACACAACAGCAACTGCCGGAACAGACTCTTGGCAATACTTGCTATCCAATCATAAGCTGCGGGGAGATGAATTTATCCTTCAAATGCTCGGGTCTACTTGCTTTTAGCCGGCTCGGAACGCTCCGAGATCTTAATTGGAGAGCAAGCCCAGTCATTGTGGAATATCTCATGTATTGCATTGGGACTAGACAGGGCTCTGTATTCCCGATTTCATGGCTTTGCGGAGTGCATTTGCGGGGAAGTCCAGGTTCAGATGGGCAGATGCGTCACTTGATTTGTTTAGCCGTCAATGTCTGCTGATTTTCTTGGGAAAACATATAATTTGTAACTCCATAGCTTCAGACACAAAGAAGTCCAGGATCTTGATGGCTAATTTCTAGGATAAATTGGCAATGCATTTGGATCAAATTGTGGTCTATATATGCATCGCAGCTTCATTGTTCGGCATATAATCCGGCTTTCGTTTTATAACGGGATGGCAACTTTGTCCGTCTGTCAATATTAGAGTGCTTATTGTTTAATTGCCGAAGCGGATATCGGCACTAGCTTGGACTTCTCGCCAATCCTTTCACCAGTCCAAATCTATCAGCCTTGAAAATGTAACACGTATATTGTTCTAGCGTTTCATGTCATCAATTTCCCCATAGCATCTCCTTCATTGCCCTCAAGACTCTCCCAATTCTCCTCATTCCCCCACCGGGCAATTTCCCCCACAACCTCTCATTCATTATGCCCAACAGTTGTCCAATTGCCTCTAAGCCTCCACTCGACAATTCCCACTTTTCCAAGACTCTTCTAGAATCCTGTGTAAATGGATGATCCAAGCCCAAGACATCACATCTCCCTTTCACGCACTCTTGCATTAAATCAAGAGCTTCTTTCCAGCGACCGCGACTGCGCATTGCAACGGCCAAGTTATGCTTGGACTGAAGCGTATAAGGATGTTCCTCTCCCAGCATCTTTCTCTCGAGCTCCAAAGCTTCCTTCGCAAGGTCTTCAGCCAGTTTATATTTGCCCAGATCCTGATATATTGCTCCGAGCTGGGTTATACTCCGAAGGGTGTCTGGATGGTTCTCGCCAAGCGTCTCCCGACGAAGATCCAGAGTTTGCTGGTAGAGATCTCTGGCTTCTTCGTACTGGCCCAGGCCCTGACATGTTGCTGCAAGTGATCCTATATTCCAAAGTGTCAATGGATGCTTCTCGCCAAGCACCTCCCGTTGGAGAGCCAATGTCTTCATCTTAATAGGCTTGGCTTTGGCATAAAAACCCTGATAGTGGTATACCGCTGCAGTTGAAGCCAAGCTGTGAATCGTATCAATGTGCTTCTCTCCAAGCACTTCCTCCTGCAATGCCAGAGTTATCTTATATAGAGCCTCGGCCTCCTTGTACTGACCATGGCTTTGGTAGACGTTCCCAAGCCAAGCCATGGCCCGAATAGTATCTGGATGCTTCTCTCCAAGTGTCTGTCGCCGAAGTTCAATTGCTTTTTTGTAACAATCTTTGGCTTTCTCGTGCTGGCCCTGGTAGTGGTATGCCTCTGCAAGCGAAACGATACTATTAAGCGTCTGTGAGTGTTGCTCTCCGAGGGCTTTTCGTCTTAGTTCAAGCGTTCTCAGGTCCACAAGTTCCTTCTCTCTCCATCGTCCTCGATCATACAAATATCCAGACGCTTTGTTTAACAGTTCAGAGGTGTCGGCCTCCCTCTTACTTTTTTCTGCCCAGTCGCCTATTCCTATAGCATGAGCCAAATACCTCTCGCACCGTCCCCACGACTCTGGCTTTGAAGTTGGGAAGAGCTTTGACAATGCTTGCAAGGCAATTCTTGTGTAATATACTTCGTCACTTTCTTTTTGCATCAAGGGCCCTTCCATAGCTGCTTCCTGAAGGCCTCGCATAGTTGTCCTGTATCTTGCTGCCTCTTGCACAAGCTTATGCATCTCGTAGCTTGGACTACCATCCTCAATTTGGCGCATCTTGAGAAATGAGAATTCTTGCAGCCGCCTAATTGCTGACAACACTTCCAGCTCTTCTAGCTGTCTAGTCGTATCTTCATTGCTGCACTGGCTGATTTTGACAAGCAGCTCGTGTGGTAGGTTTTGGTTGTCTAGATAAGCGATAATATGAAGAACTTGGTATGCCATTCTGTTCTCACTTTGGATTCGTTCCATTGAGACAGTCCATGTGTCGAGTACACTGTTAGGCATTTCGGGCCTTCGATGTCGGCTGAAGTCAGTGATCTTAAGGATATCCCATCGGCGTTTGCTTTCCCGAAGCAAAGACAGGTACCTGGATGCATTCATATGCATTCGTTTCATATATGCGCCAGCTTGAGAGATGGCTAGCGGAAACCACTCCAGTTCCCTGAGTAGCGTTTCAACATCTTCAAGTTCTTCGGCAGCTTTTTCATCTCTCATTGATTCAAGAAGTTTGATAGCTTCATCATATTTCATAGATGTAACCTCGATTCCCCTTTTTGCGCCAACTAGCGTGCCTATAATATGGGCATCGCGACTTGTCCATAGTACTGTTCCCGTAGGCCCGTTTGGGATATACTCGTATATACTGTTCGAAGCTTCATCGGTTGATATTCCAACGCCAAATAATTTGAGATTATCCGCGTTATCAAGGATAAACACCCACGATGGGCATGCCTCGATACCGTTACGCACAGATCTAAGCAGAGCATTCCCATCGGCAGCGGCAGTTTGGTCAATGCCAAGTTTGCTTGCAATTGTCTTATAATCGTGTATAAATGTCGCTTTGCTATCGGCATGTACCCAGAATACGCTGCATTTGTCGGTTTCGCTTCGTCGGTACGCGTAGTCGAGGGCGATCTGGGTTTTTCTAAGTCACTTGGTTAACAACGTCCATGTACCATTTTGCTTCAACGAGAACTTACCCTGATCCTCCTAGTCCCCAAAGAGCAGCACTGTGGAACTTTGATTCCCGTGGAAGAAGTTGATCCAGTTGCTTCACCAAGTCTTGGCGGTGGATCACATCCTCGTTGCGGGGATATGGAATGACATGAGTCGGTTGATCAACTCCGGGTGATGGGGCGTGTGTCAGATGATAATGGATATCACCCTGGCTGATGACGGTGTGGTTTCCAAAACTATTATTATTAATAGAACGCTGGTGGGACGTTGGGTTGCCCATGGCTTATGATAAAATGATATTGAAACCGACACAACTGAATAGTACACATCTTGAGTCGATTTTACAATCATCCATTCCTAGAGTATATAAAGCCAGCCAGCTGGCATGTAAGGCAGCTTTGGGTCGCATTGGTGGGAGGCGAAGCTGAGAGTGATGCTGCAAGTGAGACTTGCCAAAGGATAAAACATCCAATAAGCCACCTCTATAACAGCATGTGTGTGTATGTCGAGCTGAAATAAGCTTTGATCTACGTAGAAAACATAAAACCGGTTTATAGAAGCTGAAAATTTATGACGATAGGCCTGCTTGGAAAGCTGGGTATGACATAACGAAAGTGTTGGTAAGGGTATATGAAGCTGGCTAGCTGTGCGCTTTTTGCATTAGGTGTTGAGTAGGAACTGAAGGTAAACTTGTTTCGCTAAAGACACTAGAGATATCTTCTTTATGATTATCTAGAGTACAGAATTTCCAAATCTCATTTCGTAGCTGCTCGGTGGACGAGCTCGGTGGACGACTGACTACCGTCAAGCTTACAGTGAAGCGGATTGCTGACAGAACAAAATAATTCAAAATCTCTAGATTAGCAGCTTACTTGAGTAACTCAGCAGGTCTTTTATACTGGTCTACAATAGCATTTAGGCTTTAAAACTAATGGGTAGTGAGAAATTTGAGGTCCCGTCAAGTTCATCCTGATTGTTCAATCAACTCTCTCGCCAACTACTCTTTCCTACATCTCAAACCGTCTCTAACATTTTCCGACGCCCAAGCTCAGAATCTCTCTTACACACTATATCTGAAATAGATGTTCTGCCGATCCGTCATATCAGCCTCGCCGTTAATTTTGCCTTGCTGTGCTGATTCTTCCAGCGTCATTCCCATATCTTTAACCATCTTAGCCCGCCGCTTGTTCTCCATAACGTCTGGTTGCATTATTAGTGGAAACCTTTACCAAAGGCAAATCTTAGCTAGAGAACTCACAGTAAAATCGCCAGGCGATGAACAAAGCGCAAACCACCCCATACATGACGCCGCACAAAATAATGGCAGGAATGTATCTAGGCGCCCACTCGGCTCGGAAAGTCTGGACACCAATAGCACCTCCTACACAGTACGCAATAAACATGACTGAACCGATGACGGACTTTTTGGTTCTCCCAGCTACGTTGGACGGCAGCAATGTCCACAACAGCAATCCAGTTAGGCGGCTGGTTGCGGTCATCATATAAAGACCCCATCGAGTCCACAACATGCCTTCCGTAGGCAATAGGCCCAGGGCCAGCATGCCAACAAAGGCAGGGATAGTTGAGACGATCATGAAAATAACTAAAACACTTACAGTTAGCATAAAGAATGAATATTGAGTTGAGATGCCGTATACTTACATCTGGTATGGGGCCATTTTAATGTCAGGGCTCCAATGACCAAGTACCACGTTATGCTCACGAGGTCCAGCGGGATGATGCACTTGACTATGGTCTCCAAGTTGCTAAAGCCAAAAGACACAAAGACGAGGTTGCCAAATGCTGCCGTCCCGCTATTAGGTACAGAATTCGCAATGTATGCGAAAAAGAAGAAGTAGAGTTGCGGATCTCGAAACGCATCTCGAACCTGGTCCCAGTGCCATTCATACTTCTGGCCTCTATCAGACCCAGTCTGGCTGCTGGCAACTCTGGCCGCTGCAATGCGTTTCTCTTCTGCCGATAGCCATCGAACTTCACTGGGCGTTCCCAGAAACATGAGGGCAAGAAACGAGGCAACAATCGTCCATGACCCCAGAAAAACACTAATCCATCGCCATGGGCCAAAGCCGCTTGCGTGTTTCTGAGCAGCACTGCCAATGCCATACATTATGAGCTGCGTTATGACATCCAAGCCGCTGTTTGAAGTGCTCCATATGATGGATCTCATGGGATGCTCCCGACTGACATAGAAAGAGCCTGTGAGGAGGACTAGAGCGGGAGCAATAGTACACTCGAGTAAAGCCTGCAGGCAACGCAATACTACGAGCTGAGCAAAATTTTGAGCAAATGCCATGCAGAGGACGAAGATTCCCCAGAAGAACAAGGCGATAAACAATGGCTTGTTCACTCCAAAGCGTTGCATGATATAGTTCAAGGGAGCTTCGCCGACGAGATAGGAAAGATAGAACGCGGTAGTCAGCCCTTTAAAGCGAAGTTGTCAGCTTTTGTATACATATACTCCAGCTAGTCCAAGGTGGAATATATGATGGGCATTGCTTACACGAAAATTGCTGGCCAACAAGATGGGTGTCCTTTAGTAGGCCAAAAGTCGCTTGCGTAGAGATAGACGCCTTATCAGCCGATTGAATGCCGCAACAGAGCCACATGAACGGCAGCAGGAAACGGTCAGCTTTCCGGAGGACGCGTTTATAATCAGCTTCAGTATACTCGGCGTTGACGGTATCAAAGACAACATCTTGAGCCTCATCAGCGGAGGTTGTGTCAATGGCTTCTGCCGACTTGACACTACTGCTCATCTTCTGGTCCGAAACCATTTCCTTGGTGTCCACTGGCGGCGTCATGATGCTAGATTGCAAAAGGATAAAAGTGACAGAAAATTTTGTATCAGAAACTTGTTTCTTCACGGCCAACAGCTAGTTCAAATACTTTCTGCTGTCATGATATCAACGTCTTATTTTCTTTCTCTTTTTCAGGGGGGCCTACTCAGCTCCTCTGCTTTTTACAGATAACAGATGCCACCATAGCCTCCCTTACTGACCAATCTCTACCCAAAGGAGAGCTTCCACGTGAAAACTCGCATCGGTATAACTCATTCAGCAAGGCTGGCCGAAGCCCATGACTCAATAGTGCATGCAGGCGAGGTTGGATCAGTCAAATGAGGTACTATTGCTTTTACGAATCCCGTATCATAGAGCAAAGATTAGGCTCATGGTATAATTCATTGTATTGTTTATCTGTTTTTACACAGCCATGACGGTGAGCGGCAGGGTATAGCGTATGCGCTTGTTTACTCTCCCCCTGTTATGGAGAAATGGGGGGCTGCGAGAGACGGATGAATGAAAGAGATCAGCGACTTGAGTCAGTTGATGTTACTTTTGGTGTCTTGTGCATGGGTCTCAGGCCTGTTTCCACAGACAACTGTCCATTAAGATGTCTATTATCATCACATTTCCTAGATGTAAGCAGCGCTTACATCGCATCCAGTGTTCAGCTTCAGCTTTCAGCTTACATTGTTCACATCGTTACCAACAGCAGCTCCCGTCTGCCATTCCTCCATCGTATTATAAGCCAACCAGAAAAGCTTAAAGTCATCCTTTGGAGACTCCCAGACTCATTTTCCGGTCAGTTGACCAGTGGCTTCAGGGTCCGGGGTATCAGCTTGCATCGGCAGTGACATCGTCTCTACCGCAGCCTGATGCAGCCTATTTGAGAAACAAATCGCAGATGCCCATTGGTTGCACGTCGATGCTACCCAATCGCATACAGATTGTCTTCACCAATGAGCGCATGTTATTTACTTTTGTCGCCTCACCGTAGCCCCCACGCCCAGGCATGAATGATGAAGCAGGCATTTGGAACAGCCCCGGGAGCCTGATGACATATCTCCCAGGTTGAAGCACCAGGGTCATTTCACAGCGTGCAGAGAACGTGCAGAGAGAAGACGTTCTCATTGGAGAGAATATTAGCCCCCAAAACTGCAGGAAAATTCTGCGAGATTCTTCTGCCCAGGCGCCGAAGCTACACGCGACCACATACGATAATGGTAGGGTTCCAGTAACTGGAGAACAGGTGTTATACTATAGTAATTTTAGATCAGATGGTTATTAACATGAATCCATTAAAACATTATTTATTTTCTTTTTTCTGTTCTATTATATTCGACCTTTAATTGTCTGCTAAAAATCTTAATATGCAACAAACGTTATTGAGTCCGATTTGTGTGGCTGTGGTGGTTGGACGTGCTATTTGAAAATCCAACGAATCGAAGCCGCCCGATGCGGCAACCGTCATTATATCATCGCATTTGCCACCGCACGACCTAAAACATACCCGGATGCCTCTATTACATTTTCTTTTTCTGCTTTTTACATTCCATTAACTAGATCTGAAGCGACATGGAGCTTTAGGAGTGCACTCGCATATACTAGAGGCATAGACACAGTTGCAGCATGTAATTAATTCATAAGCGTGCTGATGAACCTCACTGGACTTGAATTCGGTTAAAGAGCATGATTCTACGTAAAAGGGCGTTTTACTGGGTGTCCATGTTGCGAGTGACCTGGCATTGGCAAAAAAGTATATTCTAATAGTTTATGCTGCAATGCACTCTCTATTGCAAAAGACTGTTGATTTGCTTAACTTTTTTATCTTTCAATTCCACTTTTAAGCAAATAAGTCCCAATCATTAAGATACTTAGTCTTTCATTTCTAAAAAGAAAATGTCTACATTGCTATAGCCACTAGCTACCTATGTATAATCAGCAACTACAATTTACAATTCCGCATGTGCGAATCATTCATAAAATTTCTTGACCAAAACTAATTACAATCCCACATATTGTGTATCTCAGTTATCAAACAGAAAATGGAAAACATAGCACTTCATGCGAATGAGTTGCTATGGCGCAATAATCCTCATGTACTGCGAAAATGCGTGGGCGATACTCTGGCGGGAGCCCAATTTTAGGCTCCTGATTCCACAGAATCCACGAATTATCTTTGCTCATAGTGAGCTCAGGCGCCTTGTTGCTACGAACCAATCCTCTCGTGCAAGAAAAGTAAGCGGAAAGCACAGCGAACGATCCCACCATTTCGTCTGTCATGGAATACTTCCTATACCTAGGTTCCTTGAAACGAGAAGGGACAATGTTCCTCTCGTGTTTCACGAGGGTTTGGGTGAGCTTGCCCGTTGATGCATCCCAGATAAGGAGAGTGCCATTTCTCAATATAGACCCTAGTTGCTTGTTGGTTGGAGAGAAAATTAACATCGCTATACCGACATGGAACTTCTCCCAACCACTTAGAGTGACAGTCTGGAGACACTTTCCTGTCGCCAGGTCCCAAGTGTTTAGGATGTAATCAAAACCCCTTTTATCGTGATAAGTGCGCCGTACGGATGCTAGCGTACTACCGTTGGAAGAAAATGCCAACGCGTCGATGGTTGTTTTTGGGTCATTCTTGCCTTTGGAGCCTGTGTAACTATAATCATATTTCGCTGGAGTCAGTGTCTGATGACATGCGCCTGTTGCCGCGTCATAAACGTGTATAGTGCCTTTATCATCGCTTACTGCCAGCCACACACTGTCCAGTGAAATTGCAAGGGCTGTGAGATTCGATGATGCCCTCCACGTCCGTAGACACTCGCCTGTAGCCGGGTCCCAAAGTTTGGTACCATTGTAAGAGAGCGAAGCCAGCCATTTGCCACTGGGTGAAAACGCCATTTCCACGATTGCGTCGGGGCGGCTTTCAGGGCTCTGTAGAGGCGCGCGGGCGGCCATTTCCAAGACCTTGATTGTTCCGCTATGCGCTGCCAATGCCAGTCGCGAACCATCAGGCGAAACGGCCAAGGCGGTCGTAGAACTTGCATGACCGGTGGATGCCCAGCGATATTTACCACTGGCAACGTCCCACACGTAAATATCTTCGTCGTTTGCTAATGCTAGCCGCATGAGGCAAGGTGAGAATGCCGCTTGTTTCAACGTTTCATCTGAAGCTTTATCTGGAAAGTCAAGTGTTTGCCAGAGTCCAGTGGTAAGATCCCAGACACGGGTTATTTTACAGTAATGGCGTGCAACCAACCGCATACCATCAGATGTCAGATAGAAAAGCAATGCGTTTAGGTTTACTCTGTGCTTCAGCATCGCCTGCGTGTATTCTCCAGCGGCAAGATCCACAACTTTGAGGAGTGTTGATGTTTCCTGTTTGCAAGTCACAACTAGACGTGCGCCGAATGTCTGGTTTGTGAAATATGGCACCAGCATCCAGTTGGCCGGATCCCAAGTTCCGACACTGCCATTGATAGCACCAAGTGCCAGTTGTACATAACCGGGTGAAAAAAGTACGTCGTGAAATTGGTCTCCCGACTGACCGAGATAGGTGTGTAGGTCCACGTTTTTGGCTATATCGTGGATCTTGAAAGAATTAAAGCCCAGGATGGACAAGTGTGTATCTTCGGTAGCAAAGGCCACCGACTTAATGCCAATCTGATAGATCTTTTTGAGGAGAGATCCGCCGACAAGATCCCAAATCTCAACACCGTCGAGGCAAAGAAGCGCCAGCATATTACCGTTTGACGAAAAAGCTGCGCTAGTCGCAAATTTACGTCCCTGTAAATCTTGCACAAGCGCTCCCGTCGCCAAGTCCCAAACTTCGATAATCTCATTCCGTATAATCGACGCCAGCTTACTATTGTCTGGTGAAAACGTTACAAAATGAATCCGTCTCTCGTGGGACTCGATGGTCTGTAGGCAGGCGCCCCACTCTTGTCGCATTATAGGTTTGATAGGCATCCACGTCGGAGATTCTGCTGCTTCAAATGTCTTCCTAAGTCTGCTCTTCATCGGGCTGAATACAAGGGCCGAGATATAGATCTGCGAAGGAAATGCCTCGATCATGGCCCTATTCTCGGAGATGGCTCGATAGAGATCTTTCGTAAGTTCGAGTAATCGAGTCTCCTCGTGTTTTCTCTACCCCGTATGTCAGGCTGAGGCTGGTCCCATAGAATTCACCTTGGAGAGTCCACTTACCAAACTATCAGACTCCATTGCAAACCCCGTGACTGTTGATGTCAAACTGGAAAATTGAGTCATACTGCTTCTAGTTGAAGCAGACGACACACATCCTTGAACTATTTCAATCTCACTCCCGGAGCAGCTTGTGATCAAATCATGAAGCTTCTGAAGAGCTTCAACTGCCTGAGTTGTCGGTTTTAACCTCATCATTGCTTCCAGCCAATATAAATATTTTTCGTTAATGAAAATATGAAGTTTTTCATGATTTTTTAGGCACTCCCGAAGCCGAGATTGTTGAAATTCACAACTTTCAACTAGATGTTCAACCCAAAATGTACAGCAATATTCTATTGATGTTGAAAGGGTGGTACCCGATGGAATAATCTCATGTATATCTTCGGATACCAGTTTCGCGAGATATTCATTACGCTTGAGCGTTTTGTTCATTTCGGAGATCGAGATGTCAAACATTGTAAAATGCTGGCCGGCAATACCCGAAGAGAAAACTGTTTTATTCGCTTCCTGAACCATGTAGTCCTTGACGGATTGATGAATAAAATAGACGGTATCATTCGTGTTGGATATAAAGGACCCACATGCTTCCACGAAGCCTTTGACGCTATGAATGTTGTATTTGCCCTCAAGGCGTCTCAACGTTGGGCTGATAAACATGTATAGTTCTTCCATCAAAAGAGGCCGTTTAGCAGCCGTGACAGTCGCCAAAGTAGCCAGGCAAGCGCGTTCATTGGCCTTCCAGCGCTTCTTAGCACGCCTCAAAATTTCGTCGTAAAGTTCTTTTAAATCCTCGGGCATGCTTTGCAGTACAGCTTCGACGTAAGGATGGCTCGCATTGCGCAACTCTTTAACAACGAGTGTTACCCATAAAAAGGTACCATTTGCCTTTGCGTTTAGTAACTCTGCTGTTTTATGCCGTAGTTCTGCATCATCTTTCAATGCATAAATATCCTGAATGCAATGGCTAATATATGTTTTGACCGCACTGGAAACGTGCTCTGAATTTTCTCTAAGCTCCAGGATCAGTCTCTGGTGCTCTTCAACCGCACAGAGACCGCGTTCCATCCATGTTTCATTTCGACTAGATAGTAGCCACTTGACTCGGCTACTTGTATCCACGATTAGGTTGAAAAGAGATTGTAGAGACTCTTCATGCTGACACTCGTCAAGGGCGTCAATAACACAAACAGGGTCTGTAATGCAGGGGTCTTTTATAACACTTTTGAAGATCCTGCACAAGGCAAATCGTTCGTTATCTCCTTCCAGAAATTCATCTGGTTCGTTCATGTTTTCTTGTCGAATACGCGAAAGAAGCTTGGGATATTGACAAAGGAATAGATAGATTAAGCCTCTGATAATCGCTGTAGAGGTATTAATCTTATTATCGGTACCTTGGCAAAAGAAGTAGGCCAATCTCCCTTGTATCTTTGGATCTTTTCCAAATTCTTTAATAATTCCACAAAGCAGCATTGTCTTGCCCTTTCCGGGGTCTCCCTTGATCCATAAGACGCCACTATTTTCGATGATATACCACTTCGTAAACTGCTCGTGCTCTAGGATCCAGCGATATGAGTTGTCCAGGAGGCCACCCTTGGATTCCAAAATTCGATTTTTGTTATCAATAGGATTTGTTTTGCTGAACTTTCGAAGAAATGCCTTATCGGCAGCAGTGGCAGCAGCAGCAGCAGCAGCTCCAGAATTAGTTAGTATGGTTAACGTTGCAGGGGATAGCCAGGAGCCTTACCGGCATCGAAATTATTCATCACGTTGGTAATATTTCCCTGGATTATCCTAGCGTGATCACCAACAGTATTTCCCGAGAATATGCGCGATTCTGTCATTTTGAAAAATATGGTTTGTCGTCTGTCGTGAGTTCAAACCCGGCGTACTACAAAGAACGTTTTGTTTATGCAGGAAGAGTATTGATTTCGGCCCAGCAGCCTGACGGTAATTCGAACTTCCCCTCACAGATACAGGCCAATAGCATTCGGACACGCTGCAACCAATAACGACACTGCATCTGCGGAGTTTTGGTAACGTAGGCTTTACATGGGGCTTCAACTATCAACCCAAAGGCGGGGATCAAATCTCCTTTTCTATATCCATACAACGCCTAATGGAATGTCAACACCGTCCACATTAATGATCTTTGTTGTACAGCCCGAAACCAGAAATTGAGCAATCCATATCTTTAACTTCTGTTGCCCCAGGTCTGCATCAAATAACCAGTACTCCAGCAATATTATAAGCAATATTATGAATTGACCTCTATATCTTCTATTATAAGCAGATTATTCAGGAAACTTAAGCGCATACGACCATATTAGTGGAAAACTCGGGGTCCCGTCAAGATCTTTTCTTGAGTTTGCTATCTTCCATTTTTTACATCCCAAGACTCTTAATATGGGGTAATTTATTAAGACGCTCGCTTGGATGCTTACTACCTACCGCCATGGATCAAGTTGAAAAAGGTCCCTTGTGGCGAAGATTCCCGTTCCGGTAATAAGCACCACCGAAGGAGGATACGACACGGGTAATGGCCCGATCCCAAGAATAAATATCTCAGACCAAGAGACCCAAAAAGTCGACGAATCAAAATCGACGCAACCCACATTCGAGTCATCAATTCGGCATTATCGAATGACGTCCACAGGTGAGGACATTGATGATGTATTATTCATATATTTAAAGGTCAATGCTCTGTGATATCAACCGTCCAGATCTTCCGCCACATTTCCATCTTCTCCTCGCATTTGCCGCCACCAGCTTGAGGTGTCTTTGACCTCATCGTCTTTGTTAAGTAGGAACCACCATTTTCTTATAAACCATGGTTTTGCTTCCCAACTTCTCATATCCCAAGGTACTCCGCTACCTCGAGCCCCAATTCCATTGTCAGCGTTTCCCCAGCAGGTCAAGCCGCCTGATAACATATCATTGAATAATTCCTGCTGGTCCAGCATACAAAGGTTGTTGGTAGCGAAAGCGACTGCACGCTCTCTGAAATGAGGAAAAATGATCAAGTCGAGGTATGAAGCATGTGGTTGAGAGAGTTGAGTCAAACTAGGTCGAAGATGTGGCTTTACAATTTGTTCAAAGTAGTGCGCTGCATTCTGTATAGAAGTGGCATTAGCGAATAAATAAAACGGAGAGGGTCTGTCATTAAGATAATCTTCAGAGGTAACGCCAATTGATGCCGCGATTGCTAGAGTAGCGGCCAGAAATGTCATATCACGTAAACGGATATGATTAATTAATAAAAACGGCGTTGGTGGGAGAATTGCATGCCGTTCTTTCTCTCCATGACCTTCAGATACTCTAGTCTGATATGACGGCATTGGCGTGGCCGAAAGATGACTGTTCGACGGCATGGAGAATGGTGTTAACAAATGACTATGCATCTCCGATGCAAGGGAATAGTCACTTGGAATAACAGCTTCCAGCCCTCCAGAAAAAGTCAGATCATCACAGTGCCATTGGTCGATACTGATTGGGTCGCCCAGCTTTCTTGTGCATGGCAAAGTGAGGGTGTCATTTTGGCGTAAAGTATTCTTTACATCTTGCCGAGCCTCATCCTGTGTCTCAAGTAGTCAGAACAAGGAAGACAAATTATTAGTCACAATTCGTGACAATTGGCTGATCCAATTCTTGAAAGAGTATAGGTGGGGCTACATTAGATAGATTGTCAAATGGCGTGGCCACCTCGGAGGAATCTTCATCACTATGGGACGCTGTTCTTGTTGATTCTTCAGCGAGTTGTCGTTGCTTCAGTCCTATATCAGGAAAAGGCACATGAGATGACATCCGTGACAGGAAGAGTATCATACATACTGTATCGCGCCTGAGACGCTCGATTCTGCGCCCTCCTAGCTGGAGTAAGTGCACGTTTTTTGGCTACATGTGAGCGATTTGATGTAGTTGTCCGGAACACAAGCTCTGCCCCAGATGATTTTGCAGAGTTGCCAGCTCCCGTTGTCTCAGCCATTGGCGACAGAAAAGAAGTTACACCAGAGAGTCTGCAGATTGTAAATCGCGGCTGACAGAATTGGTGAATTGTAGCGCAATTTGCGATGCTTCCTAGCAGCCCTTTACTACCTCATCCTCAGGGTGTGAATATTTACTATTCATGCGGTGTAATGACGCGTGAAATCGGCTTTGGCTCGAGTTACACGGAGCGAGAATTAAAGGCTACACTAAGAAGGCCTGAACGCTAACGACTTATAATTACGTGTACATGATTCCGCGTTGAAGGCACTTGGCCTCCCACGGTTACCAGCCACAGTACGCTAGCTGTTGTCGGGTCTGTTCAGTTTCTTTCTTCTAACAGTTGTACCACTATAGGCTGAATATTGGTGATGTACGGTAACGCGACTTTGCTGCTATGACTTGTGTTTTATTCCTACACCGGTTTGATCGACTGATTGGCATGTGTGAGGCAATAGAAGATGGGTGCAGCTTCTGGTCTTTGGACAAGAGGCATGTTATATCCCCACTGCAAGAGCCAGTTTTCTGGCTTTTCTAACGAGTAAGTCAAGTGCTTACTTCAGTGGAGACTCCCTGTGCTGTCCCTAACGGGAAATAAGCCAAATGGCTTACCCTCACATGATTCCACTAAATGCTTAGAGTTGTTACCTGGGACAGGCAGTAAGCCGCAACAATCGTATTGACACTACTCCGTGTAAGCGTGCTGAACGTGCCGTCTTGAAATTTTCATTCTCTTTGTAGGCAGCGCAGCAATGCGTTTTCCTGGAGAAGAGGGAGTGGCGGGCTCGGATCAGGTTTCAGATTTGGCCGCTGTTTCTGGACATTCTAGAGGCAAGAGGTCCGCTTCCTGACTTTGGCGTCTCCCTAGATCTTTGTACGCTGCCTTGGTCAATCCCTAAGCAGAGGTTCAGGGAGCCTGTTTGGAGGCAAGGCGCCACAAATACTGTTCTGTCAGTCACGATGCAGAGATAATATGCGACTTCAAGAGATTGAAAGGTCTTCTCTATTAATTTCACCATTGGCATGATGTAACAAACTTTTTCAATGCGTCAACCATTGATTCCTCGCTTTTGCTCTCCTTGGCAGATAGTCAATCTGCTCAGGCCTACTTACCTTCAAATGAGCTGACAGAAAAAAATGAAAAGTCCACAATTTTTAGAGAATCTACGAATAGTACACACTTGTTTGTACGCATGTTAGAAATGTGATTTAGTGGCGTGTTAGGTGATTATTTCGTGGTGCTAAATATCTAATTTCCGCTTGAATGCGACTCTTCACACTCGAAGATGATTATTCAACTACACAAGGCCTCCTTCATAGGGTATATCTGCGGGAGGGTCCGACCAAGCCTCTGCTTTTCCATTAATATACTTCAACTTTAGCTTGCCAAGGTCCTCCATCATACTGCCATCAGCTTTACCATCAATCGTCCCAGCATTAACGAATACTTCATGACTTTGCTCTCCGCCATTCGCGACTGAAGCAATGAGAAAACACCTGATGCCGCAGTGTGGGCAGAAATAATGATGCATCGCCTTGGTGTGGAAGATGTAGTCAGAAAGCGCGGAAACCCCAGTGTTCGGTGAGATAATCTTGAATGAAGATTTTGGCTCAGGTGATAAGAGGGCATAGCCTGCTTTACGGCAAATAGAGCAGTTGCATTTTTGAAGATACGAAGATTGCTGCGAAAGGGAGAAGGAGGCGGAATACACCAAATAGCCGCAGTGACAAGAACCACGATAGAGCTCTGTCGGAGACTTGGGCAGCGGTGAACCAGAAAGGTTGCTGGAATATTCGGTATGCATATTCCGGTTCACTATACTTGCGGCAAATGCCCAGTTAAAGCTGCTTCTGGATATTCGAAGTGGTCTACAGGTCTGCAAAAAAGATGAGTCAGAATATAGTTGAAGAAGCCAATGTTATAACATCCATGTACCATTTGTGACCGGGATATTTGAACCATACGGTTGTAAAAGGACATTGGAATATTTGAAGAAGCCAGCTGTAAGAAATTTCCAACGAGCTGCAAGAGATAAACTTGCACAATGCACCAAAATATATGTATTGAAGGGCAATATACTTTGTATAAAGAGCGGAGAAAAATTCAGGAAACAGCTGATGTGAAGCAGAATGCAATGGAGAAGGATTCTTTTATAAAGAAGATTCGAGACTTTGATACTTGGTAGAGTTTGCTCTAAATCCTGGGGTGGATAGTAATAAGTTGAGAAATTGATATTACGGAAAAATAACAGCAAAAATAAATCATGACCTTATTGGAAGGGATGTCGAGCTTGGATTACTGTTCGAATCGATGACAAAGAGTGGCTTACTGCCCTCTTTGGTAGTCAACAGAGTATTTCCCCACACCTTCGACCGGCAGCTATGTTTGCCATCGGCTCTAGTGCGATTTGTATTAGGCTAAAGAGATTCGAAAAGGGATCATTGGATGATTCATGTACGTTTTTATCTAGGTTTGTCGGGTTTCTGATACATCTCGCTTCTTGGCTTACTTATTGTCGGCTTACTGAACTGTCAGAATACTAAAATTATTCATCAAATTCTATGCTAAATGGCAGAGGCTTGGGTAATGACATGCCGCCACGCTACATAGCTATGCTCAGTCTGCTTTATGGTACTTTTGAGTCTTGGTCAAATCCTTTCTGTCAGTTTGGTAGCTTGTCGGCTTCCTACCCGCAGAAAAGATATAAAAAACGAGTCCCCCGCCCCTATTACTAGCACATCCAGAATACTCTTCAGACATCACCGTTACTCGACTGGGCTACTCCTTTGGTCTTATTCGCATTCTCTTTCTTCTTGTTACTCTTCTTCTTTGTCGCTGCCTCATTTGCCAGCTTTAGCACAAGCAGAAAAAGGCACGTGGGACAAAAATCTTCAAGATGAGACTCACCAAGTATCCAATGCTGACTGATTTCTATAGTAACAGTTCCAACCAAAAAGGCAATTCATCCAGCGGCCCTCAATTGGCAACAAAGACAGCAATGGCAGACAAACAGGCTCATGAAATCATTGTCGTCTATTTCAAGGATGGTATTGATTATAAAGAGCAGCTTGATACGATGAAGCAGATTGGGATTAATTCCTCCAAAACTGATGGATTTATTTCTCGGGAGATGTTCCATTGTGAGCCTGATAATCGCTGGGTTGACTATTTCATTTGGCGCGACATGGCGGCGGCAGATGAGTCGATTAAAAACTCCAAGGTTATTCCTGGTGCTACCGAGCTCTTCGCCAAGATCGATAGCGACAAGAGCGTCTGGTCGCGTTATTATAAAGTGGTCGATGAATAGGGAACATGGTTATCTTTGTTATCTGTATATGAATGGTTTACTATTGGAAATCTATTCCTCAGTGGTATGTGGCCAGCTGATCTTACCGGTTACTGGCAAGAATTGATGAGGCAAAGTGTCGTGAGAAAAGGAGAAGAGGATATTTAGCGAAAACAACTAGGTGAATAAACGAGTTGGGGAAACATCTCTGTGACTTGCGGTGCTGTTAACCGTGTTACTATTGCACCTCTTATTCTTACATTCTTATAGCTAGTAATCATTTCAGTAGTTCCTATGTAAGGATCGCCTGACTTGGGGATCTTGTCTAGCGACGTCAAAACCAGGAGAACCTTGGGAGCCATGACGGATAGTCACGATATGACAAGCAGCAGAAACCCTTCTTGAGTCAACACAAAATGCTCGAGTCCGTAATATGCCTCCTCTGTTTATTTAATTTGGCCCTCACTTAGATTTAAGAGAGTAAAGAGTAAATTTGTTTTGAACTGGATTGAAATGAGTTAGAAGTAGTCTTTCTTAATTGGTTATTAAGTACAAGTGACCTGCCCAAAGGTCTATTGTTATAACTACCTAGAAGAGTTATAAATATAAGAGTCAGGCTATGTTGTAATAATTAGTTTATACTTGAGGTGGGGTTATGATTATAATTAATACTTGATGAATAAACAATAATTCCTACATTGCGTACATTTTCCTCTGTGCTGCCGCCAGCTCGATTAGGCAGCAGTGGGGAGCTGAGGTATTTCCGACAATGTCATGGTTTTCAGATTAAATTCCTTTACTCATTCACTCATCTCTGATCTGACTGCAACAGTCAATCCTCCATCATTTCAAATCATGCCGAACCTTCTCACTTTTCGAGATTTTGACGTTTTGCATGAGGACTTTGCCAGAACTCCTGCTGTTACAGAGCCAGTCCGTTCAAAAATACCTCCCGAAGAAACATATTTTTACAATTTCCTTTCTGTAACGAAATCTGATCCAAGCGATTATCGGGCATTATGCGAACATTGTTGCGTGCTACAGCTGGCAGATGTACGTCTCATTCGCACTGGAAGCCCTGATGGGAACGAGCCATCGGAACTAGAAGCAGATGTTCCTGGGTATGAGGGAGCTCTAGCATATAGTCGACAAGATATCGTCCCACTGCTTCCTGGGCTCGGCGCATCTGCAAATTCTGGCTGTGGATTTTGTGCTCTGCTCCGAAATGCTATGATCTGGCACTTTCAACAATATCCATTAGAGCGTCTGCCTGATGACACGATCCAGATTGTGAAGATATGCCATCACTGGAACTATGGGTTATCAGCATTCACTATCTATAGCCCCTCCTTTTGGAGCCGTAAACATAAATTTGATTACCTTACTTTCAGGGTCACTGCCGGCCCCACAGGTATGACTTATCATCATTTTCTACACCTAACAGCATTTTCCTCTAACACCACGGGGGGTTTTAGACGAGTGCTCTTCAATCTTCGATATTCGTTCCAACCGTATCCCAGACAATGTGATTTCGCCATCCGGTATATTGACGTTGAAGCAATGGATTTTTGGCAACAAGTCAAAAGCCTTTGAAGCAAATTACCGGCCCACCAGACTGATTTACGTGGAGGGTAGTAAGGAGTCAGGCTTGATCCGTCTGGTAGACAGCCACTCTCAGATGGACAAGGAGCCTCAACCATACTTGGCACTTAGCTACTGCTGGGGACCTAAAGCTCCTTCACTCAAAACGACAAAAAGCAACTACGCTTATTTAAAGAGCTGTATATCTTATTATACTATGCCCAAAGCTTATCAAGATACAGTTCGTATTGCGCGAGCATTGGGCGTCAAGTATATATGGATTGACGCGCTTTGTATTATTCAAGACGATGTTTCAGACTGGGAGACAGAGTCGAAAATGATGGCAGAGATATTTCAGAATGCCTTGGTAACAATAATACCGCTCTGTACATCAACATGTGACGAGGGCTTCCTTGAACGAAATCCAAGCCTCAAGATCAAATACATGCACCACTCTATTGAGGAAAATATCAGTGGCTCATTCTTTATCCGTCACATACCTTTCTCTTATGAAAATGCAGAATTCGCAATACGCTCCTCACCGACTTTCTCAAACGCACCAATAAATCTGGAACTTAAGAAATCGCCTTGGCGGGCCCGCGGCTGGACATTTCAAGAGGACATGTTTGCAACCAGGAAGCTATATTTTGGCCATATGATGATGTATTGGGATTCCTTTCAGCCTCCTGATGTTATGAGAACTGAGGATAAGATAATCGATGATGCACTTGACCGCGTCAAAACTGCCAAGCTACCTAGGATTCAGTCATCATCTGGGTTGTTATCTGGTTATGACTACGACGCCTGGTACCATTCAATCGTTGATTATTCTGAAAAACTACTTACATTTGAGACTGATCGACTGCCAGCCGTGTCCTCTTATGCCAAGCTTATTGCTGGCGAGGATGTATACTTGGCTGGTCTGTGGAAGAATGACCTTCATCGTGGCTTGCTTTGGAAAATACAGAGGAAGAAGCGAAAAACCTTTGGTAGTCTAATGAGCGATTTGGCATGCTCAACCAAATATATTGCACCCTCTTGGTCTTGGGCAAGCCGTCGCGCTGCCCTACTCTGGGACGGCTCTGACGCGATGCAGCTCGAATGTGCCATTCTAGAAGCTGAGATAGGCCTTCAAGGATCAGAGACTTATGGACGTGTACGAAGTGGGCGTCTCTTGCTTCGTGGGAAGATTAGTAGTATCCCGGGTGGAAAACTCCAAAAGTTGCCTCTGAAAACACCTTATTATAGCCTACAAAATGAGTGGCTAGCTTCAGAAGGTGAGCGATACGTTGCACAGTGCGCTCTTGATTGGAGAGAGACAGATGATTGTGGCAAACAGCATTCAGAGATTGGTGGAGAAAGTGTGCAGAAAATTATCATGCTCCTCACTTCTAGTGGCTATACGAATAAACCGAGTGCATTCTCCAAAACACCACAAGAGCGGCAAGACAATAATGAGGCTCAACCGCTTGAGGTCTTGCACGGCCTCCTTCTTTATCCGACGGGAGAGGTGAATGAGTACTGGCGAGTTGGACTCTTTCACTCATTAACAGATGAAAACGGGGGCAGAGGATATTTCGAAAAATGCAAAGAGCGTACTCTACGTGTTATATAGGTAGACATGCATGTTATATGTATGTAGGATCCATGTAGGCAGGCGGTTATGTATTGATACTGCAATTACACTTGGGGGTTAGACAATTATATGTAGCTCTACTAGCTTAATTGCCGACGCTACCTTTAACATAAATTCTTATTTAGAGAATCTGGTGCAACGTTTTGCCCAACAAGCGCATCACCTAGCTTAGTAAGAAGATTTGTCTTTCGAAAAGATAAAATTATTTGTTGTAGTTATAGGATCCACTACTAATTTTGTACATAGTTTATACACCAATAATATCTATAATGTTAAATAACAAAGGACCATCTACCGGGCTCAAAAGTGACTACTCACAAGACGGTCAGTTTGCAAGTTCCAATGCCGAACGCTAACTTGTTACATGAAGCGTAGATTTAATATAATACGAGGAGACAAAGAACTAGTAAATCAGTATCCGCACAAGTTTTTGATACATATGCCGGTGTTACATTGGGATATTTGAGAATCCTCCATTGGGCCAAAGTTGCGATGCATAATCCTATCAATATATACATCTGCTAGACTGTGAATTATTCAACAAAATCTCTTCATATAGCCTGATATGGGCGGTAAGCCCAGATCCGAACTTTCTTATCTCCTCCACCAGTCGCAAAGTAACTGCCCTGTGGACTTGGCGCTACTGATATAACCGTGTTCGTGTGCGCTTGGAGTATGAATTGAGCCGCGCCTGTTTTGGAGTCCCAAAATTGCGCACTGCGGTCCTTCGAACCTGACATTATCCAAAGGCCATCTGGCGAGGGAGCAACAGAAATAACAAAATCATTGTGCCCTTCAAACGTTTTGACGCAGCTACCACCCTCTTTACCCAAATTTGGTTCATCGCGAGGTAAACTAAGCTCCCACATCTTAATAGTACGATCTAAGCTGGCACTGACCAGATTCTTGCCATTTGGCAAGAAAGCAATGGAATAGACACCGGATCTGTGACCATCGGGGTCTTTCAAGTGATCAACCAAGATACCAGTCTTAACGTCCCAGAGGTAGATGGTACCATCCGATGACCCGGCTGCTACAAACTGAGCATCGGGGGACATGGCAACGGCCAATATTTCGTTGTTTGCAGTTAGAGTGGAGGTGTTGGCACCTGTCTCGATATCCCAAAGACGTACAGTCCCATCATGACTTCCAGATACAATAGTACGTCCATCACGGGCGAAATCACACGTGTGTACGCCTTCTGTATGGTCCTGGAAGTGGTTATGGAGAGTTTCTGTAGTAATATCCCACACCTACGTGATAATTAATTTGGAATGACTTTCGTTAGCGCTGGAGGTGTTTACTTACTCGGACGGCCTTATCTGGATTAGCAGTGGCAAGATATTTCCCGTTAGGACTAAAGCAAACACTCCGAAGATAATTATCTTCGGCGATATCGGTAGTGCTGCAATCCAGTGTGTGTATCTCCTCACCTGTGTCTACATCGAAAATCCGAGCGAATCGATTGCTGCCTGTAGCCACGTACCTTCCGTCTTGGGAAAATCGGACGGAGGCGACAACACTGTCGTGGAGGAGGGTGTGGACCAGGTCGACATCAAGAACACGTTGCACTTGAGGATTGAAAATGACGTACCAGTCATCACCACTTTTCTTATGGTGCGGCGCAACGGCATCAAGTTTGAGGGAGCCAAGACCGTGGGAGGTAGGAGGAGTAGAAGGAGACACAACATCTCCCGTATGGGTAGATTTCGTTTTGGCTTGATGCTCGAGGAGCAATTCGATCACCTCATCTGCACTCTCCGAATTATTCGCCGCAGCTTCCATGACATCCTCTGTGGCAGTAATCTGATCTCCTCTTTGTCCGAGGAGTAATGCCATCATCTCGCCGTCAAAGCTTTCGGCAATAGAAGCCACAGCGTCCTCTTCGATAGTGACATGCTCCACTGGCTGAATGATGAATAATCTCATCACTTGCTTACCGCATGCCTCGTTGCTTGCTGCGGCTGTCACGATGTCTTTTGTGACGGCGATGTGGCCTTCTTGTCCTTTTAGCAGAATCTCCAGCCTCTCCTTGCCATCCACCTCATTTCCTGCGGCTGCTATGACTTGCTTCTCTAATAGTGCTGCTTCGTTCCACATGCTCCGATCAGTGTCATTGGATCCAGCGATGGAGCTGCCATTGCTTTGATCATGTTGTGGCTTAAAAGATTTGCCATCATCAGATTCGTCACCAAAGTATTGGTTTGTGAGAAAGTAGTTGCTGTGTTCTGAAAGCTCGGAATCTTTTGAAGCAGCGTGATTCGCTCTGTCGTAGTCGGTGAGTTGTAGCTCTGGAGGTTCTTTGCGATCATTGATTTCCTTGTTGATCCATTGCTTGATGCCCTCCACGGTCGATTGACGGATATTTACTACTTGGAGTCTCTGGATATTTTTTTCAGTTAATCGCTTGTCATCTTCTGCATTCAATCGTTGGATCTCTTCTGCGTTCAGTCGCTGGATCTCTTCTGCATGGCTTGAATCCAGTGAAAGATTGAAGCTGCCTGGTTGTACGTTAAGATTTTGTATAATGGGTTTTGGCCAAGGAAGCGATCGGAGTGCAAACTCGTACGTGTGCTGCAGGACGTGATCGACTAGTTCTGGTGAGTCTTCGGCCCCGCATGACGAGCATAAAGGGCAGGATTTGATCCCCATTCTCTGTACCGTAGACCAGGAGAGGAGCGTTGGAAGAGAGTTCTCCAGGAGCTCCTCTTGGTGATATTCTTGGAGGTGGCTTAAAATGCTCTCCATCGTTAGATAGTCTTTATGCTCTTTGCAAAACAGACATTGCCAGTGAGGCAGGTGGCTTTCCTTGACATGAGTTTCCCATTCATTTCGGGTACAGAAGAGGAGATACGGCGTAGGACAATTCTCAGCAATACAAGTATAAGGGCATATATCTTCAATTATATGCTGTCTTTAAATAAGGTTATTAAATTAGCCTTAAAAGATAAAATAAGAAGATAATGTAAGCTACTTACTTCCACTCCTTTGGATGCTGTAATATTTCAACTGGGATTGACTGGCAGCAACAGGGGCATTTTGATATCTTTTTATTGGAAGTGATAAATGGGGCTTTTGGGAAATCAGCATTAGAGGCGATGAACGTGATCTGTGTCTTCGCTGTCCCCGAAGTGTATTTCTTGGTGGTTGCATTAAATTTAAGACTCCCTTCGGCTGTGGATGCAAGCGAATATCCCGATATCGTTGGTGCTGCGATGCTTTGACCTCTGATAGCTAGATTTGATGTTGGAAATGGAGCCGGATCCTGAGGGCTGGCCAAGTTCTGTGTTTTAACGATAGGTTTGGTTTGCAAGAGATTACCGATGGGTAGCGAGGGCTGAGCAGTCGAGGACTGAGTTTGTGGCGCCTTCTGGGCTATGGAGTGTTTTTGTGCCATAAGAAAGTTGTGCCTTCGCCTGAGATTTGCTTGAATGATACGCTGTTGTAGGTCGGATAATTTGGAGATATCTAATTTATCGATAACATTCCCGTCGTCTGTTTTCTGGAAAAGAGCCTCCTTTGATGGACGAAGAAGAATAATGCACTCGAGATGCTTCCTTAGCTCCTGGTGCTTACTTGGATCAAACGTTTGGTCAGCTCTGCGATTCCGCGATGCCTTTCCTGTTCGACGGATAGCCACGCTGATCAGAGCTAGGATCTCGATAGCGGAATCAATGTTCTGGATACTCGCAGCAAAGTTTACATCAGACTCGGCGAGGCTATTGGAGTAATCCAGAGAGTCTTCCAACATAGTAAGGACATTCTTCACTAATTGAAGGTCGTTTGTTCGACCCTGAAGCCTGGAATCCAGTGAAGCTCCGGGCTTTGCCAAGGCACCAAGGCCATCCGCCCAGAGACTGAAGTCAGCCAGCCGGCTTTCTAATGGCCCGATGTATCCAGCTCTCTGAGCGGCCAGGAGCTGCTTGAATTTGGAAATGCAGAACTGCGTGAGCGTCAGGATTGAGGGCGCTGTTGGCTCCATGCTGTATTGAAGATGGAGAGCTGAGCCTGGCCTTCTACGTTGAGATGGCCGGAGTCGCAATCGGTCTTGGTGAGTAGATTGTAAGGCATGAGCGGGGAAGATTATGAAATTGCACTGGCCAATGGCGAGTGCAGATAATACGGGTTTCTTCCAGGCTCCCACCTTGGAATTGGTGAACTCCTCACTTGGAGACGAACAAATTCTATGTTATGGCTGAAGATACAGGCATTCCTGCCCTCCTGGCATCTCGTGCGATAGTGGTCTCGAGAGCGATATATGATGTATTTCGTGGGAGACGCTTGACACCTGCCGACCTTGGCAGCTTCCGCGCAGCTCACGAGATTGCCGCCAAGCTTTATATGATCCACCAATATCTCGGGACTCTTCCGCCTTATTGGGTTGAACACGATGTTGAGCAGCTTTGCCACACGATGCTGCATAGCTTGGATGCTATTTATCCGCCAACGGTGGGATCAGCGCGTTCATCTCTTTTCAATCGGACTTATGCTACAGATCTGGAGATAAACGTTATGAACTTTTTCAAGAAGCAAACAGAAAAGAGCCGAGAAATCAGGCGCGATTGCGACAGCCTCATCCAAAAGTTGACCAAGGACGCAAACGACATAAAAGGACTACCTAAGATCGTGACTCAGCATCTCGACACACCGGATACATCTTTGGATGAACTCAATCATGGGGCTTTCAACGCCCTCCAAACAATCGCTGAATGCGAATCTACGAAATACCAAACTTGTCGGACGGCGCCGACCGCTGAAGAAGATTTGCAAATCATGCGGCACCCTGCACGAATCTGTCTCCATGAACTTCGAAATAGCCAAGAGACGGTTAAGAGAGATATGACGGTCCTTGTTTCAGCTATGGATATGACTCTTTGGCAAGAGTTTAGTTTAAAGATGTAAGTGTATCCGTGACCCTTGCAGGATGAAGTTGTGGCATCAACAATCGCCCACCTACCTATAAGTAAGACGATCTAGTATATGGCCCCGTCACACCACTTAGTCAACTAGACCTGTTGATAGTTTAGCGTTGTTGATGTTAGCTCGTTGTTCAGAGTAGCTTAAATGTTATTTTCACTAACGATCTGAGCTTTAGTCAGCCAAGCGGCCCTGCAGATAATGGCCAGCCTTTGAGTCGAGGAGGGTTCTGCTATATCCTTGATCGACAAATAGATGCTAGCGTGCCTCTCTATTTCAAAGACGGCCATGGTCTTTTCAAGCTCAATCAATCGCATGTCTTACGGCAGTTTTTCAAGGCCGGGAATGGAGAGTCTCTAAAAGAGGTCTTGTGCCATTACAACCTCACCCCAAAGGACAAAGTGACACTCTCATATGCTATCGCACGATCATACTGGAAATACTACAAGTCAGAACTGCTGATTCGGACCAAGTGGACGAGCGATAACATCTGGTTTATGCCTGAGGGGGGCAACGAAGGAAACAAAGAACACCTACCGCTATGCGCCTATTTGTCATTTCCTTTCAGCATTCCTGGCAGAAGTGATTCTGATATTGTAGACAGGGACCAGCTGACTCATAAATATCCTCAGATACTTGACATAGGCGTATTGCTTCTAGAAATCGGTCTCGCTAAGCCGTTTCAAACATTGAAACGCAAAAATAGGGTCGCACAGGCAAACTTTGATCACAAGAGGGCAATCGACGACTTGGGCGAACTAGAGAAGATGAAATGGGATGGCTTCACGAATAGTAAGAGGTATTTTGATGATGCTGTCAAGTTCTGTCTCAAAAGCAAAGAGGTCAATCCTTCACCGGAGCAACAAAACCTAGATGGGAAAGAAGGTATCGTCATACGGAAAAAGTTCCACGAGTATGTGGTCCGCCCACTCGAATGGCTACAAAAGGGCTTCGGAACGCAAGTTGGGCACATTAATTATGTCGACAAGAAGCCTCTTTCTCCTCCGCAAAGAGCACCTGATAACGAGGCTGGGAAATTGGAACCAGACGCAGAATTCCACAGCGCCACTGTAGTTCCCCAGATGTGGCTAAGAGACCTAAAGAAGATCAGTGAACTGGTGGAGCGCAAACGGCGCGATTGTGCAGTTTCAGCTGAGATTCGCGTTGCCATCCTGGATACAGGGTTGGATAGAGAATTTCCCACCTTTCGAGCGAAGAGCGGGCTGATGAAGAGCATCATCGAGGAGAAGGATTTTGTGGATCCTGACGCGCAAACTATGACAGATACTTTTGGACACGGGACCCTTATGGCAAGGCTCCTGATGGAGTGCGCTCCCGGAGCAGGTATTCTAGTTGCTCGTGTTGCTAAAAGCACTAATGAGCTTGAGAGCAGTCGCGAAAATATTAAGCAGGTGAGTAATGGGATTATATTACTTTCATATATAAAGCTTACATGTTATTCGGTAAGGCCATCCTCTGGGCCGGACAGATTGGCAAAGCTGATATTATTTTCATGTCCTTTGGCTTCCCTACCAACGACCAAGGGATACGCGAGGCTATTGAGAAGGTGCAGAAAGAGCGTCAAGACAATATAATTTTTCTAGCCAGTGCTGGGAACTCGTCTACAGACGATGAGAGCTTCCCTGCCCGCCACCCTGCTGTTATATCAGTCTATGCTACAAACTGCAACGGAGTCTTTCTGTCATCAAATGCAAAAAGTACTACCAATAGTGCCGCCGTGCTCGGCACATTCGGCGACGACATCCCAAGCTCCATTCAAGACGAGTTTAGCAGCACATACCCAAAGATTTGCGAGCCCGGGTCCTCAGTCGCCACGGCAATAATGGCAGGCATAAGTGCTACGATGCTTATATACGCCACTGTACTGCCTCGGTTGATCTTGCTGCAAGGTAAGGCGGCGAGTACAACCGACAACATGCTGCAACGACTCCGGACCACCAAAGGCATGGAGGCAGCATTGGATCGACTGGCACCAAAAGACGAGGACCACCCACGGCGTAGGTCTGTGAACCCGATCTGGTTTTGGAAGAAGTCGAGTGATGATCTCGGGCGATATGCGGCTATTTTTGATGCCTTGTCAAAATTAGACAGAATATCATAGAGAATGGCGCGAAGAATGACTGGACGGCTCGATCATATTACAATGACATGAATCAACTTCAACGAACCTAGCCAATCCACCTTGGTGAATCTGATGCAAAGCGTAGTTTCGAGTGAATGCGGTGTCATTTTTTATAGAATAATTCTTTCTTTATACGCCTTCTGGCATATGTTGACTACGTTTCAGTAATTCGCTCTCAATTGCCAGAGGCTGGCTTTGAAACACGATATAGGAGTCATTGTCTACTCCTTCGAGCCGCTTCTCTTCATAACCATCTTGCTCTGCATCCAAATCTTCTCGGTACACTGCGCCGTCCACCTCAACAATCTCCATCTCAGGCTCGACATCTTCAGCTTCACCGCTGAAAAATGCTGTCCTATCAGAAAATAGCTCGACATCGGCACCTATATTCTTAGGCCGAATTACGTGTAGCCGATATGCGAAAACGATTCCCGGCGCTGTCTCATAGCTACTGCTGGCTCTATCCTCTGTTTTACCAGCGACCGTGGCCCCTAGAACGGCGGGCATTATGCCAGTGGGAATAAATCCTGATGCTTTAACAGAAGTTGCCGTATTTCTCCTCTTCTCTTCTGTAACTGTAAGGCTCTCTCGCACCACACGTAAGCCCGTGATGATGTATACATGGCGCTTGCCAAAACGTCCTCCGTCAATGTGCCTCTGAACATTATCAAGCGCCAAGATTGCTCTCAAGGTCTCTGGAGCGAAGGCTCCGTGGTATGTCCGCACCTCATGATCCACGGCGCTAAAGGTTTTGTTCTTGTACCATGACACATTGATCTTGGCGTTTCCGACGTTGAGAACCTTGGCAAAGAGCGCGAGCCCCAAAGAACGGCTTTTTTCGGCTGAGAAACTGAGGTTTTTCTCCGTGATGGACTTGACCTCTGGCAGGATGACAGTCGGGTAGGAGATGGCAGAGGCGAGAATGGCGGTTGGTTGTTGAGGGCTGGGGATGATGCTGCCGAGCGCAATTTGGCCGTCTGGAAGAAAGGTAAAGTCGGGAGGGAGAAACCAGGTTTTGCCTGTCATCGCGTTGGAGGAGAAGATGGAGTCTTGGTTGCTTGAGGTTGGTGAATAGGATGAGAAACTATTTTTGGGCCTTGACCAAAATTTCCATAGTCTGCAGATTGTGGATAAGTGTACTACTCTGACATTGGTTTTGATTCGCGTAAATTGATGGATTGATTGTCAGGCCGCGATCAGGCTGGCAAGCGACAACTCAATCTGTTGGAGATGCGTCCCGATCCCTCAATAGAGTGGCTAATATATATCCAGCACTCCAAAATAGCGGTGGTACTTACAGTACGATACTGTAGTACTGATATAGATATCATTTTTTTACAACTATACTCCAGCTATGTATATGGTGTGCAGCGAGGAAGCTGCTTTAGTAGTAGGTATAACGCAAGTGGGTACTTCACAGCTCTATGCGATGCACACAGTCCGCGCGAGAACCTTGGGGTGCTACTTGAAGATACCACAACCCTCATTAAATGTTACTAAAGAATGTCCACATGCCTATCTACATGACAATGTAAAAAACTAGCTTCCAACACTCACTCTTTTCCCTGCCAACTCAAGCGCTGTTATAAACGGTTCACGACTGCCAAGGATGATGCCCAGCATTCTCGGAGCTCCTTTTACTCAAAGAATCGGATCCCGATAAGTAAGGGTCATCCGGGTAAGTGTAAGTGCAACGTGATCATGCCTGGTAGTAGATATCATGTAGGAATGAGATTTTGTAGTTTCATGGAAGCGCAATCCCTACACTGCTATACAGAAGTATATAAAGAAGTTTGATAAGTCTACAAGCACATACGACCATAGGTAGTGGAGAACTCGGGGTCCCGTCTGCTCCCCCATAGATAAGCCACTAACCGGCAGATTAGTAGTTGAGTGGGTGACCATCAGCGAACACCGGCTGTTGTATGTTTTTATTTTTTGCATTTTTGTGTTGAGTATTGTTCTTTTTGCGTGCCTTAGAAGCATCGTTGCTTGCTGTCATGCGGCTGTTGAAAGGGTGTGCGCTAAAGTGACATGGATGATGGCGGGGTTCTCAGGTACACACCTACTCTAATATTGAACCAGTGCAAGCTCACTTAGACCAAGATGTATGAACCCTCATAAAAGTCTATCAAGTAAACTATACAAAACTTGCTGATTGTCTTGTCAAGTATATGATCCTGAGTTTGTAAAAGAAGTCTTCTAATTCAAGTGTGCCCTTTGTTATTGCTCGATAGCCGTGTTACATCCACAAAGCTCTTGAAAAGCAATGTCAATAAGCGAATGAAGTTTAATACGCCAGCTGTCTTAAACAGCTGTCCAATAACATGTGCCCGGGGTCAGATAAAATCAGGCAGCTCGATCAGCAAGTCGTTCAGCCAATCGGTATCGCAGCAGTTTTTAACATGGCTTTGTCTTATTCCTCGGCGTATTCTTCTCGTAGTAGGAAAGACTAGTTGCGGCTGTTGGTAGCAATTGCTTATTACAAGATCCACTGCTAAATACAATACTAAACAAAGAGGATATATATCTCTCACCTCTTTATTATTATTATTATTATTCCCTTTTGCGCTGCTATCTACTTTTCCTTTGGTTTGTTAAGCTTGGAAGATGAGATTATTATTCATCAACTCATCACCCGTCAGACAAAATGGTGTAAGCAGCATGAAGATATGCAGTTCATATACAAGCTACAACCTGTAGAAGGGAAAGCAAGTTAGTGTTATCAAGTCAACTCATCAAGACATCACATTGCAGACACAAATAATTGAGTGGGTAACCTCTGGTATATTGTAATGTTAAATAACTAATACGCAGAAAGCGAGTCAAAGCCATTCCTTGTCATCCATCCATCCCGGCACAAAAAGCCCAGTGCCCTCTCCCAAAGCTGCTCTATAAACCAAAAAAGTAACAAACGAAACCATCACAAGATCCAAAACTCTTTCAAGATAATTCCCGTCTACAATGCAGAACCCTCAACACGAAAAAGGGGGGGCTCGATGCAGAGACAGCGAATCAACAAAAAAGATAAATCAGGCTCTCGTGGTTCTTTTGGCCCAAAAAGTGCTTCCAAAAAGAGGAGCAAAACAAGTTCTTTTCCGTCTTTCTAGCCAGCAAAGACAAAACATAAAAAGGATATGGCTATAACCACGATTGGCGGTTGGGTATCCCCAAACAAAAAGCCTTCCTTTTTGTTTTCTTACCAACCACCAACCCACTCAACGTCTCCGAGATCGGTGCGCCTATCCTTGCGCCAGTTCCAATCTTTCGCCTTGCTCCACGAATTCTCCTTGAGGCGATCCTTGCTCCACCCCTTGCTGCCAAAACTGTTGCCATTGTTGTTGTGTTGATTGTGTAAAATAGTGTTATTGTGAGAAGTAGAAAAATGATGATCCCAAACGCCCGCTTCATAATATTTGTTGTTATTGTATCCGTTGTTACTGTATCCAAACCCAAATTGACGACGCTGCTTCCAACCGGGAGACTTTTCGGGCTCCGCCTGAATGTTTTGGCCTCTGCGACGCTCACCAAGCGCAGCCCACTTGTCGACGTCGCCGCGCTTCGACGGGGGCGAATAGCGCGGCGTGATAGTAAAGGCGTGCTTGGTGGGAGGAGAGGCCTCGTGAAAAAAGAAACCATCCGCAACCAAATCATCGTCCACATCCCCTTTGATGACGTGAGCCACAGGGATGGGCTCAGTCTTTTGCACAGAGTGCTCGTTGGTGCTCTCGTGGCTCCAAGTGCGCGAGTTGAGCTCCTTGAGAGCGCTGACCCTCTGCTGCTCCTGCTCCTGCTCTTGTTCCTCTTCCTCTTCATCCTCGTCCCACATGTCACTCCAGCTCTTGGAAACCGTATCCTTCTGGCGGCCGCCAAAGACGGAGGCCATGGAGGGGAACGGCTTGCCCATGGCGATGGGCAGAGAGCCGGCAGCGGGAGAAACCTTGGTGAAAGGCTTGGGCATGGGCGGGCGAGAGATGTTGAAGGCCCGCAGACGAGCTTCAATGATGCGCGAGTCCAGCATGGAGGAAGACGGGGTCTGGACTCCAGTAGAGTACCAGTCGGTCGTCTCTCCAGACTTGGAGAAGAGATCCTCGCTGTAGCTCTCATCGTCGGGAATGATACTAAGTTGGCGACGATGGGCAGCAGGAGTCTCGTTGAGCGCTTTGGTCCAAGGGAATGCGCCTCCATCGATCTGTGGGGTTTGGATGGACGGGGTGCGGAGAGGCTCACGATGAGCGGATGCCACGGTAGGGTTCTCGGCACCGCAAAAGTCATCGAGAGACTCATCCTCCGTCGTAAAGCTCACAGCGCGAAGGAGGGCATCGCGGGCGCCCTCGAGGGAACGCTTCCTGGGGTCCAAGTTCATGCACTGCACGATGACCTCGTACGTGTCCTGCGACATGCTGGGGAAGACGTCAAAGAGGCTCTGCTTGTCACGAGAGAAGTCGAGGAACAGAGGATCAGACTCTGTGGGGGTGGTGAAGGGGTTGCGGGAGAAGAGAATGTTGAGGAGACAAATGCCAATGGCCCAGACATCAGCCTCGGCAGGTGAGTATCCAGCACCGGCAGAGTCGAATTGCTCAGGAGCCATGTACCTGTCGCTGCCGACGGTAGTCTCGAAGGACCACTTGTCGGTAGTGGCAAGGCCAAAGTCGCCGAGTTTCATCGCGCCATCTTGAGTAAGGAAGATGTTTTCTGGCTTGATATCGCGATGGTAGACACCCTTGGAGTGGATGTAGGCAACCGCGTCGACCAGCTCAAGCATGAACTGGCGAACGTGCTCAGTCTCCAGAGGTCCGTGGCCGTTGCGAATGGCCTCATAGAGGTCACCCTGGCCGCAAAACTCCATGACCAAGTAGACGTGAGCCTCGGTCTCAAAGGTATCAAGCAAGTTGACGATGTTGGGGTGCGATCCAAGGCCGTTATGCAGAGCATATTCCTCAGATCGCTCGTCGACTGCAAACTCGGGGTTGACCTCACAAGGCGCTGACCTCTTGGTGAGACACTTGATGGCGACGACCTGGTTGGAAACGAGGTCCTGAGCCATAAAGACCATGCCGAATGAGCCGTGGTTGAGTGGTGAGATGGTCTGGTAGCGACCTCCATCAAGGAGAAGGCCACCAGTGAACTTGTTCCTCATGCATTCCATGATTGTGAAAGTGGAGTGTGTGAAAGTATAAAAAGTATAAAAAAAAGGTAAAGCTGATGAAGTTGAAAAGCCAGAAAAAGCTAGAACAAAAGATGAAGAGATGAAAAGATGAAAAACAGATGTGATAAAAATAAAAAAGATAATTTATACAGGCGGAGTTTGGTGTTCAAGATATGTAAAAGTGATATATGCCTTTTGTCTCTAGCCGTTGATCAATCGCGCACCCTGATGGTATGAACCGTTCGACGTTTCTATACGCAAGGTTGCGTTCAAGCAAAGACGGGAAGAGAGATAAAAGACGCGAACAAGAACTGCGCAAAACCGGCAGTTGAAGAATCGAAGAACAGATGACCGGAATGTACAAGCCGTAAAGGACAAAGGAAAGGGCAAAACGACAGGTAGCCACGGATAATTGATTGTTGGTTGATAGTGTTGCTTGGCGGATAGTATTGAGTTTATAAGATGATCATTTGTTGAGAGATTTCAGAAAGAGTAAAGAAACAAAGGAGACGCGGATTAACGAAACCGTGGCCAAGATGCCGAAAGCCGGCTTGCGTATGAGAGAGAGGTGGAAGAAATTGTTTTGTTCGTTATAATGACATCGAGGTCGCGTTAAGAGGCTGAAATGTATAATGAATGACTGGTGTAGATTATTTTTTTTTTGTATTGGTGGAGAGTGGTGGTGAGGCTTTGAGGAAGACGGCGAGGGTCGGGTCCGTCAAGAGGCCAACAAGGTAGGCGAGTTGAGTATTGAAGATGGTGTTGAGGTTGTGAGGAGACAAGGAGAAGAATCAGGGAGAGTGAAGCAACGTGGCGGACCAACCAAGGCGGCGGCCGTGAGCGGAGCGTAGCTCTCGCTGGAAAGGGGGTGACTCAATCAAGGCGAAAAGATGGAGATGTCCAGTCGCGAGCGAGGTTGAGCCGAATAACTTTTGGGTGAAAAGAAAAAAGCCGCTGTAGAGCAAGAGACTTGTGACTATCGCCCGGTGACTCGATCGAAGGTGCTGATGGACAGCTTATCGAAGGCGGCCGAGACCGGGACGGTGTGACGAAGACGGCGGAGTGCACTAAGCCGAGGCTCTATAGACGGGACGAGTTTGCGGCGAAGCAGTGACAACTAAAGTAACACGCTGGCGGGAGAGTCTATGGCAGACCGAAGACGAAGCTGTCGAACAGGCTGAGGCGCACCGCTGCAGGGATCTGGCAAGGCAAAGGAGGACCCTTCTTTCTCTCGTCGACTGTTGGGGAATCGGTTGCGTCGGTGCCGATGAGGTTCGGATGGCGGCAGGGCTTGCGAGGGCTTATCGTCGAGGTGGCGAATCTGGCGCTGGGGGATTGACTTGAGCGATTGCGAGAGACGACGCGACAAGGAGTCGAGGATCGAGGTCGTGGAAGAACCAGGCGGATGACGAGACGCAAGCTTCGAGGAGAAAGAAGGCCTTTGGCTGGGGGGTTGGGGATGGGAGCGGGAAGGAGGAGGGAGACGATGAAGTAGAAGTAGGAAGTCGGTGGATGCAGGAGGATGAAGGCGAGCAGACGCCAGAGGCCGGATGAAAAGGGAATCCGGGATGAGTAAATGGCCGTGGAAGAGAGTGGAAGTGCACAGGGGGGTGGGGCGCCGTGAAGGCACGAGAACCTGCCAGCAGCGGCACTGGGGGTGGTGGGGCGCGCCCACTGCGTCCACTAGCCAGCGTCCCATCCAGCGACTAGCACAGGGCACTACAGGGCACTACAGGGCAGCAGCACCACCGTGGCCCGCTAGCGGCAGTGCTATGCGTGGTAGTCGCACGCTACGAGCTGTAGGTACAGACATGGCGAGCAGAGGTACCGGGAACCCGCGGCGAGGGCAGCGCGGCGCCGAGCACAGCGGCGTGCAGTTACGAACACGGAGTAGCTGGTACCGCCCCGCGCTGGACCCCCAGACCAGACACTTGACACCTTGCAGCGAGTTTCGAGCAGACATGCCAGTGCCTCGACCCAGGCGCACGCACGTTGCCACGACGCCGTTGGGCTTGGGGCTTTTGTACACGGTGTTTGGGGCCCCTGCGCGGCGCATGCACTGTCGTCCAAGTCCAGACACCTTACTTGTACACCGTGGCGCATACCGAGCACGGCGGCCTTGGGCACCGTGCACGCCAGCCTGCCCCAACAAAAGACCTGAGCGATCGTTCGCAGCGGACTAGAGAGAGCATAAAGAGTCACGCGTGGCCGCCCGTTTTGCGGAGCACAGTGCGGGCAGCGCTTTAGGCATCCCGCAGGTTCCCGCACACCCTGCAGACGCTTCTGGCACAAGCGCGGCGCTGGCTGGCTCGCCGAGGGGAGTACCGGGTACGGGCTGCACGGGGTGCTGCGCTGGGCAGGAATAGGGGCCCAAGCCGGTCATGCGGGTACCTGTACACCTGGCAGAGGGTCTACCTGGCAACGGCCGGAGGACGCCGTGGTGGCAGTCGGTTGAGTACGGACGAAGGATTGTCTGAGTGTTGATGTGTCAGGCCACGCAGAGACAGACAGGTAGCAGCGCATTGTTGAAGCCTGCATGTCCTGGATGTATAGGTAGGCAATGCATGTAATCTACATGTGTCTCTGCCGTATTCGTGGCGACGACGCTCCGAGTACCTCGAGTGGCACCACGCAGCCAGCCTCTTCTTTGTCACTGATGCAATGCAGGCCAATGTATGGGGTAAGATGATACAATCAACACTATTGTAAATGACGCTCGCGTGCTAGCAATTATAGTACATTATTGAGCAATACGCAGCTATCTGCACTTACTCGTGCTTCGTTGCGTCGTCAATACTGCGAACTCGGATGCGCATGACGAGCAATCGCCCAAAGCCCAATTCAATTCACCAAAAGTCGCAATTGTTAGCATTTAGCCGAATGGCCACCTGCGCCGCTAACAGCGCTGACAAGCCGGGTCCACCAATTACTGTGCAGAATCTCTTTAGCAGTCACGCCAGGTGGCGTCCCCACACGACGACGACATGACGAGGGTCTGCGTGACAGCACCGTGCTAAGACCGCTGAAGAAGTCACTGTGCCGTCCAGGTCGCACAGCACAGTCCCTAGCGCACTTGGTCTCGCTTTAGCGTCCGCGAGCGTGCAATGCTTGGCTTTTGGCGGTTCCAGATCCAGACCCAGGCCCAGGCTGTTTTTGTTACTCACAGCCAAGTCCGCAATCCGGAGGGCCTGGCCGGAACCCTCTCAGGCGCCCAGATGGCCTGAACGATTGGGTGGCAGCGGCAGCAGAGCAGTTCGCTTCGGCGCAAGACGCACGGCCACGGCATGGAGCGTGCGCTGGTACCGGTACGGGGTGGATGCTGCGTGTGCGGCACGTTTTGCGAGTACCGCTGTTTGCTGTCCACGTTGCTGCACGTTGCTGCATCGACCGCCATCCGTCCACGTCGCAACAAAGGAAAATGGCCGACATGATGAAATTCGAGATGATGATATGAAAGAAAATCAGATAAAATTAAATAAAAACAATCATCGTTATCTGACAGCGGTTGCCGCGTGGCACCAATCGTGACATGTCGCTCCTCTGTTTCTGCCTTGGCCCCCGCGCTGCGTCGAAACCCAGAATCAGGGTCCGGAGCACACGACCAGCCAAAGCGAATCAGATTGCCCAATGGCCAATGAATGGAATCTGCTCTGCGTACCGATACACCACACCATCTACGCCGTATACTGGTCGATGCATTGATGCCTCTACTGTGCACCACTTTTTGGGAGAGGCAGAGCACAGCATAGCCCCCCGTCCCAATTTATCTCGACTCTCTTGTTTTCCTATTGAACCTCTCGCTCTTTTATACGGAGTACATTGGGTCGCCATACGTTTCTGCGCGCCCGTGCTCGTACCGCGCAAGGGTCAGGCCGGGCTCATTAGACTTTCTGCTAGGGGAATTGCGTTCGTTTTGATTGACGAGCCGGAAAATGACGAGATTTGCAAGAGGGGTCGTTTCTCACCCTCAGTGCCAAATCCGCGTATCCAGAACTCTGTACCTTTGCCCTGTACACCGTGCCTTTGTTGCAGCGATCCCATCTCGGCTAGGACATGATAGGCGGGCAGACAAGCAGATACGATGGCGCTCTACGCTCTTCACAGCAGGTCGCTACAGCTACAGCAACAACTCATCCGTAGCGTCCACAGGTACCTACCGCATTCTGCATGGATTGTCCAAAGACCCTAGACCTTTTCATGGCTGTTTCATGTGTATACACGTACATTTGCAGGTATGGCCCAATGCCGATCGTGATTGGCCGGGACACGCACGTTGGGGGCAGCTTCACGTTTCTGTCTCATTGCCGACGATAGGTGTAGAGATACCTATAAAGATACAAACTGTGCATCCGCGATAACGTGAGATGCGGTACTGACTGCATGTACATTCTGTAGTCTACAATGCACGATGCGGTAACACAGAGTGGACAGTAGATGGGATGGTGAAGATATGGGCAAGGTGTACATGTACTCCGTGTAAGTCGTTGCTGTCTCACTAGTCCAACCGCTGCGCCGGATCTGGTGCACTGTTCGACTTCGAAGCGCTGAAACACCGCAATTGAGTTCATGTAGGTACTGTTACAGCGAGCTTGTCCCGTCCTGGGCGTGCCCATACTGTGCCATTTCGTCTCCCTACCCCCTTTGCTTTAAGAGCCCGAAGCGTTTCATCCGGGTGCCATGCCCAGGAGACGATCGAGCCACTTTTCCCCGGCGATGGTGGTCTGGATCCCTCAAAGCCCAGATAAGGGAGACGACTGTTTTTGTCGACGACGTTTTCGAGGTGGCTACGCAAGGGCAGGATGAGTGAAACAAATTCTAGACTGCGTTGTAGACATTGTACGCAATTGGATTGAACCCTGCATACCGCAGTCTACTATGTGGCAAAAAAAGAAGAGACGAAGAAAAGGAAGAAAATAAAAAGGGACAGACTGGAATGCAGCTCTGCGATGACGTTTCTCGAGAGACCAGAGACAAGAGACAAGACCCCCAACAATAGGTTCTACTGTACAGTAAGTATCGTGCCGTTGCATGCAATCCCGCGCGGCGCTTTATTTTTTTTCATCTAGGGGCGTTTACGGCTAAAAGTAAATAAGCCTGCCTGCCTCAATTGGTTGCCTCGGGTTGCATGAAGGAATTTGAAGTTGCATCCATCAGCGCTGCTAATGGTTGCTGCTGCCCCCTTTTTTTTTCTGCTTGACAGATTGATTGATTGATTCGCAGCGGTTGCTCAGAGACACATTCACCCAAAGACCACTTAAAATCTTGATTCATCTTGCCAACCCAATTTCTGAGAATAGAAACGTGCCATTTCGGAGTACGGACTCGGCGGGTCTTGCGCCGGAAACATGGCCGTCCCAGGTACACCGAAGCGCCACAGCACCCAATGCAAAACAACAAGTACCGGATGGAGGTACTTTCGCAAGGTACCGGGTTTGCATGGATGAGCTCATTTAATGTTAATGCTATTACGTTTTACCCACCGCAATTATACGAAACAAGGCAAAATGTACAAGTACAAGTAAAACAAAACAAAAATAACAACCAGCAACGTGTCCAGAAGATCTGAGTCAAATGAGAAAAAAAGACCCTTTTCCACATCACGAGATGCGTCAATGCCGCAATCGCCCCGGCGGTGGCGATCAGATACCGCTACAAGCCAGTCGTATCTAACACCAAACACACTGTAGCACTAAAACTGATAAAACCACTTGTTTCGTCTCCGTCAAAGCCGCACATCTTCAGATTGATACGGCAAATGATGGTCGTGAAGCTACTGGAAATAGAACACCAGACCCTTTGTAGATTGCGTCTTGTTTGATTGACAGCTCTTATCTACAGTACAGTAAAACTCCCGCACGCAGATGGCCAAACTGCGGGTTGATGGGTCCGCTAACAAATGAAGCTCTATCAATCCCATCCATGAAATCAATACAACGCGCTTCTGCTGTGCTCCCTTGGATAGACGCCCATCTGCAGTGTCCCCATCGCCATCGCCTCCTTCTTCCCTTGTATTCTCCATTCGCCAAAAGCGAACACGCAAGAGTCCCAAAAAAGGTGGTGTCATCATCGGGATGCACTCCCACTCGTCAAAAACCCTCAAGTCACTGCTCAAAACTCCATACCGTACCCAGCGCTCCGTAATGGCCCCGTATATTCCGATCCATATCCGTGAGCCTCTACATCATCGGCATTTTACACGAGAAACAGACAAAAACTACGTAATCCCTCTTCTCCTCCATTCCCCACGCTTCTCTTTTGTCCAAATCATCAGAGCGCAAGCATCAGCCTGAAAAGAATTTTCCTCTCTCTCATTCTTCCCAAACCCCTGACCGCCTTCCAAAGAGGCCACTAGCCCCGTATCAAAAAAACTACCAGTATCAACAAGGGCGTCGCCCGTCCTGCACGCTGACGCACAGCAATGCGCCTCTAATGCAGCCTTGATGCGGGCGACCCCGAATAATAATCGCTGGTCCTTTTTTATTCTGCGAAGCGGTGGATGCCAGTGGATGCGAAAGAAACAGAGTCCGAAATGGCTCTGCTTGATGGAGCAAATCCAGGCACTAGCGCCCAGCTCTAGGGTAGCAGTAGAGAAGTGCAAGAACGCTGTAATCTAACCACGTAGACCTATTGCGTAGAAAGAATCAGAGAGGGGAAAAAAAGGGCTCCATCTCAAGTCCATCCTAGGAAAATTTTGCCTTCTGCTAGGACCTTGTCCTTGTCCTTTTCAGCTCTACAGCTTATTCCCAGCCAGCTCTATTGCAACTACACTTGAACCCCGCCTTGTCGACCTCGCTTATTGTTTTCTACTTCCTTTTATGTAAAATAGAACATTCCACAGCCCTCCTCTTCCCTCACCGCCTGCGACTCTGAGAAGCAAAGCGCCCTACCTAGTTTTTTCTTATTCCCCTTACATACTAACGATATACTAGCAGTATAGCTCGCTTTAGACAACAGAGAGGAGCAACAGCCCGAGACAGACACAAAACAAAATGGCCAACCAGCCCGACTTTGGTCGATTCGACGTTCTTCTGCTCGACATTGGTACGGCGCCCCCTCCCCCACTTACCCCGGGCTGATCACCGTGGACGCGGCCGAAAAAGGTGCGCGTATTCGAATCACGAGTCGTCACTTGCCTGCCATCCCTCAACTCTTTGTTGCTCGTCTCCCAGCTGATGCTTATCGCGCAACCTCTACGCGCCATGCAGAGGGCACCGTCTGTCCCATCTCCTTTGTCAAGGATGTCTTGGTGAGCCCAGCCCGCTTGCTTGTCTGCTTGCTTGCTTGCTTCTTCCCTCTCCCCTCTTCCTCCCTCATTCGCTCGCCCGCTCGCCGCGGCTGGCCTCGTTCGGACTCGCTTGTCGCTTTAATCGCCGTCCGACCATCCCTGCCCATCAGCCAATCGAGCTGCGATGTGCAAGACTAGACACCCTTGCTTTACCCCAACACGACTACTAGCTTCCTGCTCTTACCACGTTATGCGCGCATATCCTGTACCAATTAGATAGTGCTGCCCGCTTCTTCAACTCCTCTCTTTCTTCGTCTCCCTCTCTTCGCCGTCCCGTCCAACGCAAGAGGAAAAAAAAGTGGCTGACTTTTTCAATGGGCCCTCCTTTGTGCAGTTCCCCTACGCACTCAATGTCCTGCCCGACTTCTTAGCGGAGCAGTGGGACGAGCCGAGCTTTGCTGGCTACCGCAATGCGTTCCCCGACGACTGTCGCAATGACCGCAGCGCCTTCGAGGCTCACGTCCGGGACCTGGTCGCCCGAGATGTCAAGGCGCCGTACCTAAAGGCCCTCCAGGGCCATCTCTGGACAAAGGGCTATGAATCGGGGGTCCTCAAGGCTCCACTCTTCCCTGACGTGCCACCCTTCATCACCAACGCCCATGCGGCCGGCAAGAAAATCATGATATACTCGTCCGGATCGGTGCCGGCCCAGAAGCTGCTCTTCGCTCACACGACCGCCCAGCCCCCCGACATGAGCGTCGTGATTTGTGACTGGTTCGACACCGTCAATGCGGGGCCCAAGACCGACGTGGCTAGCTACACCACTATCCTGTCTCATCATCCAGACATCAGCCCCGCACGTTGGATCTTCCTGAGCGACAACCTCAGCGAGGTCGACGCCGCTCGCCAGTCAGGCATGCATAGCATCCCAGCCGTCAGACCGGGCAACGCACCTCTGCCTTCCCATCACCCGCTGTCCGAGTTTGCAGTCTCCGAGTTCACTCCGGCCTCCATTGCACAGGCTGCAGCCGCCATTGCTGCAAAGACCTCGGCTTGAAGATTGGTTGCTCAAGTCTTTGATTAGGGGGTGCCCGTCTAGAAACCCCCCCACGAATCAGTCAATGGCGGGGAGAGCCCGGTAGTCAGCTGTTCAACATGACATATTTTAGAATGACAGCAGCCTTTCAGCTGTGTTGATGTGTCGATAATTTCCGTTCCCGAGCAACTAAAAACAAGAGCTATTCGGCTGGTTCGCTGTGAAATCGACCATGCGTTTGCGTGCGGGGAGACTAGTTGACCGCCATCTCGACGCGAGGTGCTGCACCAAATGCACAAAGTAGTCTATAGACATGCTACTCGAGGTGTGCGGAGGGGTCGGTAGGGAGTATTCCTAGGCGGTCAGCGAGTGGCTGTCTCCAAATCTCCAAAATCAACCAAAAGAAGAAGTCCTCTGTCAAGAAAATGACATGACACTCCGCAACCAAACTTTGTTGGGCCCTAGTGCATGAAGCTTGTCCCATTCGTCGCTGCATTCTGGTGCAAAGTCGAGCGAGTGTTGCGTAATCCGAAAGTTGACTCTCGCCAATCGAGATCAATCACGCTGTTGCTTTTGAGTGTCATGAAGATGCTCTCTCGCCAATCGAAACCAATCATGCATGTTGCCCTTTGAGTGTCATGACAAAGTTGTTCCTCGTCTTGCCCGGGTTAATCTCTTGCTTTGAAAAGGTCAGCCCGGTTTTTGCAGCTCCCCCGGTCCTCCTCCACAGGCTGTAGGCTAGCTTCTGTGTCTTCTTGCTTCTCACTCGCGTGTAATTAAGCATAGCCATCAGCTCATCAAGCCGCTCGTCCGTAAAGTATCGCGAATTGTCGACGCAGCTTCGTGGCAAGACGACGAAGAGACAAGGAAAGAGGGGCTCGGTGGTCGGCGTACTGTCGACGTCGTTGAGAAACGAGAGCGTTCGTAGAAGCATGGCGCCGCGGCCGTGAGCATCGGGCACAAAGTTGAGCACCAAGCTCAGCGAGATGATGTCGAATCTTTCCTCGTCATTCTTAGGCAATGGCCTCTCCATGAAATCTTGCTGAAGGATACCTGGCTCCTGGCTGTTGAGATCAATGTGCTGGACGTTGAAGACGTTGCTGGTTGAACACGCATTTCGAGTGCTGAGTGCTCCAACTTCGAGCATCTGAAGAGGCTGACCCTGCTTCTTTAGCTCGTCCAGTGGGAGCCATTCCATGAGAACCTTTGACGTGTCCCCCCCTCTGTCGATGCTTTGTCCCTGCAGACTGGCCTTTTGATAGTGATCCAACCCTCCCAGACTCTCGATTTCGGCGGCCACCTTTGCTTCCGTTTCCTTGTCGCCGCTCCTGATGGCCCTTGCTCGCGTCTTTTCCAGGTGGTGATGCTTGTTGATCAGTGTCCTGCTTGCCTTTCGGGTCATGGTCCGAGATGGCTTCGCAAGCGGCGGGCGCCCTTGGGTGAGGCTAGACAGCGTCTTCTTCTTGGGGGCCATCTTGTTTTGCTTCCGAGGTGATGTCCAAACGTATTTGTTGCCAAGTGATGAACAGGTTCGTCCGTGAGAAAAAGGCCTTGGGTCTTGAAGCCGATATCAGCCCTAAATCCGTTGATGGCTGCCTATACTGGTGATGAGAGGTCGCTGTCGAGTATCATGGCCGCCGCAGAGTCTCCTTCTCAGCGTTGATGTTGCGTCGTGTGAACCGCCTCAGAGCTGTCACCATCCCTGTGAGCTGTCGTAGTTTAATGCCGAGACGCCTCGGCGCAGACAAAGATCCATCTGGCCAAATTATGGACAAGGCCGTTGATCGCACATTTTACTTATAAATACTCTTCCAAAAGCGGCTAGCGCGTTGCAAAACCTCTCAATTACTGCTCGTGGAACTGAATCACATGACTGTAGCGCTGAATCAGCCAATCACAGCACACGTTTGCTGGAGCCCTAATTTTCTGGCAATTTCGCCCACACTGACAGAATTAACTTCTAGGCTGGAGACTTCTTTTTTTTTCCTCCTCTCTCTTCATTCCGATAAGTCGACAAATCCTCAATCGCACCAACACTCCCTGTGCAAACTCGACCAACCAATACAATGGCTCCCGCTAACAAGAAAGGTACGACTTGAAATAAAAGAGACGAGTTTTGTTGTCGTCGTTTTCGAAAGAGCCGAAGCAAATCGAACATTTTTCCAACTTTTTGCGAAGCGATACGATACGACACAAAACAACATGCTCACTTGACATCTCCCGCGCAGCATCATGCAGCAGCAGATTTTGCGAGTTCTGAATAAGAGCGATTGCTGATGCGTATGATTATGTAGCTGCCGCCAAGGGCTCCAAGCAGGCCAACGCCGCTGCCAAGGCCGCCCTCAAGGGTGTAAGTTTTTTTATCCTCTAACAAGACAACTCATGAGAGCTTCAGATCTAACACGCCGCAGACTCACTCCTCCAAGACCCGCAAGGTCCGCCAGACCACCTCTTTCCACCGCCCCAAGACTCTGGTCCTGTCCCGCGCTCCTCGCTTCCCCCGCAAGGCCATCAACCACCTGCCCCGTCTCGATGAGCACAAGATCATCATCCACCCTCTCAACACCGAGAGCGCCATGAAGAAGATGGAGGAGAACAACACCCTCGTCTTCATTGTCGACGTCAAGGCCAACAAGGCCCAGATCAAGCTGGCCCTCAAGAAGCTCTACGACATTGACACCGTCAAGATCAACACCCTGATCCGGTATGTTGCTCTCAGAACCCAAGGCAAGATTTCATGTGCACTAACACTCTCTTTAGCCCTGACGGCTCCAAGAAGGCCTACGCCCGCCTGACCCCCGATGTCGACGCCCTCGACATTGCCGCCAACAAGCTCTCTCTGGTCTAAGCTGGACATTTTTCTTAATTTAAAAAAAGGGGATTGTTGGTTTCGTCTATTCATTTTCTTCTATTTTCTCTCGGGCGCGGAAATTGGTCTTACGTCTCACATGCATGCACATATACCATGGGCATTGAGGAACACAACACTTTTTGGGAGGAGTTGAGCTTTTTTGTCATTTTACGGATTGGAACACATCATGATACAAACTATGCAAAACTAAAAGACAAGAGCCGGTCCGTCCACGTACCGATGATGAAAGGGAAACAAGAAATAAATGAGAGCCGATGACAATTACTATGCTCTGAAATGTGGCATGACAATCCACTACGTAGATGAATATTGCGTTGAAATCGTAACGTCCTTTCAGTAAACGTTGATACCTTTTGAATTGGTCTCAATGCCCATCTATTGATCTTAATCAGAGAGAAGAACAGTCCCATATCCCATAATCTATCATACCACATGCCTATATATCATACATCACACAACACACCCATATTACCCCCTCAAAACCAGAAAAGTCGAAGAAAAAAAAAGCCTGAATTTTTTATGATCGCATATTGTTGAGGTGCTTCATCGTCAAAAAGTTGATATCCAAAAACCGGTCCACGCAGTTCGCCAAGCACCCTTCCTCGCCCTTCTCCAGCTTCGAGCCCTTGATATTCCCAGTGACGCACTTTTTCCAGCAAATCTGTGTCAAGTTGTGTGTTTCTGCAATTAAAAAAAAAAGATTAGCATCTTCTTTCAATGCACAGTCCCTCTAGTTTTATAGAACTGCCATAAAAAGCCTCGAAATTGAAAACAATAACAAAAAAAAATCGCAGCACATACGAGCCTGAATCTGCGACCGCTGCTGCTCATTCGCAAGAAACTGCCGCAGCTCCGTCTTATCCTTGTCGTTGAGCTTCTCGAGGTCGAGGTTCTCGATTCCAGTCTGGGCGGCGTTCATCTTGGGCAAAAGTTTCACTCGGTTCGTATATATTACTTGCGTAGGTTGATTTCAATGTGCGTAGGCTGAAGGAAAGAAAGAGGTTCCGTCGTAAGAAGAGTCGTTGCTATAGAGTATTTTCGAAGACTTGGTTGCAAGATTGGTGATGATATCGAGCGGTGGTTGATAATATTTTTCCAACGGGCTTTTTCGGACCAATAGTAGTCCGTTATCAACGCCGGCGTTGGCGAATGAGAGGAGAAGATCGTCTCCACATTCAGATGACCTTGCTTCGACAGATCCAGATAAAAGAGACGTGAGTTTTTTCAAGATTCTTGATTTATTGTTTTTATTAAGAGATGCTAATCTATTCATCTCACAATTGTCAAATGCAATTATGACAATGTAGACTATAAAAGGCAACGATGGACATTGCGCAAATACAGCATATACACAATGCAGACTTATTTGATTACTCTCAAGCAAGGCTATAAACATGACTCCACGCCTCAAGAATGCTTCCCGAGTCTATGATGCCAAATGTACCCAAATAAACAAGAAAAAACGTTCCAAAACTAGTAAACAATGAAATCAATACAACAAAAAAGACAAACCCTCTATATACTGTAAACCCCCTCCAAAAAAAAACGTATGACTCTTCACTCCATGTTTTTATTATATCCACCGCTTCCACCTCGCCACAGACACCATCATGGCACACAAGACAATCATGAAGCCGACAATGCCAAAAAATGGCCCCAGGTTGGCAACATCCTCAAACGGCAAACGCACATTCATGCCAAACAGACCACAAACAAGGTTGAGCGGCACAAGAATCGATCCCAGCATGGTGATTTTACTCAGTACGCGGTTCATGTCCGTGCCCTGGGAGATGTTGTTGATGGACAGCGTGGCCAGGTAATTGCTGTGGGCGCGAGACAGAATCTTCTCAAAGTGGCCCAGGTTGGTCGCCATGGTCACGACGTGGTCCTGGATGTCGCCCAGGTACATGCCAATGTCCATGTGCGGCGTCACCTGGAAGTTTTCGTTGCAGCGCTTGGTGAAGCCCCTGAGGACATCTGCCTTGCCGCCCAGCAGCCGCAGGAGCGCCATGCAGTTCTTGCGCACCCGTCCAATGGACCGCAAAAAGGTATTTGAGTCGTCAAACCGCATGACAAAGACTTCGTCTTCAATGGCATCGGCTTCCAGCTCAATCTGGTTAATGACGGGCGCAAAGCTGTCGACAATGTTGTCACTAGAAATCACATGTTAGATGACACATCAATACCATGCTGCTGCATATAGGCGAAGCTTACATCAAGGCATAGCAGATCCAGTCGCTGCTAAGAGAGACATAGTCCTTGAGAGACGTGATTCTCTTGCGCACGTCGGTGGCATGCGAATTGGGCGTGAAGCTGAAGCTGAGCGTGCCCTCTCGGAACACAATGACATAGATGTTGAAAGGCTCGTACTCTTTCCCATCGGGCTCGTCCACTACGTTAAACGACCGGAAGCAAGCAAAGTAGTACGATGGGAAGAGCTCAATCTTTTCGCGAGCCTCCTGGGTGACAATGTCTTCAATGGTCAGGGGGTGGAGGCCAAACGCCTTGCCCATGCCGTACACCTCTGCCTTTGTGGGGTTGTTGACGTTGAGCCACCAGACACCGCCGTCTTCGTCTTCGGGCAGTTCAAAAAGTCCCCGGAGATCCTCTCCCGGAAGCACAAGATCACCCATCTCGGGGGCATGAATCGTCGATTCCCATGCCGTGGAAAAAAAGCTGAAGCGAGTGTTGTCAACAGGCTGGGCCTTGGGAGGAGCAGCGCCCTCGAAAGAAGTCTTTTCGTTGGCCACCGAGTCGTCAGAGGGCGCCTCGAGAATGTCGCCATCGACGGTGACGAGCTGCGCGGGCTTGGTCAGGGTAGAGGTCCGTCGCAGGTCCTTGAAGCTCTCGGTGGGCAGCTCTGCTCGGGCGGCTCGCTCTTCCCGCTCCTCCTGCTGATCCCTGATGAGATCTTCGAGATACTCAAAGTCAATTCGGCCACTGTGCTGCTTGGGGTGCTTCTCCTGAAGAGGGTAGCAGACGTCCTCTTCAACCGTCTTGTTGGTCAGGAAGCTTCTGGCGTCGGCCTCCTGGTTATACGACCTCCTGCTCCGGTGGCTTGCATTGGACATTGTTCGGCCGAGGGGCTCCTCGCCTTCGTCCTTGGCCTCGGAAAATGACATTTCGCGCTCTCTGCGCCGAGCTTCGGCAAAGGCCTTGACCGAGTTGGGGGGCGAGATGGATCTACCATCTGTCGACGACTCGATGGTTGGGCGACGGCCGTGGCGTGGCGTGGGCTGGACATTGTCGCCGTCTTCGTCGAGGATGGCTTCCTCAAAGTCGCGGACGCGGACCGCCATCTCAGGGTCGAGATGGCGAGCGCCGTACAAGCTATCAAAGGTTCCTCGGCGTGGGCGCTCAACTCTCTGGGCAGATGAACGGTGCCGGTGGTCGTCAAGCTCGGGAACAGGGGTGTCGTACCCCGTGTCGGGGAAGGTCTCGTCGTGCTCAGACATGGTGGGTAACGTAGTTGGGATCCAAGATCTGGCGGGTTTGCGGTCTAAAGGTCGGATCGGAACAAATCACCGCGCAACAACTCGGACGAAGCCTGCTGGCAACTTAGGGGTTCTGGAACATGCTTTGGCAATGGGCTTCTGCAACTCTCTAGGCCTGAGACAGGCTGTCAAGTGCCCTCTCGGCGCGGCAGCAGCGCGCCGAGTAGTTGGTTTGGAACAAAACGAAGACCCGGGGGTCGCTTCTGGTAGCAGCTGGAGCTACGGGAAGAAGAGGTGCGGGTAGTGGATGGTTGGAAAGCGTAGCGACGAGGCTCCTGTCAGTAAAGCCAAGTTATGGAGGTTCCTTGTTGACTCCGCTGTAGACCCAGCAGCCGGGCCCGAGGAGCGAAGGGAAGATGACGACCGGGAGGGCGAGTTGAGCCAACTTGAAGGTGTTTGGCGGCAAGTCTGCGATGGCGCAGAAGGAGGTTTTGGATGCTGCGAGCGGCGACGGCTATCAGAAGCCAATCGACTATCGATTAAGAAGATGAAATGACGAGACGAGTCGTTTCGGTGTCGAGAAATTGGGTCGTTGTTGGCAAAGGTCGAAGTCGAGGCCAAAAAAAAAGGAGATGCTTCTATCTCTTTTCGTTTGCGGCGAACGGCAGAAAGGGCTGATGTGTGCGCCGCAAGGAGAAAAGCGACGGGGTTTATAACGCTATCACTTTAGCGAAAAGAAAAAAGGGTCTATCGGACAAGCCCAAATATATGCCAAGGGCTGAGTTATCAGTAAATTAGGGAGAAAGTCATTTAAAAAAAAGGACTCTCGTCGACCGTGGGTGAAAGGGAAGAAGAAAGAAGGAAGAACAAGAAGTGGTTGTTGCTTGAAAGAAAACAAAAAGCCAGCGGCGATTGGGGGCTCCAGCGCATGGCATGCACGATGAAATTTTCCCTCTGGCGGTACCCGCCGCCACGAAAATCAGCTGGTGGTCACTAAACTGGTTTGACCTGACCGACGCTGGGATCTGGTTTGGGGGCAAGAAACCTGCTGCGAGAAATTCTGGGAGGTGTCCGGTACTAGGCGAGCCGCTAAAAGCTGGGACCAGTACCTGCAATCTGCTAGAAAAAAGCGGCTAATCCTTTGTAAATTCAATCCCGTCGGCGGTATTCTCTTACGCATCGTTTTATTCTAAAAGGTATTCAGTACCGCGTCCATGCTCGGCGGGCGTCGCTTAGCTCGCAGTCAGGCCAGCGAGTACGGCACGTCGTGGCCGCCCGGCCCCCAGAGAGGCAGAGAGAAGCAAACGATAAGATAATGAGAGGATCTGAATCATTGGGCATGGCGCTAGAAAATGGCAAGTGGTACAAGAAGACGCAGACAGCATGTCAAAGATGGCAGCATCTGCAGGGCGGGTGGTACAGCAATCAGATACCGTGCTGTAGATATTCCAGCTGCCGCGTTTGCCAAGCATGTGAAAGCTGGACTGAGACAAGCCATCTTTGCAGAGCGGTCAGGATAAGCGTCACTATGAGGGACTGTCTACGAAAAAGAATCGAAACGTTGCGAGAATATCGGAACAAACAGCAGAATATGCCTCAGCAAAAGCCCATTTCTCAAGCCATTTGATGCGGCATGCGCTTTTCCTTGCCGTATATGCAAAATACGAAATACGTCAGGACCGGGTGCTTTGGAGGGTTTGATTCGCCACCAGACTTGAGCAGCCAATGCCGGCAAGGTCTCCGCCTTCTATTCCTGGCGCGATCACGGCACTCGGCACCCCTGCTCTCTGCGCCGTAGCCGCACAAGATATGATGTGAAGAGGGCTTGTAATTGTATTAGACAAAATGTTGTGTAAAGGTATTTCATTTCGCTAGATTGGCTTTGTCGAATTGACTCTTTGGCTGTACAAGTTCTGGTGGCTCAAGTCTAGTGGATATACAGGTGAAGCTCCATGAACCATACAAATCTTCTTTGAGCTTTGTTGACTTGAAGCACCCACATAACGTACCAACGCACTAAATATGTATAATCCAAGTCTTGTATTGATAGAAAAAAAAACCAATAAAGCATGATATATATACGCGTATACAAATATCCAATATGGCGCATCGAATCCTTGCTAGAGTTCTATTCTCAGCACTCCAGGTTAGCAGCTGGCATCTCCAGTTGCAGGCTGCACGCACCGCCACACTTCCCCAGCCTAGACCCACCTACGCCCGGATCAGGCGTTTGCGCCACACATGGCTCCAAAGACGTGTCTACTACCAGTGTAATGCTGCATGCTCGTGCTGGGCCAAACAACTTCTACTTGCTCTCGACCATCTCTCAGACCACGTTAATTCTCGAGTACAAGATACACAGTACCAAAAGAAATCACAAGAGAGAGACGACTCGACATGGCAGAGGAATTGCTGGATAAAGTGCGGGACGTGGTGGAAGGCCAGATCGTGAGAGCGACCAGATCCCTCTACGAGGCTGAAGATCGACTAACGGACGATTGAACTCTAGGACTTTGAGGGCCAGCGACGTGCCGAGGGCTATGCAACCCTCCTGCTCTCTCTCACAGGGGTATGGACCACCTCCCCGCAGCTCCAAACTGACCTCGTCACATGCTTACACCTCACAAGCTCATTGCCTTCAACGTTGGATACCTTTTGCAAGACATTGTCAAGTGCGTCTATGTTGGATTGGGCGGCACGCTATTGACGTTTCTCATCATCATTCCTCCTTGGCCGTTCTACAACAAGAATCCGGTCAAGTGGCTACCTATTGGATCTGCATTCAACACCGGCGGGACGTGATGGCCAGGCAATGGCTGCCACCCTGAGCAAGACTCCCGCGTTGATGATATCCTCTAAAACAGCATGTAGCTTAAATCCTCCCGAAATGATATACCGCACTCCTTCTTTGTCTCTGTACGATGTATGTGTCTTGTTCGTTCGTCTCGCGTGTCTGTGCTTCCATCTTGCTTCGTCTACCGGCCGTACTTTTGGAACTCCCAGTCTCTGTTGTCGAGGGGACAGACCGACCTGGCCTTTAGCCATCGTGAAATGCAGTGAAAGTGGAAAGCATGCTAGCGAAATATTAGTCTCGTGGTCGTCGAAAAAAAGGTTTATACAGGGACGGAGCGGGGCGCCTTACGTTGCAGATGCCCCAGGCAACGGTACACTCTTCGCTGGTGGCTGATGCTTGGTTTGCCTGGCACTCAATACCTGCTGGGCGTAAGTCAACTTGTTTCAAGTAGAGGAGGGGTGAAGGCGTACAGAGGTCCATGATATGATTACGGCAGATGGCACAGTTGTCGACGACGATATCCCAGGCCCAGAGCGCAACGGCGTTCCACTGTTGCTGTCAGTCCTTTGTGACTCCCCGCTGTATGAGGCTCGAGTAAAGGACAAACCTTTTTGACTTCAAACTTCTTCTTATCGCCTCCCTTGGCGCTGACGCCGTCGGCTTTCTTGGCCACTGGGGCGTCGCTCATCTCGACGTCGGCCATGTTGGAGAGCTCGTGATTTGTCGGTAAAGCTTGAGAGGCGACGACAGCTGTAACTCTGCGATGCTCGATGGTGATGGAAGATGAGGTGAAGCAAGAAGTAAAGGTCCAAGGTTTACTGTGCGTTGAAGTTGTATCGATGGCTGTTGTGCGGCTGGTTAGCCATCAAGGGACTGGACGATTTGAGGTATGGAGTCGCAGCCTAAATCCCACTAAGCAGTGACTGGAGGGACTTTGCTAGGGACCTTACCTCATCAACGCCCGTGAAGTGGTGAACTGACAAATCTGCGACATGCAGGTTCCCAGTACAAGCTCTGAGATTAGAAACAATTATCAGCTACGAGAAATTGAGAGCTCTTGGTCGAAATGACGAATTATTTTAAATGCAGCTGCGTCAATAATCAACACCAAGGAGACAAAGCACAGGGCGCTGTATTGAAGCTGGACCATGTACAGTAACTGCAACTGCAATCGCAATCGGCTGCTGTGCAGCGGGGCCTTGCGCTGTAGGATTGAATTTGGCGGCAGTTACTGCTGAGCGGCTCCAGAGGTTGCGCGCATGTACCGCTGGCAGGCTAATCGCAGATAATCGCAGATAATCGCACCATCTCAGGTACCTTGCGGGCACAAACTGGGCTTAGGCAGCGCTTTCTCCGCCCGATTGCTCCGGTCCGATGACGACAGGCTCAAGGCCCAAGGCAGAGCGCCTTTGTTGGTTGCCCGTGGAACGAGGCCCATGTTTGCTTTGAGCACGGCGATACGGTTTGGCGCAAAACAAAGCCAATAAATATTATGCTTTGGCAGCAGTATTTATTGCAGAGGCAGAGCAGGAGGCTGGTTTAGATTTACACTTTGCTTCTCTATCCAAGAATAAATATAACGTGTATTTATATTGCCCTCAGCCCCCAAGAACAAGGTAAGACTGCCTTCTCTCTCTGCCGCAGCGACTCGCCCTGCGCATGGCGAGACAAAAAGCAGCCGTGGCAGCATGTACTCACGCGGTAGCAGTACCCCTCCGACGCCGCAACTCCAGCCCCGAGCCACGGTCGCGCTACCTGCAGCTACCCGCCGCCGTCCTGTCCGCTGTTCTTTCAGCTGGCTGCAAATGCATGCGGGGCCCGGCCAGGTCAGGCATCGTCTGCGATTCTCAACCCTCAACCTTGCAGCAGCTGAGCTCCAGCCCGGCCGTCTTTGTTGCCTCCAGCCCATTCCACGGTCCGTCCGGCCACCCGAAATGCCCAGCCGGCGCCCAGCGCTGTCCCAGTCCCTAGACCTCGAGTTATAAGACTCGCCTGTGCCCTCTCGCCGGCCGCCTTTCGCAGCCGCCGCATTCGGAAATCGCCTAAGATACACGTGATTGTCGCTCCTCAGACCACCCAGCACCGACGACTTCCTCCAGCTGCCGCTCTCACCAACACCATCATCTCCCACCTTGTGCTCCTGTGCATCTTTACCCGCCATCCTTTGCAACTCTCCTCCCCAGCCCCAATGGAGGCCCAGCCATCACCGATCAAGGCCACGCCAGGCCGTCGCCGTCACCCCCGAGGCGGCAAGCCAGCGCCCCTCAAGGCCTATGCGTCAGAGAACGATGCTGCCTCCTACGCAGCCTCATCACAGCACCACCACCACAGGGCGCCGCAGACGCCCAAGAAGATCCTCTCCGCGTCGCCTGCGCCGGCGGAGCGCCAGAACAACCAGTCCAGCTCCAAGCCGCGCAACAATCGCAACAACAAGCCCAAGGGCAAAAGCGACGCTTCGCCGCCCAACTACCAGCTCAGCAACCACAACCAGTCTCCCTCTCGCACATCTCCACCAAAGGCAATCTCCAGCACGCCCTTTGCCGGCGCTACCTTCCACGCCTCGCCCGCCCCTGCGGATCTCCCAATCCCGAGCTTTCTCAAGTCAGCAAGCGACTCGCCAGTGGTCCGCCAGCCAAGGGGCTTCATCTCCCAGCCCTCTCCTCCGGCCACGGACTCGGAGCTGCCCACGCCACACAGGCCGGTGTCTGCCTCTCAGCACCGCGAATCGCCGCTCGACTTCATGTTCCGCGCTCATCGAGAGGAAAAGGCCCGCCAGGAACTCGACGGAACGCCCGTTGCCGCACCGCCGCTGGTTGGCGCCATGTCTCCCCCGCGCCACTTGGATGCTCCCCTCACGCCAACAGCGTCTGACCTTGGGCACAATCGTCGCATGTACAACCGACAGACGTACAATGGCAATGAAATCTACGAGCTGGATGGCACCGGAGGCCAGCCATTGGGCCCGCCATTCTCGACTCCCTACAACGATCGGATCCAAACTGCGCGCAACCATGCCTCCAACCCGCCTCCTGCTTTCGGGAACCCTCTACCCACTCCAGTTAGCAACGCCCCTAGTCAAGACCCGACGGAAGCCCTCAAGAGGTTTCTCTTTACTCCCCAGTCGGCCGCGTCAACGGCTCCGTCGTCTGTCGCCCACAACTCGCTGCCTTCTCGCCATGCCCCAGCCTATTCCAACAGCCAGACGGATGGCCCTGGGTACGAAAGCGCAGGCAGCATCCAAGCCATGGAAAATGATCTTCGACGAATCTTGAAGCTGGATCTGGCGGTCGACCGCCCGCCTACGGAACGCAGGCTCTTCACCCACTAGTTTCCGGCGACATCTTTACCTTGTTCTTTTTACATTACATATATCTTTCAGCAATGTTGCTCCATTTTCAATTTTTTTTGAAATGTGGCTTTGTGGCTCAACTGGGAAGCGGGATACAAAATGTCATCTTTTTTTCTTTTGCTATGTTTTTTCGCATCATCCTAGAGCGGGAATATGGGAACGGTTACAGGCCCCTGGGAACATACACTTGAACATACACTTGTGTGTATTTTTTTCTTCTTTCTTCTTTTTCTTTCTTCTCTTTTCTTTTCTGTTTTTCCTTTTTTCCTTTTTTTTTGTTATTTGTTTACTATGGAGCTTTTTATTTTCTTATCCCTCTTTCTCTTTTCCCCGCCTGGAGCTACGAATGCTCTACAGTCAGTTATATGGTCTCACTTGAGCCTTGATCGTCACGGCCGACCAAATACCCAACGCATCGCGCTGTTTTTGGCGGTGCTTGTTTGTTCAACGGCCAAGAGAGAAATCCATCATCCACGAGGCATTGGAGGCGCTACCGGAGAGACGGATCTGCACATCAGCTATGGGTTTTAACGGCACACTTGGTGGTATTTGACTCTGGAATGTTACAGAGAATCATGTAACTTTTGGCATCAGGACGAAAGATTTGCTTTGGGACTTGAGTATGTTTTGGTTTTCAGCGATACCCGAGGAGTCATGGTAGATTCCGGGCGGAATATTGATCAAGGCTTTGCTAATGCTACCAAAGGACACAACTTTTGGCGTGGCAGCGACTCTGGAGTTTTTTCTCTCACATTCTCTTTGCCTCACTCTTTCTCCCCGGTTTTGGAGTCTATATTTCCATGGTACACTTTTCATGGTACACGTGGGACTTTTTCCTTTTATCTTGACGGACGGTTTCACTGGAATGGGATGTGAAATGTACATGGCGGGCTTTGCCATTTACTTTTGAAAGTATCAGCTACTTTTTGTTTTATTCGTTTTTTAGTCTCCATCTCTTTCTCTCTCTCTTTCTTTTCTTTTTGTCTCTCGTTTAGAATTGATGACGGCTTGTATGCTTAGACTCGCTCTTCGTTTTGCATGACGTTATCAGCTCTGTCCTTTTTATTTGAGTTCCTGAGACTCATTTTCATGTTGCATGGCAGGACGGATTTGAGTGGGAATGATTATCTCATTTTCATATTACTTGATACGGTGGATTTGAGTGAGAATGGCTCTCTCATTTTCATATTGCTTGACACGGTGGATTTGAGTTGAGATTGGAGCGGACAAGTCATTCTTTCAATATCATCACCGGGAAAAGCTCTGTCCGAGCTTTTCCCACTACTTGTTTTGTTTTGTCTAAAGAAGGTATCCATGAGCGGTGATGTTGTTTATCAGCGATTATAGCGACCTTTTCTTTCTTTCCCTCCTTCTTTCCATTTTTAAACCGTCTTGTTTTTCCTCTTCTTTTCCTCTCGCGAAAAGAACTTGCCGTGAGAAAGCAGTAGGTACTTTGCGAAGAAGTCTTGGGCAAAGTCGTCGAATTTGGTGTAGTCTGCGCCGAGGCGGTAGGCGGCTGCGATGCCGCTGATGCAGGCGACTTCGTGCATGTTCTGTTTTGGGTGAGTGTTAGTTGATGTCGAGGATTCCGAGTTTTGTTTCTGTGATGTGTGTGTAGAGGGGAGCAGTTTTGAGGAGAAATGAAAAGGGGGGAATAGACAACATACCACCAACGTCCACGATCCGGCAAAAAAGGTATTGTTACGCCCTTGCAGAAACATCATACACGGCACGACACGCACGTAGTGCTGCCAGCGGTGGCCCAGCTGATGCCACCAGTTGCGCTTGATGATTTTGCTCTCGTCAATGCCGTCGACTGTCCAGAGATTGCGTTTCCGCTTGTCGAGGAAGATTGTCTGGTAGACTGGCTCGGGCTGGGCTTCTGGCGAAGTGCGAGACTTGTTGAACTGGTGCTGGTAGTTGCTGCAGTTGAAGGACATTTCAATCAGTCGCGGGTCATGCTGATACGTATAAGTGTAGTACATGGGGTTGAACTGCTCGGAGCTGTTTGAAGACGACGATGACGAAGAGGCTGATTCGCCCTTGGCGGCGGCAATCTGGTGGCACTGTTCTTCCGACTTTGGCTCTGCGCAAAGCTCGGATTTGAAGCGTGTTTCGTATTGCCGGTTGAAGTAGGCCGAGTCGGAGTGCGTGACGGTGAGGTCGTCGTAGAAGGCTGCGCTGCCGAGGACACGCTTCTCGCGGCCGGTTGCTGTGTCTGCGAGAATGCGGAGGGCGTCGTCTGCGAGAAGACACAGGACGAGGTGGTCGAAATGCTCGTTTGTGGTGTCGTCGGCGTTGTTGTTCTTGATGGCCAAGTCGACGCCCTTGCTGGACCGGGAGAGCACGCGATGGACCTCGGTGTCTGTCCTGATGTCAACGCCCTTTGCAACAAGACTATCCTTCCATTTGCCATAAAAGTCGTGCAGACAGTCAAACGAGTACATGGTCGGCTGGTTCGGCAGCAGCGTCTCCTTGTCGTAATCCCACAGCTTCATGTTGGCATCGTTGAACAGCCGCTCGACAATGGCCGCGGGCACATTCGCCGTCTGGTTGCCGGTGCCGAGGAACAGCGCAATGAGCGGATAGACCATCTTGTCGCCAAAGTCCTTGCTGAAGAAGAAGAGGCGCAGCATGACGGAGATGGGGGCCAGGCCGAGCAGGGGCATGGTCCATTTGATGACCTTGAGGAAGAGGCCGAAGCGCTTGATGTCCGAGGCGTGCGCGGCGACGAGCTTGCTGGGGAAGCAGTTTGTCCAGAAGCCCGAGGGGCCTTTGCCGAAGGAGACTTGGAGGTTGAGGGGGCGGGCGGGGGAGGCGTGCTGGTTGAAGAAGTTGAAGGTGTGTTTGAAGATCTGATGATGTGAGTTTCACTGACTGATACACATGTGTGTATATAGAAGAAGATGGAGAAGTCAAAGTACCTCTGATCCTCCCTGGACGCCATTATTCATCCATGATGCGCCAAACTTGCTCTCGTCGAGCGGGATGGACGTCGCTTGGCCTCCTACGACGCTGTTCTTTTCGAGGAGCGTGACTTTGAACTTGTCGGGGTGATTTGCCAGTGTAGCAGCACAGGACTGTTTGGAGGATACAGTTAGAACAAGATCAACTGAGAGAAAGAGAGATGGGACGAGAGGGGATTTCACGATTATTCAGGATTTGTTACGCATACCATGCCTGCTGCGCCACCCCCAACAATGACAATGTGCTGCTGACGCGGTTGACTGGGAGAAGCCATGATTGCACGTAGAGATGATATATATTAACAATTTGTTGATGGACCATGGTTTGTAGAAGAAGAGAAGAAGCATGAAAACCGCCATTTAAATGAAATTGATGCCCTGCTCGTGCACGTCATTGCTCGATGCGCATGTCGTCTTAGTGCCGCCATGATCGGAAACTCTGTCCAAAGGGAGGAGTCGCATAAACACCAGCTATACTAATAGTACACATTCATTTGCACCAATGTTTGATTCCATGACTTTTTACGACTTAGAAATCCTTTGGCATTATAAATAGACATGCCAACATGGTCTATTTTTCGCTAGTCGCATCGTCATCGAGCTGAGCTGACAACTGCTATATATAGATCTGATGCCCCCAGATCCGTGTAAGTCAGAAACATAAAGACCGCAGTCTCCGCCTCGCAGCGCATTCTTAACAAAAAGCCACACAACTAATCCATGCGTCATTGACATGCACAATAAATGAAACAAACATTCACTAATAAAAAAAATGAATGCTTCGACTGACTTTAATGCAGCTTCTTACTGCATTCCACTATGGCTGGATTCACTTCTGATCCACGTGACAGCGCGCCGAGCCTCACGAAACGGCACGTCAATGGCCCGATTCACGCATCGGCCCCCAACTTTCTGACCTGCTATTCCGCCCATATAGTCGAACGAACAACTACATGCCACGACAACAAATTAAACAAGATTCAACACAAATTGCACACCCCAAGAGTCGATTGATTGATACATTGATTGCGGCGAATATCCAGCCATGCCCGGCCCAGACGATCCCGCCGTCCACGACATCATCCAAGGCATCATTGAAGACGATGACGCCGAAGAGGAGGCTCTCAGCCTCGCCCTCGCCCTGGCTTTGCAGAACCATGCTTCCCTCATGCAGGCAGCGATTGAGATTTCCGACGACGACGACGACGCATCTTCCTCTGCAAGCTCGGAGAATGCAACGCAGCAGACGACACAGCAGACGACGCAGCCTTCATCGCAATCCCAGGCACGGTCACAGCCTTCATCGCAGCAGTCCCAGTTTGGCTCTGTCATGCTCGACCGCAGAGCCATGGAACAGGAGCGATTGAACCGATTAGCAAAGCGCCAACGACCTGCTACCGACGACGACGACGACGTGGTGGAGGTGCCTCCCCCGAAGAAACAAGCTACTAGAGCTCCCGCCGGCAGTACCAAAACAGCTGGAGCATCAGCATCAGCATCATCATCTACAGCCTCAACAAGCAGACCTGGACAAAGCAGCAGCAACGTACCATACCCAAATCCCACCGTCAAGCGAACCTGGGTCCGCGGCACTGCGCGACGGGGCGACGAAATCACCATCGAAGAGGTATTCCAAAAGGACAAGCTCGAGCTCGCCGTGCTTTCATCTTTCCAATGGGACGAGGAGTGGATGCTGTCCAAGCTGGATTACAGGAGGACCAAGATTCTGCTGCTGGCGTTTGCTAGGGATGGAGCTCAGGTACTGGAATTCATCCACGTTTTGCCTTGGCCTCTGTGTCATCTTCCTGGTCTGGAGATGTATCACACAGAGCTACTGCACACAGAGCAAAAGAGAAACAACTGACACATGTTTTGCCCAAAAACAGAAAACCCTCATGCAAGGCAACGTCCCCGCCAACATCAAGTTCTGCTTCCCTCCCATGCACGGCGTCGGCGCCATGCACTCCAAGCTACAGCTGCTCAAGTATCCGAGCCATCTCCGCGTCGTCATCCCAACGGGCAACCTTATGCCCTACGACTGGGGAGAGACTGGGGTCATGGAGAATGTGAGTAGTACGACTATCTCGTCATCTTCCCCTGGCCATGTTGAAAAAGACAGGGGGATGGCGATTTACACTTTTCTGTTCCCTTCGTCATCGTTGTTTTTCCCCCTTTTGGCTTTTTCTGCGCCTGTATTATTGCCCTTCCCCCCCACGAACTGAAGGGTCGCAATCTCCGTATCTCTAACACGTTCTTTTCTTCTTTTAGATGGTATTTCTAATCGATCTCCCAAGGCTGGACCATCCCGTCTCTACCCATGCCAGCGCCGCCCGTAGCCATGCGCCGACCAGGTTCTACACGGAACTAGTCTATTTCTTGCAGGCAACGGGCGTAGGCGAGAAAATGGTGGCCAGTCTCGCAAACTACGATTTCTCCAGGACGGCGGATCTCGCCTTTGTTCACACAATGTATGTTTCGCTACATCCTTCTCTTTTTGGAATTTGCTGTTGGGTCGGACCCCTCTCCGCCTCACTGGATGATAGACTGCAAACTGACTGAGTCGATTGCTTCTCTCATCTTTTAGACCCGGAAGCCACTCGGCAAAGAACGCAGAGCGCATAGGCATGTCATACTCTCCAGTCCAAGCCAAAACTGGCCCGAGTTGGAGCGAGGCTATGCCCGCAACCCGGGGAGATAGAGACGCTCATCTCATCGCTGACACTCAACCGCTTAGGATACGTCGGCCTGGCAGCTAGCGTAGCTGACCTCGGCCTAGCTTCTGTTGACCCTGTCGATGTCGACCTCGTGGCACGTTGCCCGTTGATTGTTGATCGACGCTGGAACCGAAAGCTAACGACTCGTTTTTAGTGCGCGTCGCTGGGAGCGTTGAACCAGCAGATGGTACGGGCCATCTACAACGCCTGTCGAGGTAACTAAAAGCCAACGGGGTTTTTCCTTGTTTCATTCTCTCCTTTGCTTTTGCCTGCTTACTCCTTTGGAGTGGGGAAGAACGACTCACTCATCGGTTCACTTACTCACATTATTACTCCCATCGTTTTTAGGTGATGACGGCACCGACGAATACCACAAACCGGCCAGCACTAGCTCCAGGTCGTCTGCCAAAAAGCCGACTACGACGACGACGACGGCGACGGTGACATCTCAGGAGCAGCTCCTGCGAGAACGATTCCGCATCTACTTCCCTACCGACCGTACAGTGTCGCAAAGCAGAGGCGGGCGCAATGTGAGTTGTGACCCCCGAGTCATTTACACGGCTCGGCCAACCAGTCCCGTTGTCATCTCCAATCACATCTCTTCTTTTTTCCCTTTCTACTCCAATCACCATTAGTTAACAAGACCAAAAAAATGACACGTACATGTATAGGCGGGAGGCACGATATGCGTGCAGACCAAGTGGTGGCGGGCACCCAACTTCCCCAGAGAGCTCGTGCGAGATGTGATATCCCGTGACCGAGTGCTCATGCACAGCAAGATGATATTCGTGCGTCGCCGGCCCGGAGATAGTGGCCAGGCGCAAGCGGTACGGCAGTCTCCAGGCTGGGCTTATGTAGGCAGTGCCAATCTTTCAGAGAGCGCCTGGTGAGTCTAGCAAGTTTTCTTCCCACCCACCATCCAACCGTCCATCCATCCACACACACACACAACACACGCCCCCCGTTTTGAACGGTTTGCTACTTTTCTCTGTCCTGACTTGAGACCGGTTCGAAATGATGAATTATTTTTTAGAGGCTGACTGTATCCCCGCCGCCGCCGTCGTCTGTTGACGGCCGCTTGACGGGGCTTGATTTCCATCTAGGGGCCGCATGTCCAAAGACAAGTCCACCGGAGGCTTCAAACTCGTCTGTCGCAACTGGGAGTGCGGAGTGATCATCCCGGTACCTGAGTCACAGCCAGTTGACAAGACAACTCTGCCCACTAGCGCCGACGACGACATGTCCATGTTTGCGGGGACGGTTCCTGTGCCTATGCAAGTTCCCGGGCCTGTGTACAGGTCAAGTGACCAGCCCTGGCTTTATATGGGAGCTTGAGGGTTGTATTTTGAGCGATTTGAAAGAAGGGGGGGCCCATGTACACTTTACATGCAGCATTTGCTGTCAACGCACCGAAAAGAGGGAAAAAAGATTGAAGATTACCAGGGGGGGCTATTACACGAGATGTTAGTTTTTGTTAACTTGATACTTAGATGGGCAAAAAAGCGAGAGAGAGAGAGAGAGATCCCTGGACCGAAAGAAAAACCACATGTCGTCAAGGACAAGGAACCGCACAACATGGTTGCTTGCAGATAGCGTGCGGCCTGCATGAGTGGGGTTTTTTAGAGTAAAAGCAAAAAGAGCAAACAAAACCTTGTGGAGATGAGCCGCTGATAGGCTATTGCGCAGGAGGTTTCCTCCCATCCATGGTTTGATCTGGATAACATGATACGACAAACGTGGGAGGGGCAAAAAAGGACAAGGATGTTTTGGTTTGGAATTATGGAGAGGCCGTCTCCACCGCGGCAACTGGTGCAAGGCTTCGACGGCTGGAGAATGGGGGGGATCCCGGCCTTTGAAAGGTGGTTCTTTGAAGCAAATACCGCATTGGATCCATGTTTGTTTCTTATTGCACTCGGCTGTTGTTTTTATTGCTGTCGTTACATGCGCAGGATTTGTACATGTGCGCGTGAGTGTATTTGGGAGCGCGCGCAACTTTAAAACAGAGCATCTTAGGTAGTAGCAATACTACGATGCCGGCGGTGCGGTAATAAATGGAAGAAAGCATGTTGTAATAGCTATTCCAGCAAAACTGCTAATGCAACTCTGCAGAACAATCACATACGTGACGACATTTTTTTGTTTTCGTTTGTCTGGTATATCAGAAATCGAGTTTCAGCTTCTTGTTATCTTTTGGTGGAAATAAGAGTGTGGTTCGTAAAAAAAAAACTGTTGGTTGAAGCACGGCACAGCTGACTTGAGGATTTTGGACACAAGCGGTTAGCATGGCCGCTGGATTTTGCAGCTTGGCAGCGATCGAACAGGCCATTTTTCCAGGCGAAGGAGTTGGTTTTCGAATGGCGTGCCAGGGCCAATCAAGAGTCGAGTCTCAAGCAGCTACAGCTATTACTAGCAGTAGCAGTAGCAGCAGTAGCAGCAGTAGCCGTAGCACCACAAGTTGGATGCGCCAACCACACCTTGCGAGAGACGGCCTCTCAGCCCAAGACGCAGCTTGCTCAAAGCAGCATTCATTTCAAAAAAACATATACATCAGACACATCAGAAAAAAAAAGAAGCCAGGACACCTCGCTTGGAGAGCCCGAGGAAAACTACGGCAGCTAGTGTTGTAGTGTATGACAGGACCTCGGCGGTTGAGTCAGACTTGGATGGCGGCAGGAGGACAAGACCAGATGGCGGCGAGAGGAGAGCAGAGATGGAATGGCTGATGGCAGCAATTCCCGACCAGTCCCCTCTCTGTGACGGAGGTAATGGCCCATTGAGGAACGCTGTCGTTGGTAAGATCGATATATGGCAGAATAATGATCTGTAACGTCAGCACTGAAAGATGGAGGGGAGGGGAAAGCACCGACACAACGTGCTAACATGCTTAAGTCATCACCGCTACGCCTAGTTGGAAGTGGTTCGATTCGCAGCAGCGCAGGGCTCCCATTCGTCGCTTGGCATCGGGGCTTTCGGCTGGGAGGGGGAATTGACCAAGGGGCACTCGATTTATTCTGGGGCCAGTTCTGGGGCCAGTTCTGGGACCAGCAGAGGGAGGGGTGTCTTGGGTGTGTGGGCAGCATGTCGTCGCTTGCAGCTTCTGGCACCCGCGGCCACGCTCACCAGCCAGACGGCCGTCCAAGCCGCCATGGTGTTTGCTCGACGGACAGTTTTGCGTCCTTGTTTCTTTCCTTGTTGAGAGATTGCGCTGCATGTGTCGCCCAACTTTTAGAGGGGACTAATTTCGTTTTGATGACTATCAATGACTATCAATCACCATGGCTTCTGTCAAATTCGACACCTTTGCTGGTGCTTGATTTGTCACGTAATGGCGAGAGAGGTGTGAGGATGAGTGGTGGTAGTGGTAGTGGCAGTGGTAGTGTAGCGTGTGTGATGTGATGCTGATATGATGCCTATGATATTAGATGAGAAAACGATCTGGGTGCTAGTTGATCTGGAGAGGCGATGCGACGAGATAATTGGAAGAAAATGAGTTGCAAAGTCCCCCCTCACTTTACCAAGCAATCAGCAGCTCCCGATTCGATTCTGACGTAGCTGCTCGCAGGGGACGAACATGAGGGGCAGGCGGCGAGCGATACGGCTCGAGCTCCGAGCCAGAATTGAGTTGCGGTACTGGCTGGCTCAAAGGAGCAGCTGAAGACAAGGTGAAACCGGAGGGCGCCGATGGAACAGGGGAGCGAAGGGCAGGGAAAAGAGACGAGTAGCAAAAGAAGGAATTAGTCGCGAGTGGTACCCCGTATAGCGTACCGTATAGCGGTCCGTCAAAGGGAAAACAAAAAGTGATGTGTAGGATAACGAGCCGTCAGTAAGTGAGGAGGGCGAGATGGTGGCAGAGAGGCTGCTACGGCGTTGATAAAAACGCCATCTTAGCTAAGGCGGTGGGTGCCTCAGGAGTCCAGAGGCGCGCCTTCTGATTGGCCGCACTGGCCTCATGCAGGCTCTCCGATTGGCTGCTGGCCCGTGCGTCAGCAGCAGGGGGCGTTTCTGGGGCGTTTCTGGGGCTTTTCCTCGCCCAAGCCACCGCTTGCAGACAATGTTGCGCCGAGTCAGCCGCGTTAGAGCTGCCAGGCATTCGAGCCGCAGGGCCTTAACTGCGTGTACGTCGGGGTACCTGGCCGTGGAGCGCTCTTTGCAGCTGATGGTGATGGCCTGAGGGAACGGGAATGCGCTCAGCCGATTTTGTCTGCGGCACACCCTCCATCTCCATCTCTTCACCAGCGCCATCTCCAGCGCCATCTCCAGCGCCATCTCCATCGCCATCGCCATCGCCATCGCGCACGCCCCCCAAATCAAACCAGTGGACCTTGCAGCAAGCAAAGAGAGCCAAACCCTGGCGATCCGCCTTTTGCGCTAGTGCGGCGAGCGATCTGGGCGCTCCACCACCCCCGAAATCGAGCTGCGCTGTGATGGAATGGGGTCGGCTCCGTTTGAGCACAGGATGATGGGTGATGGATGGTGGATGATGGATGAAGGAGGGGGCTGCTGCTTTGCCTTTTGTCAAAATCGGTCCCAAGTGCCGCTGGCCGGCTGAACGCCTCTGCGGTGCGGCGCCCGCCCTGCAGGCCATTTGCTGGATCCCCTCTTCAAAAACGGAGCCCACGGGTGGGTTTTCTGCGCGATTACAGCAGTACCTGCGTAGATGCAATGCAAGGGATGGTTAAGCGAGCAGCAGCATCATACTTAGCCACGCGGCCAAGAGCAGCATGTGATGCAGAATGCAACTGCAAGCGACTTGCGATAAGTGAGACGGCACCCCAAGCTCTCGTCTCGGTTTGTTGGCCGGTGATTGATGCGCACCCTTGATGCAGGTACGGGAGCACTGCTTCAAAGTCAAATGACACGCGCAGACAGGGTCCTGAGGCAAATGTAACTTTGGACTTTATTTTGCTCCGTCGTGCTGTGGTGCTGGCGTGGCTGGGCAAGCAAAGGCACACAGGCAAAAAACTGACTTTGCACCCAGGCACGGCACGTTAGACAGACAGCGAGCAAGGGAGGGAGGGGATCAAGCTTTGGACGTGCCTGAAATTCTAATGAGACAGCCGGACTGCTTGTTTCCACCCACACGCAGGACGAGGAGGGTGGCACAATCTCTGGACAGGCGGTAGAAGCGAGTTGGAATCGGAACACGATTAATCGCGGACATGTCGCGGCATGGCGAAGAAGAGGAGAAGAGGCGCTCGTCATGCGACTTGCAGTGGTTATCATGACGATAACCGCTGGGGCGAAGCAAGCCGTGTCCCGATCGACGGACCTCCGATTGAGCACCACAGCAAAGCGGGTTCAGTCGCGCCTCCTCGCGAGTCGAATCTCTCCAGCAGTTCCGTGTACCTGTTCGCGCTAGAGGCTTATTCCAGCCCTATCCCAACAGCTAGCGCCCTGGGGCTCATCGAGAGGGAGACGAGGCCGGCGGTTGGAGGCTGCAGGCTGCAGGTTGGAGCATGGTGGCGAAAGGCCGGCGGCGGCGGGGAACTTGGGCGGCGGATCGCCAAACTCGAGGAATGTCGCTGTCGTTGAAGCTGCATACTGTATGTAGTGGAGGTAAACGATTTGTCAAAAAATCAAGACAGCAAAGAAATCCCACGGCGTCTCGGCCCTCTGCGTCTCCCCTTTGCCAAGCTGGGCGCAGGTTGATTTAATCCACAATGACGGCGGCGGAGGATCCAAATGACACCGGAGAGATCTCTTGAAAAGGCATCCTATCTAGAGGCCGACAGGCAGGGACAGGGTTGGAGAAGCAAAATAAAGACAAGAAAAGAGGGGTCGCAGAGGGGAGGGGCACCAGAATCCAAACATCATTCATCACAAACGCGCTTGCCTTGCCCTGTAACGATTTGACAGCCCTGGGCAATACGAAGTACGGGCCTGTTTGCGTGCAGCGCCCGCGTCTGCGCAGGTACCTGGTACGTATCCGCCATCTTGCATGCCCAATCTTTTTCTGCAGCAAAAAGAGTACAAGAGTACGAACCAGCGTTGCATTGGCGAGGCTCCCCCCCCTGCGGCTCTCGTGCAGCAATAGATTAATTTAATTAATTTAGATTTCAATCTGCTTGTCGAAACGAAACGCTGCACTTAAGTAATCAATTAAGTAATCAAGGCTGGCAGAAACACACACACACCCGGGGCTGCCTTGGAATAGAAACTTGCCGGTATTTCCAGATTCCTGGTATCAAAAAACCCTAGCAAATTTTGACCAGGGGGGACTCGACTTTGGCAGCAATGCTACGCACGTACCTGGCCATTGTCACAAACCTTGAAGAAAGCCCTGTAAAAATAAAAAAAAATTATTACACTTACACATTTTTTTTTTTTTGGCAACCCGAGCAAGAAGAAAAAAAAAACATGGGGGGGGGAGGGGGACTCCATCGTAAGGGTCTCCATTTTTGAAGTGGTGGCTCAAGGGCAAAAAAAAGCATAAACCGACCCATCAGTGAGTGGAAGAAAGGAACGTATCACTTTGTGCCTTTTTTTTTTTTTTTGGTGTCTTGTTCAATCTATCCGACCCGAGTTCATTTTCTGTTGAAGAAAAAATCGGCAACGGCAGCACTAGAGACGGAGGTGTGATGCGGAGCCAATAAGCCCGCATATTGTTACTTGAGGTGGTGTTACGTATCTGGTCCTCGGAAGCCGTTCGGGAAACTTCATCCAGGGCTTTCCTTTGCTTTAGGTTTTTGGCTGTCAGGCAGCACTATAGGCATGGGAGAGGCGAGAAGGTTGAGGATGTGACAACTCCATAGGGCTTGGAGGGGTCCCGGAGCCAATAGGAGCGATGGAAGAAATCACCACTTATACGATTCCTACTGCAACATGCAAATGCTATCGGTCACTCACGCAGCATCAAGTCGATGGAATCCAAATGTTGGTTCATGTTCATGCGGTACAGCAAAACCTACGTACGTAGCCGTGCAGATCAACAGCCGCATCATATCACCACATGCACCCCATACTAGTCTGCAAGCCATGTTTTTTTTTTTTTTTCCCTTATGCAAGCCATCGATCCCAGGCATATCATATGCAAGCGATGCCATACCAATTTCCCCTTTTTACGCTATCCCAGCTCCCTCATCACCGCCAGTTCAGCACTGCCATCAACCCCAATAGCCTGCAAATGAGCGGGATTTCCTCTCGTCTGCTCCCCTCTTGGAACGGCCGCAAGCCCTCCCCCCCCCTCCTCCATCCGCGGAAACGGCTGGTTGCGGGAAGCAGCAAGTTCGGTGCCTCACCTTTTTTTTTAGGGCCGCTCCACTGGATTGGATCCATATCGGCCAGGCAAGGGTACACAGCGATTTTTTTTTTAGCGGCAAAAAAAGTAATAATAAGGATCAGATAGGTTGAAAGCGAGGATTGGAAAGAAAATGGACATGATGGAAAGCAATGGATTTAATGCAGCGTGGTAGAGAGAGAGAGAGTTAACTCCGTGGAAGCGGACGGTTTATGCCGGGGCTACTTACCCAGTGTGTACAAGTCGAGATCGGAAGTGGGCGTGTTTCACATCGATCTGCGGAGCTTGCTGAGTAAAAGAAGAGAAGAGAAAACAAGGGCAGGTTTAGCCTCGTGTGCTGTAATCAGGAAGAAACTGGACATATGCCATGTCTGTTCTGGTTCTACGTGTCTAACCTGTCAATTCTGTGTTGTTGGTCGACACACCTTATCGCTTTAGATAAGACGCACGGCTGAGTCGGCCGCTTGCGTTGGTCGAGAGCCGTCAACTAAGAAATAAAAAGCAAAGAAAACAAAAAGAAGCAAGGACAAGAAGAGATGGCGTCCTTTCCTCTTGTCTAGTCTTCTGCTTCTTTTCTCCCTCTCCTCTCCCTCCCTTCCTTTGTTCGAGCTCGTCTGGCATCGAGATTTGACACGGACTCGGGGGCCCGGACGCGGCGAATCACTTGCGGCTATGGCTTCCAAGCCGGAAGCAAAAAAAAAAAAGCGCGCCATGCCTTGCCAAGCGCCAGATACCAAGGCAGCCAGCCCACTGCGCTGGTAGTGCCGCAGCATTGTGAGAGAGTGCTAGAGCAGCAGTAGCAGCAGTAGCAGCAGTAGCAGCAGTAGCAGCAGTAGCAGCAGTAGCAGCAGTAGCAGCAGTAGCAGCAGTAGCAGCAGTAGCAGCAGTAGCAGCAGTAGCAGCAGTAGCAGCAGTAGCAGCAGTAGCAGCAGTAGCAGCGCGGCAGCATCAAGTCGCAGCCTTAGCAGCCTTAGCACCGCAGAGCTAGGACGGAACCAGCGTAGCAGCGCTCTGCCGTTGGCACCAGCATCCAACTAGACGGTTCCACCCCCTCCTTTTTGAGTGGCCCTCTGTGGCTCTCGCCGGTCCACTGGCCGCCCGCCGGACTGGCAGTAGCAGCAGCAGCAGTAGCAGAGACAAGAGGAGACGAGAGGAGACGAGATAGAGTCGGCCAGTCAAATGTCTTGCACGGCACTGACGGCCAGCGACGAGATACAAGGTACATGCAGCGGTCCAGTCCAAGTTGTCTGCATGCCCTGGCCACCACCCTCTTCTTTTCATTTGATGATTTTAATAAGAAAAAGTGGCGCGATGCAGGTGAGTGTGAGTGAAGTGTGTGTGCAAGATGGAGAGCAGATCTCTCTTACAGCAGGCCTCTGATACAGGCACGAGAGGGACGTATCAGAACGGCACTTGGGCTTGGGGGGGGGGGGGGAGGGGGGACGTGCGCAGCTGTGCCCTGTCGCTCGTTGCCTATTCCTGTAACGGGCTGCAAGGTGCGCATCTGCTCGTACAAGCGGGGAGAGCAGGGAAACGAGGTTGGAAACAAGGAAACAAAGACGTTGTAAAAAAATTAATGGCGAAAAAACAGACGATGGATATCAGGAGCTGCCGGTGTTGCCCAATGTCTACTACAAGCGGTACTTGGTGCTACCGCTTTGGTGTTAGCTGACAACAGGCTAGTATAGACGAGGCGATTTGATATAATTCCGTGCCCTTTTGTCTGTTTACAAGTCTCCGAATCCGACTTTAATGATGCGGGCCAAATTGGATGATCCATTCAGCCTTTCAACAATCCACAAACGCCATCGTCAAGATACGAAAAAAAAAAAAAAAAAAAAAAAAAAGGCAACAGGCGCCCAAGAGCCACAGAGAAAAGAGGCGGAGGAGCAAGACGAAGACGAGGAGCACAACCCAAGCCCGGCTAATAGCCAGATTGCTGGGAAAAAGGGCCCCCCCCTGACCCTGGCCTGTCGGCAGTTGCGGGACATGGGCCACAGCGCTGGACCCAAGCAGCAGCAACCATGAGCACCCCCTGTCCACAGCGCTAGCGGCCACCACACGCACCTCGCACACCCACTGAAGCTATGGAGTGCTTGGGGACAGGACAGAGAGAAGCTAAAGATGGAGGGCAGGACGGGTAGCGCGCGCAGAGACTCTTGGTCGAGGGTAGCTTGGGCGGCCATGTCATTGATGCAGAGTGTTGCTCTGCTTGGCCCTGCTGACGGGCATCAAATCAGCAAATTCGCGTTGACCTCGTAGTCCGTACTATCCTGGTGGAGCGTCCATCTGCTGTGCGGAGACGGGTGCCCAGCTGCTCGCGGCCAAGTATGCGCATACATCAATGTATACACGGCACTGTACGTACGTGCCAAGTCGTGCCGTCTCTCAACCATCATCCATCGTGCGTCGGCCGCATTTGGCTAGAGACTCTTGCGCTCTCCATTGTCGAATGCAATTCCCTTCTTTGCTGCCCCCCTTCTTTATTTACTTACTCTCGTATACATTGTGGTGCTGCGTGGCTGGTCTCGTCCTTTTGTTCAACGACGACTCTTGCTGGCGCTCTACTCTAATATATTCCTCGTGGCCTCAGCCTCCGTCTCCCTCATTTACACATATAACATCGCGGCCTGGCTCGCTTATCTCGACTCATCCCCACCGCGCACCCACCGACTGCTGCCGCCGCCACAGCAAATCAAGGCCCCGCGAAAAGCTCCCTCATCCTCGTCTCATTCTCCTCGCTGGCGGTGCTAGGCAAACGGCCGTCTGACCAGAGTACCGCCCCGAGTCCCCCTCGCTAATGCCGCCAGGTATCCGCCGCTGGCCCCGGTACCTGGCTCGCCATACACCCCCCGCTGGCCCCGGCCTGTACACCACCTCGGCGCCTGTACCTGCCTGCCATCCCCAGCGCCGCCCCAGGATACCTGCCTGCTACCGGGAGTCGCAGCGGTGGAGACGGGCCTGGAGCATCCACCCAAGCAGCCCAAGCCATTGATCTGGGCCAGGCCCATCTTCCGGCTTAGCACCAACGCCTGGTTGCTGGCTTGTACTTGCTTGTACTACATCCGCAGTCTCTGTCTCGACAGCGCCTCCAGCCGTAACAAGCTGGGCCGGTGCTTCTCACATGCGCGGCCCCCTCTCTGGTCGACTATAACATCTCGGCCTTGCCCCCCTTCAGACGTCCGTCCTGCTCCTCTGCACCTGCAATTGAGAAGCTGCTCGCCCACAGGGAGCTGCGTCGTCGACTAGACCTGCTTTGCTTTGCTTGTTCGCTCTTGTCGATACTCCCGGCTGGCCTCCTCCCGGCTTCCTCCTGGCTTCCTCCCGCCTCTGCAGGTCACTCACTCTGACTGACTCTCTCGACTCTGTCTCCCGCCCTCTCTTCCCGCTGTCTCTTGCTGCCAGTACACACATCCCACCCACTCTCGCTTTGGTCTTGCCTGACAACAACAAGAACAACGCCAACCAATCCGTCTCCGCCCAGTTTGCTCTCTACACATACACTTTCGAGAAATCGAAACAGAAAGGCAAAAGCCAAAAAAAAAAAGCCAAAAAAAAAAAGCCAAAAAAAAAAAAAAAAAAACACCAGAAAACCCAAAACCCAAAACACACCCCCAACAAGGTTCCGGCTTACATGGACGAAATCACCATGTCGGGAGCCATGGCACCTCTCGCGCCTACCTTCATTGGCCACATAGCCACCACTATGGACGCGGCCGTCCTCTTTGAGGCCTGTCTGCAGGGCCGCATCCCTCACGTTCCGCGCCGCCCCCATGACCGCGAACGCCAGGACCTGATTGCCAGCGGAAACGTCTTCATCTACGAAGAGCATGCGTCTGGCATCAAGCGGTGGACCGACGGCGTCTCGTGGAGCCCCAGCCGCATCCTCGGCAACTTCCTCATCTACCGCGAGCTGGAGAAGCCGTTTCCTCCCGGCGAGAAGAAGCGGGCGCTCAAGAAGAAGAAGCCCAGCAACGGCGGCATCAACAGGCCCGAACGCACAAACAGCCAGAGCCACGCCCAGCACCACAGCGCGGCCTTTGCAGCAGCCAGCAACGCAGCCATTGGCAACACCATGGGCTCGGCTCAGCCGTCCGATCCAGAGCGATCGCTGGTGGGCTCGCTGGTGGACTCGTACCCCTTCAAGCAGGGCGGCCTGATCAAGAAGACAATCAGCATCCACTTCCAGGGCGTGCCGCACCATCTGGTCAGCTACTACAGCCTGGATGATGCCCTCAACGGATCCATGAACACGCCATCCAACGACGTTCGCTTCTCCGACATCCGCCCTCGCACCGAGCTGCTCATGAACCAGAACTTCCGCAACCCGCTCGATGAGACGGCCATCTTTGCCCACGAGGACCGCGGCCTGATCCCCATGCAAATGGCCGGCTTCTACTCCATGCAGGCTCCCGTCCAGGATCTCAGCCCTCACGGCGTCGTCATGAGCCAGTCCATGGCCGTGGCCAGCATGCCCAGCCAGCCGCCCATGCACGCGGGCTATCCCGTGGGACTCGAGTACGACTTCTTTGCCCAGCAACAAGCTCCGCACCCTCACCAGGCGCTGCCGCATCTTGCTGATGCCCATCACCATCACCACGATGCTCACCAGCAGGCTCAGCTGCAACAGCCGCACCACCACCACTACCAGTACGACTCGCAGCAGCCGCACCATCACCACCATCACCACCACCACCTGCAGCATCAACTGCAGCCGCAGGCCCATCACCACGAGGACCACCAGCGCGAGGACTACCAGCGTGATGAGTACCAGCGCCACTTTTCCGTCGGAGAGATGCAGCAGCCATTGCAGAGCCAGCAGCAGCACCCATCACCGCCGGAGCAAGCCGGACAGGAGCCACAGCAACCCCAGCAGCAGGCTCAGCAGCAGCCGCCCTCTGCCGGATATGCGCCTCAGGGCGGTGCATGGACCTATGATCCCAATGATTACTACTTTAGCTAAACACTACCACCTGTCTGGGCACCAAAAAGCCCACATGTCTTGTTTCGCTAGCGGGCCTTTGTCGATGCTGCTCTTGGTATTTCTATTCTCCTCTTGTCGTTTTATTATCACTACAATTGCAAACTGCAATTGCAGCTGCTTCAATTACAACTACTTCAACTACAACTGCTTCAACCGCATTTATATGCGTCTCACAACCGGGGCCCCGGGATGGGGTCATACACGGGTCTGGCGCTGGTGTTTTACTACTGGTGGTTTACTGCTTCTAATTTTCAGTCTCTTGTATCTTTTTTTTTTCTGCCCTTGCGATTATAATATGGGATATACTTTTGGAATCTTGGCATGGCTGGGCGTCCGGCTTTGCATCGTTGTTTTTCTGCTCTTGTTTCTTTCTGCCCCCCCCCTCCCCCTTTCCTTGTGCTTTGATTTCCTATGTCTCGGCTGTTCTTCGCTGTAATATTTGAGTTATTGCATGGCTCGTCCATATGGGTGCTATACGGAGTATACGGAGTATACGGGCAGTGGTGCCTTGCCTTGGCTTCGACCGATACTCAAAGCCTTGGCTGCATGCACAACGTCACAACGTCGCCCCGTTGCAATTTTGATTTTGGGCTTTTGATTTTGGGATGGACTTGTCTCGTCTAGGGCGTTGTTTCAACAAAAAAAGTACATGTGGGAATGGCTTTCTGTGGGCTTATTAGCCCTTGTAGTACCTAGCTAGACACTTTTGACTCTTCTAATTTGTTATTAATACAATGGATATTTGCTATCTGCATGCCTGCCTGCTCTTTGTGATGTTGATGATTGCGATGATTGCGAGTGTTGTGGTTTTCCGCTTACACCAGCAAGTGACGTTGTTTCAAGATTCAAGCCTGGCCTTGGAGCGTTTTAGCCTAGAGAGGGGCCGCCGATCAGCAGATCCGATGCCTGCTCGTGATGCAATCCTACATGGATGTACCTGTTTGCTGCATCGCGCATACTAAAGCTACTTGCTGGCCTAGCAGGGGGGGAGCTGGAAATAAGATGAATGATTGCGTCACACGCGGCCGAGCTCCAAACAGGCCATTTCATCCATCTTGTAAGCTTCTGTATTTTGTAAATCAATTGCCCAGGGCCAATGATTGAGTCCCGTGGTTTTTGGTACTGTGCATGTGGTTCCTTGTTTTGTTAATTATAAGCGCCCAGCGCCTGTATAAATGCCTTTTGGCGCCGCCTTTGAAGATTACTTTTTATTCTTGTCCTTTTTTTCACCTGTTTTCAACCCGACAGTTTTGTTTTATCCATTTCATGTGGAGATTTCGGCGTTGAAGCTTTGGAGGCGAAAGACTTATCTTTTATTGGTTTGAGTTTCGGCCTTCAAGGTGCAGGGAATGAAGAGTTTTGTCACATAAATACTGCTTCTTCCGCCGTGTCTGTTCAATTTGATTCTTGCTTCCTTTCTTTCTCTCTGCCTTTTTTTTTTTTTTTTTTGGAGGTTTTGAGCTGCTCTGCTCTGCTCTGCAGGGGGGACGACTAGCGGCAAAAGTGCCCCTCCAAAAGAGCTAGAGTGGGGTTTTTTCCTTTGCTTGCCCCCAACAACTCCATCTTTTTTTTTCCAACTTCACTTCTTTTTTCCTCTTTCTTCTCCACCAGATTTCGGGAATTTTGCATCCCACGATGCTGCTATTTCTTCACCGGCGTGAGTTGCCTAATCTGTCCTGATGGCGCAAGACGAGCCTCGTATATTTGCCTTTTTTTTTTTTTTTTATAATAACTCGAAGCTGACGCGTATTTTGCTCCGAGTGTAGCTTTCGAGGCGCTGGCGACGAAGCTTGCGGCCTCTCCTGACGAACGTGAGTCGAATCGAGCGATACACTGAGTGGTTTCTTTTTTTTTTTTTTATACTTTTTCTTCTTCTAACTGAGCTTGCGCCTCCATCTACAACAGTCAAGTTGACGTTTTCGTTCCTGCTCTCGTATCCGCTGGCTGGAATCCTCAAGCGCCTGCCGGACTCGAAGCCACTCCGGAAGAATATCTTCATCATCCTGTAAATTGCGCCGCCACAAGAGAAGCTTTTTGCTTTTCGCTCGAGTATCTTGTTGTATCTTCCTGGCTGACTCATGTACCAAAACCTTGTTGCCGGAACATGTAGTGTCTCGCTCTTTTACCTTGTTGGTCTGTTCGATTTGTGGGATGGCATCGTCACGCTCCTTATCAGCGCTGGCGGTACCTACGCCATTGCAAAGTACCTACGCGCCAGCCCGTATATGCCGTGGATCGGCTTCGTCTTCGTTATGGGGCACATGTCCGTCAGCCACATCTACCGCCAGATGAACAACGACCCGTCCGTCGTCGATATTACAGGGGCCCAGATGGTTCTCGTCATGAAGCTTTCGGCCTTTTGCTGGAACGTGGCCGATGGCCAGCTTCCGGCCGACCAGCTAACCGAGTCCCAGCAGAGCCGGGCCTTGAAAGAGCTGCCCCCGCTGGTCGATTACGCGGCCTACGTGCTCTTTTTTCCCTCACTGTTTGCAGGCCCAGCTTTCGATTACGCCGAGTACCACCGATGGATCGATACGTCCATGTTCGATGTCCCCGCCCAGGTCGACCCAGCGAAGAAGCCTCCCGTGCGTAAGAAGCGCAAGATTCCTCGCAGCGGCACGCCAGCCACCATCAAGGCCGTGACGGGACTGGTCTGGATCGGTCTCTTTGTTGCGCTCTCGGGCAGATACAGCCCTACGCTCGTCCCCACCGAAGCCTTTGCCGAGCGGTCGTTTCTGCAGCGTATCTGGTACATCCATATGGCCAGCTTGGTGACCCGCTTCAAGTTTTATGGCGTATGGGCGCTGACCGAAGGCGCGTGCATTCTCACCGGCCTAGGCTACAACGGCGTCGACCCCGTCACCGGCAAGGTTTCGTGGAATCGGCTCCAAAACGTCGATGCGTGGAGCGTTGAGTTTGCGCAGAATCCGCGCGCATATCTGGCTGGGTGGAACATGAATACGAATAACTGGCTGCGCAACTACATCTACCTGCGGGTCACGCCTCGGGGCAAGAAGCCTGGATTCCGAGCGAGCATGACGACGTTTGTGACGAGCGCTTTCTGGCATGGCTTTTACCCGGGCTATTATCTTAGCTTTATGCTGGCTAGCCTGATTCAAACATCTGCCAAGAGTAGGAAATCCCAATTATGCGCACCTTTTTTTTTTACTTTACAGGGAGTATGTCTTTTTGCGGGATCCTGGTTTACTAACCAACTACAGATTTCCGCCGCCACGTCCGCCCCTTTTTCCTCGATCCCATCACCGGCGGTCCGACTCCCAAGAAGAAGTACTACGATTTTGCCACCTATCTCGTCACCCAGCTCACTTTTACCTTTACGACGCTGCCCTTTTTGATTCTCGGCTTCGGCGACTCCCTCCGCGCGTGGGCCAATGTAAACTTTTACGCGTTTGCCTGGACCCTTGCCGCCATGGCCTTTTTTGCATCGCCCGGAAAGGTGGTGCTGAAGAAGAAGCTCGAGGCTCGCCAGGGCAAGGCTAGTGCCCGCCTGAAGCGGTCCATTAGCAGCGAGAGTTTGTCCGGAAAGGAGCCCATTTTGGGTATTTCGAAGGAGCCGGATGAGGATCTTGCGGAGGCTGTGAGCGAGTTTAGGGCGGAGATTGCGGCGTTGCAGAAGAGGAAGACGCGGTAAATGGAGCAGGGTGACGTTTTTTTGGATAATGTGCGGTATGGAGTAATTGATGAGTTATGAATTATAGACTTGGGTTGTATGTAGATGGAAGCTGGCATGGTTTATCATTGATGGCAGAGTTTTGAATGAATGGCATTATGATATAATGATGATCATTTACGGCAGTGTTTTTTCCTGAGCGGCCATTTTATATCCAACGAATTTACTAGCAGTAGTTTGTTAGCTGGCATTTTTGATATCTGCATCTTTCTTGTTACTGATTTTACTTGTTCATCCACCAGCATGTTACTTCAAAATGAGTATCATGTAGGGAAAAGTTATCCAACACCTCGGTTAATCAAGGCACTCAGCTATAGATTAATAAAGCAGCTGGTTTATAGATGAAATATCCGCGATTGTTTTAACTTTTGTTACCTCGCAGGAGTAGTCGGTAGTCTACGGTATAGTCGGGGTGCTGGATAATAGAATTTGGGTGCTGGATAACGTTTCTCTACTTGTATGATGTATGATGAGCATTTATATATGCCTTTTTGACGAATTTTTTTTTCTTTTTTTTGACAGTAGTAGGTTATTACGTCTGCTTCTTTGTCTTCCGTTAACATGTGGCTTGGAATGGCATTGTATAATAAGCTCATTTTTTTTTTTCATCTGCCTCTTTCTAGCATAAACACCCAACTTCAACTTCATCCATCAAGATATACTTCCAAATGACGTTAAAAATGAGTTTTAACATTTTCATCTGCCGGTTTGGTGATTCCACGTCTTTCTAACACAAGTAACCACTTCCACTTCTTCCATCAGCATGTGCTTCCAATTGGTATTATAATATATTTAACAAGTGTATTGGTTTATTCATCTGCGTTTTGAAAATCTACGTCAAACACTGCTCCTCCATCCATCATGCCTTTCAACATGAATCGAAAATCCATTCACATCCCAAAAGTGTTCTGCCACGCCATTTCCAACAGAAAAATACAAAGTACATGATAGTTTGTATGTTGCATGTTACATAATATGGCATCTGAACAACGTTCCTCGCATCATGTATACTCATCTCATACTCCATGAAATAAGTAATAAAAAGTAAAAATAAAAAATATCCATCAGAATGAAAATTGTTGTATAATAGTAATATTGAGTTTTTTGAGAAGAAGAAAAAGAAACGTCAAGATAAAGCTTCTTTTCTTTCTTTTGCGTTACGCATAAGTCGTCTGTATGTGTGTATATGCTGTTCCAAAGAATCAAGAATCGTAACCTCGTGAGAGTTGGTAGAATGAAGATGAAAGTTTTTTAAAAAAAAAAAAGATTTCCCCAGAAATTAGCGCCGGAAGAGCAAAAGAAAGTCGTCATCCGTCAAAAATAAGTAAATGCTGAAAATGCTCCCGAAAAGAATAAATGTCGCTTTTCCCCACAAGTCAAGTTTGAGAAATGTCCAACTTGACACTGAAACTCCAGTCAAAAGAAGCAAACGCCCGTGTCCGTTTTCTATGAATGCCATTGCTGCTTGACGCCGACGACAATGAGCACGATGCATAGGCAGAGGATGAGGGCTCCGATGATGGACATGCGCCGGTTGACGCTTCTCCACCACTTGACCCTGTCGTGGAGACGCTCCGCATTGATGTACTGCATCTGGGTGCGTGCCTCGGTCCGAAGATCGATGTTGCCGTCGCTGAATCGTCGCTCCGTCATGTCTCGCTCAGGCCGTGCAGGGACTGGCAAAACAGCACCAACCATCCACACTAAAGTTTTCACATGTTAGCAGACGAGCAGACATACTGCAGATGGCATTGTAGCTACTCACCAAGTGGACAAAGAAACCCAAAGACAAACAGCACCAGCTGCAGGTTTCGTTGCCAGGCTGAGAATTCAGCAGAGTCGGCCAGGGATGGCGGGGACCAAAGGCTGTATCGGCTGGCCCGTCTGTCCTGTCGCAAATGCGGCGACCAGATGCTGGATGTCTGCTTCTTGATGCTGCGAGCTACAGCGGCAAAAGGGTGTGGCCTGATTTCCATTGAGTCGGATTCGCTCCTTCGTCGCTTGGGTTCGTGGGGGCGGCGACGGGGGTTGTTGATGTCAGTCGTGTACTGCTCATAGCTGGGGGAGCGGCTGTGAGATCCGTCGCGGTGCAGGCTGCTGGTGAATTGCGAAAACATGGACTCGTTGGATGGCTTTGGTGCCAGCCAGCGTCGTTCCCCACTACCGTAGTAGACCCTGTTGACAATGTCAGTACATCATGTTTCAAATTGATTTTGCCCTAATGCTTACCTCGCCCATGCCGGAATGGCAGCCGTGTAGCTGATGCTGTTACCACCAGAGCTGCTCGTTGAACGGCTAGAACGGTGGCCCTTTTCCCCGGAATTGTTGGAGAGAAAACTCAGACCTCGGGCGCGGGAGGGAAGACGGTTCATGCTCTCCAGGTCTGCAAGACCATCACCATCTTCGTCATGGTCACGGACCAAGCGGGCACTGGAAAACTGCGCGTCTCTGCCATAGACCGGCTGAGGTCGGTCCACGGATCCGTTCCGAGAATGAGAGACCATGGCCAGAGCCTCCTCCATACCCAAGGTGGAGAAGCTCCCTGTCTGTCTCAGCTGGTTCAGCGTGAAGACGCTACTGCGAGCATTGCCAGACATCCGGGAGTGGGAACGAGTTGATGGGTCGGTCCGCTCGCTCTCTGAGAGCACCGTGGACAAGGCAGTGCCCCACGGCTGCGTTCGTGAATTAGCTCGGCGATGGATGGCTTGGCCGGAGCCCGAAGGAGTCGCCGCGTGCCGTCCATCGAGGTCAACCTGTGTAGACACTCCCACTGCTGCATTGCGCTCAGCATCCTGGTTGGCTCTAGTGGGGGAGGTGGAAATCGAATTTAAAGATCCGGTCCTCAGGTGCTCCAGCGATCTGGAGCTCATGACAGTCGAGCTGGAGTGGAGGCGATGTGATCTTACGGGCCGTAAAGGGGCCACCACCATGCTATCTCTCGAGTATTCGGACGGTGCATGAGAGATGTCTGTCCCGTCAGACATGGTGCGTCGATGTCCGTGGACTACATAGTTGGGGTTTCTCTGCTGCTCCGAATCCGAGTGAGAGTTGGAGTTGGAGTTGGAGTGAGTGTGAGAGTGGCCTCGAGATTGACCAGACGTTGACGCGCCGTCATAAACGACGTAATTGGGACCACCGGGGAAAAGCGAAGCATTGTCAAAGTCCGATGTCACTGAATTGCGAACAGTATCCGGGGCAGAAGAGCTCTGCGCATAGGTCTTGTAGTTTGTGCGATCTGACACCGTATTGCCAGTCTTGTTGGACTGAAAGGAGGCCTTGGTTGTGAGGGTAAAGGCAGAAATGGGCTCCTGTGGCGCCACAGCTTTTGGAGAAGAGGGCTCTTCTTCAAGAAATGAGGGTAGCCGGGTTGGCGTAGGGAGGTCACTCGATTCGCTGACGTCTCTCTGAACCTTGCGCAGCCCGCCCACCAATTTATAGTTCCAAGGTGAGGCGGCAGTAAATTCTTCTTCGGGGATGGATGGAGTAAACGAGGCGGTCGCAGATGTGCTATCATCCTCGGCCAGGGTCGTCAAGGGCGAGCTGGGACGATCCTCACTGAAGATGCTCGACGTTTGCTGCGCATAAGAGCCGCTGGAAGCGACAGAGTAATGCGGCGTTTGGTCAGTCTGAGTAGATACTACAGAGTGCTGCGTCGTCGTATCGGTGCGAGTAGATATCACAGAGTGATGGGTTGTCGTGTCGGTGCGAGCAGAAACAACAGAGTCGGTGCGAGGTCTGGTGGGCTTGAGGGGAACGAGGGAGAAGGTCTTGTTGTCAGAATTCAGGTTGATGTCGACGAATCGCTTGGTGCGACGCTGGGCAGGGGCTGTAGGCTGGATTTCAGGAGACGGCGGAGCTGTCAAGGTCCTCAATGACTGCGACACCACAGATTGAGATCGAAATCTGCCACGCTGCGGCTCGGTAGGAGAAAAATCGGACAATTCACTGGGAGAGGCGATGGCAGGGACATCGCCTAACTCGACGCTGGTATTCCGGCGTCTGATTGAGGGACGAGACGGGCCGGCAATGGTCGAGCCCGAGGACGGCGGGCTCGTCGCTATCGGCGATTCATCTGCGGAGTGGATTTCAACATTGTCGCGAGACGACTCGGCGAGGGCCGCAAGATTCAGGCTGGATCCGCCGCTGAGTCGAGTCGGCGTGTAGGGCACAAGGCGAATCTGAAGCCTGTCGCCCTGGGAGGATCGCTCGGAGTCGGGCGAATCGGGCATCCTCTGCTCACTCAGCAGGAGAGCTGCCTCATAGCATTTGCCCAACTAATCGATTCGAAAAGTGACGACGGGAGGTTTTGGAATGTCCAGGACGCGAGCTGCCCCAGTCTATACGAGCGTATTAGTCGTTTGGTGCGGAGGTGGCAATGCCGTAAATTCGCTGAGCGAAGGGTATTATTTCCGGCAGTTTCGATTCGTCGCAGCGGCCATGCCAATCCGGTCCTCACACACAACAGAAACAAGAATTGAATGGTCAAAAATAAAGAGGGGGAGAAGAATCAGAAAAATGATTGGTCGCGCAAGTATCGGCGGCTAGAATTTTCGCAAAAAAAAGGCAGATGAAATAAAACCAATGAGAATCGAAGTGGAAGGTTGGTAACCAGAAAAATTAGCAGCGCGGTGGGAGTCGCAAAGAGTCGCAATGGGTCGCAGACGAGCCGCCAAGGAGAATTTAAAGAATGGAAGAATTAAATATTAAAAATAGGACGGTAGAATCGAGCCCAATTAAGATTCGATTCGTCAAGCCTCCAGACGTTAACCGCGAGAGCAGAGTCAGCCGCGAGATGCAAGCCAAGCGCGCGTGCGTAGTCCGAGGATGGGCAAGGCAAAAAAGAGCGTACGGGTCGGCGATTCGAGAAGGACAGACAAAAAGAGTGTGTGGAGGTGGAAGCGAAAAGAGAAGAGCTTTTGCCCGGCTGTGCGATGCGGCCCGGGGGGAGGCCCATGAAAAGGGGAGCGGCCGTGAAGCGGTGCCTTTGGCGTGGCCTGGCTGCAGCGCCGGGGTGTTTTGCTGGACTCCGTAAATGGATGCTGGCCCGCCTGCGCTAGGAGGCGGTGATACATTCATGCAAGGCCGGAGCCATGGCGAGACAATGGCGAAGGGAGCATGAAGAGCGTCTAGAAGATGATGAAGTTGGTGATGGGTTTTGATACAGCAAAGCAAAGGCGGTATGGAGTTGATTGGGCGTGACTGCCTCTTTCTGCAATGACGGGCAGAATTAAGGCGGTACCTCTGCTCCCGGCACCAGCTGCAGCAGATTGAAGTACCGCAGTAATTGAGCGAGCGAGTGACTTGCTGACCGCCTACAAAGTCTACGAAAGGATGCTGTCTATCTCATCAATCTTCTCTTCTCTCCTGTCTCTGTCCCTTGCATACAGCTAACTTTTGGTAAACCACAACAGCAGCAACAACAACAACAACAACAACAACAACAACAACAACAGCAGCAGCAAGAATCTGGCGATAACTGATCAAGGCCAAAACAGAAGAAATCTCCAGTGGAACTAGCGGTTCAATGCCCCGGTTACTAGCTGCAGGGGGCCTGTTTACGTCCACTGAATAGAGCGCGCAGAACCACCCAAGCAGACAAGCGCCGCTACTGCTGCAGGGCGCTGCAGGTCCCAGGACCGGGCTGACGATGCGATGCAAATGCAAAGACGACGTGCTTCAGCGAGAGACAAAACAAGCAGAAAAACAAGAGGTCGGACGGTCGAGGTGAGGCCCTCGCCGTGGACGGTCAAAGAACTGGCTGGCGGGTTAACCAGATCTGTCTCTAGCATCGTCTAGCATTGAACTTTCCGGCAAGCTACGACATGTAAGATTTCAGGCACCAAAGTGGCTCCGGCTCGATGGCCTCTAGCGGAACTGTGCCTGGGATATCCGTGCCAGACTAGCAAACTTACAGCATTGACTACGGGCTCGGTTTGATTGAGCTGATGGAGCTGGCGTCCCGGCGACGAAGCAATCTTGAAGCCCGATCCTCAGAAGCTGGGACAGCTTGAGCTCGGATCAATCGCGATTCCAAGATTTGTGCCTGTTCCGTCGTCTCGTTGCGGTATTAATTTGCGGAGCTGCAGGTCCGTTGCGTTGCGCTGGGTGATTGAGCAAGCGAGTGGCGCAGGCGCTTTGCCCTTGCATATGCTGAAATTACCGACGTCCGTTTCTGGCTGCTGATATGATGTGCGCCTGCAAAAGCGAGCCCTGGTGCATATGCACGGAGATGCACAGAGATGCACAGATACAAACAAGTCGAGCCCCAGGACGCTCTGCGCGCTGCTGTGCTCTGCGCTGTTTGGTCCTGTCGCGCCGGACCGTGCAGAGGCGCCCGTCAATGGGAAGCGCTCAGTCCAACAGCATGTGGCTCCAAAGATAGCATGCAGGAGATGATACCAGCTCGTGGCACATGGATGGAATGTTGTCGAGGCAGAACAAATGAGCGAGCGGATGGTGCGCAGCCGATTGGCAAATACTGGACGGGACAAAGCGCGGGTCCTATGCACGAACACATGGACGCCTCAGATTGGATGCTGCGGAGGACGCTAGCCGGAGAACATCTGCCAGCTCTCGGAAGGATGCGACGTGAAACGACGTCCATCATGGTGGTGGTGTAGCAAGTTCTATTCCTGGGAACCATGTGCACATACAGCGATTCATCCACCTGAAGCAATCCGGAGGACGCGGAGCGATAGGCCATAGTCTGCGGCTCCATTATAGCGTCGATTACGGTTCATTTCGTTCTTCACGTCATTGCGCAAGTCTGAGTTGGTACTGTCCTCGTATACAGTCCCGAGCTGACCAAACACCCCTGGCTCACATAAACGTTGATTGATACGGAGCATCTCTTACGGAGAACCCGAGTCCGCTCAGTACCCACTGCAGGACTGACTAATAGACGGAGCTGTGCCAGGACCAGGGCAGAAGGCTGGGGAAACTCTCTCAGCCTGGTGCAAAGAGACGAACCAATTGGCGAATGGCAGAAGAGCTGCATTAGAGTTTGGCTGCCAAAAAAAAGACACCAGCATGGGACGGGCGTTTGGGATCGAGTGGCCTTGACTTTAGCACATGGCACTCGCATTGAGTTCAATTAGAGCCGCAGTAGCATGAAGAGCGTTGAGGTTGCATGATATGGAGCAGGTACCTTTTACTAGAGTCGGCCTGGCCTAGGACAGTTCCGATCGCGTGTTAGTGCCATCTCTTGATTCAATGCTTCCATTGTCTTTTAGCTCAAGACTCAAGACTCCAAGATGCCATTATCTCAATGTAGAATGCCCTTTTTTATTTACTACTAGTAGTTTTTTATCACCACATCCAACAGCCTTTTGCGCGTTAATTTTCGCAATGCTCGCCGCAATAAATAGCTGGGGCTGCCATTGTAATTCTCCTCCCGCTTACATAGTAGGGTAGCTAGATTTTATCCCCCTCTTTTTTTTCCATGCAGCTTCATTCGCTCTTAAGCTCTCCCTCCTTGGCGACTGGCGCGCGGCTGTTTTGGCTAAACGCTCTTCCTGCCGTGGCCTGTATATCGTCTCGCATCCACACGGCTTCTCTGCACCTGGGAGATACGCTCCGTGTCACCGTGAAGAAGCTGCAGTTGTGGCTGTCTGCTGCTTCAGCCCGCATCGTGCATAGTGCTACCACATTTGCGGTGACGCCCTCCGCCAACCATCACCATCAGAGTGAGATGGAGCATCCTCTCACCGAGGCCCAGGCCTTTGGTCTCCTGGTAAGCCCCAATAGTCTGAAACTCTGTTTCTGGTTCTCTATCAAAACATGATGCATCAGATAAAACGAGACGGAACGCAACGCCGCTGATCAATCTATTTATGCTTTTTGCTCTTGCTCCAAAATCAACAGACGGCGTACACCTTTGTCTACGTCCTCCCGCTGTACGCCTCCTCCAAGACGAGGGCCTCGCCGGACCGCTCGCGAGACGCCCCCGAGGCCATCCGCGCCCGGATCTGGACCGTTTCACTTTCCACTACTGCATGCTCGCTCGCCACCTTTTTTATCCTGCGCCATGTCTGTTCGGGCACGGCCTGCAGCGCGCTGCGCCTGATGGGCTATTGGCCGCTGGGCGTGACGGAGACGCTCAAGACGTGCTTGCTGACGGGCGCGCTGTTTGCTGCGCCGCTGTACGAGTGCCTGGTTGTCGATGGGGTTTGGAGGGAGTGGGTGGATGGGCTGGAGCCTCTGAGGCATGTCTGGGCTGAGTGGCCCGCTTGGCGAAACTACGTTGCTGTGAGTGTCTTTTCATATCTCATCTCATCTCGTCTCATAGGTAGTCATATCATGTCCCTTAGCAACCGACAATGGCCTCAGTTCCACCCACCCCATATCTTGTCTTTCATACATGCTCATCTGTTTCTTAGGGCCCCATCACCGAAGAGTGTCTCTTCCGAGCTGCCGCCGTCCCGCTGCTGCTCAAGGCCGGCTCCAGCCTCGGCAGAGTCATCTTCCTGTCCCCCGTCGTCTTCGGCCTCGCCCACGTCCACCACTTTTACGAGTTCCGCGTCACGCACCCGGAAACGCCCCTCGTGGCCGCCATTGCCCGCTCCGTCCTCCAGTTTGCGTACACGTCCCTCTTTGGCGCCCTGGCGAATTTCCTGTTTCTGCGGACGGGCTCGCTGCTGGCTGTTGTGCTTGTCCATGCGTTTTGCAACTCCATGGGATTGCCTCGCGTCTGGGGCAGTGTTGAGCCGTATTGGCTGTCGCAGGCGGATGCTTCCAAGTCGCGGCAGGCGGTTTTGTGGTCGGGGGTTTACTATGTGTTGCTGTTTGGTGGGGCGTATGCTTGGTGGAGGAATCTTTATACGTTGACGGAGTCGCCGCTTGCTCTGGCGGTGTTTTAACGTAAAACACTTTTTTTGACTTTTGTTTATATATAGATATATATGCCTTGGTCCAATCTATCTCATGCATGATGAACTGGAAATTCCAGCTTTGGAAAACAAAAAAATATCAACATGACCCCCCATGGGCATTCCCGCTGTAACCATCTGATAACTCCCAGTCGAGGCCTCGTATTAGCATTATCGTGAGATTTTGATGCTTTTCTTCCATGTTTTGCGCATATCGTGCTTATTCAGCTCGCATAACTAATATATTTTCTGCATTGTCCATCCCCCAAAACGAGCATCTAGATCCTCGCATCCCTGCTAAGACTACGTAGTGAGCCTTCTATAGAATACTCATCGTCCACCAGTGGTCGGCGGTGTCGTAGAGTACTCTGATCCCCGACCGAAGAGTCCCGCTCCTTTCCCTTGGAGCCTGTGCTTCCTTCAGCCATGGCATCGTCTGGGCCTCTGGTGTTCTTTTTCCTGGGCCACAGACTGGGTAGTGCAATCTGCTGGAATCGAGGCTCTACGGCCCGCTCGTCAAACCACCTGTGCAGCCGTGACTCGATGAGCTGTGCGATTTTGGGCACGTCTTGTAGCCGTGAGCGACTTCCGAGCAGACTCCTGATGGAAAAATCGAGCCTGTAGTCGTCTAAAAAGTTAAAGGCCATCATAGTCGGCGTCGATTGAGAAGGGTTGCTCGGAAGGAAGGAAATAGACAATGTTCCGCTGAATCGCACAACAGAGACGGACAAGGCTACCGGAAGAACTGCAGACAGCTTTTTGGGGTAGTTGAGAAGAAGCTTCGTCTCGACCGCCATGGTGAGCATGTCGCTGAGATCCACGTCCATGCGAGCCTGGAGGCGCGTGCCATCCCGCGCTGCCGTGGCGGGATCGAACTTGACGTGGCTGCCCAGGCTGATGCCGTCTTCGTCGACGGGGATGATGCGGCAGTTGCTCAGGATGGGAAACTCCTCGCCGAGGCTGAGCTCCGTGACGCGAATCTCATCCACAAAGTCGGGCCGGGAGGTGCCGTTGAGCGTCTTTGTGAGCGAGTTGAGGATGGCATCGTCGTGCTGGGCGTCGCTGCGGAACTGGGCGATTGTCTGGGCGATGAGCACGTTGAACCAGTCGAGGCTTTCCGGCTGGTGGCTGTCGACGTTATAGTACGTCTTGCTCAGGATGGATCCAATGGTCAGCGTCGGGGGGCTCCTGAGGACGGTGGACTTTTTCCGGTTGAGTGACTGGCCGTGGCGCTGGCTGGGCGAGCGCAGCCTGAGGAGGGATTGCTTGTGTGCTAGAGTCCTGGATCTGCGTTCTGTGGCCCGCAGCGAGGCGGCCACGTCTGGCGATGGGGCATCGCCAAAGATGAAAAATTTGATAAAGACGGCTAGGATGAGGACAACGGAGAGTTGGCCGAGGATGAGGCCGTGTGTGAAGGAGAATCTATTGATCTCAGTAAGTGAATATGAAACAACCTAGTGAGTCTTTGAAAGCTAGAATAAAGTGAGGTTTCGTAAGATGGACATGATGAAAGAGGACAGCTTACGTTGGTTCATGCCGCGCCGGGCAAGTCTCTGTCGACATTATCGGGATAGTTGGCAGATCATTCGCCAGAGTGAGTGAGAAGATCAATTTAAGCGCTGCAGTAGCCACCCATTGGTCCGGGTGATGGATGGATTGCAGCCGTCAAGAGGTGAGTTTGATGCTGATTTGTGGTGTAAATCGATACGTTGGGTTGGATTTGGAGAGCTTTGGAGAGTTGACGGGCCAATCAGATGCGGCGGTTTGCCCACTCTCTGGGATTTTAGCGGCTACTTACGCCGGATGAGCCTGGGCCGAGATCCGACTTGATGGAAAACATATGAAGGATGGAAACAGAAATATCTTGGATAGAATCTCAATTTATTTTTTGTTATATATAAATGTGTATATGCTTCTTTATGTACTATGACTTGGTTTGAAAAAGATACATTTTATGTGTTGCAAAAGCTGTATGAATCTAGCTTTCAAGCTTTGAGAAGATGTGCTCATTCAAATGAAGTCTCCAGATCAACTTTCGCGTTCTTCTTGTATTATTTGATATATTTTATCCCATTATTTTAATATACAATTCCCGTTTTCCTTCAACATCAACGGCCAACATCTGCTCAGCTCGTCGGAATAGGCATCAGCAAGCTCGCCGCACTAGTCTTGATTGGGCACTAGTTTCGCAGCTCCCTCTTACCTGTTCTTCCGAGTGAGGTCACTCCTCCATATCCCGTACCACGTCTCCAGCCTGGCTCCAGCTTGCCGATAGCAGCATCTTAGCTAAACTCGCAGATCGGATACCCTCTCAGCAGCTTCTGGATCACAGGCAGCCTCTTGGTCGCAGCGAGCGAGCTTGGATTGTGTGCGGCGTGATATGATGTAGCCGGCGACCCAGCGATATCTTCGTCATCATGGATGTCTCTCAGGCCGTCTCGGGCTACTTGTCCAAGATGATGCTGGCCTCGGGCGACTCGTCATCCTCGAAAATGAAGGTCCTGCTGCTGGACAAGGAGACCATTTCCATCGTCTCAACGTCCATCACGCAGTCCGCGCTGCTGGACTATGAGATCTACCTCATCGACCGCCTGGACAATGCCGCACGGGAGAAGATGCGCCATCTTCGGTGTATCTGCCTGGTGCGGCCTTCATCGGAGACCATTCAGCTGCTCATAGACGAGCTCCGGGACCCAAAGTATGGGGAGTATTACTTGTTCTTCACCAACGTAGCGAAGAAGTCTGCGCTCGAGCGGCTTGCCGAGGCGGACGATCACGAAGTCGTCAAGGTCGTGCAGGAGCACTTTGCCGACTACATCGTCATCAACCCGGACTTATTCAGCTTCAACATGTCTCTCCCGCAGCAAAGAATATGGGCCGGCAGCCCCGATAAGTGGAATCCCGATTCGCTACAACGCTGCTCCGAGGGTCTCATAGCTGTTCTTCTCTCCCTCAAGAAGAAGCCGTTGATCCGCTACGAAAAGAGCAGCTCTCTTGCTACCAAATTAGCTTCCGAAGTGCGCTACTTGATGACAAAAGAAGACCAGCTATTTGATTTCCGCAAAGTTGATACACCTCCGCTGCTGCTCATCCTGGATCGTAGGGAGGATCCGATAACGCCCTTACTTACCCAGTGGACCTATCAAGCCATGGTTCATGGTCTTCTTGGCATCAAAAATGGCCGAGTCGACCTCAGTGATGTCCCAGATATCCGGCCTGAACTGAAGGAAATTGTTCTATCTCAAGACCAGGATCCCTTTTTCAAGAAGAACATGTTTCTAAACTTTGGTGACTTGGGCGGAACCATCAAAGAATACGTCGAGCAGTACCAGTCAAAAACAAAGAATAATGCCAACATCGAATCGATATCCGATATGAAGCGGTTTATCGAGGAGTATCCAGAGTTTCGGAAGCTCTCAGGCAACGTCAGCAAGCACGTTACCCTTGTCTCTGAGCTCAGTCGGAGAGTTGCCGCGGAGAGCCTGCTGGAAGTTAGTGAGCTCGAGCAGAGCTTGGCTTGCAACGACAACCACGCCTCTGACCTCAAGGTAACGAAGGCCTCAGTCTCGATAATTACCTATGATGACGCATTTACTGACCATTCACGCAGGCCATACAAAAAGTCATTCAAAACCCCAATGTACCAGCGGGGAGCAAAGTCGGGGTGGTAGCTCTATACGCCCTGCGCTACCAGAAGCATCCTTCAAGCGCACTGCCCATGCTCATGGATCTTCTCGTTGCGGCTGGCAACGTATCCCCGAGACAGTCGGATCTAGTTAAAAAGGTCTTGACCTATCACTCTTCATTACATACGTCAGACGCCCGGGGCGGTATCTCAGACATATTTGACTCGGCCGGTATATTTTCCGGCACGGCAAACCGCTTCAAAGGCCTCAAGGGCGTGGAAAACGTTTACACACAACACAGCTCGCTGTTGGAGGGCACTCTGCAGAATCTCATCAAGGGTCGATTAAAAGACCAGCAGTATCCATTCGTCGAAGACAGCGTCCCTACTAGAGATAAGCCGCAAGACATTATTGTTTTCATGGTGGGAGGCGTTACGTATGAAGAGGCCAAGATGATTGCTGGAGTGAACGCTACGATGCCTGGTGTGCGTGTGGTTCTTGGCGGCACAACAGTCCATAATACGGCTACGTTTTTGGAAGAGGTTGAGGATGCGGTGTCCTCTTGGTCTTGAGGGGTTATAGAAGATGTGAGGCCATGCGGCTATGAATATATAATATATGATAATAATCTAAATGCTATCAATTGTGGAAGTGAAACAGCTGCGATTAGTAGCATTTGATACGTCGAAGTGCTGAAGCAGAGAAATACGTCATATGCACTTATCGCACATATGCACATATGGGGAGCTATCGATAAAAATTATTGCGACACTGCCTCTAGCAATTACAAGAAGACTTGACGCATCATGATTTCTACGGGGGAGTGTATGATATAGGTGATTGACGATATTCATGTGAAATGAGTGCTTTATTGCGTCCACGATCATTTCACTGGCGACCAATTCTCAGGCATCGTCGGTTTGCCACAGTCACAGACAATCACAGGTGCGAAGCATCTTTTTCAAGAGACCACAGAGTGAACAAACAGACTACTAAACGTCCTTTTTTTTTGCAGAGCCTTCGATGTTGTCGTTATAGGAGGTGGCCATGCCGGCGCCGAGGCTTGTGCTGCTGCTGCGAGAGCCGGTGCGCGGACGGCCCTGGTTACGCCAAAGCTCGATAATCTGGGAACATGCTCCTGCAATCCGAGCTTTGGAGGAATCGGCAAGGGGACAATCATTCGAGAGATTGATGCCCTTGACGGCTTGGCGGGGAGGATTATCGACAAGGCTGGTGTCCAGTTCCATCTGCTGAACCGCAGAAAAGGACCAGCTGTGTGGGTATGTATTTTCGATTGTATTCCACGAGAGATACGATTTGTTCGAGTCTAATGCTAACGTATTTGCTACCATTAGGGCCCCCGAGCGCAGATTGACCGAGATTTATACAAAAAGTACATGAGAAGCGAGCTCGAATCATATCCAAACTTATCGATTGTCCTCGAGAGCGTGTCGGATATCGTCTTGACAGAGAACAAAGGCTCTGCTGAGGGATCAAAAGGCGCCATTGCTGGTGTGCGGTTAGAAAATGGCGAAATTCTACAAACTGGACGGGTAGTCATCACTACGGGAACGTTTCTGGGGGGCGAAATACACATTGGGCTGGAGGCATATCCGGCAGGCCGCATTGGAGAGGCGGCGACAACGGGCTTGAGCAAATCACTGCGGGACGCAGGCTTTCAGCTGGGGCGGCTGAAGACGGGAACTCCACCGCGACTTGATAAGGCGTCCATCAACTTTGATATACTTCAACAGCAGTTTGGCGACAACCCCCCAGCTCCATTCAGCTACCTGAATACAGAGGTGGCCGTTCGAGACCAACTCACCTGCAGCATCACATTCACAAATGACGCTTCGCACAAGATTGTTCAAGACAACTTGGACAAATCCATTCACATTCGTGAAACCGTCAAGGGCCCGAGATATTGCCCTTCGTTGGAATCAAAAGTCATTCGATTTGCAGACAAGGAACGGCACATTGTATGGCTTGAGCCAGAAGGCTTTGACAACCCAATCATATACCCCAATGGACTATCCATGACGATCCCCGCTGAAGCGCAGGAGCAAGTACTGCGCTCAATACGAGGCTTGGAGCAAGTCAAGATGCTGCAGCCTGGCTACGGAGTAGAATACGACTATGTTGACCCTCGAGGCCTAAAGTCTACCCTTGAAACAAAGGCGATTGATGGACTCTATCTAGCAGGGCAGATCAACGGCACTACAGGCTATGAGGAGGCTGCCGGCCAGGGAATTATCGCCGGTATGAATGCCGGGCGATCTGCTCTGGGCTTACCCGGCGCCTCGTTATCTAGATCTGATGGCTACATCGGAATCATGATTGACGATTTAATCACCAAAGGCGTTACAGAGCCTTACCGCATGTTCACATCGAGAAGCGAGTTTCGAATGGCGGCTAGAGCGGATAATGCTGACCTTCGACTGACGCAAAAGGGACGCGAGTGGGGCGTCGTCTCTGACCACAGATGGAGCGTCTTCTCAGACGAGAAGCAGCAGATTCTCGATCTCACCAAATCGCTAGGCGCCGTGTCTCTGGCGCCAGAGGAATGGAACCAAGCAGGATTCCAGGTGAAGAGGAGCTCGCAGCGCCGCACCGGCATCGACATGCTGAGGCTCTCCAACACTGGAGAGCGCATCCAGCTGGACCAGCTCAGCTCAGTCGTGCCCGAGATTCTCAACTACCCGGCGCGCATTCGAGAGAGGGTTGTCATTGAAGCAGCTTACGCCCCTTATATCAAGATGCAGGCAGCCGAGCGCGGACAATTTGTCAATGACGAAAACATCCGGCTGCCGCTGGACCTGGACTACGATGGCATCCCGGGCCTGGCCCTGTCGGAAAAGGAAGTCCTGAGGCGGACGCGGCCCGAGACTCTCGCGCAGGCTCGTCGCGCAGAGGGTGTAACCCCTTCCGGATGCATTCGATTGCTTGCTTACATTCGACGCCAAGGGTCGTCTACAGGGGCGCTTGTTGGATCGGAGAGAAGCCCATTGGAGGCTCAATTGCCATGATTAACTGATTTGAGCTGTGATTTTTTTCTATTCCTTGTTCTTTGGGATACTATGCTTGTCATGGCGGAGTGATTGATTAGGCATGACTGTAAATATGGAGGCATATACAACTCTTGTGTATACGGCAACTCGAGCGCTAGATGGACTCATCATGGACACAACACATCCTCTGTACACTAAAAGATGATATCAAAAGACTGCACCAATCGGCGTTTTACTCTCGCTTAACCTTGATACCAATCCTACACCGGCTTTTACACACATGCATCCCGTCATCCACTCTCCTGTCAGACGTGATGTTGCATTGCATCCGGCCGTCAGCCTTGAAGGTAAAAATTGTCGTTCCTCTCTCACTCTGAGTTGCGAATCCTACGTAAGCAACTGGGCTCGGACAGGCTCGGGATTCTCAGCAATGAGCATGTTGCGAATTGGATCCTTGCTAGGCGTGGATGACGAATTTTCCATTGAGTTCTATGCATTCAAGACGGTGATTCCATGCATTTATATACATATCAGTAGTATTGCAACCAAGCGGCGAGAATAAAGACGGACGCTTGTTGCTAGTCTAGTCTGACGGATCTGTCAGTTGGGCGATTCGATTTGCAGCAACCAATCTACTACCTAAATTTAGCATATTTGCCGATATCGGGTGTGACTCGATGAGCTGCATAACGCCTAGACTAACCTGACAAGCTCACCCCACCAAGATTTTCGAGGCCTGGAGTGACGAGAAAATTGAAAACCCCAGCAACGCCATTGCTTCTGCCCATCTCTGCGGCGGCTTTGCAGAGCCAGAACTCGGCAATCGACCTCATCCAACTCCAACACAGGCTCTGGAGGCGGAAGCGCGCCTCGAGCAATCGCAACAATGGCGGACGCAAAAGCCCCGCACACGATTTCCATCCTGGGCGAGCCCAACATCGTCGTCGACCATGCGCTGTGGCCCAACTACATTGTGCAGGATCTGACGCAGAACCTGGCCTCGTCGACGTATGTGCTCATCACCGACACGAACCTCTTTGACACGTACGTGCCGGCGTTCCAGCAGCGGTTCGAGACCTCCAAGGCCAACGAGAATGCGCGGCTGCTCACCTACAAGATCCCGCCCGGCGAGGCGTCCAAGAGCCGCGAGACAAAGGCCGAGATTGAGGACTGGCTGCTGTCGCAGCAGTGCACGCGCGACACGGTCATTATTGCCGTGGGCGGCGGCGTCATTGGCGACATGATTGGCTACGTGGCGGCCACGTTTATGCGCGGCGTGCGCTTCGTCCAGGTGCCGACGACGCTGCTGGCCATGGTGGACTCGTCGATTGGCGGCAAGACTGCGATTGACACGCCGATGGGGAAGAACCTCGTGGGGGCGTTTTGGCAGCCGCGGCGGATCTTCATTGATCTTGCGTTTCTGGAGACGCTGCCCGTGCGCGAGTTTATCAATGGCATGGCCGAGGTTATCAAGACTGCGGCCATCTGGAACGAGAAGGAGTTTACGGTTTTGGAAGAGTCGGCGGCGACTATTCTGTCGAGTGTTCGTTCCAAGGGCCAGGGCCGTCTGCAGCCCATCAAGGATGTGCTGAGACGCATCGTCATTGGCTCGGCTGGAGTCAAGGCAGAGGTTGTTTCTTCGGATGAGCGAGAGGGCGGCCTTCGCAACTTGCTCAATTTTGGCCACTCCATTGGCCACGCTATCGAGGCGCTGCTTACTCCCCAGCTGCTGCATGGAGAGGCCGTGGCTATTGGCATGGTCAAGGAGGCAGAGCTGGCTCGATTCTTGGGCGTGCTGCGACCCGAGGCGGTTGCCAGACTTGAAAAGTGCATTGCCTCCTATGGACTGCCGACGTCTGTCAAGGACAAGCGAGTCGTCAACCTGACTGCTGGCAAGAAGTGCCCTGTGGACGTGCTGCTGAAGAAGATGGGCGTGGATAAGAAGAACGACGGCGCGCAAAAGAAGATTGTGCTGCTGTCGGCGATTGGCAAGACACACGAGGCAAAGGCCAGCTCTGTGGAGGACCGGGATATCAGAATTGTCCTCTCTGATTCTACCGAGGTGACGCCCGGCATTCCCGGCGATCTTAAACTCACCGTTACACCCCCCGGATCCAAGAGTATTTCCAACCGAGCCCTGATTCTCGCTGCTCTCGGTACTGGTTCTTGCCGAGTCCGGAACCTGCTTCACTCAGACGACACCGAGTTTATGCTTTCTGCCATTTCCACCCTCGGAGGCACGTCTTACTCGTGGGAAGAGGGCGGCCAGCTCTTGGTTGTCGAAGGCAACGGCGGCCAGTTGAAGGCTTCTGATGAGCCTTTGTACATTGGCAACGCGGGAACTGCGTCGCGTTTCTTGACTACTGTCGCGGCGCTATGTGCTCCCACTAGCACTGCTACGACTACTGTGCTGACTGGCAATGCGCGAATGAAGACACGACCAATTGGGCCCCTTGTTGACGCCCTACGCAGCAATGGCGTTGCCATCGACTACCTTGAGCGGGAGAAGAGTCTTCCTCTGCGAATCAATGCCTCGGCTGGCCTGGAGGGAGGAGAGATTGAGCTTGCAGCCACTGTTTCCTCTCAATATGTGTCTTCCATCCTGATGGCCGCTCCTTATGCCAAAAAGGCCGTTACTCTGCGCCTGGTTGGAGGCAAGCCCATTTCTCAGCCATACATTGACATGACCATCTCCATGATGAAGTCCTTTGGCATTGAAGTCACTCCCTCTGCGGATGAACCGGACACCTACCACATTCCCCAGGGCGTTTACAAGAACCCTGCCGAGTACATTGTTGAGAGTGACGCCAGCTCTGCCACTTACCCGCTGGCTGTGGCTGCCATTTCCGGAACCACTTGCACTATTCCCAATATTGGATCCAAGTCCCTTCAGGGAGACGCCCAGTTTGCTGTCAAGATCCTCAAGCCGATGGGATGCGAGGTTCACCAGGACGACTACTCTACTACCGTCACGGGTCCCAAGGATGGAGCCCTCAAGGCCCTGCCGAGTGTCGACATGACGACCATGACGGATGCTTTCCTTACCGCTACTGTCTTGGCGGCGGTGGCTACGGGAACGACTGAGATTGTTGGAATTGCCAACCAGCGAGTCAAGGAGTGCAACCGTATTCTGGCCATGAAGGACCAGCTGGCCAAGTTCGGCGTGCTCTGCAATGAGCTCGAAGACGGTATTCAGATTATTGGCAAGTCCAGGGATAGCCTGGTAACACCTACTGAGAGCATTCACTGCTACGACGACCACCGTGTTGCCATGAGCTTCAGTGTCTTGTCTCTTGCGGCCCCCGGCCCTGTCTTGGTCACTGAGCGAGAGTGTGTTGGCAAGACCTGGCCTGGCTGGTGGGATGTCTTGGCTCAGTCGTTCAAGGCAACGCTGGCGGGTGTTGATACTGAGAGCAGCCGTGAGGCTAAGCCCAAGACTTCTGCTAATGTCCAGCGCTCCATTTTCGTTGTTGGCATGAGGGGAGCCGGAAAGACTACTGCTGGTAAGTGGGTTGCAAAGACTCTTGGTTGGAAGTTTATCGATCTGGACCACGAGCTGGAACGACGAAGCGGCACGACTATTCCGGAGATTGTTCAAGGCCCTCGAGGCTGGGAGGGATTCCGTGAGGATGAGCTGGCGCTTTTGCGCAATGTTATCGAGGCTCATCCGAAGGGATATGTCTTTTCATGCGGAGGTGGCATTGTCGAGACCCCGGCTGCTCGCGAAGTCCTCAAGTCGTACGGTGCTAACGGCGGTCTTGTGCTGCTGGTCCACCGTGATACTGATCAGGTTGTCAACTACCTGCTTCAAGATAAGACAAGACCGGCTTACACGGCCGAGATCCGGGAGGTTTACGAGCGCAGGAAGCCCTGGTACAGGGAGTGCAGCAACATGCTCTACTACAGCCCGCACTCACAGGATGCCACTACGTCTGAGATTCCCGACGACTTTTCACAGTTCATCTCGGTGATTTCGGGAAAGTCCAAGACTCTTGAGACCGTCTCCAAGAAGAAACATAGCTTCTTTGTTTCTTTGACGTTGCCTGACCTCAGCGCCGCGGTGGACATTTTACCTCGCGTCACTGCTGATAGCGATGCGGTGGAGCTGCGTGTGGATCTTTTGCATGATGTACAGCCCGAGGCCGTCATGAAGCAGGTGTCGTTGCTGCGATATGTAACTGGAAAGCCCATCATTTTCACGGTCCGAAGCGAGTCTCAGGGCGGAAAATTCCCCGATAACGACAATGAGCTGCGTCTGGAGCTCTACCGTTTGGCTCTTCGCATGGGCGTGGAGTACATTGATCTTGAGGTGACGTCGACGGATGAGATTATGCAGGAGGTTAGAGATAACCGCGGAAGCTCTGTCATCATCACGTCCCACCACGATCCTGCTGGTGCTCTGTCATGGAAGAATGCGTCTTGGATTGCGGCTTACAACAGGGCACTGCAGTATGGCGATGTGATTAAGCTGGTTGGCACTGCCAGAAGCGTCGACGACAACTTTGACTTGATCCGATTCAAGTCCAGGATGCTGGCGGCCCAGCCAACGCCCATTATTGCCCTCAACATGGGCTCTGCTGGCAAGCTCAGCCGTGTGCTGAACGGCTTCCTCACTCCCGTCTCGCACCCTGCTCTTCCCTTCAAGGCTGCACCCGGACAGCTGTCCGCAGCTGAGATCCGACAGGGCCTGTCTCTGCTGGGGGAGATTGAGCCGCGCAACTTTTACCTGTTTGGTAAGCCGATTTCCAAGTCGCGGTCGCCGGCGCTGCACAACACCCTCTTTGGGCAGACTGGCCTGCCGCATCATTACCAGCGGTTGGAGACGGACAAGGTTGAGGATGTTGTGGAGGTGCTTCGCGCTGCGGACTTTGGCGGTGCGTCGGTTACGATTCCGCTGAAGCAGGATATCATGGCTCATTTGGATGAGTTGACGGATGCGGCCAAGGTTATTGGCGCCGTCAACACGGTTGTTCCCGTGGCTGATGAGTCTTTGGGTCGCCAGCGGTTGATTGGCGACAACACTGACTGGAAGGGCATGGTTCACGTGCTTCGCAAGGCGGGTGTCAGGACGCAGGCTGGTGATGCCAGTGCTGCTGTCATTGGCACTGGAGGAACTAGCCGAGCTGCCATTTTTGCCTTGAACGCCTTGGGCTTCAAGCCCATTTATGTTATTGGCCGAGATGCCCAAAAGGTTCAGGCTCTTGCGTCGAGCTTCCCGGCCGAGTATGACATTCAGAGTGTTGCTAGCGCTGCTGATGCCGAGAAGCTCGCGAGCAAGCCTGTTGTGAGCATTAGCACTGTTCCTGCGGATAGGCCTATTGACGGCGGCGTTGGGGAGATTCTCGGCGCTGCGTTGAAGCCTGCTGCTGCTACTGCTTCCGGAGAGGGGCAGAGCAGGGTTTTGCTGGAGATGGCGTATCACCCGCCGCAGACGCCGGTGATTCAGATTGCGGAGAAGGTGGGTGGGTGGACGACGATTCTGGGGTTGGAGGTTCTTGCTGCGCAGGGGTGGTACCAGGTATGTTGATTGCTTGATTGGCTTTTTCTTTCTCGAATATTACTAATGTGTCTTTTTGTGCAGTTTGAGACTTGGAATGGTATCAAGCCGCTGTTTAGCGATGCTTTGGATGCTGTTGTTGGAAAGGAGGCGGCAGCTCAGTAGACTTTGAACGCTGCTGTGAAGTTAGAAAAAAAGCAGTATAAGGAAAAAAAAGTTTATATATTCTTCGTTTCTTTTTTGGATGAGAATTAGAGAGGTATTTGACCTCCCATCTTTCCCCTTTTTCCTATATAGGACATTTATCAACATGAGAATGTTTGTTGTGCTTTTTGAATTAAGGACAGTCGCATAGATACTATGTATTGTCATGGTTGCCCCCACAAAGCTGCGCGTTGCCGTACTGTGAGAACTTTGAGGCTGGTGTGCAGTGAATCACGCCCCGTGATACCGCACATGTAGGTACAAAGGCCACACAGCTGAGATGAGGATGAAAGACTGGAATTGGAATTGGACTGTTTGGATATCATAAGAGTACCTACCTACGTACTATCAGTATGTAACCAAGATGGGGGGATGTAATAGTGCCAGTAGAGGTAGAGGCCGTTTCATTTCGGGCTGTCGTCAATTGTCGTCAATTGTCGTCACTCGTGTACGACATTTGTCGCTTTACCAGTGCATATATGGACCCAGGTAGGTGCATGTATGCAGAGTCAATTTTAATTTTTTTTTGGGATAGCTAAAATATGATGGAACTCTAGAATAATAAAAAAAAAAAAAAAAAAAATGACGGGTAAGCAAACGGATTTGATACGGGCGTTGAGAGCCTCGTCCTAGGTACAAAAATTTCTCCAAAGATTCAGAAGCATTTGAAAATGCCTTTATATAGAAACGTTTGGAGTCAGTAAACCGAAGCCGATGATTTTTTTTTTTTTTTTTTTTTTTTTTACAAGACATATTGGTCATTTTCGCAGCTGAGAAAAATCATGGTGAAGTGAATGAGATGTGTATTCCGATAGAAGAAACGAGTACCGGCTCGGTTGCATCTACCTAACTAAAAGTGGACGTCTGTCCCATCTACATGTTTCGCGCACTGATTCGATCTGACCGTCGTGAATTAGAAACCCATGCCCTTCGTATAGACGAGAACCACCCGCGCTGCTCTCTAGACAATAGTTTCCCTTTCCATTCATACTCGTCCATGTTCTTGTGGGATACGGCGAGGCTCAAGAACCCAAGCAAAGCCCTCCTCATCCTCTCCGGCTCCTCTATCAGGCTCACATAGGCGTACTCGCCACCATCGCATTCCTCGCGGCTGACAAACACCAGCAAAACAAGTGTCCGCATGTCAAAGAAGGCGACAAACGGTGTGTTGTAAGCCTTGGACTAGTGAACGCCCTGTTTGAGGAGTGTTTCGGCGTTGGTAACATGACCGTCTTCTTCTTGCGATTCACTGTTGTCCCTGCCCCTCTCCATGTACCTTTTAAAGGTTGTGTGGCTGCTGGCAATCTTGGCTCGGAATTCTTCCTCAATGATGACGGACACTCTCTTGTAGTCCAAAACGGCGTAAAACCTCTTCTCTTGGCCCGGATTTTGTTTGAAGTAGACTCTGTCCGCACGAGCTGTGGCTTTGGACGCCTCGCTACCGTATAAGAGCGATGGCATATGTGCACTCAATACCACGTTGACAGGGTGAGTGAGTTCCAGCGTTGCGCCTGCAACGACATCCCCCTCTGTGTCGTAGATTGCACTGGTTTCTCGAGTCGGAAAAAAGATGGTCTGTAGGTCCTGCTCATGTTGTCTTAATATGGGATTCGCCAGCTGCGCCCATGCAGAGGCATTGACCTCTAGCAAGAAAAGCGGAGGCTCGGAATTCCTGGTTGTTTCGCCTGATGTGTGTGCGATATGGTGCGTGTCTGGAGAGTTGGGGCGGTATACTGGTTCGCTGAAAGACTGGTAAATGCTTGTAGGAGCCATGTCTGTTTCTGTTGGCTGAGTGGAATGATAAAAAACGATGGCCAAGGAGAAACACGAACAAGGACGGGGGAGTAAGGATACGAAAAGGAAAAGGTGGGATATATATATATAACCAAGAGCTTGCAATGAATCACAGCTATGCCTATTGTTGCAAATTGCACATGGTCAACTGCTCGCTGTGAATCGCCATTGTTGCAGCACTGCCTCTCACGGAAGCGAAGCGAAGCACAATACTAATGGTTGTGTATTCAGAATAGCTTCATCCCATGTTACCATCACTGATTGACGCATCTCACAAAAGCAAGGCCCACAATACATCACGGTGAAATTCACAATACAAAGGCGAACTTGGACGTCTATTCAGCCACCTGCCTATTGTGATGAGCTCTGCAGGCACTACGCTATTGACATTCACAATGGGTCTCAATAGAGGCAGCCGAAGCAAAATCCCGTTGAGTCTTCAATATGGTAACTATATGTGAAATATCTACCGGATCGGTTCAAGAAAATGCATGGCAGAGCTATCGAACGAAGCTGATAGGTAGGTAGATGAAATTACGCCATCACTGATACAAAGAAAAGCGAGCCCCAGACACACACTATGTTTGCTGTGAAAGTTGAGCTGGCGTGGTCTACTTGGTCTCCAATGTTAAAGATCCCTCTTGGTCTTGCTCGCATATCAAATTGACTCAGAGACAGTACAATATCTTCTTCTCATAGTTCTGCGGGTATCGGTGAGCGGCTTCCATATTAGTGGCAGCAGGTAGAGTTTGAACAATCATTAGGTTGAACTTGCACGTATATTGTATCGTCTGCGATTCTGTCCATGCAGCCTCTTTTTTTTTTTTTTTTTTTTTTTTTTAAATTTACAAATATTTCGTCTGAGAAACAGAGCTACCAATTACGTTTCTTTCTTCTCCTTTTAGCCTTTTGAACTGGCCGTTTCTTCTCCTTCATTTCTGCCTCGTCTTCCCTTTTCTTTGCCTCTGCCTTCTCTCTCTCTATTGCTTTTCGCAAACTTGGCTCATGTACATTGTACCAAAACCAGTTAGGAGGCTGGAACATCGTGAGGTCGGGCCATTGGGCAAGAAACCAGTCATATCGCGCCTGAGCGGAATATAAATGTTTGGGTACCCAGCCTTCCCCATCCATTAATGCCCATGTACCTTTGAATAGGTGAAGTGGATGCTTGGGATTGGTTGGTGGAGGTTTGCCCTGGGGAGCGGACCACTTGGAGTTGTAAAGACCTCGGATCTTTGCGATGCTGAAATCTAAGAGAACGACGCGACCTTTGTCTGGGTCTACCATGATGTTGCGCGGCGCGAAATCGTGCTGGTTGACCCCGTAGAACCCGAGCCAGGCGTATATCTCAAAGGCTCTCGCTAGCAGCTGCATCCTAACTTGGGCCGGTATGCTTTCAACTCTACCCTCTGTGATGATGGACCGCATACTGGGGAAAGCAAAGTACTCCATCAAGATCAAGCGCACGTCTCGTCGTTGACCGTCCAGTAGTTGGCTTTCCCAGGTATAGCTCCCATAGTATCGTGGTATTGACCCTTTCAGAGCTTCTCGCACCCGAGGGTAGCCAACAGTGTGCTCCTTGTCCATGTCTTGCAATGTCACAAACGCCGCGGCTTCGTTGGTGAATTCCAAGTCTGCATTGTAGGTAATGTCGTCCATGTCCCACAGGTAGTATAGTGGATCGTAGATTTTGGCGACAAGCGGTGTCTCGCCGTCCTCGAAATGACACTTGACGACTTGAGCGCCACGGCCATCGCCACACCTGATCTGGCTGTCGATTACTATGGTGCGCGTTTCTGGATTGGCGATGGGTTTGCCTTGGAGCGGCGGATATTGAAGACAGAAGCGGCTGGCTGTATCGAATTGCTTCCAGGGGAACATGCGCTCGACGCGAGAAGTCATATCGCGATACATGAATCCAAACGGGGGATGAGGCATGCATTGTTGGATTTTCAACACGGCGCCAGGAACATATGGCAAGCCCGGCTTGAGGTCGTCTTTGATAGGCGGGTCGGGAGGATGATCCATGATGCTCTGTTCTAGCTTGCTCGATGGAATGCGAGAAATGATTGGATTTCGGGATCCAACTGAGATGGGGGAGACGATATGGTTGCTATGCCAGGAAAAAGCAGAATGAATGGAAAGTGAAGAGAAGAAAGAGAAGACGGAAAGCGCTGCATGCCATTGGCTTTAGCGTGAAAGCGGTGCTAGCGTGCGTGATTCACTGCATCGCATCAGCCTCAACTTCAACCTCAACTTTGGCCCAAAGTTTGTGACGAGGTAGCGGCAACAACAGCCGACGTGCAGTGTCGACTTGGAGGTTCCAATGACTGACACTTTAAGTTGTTTGAGATCGGCACTTGTAGGACTACCTACCTACCAGCCCGGGGGGGGGGGGGGGGGGTTTAGTTACAGTTATGGGCCAAAAGCCAGTGGACGCTATACTATGTACCACTAAAAGTTATATTTTTTAAAAATTCATAATTAAATCTATAAAATACATATGCAGGTAATTAAAGTGAAAATTTAATAGTTATTCATGAATATTTTATATTTTTATAATACTTACTTATAATATTTAAATCTATAGCAGCTGTTATAAATTAAAGCTGTTAGATTATCCCCTCCTAAACTTGGTGTGTCTTTATTTTTTCCCGCTTGTAAATTTTTGGCCCCTAACTGTATCATTACCAGATGAACAGCGCTAATTTAGGGTTAAAAAACAAGGGTATTGCTATTCGGGGCGGTATTTTCACTTTACTGGTCCCGTTTAGGATACTAGCTTCAGCGGATCTCACGCTGGCCCACCAAAATGCAGTGTGATGCACTGGAATATACAAAATTACAAGTAGTTCAAAATAAATAACGGGTCTTTAGCCCCAACTTGAGCGCTGTTCATCTGGTAATGGTCACCAAAAACACACCCCTGGGTTCCTAGGTTCCTATAATAGTACCTACCTGTACTCCGTACCCACTACTACTATTTACCTACTACCTAGGTAGTGGTTCTACTAGGTACTTGTAGTACTTAGTAAGTCTGCAGCAACAACTTCAACAAAGAGTGTACGTGTATCAGACTGACTACTACTATATTAGCCAATCAACCCTCGGCATATGGTTTGCGACGACTTGGAAAACACCGTCTCGAGAACCCTTTTTAGCGACGTTTAGAGAAGGCGTTGAGCACCATCTAGCGCGTCATGGCGCTGATACTCAAGGCCTGGATTCTATCATGCCTTTTTGCATCAAATCCCAGCGTCTAGCGCGGAGCAGCTCAATGCCGCACAGTAGTTGAGTTGGACATCTCATTTGTATGACAATTAATGAATAAGATGGATGTGGAAAAGTCGGAAAAGCAAACGAGACCCCGTCAATGAAGGCGCTGGTTGTCGAATTTTGCGGCCGTTATTCCTCTTATGAACCGAAGCAACGCCATCCTGGGTTATGAGAGGTAGTCCACACCTCCAACTTGGATTCTGAGCGCGCCCGGCAGATTACAGGAGTTGACAGCAGCTGACTCTTTGCTTTACTGCGATCCGAAAGGAACCGACACTATTATCAAGGCTGACTTGAATGGAAGCTGTGTTGCTGCCGGGAAACACCGCCGGGTTTGAGATGCTGCTCCACATGCATGTACACACAGAAGCCTCACTCAGTCAGAGACTGCTTATCAGATTTATGGCTGGGGAGCAATCCGGCACACTTTTTCTGGTAACTGCACACTCCTTCTTATAGTCATCAAAATATCTGCCCCCTTTTGAGTGTGCTGGATCCAAGTACTGAGAGGGGATTTCGCTCTCTAATGAGCGCTTGGGCATTGTTGCTTTGATGATAGTTGACGATGTACTAGGCGAGCCAACCCCCCCTTCATCCATGCAAGTAGTAGTAGTAGTCATCGTAAAGGGGTATCTAGCAAGAGTAATAAGCAATCGTAGCCATTTCAATACTGCCCGCAGCCGTCACGCACTGTGATGCATGGACTAGGTATATTTACTTACTTACCTACCTACTCCTGACTTTACCCCTTCTTCCTCTTTTGTTTTCTCTTCTTGATCCCCTTCCTCACTCTCTCTCTTTCCAGCCCTCTCTGCATATTTGTTTTTGCTTCACATCACCATTCATATGTGTCTCTCGCCTGTTTTCGCATTGGAATAACGAATCATCATGGCGCAAACTAGTATTTAATGAATCTTTCAGTCTGCCCATCTACCGACCTAATCTCAGATCTCCGCCACCTCAAACCCAAAGTCTCTGGCCCAACAACTCAAGCCTCCGAGCCCCCTCGCTTTTTCTTGGAAACTGATGTTTCTAAGCGCCCAGTTATCCATAATCACAGATCATTTTTACGCACTATACATCTACCCGCCAGAGAAGAAGGAGCATTGCACGGAGTTGAGGGCGATGTTGCCGCCGAAGCGCCACTCGGTGCATCAGGCATTTGAGAAAGCGTTCCCAACAGTCGGGCATGGGAGCAAAGTTTACTCGACTACACCAACCCGTGCGCACCGATGAGGTCTCTTTGAGGAAAAATCAGCTCCAAACACCTCCAAGCGCATTTGCTGACGGCTTCTCAGCATCTTGAATTGACACCGGACTAATGGGGGGGGGGGGAATGCAACATTAAGCGAGGAACTGCGCCGGTGGATCAATTCTCACGCTGATTGAGCTGTAGCTCGCTTTGGAGCCCTGCTGGTGTTGGAGCACGATGATGTGGTCGGATCGCTGCCTAGAGCATTTGGCAAGCGATGGAGGGAGATTTCTTTCAGCGATAGCCATGATAGCCATGATAGCCATGATAGCCATGATAGCAATGGTAGCAATGGTAGCCATGGTAGCAATGGTAGAAAGCGACGCAAGACGTTTGGAAAGTAAATAAAGTTTACCTGTAATAAGGTACAACTTAAGGATAATGGAGAGATAGATGTATAGGTAGGTAGGTAGGTACCTGGAATATGTTGATGGATGTATATGTACCTAGTATATCTTGATGAATTATCATTACAACTGTTTATTGCTAGTGAAAAAACACGGGCTACTGTCAAGTTCTTGATATGACATGGGTCAATGGAGCAAAATGTAATCATATCGGAGGAAACGCGCAGGTGGATCCATCTCTACGCTGCTCGGGTTGCTGCTCCTCTTGGAGGGCCTGTTTATTTAAGAATATACCACCATAGTCTTCTGGGGGTCATGCCCCTTTGCCTTGACACTGCTGGTGCTGGAGGACGACGATCGGACAGGATCGCCGCCCAGGGCATGTAGTGGGCGATGGAGACACATTCTCCTTGTACACTGGGCGCAATAAAGTTGGTAATCCATGCATGTGCGTAGGAACGCCTGGGAAATACCAAGAATTGTTCATTGACGCAAGCAGTTGCAAGGATTGCACTAGTAGCAATGGTGGCGATAATAATAGTGCAAGTAGACCATGAAGCAAGCCGCTGGGAAGGCTGTAATGATCATCTATGACAAGACACATCATACATGTACCTATAGAGTGCACGGTATAGCTTGACTGATAAGACTGCTCTCGCTTAATTTGACCCCATCCTTGATATCAACCTGTTTGTATAACGACTGTTCATCATTGGTGAAAATCCGGGGTACTGTCAACTTCTCCTGGCATCTGGTCTGGAGCCTTGTTCTTTTTGAGGCTCTCGCATCCGGCGCTACAGCTGGAATTACGTGAAGCTGCTGCTAATATACATGTGGTCTAGCCCCAGCCAGGCAGCCATCATTCCAATACGCCGTATAAGCCGATGCGGGTATCTGAGCGTCAGAACGGTTTTGAGATGCCTTCTCTCACCATGCCACCACAAGTACTGTAGCAAATGCCGCAGCTCGTGCCAGTCGAGAAACAAGCATCCGAGTCAGGCCAGGCGGGGAACGATGGGGCCATGGCTCCTCTGAAGGCATCATCCCGGCAAGCTCCTCGTCCTCGGCGCCGGAAAGACATTGCGATGACGCTGCAGCGGACTGGGCCAGTTGCTGTAGCATTTGAATGCCGCGATGCAGGCACCGGCCTTGCCCTGCATCCATCTCAACCACCGCTGTGCTTGGCAGTTCCTGGTGAGGCTGACTCCGCTCTCCGCGCACCGGCGCCGATGCCGAAGTCACCATCGCCGGCCCCAGGATTGATTCGGCAGTTGGAGGAGCTGGAATCGGCCCTTGTGCCCGTCTCTTTAATTAAGCATCCTCGCGCTTGTCTCTGGAAACGCGCAATCTTGATTGGGCCGCTTGGAAATGCTTGGCGGATCGCTCATGCTTCGGGCTCATTCACATCTGTCAGTTCGCCTTGGCCTTGGACTTGCTCGATTCACTGCATGGTCACGGTACGGAATGCGTTGGTTGCTGCCTGGCGACTTGAGCGGGCGTGGAATCAAGGTGCACCTCTTTCGCTGCACTTGCGGTCCTCTTGCCAGCAATCGCTTTCCTGGCTCGTCATTCCTGTTCAGGTGAGGACTGCATCAGCTGGCGGAACGCCATATTTATAATCTGCCAGATGTGGCACAAGAGTCGTGAATAGGCTTGATGCTAGCCAGAGTCGGCTGACCTGTAAGACCTGCTATACCGTTCAGGCTATTTGCGTGGTGAGCCATGGGACTGCCAGGTGCTCCTTTGGGCTAGAGCCATCTTATGCGCGATCCCCTGGCCAGGCCCGAAACGGCAGTTTGCCACGAGCCCCAGAATGCTGGCCATGTGCTTCAAACGAGCTGTAGAGCGGACATGGCCCAGACGATGCCGGAAGGAATCTAGCCTTGCCGCCCAAGTGGATCAGCTGCAATGATACGCATCTGCAATACGCATCGTGGTGCTCAGTACACTCGCCATCGTTGAGTGTCATAGGATCAACACGCATCTGTGAGATTATCATGAGACTGAAGGATTGAGAGCCAGGGCTAGTTGCCAGCATTGGAGCCAAGAAACTTGCTGAGGCTGGTAAATATATACATTGGTTGCCCCCTGGCTGATGGTAATTGGGCAATATTCCACGTAGATACATAACAAAGTGCTAGATTGGCCTGTTGTGTCGAGAATAGACTAGCAGACGGAGTTGTTGTCGGCCTTACAGTCTTAATGAGGGCGCGATGTAACATGTGTAGCATCATTCCGCGATATCAACATCTACATGTAGCTTAGCAGACGTGGCAAGGATGAGGAGTTGCGGCCTTGAACGACTCCCAAAGACAAGTCTAGACTTTATATTCCGTCTGGGAATCCATTCATCGACTTTAACCTTCTATTTTAGGATGGGCTTCGTCCCGTGACGTCTCTATAATGCACGAGGATCAAACCACTGATATAAAAGGCAATGCCAACGTCATGAGAGTGACCTCTGGTTGAGAGTCCTCGGCAGCAAAAGGGCAGTTACCAGCCAAGCCCAAGCAAAGATGAAGACATTTACTGTGCGCGTCTTTGGCGCCGCCGTCATTGTCTTTTCAGGACGTTCCGAGGCCACCAATTTCCTCAACCACAACCAGCTAGTTTCCGGCTTCGAAGACCCCAACTGGTTCCTGCAGAACATCCCGTTCCTGGATGTCCCCAGCCAGCAGATCCAAGATGTCTACTACTACCGCTGGCAGACTTACAAAGAGCACATCACCTACACCAGCTCCCAGTACGGCTACTTGCTCACCGAGTTTCTGACCCCGACCAGCTATGGCGCGCCGTACGGAGGTATTGTAGCCGCCGCGGGCCACCACATCATCGAAGGACGATGGATCCGAGACCAAAAGTACGGCAGGGACGAGGTCAATTACTGGCTGGCTGGCCCTGGGCAGTTTGCCAAGCCGCAAACCGACAACTACAACCTGGACACCTCTGACTGGGCACACGAATACAGCTTTTGGGCAGCCACGGCCGTGTGGCGCCAGTATCTCGTAACTGGCGACGCTGACTTTGCCATCAGCCAGCTGGACAATCTTGTCACGCAATATCGAGGCTGGGACAACCATTTCAACTCGGACCTCGGGCTCTACTGGCAGGTTCCGGTCTGGGATGCCACCGAATGCACGGCCGCCTCCTACCAGACGAGCGATCCCTACCACGGCGGTGCTGGATATCGACCGACTATCAACGGATATCAGTATGGAGATGCCCGGGCGATTGCGTCCTTGGCCACCCTCAAGGGAGATTCAGCCTTGGCTTCCGAGTACACGGGCCGGGCCAACGCGCTCCAGACTGCAATGCAGACTCATCTTTGGGACAGCGGGCGGCAGTTCTTTATGCACATGCAGCGAGACAACAACTCGGCTCAGCAGCTGCTCACCACTCGCGAATACATGGGCTTCATCCCGTGGATGTTTGACATGCCGCAGTCGGCCAACATTGCTGCCTTTTCCCAGCTCAAGGACTCGCAAGGCTTTGCGGCCACCTACGGCCCCACCACTGCCGAACGGCGAAGCCCGTATTACATGGACATGAATGCAAGCTGCCTCCAGTGGGATGGCCCGTCGTGGCCGTACGCCACCTCGCAGATCCTAACCGCCGTGGAATACGTCCTCAACGACTATCCGGCGCAGTCCTACATTACGGGCACTGATTACTACAACCTCCTTTCCGGCTACGCAGCCACGCAGTACAGGAACGGGGTGCCGTATGTCGCTGAAGCTCACAACCCCGACTCCAACTCGTGGATGTACGACACCTACAACCACAGCGAAGACTACAACCATTCCACCTACATCGACAACGTCATTGCCGGACTGCTTGGTCTACGCGGCCAGTCCAACAGTACGCTGACAGTCAACCCCCTCATCCCATCCTCGTGGGACTACTTTATGCTGGAGAATGTCGCATACCACGGCCACAACGTGACAGTCCTATGGGACAAGACTGGCCAGCACTACAACCAGGGCTCGGGTCTGCGGGTCTTTGTGGACGACGCCCTCGCGGCCAATCGTGATACGGTAGGGCTGCTCACCGTCAACATTGGCAGCACAGTTGCCCAGACCTTTGACTCCCAGGTCAACATCGCGGCCAACAGCCAAAAGTTCTCGCAGTACGCCACGCCATTCGCGTCCTACACCTCGCCATACGACGATGTCTGGAGGGCCGTCGACGGCATTGTCTTCCGTACCGCCGTTCCGCAAAACACCCGCTGGACTTCGTACAACAGCCCCAACGCCCAGGACTACTTTGGCGTGGATCTCCGACAGCCGCAGGCGGTTTCCAACGTCAAGCTCTTCTTCTACACCGACGGCGGCGGCGTCAAACTGCCCTCGAGCTACGACCTCCAGTACCTGTCCGGCAGCACCTGGGTCACCGTCCCCGGCCAGCAACGCAGCACATCTTCCACCACGTCGAATTCGCCGACGACAATCACCTTTCCCACAATCACCACCTCACAGCTGCGAGTCGTGGCCCCCAACGCCGGTGGTGGAACGGGCTGGGGTCTCTCCGAGTTTGAAGTGTGGGCTCCGGCCATCTTCAAGATCCAGAACAAGAACAGCGGCAAGCTCATGGGCGTTCAGAACGCGTCGACGGCCAACAGCGCAAACATCCAGCAGTACGACGACAACGGCACTCGCGATCATCTGTGGCAGCTGATCAAGGCGCCTGGTGGCTGGTACAAGATCAAGAACCTCAACAGCGGGCTCTTGCTGGCTGTCCAGGGGGCATCGACGGCCAACAGCGCGCAGCTGCAGCAGTACCAGGACAATGGGACCGACGACCATCTCTGGAGGGTAAAGTCGGATCCGAATGGGTATTTCATGATTCAGAACAAGAATAGCGGGCTGTTGGCTGGGGTGGACGGCGAGTCGACGGCGAATAGCGCCAATGTTGTCCAGTTCCAGGACAATGGGACGCCGGACCATTTGTGGAGCTTTCTTTCATCTGTTCCTGCCAGCTGAGATCTGATGTAGTTGGTATTGGGGTGAAGGATTGAGTGTATATAGCTTGAAGCTAGAACGTGCAAAGAATACGTGTATATAACTGCACTAGCAGAACTGAATTGTCCGTCCATGGAAAAGCGAGGTTGGATTTAATGAGACTTAGTGAATGTGAAATCGCTGCCACGGAATAAATTTCCATCTCATTGTGCCCTACTTATGGGCTGGCTCAAGAGTTATTGACTGTAGAAGAAACGGAGCATCTGTTATATATAAGACTAAGCGCTAGACACACATGGGATCATAGGTTCATGTAAGTGGTGGAAAATTGGATCGGCGTTTCCCGCTTTACTATATCGTGATATTTGCAAGGATAGGGCAATGGTATAAAAAGTCACAACCTTTATTTTCGCTTATTGCCGTTTCCAAGCGTTAAGGCCGACAATTTGAGCCCTCTGATGATTGCACGCGGTGATTCCTCGCCACACCTGATTTGTTGTTACATAACTAATTCAGAATCAAGGGTATTTTCTCCATTAAGGCATGTTAATTAATAAAAAGTCCGATAAATATCCCGAAAATAGAAGCGGCTTACTTGTACCGAGTTTGCCACCTTGCACCAACTGCTTGGCGAGCTTCCGAGCCGGTGAACCGCACCGCCAGGGGCCTGCCGAATAGGGCCAAAGAAGGGAAAAGAAAAAGTAATCATATCGCCACAAGAACACCACTGCCGTTGTTGTAAATGATGTGGGCAAGTCCGGTTTGTAGCTGCTATTGCTGATGCAATTGCTATTGCTTCTGATAAATTCAACGCCCGGAATTTATCCATTGTCTTTGCCATTTGGATCATGAGTCCAAACAAATAAAAAGACTATTCTATAGCTTTGGCGTTGCTATTTTTTCCTATTTTTTTGCACCCCTGCCCGTCATTCAGATACGAGCTCCGCTTTTCAACTGCGCCCGCTGACTATGCTTCAAACCTAGCTTGAAGTAAGCATGAACAACTCAGCAGATTCCCATCATTGGTGCAACAGGCGTTTGCAGAGTATCATTCTGCTGATATGACAGCTGAGATCTAGACGGCTGGTTACCTACCTACTGGAATTGGAACAGACAGCACGATACCTTCCTCTCTGTTACAAGTCAATACCTACAGCCTGGTACTGTGTTTCCCTATATGGCAGCCCGGGAGACTCAGGGGACGTCAGCCCTGCTGGAGCCACTTTTGGCACCGCAACTTGGAGAAGACTTGTAGGATATTGATGGAATATCCAGAGTATAAAGAGGCTTCAAATCGCCGGTAAAGGTGCGATATTGTACAAGACATCATCAATCAACAACCCATCCATCAATCACCCAAACTACAACTTCGCCATGCTCTTCTCACGAGACTTTATCCCCACTGTCCTGGCCATGGCCATGTCTGTGATGCATGCTGAGGCCGCCATCGCAATTGGAATTGCCTCGGGCTTCAACGGTACGTTGCATCTTTTATCCGTCGAAACATCTTCAACTCGCCTTCAAAAACTAACACTTCATGGCCAGTCATGTGGGTTGATGGCGATGACCCTTGCCGCTGGGACCGAATCAACGACCAAGGCCAGAACCCGTGCAACGTCCCCCTTGCCAACCCGCTCGACAACGGATTCAGCTACACGCTGCAGGGCTGCGGCGGCCCTCTGTGGCTGGACAACTCGGATGGTTCCTTTAACAGCAACTGCCACTCGGCGGTGGCTGACCTCAGCTGCAATGTGCACCGCACTTACATCTGCTCTTAGATGCCTGAGCCTGTGGATGGGTATTCTAGGAATTCACAACTGCTGGAGTTTATGCGAGGGATGGAACAAGTGAGATGTGAATAGTTTTAGTATTTATGAAGAGCATTGAGACTTGAAAGTAGTAAAAGTAATAATAAGAAAGATCTTGGAAAGGAAGCTCCTCTTCTTCTGTTGATATTTTTATGAAACCTCTAATGCAATGAGTAATCGAACCCACTGCAGATTATAGTCCTGATTTCCTCAGTTTTCACAGTTAAATATGATGTCTTCTCTCAGCTACCTGCCCAAGCAAGGTTCTTAGACACCCAAGTATCAATAAGGCACTGGCTCATAGAAGAAACTGGTACAATCAAGCGTAACAAGGATGCTGGTTGCTGGAAATGAGTGTCAAAAGTATGATAAAATTGGTCCACTACCCTTTAATTAACATTGACTTGAGGCCGCGTGATAGTTCGTCCTTCCGTCGCCGGTAACATTCTTGATTCATGTTTGTAGCGATCGACTCCCTGCGTAAGAGCAACATTAGTCATGGTTCAATGAATATGAGACCAGAGAGATTCTAGATTGAGTACTCCTGGGCAAACTAATTAGACAAATGAATGGGAATGGTTACCTTCAGCAGAGCATAGAGATATGGGACATGGACCACCGCACTCGCCCCAGTAGCTTCTTTTTCGCTGCTCTGGCCACCGGGCCCTTGACCACAAGATGTAAAGCCAGGAACTTTGTCCTTTTTAGCTGGGGACTTGACCCAGACATTGCCGAGAACAAAGCACGCAAAAACACTGAGCCCGAGTATTGGCAGAATGGAGACAAAGGCCCGCCCAACTGCGCCGCGACCTGCTGCCCTTACTGTGGCCTGCAACGCGCTGGGTAGTTGCCCAATGGCGTCCAGCGATTGAGTGTCCTGAGCACTGATTCCGCCGCCAATGGGTAAGACAAGAGAGGAGGCCGAAGAGAACTTGGAGTTGAAGACGGCGTTCATCATGGTCAACGCCAGGGTGCCTCCAAAGGGCATTGCAAAGCGCATCAGCGACATGGCCGGTGCCAATCGCTCAGGCCACACTCCGGCAATGTGCAGTGAAGCAGGCATGAAGCGCGAGCCAGTTCCCGCACCGGTCACCACCATCATGCCAGAGACAATTCGGGGCCGGCTTGCCAACACGGCCCAGGTCAAGACGCCGAGGCCGACTGCTTCTTCGACGGAGCCCAGAAGCAGCGGCCAAAATGTCTGGCCGGGGGATCGGTTGCACATGAACATTGCTGAGTAAACACCAACTGGTTATTGCAAAGGCATAAGGAGTTTCGTTCAGTTACAATACTCCCTCTTGGAGGTAAATCATGGAAAAGACTGACCTGCGATTCCTGGGATATAGTATAGTAATTGAATCCCTGCTTGCGAGGCGGGATTGCCCTCGACTAACGTGAAATAGATCCCCACAAAGTAAAACACGGCATACATGGCTGGAAGGGTGAATTTAGTTTAGGTTGGCCAAATAGAGCCAAAGAACAAAGAGGACGAATAAGAGAGAAGAAGAAAAAAAGGACAAAGAGATTGAAAGGGCTTGATAGAACAATGGCGGAAGGCGGGTCGATTTACTCACCAGCTCCGGCGGAGAACTGAATTACGGCTATGACAATTGTGTCCTTTCTGGAGAAGAGGCTTAACGGCAGCATAGGTGACTGCTGTGGAAACAGCCGTGCTACTATTCTGCCGTCTGATAATAGGAACTCGTATAGGAAGAACACGGGCAGCAGAGTGCCACCGACGATGATGGGCACCAGGACCTGTACAGAGTCCCACGGGTAAGTGCTCCCTCCCCAGGAAGTGCCGAGGATAATGAGGCCAACGGCAACAATGAATAAAACGACGCCGCCTATATCAAGAGTTGCCAAGGCTGGAAGGATGGCGGACCATGTAGAGCCTTTGTGGAAGTGGGTGCCCTCTAGCAGCTCGTTGCGCAGAATGAAGAAGAGAAGGATATGGGATACCACGGCGATCTGAGAGGTCAGTCGTGTTGAAGGCATGGAGAAGAAACTAGCTACAACGCTTCAATAGGTACTTACTGGGATGGGAATTACAAAGACATATCTCCAATTTGCCTAGAGTTGTCTTGTTAGCGCTTGTGACCAGGGTTAGGGTTTGACATTAGAGTATCAGCATATCTCATACATTTGTCAAATATCTGCGAATGACAAGAGGTTAGCTTGAAATTGGGACATTTATGGCGGACAACCAGCGAGCAGGGGCAGTCACGTACCCGCCAATTAGCGGACCAATGGCATATGTGCTCCCGGACACGATCGTGAAGAGAGTATTGTTCTTTGCGTTTTCTTCCAAGGTGACTTTATCGGCCAAGACGACGAGAATGATGCTGCTCAGGCCGGCCGAAGACAGCCCCTGCAATGCGCGGCCCAGCAGTAACACACTCCATGACTGCGCAGCGGCGCAGAGCACACTGCCAATCACTGTGAAGAACAGGGCCGCTTGCAACGAGATGTGGCGGCCAAAGACGTCTGCGAGCTGGCCGTAGAAGGGAATAAAGGCCGTCGAGGTGAGCGTGTAGGCTGTGATGATCCAGTTGAGCTGGTCGAACTTGTCTGCAAAGTATGTATGATTCAGTCGATGCGGCAGCGGTAAAGACAACAAACAGCAGCGGTAACAATAACGAAAAGACATCGTGGTATTGATGTTGTCGGCGATGCGGGTTGGGCACTTTGCTTACGGAAATGGGACGCGATAAAGGGCAAAGCTGTCGCGACGACGGTCAGATCCAGCGATGCTAGGAAATACGGCAGCACCAAGCCCGTAATCAGCTTGATCCGGTACTTTTTGCTGTTATGCTCGGGCTTCTTTGCGCATGTGCAGGCCTGTGTATTCTCTCCCTCCAGGGGTTGCATCATGATGGAGCCTGTCAAGCCAGCAGCGTCTGTTGGGGAGATGTCGTGTCGAGGACACCATTTGGCTTCATTATATGTAAGGGGCTGAGGAGTGTGGTCCCTTGATCCCTGAGACGATAATTGACTATAGACGTGGTCGCCGCCGCCGTGAGCCTGCTCGTGGTAGTAATCGTATTGGTGCGTTGACAGCAATTCTTCTGTAGCAGTCATCGTCGAGCGAGGTTTGGCAACCCGTTGAATCGTGGAAGATTGACTTTGGTAGCTTATGAAACGCCGCAGATGAAGGCCAAGTTGCAAATAATGTAGTTTTGAATGTAGTGTAGGACGCAGGTGTGGTGTAGAGCAGGACTTGTTTATATAGACAAGTCGACCATGTTTTCAGCCATGCGCATGGCTGTCATCTTGGAGACTACCATCCATGGGTGATTACATAGGACTTGATAGATACTCTTTGGAGAGCTTTGACAGCAGCACTTGTCTCGGAACAAAGGCATGTTTAGAGCTGTTGAGAGCATCACCAGTCCACATAATGGAAATCAAGTAAGCACTGCCACAAATAAACCTTGAAGGCGTAGTCTTCCTGGATAGAAAGGGGAGAGGAGGGAGTTCAACTTGGGTCTGAAAATAACGCCCAATCAAAGTCTTGGCGAGTTCTTCTTCCTATTTTAGAACACACCAGCTCTCACAATGATTCCGTTTTAGGCGAAGCGTCGGAGTCTCCAGTATCACGTTCCTGGGATTGTTAGCGGGGCGATGATCCCGATGGCTCTAATCTCTTTACGTACAAGTGCAGCAAGGTGACATTAGCAAGCTCTCAGAATGCTTCCTTTTTGGGTCTGGTAGATCTAATATGAGTAATGGATCGAGTATAGATGGATACGACAAGGAGTAAGCCTGAGATTTGTTGGGCTTTGCTCTACTGATGTTTGGCAGGAGATCAGGTCACCGCACCCAATATACAAGGTTAATTAGCAAAAGGTTTGTATTTAGCGGTTTTACAGCGTCTGGGATGATTATTTTGATATCTCGGAGAATATGCCTGCTTTTTCAATGAGCCGAGCACCAAGTCCACTTACTAGAACCAAGTATGTCATCAGCCACGTTGGCATGGGTCAATCTCGCATTAGATACCCAGAAAGGGAGCTTTAGCATACATGTCAGTCTGCTGGATAGATGCCTAAGCCACTTTCGCGTTTCAAGACCTGCTTGCTTTGTCAATAGTCGTGGAATAGATATAAATCTTCATTGTCACCGTCCATATTTAGTAGATATCGATTGGTATATATATCGGACGTCTTCATTTCGCTGTCTCTACGGATCAACGCTCAAACTCACAGCAAATCCCATCATGTCTCTTGCAAAGCTTGGTTTCATTTTACAATTGTTGGTGCTCGCAGGAGCCGATAGCAGACAGCCAGCTCCCCATCCTCCGCCCGCCCCAACGTTACGATTCCTCTATCACCTCAACAGCACTCTTGGGGAACCAGTCTCTTTTGGTCCAGGCCCAAGCGGTACAAAGCTCTCTATCCCTATTCTAGGCGGGACTGTTGAGGGCCCTAACATCTGTGGTACGTGTAGCGATATCGAATTCCAGGCCCTGGCCATGAAACATACTGATTACCATTTTCATCAGGCGAAATCATGGACGTCGGCGCAGATTGGGGGACCATTGACGCCAACGGCACCTTCAGAGCCGACGCACGATACCAGCTGCGGACCAATGATAGCGCAGACATCTTTATACACGTCACCGGCCCGACACAGCCAAATGGACTAGTCTTAAACCATGTCACGTTTGAGACTGGCAACGACAAGTACTTTTGGTTGAATAACATTGTTGCCGTGGGCATATCCACCTTGGGGCAGACTACAGTCGCAGTTGATGTCTGGGAGATGGTCAATAAATCTTGATCAGGAAATCGAGACCGAGGATAGAAGCGTTGATTGGGGTGTGACGAGTTGAGCCGTTTTGGCTGACACAACTAATGCGTTTTCCATAAAACTTCAAGTATTCCTTCTTGAATCTATGTTCTTTGAAACCTACATCACTCTGCGTTGTATACTTTAAGCAAGAGAAATTAATAAATGCGACTTCTTCCACATCCGGCAGATCAATCAAGAGTGAGATTTGGCCGTTGGCAGTCTTTCAAGGATACAACGTGGCTTATTAGTTGTAATTACTTGTTATATTGAAGCCCTGGACGTCACCCATATACCTCATCATCCTCTGGATCCAAGTTGATACCAGGTCATTGTATTCAAACTCGGTCAAGCTTTTTTTCTCCGTCTCTGATGCGGCTTGTACAGTCTGTAGACTCCGTGATTGCGTAGCCACCTGAGTATTGATATGGCCCATATGGCTGTTCAAACCGTCATCACCAGCACTGGTGTCCGACCAGATATCGATAGCGACGCCGGCTATTTGATTCTCACGCGGCTCCTGCGATTTGCCATCCGTTTCGGAGTCCAAGAGGAATGGAACATTACGAGTACTGAGACGAGGATCGTCATCCGGTATTGAGCGGAGAAGCTCGTGGTATATTTGCGCGATGCGAAGTGGAAAGATGAAGAAGTAAGCCCCGGCTGGTCCATGCTTCGGCTGCAGTAGGTAATCGGCGATGCGAAGTATATCCCGCGTAGCGTAATGGTCCGAATGAGCCTCATACGGAAAGACGAGTGCATTGTTGGTTTTGAAAGAGAACGGCGGAGGCAGCGTAGATGGAGGGCAATGATTGCCGTCACCACCTCTCACGTCATTATGTATGGATTCGGCGTCTTCAGGGAGATTAGAGAATATTCCTACGGCGTGGAGCAGTATCAGTTGGTCCATGATGCCTAGATCCCTTGCGAAGCTGTGGAGGAGCAACAAGCAGCTGTGATAAAAGTTCATCTCAATAGCCTGCATTAGGCTTTTAAAAAACAGCACGGTGTCGAATATCGGCCTCCCTGTCGTCTCATCCACCGACAAAAGGGGGCCGCTTTGCTGCACCGATATCTCGTAACAACAGTTGGGATGCTCCAATTCCCACCGCCAACGCACGTTGAGCAATTTTGTGTAAAGCTGTATGACTCTTTGCCGCATGGAATCTTGCAACTCCAACTCTGCTTTCTTTGCATCTTGCTGTCTGTTCTGGGCGCATGTGTCAGTGGCCGTGGTGTTTGTGGAGACTCGCTCCAACTCCCGAAGCCTTCCATCATCTTCCAGAAGGCCAGGGATGCAACAAATGATGTCTATGAAGTGACCGCGGAAAGATTTCTTGCCGGGGTCGTGGCTCCAGGGCACTTGTTGCCAGCAGGGCTCTTTTAAAAACGTCCTTTGCGACTCATCCATGTGTAGGACCATCTAAGTAGCGACATTTTAGTCAAAGAAGTCAAAGGAAAACTTGTTGTGCTTACAATGTGTGCCCTCGCTTGTTCAAAAGCTTGTCTCATGGGTTCACGACGAAATGCTCCTGGGCCGCATAATTCGATCAGGGCGGCCAATCCGCGGACGTGTTGCTTCCATGCATCCCTAGTTGAGCCCGAAACCCACTGCCCCCGTCTTGTTAACACGCAATAAGCAACCCGATATTGATCTAGCCCGAGTAGATCGAGACATCGCCCTGGGGCACACAACGAACCTCGAACAGAGTCATATTCATGATTGCCACGAGCAACGATGCATCGGCCATCACCGCCAACTCCCCTATACCGTATCCATGAGCGATCTGGGTCCGAAGTTGCTGTAATGCCATGCCAAACAGCTTAGTCGCCTGGTATACGCTCAGAGCATTCTGGGTAAGGCGTCCGTGCAGGATCAGCGCAGCAGCTTCGACGGAAATCTCCAGCACGGAAGATCGCTTATTAGGCTTAGAATAGCAGATCTGATTGAAACGTTGCCCAAAGCCCTGCGCTGTGAGGAGCTGCTGGATGAAGCGGCGAGCGTGCTCGGAGACGAGCGTCTGACTGGTGCCGGCAGCGAGGCCAGTGGTGCTAGGCGATGAAGAATAGAGTCGGGGGGAAGCAGGCTGCCTTGAAGGATTGGCAGGAAATGCACTCGTCAGTTCTGATGACAATGAATGGCTTGAAAGTCTGAACGAGTCGTTGTCCTCAGGCCTCGAGGACATAACAAGCCTTTTGTGTGCCACGCTGGGCGTTGCATTGATGAAGATGATGGGACGCTCATAGCCTTGGCACGTAAAGCCGCCTCTCTCACAGCGGCGGCAGGACGGATGGCGCTCATCTGGAGTTGGAGTTGTGCTCAGTCAACAAGAATGTTTTTGAAGATTGACAGGGGTTGATAAATAGCACGCACCGCAGCGGACATGGCGAGACTTGCAAGTGCCACAGGCCTTGCTGCGGCCTCCGACGCCAACCATTGCGAACTGATCTCCAAAGCACTTGATATATACTATCTCACGGCCTCTCGCTGGAAAGCATCTCTGGACCGATCGTGTACTGTCTGTGATGAGCGAGAGTTGACCACCCCTGAAGAGTCGGGTACTGTAGCAGTCCCACATTTATCAGCATGTAAGCAAGCTACCCCGAACCATTGTTTTTTCTCCATTCTCAAGTCATCTTGTCCTTCCCTTTCTGTTGGAAGAACTAGGATACCTTATGTATTGGTCCATCACTAGGCAGAGAGAAGTGGTCACTTCAACTTTTGCCAGAGCGGTCTGTTCAACACTTTCATATAATTAGCCTTTCCAAGTCAGAAATTTCTGTGTCGGCTGACTCTCCGCTTCCGCACCAGTTCAGGCTCCAGCGGAAGCCCATAATGATAGCTTTGGCTTCCTCTTGCGCTTGACATCTATCCATGGATTACCTTGCGAGACTGATGATCCAAATGGGATCAATAGATCAATGGAGCGATCTAAGGATTCATCTACGATTGGTAGATCGGTCCTGCGTTAACCCGGCCTGGCCTATAGTAAATATGTACTTGTAGTACTAATTCACACCGTCCACGAGAATCGCCTAGATGATTCAGATTTGAACAAAAAAACCACCAAGTCCTTATTATAGGTAGATTTAGACGGAAAAGAATGAAAGATGAATAATATAACATAATATAACTAAAACGCCATGCCCTATAGTAGACAATATATCTGGCATCGTCTCCTTAGTCGATAAAGCCCTATCCGTATTGGAGCGAATGTACGTCGATTCCTACATAATATCAACCAACAAATTAAAAGTGCGGAAGCGTTGCACCAATAGTGACATCAGCTCACACTTCCCCGCTCAGCATGTCTTCTGCTATTAAGAGGCATTTTCCTTCAGGCTGAATTATAAAAGTTGCACTGCTGTATAGCTATTCAATGTGACCCGGGTCATATTTGCGGTCTTCAAAACTACCTTTCTTCAACAACTGTTGAGTGGCCACGTGGATCTACCTTTATATACAGGTATATACCAAACGCATTCCGTTTGCTGAGCACACACACACTATCAGTCATAGATTCATCAAAGTCTCTGGAACAACAGCTTTAGCTGCGCAGTTGGCCATCAATAATTGAATATGGGTTCTGTATTGGCCGAAATATCTCTCTCTGATCTGGATACTCCTCCGCCAAGCAATGCCACCATTACGGGGCTTCAGCATATCGCTTCATACAACTGGCTTGAGGGATCCGTACCGACTATCTCGGTTCCAGGTAGGATATCTTCTGCGCCGCCTTAATGATCATATCTCACACATCAAGGTTCTCCGCCTCTTTGGTCACCACCACGAGTGGCTCCGAAGCTTACGCCTGATTCTGGCATGGTATATATTGACCAAAATGCGGCGCGCAGCCCCCGCTATCCTCTTGAGCCATTGTTCCGTGCTCTTCAGGCCGAGAATCCCGATTTCGAACTCGGAGATATAGACCTAGTTACCGATAGGAACAATATCCGCAAACTCTTGCGCTTCGTTCAAGGGTCCTCCTCTGACAACTTCGAGATTCGAGTTGAGATTGCTGGTGATAAGACAGCACTGTTTACACGCGTGGAGATTAAGACAAAGGACATTATCCAGGACTTCAGAGGGTTCGGACATAATTTTGAGAAAGCGTATACGAAAGGAATCCCTGGAAGTACTGGGCATCACAGAATAGTTCACTATCTCTTCGGCGGCATGAAATGCCTCATCCGGCACGAGACCGATGGGTTTATCGAGAGCAAAGTTAATCCGGATAGCATCCCACAAGCAGCGGTTGTATTTGATGGTGTGTTGGATCTTCTGGGAGCTGTCTCCATCTCTGAAACCGGCAAACCTACCAGCAAGCAGCTAGTAACTGTGATGAAGTCTAAGACCAGGCCAGTGGATTTGGCATCGACTCTCGAGATCAAGACTTGAGCTGCGAGTCGGATGCTTGACATGGCCGACGTCACTCCTCAACTCTGGATCTCGCAGACTCCGACCCTGGTCATTGGCTACCATCAATACCACATGTTCAACAATGTTCAGATGCGCAACGTCAAGCAGGAAATTCAGGATTGGGAAACTGCCAACCAGACGGCTCTGCGGAAGTTGGCATTGCTGATCAAGAAGATAAGCCAAGTGGTGGGGCGTAGCAGTGATCGCAATGCGATTGTAAAGTACAACGGCGGAACAAAATTAACAGTTACCAGCGGCAAGCAAGAACGAGCGCTACCCGAGGACCTATACTTGCTTTGGGACGTAAAGAAACAGGGTGCAGATGACGATATGGTACAAGATCGCGGCAAGGCCATCGATGAATCACATACAAAGTCATTAAGCTCGGTACCCGGTCTGGGGCATATCAAGAGAGATACGAACGACATTGCAGGCTCTGGGCAACCGTCAGGCGGCGTCTCAGCTCCGTTACCGACTCATGACACTATGCCTTTTTCCGACATTGTGGATCATGCAGTGCAGGATGGATTGCGGCAAGTTTTTCGTCGCATGTCGACGAGCCTCTCTGACTACCAATCTCTCTGCGAAACACTCAAGTCTCGCGGCATTGATGTACTTGCAGGACGCAACCTACGTGACATTATGAAAGATTTGAGAAAAGGAAAGGACGATTGGGATCCGGACGAGAGAAGGGAGATTAAAGGATTCAAAAGCCTAGCACGCGACTCCGCTTTCAGGCTCTTTTATATCTTTATCCTCGATTTGCGTGAGTCAGGGGCCAGCGATCAGAATATGGCCTACAACGCAACCACATTCGTCATCTCCCATCGTAGAATATTCAAATACAAAACTAGGAAAATGGTCCGACAAGCGTTTGAGATGCGGTATTCCATCTCATACAATCAGCGGAAAGGCCTAGACAAGTGGCCTATCGATAATCCTTCTCGTGGAAACGAGGAGGAGGAGGAGGATGTAACTACTGAGGAAGAGGATATCTATAGCTCCGATTGGTCATTTTGAAAGCGCAACCTAGAGATTGAATAGCGTCTAACTGCCGAGTTGTGCCTTTAATGCTTAGAATGGAAGACGTATGGGGACTTGGACGGAACACTTTAGGTGTTGATTAAGGTCATCCAGCCTGTAAGCGATGCTGTAGCCTAAAAGATCAGACATGTTTCAGCCTTGTAGCCTTCTTTAACGCCGTAATAAAATGAATGTCTATAGAAATGTCTTGATATTAATATACCAACTACCTCTATCTTCACGTCCTTGATCTGCCTTTGTATAATACTAGCTGTTGGGACGACAGCTTTACACACCCCTTGATACCAAGGAATCTTTACTGAACCTCGTCCAAATGAACAAAGATTGCGGGGCACAGAAGATACAACACTGTAGCTCCTATCTAGATCAGCAACGCCGAAACTATATGCCTGAATCGTCCTCGATGACGCTGTTGCTCGAGGTATATGACTTCCAGGCGGCGCATGTCGAATTCAGTGCATCGTAATCAAGGAGGTCGGCAATCTCTGACTCGCGCACTACCCATTGGAGGCCGAAACCCTCGCTCGTGTGCCAACCGATGTGGCAGTGCATCAGCCAGGCTCCCGGATTGTCCGTCTCAAAGGCGAGCACAAGGTAGCCTGACGCTGGCAGCATCGCGACGTCACGGCGCGGGGGATTGTCCGTGTTGAGAGTCACGCTGTCACTATAAGTGCCTGTACCCTGGGCCAAGACGTAGAAATCGAAGCCGTGCAAGTGGACTGGGTGTGGCACGGCAATTACCGTGCTGATGACAACATAAACCCATTCGTTGGCGTTGGGCAACGAGATGACGGCGTTGGACGTGTTGAAGGTGGTAGCACCGTTGTACACTTGCAATAAGGTTGGATCCTCCCAGTCAACTACCATGGTTGTGCTGTTCAAGAACCATTTGAATAGATTGTTACTGTTCTTGCTCACAGTTACTGCCTCGCCCACGGTGGTTGTCTGGCTCGAAACCGTTTTGGAGACATATGGTACTAGATTGGACGCATCCTCGTCCACGCAGTTATCTGTATACGAGTAGCCCGTCGTCGTAGGCGTGCCTGCGCTGCTGCCATAGTAGACGATGCCCCTGATGTCGTCCAAGTTGTTGTTGGATGAACAGGCGCTCTGGGGGATAGCCCGCATCCAGAAGTTATCGGCGACAGAGGACTGGTTGGCTGTGATTATGACATCGTAGCGCTGTCCTATAGGGGGGGAAATATATGTCAGTAGTGGTTCCTCACAAGAAATAATAAAGTCGAGAATACATACCGATTGCAATGTCCAAGACGCTTGTATTGTAAGGTATAATAGGAACGAGATCGCTGGAAATCACTTGCATGGTGTGATTATCAATAGAAAACTTAAAGTGCGTGTCGATAGCACCATTGACTAGACGCAGTCTATACGTTTTGCCCTCGGTAAATGACGTGTTAAACCGGTGACCGGCATCATCAAAGACGTTGGTGCCATTGATGAGGCCCGTCGTCAGTGTAGGAGGGCCGTTTGTCTCTGCTGATGCGTACAGCTCATCAGCGGTCTGGTGACTCCAGTCGTTGAGGAACAAAACGCCCAAATCCTCGTCATAGTTGGCAGTAGCAGGACCGTTGATAAGAATGCCTCCAAAGACACCTTCCCATGCTTGCAATCCAAAGTGAGAGTGGTACCATGTGGTTCCATACTGAGTGGCCTTCCAGGTATAGGTGATGCTGCTACCAGGAGGGGTGGGACATTGGGTAATGCTAACAACTCCATCGTTTTGGTTTGTATAATTCTGGCGGATGCCGTGAAAGTGGAGGCTGGTGCCGTTGGTACTCGTCGAGAGTGCATTGTTAACATGGACCACCACAGTATCACCCCAATCGGCAATGAGAGTAGGGCCGGGAATGCTGCCATTGAGTGCCTGCGCGTAGCGTGAGAAGCCATCAGGAGCTACCGTGCCATCGGTAAGCTCGAGCCAATATTCTCGAGTGACGCCAGTGTCAGGAGCCTCAGTGTAGTAGTCTGTCGAGATGTCAAAATCACACCACTCATTCCGAGTGGTGGCAGTATTGCCCGAGCACGAAGATCGGGGGTAGAGGTTGGGAGCCGCAGTTTTATCAAGTGAAGGAAACGCATACACAGCTCCAGAAAAGAGTGATGCCACAAGAAGAGGAGGCCACATCATGCTGAATAGGCCTATTGATGAACGAATGAAATTGTGATACGCTTGGAGCTGTGGCAATAAAGAATGAGTTGAAAAGATCTGTAGTTGAGATTGATGAATGAGAGTGACAAGCTTTTGATCAGATTGAATCAGGGCGTGGCACACTTCTTATACTCGTTTCTGGTCTTGCCAAGCTTGTATGCCATACAGTCCCTTGTTATTCTGTAGTCTAGAAGTATCTCCTATCACTTCCAAACACCATGGTGTTCATGCAATCAACTCTTTAGCTATACGCTGTCTCTATTCCGCATAGCCCAGTACCCCGTGGTAGCTAGAAGAAGCCTACGCAAACGTTTCTAAATCAGGATCTACCAGGGATATCAAGAACTCCTGGAATCGAGAACCCCTCGACGGCAAGGCAGATTTGTCCATACCCAAGTCAATTATTTCACATGTAAAATAATAATTTTTACTATCAGTGCATTCATACAGAAGTCGTCTTGAGGGCTTTGCAGTTGCGTAATTGGTTGCGTAATCGGCTGCCCGTTGTAACGGGACGGGTATAGTAGTTACGAGATTTTTTGGTTACAATCATGGTTCGGAGTAGCTTCTCATCTACGGCTTTCATTAAAAGTCAGGCGGTTTATGTGCGCAGTACAGTAGCGCGGCACGGCACGGTACAGCACAGCCTCGATATAAAGCTTCTCATGCTCAATTTGGCAAACTGAAACTGAAGAATAGGGCGTAGCTTTCGAAATAGTGATGACGCGGCTTTAAATATACATCTTTTTGGTTGGAGATCCCCTGAGTTGCAAAAATGGAAAACTCTTTCTGTACGGGCCAGCTATACTAGGTTGTTCGGTATGTGGGGGATATACGCGCTACAAGTATCCAGTTTTCCCCTTTCCGCGTAATCCCCTACACCGGCTGTGCAGGGTCGAATGGAACTACTAGCATGTAACCTGAAGCACAAACTACAATGGAAGTCTTATACGAGGATGTTGGATCTAAAGAATTGGCTGTAAAGACTTTGTAAATAAAAAACCGGAGTTGATTCTACAAATCCAAGTTTATAAATGAATGCACTAATATGTCCTTGAGGATGCAGGATGTAGAATATGTATCTAACCACGACTTGGCCAAGCTGGTTCTTTGAGAAAATTGTTATTCTTTTGGTTGAGAGAGATGTGCAGTTACATATTTTGTACTTGTTTATATTGTAAGACTTATTATGAGTCATGATACATGTTTCCTATGCTATTTTGGTCACAACTCTTTACCTTGCAATTGGGATAAAAGTTTATCCTGTCCAATCGTATAACATACCGTTGCCGTACATTGACGCGTGGCCTATAACACACGGGGTAGATTGTAGAAAGAGAATAGTGAAGTTGTCAAGTTTTGGATAACCACGCATGAAAGAAAAAGTAATATTTCATTTTACAGCGGCCTTGTATAAAAGAGAAGATCGCCACCTGGAAATGGTGGAATGTTTCTTTTGTTTCTTCAACTTACTTTACTAGACTTTTTAGAGATTATGCCTCTCCCAAGTTATCTTTAAAGGCTGATGACTCCTGGTACCATTGGTATTACTCTCACTGTTGTTACCATCATTCTCATTGGCTGATATATATTGATTTCAAATTTACCATCTTTGCTGTGAGTTTGCCCGCTTTCTTGTAGAATTTCCATTATGAAGACAAGTCGCATAGCATCTCGATGTTGTTATAGTAATGCCGCGGTCTGCTGATTACCTCATGAGCATGAAGCTAAGCCATAAAGTGCCAATGCATAGAGTAAATAGGTTGTCTGGATGAATACTACGGCTTGCACAGACTCTAGCTGCGACATTTTCCGAGAATATTGAAAAGAGATTGGGATAGCCACCAAGCTCAAGATCAAATAGCTGATGGAATACACGTTGCTTCAACTTGGCTTCGCGCTAGGAGATAACCTGTAGAAATATGATGAATGGAAAATCGTCGTCATTCTTTTTACAGTGGTGTATATAGTCTCTGTGATCGTCACCAGGTTGTGAGACTACATTCAAGAAGTATAAGCCCAATACCGCTGTTTTGCTTGTAACTTGGCCGCGGACACTCATCCAGCATTCAATACTAAGAAAATAAATCAAGTCTCGAATTACATCTAGATTATCTCTGTTAGTTTATTGATTTTTATTAATTTCACTTTCTTTAGGTCGTGAAGAGTCGGACTTTAGCATTAGAAGCATGTTGAAAGACTCAACTGGATCTAGTTTGCAAAGAAAGTTGGTTCAAATATCGCAAGCCCAACTAATGGCAGCTGTCCCCACTATATCACCCAGATGGGCTAGATTTAGGTAGTAAGAGCGCTAAAGTTAAAACAAGTGTCAGAATCTCCCCGCAAGTTCTCAGCGACAAATCTACAAGCAACAACATTGCGAAATCATGTAGTGCTACAAAGCCTGCTTGGGGACCAATCTTTTGATGCTGCAAAGGATGAGTACCTCTAGCCCATTAGCAGATGCCTCCTCTGGAAAGTCGCCAATTGGGGGCGCAAAGCGATCCTGCGACCAATGCAAGCTTCGCAAAATCAGGGCAAGTTTGACAATGAGACTCAGCTGTCCAAATCGCTGACTCCAGGCACAGTGCGACTTCTTGCAGCCGTGTAAGATGTGTCTCGCTCGTGGATTTGAATGCACATATCTGAAGCCCCAGAAGAAGCGTGGGCCTGCTGGAAAGTAGGTTCTCGGGCCATGATCCAGACTCTGGCGTTTTCTGACATGTCCGCCAGGCGTCTTGCGCAGATTCACCAGGACCAAGGCCGTTTGCAGCACAAGGAAAACTTGGAACAATATGCTGAAATGGTGGCAACCCATCCATCAGAGTCAGCTGAGGCAGCCAGCAGTGATACGACTTCGACTCCATCTCTGCCGATACCAGGATCCAACTGGTCTCGAGAATTTGATAGCCGTCTTACCGTGACAGATCACGAACCACAGCATGTGTCTGACATTGTGAGCCCTACTTTTGCAAATGACCTGCCAATATCCAATGCAGGTGATGTCGACATCTTCAGCCATGGTCAAGATACAGAGTACTGGCCACCAGATAGAGCGACGCCTCAAGTACCACCGTCTGGCTTCCCGTGGGGAGGCTCATTCATAGACTTTGCAGCACTCCCACCGGTGATTGATATCAACTTTCAAGACAACAATACAAACCCGACAAGCACGCGTCCGTATGATCTGGCAGCTCGAGACCAGTTTGGGGGTACTATCCCTCATTGGCCGGGCTACATCAGCGAGGCCAGCTTGATTCCATGGATGGATGTCTATTTCGATAGACTTCATCCGACAATGCCAGTCTTGAACCGATCTACACTATTCACCAAGATGTATCTCCAAGAGCATCGCCATAATCCTTTATTTGGTTCCATGATCCTGGCTCTTTGTGCATTCGCCATCACCCAGCCCATTTTCATCAGCGAACGGCCCACGTCCTCTTCGCGGGAGCGTCAGGCGAAGCTATTGATGAACGAAGCTATGAAGATGCGTAGTTTTTTTGACTTTGGCGAAAGGCCAACATTGGAAGCCGTCATGACGAGCTTCTTCCTCTTTGGCTCCCTCTTTGGCACTAACCAGCATAATGCCGCCTGGCTTCGTTTGCGAGAAACCATCGATTTGGCTCAGACAATGGGATTAGATGACTCGAATGCGTACCAGGGGGCACTTGGCGAAGAGACTGATCAGAATCTGCGCGCATACATGGTTTTGTTTATTACGGAGAGGTTGGCATGCTTGTTGGAATACCCTGATTTCGCAGACTGACATGAGTTTTACAGGGCATATTCGATTCAAAAACGACATCCCATCACCTTGAAGCAAATGCGTGACTCAGTGCCGTGCATCTCAGATGATCTCTTGAGCAGCTCTTCACATGGCCTTCTCTCGGGAATGATTGTGTTTAACGAGAAAGACGCCGCCGCATTGATGGGACTGTCGGCGCTCATGCAGCTTTTTAGCGCTATTCAAGATGAAAACATCGATTGCTGGAACGCTACGTGCGCAGCTACTCGTGGAGGTTGCCCCAAATCCAATGAAGAGACAGTTTTGCTGGTGTACGAGAAGCTTGAGCGCGCCCAGGGCCGACATCTGTATAGCCACTACGACCGTCTCATCCTAGATGACCAACCACTCGATGATGTGGCTGGGGATGTGCTTAATGGACAGACCATTGTCACTCAGCACGCAGACATACTGGTAACGCAAAAATGGCTTCAGAACCGGCTCTGGTATCTCTGCTTGGCACACAACCTGCTGAAATTGCAATCACCCCACCCCGAGCTACAGTTCGACTATGCTGTCCACTTGGCGGAATCTACGTTGGCTCTGTGCCAGAAGCTGCCGTTGAGTTTTATGGAAGCACACGGCGTAGGATTGGTGAGCATCTATATTTGGGTTTCTTTATATATCATACACGCTGCTGACAAATGATATCAGATTGAGAAGCTCTACGACATTTCCACGACGGCTGTTACTGTTCTGGGTAACCCAGCCTACCCGATGGAGCGGCCTTCACCAAACGCAGCTCTTTTGCAGCCCTCCATCTCCCTAGACAATGGGAAGCAAGGCGTCGAAACTGCCCAACATAAGCTCATCTATCAATATTTCAAGGTGTTTAGCATTCTTCGAGGCGGTAACCACCCGTATCTGGCAAAGTACGTGGCTCATCTTCACTCCCTTGGATTCAACACGCCAAATCCGGAAGCACACTGAGCTGGTCATACATGGCCAGCTATATACTTGATGCTACTAAAGCGCACTTTTACATGCGTTGTGGGCGACAAGGTAGCGAAATAATTCTCCATAGTGGGCCTGACTAGGTCTCCTAGTAGGATTCCACTGTATGTAATATAATGATTGTTCAATCATCTTTTATTTTCTATCAACATCTCCATCTATCGAGCCGTTTCTAGGGCCTTTGATAGATTGCTCTGAATATGAATGATAATCTACATGTATTGCCAAGACATATTCACCGTGTCACATTGGTCTCCGAAATAGCTATCCTGATTTTATGTCTCATAAAATATCGAGGGCCTCAGCTCCCACCCCACGCAACGCGATATTATTGGCTCATTTCCTGTTGAACCTTCAGTATACTTGACGAATGGCTGCAAACCGTAGCACTGGCCAGTCTCGGGATAGATACGGGTTGTTATAACAACGCGCTCGTTGACAAAAATCTCAAGCACACTGACGTCAAAGAAAATACGAATATCCAACGTCTCTTGGTCTTTTTTGCCGGTAACGGGGTCTCGTGTAGTGAAGAGAGTGTGTGGTGCAAATTCTGGACTGTCATTTATACCATTTGTCTCGTTGTGTCCTGAGTTGACACCATGTCGCTCCACCACTATATATTCTTCAGATGGCTGAAAGAAGATGGTTGTCTTGCTTACAAGATCTTATCGTAGTTAGCTAACACGGTAACAGATTAAATATTCTCAGGCATCTTACCATCAGAGTGATACAATATGAGACCAATTTTCTCTGAAGTTGGTGGAACCGACAAGGAGATCTCTGCCTCAAATTGGCGTGCTTTGAGAGCTAGGAAGCCAAGTGTATTCTGAGTTTTTGAGTAGCTGCAACCATTCATCGTAGGTGCAGAAGACAGGCCTAGCTCTTTCTGGCGTAAAACCGACAAACGGGGATCAGGAAAAGAAGCAAGAGTTGTAATGCTGTAAGAGCCATCAAGATCAGGGGCGCAATGAAGCCAATCCAGACACCTCAAATCCGAACGGCTAGCAGCGACTACATTCTTGATCTGTCTCATCTTGAGGATACGAGACAAGGATAACATACCGCTCCACCCTTGTTTATTTGCCAAGCGAGCAGGTAAATCTTCTTCAAGAATCCAACCATGAACTACTCGACTGTCTGTTAATGTATCGTAGAATGAGTTTGCAGCATAGTACAGCCCATGGTCAAGGCGGCCGCCAAATCGAAACTCGAATCCCAGTGCTTGACTCTTGGTACCCTCTGTGGGTGTTTGTTCTGTCAACCTTGGCCGGCCGCAAAGCCAGTTCTGTATTTTGTTTGACCTTTGTGCTTTGCCAGCCTTGTTGCCTTGACTCTTGGTATCTAGGAACGAAGGCGTCTTCGTTTCATGGGCGCCCTCTATACTCATCAACAGGATGTCGTAGGACTCGCCATCATTGTCTCCAAGTGTCATAAAATTGGTCACCTCAAAATTAGTGCCAAAATCTGACAGCTTCTTTGAAGGCTTGAAATTCTGCCCTGGAGTGAATAACGTGCAAACAAAGCTCCACTGAGTAAGATCCCGTGCATCAATAGAGTATAGAAACACTGCGGGTGACCGATGGCGGATTCCTCCCGCAACAACTCCGTACAAATACTCTCCGCTGCTACGGCCGAGGCATCGATCGATAGAGTCCCATGTTCCGATGAAGGGATCGCGCCACCCTATCACGTCCAACCCTTTCGGAGGACCTGCAACAATAGAAGATGGGTGACGCTTCCAAGTTCGACCATGGTCCCTAGACGTTGCCATGCGGATGAGTTCGCTGCCCTTTTCGTAAGGTAATGTCCAATGTATTGGTGAATGTTGGGCAGAAGTATAAAAGGTTGTTATGGTGCCATCGTCTTGACCGCGGGGGTTAGTTGGCCAAGTACAACCTGTGAATACGCCGCAAGGATCTTCAGTTTCAGAGGGCTTCATCGAAGGCTCCCTAGAAACTACCCAGTGTACCTGGTCTTGAGATGTTGCATGTCCCCAGGACATATTTCCCCATTCGCATCCAAATGGATTCCATTGGAAAGACATCTGATAGCATCGTCCTGACGGGCTGTAACCTGGACCGCACGGATCATTGACCCAGTAACGAGGCGGCATCAAGTGATACCTTGGCCTCCATCGATTGAAACTTGCCTGGTCTGTGGTAGGTCCGATGCTCTGATTGTCAGAGTGTGCAAAGGAGTTTGAGACATGAGGCCGGTCCTTGGGGTTGGGACTCAGCACAGGTGCAGTGCGTATAGTGGCCACTAGGAGAGACATTTTATGGCAGGGAACTTTGCGTGGACCTTGAGCCAGATCTAGTGGTGCTTGGCGTCTTGTTGAGTTGTAAATATGACAGACAGACGTGGGTGAAAGAAGGTGATGCCAAACGAGTTGTCAAGTTGTAGAAGAGTCGTAACTGCTCAATCAATGCATAAGAGGACAAGAAATGAACAAGAGTTTAGTTTTTGGTAGTGTATGTGACATCTCCCTCTTTTACTCATATGAAACCTCGGGTTTTCTGTTCGAGCGGACAATTTTCGGCGAAAGGTAAGCTTTCCAAGGTCATCAGTATGGGGCAGAGTCAATAGCTTGTTTTGGCGTATTGTGAGGTTTAGTTTTATTCTCCACTACATAGGCTAGTTACGAATAATCACATCTAGACAATAGTACAGCAGGAGCTGCTGGTTTATATGGTACGTTTCAATGGAAAAGCCAAAATCTGGGGTTGTCAATCTATTTTGGGGGGAATGGAGCTGGGGACTGGTTTCTAAAGAGGCTTTATACATGTAGTGATGCATTTTTGCACCGAATCAGGCCTCCGGTATCGATGGTATCCGCCGGAAAGGTTTATTTGCTTAGCATATAGATTACGTACTTTGAGAGAATTCCAACTTCGCCGGTCTTCTTAAAAGACTCCATGAATGACATAATTCCAATGGTATTTTGAGTCTCGGTGAAACTCATGCAGAGGAGGAGGCAGAATAGTCCAGGGCGGCGAATTTTCGGCGAAACTGGCCAGCCAATCAGGATTCTGATGCTGCATCCCCGCGTCTCCGCCATATGTACCCCAGAGAAAATTCCCCATCCGGGGTCAGTCGTGGTGTCCTGATATTAATCCGAGTTAGATGTAAGAAGCCTAGAGGCTAGGTGAGATTCCCAGATATATATATACCAGTACGGAATCTACACAGCTCGTCGAGATGCTCATTCACAACTCCAATCGTCGCTTTGGGTTTGCCTGACCCGGATCCAAAAGCGTCTCGTTCAGTTCTTTGCTAAAACTGGCAGCTTCTTCTCTGTGGCTGGAAACTTGAGAAGTGTTCCCAAGCAGGAAACAAAATGGCCACCAACGACAACAACCAGGCGACAGCCGAGCCCAAACTCGAGGTGTGTAACGTTGAGGAGATACCAGCTGCTGGAGTCTTGGCTCCTGTGCGACCAGACGAGGGGGCCATCAATTTGACGCTGCTCTTGTCATGTCTCGCTTTCGGCGCCTCGTCTTTCTTATTCGGCTACGATGATAGAGTCATCTCACCTGTTGCCGCAACACCAGCATTTGTAAGTCCCTAGCCTTTTTATTATAACTCAGAGTTGAAAGTCGTTGACTGGTTCTTTAGGTGAGGTTACTTCAAGGCTATGCCGGTGGTAACAATGACCTTTCCTTGACAGCACGCAATCAGGATCTAGTCTTCTCTGTCCCTCTGGTTGGATCAGTCATTGGCGGCCTGGCCACGACGCCCTTGACCAATCGCTTTGGCCGAAAGTGGACGCTCATTGGATCCTACGTGTTTTCATTGTTGGGAGCCTTCTTGCAAGTATTCGCGCCAAACTTGGCCGCCTTCGTCATCGGCCGTTTCTGCAGTGCCTTTGTCATTGGGATAGCGCACACCATCGCACCACTATATCTTTGCGAAGTTGTGCCTACATCAATGAGAGGCCGCAGTGTACAAATCTACAATATCCTCAACATCTTCTCAGGCGTGATTGCCACGATTGTCGCAAACGCCACCCACGCCATCGATGGACCAAAGGCTTATCAAATTCCCTTGTCTATCGAAGCTGGACTTCCTGCGCTGCTGTTCTTCCTGACTCTTGGCATTCCTGAGAGCCCTCAATGGCTCGTATCCAAGGGCCGTATGGAGGAGGCTAAGAAGAACCTACGACGCCTGCGCGGCTTTTCCGACCTTCAGTTAGAGGATGAGTTTCGCGTCATTGTTCTTTGCGAGGAAAATGAACGCGAGCTGTCATCCAACGTGCATTTCTGGGACCTTTTCAATCGAGAGAACTTTAAGAGAACCATCACCGCGGGGTCGTTCTATTCGCTTAATCAGGTCTCGGGCGTGATCCTGTCGACGACATATACCACCGTCTTCCTCAGCCAGTTGGGCGTGGGCAATGCGTTTGTCCTTACGATTATAGCTTCCCTCTGCAATCTGGCCGGAGCCATCGTTGCGCCCATGGTTCTCGATCTTTACGGGCGTCGCCCGACAGCATTGTGGGGGATGGTGTTTCTCTTCTGCCTCGACGCCGTGGCTGGAGCATTGGCCTTCTTCCCCGATAACAGGAACGCCCTCTTGACAATCGCCGCGTTGGGATTCATCTTCAATTTCTTCTGGGCATTATCTTTCCTCTCTGTCTCAGTGCTGCTCCCGCCCGAGATCTCAACGCCGAAGCTGCGGTCTCACACCATGGCTTATACCGTGGCATGTTGCCAGACCACAGCCGTCATTACAACTTTCGCCGTGCCTCAGCTTACATCAGCCGATGCGGCCAACCTTGGTGCAAAGACCTATCTTGTCTTTGCTGGCTGTATGGCCTGCGTGATTGTCTGGAGTTATCTGCTGATGCCTGAGACCAAGGGCCGGACCTATGCCGAAATCGATGAAATGTACGATAAGAAGGTTCCTATGCGGAAGTGGAGTACATATGAGACCTCGACTGAAGCAAAACAAGGCAGCCTAATGGCTGGAAATACTATTAGAAAGCGGGTGAATACTGAAGTATAAATTTATTGATGTATAAGAAGCTATAGCAACAGCAGAGATGGGGTTTAATAATTACACCTAGTAGTGCTGCTGCTGAGGTTGTGTATGTCAGGGAGGTTCTTATGCAAATTCACAGCACCTAAGTAGAGTAAAAACATTAGCTGGAACTCGGGGTCCTGTGAAGTTATTTATCGCGGGTTAGGGTCTGCCATTTTTGAAGTCCTGAGGTTCTTAATTTGGAGTCACATGGCTGTGCTTGAAGTTGTTGCTTGAACGTGAGCCTAGAATCTACGATAACGCCTAGCCAAGTGATTAAGTCTTGAGGCACGAGGGTTCGTTCCTTGGCTTGATTGGCGGAAGATGGTCTTCTCTCTTTCAGGAGAAAAGGATGAGCTCAGCCCTGGCTGGATCGAATGTGATTGCCTTCCTTCCTTGGGATAATTTCCGCTCAAGCATCCGTTGTAGGGCCTCGCCAGCTTCTCTAGAGTCTTTGCATCCTGCGATGTCATCAGCTTACATGCAGCCGAAGCAAAGCCGGGCAGGCTTGATGGCCTCATCTAAGAGAAAGGAGGAGACAAAGAGCATGGATAAGATTGGGCTCGCCAGGGAGACTTGCGGCGTACTGCACCGCAGTTCGAGGCAAGAGAGTAGTTGTCTTTCATCAGTTGTCTTGAATGTGACGGAGCGGCTTGTGAGAAAAGAGGCCGTCCAGCGTATCATCTGGTGTGGGGAGCACTGCTTCTGGCAAATGGTCGCTCGAGACCCTTGCTGATGCATGAGAGGAGCCACCCTTTAGGCTCGGTGTTCCGGAAAATATAGGGATGGTAGCCGACTATAAGGCAGCTTTGGTATAGAGCGGTGACTATTGTCTTGATGGCAGGCCACCCTGCTTTTAGGAGCCGGACGGTAACGCCGTCTCCGCCAGGCGTTGCCTGCGCTTAGCATGGCTTCAGCTGCCTTGGCGATTGAGTACAGGGAGTCCTGCAATAGGCTTGCCCATTCAGTCGACCTGGCCGTTCCTTTTAATCCGTCGGGTATGGCATCCAAGAGAGGTTGGCTCGTGCGGTCCCTGGCAATTGATGCATTCAGCTATTATTAATCACGCCCCGTGTTCTTTTTACCACACGTTATGCAGCGGGCTGATTCAATTAGACCCAGCTCTAGTAGCATCGAGAGTCTCGTCACATATCATTGTGTCCTATCCATAACTTCGTCCACAATAACAAAAATCAAACACCATGTTGGATCATAAATACGCTGCTATTGATGTAGACCAGAAATGGCCTCATCAATCGCATGATGAATCAATGGAAATTTCCATCTCGTAATGCCACAATGGACATCTCCATACGAGCCCAAGCTGTGCACAAGGACGACTTTCCGTCTCATCGGCTCGTCGGCACGCTTGTGCAAGTAAGCTAGCCCCAAGAGGCTTCAGGATTCAGGAGGGACGCTGAGATGGTGTGTCCATGTAACCAATTGGATGAGAAAGTAGGTATTACCTTTGGAGCTAGGAACTATTGCCGGCACATAATTATACTATCCCGCACACCCGATTGGACTAACTCGTCTAGGGTACGACCACCCTCGCCGACTGCGACACTGAAGGTTTGCCTTTGGGATTCCCATCATACGTTGCGATGTAGTAATGGAAGAAATGGCTTACAATAACGCAGCGGACTTATGTCTAGCTGTGCTGTGGGATTGCAAGTGGGGAAAGCATCTTGGTGAATCCCATGGCGCTGTAACAACGACGGGGACGTTATCTGCCCTGGTTTAGGCTGATCTGTTACTGGGTCGATTTCTGATAAAACGTAATTCTGACGAGAGCATCGAATGAATCCATACTCCTTCATGATAGCTCTGTCGTATACAATCCAATAGGAATGATTAGAATATATTGAAAGGATTGGAATGCATTCAAAGATACGACAGAAACACTGGGAAAGGATTAGGAAGAGGGGGAGAGAGGGATCCTTTGTAGTCCTTGGGTATATGAGCTCGCGAGCTTGATTTTCAAACATCTCCGTTATAGGCAATTGAATAGGATTGGAAAGCATTAAGAGACACTGAAAAACACTGGCAAAGGATTGGGAAGAGGGGAAGAGAAGAATCCTTTGGGATTCTTCGGTATATTGGCCAGCGAGCTTGATTTTATAACCATAAAGAAAACTATAAGTAACGAGAAAATCTTCCCCTTTTCTCTTTCATCTTGCCTCATCTCATCAACTACACACGATTTCTACCATCACCAACCTTTTACTTATCAGCCAATTTCCAACCAACATTCTCAGCAAAAATGCATTTCAATCTAGCCATTGGCACAATCCTCTCAGCAGCCTTGTTCTGCACTACTCACGCAACATTGTTTGAAACAAATGAAGACATCGATTCTCTCAAGAGCAAAAGCCAACTTGTGGCTCGCTCCGCTGCGGCACATGTTGTTTGTGAAGCAGGGCTGAGCGATACGAATATTTGCGAGAACACCTACTGTGCTTGTTCTGGAGACACCATTTTCTGTGTCCCAGGCGTTACATGTTTGAGCACCTGTGTGTGTGCTGTTTGATCCCGGTATGTGCTCCTCAATGGTATAAAGGTTGACACAGTACTCTAGTATTAATTTTCCATAGGAACGGAATGGCTGTTAGATATCTCAGTCTTGATAAGGTTTTTTCCATTTGACTGGTTTCCCTTATCTTTGAATGAATGATAAGATTAGATATCTAGAAATAGCAAGAGTTATAATAAAAGGTTGATCCAAGATTTCTTTTCTTGTGCAATGCAGCAAATCGTTCATAAATTCACTTTCATATTTCTGTTTTAGTATGAGGATTTCTTAGTATAATATTCGCTGAGGTAGGAAGTAAGCTAGACTAAAGCGGGGGTTAAGGGAACGGGCCGTCTATTAGCGTTTTATTTTAGGTATCCGTACCTGTAGTTAAATCGGCTTCCAGTTGCCCCGCGAATACGCTGAATCGGATCTTGTACTAGTATCTCCAGTTGCCAGAGCTTGCGTGAACAAAGTTTGCCCAATCTCATCTAGTGTATCTTGCAACACATAAATTCAGCGCCGCATGAGTTGGTTGCAAATAAGTTGCGCGTGGTTCAGCAATTGCGCCCATAAACCAGTGTTTTACAAGTTTTGTTGTTTTCATCTCAAGAGTGTTGCGCCAATGGGCGGTACCGCTGCTGAACTTGTGTGTATCAGGGAGTAATAGTAGCGTCTTTTCGTCTATTCTAATGGACAGCAACTAAGTAGAAGCAGAAAAGTAAGAGCTACAATATAAGGACTACAGAGTAATAGGTAGACTCTGTTACATTTCTTTTCTAAAACAAAATTAAGAAGTTGGTAGAAGCAATGGAAGTAGAAAATACCTGCATGATGTAAGTCATGTAGCCCATTACTTACAAGATATGCTAAACGGCGCGCAAGACATACGTGTACATAAGAGGCAAGTAAGCACCTCAGGATTATAGTCAACTGTGACAGGATATGTGCTTACATAAAATTCGTTCTTGATACATAGCCACACAACATCCCAAACTTTCACCACGAATAAGGACCAAATTGGATTCTGAAGCGTATATCGATAGTATTTTTTCGGAAATAGTAACCAAGTTGGCTATAACAAGGTATATGCATCGCCATTCCTAAGGGACTTTTATCGGCCAACTATCGGCCAACCTTTGTTCTCTTTCTCCTGTCGTTTAGACCAAAAAAAGTAAATTGATTGTTACCGACTGCGAGAGTCGTAATGTTTGCAATTCATGAAACATCCCCAAGAGAAGAAGGTATCAACCCTATGAGAATATCTTGCGTAATAACAATTATGGAGATGCGCAAAGAATCCTACCATCAACGCTTGACAGCTGCAGGTATGATGCAATGAATCCGCACCTACCTAGGTACTCTTGATGTAGCAAGTCGTGCGATGAATCTGCTGCAAGCACTTGAAAATGTCATGAATGAATAGAGTAGAAATGAAAGTCACCCTACAAGGCGGAGAGTACAGTAACACCATACCAAAAACACGTGGAGCTGGGCGAGAGCTAGAAGGGGTAGAACTTTCGAAACTGCTGAACAAGCCTCGCTAGGACTCTAGGCAGCCATGAAGGATTCTGACTATGACTCTATGCGAACAGACTATGCCATTTAAATGTCTAGAACTTTATTTAATACCTCCTTTGTAATTTATATTCGGTCAGGTGCTATCTCTTTTGACAAGGGTCGAACCAACGCTTGGTATCATTGACAGCCGTTTTGACACCTAGCGTGGTATTTCAGTGGACGCAGGCCGTACCGTATTAAGAATTGCACCAGGTACTATATCATAAGGGAAAGGAAGAAATAAATTCCGTGTCAGTTCTGGTGTCAGAGTGGGATATTGGATGCGCCATATGTGGAAATGGCATGCATACGTTCATGAACATTGTGGTGGCCGCTTCATCGACATCAGTGTCTGAGAGATATCGCCTGAGAAAGGCTTCTGGAAAGTTGGGAAACAAAAAACATGGCGAAAAACAGACGCTCCTAGAAGTAAGATGTTCAGAATTAATTAAAAGAAATATAATATAACTGGCGCGTGATGGAGTAGTTACAGCAAGCAGGCGATACTGCAGCCAATAACGGGCAGGCCGTCGCAATTCACACGGAGATCCCGTATTGCCAAGATACTGAGAATGGTTTATCCCGTTTCTATTTCTTGATATGAGCTGCCTCTTTTCGATTAGTTATTCGGATTTACTACATTCCGAAGTAATTCAACCTATTATTAGCCGTATATGAATCCTTCGTTGCAGGGTCACACGAACACGGTGCGGAACTAAAGAGAACTAGCAACCAACATGCATATCAGCAGCCAGTACGCATTCAACTCCTTGTTTACCGGGCACAGCTCCCAGCCTGTCCTATCATATATAAACAGGCGGTAACCCCTCCCAATCCTCCATGCAGGAACGGATTATGATCAAATGCAATAACTTACATTGGTTCAATATGGCAGTCGTAATTGATCCACCAGTGCTTCGAGAACTTGCTACAATACTCGAAAATGTCGATTATTTCCAACATCCTGATGAATCAGACTTCGAAAGATGTCGAGCATTCAAAAAAGACAACATGGGTCGCTGCACAGTTCGCGTGAGGCAAGAGCAGGATCAAATTGATAGTCTTTTGTCTCAATTTCGGAGTATGACAAAATGTGTCGACACCAAAGGCCTGCATGACCAAATGCGAACATTCATTACTCTGACACACTGCAAAAGATATCATCTTTGCGAGGCTCTTGAGGCTTTTGATACATGGAAAAGGAAGCGGAAAGAAGCCATCTCGAATATACGGCCAGTAACTCCACCAAGGAGTGTGACATCACACAATGGTTCTTTCGAATATGACTCCGATACCAATAGCATGTCATTTTCTAGCCTTGAGAGAGGCAGTCCAGATTGTGACAAGTCTACATTGGATTCTCATATTGAAGACAGAATGAGGGTTTTAAAAATCGCTACATCTACGCGCCACGCTAGCACACAGACAGGGGACAATGGCATTGACGAAATCGACAGAGAAAAGTTTGAGAGACTGGTCGGTGATGTTCATTTCCCGAAACAAGGGAAAGATTACAATCATGGAAAAATATCTCAAACGATACAAAAAGGTTTTAGTGAGAAACGACAGGCCGGTATTCTCTATGTCCTTGGGCATACCAAGATACCTGGTTTATTCAAGATTGGACAATCAAAATTCCCTAAAGATGTGAGGCACAACCAAAATTGCTACAAAACTGAGACAGAGGATATTTATGCGACTGAGTTCCCGTTCCTTGGCTATGAGCGGGCTGAGAAACTTGCTCTTAAAATTCTTCGGCGCAAGAGGCTCTTGATTGTCGAATGTATTCGGTGCACAAACACCCATCAAGAGTGGTTCCTGGCAACTAGAGAGGAGGTAGTCAGTGTTGTTGAGCTAGCAGAGCGATGGTTCAAGATGCCCACATACGAACTCCAAGATGGGGTATATAAACTAACTCCAGAGGCAGACGGTATACGCAAGAAGATGTATCACTTTTCTGTGCTCAAGATGAAGAAACTTATGGATGAAACCTACGGATCCAACGATGCTTTTCGCGCATCGCCTGATGCCGCATCGACAGCTGCAGCTCGAGAATCAGGCGCCTCTGCCGAGAGAGCTGCTGCCAGAGATGCTGAAAGAGCTGCTGAAAGAGCTGCTGAAAAAGCAGTCCCGAGAATCTTGGTTGATGAATTTCTCGATACGACAATTCCCAAGAGATACAACACGCGGGCCAAATCTCCCGCGGCAAGAACTGGCGTCAAGGGAGAGAGTCCTTTGTTGGAAACAGAAGAAACATTTGCAATGCATCAGAGACGGTCGAGAGAGACGACGCCTGATGGGGATGGTAATTATAAACTTGTGACGGAGCTTGAGATGACGAGAACTATTTGCACGAAAATCTCGATATCGGAGCTTAGCCAGGACAGTAGAGTTTATGACTTTTCTAAACCTGTTGTCTTTGGTTCCAATGGAGAGAAAGAGAGGCGCACGGAAGTCAAAGTCGAGGAAGTTGAAAAATTATAAACTGGAATACTGCGTGAAATAAGCAAGCATAGTCTTGGGAATGAACTTTTGTGATTTAGTTTCGAATGGTGCATGTGTACTGTTGTATATATGTATCCTGATATGAGTGGAGTTTGGTTGCTTTTACTGCTCTTGAATCAAGCATATACAACTCTGTCTTGATCTGCTTGGTCTATTTATCTTTCATGTTTTTATAATTGGGAATGGGTATATTTTCAGGCCTGCGATTGTGCCGGAATATTAAAATAGTGAAACGTCTTGTCATGCAAACAATCCTCTTTCGTAGCAAATAGGCATTATTCTGTTGCAACATCTATTTTACTCGAAGTGGGTCAGCGACTTCATGTTGGAATTTATAGGAGACATACGGTAACGGAGTGCCGCCCCCATATTGGACCCCAAGCCAATCGGCCAAGGACTAAATAAAGAAATACCTTGAAAATAATAAAGAGGATAGGAAAGCTGCCCCCAAGTGGGTCGAAGGGAAGCAATAGCCATGGAGCAGGCTGGATGAAATGAGATGCCTCTTCACTTTTGTCCGATAATCTGTTCAACACCTATGATATCTGTATGTCTGCTCAGCTGTGTTGAGACTTTGACCATAAGCGCTGCATTAGGGTGGCCACTTTTTGAAAGTAATCAATGTTCTGTAACCTAGAATTGGTCAGGCACTATCGGGGGCTAATCTATTTTTTGGGAGCTATCTGGTATTCATTATAGCCTAAACCTTATCTAAAGAAGGGGGACATGTGGCTGGTGGTCTAAAATCCCTGTTTATTTCCCGATGTCGAGATTTCTAGTACTTTACTAAGGAAATCGCTTATTACTAGGATATACAAGAACAGGAGAAGAAAACCAAGGCCTAAGGAAGGGGATACAAGGCCCAGGGGTCAGCTGGCACATCAAGCCACATATCCCGATTTTTTAGATTAGGTCTAAGCTACAATAGATACCGGATAGACCCTCCGTAACTTTTAGTTCCCTGGTGCCTTAATCTGATAGATTAGGTGATTACAGTTGTTTATACTGTGCATGCTATTTCAATCTTGCCTTAAGTGTACTATAACTGAGAAGTAACAATTTTTTACACGCGGAGATAATGATAATAATAATAGAATAGAATAAGGACATGATTGAATACGCAGACAATAGTGCGACAAATCGAAATGATTTAGGCGGACGGGCGCCTATATTGCAGTCGCTAATATTAAATGTGTCTCAGTGCATGCAGTCGGGCTCCCTGCATGTATGTACTAGGTACCTGAAATTCAGTGCAACTATAGCTGCTCAAGATTTGATGTCAACTTCACAGAATCACTTTCCTTCCCCTCTATGATCGACAAGCAGTCTCTTCAAATCACGCGTCTTTGTCCTCTAACTGGCCGAAGAGCGACTCTATAGCGGTAAAGTAAAGGACCCGGTGGTCTACTCAGGCAACACTCGCCCAGTCCTCCTGGTAATAACTGAACCAAGATCTCGCGTCTTTCTACCGCAGACCAGTTAACAGCGAGCGCTCAGTTTTTGATCACACCAGACAATTGCCGAGAAGTACAGCGCCGTGGCATAAATCGCAATGCCGCTTTCTTCGGCTTTTCCATCGACAACCGATCCCGTACCTACTTATAACCGACCCGCTCATCGACGAGACTTTCAGATCGCAATCATTTGCGCTTTGCCACTCGAATTCGATGCCGCCATCCTCCTTGTCGACGAGTTCTGGGACCAGAATGATAGGCAGTACGGGCGAACCTCTGGGGACAAGAACACTTATAGGAATGGGCGGATTGGCATTCATAACGTGGTGCTCATGCTTCTTCCCAACATGGGAAAGACGGCAGTCGCTGGTTCGGCGGCTAACCTGCGAACAAGCTATCCAAACCTGAAGCTTGCTTTGCTCGTTGGGGTTTGCGGCGGAGTTCCGTTCCCAGGTACGTACGAGGCGCTTCTAGGTGATGTGGTTATCAGTGAGGCTATAGTCCAGTATGACTTTGGAAGACGATATCCTGGCGAGTTCATACCCAACGAGACGGCCGAGACAATCCCAAGCGCACCGAACAAAGACATCCGTACCTTTCTTGCTTACTTCCAATCTGATACTGGAAAAGACGAGTTACGACGGAATGCGGCCAACCATCTACAAGCTTTACAGAACGCGGCTAGCATAAAGAACTATCGATGCAGTTTTCGCTATCCTGGTCCCGCTGAGGACAAGCTCTTCGCCGCGACGCATCTTCATAAACACCAGAAGCAATCATCATGCGACTTTTGTTGCGGAGAATTCGACAAGTTTTGCTCCAAAGCCGCTGAAGCGTCCTGTGCAGAGCTGGGATGCGACGAGAGCCAGCTGGTGCCCAGGCAGCGCTTAGAAAGGAAGCGAAATCTACATTGGGAAGAGGCACCAGGCCCAGACGTCTTTATCGGCCGCGTCGCCTCGGCAGATATGGTGATGAAGTCTGGTGGCCACCGTGACCAAATAGCCAAACGATACAACGTCATAGCTTTCGAGATGGAGGGAGCCGGGCTCTGGGACGAGGCTCCCTGCATAGTCGTCAAGGGCATTTGTGACTATGCAGATAGTCACAAAAACGATATTTGGCAGCCATTTGCAGCAGCCACAGCGGCAGCTGCTGCAAAAGCTATGCTCGGGCGATACACTCCAACAGACCATCTTGAGCTCTCTGTCCATGGCACTGGTAAGTCGAAAGTCTACTGAGCTAGATTTCGATATTAACGCGTCATTAGCCCTCGTTTGGCAGGATCGTCATGCCAGTGAAAGTCCTACAACTACATGTACCGGTCTCACTAAGAGAGATCCTCTATATGCCACTGCTCTTGTACAGTCGAATGGTGCCCAAACGCTGCAGGACGCCATCTCTGATTTTCAACGCGCACTGACTGCTAATCAACGTCGCGAATTGCAGCGTACTACTGCAATTCCAGATGCCGACGCCGTCCTTATTTTCACCGCTCAGCTTGACTCACTAAATAGGAGCAGGAAGGGGCGCAGTATTGCTAGTAGACTCCACCGTGTCTTACAGTCCGTTCGGGACTTTTCCGCCGTCGTTGAATCATTCGCTTTGATGCATCGAGGGATTGGCCCTCTATTATGGGGAAGCGTTAAGCTAACAATGCTTGTGAGACCATGTACAAGAATATACTGGTGTTGCTATGATGCTTATAATATTAGACCGCCGTCGAATGCGCCTCGTACTATGAAGAACTCTCTAGACTCCTTATGGATCTTGGAAGATACTGTCCGTGCTGGACAGAATATCACACGTTATATTCAAGTTCAAGTCAACTTCAAAAAACCCTTTGCAATTTTTATGCATCGCTTGTTCGTTGCTGCAAGCGCGCGATGGAAATCGTCCCGCGTCTATGTAAGTTCAATTTGCTCACACCTGGCTTAATCTCACACTAATGAGGCAAAGGGTCAAATTTCTATCTCAATTCTGTGTGGCAATCATTCGAACCGGAACTTGTGCGAGATATAAATGATATCAAAAGACATAACAAAGATATTGAAGAAGCGCTATTCCTCGCCCAAGCGCAGGTCGATCTTCAAAACCAACAATTCCAAAATACGGAGCAGAGAGAAAGTTCAAAGGGGGCAAAGCTGAAAAGCCTTTTCATTCGACAAAATAGCCAATTTAGTGAAATGAAAACATGGCAAGCGGAAAGTGACGAGCGGCAAATTCAGGAACGAAGACAACGACTACTTGATGCTCTATCGACCCATGATTATTTGACTCCGCTAAAGCAAGGCCGTCGGAAGCGGCATAGTGGTACATTAGAGTGGCTATTTCAAACGCACGAATATCTCAGATGGTTAAATACCGCCGATTCTCCTTTGCTTTGGTGTTCTGGAAAGAGTAAGTTCTCTTTACACTACGGTTACAGGGCAAGTGATTTATTTTAACTCCCCAATTATAGTTGGCTCGGGCAAGACTATTCTCACGTCAGTAAACCAAATGCATCACTTAGCAAACAGATGTTCTGACTTGAAGCTGTAGAGCAAGTGTAATTGACAAGCTGTTGACCGAAAAGCGTGGTCCAGATGTCTTTATCTCATTCTTCTTTGTGCGGTACGATGACCGGCAATCACTGAAAGCCGAAGTCATACTTAGATCAATCATTCGACAGGCACTAAACCAGTGCGGATTTGCGGAAGACGTCGAGATTTTGCTGGAAAAGATACAAGCCAGCTTATCATCTGGGTTAGAGGAACTTCTTGAATTACTCCAAAAGATTGTCACTGCATTTAAAGTCCTCTACATCATAATGGATGGGGTAGACGAATGTGAAAGGCAGGATCGCAGTGATATTCTCCACGTCCTATCCTCACTTGCGACAGCCACATTGAATACGAAAATTTTCCTCGCCAGTCGCGATAGTATCTCCTTGGAGATACAAAAGAGATTCCCTACACTCCACCGCCTTGCTATGAACTGTTCCTCAGCTCACTCTGATATCTCTACATACGTCGACGGTATAGTGCAGGAAAAGCTTCAAAGCGAAGAGCTCATAGTCGGAGATTCGAGGCTTATCGAAGACATTAAACTGGCATTGACGGAAGGGGCAGATGGCATGTAAGTTATGGGGTCCAATAAACGCCAGTCTTACGCTAATCTCTCTATTCAGGTTTCTCTGGGTTGCATTTCAAGTCGATGAGCTCAGTTTACAGCATTGCGACGACGACATCCGAAAGGCCATTCATAACTTGCCCAAAGACTTGGAGGAGACGTTTGATCGGGCTGTCGGCCGGATAGTTTCTCGGGGGAACGAAAACATCGCACAGAGAGTGTTCCGGTGGGTTGCTGCAGCAGCAGAGCCTCTATCGCTCGATCAGCTGAAGGAGGTCATCTTCATTGAGATTGGGCAGCAGTACTCAAAGGCAGAGCGACAATCCAACGGTATTGACCATATCGGTTCGTGGTGCGAAAATCTCGTCCATATCGATGAAGAGTTTAAAACTGTCCAATTCGCACATCGGACCATTCAACAGTTCTTCTCCAAGAAGCCTTCTACCGCTCGACATAACCAGTTCTATTTAGACATTGAGGAGGCCGATCACTATATTGGTGAGATATGCACCACATATCTCAACTTTAATGACTTCAAGACGACTCTAGCTCAACGATCCAGGCCATTACGACCTATTCCACCTGTGGCTATAGCAAGTACTGCCTTACGACAACAATGGAAGTCGGTCGCTTCCACCTTTGAGAAATTTAGTTTGAAGCCTCGGGGAGGCTCAACAGCCGCCAATGCCATTGAATCTCTAGCTAATTTCCAGCGAGATGGTACGACAGAGGCGAATGGCAGGCTACAAATAGGCCACTCCTTCTTAAGATATGCATCAAAGCACTGGATCTGCCATACGGCAAGATTTCAAAAAGGGAGATCCAAGACTTGGAGCCTATGGTGGAAAATGATACTTGAAGGGAATAACCTCGTTGAGCTTCCTTGGGGTGAAGGATCTTTCAGTACAAGTATCTCATTAATACTGGAGTGGAGCCATAAATTCCACCACTACGCTCTCATACAGCTTATTTGCCTTATTGGCAGGCTTTCAACTGAAGAGAGAAAGCGACTTATGCAGGATGCAGTGAGTCAAGGCAATATTATTTTACTTGATATCGTTCTCGAAGGCGAAAAGCCAGGCTATCTAATAGACCGGTCTTATCTGGCCGCTGCCAAAGGTGGCCATTTAGACGTCGTTGAAAGGCTCTTGGCCGCTGGAGCTGGAGTAAATGTTAGATTTGCTGAACGGACTTGCCGAACTGCGCTACAATCCGCTACTATACATGGCCATCTAGAAGTTGTTGAAAGACTTTTGGCTGCTGGGGCTAGAGTTGAAACCCCTGCTGATTTATATGGCCAAACTGCTTTAGAGGTTGCTGCCCAAGGCGGCCATCTGGATGTTGTTGAAAGGCTCTTGGCTGCTGGGGCTAGAGTCAATTCGAACGCTGATTTCTATGATGAAACTGCTTTACAGGTCGCTGCTGAAGGGGGGCATCTGGATGTTGTTGAAAGGCTTTTGGCCTCTGGGGCCAATGTCAATGCTCAACCTCTTCATCGGAGGGGCCGAGCCGCATTACAAGCCGCTGCTGCAAATGGCCATCTAGATGTTGTTGAAAGGCTCTTGGCCGCTGGAGCTAGAGTCAATTCGAATGCTGATTATTACGATCAAACTGCTTTACAGGTCGCTGCTGAAGGGGGTCATCTGGATGTTGTTGAAAGGCTTTTGGCCGCTGGAGCTGAAGTAAATGCTATATCAGCCATATCGGCTGACCAAACTGCTTTGCAGGCTGCTGCCAAGAATGGCCATCTGGATGTCGTATCGCGATTGAAGCAGGCAGGTGCGAAATAGGAAAGCATTTTTTAATCTCGACATGTTAGATTACTTACTCTAAATCTACTACTTAGTTATTGGGGAAGAAGATCACAACTGTTTTTACAAAATAACCGCTGAGGCCTATCAACTTGCTCCTTGGTGCACTTGGTGTCAAATAATTTCATTGGGTACATGTATATCACATATACACAAGACTGTGGAAGGAAGGATAATTGAAGGCAGCTCTTTCCAAAGGATACGCATATGGACAAGCATGAGAAATAGTTGGCTGTTTTCTCTCTGGATGCGCAAGACGGATAGTATATGTTGAGATGCCGGAATATGCGACTACAAGGAAGGGCAGCGTTTATTTCTGCTTTGGTGAAAAACAAGCATGAGATAAGCAAGCTCGTGCTCCAGCTTTGTAAAGAGTGAGAGCTACTTGTATAAACAATTGAATTCAAAATTATTACCGGCTGGCTGGACGCAAACAGGTAGGATCTACCGGAACTGTTGACCCCACCGAGGGCCAAACTGATGAGTAGAGAATAGTTTTGGATGTCGGACCGGATAGCGCCTTTCCAAACAGTATCGCTACAAGGGTCGATCAAGTTGAATATAAGCGACTGTTTCATCAGAGGCATTATTTGTGTAAATGGAGATGGTATAGAAGACACCGTTGAATCCAATTGGGGGCGAAGGAACCGGGAGGTGAGCTAAGCCTCGATGCTGTTCGGGATTAAGTGGACCTAGTGATGTGGCGCCCAGCTGATGCGTCGTATCTCGTTACGATGGACTCGGTTCTCGTTTAGCCGGCTTGGTTCATATTGGGATATCGAGAGTGGAACGCTCAATGCGCTGAAAAGCCTTGGAGCCCCGAGATTGTCTTTATAGCGGGTCTTGTTTGGTCAAACAAATGGGAACTGTAAGTGCGAGCAAGGACTCGCTGTGCTTCAAATTCCTTTAAATACTTGCTGGCTGTCTAGTATGTTGAACAAGCTTGCTATACCCTTAATATTTTGTTTATCCGACTTGCTTATTCTTGCGTAACATCTACCATGGCTTTCGAAAACTACAAACCTTCGCTTGACGATCCAAACGCCTGGGTGCCCTACCGATACTATCCCAGCGTTCCTGCTGCCGCCACATTCATCGCTCTTTATTCCATCGTAACCATTGCCCACATTGCCATCATCGTCACACGTCGAACACGGTCATTCACGCCTTTCATAATCGGTGGTCTTTGTGAGGGCTCTAAAAGACACACCAGCTACTTGGCAAGCTAACACGAAGTAGTTGAACTCGTCGGCTACATCGGACGGGCCATATCGGCTGGAGACATTTGGGCTCTGGGCCCATATATTGTTCAAAGCATCTTACTTCTTGTGGCGCCGGCTTTATTTGCTGCGTCGATCTATATAATACTCGGCCAAATTATGGTCTTTGTTGACGGAGGAGAATTCTCTCTGGTACCGAGGAGATGGCTGACAAAGCTATTTGTCGCTGGAGATGTCGTCTCGTTTCTTCTACAAATGGCCGGTAGGTTTGCAGAACGACTGGTCTCATACAGGGCGGCGTACTGACGAGAGGCTCAGGTGGCGGCATTCAAGCAGTTGGCACATTAGAACTCCTGAATCTCGGCGAGAGGATCATTATTGCTGGACTTTTTGCACAAATTGTCTTTTTTGGACTTTTCATCGTCGTTGCTATAACCTTTCAGATACGATTCACGCGATATACCACTGGAATCAGCGCTACCGCTGCTTCTATCCCACATCAAGGGGCATTGAGTCCGAGACTTGCCAAATGGAAGAAGCACATGTATACGTTGTATGCTGGCTCTGTGCTCATCATGATCCGGTCCATTTTCCGCGTCGTCGAGTACTTGATGGGTAATAACGGCTTCTTACTTCGTCACGAGTACTTTATTTACATTTTCGATGCTGCCCTAATGTTTCTCGTCATGGTTTTATTCCTTTGCGTCCATCCAAGTCAGCTTAGATCTTCACTCTCCTCCGAGGAATCATTCTATAATTTGGACGTTGGCGCGAACGACACCTTACAACAGAAGAGGTCGTCTCACCACCAAAGTCATCGAGTATAGATGGGTGGGTACTGGAAGGTTGTCTCCTTTGTGCCTGATATTTATTGTTTTGCTTTTGTAGTAGATTTCAAGTAGGGTATATAAGTTACAGTGGCATCTATGACTGTGAACAAGTTGAAGATGGAATAGAATCTTACTTGGATACATACGTTGGCTCCCCGCGTCCAAATAGAAGCGAAAAACTCTAGATTTTGTTTGCTGGCTTTTTGTCATTTCTTGCACAGGTGTCTAACCTAGATCCGGAATGCAGACAAGCGACCCAAGTATTTGAACACAACTCGGTAGATCCAAGTTGATGCCATCTCTGCTTCTATGGCTGCTCATTCAATAGAGCAGGCAAGCTCTAGCCTCGCATCTGGCCATGTGGTGTCTTGAGGCCGTTGCATGTGTAACCGGGAAGCTGACTCGGGAAGTACAATAACAACAAGGCGGTTAAAAAGGGGCTGTGCAAGCGGTAGATAAGGACCTTGAATGTAAGGTAAGGGGGTAAGGCTTCGGGAGGCACAGGTACACAATAATGCATGAAAATTTGCTTACTAAATATATTGCCATTGTGTTCTTCTTTCCTGCCCACCTCAAATTCAAAATGCCTGACTTGAGAGTAATGGGCAACAGGGGTAAAGTGGTGGGACTCAGATGCAAGGATGAATCCATGTAGATTCGCCCATCGTATTTCGTTCCGGAAATGGATCCGTCAGTTCTTCGGCTAGATTGTCGTAGCGCGGTGGTGCCTCGTATACTTCGTACATCTTTCGTATTGATATACTCCATGACCCACCCTCGCCCATCCACTAAATGGAAAAGTGTACCGCCACGCTCGCATCTGCTCGTTCCTCGTCTTCTCTCGCTCGCTCTTTCGGATTCCGTCTTCTTGCTGTCTTCACTGTGCGATTCTATGCACACGTCTTCTTTGCTCTTGAGCTACGCAAATGGCAGGCTCATCTCCGCCCGCAAGCAAGCGCCGGGCTCATACGAAATCGAGAACAGGCTGTGCTGAGTGCAGGAGGAGACGTGTAAAGGTACCTATTGAACATTCCGCAACCGAGCCTGAAAGGTGCTGTACTTGTAGTACTCAAATCAATCTAATGCCTGCCTCTACAGTGCGGGGAAGAGAAGCCGAGTTGTCGACATTGTTTCCGACGAAGCATCCCGTGTCTGTATCCATCCAAGGATGCCCTCCTGATTCCCCCGGCCAAAGCGAGCTCGTCGCCCGTGAGTGTGGCAACAGCAGCAGCAAGTCCAACTGTCGCTCCCTCTGCAACTCAACTGCCGCAGTCTCGGTTGCCGGCAACAAGCTGTTCATGTGCTTCGCCCCTCGGAAGGGCTGAGGGGAGTAATGACCCAATTCCAACTTACACCACCAAGGACATGGCTCTCCTGCACCACTGGACATGGTCGACGAGCCAGAGCGTGGCCGACTTCCCCGACGTGAGCCGCTACTGGCAGACCGTGTTTCCTCAGATTGCGTTTGAGCATGTCTTCGTCATGCACGCCATTCTCAGCCTGGCAGCGTTGCATCAGGCATATCTCGACCCAAAACGAAGACGGCAGCTGACAATGGAGGCCATACGGTATCACAACCAGGCACTGCAGGGCTTCCAGCGCGGCATTGCGAGCATGAATGATGGCAATAGCGATGCGCTGTTTGCGTGCTCCTCGTTGAACATCATTTACGTCTTCGCCATGTACGGCCAGCTTTACGACGATGTAGAGTTGGACATGACCCCGGCAGCCCGACAGTCACGAATCCTAGGCGCCGAGTGGCTTCCAATGGTCCGTGGAGTTGAGGCCATTCTGCGTCCCGTGTACCAGCGCGTCCGGCTCGGGCCATTCGGCTCGCTATTGAGCCTTGGAAATTGGGATCACCTGGATCCGGACTCTGAGCGTGTGGCCGATGATGAGCGCTTCCGCAGACTTGGCAGTATATGGGCAGATTGTGGCGACCGTGAAATCTATGACAAGGCGTTGTTTTGCGTCAGAAAATCGCTCGCATATATGAAGCAGTTTGAAACCATGAATCCTGAGACCGCGGGGACCTTGGCTTATAATAGGAGATTATCTGGGCCCCTTGTCTGGATATACATCACGCCCGAAGAATACTTTCTGCGCTTACACCAACGGCAACCACATGCGATGCTGCTCTTTGCCTATTTTGGTGTGGTACTCCATAGCTTGAATGGCTACTGGTTTTTTGAGAGATGGGGAAGGAACATCGTACAAGTAGTTGATGACTTATTAGGAGAGTACTGGAAACCGTGGACAGAATGGCCAAGACAGGTCGTAGGGCTGTCATAATTGTTTATTGGCTGTCAACAATAAACAATATTTATCTAAATATTCATCTATACAGGTATGAATGAGGCTAGCTTTGAGGATCTAAAAAATATAAACTGTCAAGACGAATAGTGATTCAAAAGCACCACCATCACAGAGTTCAAATTCACGCGCGCTAACTCATGTCTGGCCCAAGTCTTTGATGGCGTTCGGGAAACACTCTTAAATTGAATTCATGATCCGTCGCGGTTTTGTACTTCATTGATGCTGCCAATTCACTCGGATGCACCACATTCAACAAAACCATGACCAAGAACATGAGCAGCGCGTCGAAAATGTACAAATATGCTTCGTGGTAAAGCAGATACCCGTTGAAGCCCTGGAGATACTCTACCAGCCTGAAAATAGATCTCACCATAATGAGGACACTAGCGATATAGAGGGCGTTCATGTGTTTCTCCCATGAGAGCTCGTTGGGTAGACGGATCGTAGGCACGCGTCTAATGGATAGGTGGAATTTGACAGCGACCAAAATGAAGAACCCGAAGAAGGCAAGCTGAACAAAGAGCCCGGCAATGATGATGTGTGCTCCGGTCTCTAGAGCAGAAGCAGTACCTGATGACTGATAACCGCCACCTAGACAGAATTGACATGTTAGCTATTGTCTGATAGAAAGACTGAGAACAAAGCCAACGATGATGAGGCTTGATTTTATACATACCGCCGCCTTGAAGAAGAAAGGAAAGAAGGTCTCCGGAAACAAAGATTTTGGTCAACCATGTTTTTCGAATAAGGCAATGAGACTCGCCATCCACAAGAGAGATGATTCTCCCTAGCTCCATATAGATTGTCGCGGCAAAGAGAGCAGGTGCAACGAGAAGGAGTAGAGACTGGATGATGTACGGCCCTAGAGTCCAGTTTGGTGATTCTTTGCCGGATGCACAACGGGCAGCATAGCCAATAAACTCAACTGGCGGAGAATTAGCTTGAGTAACAGGCGTTATACTTGGAATGATAGGTGGATGACTCTTACAAATACCACCAATTATAAAGGGAATGACGAACCAACACCGAGTCCGAAATGATTGGTACGTATGGAAGCCGGTTGAACCCAAGAAAAGCACGACAAAAACGACAGCCCCGCCGATAGTAGGATTGTAGTGATAGAGCTTGAACTCTTGCAGACTGGAGCTTGTCTCTCTGACGATCAAAGCGCCTGCTTGGAGTTGAGTGTTGGTATCCATAGGAGTAAATGAATAGGGGATGAAGAAGATGGATGATTCGCAATAAAAGTGCAGGGATTCTATGTTAAACCACCGCTCAAAGTTTAATTAGTTTGATCATATATGAATATAGCAGTGCCTATAACGCATGCTATTCTTAAGAACTGATAAAGAATGATGATTAAAGATGGTGACGAACTTGATAAGCAAGGAAAGAGAGTCTTGAGAAGAAGAGATTATGGCAGACTGGTAAAAAGAATGGCATCACTGTCTCTTTATATGGGCTTTCAACGAGAAGAGTCAATGACAGTAAGTCAAAATGCTGGCAATATTTTTCTGCGGAACAGCCGAGCTAAACGGTGGGACTCGTGGCTGAGTTCTCTCTCAGATAGGCGTACGTATGCTCTAATGTCAACCAGGATGGCGCAACACGATACGTGGAAGACTGGGGTGGATATGTGTTTAGCCCAAGAGAGAGACAGTAAGGCCCCGAGATCCACTCCTTATTATCTCTTGTATATAGGCCGACTTTGTAAGCCATTGAGCTCGCCGAGCGCCAAGTCTAGTCAGGTAGCGAGCTCATAGACGCACTCACGTCTGAACTGGAGAGGAGAGTATTCCTTACTGTAATAGTAATAGTTCCCTTGTCTGATTACTTGAGGGGTTTGGTTAAAGTTGTCCACAGATTTCTGGTCAAAGCTAGTCAGTCGGTCGAACACAAGTATCTGCAGGCGGATCATTGATCTTCATGATGCAAGCAGCATCATATACCACAAGCATATACCCCAATTATAGTCTTCCTACACATATTTGCCTCTAGGACTCTTTTGAAACGTGTATATGTAATGCTTTCCCGGAGCAGTTGGGCATAGCGAGTTGTCCAGCACCTTCTTTGCAAGGCAGACTTCATCCATCTCCCGGGGTCAGATCAAGAAAAAAGGCCTTGCAAGATGAAATCGTATGAAAGGCAGGCATTTTCGGAAATGTTTCAAGGATTGTTCAGAGGCGCAGCTGAGGAGCCTAGAAATCGTTGGCAAGGAGAAGAGGTTGCTCTCACTGTCCCACGCTACGACAGTGGATTATCGTATTTCGTACTCGTGTCAAAATGCCATATAGCAGGTAATCTCAGAGCGGTTCCCAGTGTTTCACCATTCGGCAAAGGCCCTATCAGACCGATGGCATTGCTGGGCCTTTGAACCGTAGGATTCGCAAGCATGCAACAGCAAAAATGCAGAAGCAACGGCTCTGCTCACAGTTGTTTGGGTAGCACATCAGGAGGGCTGGATCTTCCCAGAGGCAGTGTAAAGCAGGATGTGGACGGTAACAGGGAAGAATGGCCCCTCCTCGGTTTATTCTATCGCTTGACAGAGGGGCTGCTTTTTTCCTTCAAGCTCTTTTGTTCTATCTACATTGTTGAATCATGTCCCCAAATGAGATATCAAGCGTTGCTAAAATTAGTCCTATGCGAAAAAAAAGGTCTATTAAAGTGGAAATAAAGTCCAGAGCTGAGTGGTCTAGTCCGGGAATTCTTTAGCAACGCCAGTGAACAGTGCAGATTTGAGAGTCAAATTGAAACAGGGTTACTGATATTAGTTCAGTGGCAGGTAAGGCATACCAAAAGCTGTCGTCCAACCGTTTATGAATGGCTCGTTTACAGAACGAAATACGACACGCCATCCGAAAACCCATGTCCCGCGACCCATGTCGTGGAGACAGCTAGCATAAACTGCTGATGGAGAGATTGGCCGACAGGGACTTGACCCCGGAACGAGTCAAGTAGGGTCTCGAGCGGACGGTAGTGTTTTTCTCTTTTTATCCTTTGCGATTGTCTCAATTAGCCCGTTTGTTGGATGCTTGCCTTTTACTCTTTTCCATAGCTTCCTGCCTATGATCCAAGTACATGTAAGCAGACTAAGCACGAAAGCAAGCATATAATCATGCTTAATGAAATATCCAGGGTCTCGTCAAACTCTTTTCTTTGGCTGGCCAGCGGTGCGAAGAAGATGGGATATCTGTCAATTTTGTACGCGAAATAGGGTAAGCATGTGCACACAAATATACCGAATGGCTCACGTAAGCAGTGCTCATATTATGCTATGTGTGTGAGTATTCAATATGCGGTCTCTGTTTTTCCTCGCATCGCTTGGCTGGACCTAGATGAACTGTCTCTACTAGAACTTTTGGAAATTTTTTGATTCGGCCATAAGAGAGTAATCTTCACTATTCATCAAGAATATAGAAAAGGGTCATATGTGGGCAATTATGAGGTATTCTTATGTGGAAAAGCCAAAACCTTCACCGTCGATTAGATGTGGAATACCATTTGCCATCAATATGGTTTATGGGATTTCTTGTCAAGTTCATTTTATTTTAGGCGGCTCATTCTACTACTGTGTAGGAATAGTATGTCGTCTTCATTCCCATTTCAGGATAAACTCCAATGAAGATGCTATCTATGTGGCAATATCCGCTAGGATCGCTTGGCCAAGCTCTCTCCCTTGTCTTCCATAGCCTTTCCGTACTTCTTGAGGCGGATCGCATTGACACTGACGAACCCAGTCGTGTCCTTTGGCGAGAAATCACCAATCTCGTCCATGGAGCTTTCGCTTGCATCGTACAGCTTGGCGGTATCTGACCAGCGTCCAAGAACGCTAAAGGAGCCCTTGTAAGCCCGGCATCTCACTGAGCCATTCACATCTTCCTGCGAAGCAATGATGCTCTTGGACAGAAATGCGCGCTCGGGCGAGAAGTAGAGGCCGTTGTACAGCAGCTTTGCGTAGTTGAATGTGACGAATTGATCACGAAGAGCGCGGACTTCACGGTCCAACACCAGGCCTTCCAAGTCAACGTGGGCGGCCCGCAACATGGTCAGGCCGGGTGTCTCGTAGCAGCCACGAGACTTCAATCCGATGAAGCGATTCTCGACAATGTCAAGACGGCCGACACCGTTTCTACGCGCAATGGTGTTGGCAGTCAGGAATAGGTCAACGGAATCCGTGGCGACCTTTCCGCCCTCATACTCGAGCTTGACTGGGAGGCCTTTCTCAAAGGTGACGGTGAAGTCTTCAGGCTGATCAGGGGCCTCCCTCGGATCGACAGTCAGTTGCCACATGTTATCTGGAGGACTGGTATTTGGGTCTTCCAGGATACCAGCCTCATAGCTATAGTGGGCGAGGTTCTCATCCATGCTCCACGGCTTGCTCTTGGTGCTCCTGACGGGAATATCCATTGCCTTGGCGTAGTCGAGCAGGTCGTTGCGGCCCTTGAACTTGTCGTAGAACACGGGGTCACGCCACGGCGCAATGACGGTGATGGAGGGCTGGAGAGCGTAGAAGGCGAGTTCAAATCGAATCTGATCGTTGCCCTTGCCGGTACATCCGTGAGACACGGCGAAACAGCCCTCCTTTTGCGCAATGGCAATCTGTGCGCGTGCCGTGACGGGACGAGCAAGCGAAGTACCGAGGAGGTAGACGTTCTCGTAGATGGCGTTGCATTGGATTGCGGGAAAGCACTGCTCTTCGATGAACTACACGAGGGCGTCAGTAATGACTTTATCGTCGAAAGGCTTCTAGTGACGGGGTGCATACCTCTCTGCGAAGATCCTCAATGTAGACCTTGCTGGCGCCAATCTTCAGCGCCTTTTCTCTGACGGCGTCGAAATCCTCTTCCTGGCCAATGTTGGCCGTAAAGGTGATGACTTCATATCCTTCTTCCTAGACAACGTCTCAGTCGATGCACTACGCATGAGCCGTGGCAATGACTCACCAACAAATACTTCAAGATGCAGCTCGTGTCGAGGCCACCAGAGTAAGCGAGGCAGACCTTTTGTTTCGCCATCTTCGTTCAAGTGGTCGTAGAGTTCGTGATATGATAGATGGTGGTGCTCGCAAGAATGAATGACTCTGAAGCGGCACGAGTGAGGGGAATCAGAGTGCACGGTTGGTCGGGGTCGTCTTGCACAAACGAATTGAAAACGAGGTGGGTCTCATTATTCTCATGACGTATCATTGTTTATTGTCTGTTGGTTGCACACCGTTTTCAATGTTCATTCGCCAGTTGGTTGCCGCCTGCATATGCGTGGAACCAAGAGCAGGCGGCATCACAAAAGGTGACTGGCGAATGGATGGAATGCGGGCCCTATTCTAGCCGGATTACGCTGCACATGGCAAAAGGAATAGTCTGTAGGATTGCACAGGCTGCGATGATCCGTCGTGCCGTTACCCCAACACGGCACAGAATTGGGCTATTCATGGCAATTGTCGGCAACCATTGTACTGTTTATAAGGGATTCTCGTGGGCATGATGGACGCTACACAATATTAGCTACGAGATTCACTGTGGCAGGGTACTTGGCTATGTAATACTAGTAGTGAATTAGTACTACAAAAGTTTATCTTTTTTTTTTTTTAAGAAATATAAAACTAATTCTGCTTTCGATTTATTTAAACAACCTCAATCATTACTTATGGCTCTATTAAATGACAACTTCACGGCGCCAATCTGCATGCATCACGCGGGAAAAGAACAGTCTCGCGAACATCCGCCAAACCCAGATATCCCTGAACCAGCCGATTCAGCCCAACTGTAAGATATGTCAGTACTGCAAATTATACAATGAAATCATGTGGTAAGTGACAACTTACGCCCAAAGCCGCCCCATGGCGGCATCCCAATCTCGTGCGCTTCGGTATATGGCCGCCATCCGGGACAATCTGGATCAATGCGGTGCGCGCGATTTGTAAAGGCTGATCTCACTTCTTTATACGAGTGAAGCAGTTGACATCCCGTGACAATCTCCTGTCCGCGCAGAATGATGTCGAATGAATTCGTTGTTGCGTCATCGCGGCCCAATGAAGAGACATTGCACGGACGAAGGTGTTTTGGAAAGTGAGTTATTATGAATATATCAGTAGGTGAGTCCAGAGGCGACTGATCGCTGGCAAGAAGCTCTCCTAGCGATGCCTCTTCCTCTCTCCTGAATTATTGTTTAGTGATAATGTTCAACTTTAGCAAAGTGTCTCGTAATAGATACATACGTAAGATCTTCTTCAACGTGAGCCACCTTGCCGAGATGATCACGGAGAATAGCTTTAGCCTCATCAAATCGTACGCGTGGTAGCTTGCCGTTCTTATCCAAGCCCAGCTTGAAGCTTCCGGCGGCAGGATACAGTCTTTGTGCAGCTGTTGTGAGTTTGGTATACCTATCATCTTGCTGTAAGGACTGCAAAAGGAACACCAAGAGGCTGTCGGCAAGCTCAAGAATCTCGGTCCAATTGTTTTTGAGTGCAAAAACGAGTTCAAGCATTGTAAACTAGTATTATATGTAAGCATTTCCTGAGAAATCATAGGCAAAGGCAACAGACCTCTGTCAGATGTCTTCCGTCACTCTTTGGCTCTCGACGGAACACTGTATGGATGTCATAGACACGTTCAAGATCTGCAGCAAGCGCCATGCCCAGATGCACCTCGCCAGTTGGTGCCAGCATCGCTTGCCTGCCGAGATAATCGAGATAGAAGTGGTCCTCCTCCTCAGCGGGAAACTCGTAGCCCACGAATGCCGGCGTCGGAATGTAATGAAAGTCCTGGCCTACTAAATACTTGACGGATAAATTGTGCACCGCCGAGAAGATTTTGAAGATTGAGGCCGTGGATGCAACTCGAGCGTCCAACAGTCTGTGGTCGAGCCTTGTGTCTAAAAGACGAGTCCGCTCATCCAGCGAAGGCAGAATCTCTCCAGGAGCTCCATGCAGCTTCAGGTCACCTGCGAGATTGACCTTTGCTTCGGACAATATGTCCAGTGAAGATATCTGCGTAATGGCAAAGGTTTCTGAGCTAGCATTATTGGACGCAATTATCACGCACGAGATGCGAACAAGCGATTCAGGAGTCAGGCGTTGAGCCGTGGCAAAGATGGCAGGGTCCGCGCAATCTGTAATCTCCAGCTTGCATTTGAAGAATTGGCCATTCTTTCTTAGGAGAAGTGCAATTGAGCCGCTGTCTTCATCTTGAGAGATATTATGGACACGACCGGTAAAGGTGATGCCTTCATTTTGACCAGTCTTGTTCGGATCGCTGCCCAAAGTCTGAAGGTTGTTTGCCGGTAGCTCGTCTGCACCCATATCCGATTGCGAAAACAGTTACTCTTCCAATTTGACTATTTTGAAGACTAATATTATTGTCGAGCCTTGACAGACCTCGTTCTCTAGAGATGAGCGTTAAAAAGAGAGGTTGCTTGGCACTGGAATGGACTTTGACGAAAAGATGTCATGTGCACTTTTGCCTTAATAAAATTGAATTCAAGAATCCTCAAGGATATTCGGCGTAATAAGCCCCTGCTTTTACTAGTAGAAGCACGCGACGGCATAAGTAAGACACCATAAATCTATAAATACATGTATTTTAGTTTCACTTAATGATTGTATTATGTAAAAGCAATGAGACCCTACTAAATAAAACCAAGTTCTAATTTCCTGTTAATAAAAGCTATTATTCAAGGCTTCAGGCTCGTAGCGCCGAAGGATTGTGATAATAAAGGTACATGTGGCAATGGTGTGCTGAGACAACGAAGGATTCGGAGGATCAAAAGATCTCTGCCGTGTAAATAGAAAATGCTAAGCAAAGATCAACGGCCCCCGCCTACATTCCCGAACCCCCAGACCATCGTCTTACATGCATGTACCTGTAAGTAGCAGTACATGAACATGCCAAGTTTGATGATGGCTTCCTCCGTGCATGCATAAGGGCTTGCGCCATCCCCAGTCTCCATAAGCTCATTTCTATTCCTGAGCCATCTCTCAGTCCAAAATCTTGTAGCAGTCTTCATTTTTTTTTTTTTTTTTTTTTTTTTTGGTGTGATCAAAGGAAAAATGGCATACATGGCTCTAGAAGTTATCGACTATCAGCGCTTGCTGGAACGAGACGACAATGAGATCAAGAGGCTGGTCAGCATTTGTTCCAATGCAGGGCTCTTCTTTTTGGACCTGAGAGGACAAGAGAGCAAATCCTTGCTGGCAGATCTGCAGCCCATTATTGATGCTCAGCGCACCTTCTTTGGGCAGAAGCCCGAGATGAAGATGCCGTACGCGAGCCCTCTCGACGGACGAGGGTAAGTCTTCTTCTTGTGATAGCCACAAGGCCATGAAATTGACTAGTGCGTACAGATACGATAGCTTTGATGAGATTTTCGTGCAGAGACTCAAGGTATGTTTGTGATTGGATAGAAGTTTTATGTACAAAGGCTTAACACTCTCATTCTACAGTTATCGCGCGAGGAGCAGGTCCAGGGCTGTCTTGCCCTTCCCAAAGACCTGCAAGCGGTTGAGCCCAAAGTCAGCAATGTGTCCTCCAGAATCGATGCCATTCTCCGCGACATCTCCATGCTCTTATGCCAGAACTTGGACCCTCCTATTGCGACCAAAGTCGTGGACAATCCAAGCAGCACCGGCTTAAGCAACTTGTGTCTGGGTATATCGGCCGCAAAAGCTGGAACTCCAGTCATGGGTGAGCATTTGGATGAGGATCTCTTGACACTTACGTTTTACGATGAGCCGTTCTTGGAGGTGTTGGACAGACAGGCACAAACGTGGAAAGTTGTTGACGTGTTGGAGCATTTGCCGATTGTAAATGTCGGCGATAGATTCCAGAGTTTTTCTGATGGGCGACTGCATGCGCCTCTGCATCGGGTCAAGCAGACGCCGAATCAGATAGATCTCATCATGTATGATTTGGATGCAAGCATACAGCAGGTGTGCTGATGGCATCCAATGTAGTTGGATGGTATTGAGTACTAGATACATGAGATTTTTCCGAGAAAACATTTTTGTGCTGAAGCAATCTCAATCCATGAAAAGCCGTAGATGCGAGGAAGAAGTATTCTTTTTTTAATATTACATGTACTGGAAATTTGCACACTTGCTCTCTTACTATTTGACGAGGTAAAAGCAGAAACTCTAGACAACATCGGTCACAGCTTTTATAAACTCTACATACTCTAAAGTTTTACTGTATTGATAACCGTTTACGCCAATATTTTCTCAATCTCTGCCCGTCCATACTCGTAACCGCCAACAAATTCACAAGACTTGGCGGGATCTGAACCGAGCTCCTCCAAACAAGCCTCGAATCCTACCCTCTTTCGTTCAATGACCTGCCACAGATAGTTTCTGCCCTCTTTAGCCAGCAGCGATTCGTCTGCAGCCACCCACACTTCCATGTCGAGAAAAGCGCGAGCCAGACCCAGCAGGAATGCTCCGTTCTTCTGCGGCCGCATAGACCAATTGAGCAAAGAGTGTGCAAACTTGATGACGGCAGGTGAATCCTCACTCAATGGCCCAATGATATCGCCTAGGCATGTCGGCTCAGGAAAGCTGTTTCTGCGAGCCATTTCGCGTCCAAGGGCGATGAGATCGGGGCGGTATCCACGGCGCAACTGCTCATCCATGCCCGCCATTCCCGTGTTTTCTGGGCTGTAGCCCATCTCAGCACGGATGATTTGGAGGATCTTGGACGTCAATGTTTCGGCCGTCTGATATGGCGACGCTACTATGTTCTCCAACACGCAAGGATGCACAAACCATAGAGGAAGGATGGCATCAAGTCTGATCTGAGAGACCTGCAAAGCGGGCAACGGAACAAAGTCGGGCGAGGCGCTGGAAGAGAATGCGTCCTGAGGGGAAAATACTGGATGCGTAACAGCCACATCTTGCCGTGGGGGCAGGAATGAGTTTTCCAAAAGAGAGTGTCCTCCAACCGTCTTCCAGTAAGCATCGCCTGGACGAGCATCCTTTTCCTGGAGAGAATCGATCCAGGTGCGCATGAGTTCAACCTCGCTATCGGTGAATGCGCCAAACATTCTACCAGTCCAGGAGAGTTCTTTCATCAGCAGACTCTTGCTGCTATTGCCTCTGTACACCCATGGCCTCGAGTCAGCCAAGGCATGCAGAAAGCCGTATTTCCACTCGTCCCCTTTTTCATTAGCAGAAAAGGGCGACGAGAACCATTCTGATAGGCTTTTCCCACCGATGCGGGCTCGACTGGTGCAGTGGATTTTGCGTGCGAGATTCGCCTTGCGGTGGAGGATCTGGATCAGTCTCTCTTCAAACACATCTGGCGTCTCACTGTCGTCGAGGCTTTGCGAGAGCAAATATCCAGCCTGGATGCGCTTCCATGCTTGGTCGCAGTCCATAAGGCCAGTCTTGCGCATGAGATCCATGAAAGCGACAATGTTGGCCTGTGCCATGCCCGAGTGTCCTGAATCAGCATTGTCGATTGATACGTGCAGAGCAAAGTAGTACGCCGAGATGCCAACTTCTGGAAACTCTTTGGTTGCTCTCAAACCAGTAGGTGCCAATGCTTCGAAGTGTAGGTTTAGGCCCAGAATCTCTGGCAGAAACTCGTTGGGGAAGAGGGAAATGAGTAGTTGCCCAATTGAATTCCTCCACACTTGCTCATCATTGAGTTCGTGATGTTCTCGGATGAACTCGATTGAGTCACAAGCCGGAAGATCAACGCCATGCTTTCTCAGCAAATCTCGATAAATCAAGACGTGGTTTTTCTCAACATCTCCATCGCCTAGTTCCTCGGAAAACACCTGCCAGGCATTCTTGGTGATGTCTCTGAGCACAAATGGTGTCGTGATTTTGTGGACACGGCATAACCAAGCTCCATCGATGAGATTCAAGGGGGCAAGACGCTTCAGCCATTGGACTGCGTCCTCTTGAGTATTGAATAGCTCTCGAGGGGACCCGGCTGATCTTCGCCTGACATATGACTCGAATCCATCCGAGACCTCTTGACGTTCGGCCTCGAGAAACTTATCCAGTTCTGCTGGGTCGTACTCCTTGAGGTCCAGAATACTGCGGGTTGGCGGGTTGTATTTCGCCATGGCAAACCCGTCTTCTAAAAGTTCTAGAAGCATCTCTTTTGCTGCCGGTAGAATCTCAGGAAAGTCTTCGAGGTTCTGTACTTTGTAGTACAGCTCTTTGTACAGCGTGACTCGCTCTGCAAGTTTGGCCTCGAGCCTTGATTTCTGATTTGAATCCAAGGCAATGACGCTTTTGGCCTGACGGCCGAACAATGTACGCCATTTCCGAACCAAGAGGAAGGCAATGAAAAGTGAGGAAAGGGCGATTATCTTTGTGAAAGACATGGTGAAATATTCCTGATCGGTGACAATATGAAGGATCGGCCGTATCTCTGGCTTAGAATCAGAGTGAAAGAAGAGTAAAGATATATGCCGACTTTAGTTGAATAGCAGTTGAATAGCAGTTGAATATTACGCGAGATTTTGGTAATGTGACGAGTATGTGTGCCTATAAGATGGTGATATTGCATGCAGCTTATGTATTTTCAATCGCACCAATGAGATGACGGCGTCAAGGACGTGCAAAGACTCGGGGACTCGAGAGTACAGGTACATGTACGTCTCCTTGCTGCTGAAGGATGGAAAAACTGCCCTTCATCATGTGTAACCCAGCCCGTGCTTATTCCTCCGCCACTCCCTCGTTGCCATTGCCTAATTGCACGTGCATGTCTCGGTCAAATATGATGGTGATGCAAGACCTGACGCCTCCAGGATTGCGTCGTGGCCATATGCCGGCCATTCATTGAGTTGTGTGACTAATAAGCCGCCGTCAAGGGGTATTTGAAAGACGGGAACTGGTACACTTGGCTGAGTGAAGCTGCCTAATTCCCCAGATGTATGTACCCGACCATTTTTTGGTTCTCTCCCAGGCATGTCAGGTACACGAAAGCGAGGTAACATTGCCACAAAGTTGATGCCATCTGCTGATGTTTGACACGATCCTTGATAGTCATTCAAACTTGGCTTGTCGAATACAATGCTCGATGCTTCCAACGTCGGTATATCATGCTTGAAAGAATCAGCGGTAATGATAGGCTTACTTGAGCCAACCTAGCAATGGAAAACTTCAATTCCGTTATATTACTGGTAGCGGGTTTGCGTGAGACATTGCCCTATTCTCGTACCGCCGAGGCATAATTTGGACGCTCCAGTTCCCGTCCCAGCTGACTACTGCATATTACATATGCATCCCTTCCTAGAGACGGTGTAGGTGAGACTGCTCCCAATTGCTTTCCACGGGTGCTGAAGGATTGAGAGATGTGTCATCGAAATTGGTGAGATGACGGCTTCAGCCGGGAAGAGCAAGGGCATCCACATTCTTCATATGCATGTTCCGAGCTGAGCTGCTGAGGTCTCGTATACAAGCAATACCGCCAAGTCGAAATACTGTCGTGGCGACATCAAAGTGGATTATGAGCGTCCGTGGAGGTTACAATTGCAACCCGCGCGAATCCGCCACCATTCCTTTGGGCCAAGCGGGCCATCTTGTGCAGCAAAGGATTCGTGTTTGAGATCCTTGCGGTTGATCCTTGGCGTTGGAATAAATGATGCAAAGCGAGAGTTCAGATCAGGGGGCGGGTATCGGGATCAACAGAGGGGCCGTCACAGAGTGGAGTGCGGGGAGTTTTAGGTGCTGACAGGGCTGAGCAGGAAGCTTAGCGGCGGGAAACAGCCTGAAGTAGAGCTTTTAGTGACTTTCGTCTGGTTTCATTAACCGTAAGCAAAGGATTAACTTGGTATACAAATGTTTTGATAATAATATTAAATTTTCTAATAGTTTAGTTTTAAGAGTTATGTGTTAGTCTTACATGAGTAAAGCAGTTACTATAGCCCTAAGCAAGCCTTGGAACGATTTCTCCCAGACAACATGTGGATTCACTTCAACCAACCAACAGGAGAAGTGGGTACGTGACCTCATGTCAATCAATGTCCAAGTACCAGACCCTTTTAATTCTCAGACTCATACATGTACTGTATTGTTGGGTGTGCACAAGACAAGATCTAACCAACCCCGGCTAAATGCTGCCCCCCAGCTGCCCTCTCCAACTGTCAACTCACATTTCACAGCCGGAGATTCAAACAAATCGCATCTGATCACGCTTGTTGCACATACCTTGCAGAATGGCCACCAAAGTACTGACGGAGCCGCAATCGGTCGAGCTCCAGCCGGCCAAAGCCAATGGCAGCCCTGACTCGGCGTCGGCTGAAGCGCTGTCAGACCCGTCCAGCGGCTCTTCGCCCGCTACTCCAGCAGACGCCAAAACGGCCATTGTCCACTCCAAGCTGCGGGCCTCGCTCGTTGTTGCGCAGCTGCTGGGCCTGAATCTCTTCAGCAGCTTCTGCAATGGCGTCGTCGTCGTCGGGCTGCCAGCAATCGCGGCCTCTCTGCACATTGACGAGGGGCTGCTTGTGTGGCCGACGTCGGTCTTCTACCTGACTGCCGGTTCGTGTCTGCTGCTGGCCGGCTCCATCGCCGATGTGGTCGGCACCAAGACGATGAGCCTGGTCGGGGCCTTTACGGCGGCCGTCTCCGCCATGGCCTGCGGTCTGGCCCGAAGCAGCGGCCAATTGATTGCCTTTCGCGCGTTGCAGGGCGTCACAAACGCCATCATCGTGCCCTCGTCCGTGTCCATCGTCTCGACCGGCTTGGAGGAGGGGAGGCCGCGCAATCTGGGGTTTGCGTGCTTGGGCTTTGCTGGTCCGATCGGATTCTCGCTTGGGCTGGTTCTGGGCGGTGTTTTTGCCGACAGCCTTGGCTGGAGGGCCGCCTTCTATCTTGCGGCAGCCACCACTTTTGCGTTATTCTTGGCCGGGATTTGGGTGATACCAAAGAATGCTGTCCGTCCCACGAAATCGGTCTGGTCTAGGATCTTGACGGAAATCGACATCATTGGGGCGGTCATTGGGACTGCAAGTTTGGTGATGCTGTCCTATGTTCTTGCGTAAGGATCCTTCAGGTTATACTATTTCTGAGCGTAGCTAACTCAGGCCTCAGAGTCTTATCCGCCGATATCCACAGTATTCACAAGGCATCCACCATTGCTCTGCTGGTTGTCAGTGCCGTCTTGATCCCTGCGTTCATAGGATGGATGCAGTACCAGGAAAAGCACCAGCGCAATGCACTTATCCCCAACTCGCTATGGAAGAATTGGGTGTTCACTAGCTGTTGCCTGATGGTGCTCTTCACCACGGCTGTTTGCAACTGCATGGAGCTGTATAGCAGTCTGTTGTAAGTCATCGGCCACTGGCAGTAGTCTTTCTATGGAAGTGAGTTAACATGGAACCTTTCTCCAGCTTCCAGCAAGTACAGCGTCATTCCGCGTTGCGTGCTTCGCTGCAGATTCTCCCATCGCTGATATCTGGAGCATTAACCAACATCTCGACCGGCATCTTTGTAAACCGTATGCCAGTCATGTGGTCTGTACTCATCTCGTCGACCATCAGTGCAGTCGCGCCGCTTCTCATGGCCCTCATCCATCCCGAATGGCCTTATTGGTATGATGCTTTCTTTGCTCAGGTAAGTGATACAAACTCCTAGTCGTCGCCATAAGCGTCTACCAACGCCTTATAAATTGACTCGACTCTGACCGCATGCAGATTCTGACTCCCTTGAGCTGCGATATCCTCTTCACAGTTGGCCTCCTCGTCGTGTCAGACGTGTTCCCAGCCCACATGCAGGCCTTGAGCGGAGCCGTCTTCAACACTTGCGCACAGCTAGGGACAGCCATTGGCCTAACCGTGACCTCGCTCATTGCCACCTCTGTGACCAATTCATCTTCTGACGCTGATAAAGAGTCACCCAGCGCCCTTATGGATGGGTATCGCGCCGTCTTCTGGACCATGTTCGCCGCCATGGCATTAACATGTGTGCTCAGTGTGCTTGGGCTACGAACAGTCAAGCAGTTGGGGGTTAAGCGGGATTAAGTTGTTGCAGACAGGCCTCGTTGTCTTGGAAGCTATACTATTGAATATAGAACGGTTCGTCACACAAACCTTTTGCCTAATTGAGCTATAGTTAGGATACTCTACCCGAGTGAATTCTCCAGAGTTTATAAGAAATGGAAGCGTATATAATAAAGGTCCCGTAGGTCAAGCACTACACTTTAGTACAAATTAATCTCAAATATAAAGGGCTATTACACTAAACCATTGAGTTGCGATACAGTTCCCCATATATGTATTGGTTTCGAGCCCCAAACGTCATATCATTGAGCTTATCCCTCATCTTCTCATCAACCACCAACTGGGGAGTCCTGTCTCGGTACAAATATAATTTTAGAGCCACTGAGCATCGTCCAGAACTGAGGCGGGAAATTGTCAAATCCTCCTTCGGGCACTTTGACCTCAATATCAAAGTTTCTGAACAGCCGTGGTACCACCAACCCAATAATGAGCCTTGCAAGATTTTGTCCAGGACAGCTCCGGCTTTGACCACCAAACAGCAGGCTGTATCTTTCCAATGTTCTCAAACTGTCTTCGTCGCCACTTAGCCACCTCTCGGGCTTGAACTCATCCGCGTCTGGCCCGAATAGATCCTTGTTTCTTGCAAATGAGGTCGGGTTAACACCAAGTATTGTCCCCTCAGGGAAGAAATAGCCGTGCAAATGAAGACCATCTCGCGGCGCCACTCTAGACAAGCTGATATTAGTAACGTGCTGCAAGCGCATCGCCTCTCTTACGCAGGCAGAGGTAATCGTGCTGGGCCTGTCTTCATATGCCAGCGGCATTCGTTCGCCTCTGCACTCTTGCTCAACACGCCTTTGGAGGTCAGGGTTGGTGCATATTCTGCATAAAATGGATACGAGACTGGAGCCTGTGGTGTCGTGTCCGGCAGCTACAGATGATCCAGCCATGCCTCTGGCGTAAACCAATTCGAACTTTGGTTTTTTGGCGCGGATTGCCAGTAACTGTTCCATGAGATCTTGGCCGTTTTCGAAACTGGGATTCTCAATTGAGGTGCTTCTGTGTATAAGCTGGCCGAGTAAAGACTAGAAAATGTGTCAATGACTAAACTATAGACGAAAGCTATTGCACTCACTGGCGCAATGTGGGCTGGAAGTCCAATCCCGTCTTTCGAATGCTTAGTAGGAAGGCGAAGAACCCAGAATACGTATTTCTTCAGCATGGGGAAAAGGTTGAGCAGGACGCGTAGAGTGGGTAAATGACCCAGCACGGTTGACCGACGCCAGAAAGCCACGTTAAGCTCGAGGTCTCCCCAATTATGGCCCTGTTCAAGAATATTATCTGGCGATCCAGACCAAGTTATACTAGTCAAGCACTCTAAATAGTGAATACGGCACTGTTATCCAGTCATTTGCATTGAGAGAATCATCTTACCTAGAACAGTAATATGCATCCATTCGCTCGTTTCAACTTCTTCTCCTTTTAACCTATCAAGCCTCTCGCAGACCCTTTGCATGGCTTCGACGACTTTGGGTTCGTATCTCTTCAAATTGCTAGCCGTAAATGCTGGTCCGCCGCTTCTCCTTATCAGCTGGTACCGTGCCATGTCTGTTTCCGCTAGAAGGTGAACGCCATCTATATGAGGGCGCCTGATGAATAAATCCAAGACACCGGATGAAATTCTGGTCCCCTCTATGCGCGTGCTTAGCGCCACTTCAATGGGCTGACAGAGACAAGAGCAATTATAATGCACATAACGTACCGTACCACGGGCCCTTATCGAGAGGTGTACTAGACTCTGTATGCGAGTCAGTTGGGCTCAATCTCATCGGAAAGGAGATGTTGTACTATATATCGCATCAAAGGCTTCCTTGCTATTGCATACTGCTTCATTGGGAGCAATCCTGACGACTGGGCCATATTTGTCGTGCAATGCGAGTTCGTATGGCTTCGCAATAATGATCTTTCGAATCTGCCACCAACGTGAGATGGCAGCGAGTTTAGGGCCAGGCAGTGCAGCCAGAGGGTGGAATAGCAGCCTGTAAGCTGCTATGGAGATGAGGGACAAGGCACATGTAATGAAGATGGCAATCCATTGTGTGGATGCTGCATGAATTAAGAGTGCCATTTTATTTTTCTTTACTTCCAAAGCTTTCAAAAGCAAAGCAGAAACGATTTACATATCCGAGTCAAGCAAGTCTATTTAATGAAGAAATGGGTATCTAGATTCCACATCAACTATTCACACTAGTATTCCTAATGTAGTATATGGGGAAATCAGCAATAACCGCAACTGTCACTAGTGAGAATTAAGGGCGGAGGAACTCTAGCGATGGGCACCAGCTCGCTTTATAGCTCGCGTTGATCACACCCCTCTTCTTATCTTCGATTAGACAGATAGAGCATCATCTTACAACTACGATTTTGAGAAACCGAGATCGGCTGTTGGCCAATGAGAGCCTCTGTCATTCAAAGGGCGCGCCGATTGAAGCCGCTTAGCTAAGCCGAACTTGACAAGGTAAATCTCTACCATGTATGCGTTGAGAACTTGCTGTTTATCTTACTGATAGGTGTAATCGGATTAAGATGGGGAATCGGATTCATATGGGGTGTCGGAGGAAGAGTATTTTATACATTTTAGATGCCAAAGAGATTTTCTTTCTTTATTCTGTCCTTTTCTTTTCATTGTCTCGTATTGTGAAAACTCTTCCTAGCTTACAATCTAGTACAATGCATCACCAAATCGTCGCACTAGATGCGTGGCATGTGCCTATCCCGCTGGATCTTTTGCAACTGCCGGCCCCGCACTCCTACGACTTGAAGCTCTGCAAGACGAAATCAACCTCTAATGAAGAGATTCGAGATCGCGTCAAAGATGCTACCATCATTGCCGTCACAATCACCCCGCTTGACGCCTCGACGCTCTCAGCAGCTGTGACGCCAAACCTTCGTCTCGTGGTGGTCATTGCATCCGGCACTGATGGCATTGATAAACAGCAATGCAAAGAAAGGGGCATCAGGGTGCTGAATTCACCCAGCGCAAATACTGAGAGCGTCGCAAACCATGCCATGGCAATGTATTTTGCGTGCCGCCGCCGTCTGTTGACGATGCACCACACCATGTTTAGAACAGACGAGTGGAAGACACAGGGAACGGTGACAAGAAAGATGCTTTCTAAAGATCACGGCTTACCGTTGTCCTGTCAAGAGGAGGTGGTGGGGATTATTGGGCACGGCGCAATAGGTATGTACCCACGAATAAAGCAAAGTCAACTCATTCTGACATTGGTATAATAGGTCAACGAATTGCTCAACAATGCCGCGGCCTTGGCATGACTGTCTTGATTGCTTCTCGGAAAGTCGCAGCGTCAAACGCTACTGAGCCGTCCACAGGGACAGAGATTTCCAATGGCAGAACCCCGTTCACAGAGGTTCTGCGACGATCATCCGTGATTGTACTATGCTTGCCTCGGAATCCGGAAACCATCAATATGATATCTGATGATGAGTTTCGCATAATGTCTCCAAAGGCTGTCGTGGTAAACGTCACGCGTGGGGGCATTGTAGATGAGCATGCCCTGCTCAGAGCTCTAAGAGGCGGGCTGATAGATGGGTGTGCTACAGATGTGTTTCTAACAGAGCCTTCTGGAGCAGGTGATCACTGGCAGGACGGCGATAGCCCGGTTCTAAACTTGAGCGAAGCCGAAGCGGACGAGGTGAATTTATTGGTTACGCCTCATGTGGCGTGGTGCGCGAGCACAACTATAGACAACTATTTGCAGACTTTTAAGCAAAATATCGAAAATTGGTGTGCCGGGAAGTTGTCAAACGTGGTGGTCTAGCAAGAGCTTGGAGAAGATATAGCTGTCAGTTCTTAGAATAGTGTATTATGGACTTGCTTTCACACAACAGCATATTGTTCAATCGCAATGAGACTGATAGGCGTGATCCGAGTAAACTGCGCCCGCACTATTTGGCCTTGGAGTTCCACATTACGCCGTTCCGAGAAAAGTAATCACTGCTTATCCAGGAATGGATAATGGTGTACTTAGCGCCTGAGCAAGGCAACTAAGAAATGCGCTTCAACTCCCATCCCGGACTAATTTTTTTTCTTTGGGGCACTGAATCTTCAAGTTATGATGTCGCGATCTTTATACCATGCCTGTAACGTCTGTCATCGGTCGCATGTTGCAGCACTTTTGAGGATGCTAGCCACGGAGTATATATAGTTTCAATGTTGTTTTTCTTTAGATAATTCCACCAATAAGTGAGTAAATCATTATCTTCTAAAACTCTCAGGTAAGCAGTGCAGCGCTAAGTCATGAATCTTCGCTCCGCCGTAAACCTGCCTTCATATAAGTTCATGCGTTTGTGGTACTCACAGAGAAAGATATTTGTTATTGAGTACATTGACCGACGATCCTGAGATTAAAGCGATTACTTAAGTATGACCTGCAATTCAGCACGCTATAGCTCAGAATTATCCTCGTAGTACAGTTCCTATTGTTAGTGGATTTTATTCCCCATTTTAGATGCTGCGGGAAATTTAAAGTAATGGTGTAGTACCATTGGGTAAAACAAGACACCGATATTAAGCTACTGCTATCTTACAAGATGGTAACTTTTCTATTTAAGATTTAGCAGATACAACCTCCAATATTCTCAAGATGACCAGTCATCTGACTATACACCGCAGGTCTATTCTGCTTCTAACAGATGGATAGCGGCTTGCTCTTGCTTATGAAGCCGACAGAGTCTACATTTAGGACATAGTGACAGCGGATGTTGTCAGGCCTTACCCCTTAGCGAGAGTGCACGATACAAATCGGCAGCCTTTTCTCGAACGGACAGCAGTTCACTTCAAGCGGCTACAACAAAGGACATAACTTCTGAAATATCGAAACAGACCAATGCTTAAAAATGCTAGCTATTGAAGATACAAAAGTGACACCAGTAAATATTTGCACTGAAAACATACATACTACATCTATCTGTACTAATGGAAGATGTGATATGTGGGATATAGCTACAGGAATTGTCTCCAGACAACAAATGGCTCTTCATTAGAGTTGACTTTATTGTCGTCTTGATGAGAATTCGGCGGATCACATTGCTATCATCTTGTGGTATCAAGAATTGAAACACGTCGATATTTACTCTCAAATTAATTGATAATTGAATAGTTCACTACTATTGCGATTCAGTACTAAGCCGCTCCAGTAGCTTTGTGCTATTCAATCGTTCACTATGTACACAGAGTGTAGGTGTTGTATGAAAAGAAAGGCAAAAGTTTTATGCTCGTGACATTCAAAGCTTAGACTCGTTGAATTCGCCAATTTGTATGTAAATTCCTTTTTCTTCAGACTTAAAACGAGTATGGTAAATCACCCAGCGTGAGATTCAGTCTTGGCCAAAATACAATGCTTGCTTGCTGACGTTGGCGAGATCCATCCAAGCTAAACCAAGTACATGTACGCAGTTAAGCGGCCTCCAATGTACTCGATAATGTCCTTCGAGTAAAGCGAGAGATAACGTTGGACCATTCAGGTGACCCTTATTGAAATGCCTCAGAGGCGGAATCAGCCAAAACCCCGGGTGACGGTTGTTTATGCTCCGGAGCCACGTATATTGATTCAGCCCCGATTTTAGCCTCTTTGGGAAATCCCATGCGAGATGCCGGGATGTCCCAGGATCGTATCCACTAGATGCGACGTCACGAACCAGCCCAATAAGCCTGTCCCTAATGACAGCCAACCATGCTTGACGGTTCTACTCCGTACCGCGTCTCAAATCTCTTATTGTTTCTATTGTTTACTACTGCTAGGTCAAGTTATATCAGGGTTTATCCATGCGTTATCTTTCTGCAATTACACGAACACAATTGGCTTCTTCTCACTGCTGCTAGTATCTAGGACAAACACTATAATCCCATCTTCTCTGTATCTGATTGTTGTTCACGCCATTCTATCTGTTGATCCCCTTTTAAAAATCTTCAATCAATCACGAATATTAATCATCCTCTCAGGCTCTTTCCCCAATCTCAACATGTAGTCTATCAACGTCGACCTTGTTGTTGATCCTGCTATTGTTCCCATTTGTCAGTTTGTCCAACATGCCTCTTGATTCCTACATAGAGCGAGTATATGAGAGGAAACCAACCTGACTTGCAGCCTGAGTAGTCTTGGTCATGTAACTAGGCTGGCTACTAGTGTTGAAGGCAGACTGTTCAGATTGCCCAGTCCTTTCGCGCGCCGCCCTTTCTTTTTCTTGCTTGCTTCTGTATTTCTTCACAGCGGCGTAAATGAACATTGTCAACTTTGTTCTGTCTTGGAAAATAAGATGAAATGGTTCCAACAGTGGAAGGATGGCACTATCCAGTAAAAAAACAAAGTCTGAGAAAGCTGGTTAAAAGAACGATAAACATCGAGTTGCTTTAAAGGAAGGGCAGACACTATTTATAGCCAAACTTTTAGAAAGACAACGGCATTCGCGGCCTTGGTACCTCTACGCAGCCTTCAATCGCGAATTGGTAATGAATGCATGTAAGCGAGATTCCTACGAGCGCCATCAACACAGCCTTGACAAGCACTCCCAGCTTCTCCACTTTACGCGTAGTCTGCTGGGCATTCTTATCAGTGGTAAAAGGAGTCGGGTATTATCACACTAGATATTGCGTCTCTAGGAGATGAGAGTGGGCCTCTTGGGCTTCCTGTCGGAAGATCGGCGCGTGTCTTACCTATACTTGTGATTTTACAGAGAATGTAGGTGTTGGCACTCGACCCCTTCTCTCGGAGGCATCCTCCGACGCAAGGCTCTAGCCCCCGGAACATAATTCCATAAGATAAGAATTGATGGGTAATAAGCAAATACTGCAGCATTTAAAAAACGCTAGCTATCAAGGTCGCAGAATCTTTTATTCTAATGCTCTTAAAGACACAGAATCAATAGTAGAATAGGTGAATTAAGCCAAAAGCCGTTCCAGCTAGCCTTTCCCACATACAACATACCTAGACAGTGTTCCACTCCAAAAAATAGCACAAGGATACGATTTAATATTAACAGATATGTAGCCATTGATTGTATCCCATTCACCGTGCAGTTAGCATCCAGCACAGAGTCCCTCTCAGCACCGATTGAGTTCCCGGCATGCAATGGTGGCGGCAGTTTCAGGTCCTTCGAGGTGATGAGCTCGTCGGCGTCAACAGACCACCTCAGTGTTGGCGCCAGCGTCGGTGTTGATCTGCCAGTCCTCCAAGGCAGTGTCTCCATTGCACTACGACAAGGACATCATGGAAAATAGAGACTCATATAAGGCCTCCATCACCACGAGCTACCGTTCTGGCACAGTGGCTTTCGTGCGTCCTCTAAAACTCTCCGCGGATGCCTTTGGGGTGTTTCTTCGTCAGGGAAGCGATGCGTTCCATGCCATATATGGCGATTACTACGTCGAGAGCTACGGGATTGGAGGCGACACCTCAGTCCTCTTCAGCACAGATGCGCGCAGCGAGTCGTGAACAAAAAGGGTAAATGTCGACGTGGAATCATGGTTCAGTGAATACCATGGGCATTCGGCAACGACATCGTCGACTACGGTGCACTCAACTGTGGTGCGTGTAAGTGCTCACTCGACGGTCGAGAAAGCTCTCGTCTCAGAGGCAGTCTGGGTGGGCACGCCCGAGTTTCAAGCTGCAATCAACAAAGGGAGAGGCATCTATCAACGCGCACGGGACTGGATGACTCTGTTATCAATAACTCAATAGAAATTAGTGTGAGGAAAGGCAAATTCGTGACTCAAGAGCAATGTGCGCAATTATGCGGGCGCGCCGTGGTTGCAGAGCTTTTGCTGGTGTCGGTGGAGAGCTTGCATTGGGTACGGTATTGGACTGTTGCACTGTCAACTTTATATAAATTGTTATTATTGGGAGTAATCAGTCTACAGATTGACAGATTGACAGATTGAAGAGAAGAGAGCCATGGCCGTTGATCCGGAGACTACTAGTCTTGATGATTCCTTGAGTACCTCCATTCATCTATTCTGCACTACAACCGCCGTTAACACCAATTACTCACTGGATTGCCATAAAAGACATTCATAGCCATTTCCATTCGTCAAAACGAGAAGACAAAGACCTGACTCTTGATCTCTGGCAGCTTGCTTGTACTTTTCCCTCGGATCCCGCTCCTCCTCATAATTGCTTTTGAAGTACCTGTAATTTGCAATCAAGGGGGTATACCAATCTAATATGCCTAAAAGCGTATGTTCGGTGCGAAACTTGGCGAGTCGCTGTACTGCGCTTTTACGCTTATCGTCTTTGAGTCTTTGTTGAAGAAAAAGGAGAAGAGGGTGATGAAGAGGGACAAGAAGAGGCCGCTCTCTTATGAGCAGATTTGCTTGCCCTGTGAACACGTGAGCGGGAATCCCCTTGTACTTAATAACATAGTGTAACTCCCCTCCTCTCTGCTAAGGGGAGATAGTAGATGCTAAACTATCAGTTGCCTACGTCTAGAGTAGGTGTTCATATTCGTGCCTCCCCGTCAAGCAAATCACACAGCTTAAAAAGGAAGATATCATGAGTCTGCATATTTACTAGACAAGAAGATATTTTATTTCCATCTCTTGATGCATTTTTTTCTACTCACAAAGTCAAACAATATATCGTGTCTAATAACTCTTATAAAACTATGTGCACTATCATTCTAGTAGCAGAAAACCCTTTACTTAGCCAGAAGCTGCAGACTAAGCACCAAGGAGCTGCAAACCTTCTTACTTGGTATTGCGGTCCTGGCTGCGATAGTCTTTCAAGACTGACGCAAAGCTGCCGTCATAGCCAGTCCTCTCCATCCATTCCTTCACGCTCTTCACCCTTGTCGGCAAGATCTCATCAAGAAGCTTGTAATCCCGCTTGGTCAAATTATCCTTCCAAGTATTCCAAAATCCCGAAAAGTTCTCGCGGAATGTGAAGAGCGTTGGTTCATTGGGATTGGCAGAATGGCCCACCTTGGCGTCTGGTTCAGGGAAAATGCCCAACTTGAAATATTCGTCCAAAGTCACGTCCTTGTAAACCGCCTTCTTGCCGGTGACTTCCGTAAAGGCCGCTGCGAGATCCTTCCATGCGATGTCCTCTGTAGCGACATGCAATTCGAGTCCATTGCTTCGAGAGGGGTTGTCAAACAACCAGCGGGCGTAGGCACCGTAGTCCTCAAGATAGATGAGAGGGCATTCTCCCTCGCCAAGAGGGACCGCGAAGACCATGGTACTGGGGTCGTTGGGATCCGGGAACGGCCGAAGGATCTCTGTGAGACCTTCGATATACAAGCACGAGGTTAGGACGGACCACGCCATCGGGGTCGTAGACTGGGCGGCGATGTAATCAACGACTTTGCCTTTACCGTCAAGATGGCCCGTTCGATACTTGGGATCGTAGTTGCCCAGCTTGGTGGCATACTCAAGACCGGCATAGACAAAATGCTCGATGCGAAATTCTCTGGCCAGTTCATACAGTCGAATACCCCAATAGATCTCGGCCATTTCACCCGTGGCAAACCCATTGGTGTTGGCAAAAACGTACGAAACGCCCTTGAACGCTTCACGAAGGGTAGGCTCGTGGTAGGAGTCGCCCTCGAAAATGGTCACTCCTGGCAGTTTCGCCAATTCTTGAGCTTCCGCCGAGGACGCGCTTCTGGTGATAACGCGAACGGCATATTTGGAATCAGATGCCAATGCTTTCAACAATTGTCAGTGGCAATTGGTGCTATAGAGGAAGATGAGACCAACCTTTTACAACGGGCACTCCCTGTGCTCCTGTGCCGCCAATGACGAGGACAGTTTTCGTAGTGTTTGACATTATGCAAGATTGAGTCTTGAAAGTGATTCAAGAGTATTTTTGATAGAAGAGATTGAGTTGAAGTTGTTTGTGAATTGATTTAGATATTCGTTCAGTACAGAGCAGGCAGACCGTTATTTATATCTCCATTCACTCAGTGTCGCCGTCAGCAATAAAGGCCATGGCGTAGCATAGAAGCCTTGATTATCATACACATCGCATCCCCTTGGCAAATATTCTGGTGGAAGCTTCCAATGACAAATTCCCAGGTTCAATTTGCGTAGAGCTTTGCTACGTCATTATTGCTTGAGGTAAGCCACCTCGGCGTCTACGCTGTCAGCTATACAGTATCAAGAGAATAGAGATGCCCGAAATAGCGTTGCACGTTAAGCGAAGGATCGATTACTGATCAAGCTGCAGCTACGACGCACAGTGGTCGCCGTTGAAGGCTGAAGCCACGCTGAGCGAATTTCCGATTACTGATCATGCAGCAACGAATGGACGCCGTCCAAGGCTGAAGCCATGAGTAAGCGAATTATCGATTACTGAACAAGCATCAGTTATGAAGCATAGACGTCGTTGGAGGCCGCGGCTATGACTAAGTCAGAAGTTCGATTAATTCCTCCGACATAGTCTAGGACTTCTATGCAGTACACACCACGTTTGTGTCTCATCAAGTATGCTTGGTTGTTAAGGTTAGCTACAGTGTGGGGCAAAGTCGTTACTCTTTGCGCCCGGGCTCCTATTAAGCAACTGCCGAACTCGCCTGGCCAGATTAGGGCTTTAGATGGATACAACTTTAATAGCCAGTCAATATTGAAGCCAGACAAGCCAGACTCGCCAGAAAGGCCAGCCTCGTTGTCATTTCTTGATAGATGGAGCGGCATCCAGAGCGGCATCATTTAAGTTTCTAATTAACTCCCTTAGTTAAACCAAGTGTTGCCTGACCTGACTGGTGCAAAACGTTTTTGCCTCCTACTGTATATACGTAGTTGCGTAGGCCTGCATGCAAACAAGTCATTTCGACCAATCAGCGACTTAATCTATAGCTCGGTAAAATCGTCTTGCTTACTTCTACAAATAATAATTAGCCTGGACAATTTGTCAATTGGAGCTACTCAAATATCCTAGCACTAACATGGGTTGTAGACTTTCGTACACTCCGTTCAGTGTCGCCCGATCAACACGCTTGATCTGCCGACGTCTTGCTATCTTTGTAATAGGTTCTTTGCTCAAAGATTTACTTTAATAGGAGAGATTATGTAACGTAGCATCAGGCATAGTATATACGCGTGTAGGCTGGACTGGCTTATACATCTAGATTACTGATCAGGTACATACTAGTATACTGCAGATAGTTGGTGTATTGAATCAGGTTCCTTTGATGATCAATCTTGAAGGTTAGATTTTACTGATTCTAGAATAAAAGATGGCCAAGACGCCGAAATTCAGCACATTCTTTTTTTTCCCCATCTTCATCAACTCTAATTCAACACAAGTTCTCTCCTATTCTCTATTAAATATTAGCAAACACGCTTAGCACTTGCCAAAATGATTACCGGACCAGTCGTCGAGATGTTGGCACGCAACAGGTACTGCCATGGAGATTAGCAATGAGTCAATGAAGCCACTAACAGCTTACAGCAAATTTATCAATCATTACAAAGCCCCGCCCGCGTTGATGCAGATGGTGAAAGGGATGCGGGCCTCAAGAGCTGGGGTCGTCGTCTTGTCTTGTTCGGACCCACGACTGAACCCATACCAGATTTTGGGCATCGACGAAACACTTAGTACGTTCTGATTTCTAGTCATCGTTTTGCCACCTTGTGACATGAGTTGGAATATGCTAGAAAGTGGTTTACTGTTTTCCTGCTTACACGGACAAAATTATGAATAGAGGCTACCATGGTGCGAAATGCCGGAGGCAGAGCATTTGACGCAATTCGAACTTTGTCTGTACTCCAGACCATTGGTGCCCCAGGGACAATTGTTGTAATGCATCACACTGGTAAGTACCTCACAAAACCGAATCTGGTAGCGTGTCAACAGAACTGATACGATCTAGACTGCGGAATGACCCATTTTCACGACGCCGACATTAAAAAAGCGCTTGTGGAAATCGCACCACAAGAGAAGACTTCAATCGAAGCTAGTAAATTTGGAGAAATTAAAAACAGGTATGCCGCACGCAGGATTGGTAGCACGTCATTCTAATAGTTGTCACAGCATCGAAGAGAGTATCAGAGAGGACATTGAGCTCCTCAAGGCTTCGCCTCTGATCAAGGACGATACGCAGATAATTGGTCTCGCATATGACACTGCTACAGGTGCTCTTACAGAAGTGGAAGAAGCAAAGAGCGCGTTATGAGTTCCTAGAGTAGCATGATTGATTTTACTTAATACAGTTGAGCTCATAGACTTAATAATATCTGGATTGTCAAATGAAAGAAGTTAGTGTTGTAATACGATTGATAGGGTGACACAGACTGAACCTGAAGTGGAAGAAGTGACATGGCACGCCGCCGATGACCAGAATTACATAAAACGCCCGACCCAGGTCGCCGACGACATACTGAAGACGCGCACCAATGATGGCCCCAGGCACGTCGCTGACTCCCCATAGACAGCCAATGATGGTCATCAAAATGCCGCGCTCTGGGCGTCATGAGCGCTGAGATAGATTCCGGAGCCCCCACGTCGGCCAACATGCGGCCAACAACCAGGGCACTTAGGTTGGACCCAGCTCCGCACACATCTGAGCTAACTCAAAGCAAAGCGACGAACACGAGAAACAGGCACTTCGTGTCAAAAGAAGGAAACAGATCGCCAGCCGGGCGGATAATGGCCGCAGCCCATTAGGAACTCAACGTTCGCCCAGGCCAGTTGTTCCATGTGACGAAAGGCCTCCACACTGAGGCCCTGTATCATTGATGTCTGTTGAAATAGTGGTATCGAGGTCATAGATGAAGCAGCTTATATACAATGGCAGCAGAAGGAGAATCACCGCAGCCCTATTATTTGGTGCCGCGGTTCACTGTTTGGAACGTCTTCTCTCTGCTCTTTGATCTTATCTTGAGGTTCTTTGCTATTTGCGCTCGCTGATATTGGACTCTTTGGATGTGAGAATGTTTGTCGATGCATCATAGCCAGTCGGAGCCTTCAAGCTGCTTTTTGTCGCCTTATAGAAAATCCATTCTCAGTGGATCCAGCACCTACAAAAAGCAGAGCGGAAAAAGTCGATTACCAGTGGAGTTGTTTACAAATCATCCCTTTGTTGAGACGTGGTATTAATTACTAAAGTTACTTGGTTACACAGGTTGGAAAATCTCTGTGCATTGCAGCACGTAGCAAAGCCTCATATCAACACCTGATTGAAGGCATCGAGACATGCAGCGGTACATTCATGTTATTCAGCAGACTTCTTAGCAATGGATGTGATTTGTGCATCAGCCCTAGCGACTACTAGATCTGCATTAGTGCCAGATCTTGGCCTCTCGCAGTTAGAGCCTCCCATATGGAGCTTACTCAATTGGGCATCTGGATATTCACAACACGATGCAAATGGTATCTTGATGCAAATGGAATCTTGCTTTAGCAAAAGACTAATAATTATATCTTCTTCAGCAAAAATAAGCTGCTAATAATTGCTTTGACGAGTTTCTTTATGCGGAGTAGTACAGGTCTTGGCAGTTAAGATCCCCTTTGCGAATCAGTGTCTTATAGTGCAGTTAAATAGAGCCATTCCTGTATATACTCCCTCTGAATCATCAACGGGGTTGAATATATATTTAACATAAACGAGATAGGCGAGATATATGACTGGATAAAAACGATTTATATCAGCAGAAATTTAGCGTCTAGCCGTCATGTCTCAGCGCCTAAAAGAAGCGTGGTCCTCAATGTTCATGGTGCTCAAAATTAGCTTGACAGGACGCGACTTACCCTGTGGCATATGTGACATAAAAAAGCATGTGGCGCATGCCCATGTACATGTGGTCTTGACTGTATTGGATTTGGGTGATGGTTGAATCAAATAAGCATGAAGAGAAGGCATATCGTGGACTTGAGCACCTGACGTTGGTGACCCGACCCAAGGTATTTCCTACTAGGTTGTTCTTGACTCTGATGTCGTAAAAAGAACAGGTAGGACCTGATATGTAGGCATCTTCAGCCATACAGCCTACAGCGTGCTTTGGGTATCAAGTAAAATAGTATAGTAAGCATAAATAAAAACATCAACTGCTAGCGAGTATTTTGCAAGAATTCAAGACGAAAATAAATAAAAAGGATGCCCAGGCCCGAGGATTCGAACCCCGGATCTGCTCCCCCCTAAAGGGCATGTCTCTGCACAATAGGCAACTCCGCGTGTCACCAGCCGTGCTACCATTGCACCAGCCTAGGTTTATTTTTTCGGTTGTGGTATAGATAGCAAACTTTATCATATTACCCCTTGTCCAAGAGAAACAGGTGAGTGTTATCCGTTATCTGGGGACCCTTGAACGATAGATTGGCGCATATAAAGTTGTGCTGAAACCGGCAATTCGCGCAGAATAAAAAGTCAAAATGGATGGATGATAACTTGAGCTGTGGTGATGGAGAGAAGTGGGTTTAAGTACCGCCAAATACTCCACTCTTTAAACAAACAGAGATCCGCAAAATAGATTCATGTTCCCTGTTCTATTATGGGCCACTACCCACTAGGTACGTACAGCACATGTACTTATTCTAAGCCATGGAAATGGACACAGCACAAGTTTTTTGCAAAAGCTCCATGTTCTCTTATGAAAGGGAATATACTGTCTATGAGGCGGGGTATTTTCTTTCTCAATAGCCATGCGAGTGAACCCAATGCATTCTCTAAATCACCAGATAGCGTTAACACAAAGACGAGGATAAATCGCTCCAAGACTTGCACGGTCGCCCGCTTATCTAGCGAGAGAGGCGAGTGATGGGTACTAACTGGTTGGAATCTTCTACATATTGACGGATGAAAAGGAAATACATGTTATTTGAACGTGATATTGTAATAACAATCTTTCTGACTGCCAAAACGACACTATAAGGTAGGATCTAGCTCAATTAGTGCGGGGTTGACGAGGATCGATATCTATACTGACTTACAAGATGAATTGAGGGGATTGCATCAATCCATGATCCTAAAACTACGAAATGAATCCAGATTTACTTTTCTAATCTCTTTTGTATACTTATATGGTCAGTGCTAGCAAGGCGTCTACTATAGCATACATGTAACTACAACTTCTACGATTCAGACCATGACTCGTATTGCTTACCTAGAGGTACTGAATCTCGACGATTCACAGCAACAAATATCTCTTGTCGGTAATGGAAGCTACCTTGTGTAGTATCACAGAAGAGGAGTCCAGGCTGAAACGTCATGATTACTTTCCCGGAGCCACTCAAAACTCCGTGGCCACTCGGGCCCTGCAGGCAACTTCCCCGAGTGTAACGATGAAACAATGCAAGCCACCATCAAACTGCGAGTTCCGCAAACTTTCAAGCGGAAAATGTATTCGTCCTAAAGCGGGATAAATACCTTGCACTCCCTTCTTCGTCGCTGAGACACGCATACCACACACCATGCTCCGGCCGCTGCGCCGAGGTGGTATTCTGCAGGCTTTGGGTGTGTTACTGTTCCCCCACAAGGCTGCAGTGATGCTACCGTATTCCACTACACCTACCCAGTCAGGACACAAATGCATCCAGTCCTTTGCTTGGCACGGATTCGCTTGGAGAATGGCGGATTTCGCAACTTTGCATACCACCTGGCCGCGTAGTAGGTCATGAAAATGATATTCCAAGGTGTATCTGCTCCTCCCCTCACACTGATGAGATTGTCTATAAGTAGCTGTAAGAGTCAAAGGCTGCTCTCTGCTCATAGTCAAAGATTATGTGTCCTCTGTGCTCCGCTAAATTGGCAAGAAGACATCTGCAAGAATACAATATGGCGATTCTTGTATACGACTTGGCTCCTTTAGTGTCATTGAAGCCTATTGTGGCCCTGCCGTTGTTGGCAGTCTCGTTGGTAAGACCATGACTTATCATAGCTATTATTAGCCGTTGGCTAATAAAGAAACTAGGGTGTACTTTACGTCGCCTACACTGTGGTTTACAACCTATTCTTCCATCCCTTGAGAAAGTTCCCTGGCCCAAAGCTTTGGGCTGTTCATTATGGGTTTTACGCTTGCCTGGAATTATCCGGCGACGGCCATCGAAGAATGGTAGAAGTCCATCAGAAATACGGTCCGGTTGTCAGAGTTGCTCCCGACCATCTGGCCTTTTGTCACCCAGATGCAATCCACGACCTTTCGGGCCACCGCAAATCTGGCCAACTGGAAAATCCAAAGGAAACCGTTCGTTACATGGCCAGCAGCGGCTCAATCCTCGCAGCAAACCGTGAAGACCACTCGCGCATGCGAAAGAGTATAGCCAATGGGTTTTCACAGCAAGCGATGCTCAATCAACAGCCTTTAATTACAGTCTATATTAATATGCTCTTTGAACGCCTCCGCGGATTTTATGTTGACGAAAAAACATTTGACATATCATCCTGGTTCAACTACACGACTTTTGACATTGTCGGCGACTTAGCCTTTGGCGAACCCTTTGGGTGTCTAAAAGAATCTACTTACCACCCTTGGGTAGCATTCATCTTTGACTGTATTAAAAACATGGCGGTCGACTCAGCGTTTAGACGCATGGGGTTCCTTTATAAGCTTCTTGTCTTACTAACCCCAAAGTCTATCCTCATCAAGTATAAAGAGCATAGCGAATTATCCACGCAAAAAGTTCACCAAAGGCTAAGCATTAACACAGAGCGAAAAGACTTTATGGCATCCATGCTAGCCAAGAGTGGAAAAGACGTAAGCAGATGAAAGAACTCCTAGACAGAGCGCTCAAGACACAAAGCGTTTATCGTTTATAGTTACCAAATTACTAACGCATGAGCACAGGCATTGACTTTCCATGAACTCTGTGCTAATGCTACCATTCTGATTCTAGCCGGTTCAGAGACGACGGCGACGGCTCTTTGTTCAGTTACATATTACCTTGGTTTAAACCCTGGGCCGTTGAATAAGTTGTGTGATGAAGTGCGATCTACTTTTAAAACAGAAGAAGAGATTGATATCTTAAGCGTCGGTCGCTTAGAATATATGCCCGCTGTACTAAATGAAGCAATAAGACTTCATACACCAGGTCCTGGCACAGGGCCTCGAACTATTAATGAGAATGGTGATACAATTGCAGGCCACTTTGTTCCCCCCGGAGTAAGTACAACTCAAATCCTCTAAGCAGTCGTGGGAACACTTACACATGTATTGTTACAGACCCATATTGAAATCTGGTTTTGGACTGCGTTCCATTTCCCTGAGTACTGGACTCGGGCTGAGGAGTTTATACCAGAGCGATGGCTGGGAGATCCAGAATTTAAGAATGACAAAAGAGAGATTTTTACTCCTTTTTCTGTTGGCCCACGAGGTTGCATCGCCAAGAAGTGAGTTTCTCCTGAAGCGATCTAATTCTAGATCATTACTAAGGCAGCATATCCTTATTTAGTCTTGCTCTTACTGAAATGCGCCTCATCATGGCTAGATTGGTATGGAACTATGACATTGAACTTGCTGAAGAAAGTATTGGTTGGGATAAGAGGTGCAAGTGCTATATTGCATTCGAAAAGGGGCCTCTGTATGTTCGCCTGAAGCCCAGAGCATGAAAAAAGGACAGGACAGGACAGAGTTTGCATTCATTTATCTAAACTTGATGGCATCCACCTTTCTAGGGGTGCTTCTTTTCTCTTTTTCTTTCTTTTTCAGCGTTGTTGGAGAATATCGCCGCTGAGCTAGGTATCCACAGGGGAGATGGGGTGGGAATTGGTGCGATGGATTTAGGAGTGGTTGGAGCTCAGCCAGCGCTTCATCTCGCTGTTTTGAGAGATGCGATTGTTTTCTGAGGGATTTGACAGAATTACCTAGGCATTTACTTATTCAAATTTGTGCTTGTTCTGTTAGCATAGCAATACGATAATCTGGATCAAATTTTGGTGGCGTTTTATTAGGCAGGTTTTAGGTAGGGGAACTTTATCTTTCCGAACATACAATGTGCCGCCCAAGGTTTCCCAAAAAATATGAGAAAGCCTGCCTTGAATCCTAGCAAATAAATACGGAACTAGTGAGCCGCTGATGCATGAATTGTGGGCAGTCGTCCATATTGTGTGGCTCAGCTCCGGCGACGGACTTTACACTCATGCAATGACCCTTGTCATATACAGCGTGGGTGTTTAGCGACCAGAGAGCATTGGTGTCTGGGGACTTACTGGGAGCATTGGAGACTGCTAAGAAGTGTGTTGATATAAAGACTACGTGCAATCTAATTATATTATATTGACTAATCATACGGTCAAATGGCAGAATAAGTGAGCCGAACGGAAGCAGCAACCAGCTGAAAGAAGCAGTCACCCAATTAATTATGGTATCATTCGCACCATGCATTAATTCATCCGTTACCTCACTTCCATTCTGTATACCACTTTTGGACCACGGTGTTGATGTCGTTAATCCCACATCGACGTTCATTTACATAATCTAGACAAAGTTGCCCAAAAGCCCTCTTCGCTTAAATATGTACGAAGAAGTATTTGGTAGACTCCAGTCACCGTTAGACTCGGGTACTTGTTTTCTACAGCATGCTAGGTGTTGATCTAGTAGTATGTAAGGAGTGTTGCATTTTCCATGCAATCACATGCTCCCTGGGGCGTAGGGCGGCTTCTAACAATACTTGTCATGAAACTGCGATCGACTTGATTCTGTTATTTAGGGAGCTGCCTGATAATTGAGAGAGCGATCGGAGCGATCGGCAGCGCGCAAAATGGAAGTCTGAGTGACCGGTCACAAGGAACAATCGCTTGTTACAAAATGGCGTATCAAATTCCAGAATCGGCAAAATATGAGATAATACGAGTAGCGAGAAGATCTCGATCAGCGTAAGAGTGCCCCGCAGTGTGATTAATACCTCCATGAACAGCCATTGCATTAGTTGCACATTAATTAGAACAAAACTCCAATCCCGTGTTTTGCTTATCCTTGAATTGTGATTGGCGCTTCTTTTCGGTAACTGTCCTTTTTATTACCCACATGTAGTAGTAGGTTCTCGTACTTAAGGATACATCAGACGCGGAATTTTAGCCGACATAGTCTATTCCATAGCATCTCGACCACTTCCTCGAGGCAAATAGTACTAGCTTTATATTTGTACTCACTTTCCTTTAATTGCCCATTTTCTACCTATGGATATAGTCGCCATGGTCAAGCTCAATAATCTTTTCAGCGAACAGCAGTTTCCTCAAGCTTCGTTCTTATTTAGGTCTGTCTGTTGGACACTGAGTTACAAAGGCGAAAATTGTACATCAGACAGAAAAAGAACAAGGCTAATCGAAATCTTCGCCTCTTGGCTTAGCCATCCACTTCCTTATAAATTCTAAGATAATCTTTTCAAGTTCCTGTCCATGTGTGAAGCTCAGAAAATGAACGCCGCCCTCCATCACGACCAATTTTGCCTCGGGCGCATTAGTAAACATTCTAACTTCCTTTTCCGCGTTGGCGACACTGAACACAACGTCATTTGTTCCCTATTTTTGTCAGATACTAGAATAGATTGAATAGCAATATGAAACGGATCAAATACCTGCATCCACAGCACTGGACATCGGATATGAGGTAGCCGGGCATATAGTCCGTCTCGAGAAGCCAGACAAACAGCAGCCATGCAAATCAGCTTCTTCCCGTCATCTCCTGAATAAGCATTTTGGATAGACTCGAACCATTTTTGTGTCAAATCTGCAGTCACTTTCTCTCCGTAGCCAATGCTCATCAAAAAGCCAACGTACCCACTGCCGGGCTCGAAATTATCGTGGGGCGTAAGGTCAGCGCTCTTTGCGACCAGGGTGGAGGTGGCCTGCGGGCCGTTCCAGTAGCCCAACTCTCGACTTTCTGGGGATTCAGAATCCATAGAGGTGCCAATGAGAATAATGCCATTGATCTTTTGAATGCGATTAATGTGTGGAACATATCATGGCTTAGGTATGGTAGACTAACCGTCTGGGGTGAAAGAAGTGCCATTCGCGCAGCTATCCATCCTCCCTGGGACGTGCCAGCTACGAAGACCTGATTAACGCCAAGGACATCCAGAAGCTGGATATTCATAATTGCTGAGTCCCAGTATGTAAATGTTTCGCTCTTTGTTCTTGTGGCACCATGTCCAAGGGGTTCGATGGCAAGAAGGTTGAACTTGCTAGCCAGCCGCTCACTTTCAAATTCCGGCTGGTAGTAATCCGAAGTTGTGGTAAATGGATTAATCAATACCAGAGTTGGAAGGGACGAATCGGTAAAAGAATGTCTATATCCAACATCAATGCCTCCTAAATGAGGAACAAGTTTTGTCTTGGCGTGTTCTGCCATTGTCAAGTAGGGCCATCCAGCAGGAGTGGTTATCAGCAAAATTAGGGAAACGACTCAGAGTGATTAAGAAGCATCTAAACAGGCAATAAATAGGGGAAATAAACAGGATTTTCAATCACCTGTTCATACTATTACCGGAGTTGTCCGTTATTTCTATTGGCGATATAGAATTGACCAAGATTCCTAACTCCCCGACGGGCCGACGGGCCGTCTGCATGTCTCATTTGTATGATCGCAAAAAAATGATAAATACAGTTCAACGAATCCAACGGTTAACGTTAATTTCCGGACATAGTTTTCTAATTGACTCTTTTTTACTCTACTTTTCTCTTACGTTTAGCTTCATTCATATACAACCTTACACAAGATGGTGGGTATGACATCGGTGTTTATGCGATGAGCTGTATGACTTACTTGTAGCGTTAGACTGTCCAAAAGTTCCACGTAGGAATTATTGGAGCTGGAATCGGTGGCCTTGCGGCTGCAATTGCCCTTCGTCGAGCCGGTGTTGAAGTTAGTCTGCTGGAAGGCGCTGCGAAATTAGGAGAAGTATGCATCCTTAGTCTTGTTTAAGATTTCACGGCTGACAGGATATCACCATGCTATAGATTGGCGCCGGCATCCAAATGACCCCTAATGTGTCTGTCCTCCTTCAAAGATGGGGAGTCGACAAAGTGATTGGAGACAACCTAGTTCAGATCGAAGAACTCAACATGCGTCGTAAAGATGGCACCAAAGTTGGATACACTGACATTCCTGTTCTGGAGAAAGCTTTGGGACGACCCTGGTGGCTTGTCCATCGCGCTCACCTCCATGAAGGACTGGTAGAGGTAGCAGAGCAGCTGGGCGCAGTGATCCACATTGACTCTCGTATGGTTGAGATTGAGTATGACTCTGAGGACAGAGTAACAGCAAAGACAGCCAAGGGCGACTTACACAGATTCGACTTGTGTATCGGCGCTGATGGAGTCAACAGCGTTGTTCGCCAAGCACTTTTCCCTAAAGTCATACCGGAGTGTCCAACTACAAACTGTGCATACAGGGCGATTGTGCCGTACGATCTCATTCGTCGAGACCCAGTTGCAAAGGAGATTGTCGATAAACTGACTATGGAAGTCTGGATGGGACCTGATGCTTACGTTATTTCATATCCCATCAGCGGTGGCGATGTCTTCAACATGGTGCTCTCGCATCATCCGCCTAAGAAGCTCCAGGCTACTCAACACGACGTCCCGATTCAGGAGTTGCAATTTGAGTACAAAGATTTTGATCCCAGAATCAAAAGGATCATTGATATGGTTCCACAAACAGTAAGTAGCCCATAAAGACTTCTCGCTTATACATTAAGCGCTTTCCTAATCACAAATTTACTAGTCTCGCTGGCCTTTGCTGGTTACTGGGCCCTTGGAATCATGGTCCTCGCCCAAGAAGAACGTGGTTTTAATGGGTGACGCCGCCCATTCAATGGTCAACCACATGGCACAAGGCGCTGCCACAGCTATGGAAGACGGAGCCTTTTTGGGCAAATTTATTGGCGCAGTTGTGCAAGGCAAGCTCACTTTGACGGAGGCCGTCAAGCTTTACGAAACTGAGCGTATGCCAAAGGCGTACATGAAGCAACAGGTTTCATTCATCAACGGTGCAATTTGGCATCTGCCAGATGGCACGCAGAGCCGACAGCGTGACGCTGCGATGGCTGATGAGATGGAGGGAAAGTACTTCATTCGGAGCAGCAACCTTTATGGAGACCCGCAGACTGTCTTGGAGGTTTATGGATATGACGCCGAAGGTCATGCCGAAGAGTCGCTCAGTCGGGTGTTGAACGGAGGAAAAGATGCTGTTGATCCCGAGACTGGCGTTCAGCGCACCACGGAGAATAAGTATATGGGATGGTTCACGAATCAGGCTCCAAAGCAGAAGCAAGCGGCGCTTTAACGGCATGCGCATGGATGACTTTTCTCCCATGAAAGAGACTGTTTGTACAAGTATTTATTTTACTTTTGTAATTTATTCAATATTACGTTTTAACCAGCTGACCAGCCATACCTTCAATACCCTAAAATGAAACTACCATGATACACGAAGACCTCCACCTTGAATCATTTCACAATTCGCTTTATAAGAACAAAGCTACACTTCTAATCCAGGAGTTGAACTTCTTCCTCCTCGTTTTTCTTTATACGCTGTATATGAAATATCTACTTGTAACCATGTTTCTAAGTAACTATCTTAAAAACAACCATATCGTGCTCACTTACGTGGAGCAAGTTCCCCATTCCTTTTGGCCCTTTTTGGTTAAGATAACCATCCCCCGCAGATCCAGAACTTGGGGTTTAGCTCTACAACCGGCTCAACGCCACCACTCTATGAGGCGTCTTGGGGTTCCGGCGGAGCACTTCCGACGGCGGCACAATGCCGGCTCAGCTCCCTCTACATATACTCCCCTACGGCACGGGGAGCGCTTCCGCTTTAACAAAGCAGACTGACTCTTTACTATGGCTTCCCCGGTACTTCCCCCAAGCAAGCGGCGACGAGTTACTCTTGCGTGCAGTTTATGCCGACGCCGGAAGTCCCGCGTAAGTATTAGATCAGACGCTTGCGATAAGCATCGAGTTGCTGACATAACTCTCGTATCTGGACAATTTCATAGTGCAGCGGTGATCACCCCTGCACATTATGCCAAGAGTTGGGCGCGGAGTGCCAATACCCAGATAGTTCTACTCCTTCTAATTTGACGGTGGGGAGAAGGTGAGAATTATCGCATGCACATATTGACTTTTGTCCCGCCTACTGATCGCAGAAACAGTTACATCTCCCAGCTTGAGCAGAGGTTACAAGATATTGAAAGCTCCCTCCAGCAACTCCATAGTGCCCAGAGCGATGGACGAGCTACACTATTGAATCGCGAAGACCATGATACTCCTGCCAATAACTCAATTATAGTCGTCGAGGAGCATCAATCTGTGCTGCGCCCATCAACCCTGGAAAGCCATGACGCAACTGAGCTAGGAGAGATTGACATCTCGGAAAATGCCATAGATGGCATGGGCGCCATGAAATTCACAAATGAAGAAGACTGCGGGTTTTTCGGTACGCCACCAAACGCCAATCTCTCAGAAGGGAGGGAAGAGAAAAGAATATCCCGGCAGCTAACTCATTCAAGGTCCCTCGTCAAATATTGCGTTTATGCGCTACATATCTCGCGCTATACTACAAGCTAAATCAGGAAACGAATTAGTTGATGCTATAACGCCAACAGACCAGAGACACAGAGGGATCGTAAACGTCTCCAAATCCAGGGCCCCATCCCCCGGACCAACTCCAGGCAGGACTAACAACTTGATGAGAAACGCGGGAGTGAATATATATGCATTACCATCAGAAGAGCGGACGTGGAGCTTGATTCAGCAATACTTTCTCAAAACCGGGCAGCTCTTACCATTTATCCATGAGCCGTCTTTCTGTAAAACATATCTCCAGATGAAAAACGAGCGTTTTCGCGCCGTCCGGCGAACCTGGCTAGGCTTGCTTAATATTATTCTTGCCATTGCAACAAGCTTGTCAGCAAAAGACGACATACCTGTTGATAAGAGGATACAAGAGTCCGATGTTTACTACCAACGGGCAAATGGCCTATGCGATCGCGACTCCAGACGAAATGCAAGTCTGGAAATGGGTATGTATATGCAGCGAGCAATAGTATCTATCTGTTTTTTCCGACCCATGTTATTGATGCTAACTTGTTTTCTTCCTATAAAGTACAATATCTGTTAATTCTAGGCCAATATCTCCAGGGAACTCAAAAGTCCGTTCAGGCTTGGACTACACATGGACTAGCTATTTCAGCGGCTTATCAACTGGGTTTACATTCACCTGACGCGAACCGGGGATTTTCACCTCTAGAATGTGAGATTCGCAAGCGGACCTGGTATGGATGTATTCTTCTTGATCGGTATGTTAGTTTATGTCCTGTGATGAGGTGGGTGCTGATAAATCCTCGGTCTAGTACTCTAAGTATGACATTTGGTCGTCCATGTACCATTCCTGAGTCATACATAAAACTTGACATGCCTCTTAACGATATGCAAATGCTTGGCCCGAATTTGGAGGTGGAGCCATGCCCTCAGCTCGATGGGGCCTTCTTCACAGCTGCCATGTAAGCGCTCAGAATCATTTCTTCGTAAATCATAACATTATTAACGATAGTCAGAAAGCTTTATGCCATCCTCTACAATGTGTTAGATTCGTGCTACGGACAGAACCTCGGCTTTGAAGACCCCGCATCCGTTTCCAGTGCCATCTCTCGCGTGTTTGACGGACAACACCAATTAGACCTTTGGCGGCTTCAGCTAGTCCCATCCTTGGGCTTTCGTGTCTGGGATACACCAATGAGCTCCGAGGATGTTGAGAAAATGGACAAAGACTTGATCATCAGCCATAGGTTCAGCATTGTTCTCTCAGTGCGCTACAATAACCTCCGAATTTTGCTTCATCGTCGGCATTTAGAAAGCCTTCTGAAATCCCTCGGGACTTCCGAGAATGATTCAATCAATGGTGATAAAAGGCTTCTGAGGCAAATGAGTCTCAACAGCGTGGAATCCTGCGTCGAATCCGCCATTTCCATCATCTCAATAGTTCATTGTATAACGTTGTCTAGTAGCTGGCGGCGCGAGTTGCTAGGCGCGTGGAACTATTCTCTTTACTACAGTAAGCATTACCTCGTCTTGTATACCGAGCTAAACGGCATCAAACTCACCGCTTAATAGCATTCAATGCCGCGCTAGTTATTTTTGCGTCTCTCATGATAGTATCCACATCCAAAGAGGCCCTCAATGACACGTCCATTGGGATAAAGGTGAATCAGTCACGTTCCTGCATAGAACACGCAATTGAAGCACTACGATGCCTTGATTCCGGAAACCGAGTCATTGAGCGCTGTGCAGAGTACCTTGCCCAACTTTCTTTAATCTTGAGTGCTATGGGTAAGTGACATGCTACGAACTACCGTTCTTGTGACTCTCTCCTTTCTCAACATCCTTTCTCAACAAAATATATGGCCCATTTTGCAAAAGTATGTCTACCAGCCAGTAACTAACTAGGTTCAAAACGATAGATCGAAATGAGTCAGACACAAGCAGTAGTGGGATGCGGAACTTTCCGATTGAACATTCGTCAGATGTTTTTCCGCCCAGTGGACTTGAATCCTATATGGACCTAGGAGAATTCATGGTTGATGGGGATTTTGACTTTTTAGCGGACTTTTTGGTCATGCAGAATGGAAAGCATCAATCCTGAACCAGTATGCAGATAGGCAAGAGACTCGGTAGATCCCTATGCTAAACATGTATGATGCTTTGATCAGAAACACTATTGGCGACACTAATGGAACTAATGTTATCATACACGTATAATGGTTTCTATTCGATAGAACAACGAGTAATGAACCCTGCCTGCAGTGGTTTTACTTTCTGCCGATTCATGTATCGTGAAGGACACCGTATTCCCTATGCAGCCAAATATGGCGGACTCTTTTCAACAGCCGAGATCGTTAAGACAGATGTAGTAAAACATAGTGGGTTCTTTCCAAGGAATGAGACTGCTCCGCGGGGAAGCATATCCACTTACTAGGTCTTGCACTACATAATTGCCCATTCAGAATTGAAGCCGGAAGTTAGCGGAAGCCCCTTGGCGATCTGGAGCCAGTCGAAGCCGTAGGGCACCGCCAGGTGGCTTTCTCATGAGTCGTGGGAGAGATGGGGACAGAAGAATAGAAGTGACGCTAAAATCACGGCAGTGGACTCGGGAGAACCGAAAGGTTGATAGTATGTGTGAATAGAAGTGACAGCAATAGCCGCCAATAGTAGCCGTGGACTAATGTCCGCCTAGTGTTAGCGAGGTGCCTTGGTGCAATTTCCTTATCGCAGGGCCAACTCTATATATCCATTCTTACAAGAGATTGGTTGAGCTGAGTGTGGGGTTTAGCGCCACGAGGATCGGCTTCAATCCCGAAACCGAAAAGACATCGTAGTCTGGGGACCCCGCGTTTTCCATTGTCTCGGTTATTCCCCCGCCAGTTCCCCGGATTCTCTAAACAAGCTTAAGTGAGCTTTGGCAAGTGTAACTTGGCAAGAGAGATATTATGGAAGCTCTCTGACTCAAGGTAGCTATGTAGAGACTCGACTTGATCTATTTAAAGGGAGATGGAGCCCACTGTATTCATCTTTAAAGCAAGCCAAATAAGAACTTTGTTTGCTCTTAATCAATACACAATACCATCAACTATTTCTTAATCATGTCCAACCAAGGCCGAAAGTGCGAATATGAGGAGAGGGAGAGGTGCCGATCCGTGAGCTCAAACGAGCCGGATCTTGAAAGACTTCGAACCAAAGGCGGCCATATTGACAATCGTGATCAGCCTTCGCTACCTATTGTTCATCGAAGCTTTGCAAATCCTGCACCCTTAGGCCTTCTATCTTTTGCCACAGGAGTATTTCTACTCTCAATGCTTGGTGTCCATGCACGCGGCATTGTGGAAAAGAATATCTTGGTGGGAGTTTTTGTATTCTTTGGTGGAGTATGCCAGTTTATTTCTGGAATCATGGAGTTTGTTGCCGGAAACACGGTATGAATCCATACACGAGAAACTGGAAATCTGAAAGCCCCTAATGTTTTCCTAGTTTGGAGCTACAGTCTTCCCAGCATATGCGGCTTTGAGCCTGAGCTTCGCACTCAGTAAGATCTTTTTTTAACTACAGCCTTCCTATAAATGGATAAAGCTAACCATAACGTTTTACTGGCAGTCTTTATTCCAGGATCAGGCATTATTGATGGTAAGGTTTCTATCTCATAACGCTTACTACGAAACGAACTCAGAACAGTTTTCTAACAGCAGCAATAGCGTACAGTGATGCCGAGGGACATCTCCTTCCCGAATTCAGTCAGGCGCTCTCCTTGTATCTATGGAGCTGGCTCATACTGAACGCCATATTCACCGTCGCATCCATTAGAAGCTCTTGGCCATTATTCATGGCCCTTTTACTTTTCAATGTCGAATTGACACTCCTCGCCACAGGCTACATGGTTGGCAATGAGACTTTATTAGTAGCTGGAAATTCCGTTGGTTTCCCGGTGGCATTGTGCGCCTGTAAGTATACCTCATCTCATACGGCAATCAGTACCCTGGCTAATGAAAATAATGAATAGATTGGTCTGGGTGTGCAGGATTGTGGTCAGGAGGCATAACTCCATTTACACTTCCAACGTTCCCTATGTACACATATGTCTGATGCATTGCACGGGAAACGGTCAACAATCGGGTTGGTGGTTAATAGGCCGCGGAATATACTAGTCGAGTCAATTTTTAGATTCATTCGTGTCTAATAGATTCATGTTAACATGAAAAATAAATTGACACGGCGGCGGTGAATGTGTTTTGATCAGCGATATACTGCTCCACAATGGACTTCAACAGAAGAGCCCCCATTCACTGATGCATCTCTATAATTCACCATGATAGATCGTACATTGATACATATCCTGACTATTTCAACATAAATGTTCTCTTGGTACTAATTGCGGATGATCTCCCTTCCGTCCAACCAGTCCATGAACCACGCATAACACATCAAGATTTTCCTCCGCCACGATCGCGTCCAAAAGAAATTACCAGATCTCCAACTCAGCCACGCTCCATAACCCGTGTATTCACGTTTCCCCTGGACTACGCCGTCCCGTCTTCCAGTGTAGGTGACTAGAGAGCGCTGTTTGTATTCAAATGGAGACGTATCATTCTTGTTCAGCACCTTGATGATGTAGTCTGCTTTTTGAATTGCAACTTCGGCGGTTGTTGGTAGAGTTCCGCCTTCGATATCTCCCGCATCTCCCATTGCAAATACGCTCCGCAAGGCATTGCCATCGAGTGCGAAAGCATTGAGACGATCATCCGTCAAAATTCGCACCAACCCCTTTTCCGTTTTGCGAAGATTCAGTTTGTCAACTAGAGGAACTGATTTGTTTCCCGTGGCCCAGATGAGCATGCCATAGCCGGTAGCACCATCCTCTTGGGTTTCAATCGTATTTTGGGTAATTTTCAGGATATGTGTATTCGTTTTGATGTTGACTCTGCCCGTTTTTAGGGCACTGGACGCATACTCTGCCAATTTTTGATCGAAAGGTGCCAGAATCTGAGGAGCAACGTCGTACACGGAAACAGACGCCTTTCCCTTCAAGTGCGGAAACAAGACATTGGCGTCTCCATCAAATAAATCCGTCAGCTCAGCCGCCATCTCGATACCAGTGGGACCGCCGCCAACAATGGCCACATGCAGCAGTTGCCTCTGGCGATCCTCTGATGTCCCTGGCAGCGAGGCCATCTCAAGAAGGTCGTTCAATCGGCTTCGAACTGCGTTCGCATTGGCAACGTTCTTCACGAAGATGGCATGTTCCGTGACGCCAGGGATGCCGAAAGTGTTGCTACGGCATCCTGGTACAAGGATAACCCTGTCGTAGTCGACATTGAAACGTTCGTCCTTCAGCTCGTCGAATGCTGGCTGACAGATGATAGTCTTTGTGTCAAAATCGATATCGACAACCAGTGCCTTGATATACTTTGCGTGAAAGTCCCTCCGTCGAAGAGGCTCATGTGCCAATCGGGGGTCAAACAGTCCGCAAGCAGCGCTGGCTAATAAAGGAGTTACTGCGGAAGTATTCTCGGGCGAGATTAGTGTGACATCATACTTGTTGTGGTCGATACCATAGCCCAGACGATAGCCACCCCAACCACTTCCAATAATAACGACTTTCTCTTTCTGCGTAGCCATGGCTGATGTGTAGATGATTGGAAAAGTGTTTTTACTGAGCTAAATTCCACAGCGACACATATGATTCTCACAAGGGCAGGCTCAATTAATATGCTCGAAGCGGAGATACATGCAATGACGACTGAATGGGGTCAAGCAGCTGAAGCATCGAATATCGGCAAAACTGCTGACGTCACGAAAAGTATAAATATTTCCTAAACAGGGGAATCTAATTCGAAGCCTCATATGACATTTAGACATAACTTGGAAATATACAGGACTCGGGTTTAATTATTGCCGATGCGCAGCGCTTCTGGGTGCAGTAACATGCACTATCTCGATGTGCTCGGTGTTTTGAAACGTTGATGCAAATGCCGAAAGCCGAGTAAATGGCAGAAAAGAATGGTCCAGGCACTCGGGAGGAGATTCCTGAGAAATTCCAAAGTGGATGCGCAGTGATCCAGCAGCTAGTTAGGAATTGACTTCACAACTCTAGCTCGAAACTCCAACTCCATACTAAACTCCGAATACTATCCGACAAGTCTATCAATTACGCTGAGGAGAAAGAGACCAACCCCTGTGTAGGAACGATAAACTTTGCTGAGTTTGCTAGGACTTGATGGAAGTAACTGCTACACAACTGAGACTACTAGTTAGCTCAAATTAAATTGGTAGCGAATTATGTATTTGGGGGTAACGCAACGAGCCTTTTTTGTTTTGAAGACATACTCGGCGGGTGAAGAAGGCGACTGCATTAGCCCCCGCCTCTCTAACTAGAGAGGCGGGCACGTAACCCATATCTTTGTACAACTCATATATAAAGTCACCCCATAGTAAAATATATAAAGTAACAAAAATACTCGGTTAGTTAACTAAAAGATTTATTGCGAAAAAAATAAACAGGGATACATGCATAGGTCTTTTTGTCACCTCATGCATTTTACTATGAGTTGACTTTAGATACGGTTTGTACAACGATGCAAATTACGTGCCCGCCTCTCTAGTTAGAGAGGCGGGGGCCTTGGTTGGCCTGCTTACTAGTCAACCCGCCGGGTATACTTACCGTCTTACCCAGTGGACTATTCCGTAACAGCTAGAGTTGGACTGTATTACCATAGATCAGATAGTTGGTCCGAAACACATACGACAGTTATATCTGTTAGTAAAAAAGGCATGGCGTCAGCCCAATTAAATTAGTAAAGTAACGGACAGTGAATACTATCTATTGCAGGCCAAGGAGCAATTTATTAGTTCTCTGCGATTCCTCGAATTTCCCACTGTTGCCTTCACAAGATGGAGCCCTATTCATCCAGGGATATGCTCCAATGCTAGTACAATTCTGTCGCACCGCGCGGGCTTCCATAAGGAGTTCAAACTGGCTGGCCTATTCCTATTTTAGCTCTGCGCGCGGCCATCCCAGTGTAGGATAGCGCCAAAGAGAGCGTCTTCCTCAGCTACCTCCCTGTAGGATCTTGGGCATGTTCAAGATTGCGCGGCAGATATCAGATCATTATTAATATGATATGGAGAAAGGAATGATTTCGTTACAAATCGTGATTCATTCGTAATTCCAAGGGCGGAGGTGGACGGGAGTATTGGGAAGACACAAGCATATAAAGCGTTGCATTATCCCCCGTTTACATGCCATATCCAACAACCAGCTCTTGCACGCAATTTTTTGTCTCAATCTACCACATCTTTTTGTTTCATTATAGAAACTCATTCTTATCCAGCTAGAAGCATTTCTACTCTCAGCATCATGTCCACCACAATTGCAATCGCTGGCGGCACTGGCAACATTGGCAGAACCATCAGCGACGCCCTAGTCGCCGCCGCAAAGTACAAAGTGATTGTGCTTGCCCGTGAGGTAAATACAAATCATCATTCATCATTAAAGCTATCCATCCCAAGGCTTGTTCTGACATGGTTGTATTACAAGGCCCCCAAAAACTGGTCTCAAAGCGCTCCCTCGCTTATCAGCGTCGACTACAACGACATCAATGCTGTAACCACCATATTAGAGAATAATAATGTCGATACGGTCATTTCTACCATCAGCGTTATAACGCCAGAGTCTGGAGTAGCTGAACGCAATCTCATCAAGGCGGCTGCAAAGGCGGCGCCCACGAAACGCTTCATTCAGAGTGACTGGGGTGTACCCGCACCTTTGGAAAGGTAAATTTGCACCGGACCTCCTATGCTTTCTTTGTCTTGGTCAGATACTCTCATTTCAGATGAAAATTAGTAGTTACAACTGCTAACCTCTTTCAAATGCGCATAGCAACCTTCTCTTGCCGCAGCATCAAGTCCGTCTTGCCTCAATGGAGCAACTCCGCCAAACAGACCTCGAATGGACACGGTTCCACGTTGGCTATTTCCTCGACTACTATGGCATGCCGCACATAGAGACTCATCTTCCGGCGCCATTCGCTTTCGTCTTTGATATCCCCAACAAAGTGGCAGCCATTCCAGGCAGCGGCAACGATGTCTTCTCGCTTACATATACGCGAGACGTAGCCAAATTCGTTGTCAAGGCACTCGGGTTGCCTAAATGGGAAGAAGAAACGTTTTGTTATGGCGATAAGGTGACATGGAATCAGGTTCTGCAGCTTGCTGAAGATGCGACCGGTAAGTTCCCCATACATATACTTGCTAATTGCATCTCAATCATCGCTTTTTCAACTACTAATATCTTTTTTTCCATAGGATCCAAGTTCAATGTTACCTATGATGGCATCGAGAAGCTTGAGAAGGGAGAGGTTACTGAACTACCATCCCATGCCATGGCCTACGAGCATTTTCCAAAGCCACTTCTACAAAACTATTTCTCAAAGTTCAGCTTGTACATCATCGCCGGCTTGTTCGATATGCCAGCAGACAAATCTCTCAACAAGGTATTCCCAGAGGTAAAGACAACCACCGTGAAGGAAGTTCTAGATCTCTGGAAGGGTAAATAGATGACTAGGCCGTACGCCTCATTTGATGCAGCTTGGCTGTTTATTTCGTTGCCCTGTGTAACTTTCGCTGAGTACCATGGCTCAAGCAATGCTGTATTAGCTACATACAATGGGACATATACAATTGTGCTCGTTTTGCCAGTTTTAGTCGTATCTAGAGCTCTTCTAAATTAATAAAGCTGGCGTACCAAGAATGTTCAAGCATGCTTGTACGTCCCACGCTTCACTGTTCATGGATCCTCGAATCTGCCATACACTCTCCATGACGCGCAATGCTTCATCCAACGTCCCAATCAGCGTTGGTTTATCTAACCCGGCGAAAATATCTCGAAAGGCTTGTTCCTGTGTTTGCTCAGCCATACAGCCAATCACGCAGAGCGGCCAGGCCAACGCCCGCAGCTGAGAAGATCCAGTCATTGTGTTTAACAGCTGAAGTGCATGCGCTACGTTGGATCGCACCTCTGGCATTAATGGCATCCAGCCGGATATGACGACGGCAAGGTAGATTCTGGCTGAGTAGCTCCAAATTTTCGTAGAGTTTGCTAGAAACGGGTCAGATAATGCAGTTTAATAGAGCCAATGAACCGATATTTACCTGTAATAGCCGCACCATCGCCGTCTATCTGTGAACCGCCGTCCTCAAGCATTCGGGTAATGTGGCTGGCGCGATCAATTAACTCTGTCTTGTAGTCGACGCCCTTTCTCATGTTCTCCTTTTTCCAGGCATCCAATGCTGATATGTCTGCAATTACACGTATGGTCCAATTTCGGCAGCCGATAAGGTTCGATAGCCGGATAGTAGCCTCACCCTTGCCATAAGTTCCATCATCTCCATCAAAGAGAAGCTGTGGATGAAGTTCGAGTAGTTGTGGTGGTCGCTCAAGGGAGGTGCTCGCCACAACGTCAATGAAAAGAAGAAGGCCAGTAAAGAACCGAAAACATTCCTGTCGATTGTCCCAGACATAATAGCCTTCTTGAATGGCATATAGCGGGCGTTGTTTGATGTTATTCAAAATGTCGAATAGCATGGATGCAGCAGTTTTGTCGGTGTGATTATGTAGTATGTCTAGAAAGAGAGCAATAGTCGGCGAGAGATGGTTGCTCCAGTTCGCTGACCTACCCAACGCTACCTCAAAAGTAAGAAACTGGACAATGCTCTCCATGACGCGCACTTTATCCAATAGATTCGCTTTCTCGCCCTGAGCATTCAGCTCCTGTATATCCTGTTGCAGCATATTGAAGCACATATCCGCCTGTCGTACGAGCCGAGACCAGACTACAGCCTTGCACTGTTTATGCTCTTCTGCAGAGTATGTTTCGCTTAACGCAACTGTGAAAAAATAAGAGCTGATGCCCAAGACTGAATGGAAAGCGACCTTGCTCTGCGAGAGAAACGAGAAGATCCAGCCACGCCCAGGGCCAAGGAGAGGAGTTTGGTAGAATGGAAAGATCAGCGGGAATACATTATCCAGGTACTTCATGAGAAAGTCCATGTCATAGTCTTCTCCGTAGAACATCATATCGGGATCAGGTCCGGGTCCATCAAATTTGGTTGTAAGGCTGAGTCCTGGTGCGGCATCGCATATTTTGCGTTTGCTCAAATCCGCTGCAGCGCCTTGACGAGTCGTCTCATTCGTCGCATCAATGTGGGAGTTCAATCCACCGCCAGCAAAGTCCCCTTTTGGAACAAGGTTGATGAAATTGAGATCATCTCTGGCTTGTGCTGTTTTTGCAAATCTTGCGACTCCTGCCGAAGCATGACGCCTCTCTCGACGATAACCAGCGCGCTCCTTGATCTGAGATTTGATCTGCGCAGTCATGGCCTCTTGCTTCTTACCGCCATCGAGCCATTTGGGTTTCCGCCCGTAGTGGCAGGTAATTTGCAAATCACTACAATTGGCACATTCAGGCCGTGTTTCATCGCATTTTTTGCGGCGGAGTCGACACGTCCAGCAGCCATCGCATCTCTTTTCTACCCGAGCCATGAGATGAGAGTAGAAGCTGGAAGATGATGCGAGTAGATTCACCGAACGGGAAGCGTGCAATAGCCGGAGACAAGGAGGAGGAAATATGACAGAGACGCGTAGAATTAGAAGAAGACGGAGAAAGTCTGTCAAGCATTATCATCCATCTGTCAAACGTTGTTCTAAGATGCGGTCGGGGCTGGAAGATGAACAGGCGGTAGCCAGCGGTGATTACGGTCGACTTTAACAACTTCTGGCTTAGAGCACAGTGCGCTTTTTTTTTCTTTTTTTTTTTTTTTCAATTACTAGGGATTACCCTATGAAAAGGTTTAAAAATCTAGATGCTAATTTTAGACCTATCTTTATTGAAGCATTTTTATACAGAGTATACGGCTTGTATTTAAACTGTATACTTATCAATGACTTTTTACAGGCGTTTTGCAAATAAGCTGCAAAAATCGCTGTAAATTGACTACATAAATAGAATACTACTATATCAACAGTTTAAAAGGGTATATTACTAGTAGCTTATAAGAACTCTTGCTTTAAACACAGGCTTTACAAAACATATATTACCTTATTCCCGTCACCGGGGAGGCCAATGTCCACGTCGACCATTCAGACTCGGCCTCATGGCACTTCAACTCATTGAAGAGCCAACAAATTACGCCACCACTTTCCTGCGTCCAAGCCTCGATGGAGTATGATGAAGTGCCCCTCCACTTGAAAAAATGGCGGTGGGATAGACGAGTATGCATTGTGACTGGTGTCACAGTCGCCGAAGGGGCAACAAGAGCCAAAATGATAGCACGAGCCGCCGGATTCAAGACTTCGGTTTCTGGCGACCCATCGGGAACCGGCTCTACTGGACTGGGTATGACTAGCGAGTTTGAAACAAACGACTCCAATGAAGAGAGAACTAGCGAACCAAGCAAATTTGTGTTTGCATAAAGGTCTACTATCGTAGTATGGCCCATGCTCCATTCCGTAAAGACGAGGTCCAAAGTGTTAGGAACGACTACAGAACGGAGTTTCGGGATGGAGCGCCTGTGGCAATGATCGAAACTGTTGTTGTTGATGATATAAATGAGGAACCTTATCGGGGCAGCGATGAAGACATCGACAAGGAAGAGGTTTGGGATGTTGAAGTTTCGGGTGTTGATGAGAGTTAGATGGTTACAACACCACAGTGCTATGTCTAGGGTTGTGGCACAATGTGGTAGCCACTATCAGGAAGAATAAGCAACTCATAAGAAACCATTGAACTCGGCAAGAAGATCATGACGGCACAAAGAGGCCCTAATAGTCTATAGTAGGATAATCAATATTGGGTTCTTTGGATCTAGGCCTCGCAGCCATAGCGACTAACTCCAATTATGACCATCTAGTCACAAAGGGGCCCCCTCGTCGATAGCAATAGAAAATATTAGCTTGGGATGAGGGTATTCTAATTCCTCATCGGTTAGAGCAGTCCTCATACATCGGTCGTGTTTAATAAACTCTACCAATTTACAGTTATACATCAAGTAAAGTTCAACAGCAACATTCAACGACCAGCGAACCAACCGCTCTGCGAGTGGTGTGTTAGGCAATATTCCCAAGGTGCCCTATTCTGATCCAAAGCACTTCCAATAGCCCAATAACAATTAAAATTTAGTGGTACTATTTACTGCTACCTATCTAGGAACAAGCGAGACCTGCGCTCAAGCATTTCCTGTCGGGTCGTCACAGATAAGGCATTGACCACATGCAAAGAACAAAGAACAAACAACACGCGCTTCTGCCACCCGCAAGGAACATAATCTGATTCCGCTGCACATTACATGTACATTCTTTAAACCACCGCTGTATGTATCCAGTGCTCTCTGCGGCCAACTCACGAGCATGTGCCCTTTCATGCTGGTATAGAGAAGAAGAAGCGTACAAAGCCCAAGTGAACCATGGCGCCAGAGAACGCAATTTACAACAAGGCCGCAGAGTGCTTGGCAGCTTTGAATCGTTGCGTTGAGTCGATGACATCGACGCCATGGCCGCAAGAGCAGCTTGACCGGTTCAACCTTTGGGCCGCCCACGGCGGCATCTTTGGAAGTTATCAGAAACACACTTCCATGGACTGGCGCCTGCGCGAGCGACCGGAGTTGGTGGACATGATGCTGCAGCTTCTGGATTTACTGCACGAGTATCTATCTGGTAATTTCCACTCACCGGCCAACGGTCGTATGTTGCCATAATAACGCTTGATAGGAATCTGTGCCTTGATCGATCCCGAAAGCGATCCCAAGTTTGATGCCGGCGATACTATCACCGCTATACAAGATGCAGACCGCCAGACTCAACCACCTTCATCTCCCACGTCAGCATCAACCAGCTCATCAGAATGTTCATTTGGCCTGGGTCCTGAAAAGTTGTCTGTAGTTGCAGATCCAATCGACGCAATGCGAGGGAAGGTGGAGCAGACAGTTGCAGAACTTTTCAGAATCTCTGCAGCCATCCGCTCCGCTGGAATGAGCTACAGACATACCGAAGCCGCAAACTTTGTCGAGTGGCAAGATGGCATGAATATAACACAAAGATTCAAAGAAGACGTGGAGTTGTTGCTGCGATGCAAGAAGCCTTCCCCTAGCGACTACATGGTGAAGCGGCTGGTTGAAACCATTTGTTTACGGCAAAGGGAACTGGCATACTCCCGCCGCAAGAGGATGGATAGGAGCGGAAAGGATGCAATGGAAGATTCCATCGAATCCCACGACATGGTAAGCCTTCCACCGCGATCTACGGCTGGATACCCACGACAAGGCGGGTCTGGCTCAACTACGTCCAAGGCCACCCGCACAGCTATAGGTGGATCGAGTGGAAAGGCGGCACAACCTAATATAAAAAAGTCAACAATATACACCGCCACACATGTGCCTACAACGATTTTTCCTCGGACAAAGCCTATGGAATCCTTGACAACGCGACCGCAATGGCGTACAATAGACGATTCTCTCACCAACCTTCCGCTACCACCAAATGTGGGCGAAAGGCTCGAGGTCGAATGCCCGTACTGTTTCATTCCGTTCGAAAGAGCAAAATTCGAAGCATCTTCCTGGAGGTATGACATGATTCTGCTTTCGAACGTCTTTTGTAATTAACCCTCTTTAGAACTCATGTTTTGGAGGACTTTCGACCATATATTTGCATTCTGCCGGACTGTATAACACCACATGCCTTATATAAAGACAGCATTTCATGGATCCGCCACATGCAGACGAAGCACACAGTGGTTAAATGGAAATGCGTCTCACCGTGCCAGTCAGAAGTACGGGTCTTTCAGACGGAAGCGGAGTTCTTGGCCCATGCCGAGTCTGAACACAAAGAAGATTTTACTACCGAAGAGATTTTTGAGCTCGCAAATCTTGGAAGATACGAGATCGCTCGCGAGCTTGAGGTTGATCTTTTGCTGGAGTGCCCAATATGCGCGGTTTCGTTCAAGGGCAAGGACTCTTTGAGTGTGTACAGCCACATTGCCGATGATCTTGCAGAATATGCTGGGATATCCCTGCCCGAGTCCCCATATGCCGATGCGAACAGCCACAAGGCGACCGTCAGGCTTAGTGAGACGATATCCAATTGGGAACATTTCGATACCATTCCATTGATAACAGACAAAACGGACCAAATGGAGCTAGATTATTGCTGCGAAGATGAACCAGATTTCAACCAACGTCTTGGAGCCTTCAAAAGGCCCAACTCGACAAGTGATGATGCAGTCTCGATCCGCTCGAAACGACACCAATCGAACCATAGCCATTGACAAAACCTCTCAACGACCGTATTGATGCGCTCAACGCGCTGGAGGGGGTTTGGGCGTTTTGCTCTTGCTGGTTGAGTCCTTAGTCGGTGCTGGGCGAGATTTCGCTACTTCGGAGGGTGAGCCTCCGGCTTTCTTCCAAAAGAGTGTCCAATGATTCGCTAATCTCCTTCAAGCGCTGGTCCTTTCCCCAGTCGATGATATTCTTGACGTGCTTGCGGAATTCAATGTAATGTTCTGGGTCCTGGAGCAAGAAGCTCTTCACTTTCTGCGTGTAGTAGTCCAAGTCGTTGTGCTTCCACGAGACGTAGAGTCGTGCTTCAGTACCGTTCATGGCGATGCTGAACGCGGTGCTGTCAACTGGTTTGACCTTGCTGCTCTTGCTTTCCCTTAATTGACGATTAAGGCGTTCGGCGATGTTGATGCATGATGCGGAGCCTCCCAGGCATTGGTTCGTTGCTACCCAGAGATCTCCACCATTACCTTTGAATTCGATGACGAAGAACGGGTACATGAGGCTCTGGTTGTTGGCTGTTCCATTCATTTCGTTTCCCATCGAGATGAGCTGCGTCTGCTGGTCGGGAAATGCGTGATGACGACTGTATCCGTACAGCATGTCAGGGATTGGGTTGCTGATCTTGAATCGTGATCCGGCGTTGGGGACGGCATGCCTAGACATCGGCTGTCTGTCGGAGCGCTCCAGGCTGTTTCCATAGCTTGGTTGGGGAAATACCCTATCTCGAAAGTAGTCTTCCACTCTCGGTTCGTCAAGCCCTCTCATTTCGAGTTCGCCCAGGGCCCTGTCGTGGTATATTTCATCGAGCGAGGGTCCAGGGGACTCGCGGTTCCTGCGTGCGTAATCGACGACGTTGGCAACGTGTTCAGGGAGTTGTTCATCGCGGTGGCGCATGTGGACATGATTGGCGGCCAAGTTCTGGTCTCGGTAATATGGGTCTTCAACAAGGGCTCTTGATGATCGGCTTGAGCCCGCATCTGACGGGGCAATTGATCCGTTGGATGGGCCAGATGTCGGTGGTACCGCATACCCTTCGGCATCCCGTGCGTAAGCCGTCTCTGGTGCTGATCTCGTGAGGTCCCTTGAGATGGGGTCGTCGCTCGAGTGGTGAAGGTAGCTGTCTGACCGGCAGCGCTTTTCTCGGTCTGATCCGATAGACTCGAGCCACTCGGAAATTGTGTCGGTCCGACCGACGTGGTCTTCGAGAAACGAGGCTCTAGGGCGCTTCGGCGCTGGTTGCTGTAGGTTCGTCTTGGATAACCGCGCTCGTTTCGTGGCGGGTAATGAAGGGGTCTCGAGACTCGTATCGAGCCGCCTTTTCGTGGACTGCAAAGGTTCGTCCATGATGAAGGAGAGAGATAATTTTAGTGCTTGGGCTGGCCGACTGAATGGGTCTAATATGCAACGCTCGCCAAGATGGCCTGCGCGTTGGTCAGGTTGCTGAGTGGTTCCCACGTATTTTCGTCACTGTTGTAGCCTTTGCACTTCACAAGGTACTCTGTTTGTGGTCCTTCTCCACGGTGATCGGGGATCTTCTCGTCCTCGTATTCCTCTTCGTTTTCGAGCTCGGTGGTCTTATTGAGCTGTGCCCGTGATGGTGCTGGTTCCAAAAGCGAGATGTGAAAAATTGGGTCTACATTGATTGTGGTAGTGACAGTTCGTAGTTGGTGTCTGAAATCTTTCGCTTGATTTTGAATGGTTTAATCTGTTTATAGTTAAGTTTGTCGCTTGGTTGCTTTGTTTTGATGTTTTTGTGAGTAAGGTAGATTTTATCTCCCTCCTCAAAGGATGGTCCTTATCCTTTGTTTGGCGTTAGGCATGACTAAACCAACTGTCCGTTACATTAACGTTTGGTAGTACAAGTAGGAGAAACTGGTTTCCACTATTAAGGCCTATGCGATACGATACTGACTTGCTATTTGAACACCTCCTCCATTTGCGATCCCCTATTTCAGCTTACGCACCTGGCCGGAGCCTAGGTCTTTATTTTTACTGTATGGCAAGTTTCATTTTCGCGCGTGTATTACCACCTCCCGCCGCGCTTCAGCCGATGTGTAAGAAGACCGCTGATCCAATCCAGAAGTGAGGAGGAAATAACGAGAGGACTCAAAAGCTCCGGCAACATACATGTGGGATATGTTAGCACAACAAGTGTTGATATGATATAGATCATCTCTAACTATGTGGGCTGGCAGAGAAACCCGAGATGGGAGTAAATCGATCTAGCCAGCGCGAAGCATATTCCCTAGGCTTAATCCGCTCCCCGCCCTGACAATGGCGATCCCTGCTCGCATTCAGCCCTCCAGCTTTTCAGAGGCAGCCAGGAGGATCTCTCCAAGCACTGGGAAACCCCTGCATCCAATCTAAAGATCTGCAGCAGGCCTTATTAGCATGGGATCCTTCTTTTGCAATGGAAACAAGGCGCGGTGCAATTCGGCGAACGTTCACATTCATCGATCCTGTTGTTGGTTGACCGAGTAACGGTCTACTCAAGTAACGAATACATCCAAGCGTCAGAAGGCCCGGGTTCTTATTCAAGTACCCAGACGTGTGCATCTCAGCAAGGCAGAATTTCAGCACAGCCTGCAGACAGCTGAATGCCTGCGGTGACGCAACGAATCACAATGTCTAAAATACCAGCGAAAATCAGGCTCCAACCGCCAGCCTGACTTGCGGCTCACTTCATTTTCCTCCGCCCTTGCTCCCAAATTTACCTCTTCTGCTGCACCTGTCGCAGCCCATCAAAGTTCGTTTGAAGAGGCATGGATGAGCACATGACGGGTTCGTCCACCCCAGCAGCGCACATACTCAACAAACCGAGACCTGATTTCGCCCCGCCTGATGAAAGCAGCAGATCATGGAGGCTCCCGAAAAGAACTCGCAGCGGTGATGATGCACACTTGATCCGCTCGAAACGACACCAATTGAACAATGCCCACTGGCAAAGCCTTGGCCACTGCGACTACACCGTTGGCTGGGTTTGCGCTCTGCCCATCGAGATGGCTGCGGCAATCGCTATGCTAGACAGCATTCACGTCCCCTTGCCCCGCAAGGAAGGCGATAGCAATACCTACACGTTTGGCAGCATTGCTGAGCATAATGTTGTCATCGCATGCCTTCCAGCGAGCCAATACGGCACAAACAACGCCGCTACAGTAGCCAGCAATATGAGTCGAAGCTTCTCCTCGATCACCATTCGATTAATGGTTGGAATTGGTGGTGGAGTGCCCGATGGCGGGATCGACATACGGTTAGGAGATGTTGTAGTCGGGAACGAAGTGATGCAGTACGACTTGGGCAAGGTCTTGCCTGACGGCCAGTTTCAGCGAACAGGCCGCACCACCACACCCCCTCACGCGATCATGACGGCTGTGTCCAAGCTACAAGCAGATTATGAAAACGCACCCAGCAGAATTCCCAGCATCCTCTTGGACATGCTTAGCCAAAACGAGCAAATGACCTCATACGCCCAACCTAGCTTGCCAGATCGACTGTTCCGTCACACATACAAGCATACGCAAGAGATGGACAGCTGCGAGCGCTGTAGCTTATCCGAGGTTCTAGAACGACCTCATCGGGAGACGGCAGTCCCCAGAATCCACTACGGCAAAATTGCATCTGGCAACCAGGTCGTCAAGGATGGCGAGACTCGTGCTAAGATGGCGGAGGAACTTGGCGTCATCTGCTTTGAGATGGAGGCTGCAGGGCTGCATGATTTTCCTTGCCTTGCCATTCGCGGAATTTGCGACTACTCAGATTCTCACAAGAACAAGGCCTGGCAGAAGTATTCCGCTGCTGTCGCTGCTGCATACGCCAAGGAACTCCTGTCTGTCATACCTACACAGCAACGAAGGGAGACTGAAGCGACATATCCTACAACAGGTACGTGCTAAAACTTCAAATGTTAGAGTCTTGACTAATCTCCTCGCAGACCCAGCATTGCTCCAGAGTCGAATAGAGGCAGTGTTGGGCTCATTGACGTTTGAGCAAATTGACTCGCGCCATGCAACAATCAAGACTCAACATTCCAAAACTTGCCAATGGTTGCTTGGCCACCCAAAGTACGTCGAGTGGCTTGAACCAATCCATTTTTCCAGTCATCATGGATTCCTGTGGATCAATGGAAAGCCCGGCGCGGGGAAGTCAACATTGATGAAGTTTGCCTACACCTACGCGAAGAATAAGTGGAAAGCAACAGCCGACGCAACCGTCATCTCTTTTTTCTTCAACGCTCGAGGCGTTCAGCTGGAAAAGTCAACCGAGGGAATGTATCGGTCATTACTTTTTCAAGTCATTCAAAAATTCCCGGACGTCCTACACGATTCAGACCACATCTTCCAAGCGAGGCACAACCAGGCTACCTGGGATATCGAGACGCTCCAGGCTCTTTTCACTCATGCGGTTACCAGACTTGGCCAGCGACAGATCACCTGCTTCATCGATGCCCTTGATGAATGTGATATATCTGAGGTTGAGAATATGGTCGAGTATTTTGAAGACCTTGGAGATCAAGCTGCCAAAAGCCAAACAAAGATTTACATCTGCTTTTCCAGTCGCCACTATCCGCATATCGAGATACGCAACGGATTGAAGCTCACCCTAGAGGATCAGCTAGGTCATGGCGAAGACCTTGAGAAATATGTCCGAAGCAAATTACGAGCTGGCAACAGCAAGGCGTCTCAGGAAGTCTCTGCCGAAATCCTAGAGAGAGCATCAGGAGTTTTCCTGTGGGTGGTACTCGTCGTTGACATACTTAACAGAGAGTTCCGCGATGGCCGCATGTGGGCAGTAAAGCGGCGACTAAGGGAGCTGCCTGATGGGCTTAGTAACCTTTTCAAGGATATACTTTGCCGGGACAATCAGAATATGGACGATCTGTTACTTTGCATCCAGTGGATCTTGTATGCAGCAAGACCCTTGACATGTGAGGAGTACTACTTTGCCCTCGTATCGGGACTGGACCCAAGCCCTGAGAACTTGGTTAGGTGGGATCGAGCATCCACTACCACTACATCCATGGAGCTGTATCTTCTTAGCTCTTCGAAAGGCCTTGCTGAACTTGTCAAATCGAAGAAGCGAACTGTGCAGTTCATTCATGAATCGGTACGCGATTTTCTCATCAAGGACAACGGGATTCGCCAATTATGGCCCAATCACGCAGCAAACTTTGAAAGCTACAGCCACGATCGATTGAAACAATGCTGTGATAATTATTGCAACATTGACATTTCCGAAATCGTGCCACAGGCTCTGCCTACCGCATCGTCAGAGAGGGCAAAACAGTCACGTACTCGACTCTCAGAAGGGTTTCCATTTCTTGACTATGCGACACGACATGTTCTTCATCATGCCAATTCTGCCGAGGACGGTATTTCTCAGATTACATTCTTGAAGAACTTCGCATTGAAGCGCTGGCTTCATTTGTCCAACTTGTTTCAAGAGTATGCAGTTCGTCGTTACACAACCGAGGCTTCTTTAGTTTACATCCTTGCTGAGCACAACCTACCGTCTCTTGTCCGATCTGCAGTTGACAACGGATTTGATGCTCATCCGAAAGGAGAGAGATACGAATACCCTATTTTCACTGCTTTAAAAAATGGCCATGAAGAGGTATACAAGGTACTCCAGGCTCATTTCAATGCCTCAGACAAGATTATTGATGAAATCGATTACCATAAAGGGTTCTCGGTTTCAAAAAACACGACTGTCCTCCATTACGCTGCGGAGCACGGCTATCTATTACTCTTAAGACACTTACTCGGGTTCATGACACCAACAATTCACGAACAAGATAGGCAGCTTGGCAATACTCCTTTGCATTATGCAGCATCCAATGGTCATGAAGCTTGTTTCCGAGCGCTGCTCTCCTGCGGTGCCCACATCGAGGCGGCCAGTAATTACGGCCGGACGCCGCTGTCGTATGCCGCGCAAAAGGGGAATAAGGCTGTTGTGCGGCTGCTGCTCGACCGGGGCGCGCAGATTGAGGCGGCGGATAAGTACGGCCGGACGCCGCTATCATATGCCGCGGTAAGGGGGAGTAAGGCTGTAATACAGCTGCTGCTTAACCAGGGCGCGCAGATTGAGGCGGCGGATAAGTACGGCCGGACGCCGCTATCATATGCCGCGGTAAGGGGGGATAAGGCTGTAATACAGCTGCTGCTTGACCAGGGCGCGCAGATTGAGGTGGCGGATAAGGACGGCCGGACGCCGCTATCATATGCCGCGGAGGATAATAAGAATAAGGCTGTAATACAGCTGCTGCTTGACCAAGGTGCGCAGATTGAGGCGGTTGATAATAACGGCCGGACGCCGCTATCGCATGCCGTAGGCAGGAGCTGGAATGAGGCTGTTGTGCGGCTGCTGCTTGACCGGGGCGCACAGATTAAGGCGGCTGATAAGGACGGCCGGACGCCGCTATCATATGCTATGGAAAGGAAGGGTAAGGCTTTAATAAAGCTGCTGCTTGACCGAGGTGCGTAGATTGAGGCGGTTGATAATAACGGTTGGGCTCCGCTATCGCATGCCGTGTTGAACAAGAATGAGGCTGTTGTACAGCTGCTCCAATTGCATGGTGCTAAATCTTCGTCGATATAACCTCCACCCACCCACCACCCGCTCTGCACTCCCTTTATATACCTGGTGTCTTGGGCAAATAGAATCTGCGAGAAATACATATAGCCAGGCGCCACTAATGGCATTTACTCTTATAGAAGTTTCTCTATAACGCCATGACATGTACCAAGTATATCCAGCCAACACTCCGCAACGAGCATGAATGGATATCTCTTTTGGGTGGTGCTAAGGCACCTGTCTCATTCTGTGGGAGCGTCTTTGTCTCCTTGAAATGCGAAGGACTTGTCTCGAGGGTTTGTAATCAAACGCTGCTGCGTCACGATGCCTGGAGGAATCAAACAGATACTACGCCGCTACGTACTCGCCTCGTCCAACGTCGAGACTCCTAATGCAACCGTTCGCACACTCAGCTATCTAGCCTCTAATTCCTAAGACTGATAGATAGAAATAACTTTGCTCAGCTCGCAGCTGTAAAGTCATATGCTCAGTTCTCTTATAACAAGTTACCTCTTACGGTCCGTGTAAGTCCATCTTAACATCATACTCATAAAGCTGTTGCTAATGGTTATAAGTTGTTGCAGTAGAATATCTAGTACATACGACCATAGGTAGTGGAAAACTCGGGGTCCCGTCTGCTCCCCCATAGATAAGCCACTAACCGGCAGATTAGTAGTTGAGTGGGTGACCATCAGCGAACACCGGCTGTTGTATGTTTTCTTTTTTTGCTTTTTTATCTTCGAATTCATTTGTTTTGCGTGTCAATTGTAGTCATGAAGCAGCTGGCAGGCTGTGATGAGGTAGGTAATCCTGTGAGATGTTGGCGAATCAAATTGATTGGCGCTAGTAAAGTTGCGTCTGCCAACTTTAGTGCAACTATTGCCTGCAGACGTGAGCCGCAAACCAACCAAGCCGCTTATGCCCTTTATGACAAAAAAAAAAGCCGATCTTGTCTTCTTTTAGTATTACAGAACTCAAGTTTCATCCAAGTGGGCGAGATTGCGTCAAGAACAACATTTACCAGGTGCCGATACAACAAAGTTCTTGGTGGGTGCTGCTACCGCTTTGATTTGGGTGTACCTACCTATGGCTACCACCCTTCTGGGATGTATCGGCTAAAGTTATACTGAGTGATGACTCTGTCTTCTGGACTTCAACCCCGCTGATGGTTATAAGTTTTTGTGATGGAATACTACTTAAATGTACCTAGGCACATGAATTAAAAGAATGTTGTCTCCATGAGTGCGGCAAACTGAGGTGGAAAGGCCTTGAACGGCTCTAAATCACCCTCCACAACCACTTTGTCAAGTGTTGTCTTTTGATAGCCTGCAACGTCCCAAACATCAGTACCGACAAGTTCCAAGTGTTTGCCGGTCGCCCAAGGTAGGCGATATGCAAGCGATATCGCAGAAACATCGTCCTTTTGCAGACGGGCCTCGATTTCTTTGGTAACACGCTCGACGCTCGCCCGAAAGATCTGGGGAGGTGTCCCATGCTTGCGTTCCAGCGCCGCAGCAACGTCAGACCCAGTAACGATGAATTCTGAAAGCCCAATGCTCCGATTCTGAAGCTGAGATATTGGGGTCTTTGTAAATATCGCAGCGTAAGCTGCGGCAATATACTTTCTCGTACTGAAAACTGTTAGATGCAGATTCTCGCAAAAGTCCGGCATAACGAGACTCACCAGATATTCATTTTCTGGTGCTCGCTGTCGCCGGTATAAACAATTCGATTGCCGCCAACGTCAATCCCAAGAAGACTTTGGGTTATCCGGATTAGCCTTCAAGTTTACTGAACCCAATTGGGATACATACAGGGAGTCAAATGTCGACTCAGCAAGGTTGCCTGGCAAAACCACAGTGGTAGGTATGCCAGCGTCTTTGGAGGCTTTTTCCACCTCAGCTTTGGCCTTTAGGACAGGAATAGTTGCCATCTCCTCATCAACGCGATAGCCAAGGTCAGATGGCACAAAGAGCTTGACATTTGTCTTTGGAATGGCTCGTATGAAGTTATACTGCTTTATAACACCTTCGTGGCCGACCAAGGAGCTGGGATCTGTGTCAAAGAGTGAAGGCGTAATGAGACATCCATGGTCACAGCTCACATGAGGATATCGACATCTTCCAGTGCGCCGATAAGAGCTTCCTCATCATCTAGATCGACTGCAACTTTAGGCAAGTCATCCGGAAGACGACTCACATCCGAATCATGACGGTAGAGCACTTTCAGTGGCGCACCGGACGCGATGAGTGCGTCCACAATGGCTGAGCTCGCCCAACCCCGGTGTCCGTAGACTGCAATTCTGTTGAATGATGGCATGATGAAATAGGATGTGAACTCTAGTTTTGGCTTTAGAGCGTCAAGGGTAGCAAACGTAACGAGAGATGATTGTTGTTGTGAGCTAGTGGTCGGCTGCCGTTCTTCTTGTATGAAGGCCGGCCTCTAATACTCGTATGCATAGACGTTGCTTGTGCAAGGGAAAGGGCCTTGCAAAAGTAGGCCTTTTCTCTAGAATAGATACTAGGCTCCGACCCAAATCCAGATTCCCACGAAAACAAGGTACTAGCAAGGTATTAGAGCAGCTGTGGAGTTCCCGTATATCCGGAGGATTTGACAGGTACCACTATTAATTACCGATATTAATGGGAGATTTGGAATCATTGCATTTCTACATAGCCCCATGAAGTCGTCGGCGTTAGGAAATTTACCATTGCTAAGTCCTCCTCGCTGCGGTCCGGGCTTAGTTTAGAATCGCGGCCCGACCAGCGCGAAGGATTTTATTGTAGCAATGTTCAAGCGGGGCAAGAGTGTGGACTCTAAGGAACGTATTGATTCAGTGTGCTGTTTAGTTTACTCGAGATTTGCTAGACTTATTCCGGTTGCAGGCGTATTCGTTTGCCGGCAATAGTATAGCAGCATGTAGGGTTATGAACAAGCTGCAATGGCAATTGAGCCAGTGACAATTCATCTATAAACAACAGTCGCTCTCAAAGCCTATCAACAGTTCTCGGCTACATTCGGCTATATGAACTCGGAGACATAAAACTCCCATAGTACTTGCTGTGCTATACGCAGTATTCACCATTCGCACCTCAACACCGACACATATTGCAGTGCCTAGCCACATATCCCTACATATTCATACTGCGGGTGTTTACTATAGATGCTTGCAGCACAGCCTTCACACGTCAACGTTGCTGAGAATGGATCACTACCCGCTCGACAAAGGCATGTAGTCCCCAGGTGGGTGACATTGGGAATGCTTATACCAGAGGTGGGTGCGTTGGCAAAGGAAGGCGTAGTTGTGATCTGTCAATCTTGGAAGAACTCTGATCCCGCTCTATCAGAAGCGGTACAAGGGATAGGCGCCGGAGATGCGGAGTTCATTGAGTTAAAAATCTCGCAAAGACCACTGCAGAAGCCCTTGTCCAAGACCACTTGAGGCTCAAGCAGTTGCGTTCCGCAGTAGCACTACAGTAGATATCAGTATCAGTATCAGCCATAGGTATAGAGTGATTCGTAGCATAGATAGAAATGGAACTTGCTTGAGTCGGTGTTCTGACAATAGAGCAGGTTCGCTTGGTCGGCAGCTACCAGTGAAAAGCCCATGTCTTCACAATCAGTTTTGTCTACATATCGGCTGTAAGTTACAGTAGATAAATGAAACAAAGCAAGTGTAGGATATTCGATGGTCCTGGAAGAGGGAAAAGGATGCTAGGACTAGATGGCAGTTTATGTACTCGGGAAGAAGGCATGGAGGGGAAGCCATTGGTTTTCATTACCATAAGTGAAAGACGTATATCGGGCCGAAGATGGTTTACTTCGTCAAGACGTTTCTCCTCGATTCCGCAATTTACTAACTTTGCATTTACAGCAGTATACGCCCGCAGTATACTAAGAACTATTGAGCATTTTTAAAGCTATCGCCAAAATAGTAAGTAGAAAGGGGCTTAAACTCTTTTCCAACGAATACAAGTACCCAAACCTGGATAACACGACTCGCCTAATAACGGATCGACTGGCTTGCCTTCGTTTACGAAAACTGTGGCAAATTATAACATGCATCATTTGCCAATATTAACAAAGTCCTTGCCTGGTGCTTACCCCCGCGTCAATTCGGTTTAGGGCTATCAGCTTCTAGGAGCAATACGCTCACGACAATGGCCATCTGCACAGCCAGTATTGGTTCTTTCTCTTTTTATCCTTTTTTTCTTTTGGTGTTAGTCTCTGTATAGATACATATTGTGATTACATGGGACTTTAGCAGGAGCGCAAGTAGACTCGTGCAGCTTGCAGATAAAGCGTGAGATGCAAATTGAAAGTCGAAAACAAACGTAAAATGTGTATTCGACTCTTATCTTTTACGCACTTTGACACCATTACTATTACAACAATGACTTCGAATGTTACCTACCGAACTACCTTTACAATGGAACCGAGAAAGATGACTGATCATGGCAATTGATTGTGCCTATATACATGTACTCTATTGTGTAAAGATCCAGCTGCAGTCGTATCTTATTCATTTCATATGTATACGCATGTTAATATTGCCCTTGAAACAAATTTTGCCAGTCCTCTCCCCAATTCCAGCCTCATAACCCGTATTACATTATGCTCAATATTTTGAGCTTGCCCCACGAGCCAATTTCTCCCCTTTGTTTCTTACATGCCATAGTAGCATGCAAAAGAATTCGCTCCATCAACTAGAACACAGTTGCCTCCCCCAAAAGCCTGTTCGTACAGTTGACCGCCGCCACAGTTGGATCCTTGGTAAAAGTCGCACACGCAGCCACCAGCCCAGCAATCGGCAATGTTCGCAAAGGTGCCAAAGTGATAGTTGTAGCAGTTCGGGGGTCCGGCGTATAAGTTGGTGGCCCAGGACACCTCGACTGAACCAAGATAGCTGCTGCACTGGTCGCTGTAGTAGTTGAGCTGCATTTGCTGTGCAGAAGCAATGGATGCGGTGAGAACCGCGAGAAACGAGGTCGTTGAGAAGTACATTGTGACTAGGTGCTTTGACTAAAAGGTCGTGAGGGATTGTAGGGACTTTGCATGCCAGACACTGACGGCGCATGGTCAATTTATATCTTTGAGAAAGACACAAAGAGTCTGGGACCATATATATACTGACAACACTAATACTGCTGCGCTTACTATAGACTACCCAAGAACTCTTGAAACAACGCCGATGTCCCGATGCCTGCAACAAGGTGGCAGCTCGGGGTATAGCCGGCATACCGAATAAGTAATCGTAAGCACAAGTAGCACCCTCAAACGAGATACGTGTAATTCTAAATAGAAATAACGGATAATGACTGGTTACTCTATAGCCGTGTTTTACCAGAAGTTCCACTATGTGGGTGGGACATATTGTATTGCCAGAACGATATACCTATCTGGTGGGCACATTTTAGTTTGCACCTGCGCCTTGGGGAATAGCAACGATTACTAGAATATTTTTATTTCCAGGATTGAAGGTGGGTATGTGGAACACCATGCGGTAGAGCTTACTCAAATACTAATACATCTGCAAGTCTGAGAAAGAAACCATTGTTGTACAAGTCTCTCAACAATAGCGAATAAGCGAAACATATTAACATTTTACACCCATTTTAAGTGGTGAACCTGTCTGCCCCAACATAAGAAGGGCGCACTGCGAGCTGAGTACAGCTCATTAGTGCCATTAAAAATAGTTTAGTAAACATTTCGAAGAGGCCTGTAGCACTACAGATATAGTAGAGATTATCTCTCTTAGTGCCGGTACCAAGTAGATACGAATCAATTGTTTTTCGATGGATATTCCGTGCCTTATGGCCGCGCTTACTTTCAGGCGAGTTGTTCCACAGTTTGCTTGCAGGGATTGTGGTAAACAGCGGTGAAGTACAGAGTATTATTGGACCTCTGTCGCCAAAAAGAGTAGGTAATTCATATTTGACTGCCTCTGTAGCTCAAAATAGAGCAAAGAACGTTTGCTTATGAAGAAACACGTTTAGGAAAGAAATGCTTTGTAAATTCTTAAGTAATAGATTCTATAGATATGAGATGGCTGAAACTAACTCGATCAGCCTTTTTGGGGGATTCAGCACCTCCGATTTCTGTCTCCATCTACATGCATATATTTGAGACGAATTGTTGGATAGAACAACTATGAGGCGGAAATCAGTGAAACGCCAGATCTTGGCCCATGTATCGTACGTCTATTTAGGCATATTTTGGAACCAGCCTATAAACAACATGGGTTTCGGGAACAAAACTAGGGCTGCGCATAACTATCCGAATGGCATGCAATGGCAATTTTGGCTTAGTCGGCTGACAGGCCTATCAGTTTTTAGGGGTGATCCAACATCAAGGTTATACCGCCAGACCAGCACTAATACCACGCAAAACGCATTTTACATTGCAAGAGCAGTCCAAACAGCCATAAATCCGTATGGCATATAATAGAAAATTCGAGGTCATGACTAAATGCCTTTCATTTTATGCATCCCTAGACTCAGGGGATTTAGAGGCCTCTGGAACAAGCGCTACGCCGGCTTTTTGGCGGCTGAGCAACTCGGTATACTGATAATGTAATAGCATGTGGTGCCGATAGCCCATATTGTCGTATGTCTATCAGCAGCAGCTTGTGATATAGAGGAATTCCAGAAAGCAAAAACTCACCTGCTCATGGAAAGATCTTGTTCCCTCTCTGCATCCACGGTAGCTGATGGGGGCCGGAGTCAAGCGTACTATAGCTGAATGATGACAACGCCTAAAAAGCGTTAGACATGTCCCAAAATAAGCTCCATATTTCAGCTCAAATGTTCCAGAGAAGACTGTCCAGTTCCGTTGTTACTGAATCGTATCAAGATTATTAAACAGTAGACTTTGTATATTGCATGTTTCAGAAGTCCAGTAAGAGGAAAGTAAAAGACTTGAGTATATACGAGGCATTGGATATCTTGACGAAAGAACTCCTATAGGCCCTGAACAAGTTGATGGAAACAGTACGTTGTTGACAATGAAACGTGGCTGACGAATAGTCTTGTAGTTTAAACATAATAGTGGTGTTCTGCCCTCTCTGTTCCAAATTCTTATTCGTCCGGAAATAAAATGTTTTAGATCTTATTTCCAATTGGTTCAGCCCACATTGTGTTCCAGATCAGAATTTCACAACATCAACCAGAGCTAGGAAGCACATAACTACATGCATCATGCTGTTGCAACTGACTAATCTTCACCACACACACCACACCACCTATTGCGGCTTAATAAGTATTTAAGTGCATATGAGTAATTTTGAGCACATATGAGTAAGTTAAAAGTGCAAATTAGCAAGTTTTAATTGCAGTTGAGCCGGAATTGATAACTCCGACGTGCATATTCGGCACCGAGAGTGTCGTCATTGATTTGATACCGTCAATAAAACATTTGAAGCTCGGCAGCCCTAAAAAGACTAGCTTGTTCTGGTGCCTTTGGAAGATATGGTACGGCTAATGCGCTCGGAAGGTATAAAACTCTCGCTATCCCATAGATTGGTTCAAGCTGCAGAGCAGGGGACACAAGTACTTCAACCTGTCCATGTCATGAACACATAATTTTGTCATCGACGCTTTCTTTATAAACTCTCTTTCATAAGCTAAAACTTTCCAAAGCTCATATCAATATGGCACCTATTGTTATCGGCTCTCTCTGCTACCACTACCTGGCCGTCGATGTCATTGCTCCCTTTGACTTGATCTTCGGCGGTACCAAGCAGTTTATGGACGGCATGAGAATATACACGCCAACTGTTACCGACTCGTTAGTTGCAAAGGCACCAGAATTTGTCTTCCAGCACATTGGCCTTTCTCGCGATCCCGTCGATCTAACGGCTGGCCTTACTGTAAAGCCCACGTGTACTGTCGATGACTGCCCCGAGCTAGACATTCTCTTCCTTGGAGGCCCCAATCCCGGCCCTTTCTCTCTCGATCCGAGATACGCTGAATTCATCCGCAATCACGTGGCTTCAGGAAAGCCTCTATTTACCAATTGTACCGGTTCCTTCGTCGCCGCCATAGCGGGTGTATTGGACGGCAAGAATGCCACAGGCAACCACCTTGAGTATGAATGGGTGAAGCACAAGTATCCCAAGGTGAACTGGACAAGGGACAAGAAGTGGGTTGTCGATGGAAACATATGGACGGCTTCCGGTCCTATGGCGGGTATGGACATGATTCTTCACTGGTTGCGGGATAATCATGGAGAGGAAGTGTTTACTTGGGCGGCGATGAATCTCGACTACGAGCCTCGAGATATAGATGGAGTGAATGTGATTCCTTTCCGTTATGACGAGGATGGAAAGCGGTTGTTTACTCATGTTCATCGGTATCATGACTCTTACTAAGCGTGAGCCTAAAATTAGACGATGAACAGTTTGGATAGTAAGGAGTATATAGCTTGTTGCTATTACTATCTTGACTCGTTCATAGATCATTGCTCAATAGAGTCAAAGTTCTCGGAGCTTGAATCACATTGGCATCTTCACATCTCCTTCGTGTTCTCCTCAAGCTGTTTCCATTCCTGTTCCCAAAATCTCTCTCCCTGCTCAAATGTTGGCCGCTTGTTTGGATCCACGCTCATGCATCGAGATACGAAATCCTTCCATGCTCCTGACACGCCGTCGCTCCCAGGAGTCCACTCGACCGTTGTCGCCTCCGGATGTTTCCTCTCATAAACCCAGTCATCATTTTTTTGCTCAAAGATGACCCATAAACTCTTCCCAACGCTGTAGATCTCGGCAGCCTCCAGCGCTCTTGGGCATTCGCGCTGCCACAATTGGAATACATTCCGCCTTGGCCAAGTCCCACGGCTATCAAGCAGCGGACCTATGAACTCTCGATATGCCATCGTAGGTTTTGCCTCTTGCGCCTCATCTGTTTCTGAGTTTGCGACGACCTCAACGTCCCACAAGCCGCTCGCTTCTGGTGCGAGGAAGAACGGAGACGCACCACATTGCTCCCAATCAATCACAACCACGTCATTCTCGTTGTTCAGAAGGATATTGCTCGGTTTCAAGTCCATGTGGTACTGTCCCGATGAGTGCACAGTCGCCATTGCCGATGATATCTGGAACGCCCATTTCGCTTTGGCCACCAGAGGGAGGCTTGTGTGGCTCTCATTGCTCTGGTTGATTACTTCTTGCAATGATTGCCGCTCCAAAAACGGATACAACATTCCGCAAAGGACACGGTTCTCTTCTCCAACGCCCTGACTTGCAGATTGAGGTGGCCCAGTGGTAACTAGGAAGGACGGAGTACGCTGGAGGTTGGGATGGCTGGGAAGAGAGTAGATGGCCTTGAGTTCACGATGGAACGTATCTCGCTCGGGTCTATAAATTGCATCGCCTTCCAGAAATAGGCGGAAACTGAGTCCCTTGTAGATGTATGGTCCGCCATCTTTCTGGTCTCTGAAACGAGTAATCGTCGTCCCTCCGCGTCCCCCAAGTTTATGGGAAAATTTAAGGGATTCGAGTGATGCATAACGCGGTTCGGTCACACCAACTTTTCGGATAAGAGCATCCTTAACAGAGCTAACAGGCAAAAGACCCGCGAGATATCGTTGAAAAACACCCTCGTGAGAGATTGTAAACGTCGTTTCGCCACGATCGTCTTGCTGAATGTGTAAAACAACGTCCGGAAGGCGGATTGAAGGATCGGATGCGCAAATAGGCCAGACGTGTGAGATGAGATCGTATACTGCTTGCCGCATGGATTCTCTGTCCGGAAGTGTCCTCTTCTCGTCGTCAACCTCGATCTCGTGAAAGCAGGTGACTATGCGGCTGCTGGTGCTGAGCGGCTGAGAGATATCGACATCAAATCTAAAAATTAACGAAAGATCGCCATCAAAGGCTTCTGCAAACACCGCAGTCTCATCGTCATTCCCAGAAATGAGCGTTGTAGTAATCCCCATTGTTAAATGGCAAAATGGCAAAAGCAAGTCTCTAAATATTAAACTCTAATAAAGAAAAAAAGGAAAGGGAAAGAAAAAGAAAAAAAAGAAAAACAGATCACAATAGTCCAGTGAGCAAAGACCCAAAAGCACAGACAGAGACTACCTGTAACGCGTCGCACCCAGACTTTGACCCAACAACACCTTTTGACTTGAACATCCCACTATGCTACCTGTCTTAAGCTGAGCGAGCCTTCTCTCGTGCCTTCTCTATGCGCGCAAGGTCTCGATTAAACCTTTTGAAGCTCCAGCTCTTCCAGAAAAAGGGTCTAAGAATTCGTATCAGCTACATGTCCACACGGGAGCACTCTACATTGACTGACAGAGAAATGGTCTCAGATGTCAAAGCGGTCAACACTCAACCCTTCAAATTCACAGCGGGCAGCGGTTACGACTTACCGAAGCGATTGCTATCAGGCGAGTAATCGTTGCTAGACGGGCTGAGCTTGTTCCAGAGCGAGGGAGATGGAGTACAGTTGTAGTTCACATTGCGGTGGGCGACGGGAAGACCAATGTTTGGCTTCCCAGCCATGTACAGAACGCACAAACTTGTCCAAGGTTTCCAGGTCGAGTAAACATGCCCATCCATATCGCATTCCGTTGCTTGTTCCGACAGCAGTTGGTCTATATTCTGAGAAGAGGCCGAATAAACTTTGTCCGTCGAAATTGTAAATCCCGTCGAACGATATACTCTTGTGGTAAATGGGTAGACCTTATTCAACCGGGTCCACGATCGGATTGGCCCCGTATTACAAAGAAATACTTGCATCCTTTCAAATGTTAAACATCAGATATATCGGTTGTGGGGTAAATGCATACTAAAAACTTATTTGGGAATTTAGCTGGGAATATTTGCCTTTGTTTCGCATAAGACGCAGCAAGTGCTTACTATGGTTGCCCGTTCAGAGAATCAGCAGCCATGGCTTGTTAAAGCTGACTCGGATATAGTTCTGCTGTGCCTCTCTCTGGGAAAAGTCCCATTGCCGTTGATCTTCTTGTTTCAAGAAAGTTTCTTGGAATATTAAAGAGATTTGCTGCGCTAAATGCTTGAGATATCCAGCAGCATCATATGAACTCGTAGAACTTGCTGCTTTCAAACTTCATGTTGCAATCATGGCTGTCGTGAGCGCTCTAGCAGGATTATGTCTCGCAGCTATACTTTGTGCATTTGTTTTCCGATCTTATTTACTTTCCGACGTGCGCATTCCTCCCAGTACAAAGCTACCGCGCGGCCCCAAGGGTATGGCTTTCATGACGAGGAGATACAAACGTACCATGATTTATACTGACGCGAGATTTGCAGGCGTCCCAATTCTGGGAAATCTGCCTCAGGTGCCTCTTACACACTCATGGCTAAAATTCAAGCAATGGGCAGACCAGTATGGCCCGCTCTACAGCCTTTCGCTTGCGGGCAACCGTCACGTCGTTGTGTCTACCGAGAAGATCGCCAACGACCTCCTCCGGGGACGAGGCAACATTTATTCCAGCCGGCCGCATTTGCCCATGAGCTGCGAGCTCCTCAGCCACAACTTGCGCCCTGTGTTGCTCCCGTACAATGATCTCTGGCGCAAGGGACGAAAACTGATGCACAGCCTTGCGTCGGAATCCGCTGCTCCGGCATATGAGCCTGTCCAGATGCGTGAGTCTTTTCGGCTGCTGAAAGACCTCTTGGCAGACCCAAACAATTACGAGACGTGGTTTGAACGATTCTCGGCCGGTCTTGTTCTTCAGCTGGCGTATGGCAAAACGGTCGAGACTGGCGACGAGCCAATTGTGAGAGACATTCTGGAGGTGGTGCATACTCTTGAACGAGTCATCTCGCCAGGCGCATACCTTGTTGATACATTTCCCATCCTGATGTGGCTTCCAAAATGGCTGGCCCCATTCAAGCGCGAAGCAGATGGTCTGCATCAGCGCGAGTTGAGTCTGTTTCGCAAGAATATCGACGACGTTCGGGCTGAGATTGCCAACGGAGATCAGACGCCCTCCTTTTGCAGAAGCTGGCTGGAAAAGGAACACTCTTTTGGCCTGAACACGGACGAGGCGGCGTATGCGATTGGCACAATGTTTGAAGCTGGCGCAGGCACCACAGCTGCAGCTCTGATGTCGTTTATGCTGTCCATGGTGCATCATCCAGAGTGGCAGCGGCGTCTGCAGCAGGAACTCGACGCCGTCGTCGGAAACTCACGTCTCCCCGACTTTGACGATATGCCTCGCCTCCCAACAGTACGGGCAATCGTCAAGGAAACCTTGCGGTGGAGGCCAGTCACTGCCGGCGGCGTGCCGCATCAGCTCATCAAAGACGACGTCTACGAGGGCGTTTTTCTCCCGGCGGGGACGAGCATTCACGCAAACCAGTGGGCGATCCATCGAGATGCCGCTCTCTATCCAGATGCAGAGAATTTCCGCCCCGAGCGCTGGCTGGAGCCTTGTTGGCCAACCTACCGCGAGCCTTTGACTCAGTTTCCGAATCTCCAAAACTTCAGCGCTTTTGGATTCGGCAGGCGTATTTGCCCGGGACAAGCCATTGCAGAACGAAGCTTGAATATTGCAGCTGCTCGTGTCGGCTGGGGCTGTACGGTTTCGAAACTAAAAGGCGTCGAGGTCCCGTTGTACGACTATACAACCGGCCTTAATGTGCAGCCTAACAAGTTCCGTTTCAACCTAGAAGCGAGGGGAACTCACGTCTTGAAGGTACTCGGAGACAAGGCCAAAGACAGTGGAGGGTCTAACGGTGCATGAAACTGGGCATGATATCCGGTTGACTAGGAGAAACTTGTCGAATCCGAGACAATCGCCCCCCAAGCGCGAGAAACAATCACGTTGACCTATCGACAGAGTGCTAGCTACAATGTGAAGCTTTAAGAAGATGAATGCATCACGTGCGTGCCAAGATTCAGCTGGCGCTTTAGAGTGTACCATCAGCCACTACCGCTGCTAGCAGCTACCATATCCATTTGCCACTGTGGCTGTTGGCCTCTGCCGCCATTCCCTTATTTATGTCTGTTGTTCTTGAATCAAGCATGCTGCATGCCAGCAGTTGGCGCTATAGATGACCGTGGCTGAGGAATCTATAACCTTGTTTGCACTGCCTTGGCCAATTCAAATGGGAATTGCAATTTGTTCAAATCCGATGCCTTTGACAAAGCTGGCGTTATAACTTGGTCTCAGTCATAACCAACGCTCCGTCACATCACATGTTGGAGGCATATGGAATAGACACTCGAACTCAACGCTCAGCCCAACACTCGTCACTTTCAGCAAATCAAGACGCCCTTCTTAGTTCAGAATCAAGAGACAAGCGGTACTGCAGCAGCCAGATTCCAGCAATGACTGCCCCCGTCATCCACAACCGCGGCGGACCCGTCCAGACTGCTCATCCCAGAGTCTTCACCTGCTCACAGCCCATCTGCTCAGACGCCGGCTGCGTGGACAACAGCCTACAGTTTGAATGTATTTCACAAGTCAAACAAGGCTACGACATCTCCTTTTCTCGGCTTGACCATGGAATGTGACGGAGACAAGAGCGGATATCCGTACTTGGCCTGTACTTGCGTCGAGGATTTTGTCAACTGTGACGACAACGGCGCTCTTCACGGCCAGGGCAGTCCCAGCGTCGTCGGCGCAAACGGCTACGCTTCGGCCACGACGGTGATTGGAAGGAAAGCAGGGAGTGCGGTGAAGACACAGGCTGCGCAGAGTCAGCCAAGTTCGAAGAGTGCCGCCAACAAGCTTGGATGGCAGGTCAAGTTTGGGCTTGTCACTTTTATAACGGCCGCGTTGGTCCTTTGAGATTTTCTTAGCAGCACTATATACCCAAGAATCTACCATAATCTGCCCAAAAACTGCTGCATTCAGTATGCCATCATTCATTTCATCTAGAGGAATGTGCTGGTTCAACATTTCACAAGTCAAAGCTCAAAACAAATCAACTTCGATGTTAGATTCATTATCATAGCGGTATGTGATAGTGTGACAGCTGTGCTCATTAGAAAATACAGCACTCATCGCCATGATGACTCCAAGCTGGGCCACAAAGACCGCAGAGTGGAAGCCCCGTGGCCCGATAAACTGCATTACAAAGCCCGGGGCAGTGATACCAACACGATAGTATTATACGGCCGCTAAGAAACGTGATAGCTGAGGCTTGGCCTTTACTCAGCATGGTAGGCCGTCCGGGATAACCAATTCGATGCTCTAAAGTATGCAAAAACTGATGAAAGGTGTAATTTCGGTGGGACTGGTCCATATCAGAGAGGGCCAGACGCAATCTGCTGAATATACCGACAGCAAGACAATACAATGCGTGTGCGGGATTCTACGTGGGTGTATCAGAGGTATTTCACCAATCGCATTGTCTGGTAAGCGAACAAAACATTGACAGGTCTCTATTAGAAGTGAACCATGGCAGTGGACTTCAGAGCCATGTCCGAAAGGTTTTTTATACAGACCGTAATACAGACCACATAAAAGAACAATGCCGGACGTGATTCGTCAGCATAATGGTAAGAACACGACGCACGCACGTGCAAGCAAGTATCAGGCCAATATACATTCTAGAAAACTCCTTTGCCCATCTCAGATCCATGAGATCATTGATATGCCTTGGCAATGTGAATACATGGCAAGTAGAGTGCGGAGTGGGGTGGAGTCAGAGAAGGCAGCAACGTCGCCAAAATTCACCATAAACAGACTAATGATTACGTACCTATAGCGTTGGGGGGGCAGGAGCTACGTTGGGATCGTATATATCCTGCCTCCTGAAATAAGGACGACTGGCATATGGCCTTGGCTGACCTGCCTTGTCTTCTGTTACTGTGAACTCGACTGCCTGCAGACGGAAAGTGACAATGGGACAATAATGGAAAGTCACACTCACTCAGCCTCGGAATTATTGAGAATCCGTCCAGCTCCCAGCAACCTTACTTGGTTTCTCCAAATCTTTTTGTTTGTTTGTTTCTTCTTTTCTCGGCCCCATCTTCTCCTTCTCCTTCTCCTTCTCCTTCTTCTCCTTCTTCTCCTTCTTCTTCTTCTTCTTCTTCTTCTTCTTCTTCTTCTTCTTCTTCTTCTTCTTCTTCTTCTTCTTCTTCTTCTTCTTCATCATCATCTTCTTCTTCTTCTGCAGCAATGTCGTATGCAGGCCCTCACCATCCAATGATCTGTCCAAATACACTGTTGCTAATCTGTATTTATATAGAGACGAACCACATTTCTGGGGCCGCGCCTCCAACGCCCGCCACCATCACCCCCTCTAAGTGAGTCTTGAATTGATGGATGTGAATAGCTTCGTTTTACTGACGGCATATCAGTCTTGAGGAAGGTGTTTCCTCTGCTCTCCCCCGCACCCTCCGCAGCCGCCCCATTCGCGCCATCACCGCCGACACCACGAAAGACTAGTTGTTTTTTGTGTGAGTGTTTTTCCTGTGGTATGCTTTAGTAGTTAGCTATTTTACTGATTTAAAATTTTCAGGACTGGCACAATATATAGGGTGACATTGTGGGTCGCGGCCATTGAGGCCATTTTCATGATAACCCGTGGTTTTCTTCAATAGACATAATTACAGTAAACATAATTATTTTTAGGGAGCCATTATGCAGCATCCGAGTTCTGTTATCTAACACCCTAAAAATAAAGAGAGAAGTTATGTATCTAGTACCCCGATTATGTTATTTAGCACTCCAGCTGTAGTTACTACTGCTACTACTGCTACTACTGCTACTACTGCTACTACTGCTACTACTGCTACTACTGCTACTACTGCTACTACTGCTACTACTGCTACTACTGCTACTACTGCTACTACTGCTACTACTGCTACTACTGCTACTACTGCTACTACTGCTACTACTGCTACTACTGCTACTACTGCTACTACTGCTACTACTGCTACTACTGCTTTTATATGTACCTATTTAGTGGTTGTGCATTTTAATATGTAGACTAGCTGCCTTGTTGTGCTACAGCTGGGGTGTTGGATAATAAGATTGGGGTGCTGGATAACTTCTCCCTATTTTTAATGCAACGATCGATTGGCTTTGTGCAGTGACTGTTATTGTGGCTACGCGCCATCCCCCTCATGCCTCGTCATAATGAGAATACCAATCCCACCAAGAGTATATTTACATTTGCGTCGGGCCGATCCCTCTGGACATATAAACCAAATGCACAACACATGATGCAAAGTTTCAACTCACCAAAGCCAGCTACTTGACGGACAGGGCACTTGCAGAATCATCGACCATGGTTGCAGAATCATCAACCACGGCTGCAGAATCATCAACTACGCTGGTAGTCAAACCTCGCTGCACGCACTATATCCCCTGCCATTGCCCCTCGCTCCCCGAGTACGCTTGTCCGCCGATAGAAGATGAATCGTCTCCATTGTGGCTGCAAAGACCTCATGAAGACGAAGACTGGAACAAGTTCTTACTTGAGAAAATGGCAAGGCATCGTTGGCGACGGATAGCTGTTGCCATGCACGATGCATGGTTGGCGTTCAAAATCGGTCGTCCGCTAACACCATTCTACACACCACTATTTCGATGGCTGATATCGTCTGACCATGTTCCCCGGGGATACAAAGATGGACAGGCACCATGGCGCATGCTTATACGGGCCTATACATCGGACCTACCCGGGCAATTGGCTGCTGGAAGCAGTGAAGAGTCCATATTCTCATGGCGAAAGTATCCGAGATATATGGGCCGAGTGCATCATCGCACAAAACTCGACAATGCGCCCCCTGAGATAACGTGCGGGAGACGAGCTGTCTTCTCTCAATATAGGAATGATTCCAATCAAAGCTTAATTGGAGCGTGGCTTGTTATAGTCTACATCTGGGCTACTGATAGTGCATGGCTGGAGAAGACCAATGTTGCAGACTTGGTCTCCCGTGATAGTGTGACCGGGTAAGTGATGAGTGACTGGAGCTTGTGCCCTGCATATTATATTAAAACGTCACTTACACATTACATGTTGGTTCCCTAGTATTCGCGCTTGGGAGTTTCTTAATGCAGTTGATACTTCCACCGAGGTTCTGCACCTGTTCTATACATGTCAAACAAGGAAGTCTCCAGAACAGGACGTGGTATACGCTGGACACCCGTATGAACAGTACAACTCTGTTCAAATGAAGCGCGGAGACCCTGTACCGGCCAGACTCGCTGGACTGAGACGCTTAATGAACGGGCGGGCAAGACATTTGTATTGCGCGGCATATGAGTACGATACGTGTACATGTGACAGATTCAACTCTGCACAAATTTAAAGGATAAAATGGTTTTACCCCAGCCATTCTCTGCCGACTGTAATACATGTAAACAATGTCTATTAATTAGTACCTTGTCAAAGCAATGCGGAATGAGTCCGCAGATTATACAAGCAAACTCCCAAATAGCTGGCCCAGATTGGTGGCAGATGCCACTGACACAAATATAATTAGCTCTCCAGTTCGCAACATACAATAAACGAATCATCAAAGCATTCACGGATAGATTCACTTGATGAGTGATGCCTTGTATTATATTTATAAATGCACTGCTACACAATGCATGCAAATGAGTAACTCGTTCAAGTACAATCTTAAAGCAGTAAAACTCTTATTCAAAGGGACCGCTGGCGGATTGGAAAAAAAAAAAAGACCTGTCTTGATACCGCCAATAACCAAGAAGCTGTCAGTCCGTCGATTGCCTTATAATCCATATTACCAGCTCAAAACCCCCATGATGCGGCCATGAGGCAAATGATAGCAACGTCCTCTTGATGAACAGATAAAAATGCGAGAGATGGAATTGGAAAATAAAAAAAAATTAAAAATGATTGAACGCGGAGAAGAAGACAGGTTTCGAGAGGAATCTCGGTAAAGGCCCTGGGTTGAATTGTTTTGGCCCAGCCTTGGCCATCAATTGTCCCATGATTGATAAGATTCTCTCAAGATATTGCCACGGACAATACCTGCATCAGTGGCTGCCACATAGCAATCTTCGCCCTCAAACCAGGTCTGCAGCTCAGTAGTGTCAACCTTTTTATATACCCGAACGGTTGACTGAGATGGAACCCCACATGCGTCTCTGACTATTCTGCGCTTGGTAGTCTCCGTGGTGGTGAACTGCTTCCTTGACCCTGGCCCCTCAATCTCGAGCGAGAATTTATATTCAGTAAAGCCTGCGTTGGCATTGATAGCATCGAAGGCTTCCTCTCCGGATTCGAATCTGAACTGTTCCTCCGTCGCTGCCTCGCGGGTAACCACGGCGTTGCTGCTACTGTTCATCTTGCCAAACTGCAGCACCGACTCATAGCTGAGAGATTTCAGGTTGGCCATCTCCATGAAGCTCTCCATTCTGGCAGGTGTCCTGAATTGGTCAACCTATTCATCTGTTGGGTCATTCATGCGGTATTTCTGGCATTCGCAGTTGCTTCTTCGCACACCTGAGTCACGAATGACTCGACCTAGGTTTTGGTATGAAGGAGGAGGGGTACGATTGCCCGAGCGCGGAGGAGGCTGAAGACCGTCATCTGATGAAGACAGAGCGAATCGGACGTGGCGATTGTTTGACATTTGGGGGAATGGAATATAAAGAACCTTGAGCTCTATTATCTTTGAGAAACAAGTTGCTTGACGGATGGTATGAGTCTGGAGATGCAAGGCTGTGTGCAGAAGACGTGTTGCTCTATATACCCGAGCATGGCTCTCTACCGGCAGCCATGTTTTTTTCCCCAAAGGCCCTTGTGATTCAAACGGCCTTTGTCCAAAGATTACCGCTGTGCTAATACATCTGCAGCATGTTGCATATACGAGGCCGGATGTTTTGTGACGCGATGGAGAAAACCAATCACGGGATACTGTTGCGCATACGTACGACATCGAGAGCCCCGAACACGTCGCTCAACGCCCTTGTAGCACAATGCCCGAAGACGATTAGTTCGTGGTTTTACACATACGTGGAACATGGGGAATTGGTGTTATCACTTACACCTCTGATAAGCAGCCATCGAGGGGGTCTTTTCGTCCCACGTTACGCGCAGAGCAGCATAAATAGATAAGGCGTGCTACCATGAGGCCAGCCTTTGACTGGCTGCCCCTGTTTCCACGTTGGACCCAAGACACGTGTACGAACTCTTCTGGGTCCTGGAAGGCATTGTAACATGAATAATATATGCAGCAGAGCGGGGTTGAGCACAACGCATAGTCGATGCTCTCGGGTCGAGTCGCAATCCGCCAGGCTGACGATTCAAGTGCTTGGTTCAAACCAGGCCGAGGTATCACTGGCCAGTGAGATGTCTCATCACATCGGACGAACGCAGACACCTGTACCTGGCGAAATGCAGCCGGCTTGTGAGCGCATTTGCTGCGGCCAGGAGATCTGGCAAACACTTGGCCGCAACATATGGCTCCATGTCCATGTATCTGGCCTTAAGCACTGCAGTGATGCTGCGGTTTGTAAGATTCAACAAGTGGCCATCATTGAGTGCGGTTTGCCAGTAGAGTACTTAGAGGACCTGCTAACTGGACCAGACTTTAATGAATATAGGGATAGACTGCTGATCAAATGCTAGATGAAAAGTAAGATGCTCAGCCCACTTGATTCGTACTCGGCCTACCGTATGAAGCGAGAAAAATAACATGTGCATCTCTCACGGCACTCAATAGGCCAAGACTCCCAGCATCCTTGGTCAAACCCCTAAGAATGCCAAATAAACTCGTAATAGGCCGTCTAGAGGTGAGATGAAGCCAAGTCTGGGACAGCTCGGCTGGCTCGAGTCCTTTTGCCGCCGGGCCTCTGTCGTCGCCGTCTATTCAGGTTCAGGGGCTAGAGCCATGTAGCGTCATAGACATCCAACAAAGCAATATATACCGCCAATGCAAGCAAAATTCAGGCTTCCTCCATGCTTGCACTCTCGTTCGTCTGAAGTAACGGCGTGTTTGAAGCTCAGCAAAGCACCAGGGCCCAGCAATTCCGGACCACGATTCTTCCTAGGCCGGCCTCTGCCCCGTAGGCACGTCCCCTGTAGGCACGTCCCCTGTAGGCACCACAGCACAGCTCTCCCCATTCCGAGGCCCTGAAGCTCTTCTACCCAGCTTCATCATAATTGCCTTCAAGTATTCCATCTCCATGTCTTCCGCCGAGAGCTTCCATGCTCCGCCTCCTGGCGCTACAATCCACCAGCTCAAGATCAAGACCATATTCGATGCTCTCAGCGAGCGCGACAAGCTCTATGCCCACTACCTTGCACGCGCAGCATGGCATGGAAGCAGAATCGTTATGCGGCAGGTGTCGCCAGAAAGCCCCGACATCTTCGACTTCATCATGCATCTCTACCATGCTTGTGATGGGAAATGAGACACCTTGGTAGCGCAATGGGACACCTTGGTAGCGCAATGCAATGTCACTCCCGAAGAGCTGGCTTCATTTCTCGAATATGCTGCCATGTTCCTTTGCAACTTGGGCAACTTCAATGTGAGCCAAGAGCGCAGTCTGCCGTCTTGTGCGTCTTCTGCTGCCGCTGACCACAAGTTAGGGAGAGGGCGACCAGAAATTCGTCCCTGATGTATCAGCAGAAGCTCTCAGGAAGCTTGCTAGCATTTCCCCAAAGACGGAAGCCGGGTTAGACAAGATGATCGACCCTCTTCTAGCAGTTCCACCGTTCAGCCTGGGATACCCTGGTGAAAATACGCAGTCGGGCTACTACCCTACCGAGGAGCCCATCACCAGGGATGACATCGCCAAGGTCTCGGACGTGATGAACAAAAGGTCAATCGGCCCGGAGAATACCCGCGTTCGAAAAGTGCTCAAGGATGGCAAGCCTGTGTTGCAGCTGTTGCAAGCTTCTGCAGAAACTGATGTGCTCGAGAGTGGTGACAACGAACTCGCAGATGGTATCTTGCTTGTCCGAGGAGACCACTCGGAGGAACTGGCCAAGATCTGCTCTGATTTGGAAATGGCGAAGCAGTATGCAGGCAACGATAAACAGACTGCGTTTTTGACACATTACATCGAATGCTTTCGTACTGGCAGTTTAGAAGCCTTCCAGGAGTCGCAAAAGACCTGGGTGACGGATGTATCGGCCACAGTCGAAAACATACTTGGCTTCATCGAGCCTTACCGCGACCCCGCTGGAATCCGTTCTGAGTGGGAGGCCATGATAGGCATTGCCGATGCCGATGAAATCAAGAAGTTGAAAACCTTTGTCGACAGCTCAGCTACATTCATTCGACAGCTCCCATGGGCGGTCGAGGGAGTGAATGATGGCAAAGGGCCATATGAGAAGAGTCTATTTGAGGCTCCAGACTTTACTAGTGTCCACGGTTAGTCACCTAATTGTCTTCTTCTGCCTTCACCAAAAGAAAGGGAGATTAATCACTTGTCCTAGCACTGGCTGTGTGCGGCAGCATCGTCTTCGAAGCCGCCAATCTCCCAAATGTGGGGGTTTTTTTTTTTCTTAACCCATCTAATCTTGTTTGCCATTAATAAACTAATGTCGATAGTACGAATACATCCGAGAAACCCACGGCTTCAAGAACATTGTCCTCGCAAATCGTCTCAGCGTCAACAATAACCCTGACCTTCCCTGCTATTGGGTTGACTCTTCCGAGCTCAAGTTTTTCCAAAGTACCACGCACATTGTGAGATTTCTCACCACTGCCATTCATGAATTGATTAGTCACGGCACAGGCAAGCTCCTCAGCGAGACTTCTCCAGGAACCTACAACTTTGACAAGCAGAATCCTCCAATCAGCCCCCTCAGCGGGGAAGCCATAACTTCACACTATCGACCCGGCCAGACGTGGACAAGTGTGTTTGGGAAGCTGGCAGGAACAGTGGAGGAATGTCGTGCAATCTTGATGTCGGAATATTTCATGGATAACAAGCATCTGCTGAGCATTTTTGGCTACACCGATAGCAGCAGCATCACAGCTCAAGACCGTACGTCGCAAAAATCCAAATTACTGTATAATACGACACTAATTCTCCATCAAATGTAGTTCTCTACGCCACATATCTCAATATTGGCGTCGATGGCCTGCAAGCACTCGAGCATTACAACTTCCAAGACCAAGCCTGGGGCCAAGTCCACCACCAGGCTCACTTCTCCATTCTTAAACACCTCCTACAAGACGGCGACGGAGTCATCTCCATCGCGCACCATCCTACGCAGCAATCTCTCACAGTAAAAGTTGACCGATCCAAAATCCTTTCCCACGGTAAACAATCTCTGGGCTCGTATCTCTGCAAGCTACACATCTGGCGCTGCACCGCCGATGTGTCCGCATGCAAAAACTTCTATGAGCCGTTGTGTGCAGTTGATGGTGTGTATGAAGAATGGCGGAAGATTGTCGTGTCGAAACCGAAGATGAAGTGGAAGTTTGTGCAGCCAAATACTTTCCTCACGGGTGGAAATGTCCAAGTCAAGGTTTACAAGGAAACTAACGAGGGCCTTATCCAGTCGTGGGCTGAGAGGGACATTTGAAAATGGAAAATCGCTAGGCATAGTATGTTCTAGTGCCCATTATACGACTTGTCAGCCCAGCATGCTTGTGGTTCCTGTAATTAGGCATTCGGCTTCGCTACCTGGTTTACTTGATGGCACTACATAGCACTACATAGCATTCAGATCGGACCCTTTCAGGCAAATACCCGCACTGATAGCCACACCGCACGCAGTGTACCGAGGAGGCATATTCGTATTTTCGTCCTCTCTTGCTTTCTGATCTAGGGTTCCTCATCAATTCCCTACCGCCAAAAAATCGGCACCCATCTATCATAGGTGTCTTCGTTCCCAAATTGCGTCGCACTTTTATCCCTCCTGAGCAAATATATTTCGGCCTCGTCTCTCAAATCTTGTGCTTCTTCCTCACTGTCATCTTTCTCGTCCTCATTTGTAGACGAGTTCTGGACTAGAGCCTCGGAGAGTTTGAACAGGCCGCGCGCGTGCTCAACGGGCATGGTGTCGGCATGGAATTTTGTGATCTCGAGGGCGTCACGGAGATGTTTACTAAACAGTGAATATTGTTAAAATACGAGTTTAGAGAAATAGAAAGCATAAGGTTGAAATGTAGAAGACCGATAGGAAAAAGAGAAGAGGGGGGGAAGATAAACATACATGGCAGCCTCCACCTTGCCCTGATCTAGGCAAACCACGCCCGTCTTGTAAATGCATCCTGCATTGAACGGGTGAGAGCGCGTCTGATCACCTTTGAACCACATATTCTGCGCTTCCATGAAACTTGCCTCGGCAGATTCTGGCCTGTTCCTACGTCGTTCAAGGATACCTTGGACAAAGTATGTGCTGCGAGAGACGTTAGTCGTATTGTATGAAAGGACGAGAGACTGTACGTACTAAGCCAGCATTGCCCAGTTTAGAGGTTTCTCCTGCTTAAACTCTCTGATTGAAACGTCGAGCAAGGACTTCGCCTCATCGTACCTCTCCAGATACACAAGACACCTCGCGGTATTCTTCTTTGTGACCGTGGGCCAGTCCCCTTCCCTGCCTTCCTTTACATTCCACGCGGTCCAGGTAACGCGCGACTTTTCAAACCACATGAGCGCTGTTTCATGCTGGTTGGCAGTGTTGTAGTTGTATCCGAGGTTCTGCTCGAAACCGCCGAGGAGGCCGCCCTTGCGAGGCTCTTCTTCTAGGCGCATCTTGTAGCCCTTGGTGTTTAGTTCAATGGCTTCTTCGACCTTGCCGATGCTTTCGTACATGCTGGCTTGATGGGATAGTGTCGAGGCCTTGATATCGATGGCGTGTTTCTGGTCATCGAGTGTGTCCACGGCTAGGAGATTCAATTCGCAGACGTCCACGAGCTCTCTGAATGCATTGATCTCGTAGAGATACCTGGTATCGAGTTAACATATTGTCGCAAAATTATAGCAGGCAGTATCCCACCTCTGACAATCTTTCAAAAGCTCACAGAACAGAGATGACGCTCTGAATTTCTTCGAGTGTTTGCGCCCCTCCTTGAAATTGTCTTTCAAACAGAGGACGTGTTGTAAGCAACGATTGCACTGAGTCCACTGATGATAGAATTGATTCTTGTTCGTCGCGTCTGACTGTTTGGGAAAGGCATTGTATACTAGCACCACTGTATTGTCGAATGCCTGTTGTCGCTCCTCTGGGGATAGGAAAGACCGGAATTGCGTCTGCACCATACGATGGCACGAGAAGGTACGAGCATCTTTATCCCGTTTTACCAACGCAAGGGTCAAGAGAGGTTCCATTGCTTCAGAAAATCTGTAGCCGAGGTCAGACAAGTTTCTTTCGGGGGATCAGACGTACTTCAAATCATCAAGGAAAAACTCAAGGTCATCTGGGAGATAGTGGCCTTGCCTGTTTTCAAATAGCTCCTGCGCCATGTTATCCGAGACCAAGAATGATGCAACTCCCAGTAATACTCAGCTGTCTCTTTCTAAAGTACCAAAGGATACATCCCACACTGCCTGTAACTCAGATTTATGAAGCCTTCTTGGATCTTTTAAATAGATGCGCATGAATTCGGTGATGGACCAGGACCTTTGTTGAATCAGACCAGCCATGTGAGAGATACCCAACGCATGGCCACTGAGTTTTTCGGCAAGTTCGAATGCCGAGAGTCCTTCTGCTTGGATGTCGCGACCTATGTTGTCTTTCAACAAGAATAAGAGAAACTCGGAACCGGTCTTTGCATCCCATGAAGCTATTTCCAAGCCAGAAGTGGCAAATTTATACACCAAGTTGTGATTGCGGGTAGTAATAATAGCCTTCCCATGACTTGCTTCCGGCCAGTATGGGCCTAATAGCTTATCATCCTCGACATTATCGTAAACCACTAACCATTTACATTCTGTCATATAGAGTGTCAGTCAAGATCAGAGACAACAAAGGACAATGACTTACCAGTCCTTTGAAACCAGTTCTGAACTAGCTGCAAGTTCTCATTGTGTAGGTTGGGCTGTGCTCCAGGCAATTTGAGCCGCAATGCTATGTCTGTGAAGCTCTGTCGCAACGATGCCGTCGTCTCACCATAAGCCCAAAATACGGCGTCGTACTTCTTCTCTTCCATCTTCCTCTCAATATATCGTGCCGCGATGGAGCTCTTGCCGATGCCACCAAGACCAAACAGCGCTATAGATCGGAAAGTTGCTGTTGATTCGTCCTGGCCGAGGATCTGGTCTATCTTCTCAAATGTGCTCTCTCTACCAAAGAAGCTTGGGTATATTTTGGTTGGCATTTTCATCAACGATGCTTGCTGTGTGATTGTAGCAACGTCTAAGGAACTGGCTTGGCATAGCGGAGGAGAACGTGCAGTAACTAGATTCTCAACCCGCGATAGAGTTTCCGAGAGCGCCTGGTTTGTGTTGATAAACTCACGTTGAAGCCACGACCATGGATCCTCCTGTTCGTGGCGATGATCTTGTCCGGCTCGCTTGTCTGGGTCATTACATCAGCTAGGAGAGGAAAAATGACACTTGTTCGTCTACCGATACTTACAGTGCTGTATCTCGTCTTCCTCGCCACGCATAGACTTGACCGCGGTTGTGAAAAATTGAACGAGCTGAACCTGCATGTCAAAACACGCTTCCTTCATTTGATCCGCATTCTCCTGAGTTGACGCAAAGTAGTGCTGCTTGAAAGCCTCTACTTTATAGCCAAGCGACTTGAGCATTCGTGGGATCTTGGGGAGGGCTTGTAATCCTGTGCTGTGAGCTGTCACGCTGTGAGTAATGCGCTGTGGTCCAAGGGTCCGGCAAACGCGCACTCACCTGTATCAGTATGCCAATGATGCCCCAGAAGAAGTTGGCCTGGAGGCCGGGGGCCAACTGCGACTCAAATATGTAGGTGAAACGGTGATAGTGGCCGAGTGTTGGTTCCAGTAAGGATATCTTGTATGGAATCCCTTCATGTTTGCCGGCCCCTGTGCCCACTGGGTCAAACAGCGCTTTCTGCAGCACATCCCACGAAGTGATGAGTCGCACTTGCTCAAGGTCGGCTGGCTCTAGGGAATTTTCGCATTGTTTGATGACTTCTGCCCAGTTGCGGAGAAAGTAACGCTCTCTATCAGACATGTATCAATTCTGGGATGCCCGCAAGGATATGAGAAGGGCAAAAGACTCACAAGTCTGAGGAATCCATCGCGCCCACAATGGAGTGTAAACGTGTACACGCGCAACCTTATGATAAATAAGTGTCGAAATGATGTTTGTCGCCTGATATTGCAGACGACAGAGCCACATTCATGTCGGGTCAATATAGCGATGGGCAGCTGCTCGGAATGCTTCAAGATGGTGCAATTAGCACACTGACGGGCCAGTGTTGGGTACAGCAACGTCAATATAACTCGGTGCTACTTGGGAAGACGCAGATACTGGTGAGAATCCTTCCAGGGTGTAGGCGAGCGGGGGAAGGAAGTCGATGAGAAATGAACAGACTGGATTGGACGACCGAGATTAGATATCGACGAGGTGGATACTGGTATGTCAAAGGGGTCAAGGCGTCCTTACGATTTATATACCTGGACGTAAGGCGCCTGGACCAAGTGAACAAACTTGAAGTGTCAGAAGCTCCTCGCCAGCCTTTCTATCATGATCAGAGCATGGTATCTCACACGTGACTTGCTGCTGGGCGCGTTGGATTCCGAGTATCATGTTTCCAGCAAACTCAAGCCTTGAGAAGAGCGTTGCAAGAGAAACGACAGCGATATATATATGACGATGATTGTCTCGCTAACTTTGTTGACAGGGCAATCTATTCACTTGCTCTGCTTATTGGGCAGATTCAAAACGCGGCAGCCACTGGCGACAAACGAGAGGAAGTTGCATGCTTCGATCTCAGATCCGGATTCTCGAGATTTCAGTATGGCTCTGCATTCCAGGGCTCCTCGCGTCAAGGATCTCGGCTTGGAACCTTTAATTCTCTGAACTGGTCTCGACTTACAGCCGCCAACTGCGCAGAAAGCCGACGTCCTGCGTATGATCCACGACCAATTCCGGGCTTCTGTGAAGGCCCTTGCGGGATCATCCATTCCAGCATTCCCTTACCCCTCACCTCATCTATTCTCGGAGATTTCTCAGCTCCGACTGGATGATGATGGCATTTAGCGATCGCCTTATCCAGCCCTTCTGTTCCGAAGAAGAGCACCGACTATCGCCAGTGATATCATAGGACCATATCTCCGACTTCGCACCCGAGTGTTGTCATTTAAGATTCAAGGAAAGATTCAAGGCATTTGACAGTGAATTGCCACAAATACTATCGAGACCGTGCTCACCCTTTTGCATGCGCGTGCGTGCCTCGACAACACATTGACTGTGACGACGTCAACCAAGCAGCCCCATATCTCTCGGACATCTCCTTGGAAGCTCTCTTTCTTGGACAGACTCGATTATTCCACAGCAAGTTGTACAAGAATTGCGAGTGCCATTAGCCGAGTGGAGGCGTACTCTCCCTGAGTCGATTCCAGGCAGAGATCCCCGGGAGGCGAGGTTCAAGCTCGGTTACATTAAGCAGGATGCAACATCTGCCAGTACAGAACCTGAGAGCAACCAACAAAAAGATTTGCCGTTACCCCACTGGGCTGTAATTCGCGGTACACGCCTTTTTTTTAGCGTAGCGAACCGCAAGAAACCACCTACTGAGCATGAGATGGTGCTTTTGCTGTCCAATTTGAGCAGCCCCGCGTCGCTGATCAAAACTCTTTCTCGGATCCATGCCGACAAGGCTGTCGCCAATAGAAGGCAGAGGCAACTGGCCGACCGAGCAAGACTTGGTCGTCTCTTATTGCCGGGTGATGTTGTGGGTTCCCATTCTGACGCAAACGAGTACGATACGCAGGTATCAGATAATGACGCTGAAGAAGACAGTATCCCTGGAATGGACATTTCGTATAAGCTGCGTAAATCTGTATTCCGCTTGGGTGAGGGCCTAAAAGCACAGGCAGATGCCAATGAGTCGCGCCTCGTCTTTGATTTCACAGCACTTACCTTTGACAAGGATGATATACAAGACGACGTCAAAGTCCAATCGCGGATAGATTTCCTACTTCATCCCGGCATTGCAAGATGTTACTGGTATAGCCCAGAGATAGATGCCGTGATCGAAGCCGCCACACCAATATTTTAGCTAGGCGAATGTTAACCGGCAACCTGGAGGGCGTACTATTTTACAAAGAAGAATTTCACTTTTTCCGCAATCTCTGCCGGTTTGAGACAGGGGCTGTGGTCGTCTGGTCCCATATCTCAATCTTTTCCCCAGATATGAACGAGATGCTGCCACATTGATAAGGGCCCATCTTTCTCTCCTTACGAAGGCGTCCTGTCTTCATTAGAGAGATCTCGCAAGCTAGAGGGATAACAGGGTTTCCATACCAAAGGCAGTAAGTTCAGCATAGGTTATTCCCATGTCTGCTTCATCCGGCTGTGTATATTCTTCCGTTATGAGCTCTAGCTCCGCCGTAGGAGTAGCGGTAAGGAAGTCTTCGAGACACCGCATGCCAAACTTAACCTGTGCCCATGCAATGAGACCCCTGAGAGCTCCCTTGTCGATGGAGCTATCGGGTTGATGTCTGCCGAAGAGCAGTCATACTTGGTCATGTAACCTCTGAGCGCTAACATATCATCAGTTGTGCCCTCGTTCTTAGGACTCAGGTTGCTATGCTTACTACCATCCGTGTGCGTGCTTGAATGTTTTGTAACATGAGATTCTCGGCCTCTGATCCGTCTTCTACTTAACACTTTGGGTCCAAGCCGAGCGAGCTTTTGACGTGGCCTTTCTGCGCATGACAGAGTCGATATCAAGATCGATATGATAGCTCCCTATGGCCTCTGATAAGACCTTTGCACGCTGGCGTGTCTCACGAGAGCTCTGCTTTGACATTCCCATATATATTGTATGCAAGACGCGGTTACATAATTGTTGAGGAGTTTTTGGAAGAGCGGAATCACCGAATAAACATTTCACGGTAGCAATGACCGACTGGTTCTAGTCATTGATGGCAGAGGTGACAAGTCGGCACATCGAGAAGACCGAAACAGCTGATAAAAGGTGTTGGTGGATTGCCCCCTGCCAATCATATAGCCGCTGCTTCGGCTTCACTCACTCGTCGAACAGGAGTCCAGGCCACCTGACAGAGGGGCGAGACTACAACGCGGTCAGTCAATGAGAATATGGAGCTACGAGTGGCAAAGGATCAGGATAGCTCACAATCCCGCAGAGTTACTCCTTGCCAAGTAATCCCAAAGGTAAAAGCCAGTGCACTGTACAAGTTTTGGTGGTGAAACTCGGGTTGTTGGTCGACAGGTTCCAGTCTTCTTCATCAGGGCTAAGCTCAAGGATGTCTGTATCCTGTAGTACTTCCAGAGTGGCTGGCAGAACTATTGGTGATTATTTCCACGCCATCCAATGTCATCGGGATATCTAGATAAAACCGTCAGTATGGGTTCCAGCGGCAGCCTAGCAGTGTGATACGCACGAGGTGCATCTGGCGACCACATTTCCTCGCAAGTTTCAGCGCCAAAGCAGCTATCAGGTGTGCTTATAACACAATCCCCAAAGGGCACATGTGTGCTTCCTTGTAGTCTTTGTAGAAATCTTGGCAAGTGAAACTCTTCCCAGTGTTTCCCGGAGCCAGGGAGTAAAGTACCGCATTTCTTGGTAGTTCTAGATTGTTAGTCTCCACTGGTCTACCGTTATCGTTTTATGAAAACATCCAAGAGCTTACGAGGGTCATTCGCGAAATCTATCCTGATGTCAGTAACACAATGTAGTCTGGCACGCCCTTAATGTAGCCAGTTACATGGCGTAGGTGGTTGAACTCGCGCATTTTTAGGCGGATAAAGAGAATCTTGCCATGAAGACAGACTACTCTACATTGTAGTTTACATTACGATGGGTGACAGGAAGACCAATGTCAAGGAGTATGCCATGGCAGGTTTCATCTTCAAGAATTCGGGCCAGCATCTCAATGCAGTGTAGGTATAGATCGGGCTCGAGGAAATGGTCATTGCAAGAATAGCCCGGTATCTCTGATTCATATGGAGTGTAAAATTTCAGAACAATTGCTCCAATACCGCTAAACAGGAGTGAAGTGGGCTTAAAGGGGAAAAAACGTACCGGTCCAACGCAAAGTCTTGCACCAGCAACTTTGGCCTGACGAATTGATTCAATAATCGTCCGTGTTCCCCTGATATACCTTGGTTATGCTTCGCTTCTCATCTAGTGAGTTATAGCCAACAGTGCTTCACAATCAAGGGCCATTGCCTTAGCGAGCAGGCAGCAACAGTCACGAGTCGGCCCATAACGACGAAGCTGGTGTCTCATTCACTGAAGTTGAGCCGAGGGCAAACAAATGTTGATCTGGGAGCGATATGTATTCTCCTGTGCTTTCCGTAGCCTGTTGCATACGCTATCTAGGGAAAGAAGAAGCATCGAGACGCCTAGTTTAGATAAGCAGGTCCAAACAACGGCACTTCAGACTTTGAACAAATCAGAAAATTAGAAATAGCCAACAGGCTGGATGGATGACTGACACCTCCTATTCCGCTTCTTCGCTAGGTTCCGTAGAGAGATGGGTACGTACGTACTTGCCTTGGTAGGACAACCTTTTTGCTGAGATAAGTTACCTGGTACTTGCAATCTTCAAATCCAGAGGCACTGGAATTAGAAAACTTTGAACTGCATTCTTAAACTTGACGGGATCCCGTATGTGCCATGAAGCTGGCCAACATCAATAGGGACATCAAAAAAGGCAAAAAGAAAACATACAACAGCCGGTGTTCGCCAATGGTCACCCACTTGACTACTAATCTGCCGGTTAATGGCTTATCTATGGGGGAGCAGACGGGACCCCGAGTTCTCCATTACCTATGGTCGTATGTGCTTGTTGTGGTGTTGAGTCAAGTTATAAAAACAAGACGCCATAAGGCCAAGGAGCAAAAAACATACAACAGCCGGTGTTCGCTGATGGTCACCCACTCAACTACTAATCTGCCGGTTAATGGCTTGTCTATGGGGGAGCAGACGGGACCCCGAATTTTCCATTACCTATGGTCGTATGTATCCGTTTTCCTAACTATTCAGCTTATATCTTCTTCATCACTATCCTCTACAGACTCTTCAAATCATAACCACACACAGCAACAGATCAATATTAAATTACAAGCATTACTCACACTCCCATCCATCTTAATCATTCTTCACAATCCAATTCCCCAAATAAATCCAGGCAGCACCGGAATAAACTTCCTGTCGCAAATACACACTTCCGCCAACCCTGACTCATCCCACAACATTAGTCAGACCCAAACCAAAAAAAAGTTCCTGCAAAATCCCAACACAACTGATTCATCAGCCCAAAGACAAATAACATTACTCAAAGAAGTTCAATTTTAATTAATTAAACACCATTACATCTTTTTTTTTACACGCCCCCTAAAAAAGAAAGCAGCGCATTCCTTTTCAATTACAAACTATGAGCCATCGACCGTCCATTCCGAAGATCCTAACAAATCCCAAATTGCTAATCAGCGCCTTACATACAACAAATACATGGAAAAACAGCAGCCGTAACATCCATCTCACATGACCTTCCTGTAAAACGAACTTAAAAAACTCCCAGGATCGCAACACGATCCCAAGAAGGCTAAATGATTGCAACACGACCGATTACTAAAACAGCGCTTACCTAACCTTATTTTCGATCCCCCATTACGTTAGCAAAGGTACGTTCACCCAAGTACCTTAGGGCTTAGGCTCAGCAGTGGAGATGAAAGAGCAAAAAACGCCTTCAATGCGACGCCTCAGCCTTAGTGCAAGGGCCGGCAAACGTGGCAATGTGGCTGGTGCTTGCGACAAGTACCCTGCAACAAAACAAAAAAGACAAAGGCAAAGGGGCCCCAAGATCTAATCAGGCTGGATCTATTGTGGCAATTCAATGCAAAGCATTGCTACTAGGTTAATTTTAGAAACAAGTCACTTATTATGTAAAACGTGAGACGTTGCAAGTTGATTGTATGCGGCTGCTCAATTTAATAGCCATATTGAAATAAAAACTAAGACTACTACTATACATATTTTTTCTTTTCTATCCAAGCCAAAAGTAATTTTCACAAACTGTAAGAAAAGCAGAAATAAGAAATAAGAAAATTAGTATCAGAAACCATCCGCTCTGAAAATCCATGTGTATTGTTTTAAACCGTTGTGAATGCGCCCAGTGCCCTCATGTAATATCATCCCGCTTCTCCGGGGAGTCTCGAATGCATTTTTTTGGTCCTTGATCCAGTCTGGTGGACCTTTGTTATCATCTTTAATAATACAATTCTCCCCAAGCAAGCTAGGTATTTCGGAGAAACAAGAAGATGAGAAAAGAAAAAAAAAGTCAAGCGCTGCAAAGCGAGAAAAAAAAAACACGCACACAAGTGTTTGTTTGGTCTATGCGAAATGATCCCTTCCAAATGTAAAAGCCCCGCTTCCCAGTCGCTGCAACAAAATGAAGTAATAGAAAAAAGTTGAAAAAACAAGTCGACAGTAGTAGGTGTTGGTACAAGTACAATAATGATGAAAAAGTCAAGGGATAGACGTAAAGGAGAAGCGACAACAAGAATGATTCAATTCAGCCGCAACGCAAGTGACAATAAGAGTAATTGGTGGTGCGCATCATGATCGCGTAGCATTCGTAGAAGCACAAGGTAAATCAGTTTCGCAAGAACGGGAGGGGGTGGGTGTAAGACTCTCGTCGTCAACGTGAAGCCAGAAGCGGCATGGTGCGGCAGCGCTGCGAGGAGATGCTGCGACGGTTTCATCTGGCTCGAGGATCGCAGCATCATTGCGAGCAATGCATGGCCCGCGGCTGTCGTCATTGCGGTCACTGCTGCCCGGCAATAGCCAAGCTGGGACGACAATGGTTGATGAGAAATCAGGGCACGACCAGGCGTGGGTGATGTCAGCGGTGGAGGGCATGAGGTGGCGTGACGTCAGCGCCGCGGATTCACCAACCAGGACCCTGCAGCTGCAGTAGGACCCTGAGACCCACCCGGCGACCTGCTGGGTCCGGATAGCTAGGGAGCAGAACGCCAGAGAAGACACTGGCATCTTCCCATTGGCTGTGGGCTGCCGCCTGAAGTCGAGCAGCGCACCACTCCCCCGCAAGGGAAGCTGGAGTGCGCCAAGATCGCCCAATCTTCGATTTGCTGCCCCTCCATCAGTGCGCCATCGTGTCATTGACGTTGCTGGTGCTGTCCCTCGCTCGATTCAACCAGTGAAAAAAACGTCATACAATGGTGATGTTCATTGCATTCTCTCGATTTTCGGTCTTTTTTTGGTGTTGAATCAGGGATGAACAAGAGTAAGGGGCCAATCTAAGCTCCACCGCGTCGTCGGTGCTTGCCAGGGAGCTCAACGTCGGGATGGCACACCCGGTAGTGCCTCGTCAGTGCATCAGCCCGGCTGAACGTCTTCTCCTCCGTACACAGGTTGCAGTGCACCTTTTGCTTCTTGGCGTTGTGGATCGTGTCCTCATGCCGGGTCAAGTCGTACGGTCGCGAGAAGATGGTGTTGCAGGACTTGCCGGTGCTGGGGTTGATGCGATCGCAGCGGTGAGGTCCGGCCTGGCTGTTGAGCAGGCTGGAAGTCATGCCGCTGTGGTCATGGTGCTGCTGCTGCTGCTGTTGACGAGCACCGCCCAGGGCGTGCGATTGCCTGTGACCCTCGCGCTTGTGCTTCTGGAGCAGACTAGGCGTCTCGAATCGTAGCGTGCATCCGTGATATGTGCAAGTGTAGGTGCCTCCATCGGCGTTGGCACCGGCGGGGCGACTCTGCGGGACGGGAGTGCTGTAAGCGGCCGATCCGGATGTATTGGAGTCAGCCGAGCTCAGCTGGGAAGCTGATGCGTCGCCGGTTGCTGGCGGATAAGCAATAAACGGATATCGCTGTGGCACATGCGCCGCCATGCCCGCGTGCTGCGATGGTACGTGGTGCATGCTGTGGTGGCTTGCGTTGTCGCCCTGGCCGTAGCCGCCGGATGCCGCAGCCCCGTTGTCGGGGAGAATCCTGCCCATGTGGTCCATTCCAAAGTTGATGGGCTGGTGAGAAAACAGAGGCATGTTGGGCTCCTCTGATGACTCATTGAACTCGAGCACGGCATCCTTGGGCGAGATGGTCTGTGGCGTCGCGGGCTGGGTTGTCTTGACCATCTGCTGCTGGAAGAACTGGGCGTCGTGGTGGCCGCGATCCTGGCTGGGCATATGAGGCTGTGAATTCATGGCCACGCCGCCGTGAGAGGCAGCCCAGTCGTGCAGTGGCGAAGGGGCAAGTGGAGAGCCGTGGCGAAAGGGGGACATGTCTCGAGAGATGCTCGAGGTAGGCGAGTGGTGGACGGTGTTGAGGTGCTGGCTATTGGCGGCATTGATGCGCTGGTTGAACACATCATTGGGCGCGGCCGTCACCTGGCTCTGCTGCGGCGAGGAGGTGATTGTGAAGTTTGGGTTGTACAGCTCGTCGCCGTAGACGTCGGTCATGGTGCGGCCCAGCTTGGGGACGTTGGCGTTTGCGTGGCCTGTTGTAAAGAATGAGTCTTGTGCTTCTTCTTCTTCATCCACCAGGACGAGGTCTTGCTTACCTTGCTGCCTTCTTCTATCAGACATGTCCATGTCTCCGGTGATGGGGGTGGCGGGCGAGTCTCCCGCTATTGAGCTTGCCACGGAGGCGGGATGTGATCGCGTGAGGCCGTTGGCAAAGTCGGGCGCTGGGAGCAGGTTGCGATCCTGGCGCAGCTTGTGGTGGCCGGCGCCAGGGCCCTGGATGACGGGATATGCCATCTCGACGGGCGAGTGCTCCATGTGGTGGAAGTTTGAGTAGGGCGCCATGGTCTTTGCCAGGTGGTAGTAGCTTGGGGTGGCGGAGCTCAGGCTGATGTCGCTCGAGTGCATGTCCATGAAGCCGTCACCATTGGCGTCGGTGACTGCAATCTGGGGGTTCGCAATGTGCGAATTGAAGGGCGACGCCGGCCCTGTCGATCCCAGCGACGACAGCGAGGACTCGCGCTGGTGGGCTAGGCGGCCAAACTTGGGAGTCGAGAACCTTGCGGCGGCTTCCCAGGAGTCGGGCCGCATCGAGTCGGGCGAGAAGGCGTTGACGATGGCGGCGTCCAGCGTCTCGAGGTTGGACGAGGAGAGCTCGACGGAGGGGAAGATGGGCGACGAGAAGGTGAAGTCGGAGCTGTGGTTGCTGTTGTCCTGGCCAAAGGTGAAGTCGTGGTGAGGATGATGAGAGTAGTTGCTGTACTGCTGCTGTTGCTGTTGCTGTTGCTGGTGTTGATACTGCTCGTATGATGATCTGCTGTGGTCCACAGATAGCATGGTGGTTGAAGAGATGTAGATTTTGCGGTTTGGAGAGTTCGATCTGACGGCGATGTGGTGGCAAAACGCTTTGCTTTATATCATCCCAGACGCCCAGGCCGGCCCTACCGGTTTCGTCAACGTCGATGCTTGGAGGGCTGGAGACAGTTCGGAGGGAGGGAGGGGGGGAGGGGTGGGAACTGGCGTTGGTGCGCTGCCGAGGTGGAGGGGGCGTGCGGCAGAAAGTGGGAAGCCCCGATGCACTAGGCGCATGCAATACGTACTCCGACCCAAAGAGAAGTGACCAGAATCAGACCCAGAATCAGACCCAGCAGGACTAGCACGCAGACTCAGCCAGACCAGGGCAGCAGCTCTGCCCTGCCAGACTGCCGACAGAAGCATCCGGGGAGCCGCGGCTTGGCCCTACAGTATGAAGAGCAAGAGGCTGCGTTTGGTAATCCAGCGCTGGGCTTCGACTGTCTGATTACACACGCACCGCGGTCACACAGAAATTGCCTGTCCGGGGAGCATCTCTGCGCCAAACGGGCAAAGCCCTCCGCGCAGATGCTGCCAGGACAAAAACCTTCGGACTGGCAGTTCCGAGCGTTCCCTCGCAGCGACTGAACCGCGTATGACTAAGTGCGCTTGAGTCGGGACGCCCAGTCAGTTTCATTTGTCATGCAGTACAAATGGAACATTAAATCAAATCATTTGCACAGCGAGTGAATGTGTGCAATTCGTCTGCCGGTCCTTGCATGGCTGCGTTAACCTCGGCAGGGAGTGCAGTGCGTATGTGCGTCGATGAGTCGTAAGAGTGAGTGAACAGGTATATCATCTGCCGTGGTCGCTGCTGCACACGTACCTACTGACTTGGGCAAGCAAACATACGAAGCCACATACGAGGCACCGGGACGGCATCGTAAGCGGCTATTCTAGGGACTACTGTCTTCCTCGCTCTTCTGTTCCAGCTCATCGTGTGGCGTGTACTGTACACTGCGTCTTCTACTGTACAGTACGCGGCCTTGGCTCGGGACTTGTCTGGCGTGCTGTACCGCGCTGCACCGAAATGTACCCCCCCGGCCCTATGAGTGTTCAGGCACAACACAGCCACACGAGTATGGCTGCATTAGTGGCTTTTCCAATGTGGCTTTCGCACAAGGTTCCGAGCGAATACCGCATCTCCGCCGCCGCGAATAGGCGGTTCCCCCTGTCTGTCCCAGCAAATTTTTTTTCTTTGCTTTGACATGTCAAGCCACACTTACTTTGTGTGTGTGTCTTGTTTCGGTGCAACTTTGTTTTTTTTGCTGGTAGGCAGTAGTCATTTCTAGAAATTTCCCCGATGGGCGAAACGATATGGGCTTTTTTTAGGAGTCACACAGCCATTGCAACAATTCAGACTTTTTTTGACAGCTCGAGCTTATTTTCACAGAATTCTTCTCCTTTCGGCGTCAGACCTTTTCATTGTTCCTTTTCGCCGAAATGGCGCTCCTAACAACATGCACCCTAACGGAGAAAATCACAAAACGAGAAAGCGAGCAACAAGACCAAAAGTAACCAACCAACCACAAGGCAACAGATGTAGCAAAAAAACCTGAATGTGACTTGTAAACTTGGCGTAGGGCCCCGATCGCCAGATCCCTGCCCAGCGGATGCCGGACGGGTAACAGTAAAACTTGCAGCAAGCAGCAAAGCAAGATTTCTTATTGGACCCCTTAGCCACAGCAAGACACATTTACCCTTGCCGACGGGAAAGATTTTCCCTCTCTCTTTTTTTTTTTTAGAAACTTCTCCCTGTTGTTACTTTTGCTGCGGTTTTCGCCTTTGTGGTACATGCATACATAAAAACTGGCTTATAGGTCACATGACGCGCCTCATACGTTACTGGCTTCCAAGGTTTGCGGCAGATGGGCAATGCTCGCTGAGTCAAAGCAAAAGTAACTTGCAGACCCAATGATTGGATTTTGAATCGCTCAGATACAACCCAACACTCCATTACTAATTGGGGGGTGTTTTTTACTAGTAATTCACTATACGGCACTTGTAATTTCTTACCATTGCCATTCTAAGCACGAATCAATTAATTTTTCAACCGATAAAAATCTTGTTGCTCACTTGATCGAACCTTATACAATCCGAAGAAGAACGATTAAGAAAAATGGCAAGATGCGCACCTGTTCCTCTCGTGCCATCGACCTGATGTGTAATCGCATGATTTGGCATTAGCATGTGTATCATTGCGTGACTTTTCACTGTGTGGTGTGCAACAAGCATCGGCTGCAACTGCGATGCGCTGCACTGCAACCGATCCCCAAGAAAAAAGCAGGGTTACCTAGGTAGTACAGACATTCTCAGAGTACTGTTATCTTGCTTCTCAACAAAAAAAAAAAAAGAGAGAAGAGAAGGAAAAAACTAGCACATGTCGCATCTCGTGTCTGCATGCAAGACGGTGCGCCAAGCCAAAAGGAAGAACACCCGAACACACCCCCAAAAACCAAAAATAGGGGGAAATCGAAAAGCGAAAGCGAGCCGGAAAAATAAAAAGAAAAAGAAGAAAAATTTTCATTCTCGAACCCTTCCCGTTTTGCGCTTCTCCTGCATGTAGTAGAGACTAGAAGCCGGTGCAACGTGTGTACCAGTTGGTTGGTGGTGGTGTCGCTGCCACTGTAGCGCACAGTAGTCTGCTGTAGCAGCTGCAGTTGTGTCGGGCAGGCCGAAGAAGCAGACGCAAAAAAAAAAAAAAAAAAAAATGCCAAAAGGGCTGGTGCAGCGTCTCGTCTCGGAGACGGCCGGGCCTCGTTTGCGCGACCAGACACTCAAACTCAGCCACACCCTCTTTTTCCCGCCAGATCTGGTACTTGTGCCTTAGCAGGGCCTTGCACTTGCATGCATCGTCTCGTCTGCCGGCACTAAGGCCGAAAGCTGAGAAATAAGATTCTTCTCGGCCTGATCGACTTTTTTTTTTTAGAGATGCCTAGACGGGGGGTGAAGTTTTTTCCAACTCTCAGTTTCCTTCTGTTTTGGGCATGCTGCTTGCTGCAGGGCTAGAGACCATTGGGCTTTTTCACTTCCACCATACAGATACATCTTTACATGCACTCTCACGCATTCAAGACCTTGCTCGGCTGAGCTTGCGCCGGCGGCAGATGGAGACTCTACTGTCCCGTAGGACCCGTATGGGGGTGAGGCGACTGCTGTGTTTCGTGCTGGATGGGGGCCCATTAAAGCCACACCATAACCGGACCCTTGGATTCGGTATCGCATCGGCCTGGGAGGGACTCGATAAGTCCGAAAACGACTTCTCGGACTGTTGGCTGAGAGGCGTGTAATTCACAAATCAATAAAAGACAAGCTGCTCCAGCTCGAACAGTCACAGTCACAGCAACAACGCCGAAAAAGAGCAAGTCTCGTGACGCTGCCAAATCGGCCAACTCGGGCCCCCGTCGGGGTCTGGGCACCGCCATCCCCGGAATCGCGGGTCCGGATCGCGCATTTTCGCTTTCGCTCCAGTTCGCTCCAACCAAGAAAGATTCCCATCGCTTCCAACTGCATCTGCCGCCGCAAGGGGAGACGAGGGGGACCCTCCCGTGCCGCGCCGCGGATATCGGGGTGAGAGGCGAATTTTTTTTGGTTCTTTTCTTTCTGGGGGGGGAGTTTTGATTTCTTTTCTTTTCTCTTCGGCCTGGCATTTTTCGGGATATGCCGCCAGCCAGCGGAACCGCGGGTTCATTGCTTGCGAGTTGGTTGCCCGGCTGCAGAGGTGGACGGTATATTCGACAACGTCACTGCTGCCGTCATGGCTCGGATGGCATGGTGCGGTCTAATCTCCTCGGCGTTTATTTGCTTGGAGGAATCGCAGGACTACTACTAATGCCATGACTTGCCTCGGCCAGTAGAGGGGAAAACGGGGGCCTTGCGATGGAACTCGACAAGTACAACAAGACTGTGCTGAGGAGCTGAGAGACAGAGTAGACGATGAATGGCCCAGTAGCGGGACGCAAGACGCTACGGATGCTCCAATCCAATATAATGGCAATACATGCCATGGCCGATGCGATGCATCACATCAGCCCAGGCGTGTATTGGAATCTCAGATCAGCCGCATCAAACATGGTGCTAGGCATCAAACAAAAGCCAGGCAACACGTGCATGCCACACTCCTGCTAGTAATACTTGGCTGTCAAATATTGATGGATTCAGTCATCGTCTGCTCGTCCACCGATATCGCGCCGCAGCAACAGCAGACCAACATGCGTCTCTTCAGCTGCCCGTCCATGCTGCATTCGTCCAATGTTGAATTCCAGCCAATGCAAGTCTCAGCCCAGCTTGGCATAGACACAGCCCATAACCCCATGGCATCTCGCCGCATCTTGTCCACTATACCACGTCCTCTATTTTCATCCATCTCCTGTATTTCCCTCCATCTCCTATATCCTCATTCCCTCCGGTCTAGATCCCAAGAGTGTGGCTCATTCTCACCACGCCGCCCCACCCTCCTCGGATCGCCTTTACCCGCCGATGCAGATCCGTTCTAGGCCTTGCAGGTCAAGCCAGCAATCCGTGACCCCCCTGCCACGTGGATCCCATCCATCCCATGTGCTGTATCTCGTACTTTTTGCAGGCACAGCTTATGTTGATACTTGCTGCGAATGCGCTGCTACAACAGCCGAATATCTGCCTTGTAAAGAAGACGAAGAATAAAAAATAAAAATAAATTCAGCCCATCGCAATAACTTGCATCGGCACCTCCGTTGGAGAGAAATCTCAATGCCCTGTCCAGCTGCAACATGCCTTGCAGCAACTTGCATGTGCCGTCCAGTCCAGTCCACTCCAGTCCCCTACATCAAGCACCCGTACCTTATGGCTCCATCACGGTCCATCACGGTCCATCAAATTCTTTCCGCGGCCACTACCAGCAGTACAGCGAAGCGAAGCGCATACCAAGACATACAGCTGCTGCAACTAGCAATTTTTTATTCGATGCGGTGGCTGCTGTCTGTCTGTCTGTCCGTCTGTCTAGCTGGTGCTGCTATTTTAATCCACAGCCTTCGGTCTCGCTGTGCCGCCGTGCAGGGATGCATTCCCACAGGGCGTTTGGCTAGTAAAATAAAGAACTGGACGGCTTCGCATCCATCCATCCTCGTGCTCAACTTGTGCCGAGTCTCTCCAAACCAAAACGCCGGATCTCAGCCAACGATTGGACGGAAGAAGCCAGCCAGCCTTGCTGATTTTGCCAAGCAATGTACCACCTACTATGTAGAGGCATCACAACCCAATCGCCTAGCATCGGGTTAACAATTTTCTCAAACTTCCTCTCTCTCCTGCGCTCCTTTTTCTTCTTCCTCTATTTCTCAGGCATCAAGTATAGGTGTCTCTCTTCTTCCGATAGGCAAACACTTGCTTGGCAAATAGTTGGTCGTAGCGCCGGACAGAGCCTAAAAGACCCTGCATAGCGCATAAGTGTCCAACCACATGACTCCTCGAACCACTCAGCGCCCTTCAGCCACGAGATGCACTTCTGTCGGGCTGTTGCTTTGGATGATCCTGCCGTTGACAAAAATCCCCAATATTTCCTTTCTTTTTATGCTTTGGGTGCTGGTGAGTCATGATTGATAATTGATATTACTCTTGTATGCTATTGTATGGATATTGGCACCCAAAGTGCAGTAGGCAGGCATGACTGCAGCCAATCGATATATTGCCAATAGGTCCTATGCTCGCATATGCGGCTGAAGCTTCCCCTCACCTCTTGCCCAGACGTGCTCAGCCATACCCAAAACTACACCAACACCGTCAAAGTTGCAAACTGAGTCATGGCCCTCAGGCTCGTACTCATTCCACTTGTACTACCCAGTTCGGGCTCCATATCCGGCATCGTGATTCGTATGCCATGTCTAGACAGCATAGACGCGTCACGCGTCACGAGATCAACAACAAGCTCTCCGCTCTTGCATCTAGCTCTCTGTTCAACCAGCCCGAATACGCTGAGCTTGTGAGTCACTCTTCATTTTGTCCATAACTTTAACTTTGTCAGGCAATCACGATAGTACAAGGTAGACACATAGTCACAGAGGCACATTTATTGACATCTTGGAGTGAATGCGTGATGCTGTATTTCAAGGTCACCACTTTGGTAGTTTCAATTACCCCCGTTCAGAGGCCAACCCATTTCCCAGTACGTTTGGTTGTACAGTACAAAAACTCAGAAAAAGCAATGACCCGCGCCCATAGTGAAGAAAAAGCCCAAATCGTAACAAACAACGCGAATAACACATTATGTCGACCCGACTCAGCGGCAATGCGCTTAGCCACCGAAACCGTACAGGGTGCGGCCCTGTCGTTTCAGGGCGTAGACAACGTCTAGTGATGTGACGGTCTTTCGCTTGGCGTGCTCAGTGTATGTGACGGCATCGCGGATGACGCCCTCGAGGAAGGACTTGAGGACACCACGGGTCTCCTCGTAGATCACTGGAAGATGTTAGACACTGCATGTCTTGGGAGCGGAGCGGAGCTGCGTATAGAACTTACTGGCAGAGATACGCTTGACACCACCACGACGAGCGAGACGTCGGATAGCGGGCTTGGTAATGCCCTGGATGTTGTCACGAAGAATCTTGCGGTGACGCTTGGCACCACCCTTGCCGAGGCCCTTGCCACCCTTGCCGCCTGCGGTGATGTTAGTCACTGTGATGAGACTAAAAAAATTGGTGTAGATGTGGTGGCGATGGATGATGGTTCAAGACGCGTCAATGCCCGAGGCTGTGACAAGGCTGAGGCTGGGTAGCAGCTACCGGGCAGCCGGGACCAAAGACACGTCTCGATCCACGATCGATGCAGATGGAGGTAATGATGATGATGCTTGTTGATTGAGGATGATACTTACGTCCAGTCATGATGATAGAAAGTGGGTTGGTTTAAAGTTGAAGAATGTTAAATTCCGCGAAAATCTACGCGAAACTGGAAACAAGATGGAGATGAAGAAACGGTCGTATCGAAAAAGAGGGGAGGGAAGAAAGGCTGCTGAGCTTGTGGCAACACGCCAGCTTAAGTAGCAGCGGTCCCAAATCACTGATCGATTTCCGGGCCAGAAAAAAACGGGGAGCCCCCCCTCAAAGGCGCCTGTGGAGCCGCGCGCAGCTGCTGTGGGTTCCGCGTTACTGATCTCTGAGAATCACCGCTGCTTTTTGGCGTGGCAGCAGAAAAAAATGCGACGCAGAGGTACGTACCGTCTCCCTTTTTTTTTTTCCTTTTTTTTTGGTTGGCGTGCCTTTTTCTGGGAGTGGGGGCGGCACGTCTTTTTTTGTCTTGGATAAACACGGTCGGGTCACGTCCAATCTGGGCCACAGCGTTTTACTTTGTGGCTTTTGTTGCGTGCGGCACGAGTTTATTTCTCGCTACCCATGTCGGTATGGAGAATGAGGCACAAGGCACGAGACACGCTATGGCGGCTGTCCACATTGTAGAATGCTGCGTGCTAGGCTAGTGATGCTGTGATGTGATGCTATGCCCATGGAGCAAGATGCAGCCGAGTCTACTGTACAAGTACACGTACCTTCTTTGATCCCAACGGCTGCGTAGTGGCAACGGGGCTCTGCTCTACTGCTGCCGGCAATGCGGGAGTGGCTCCTGGCAGTTGGATATGGGGCTGGCGATTCCACAATGGAGTGGTGATGATGGCGGCTTGGTGTAGCTGTCTCTGTATCGTAGTGTATGAAGTACAATGGCATCATTGTCGAATGAAGCATTGATGCCATACTATGATCATGATGTATGTCTTCAGCTATCGTATCCTACTATATCAAAGATACATGAATCTCTCCATGGTCATCATGTACACGCATTGCTATCAGGCTCAACCAGTTATTTTTAGCTCTCTGTTGGTACCGTGAACCTTTTTAATTTTGCCCATCCTTACATGTGACTATCTACATGGCAGTTAGATTACACTTTCAGCTGAGAGTCACGTTAGATTTCATAGCAGTTGTGTGCGCTTTACAGCCAAGATGGTCACTTTGAAATGATGCATGCAACAATAACCAAATATTCAAACAGAGCAAAATAAAATGCCACCACGCCGTCAAAAGCCAAATCAAAAATTCATTTACGCCTCAGCATCAAAATATAATATACACAATTAATACAATCTACAAAATTACTCCATGCACAACGCATCCCGTCTGCAATCTCAGATCTCGCTCCCATGTAGGGTAAGCTAATGGACACATGCAGTGGTACGTACCTGAGGCTAGCAGAGCTGTAAATCGAATCTTGCCTGCGATCGAAAAAAGAAACGCGGGCGAATAAAAAAAAAAAAACAAACCACTCCGCCAGCCAATCAGAAAAAAGGACGCGCTCGTCCCTTTTTTTCCTCTCTGCATCAGCACACGCTTCCACATTCGTCTCTAGCGTATGTGGGGGCAGCGTTTCCACCTTTTTGCTCCCACCACCAAATGAAACCTTTTCCGCGCCAAAACCAGCGCTGCGGCCTCCCTTTTTTTTCTCGTGTGTTCCAAGGTTCTTTGACGCGGGTGCACGGCCCACTTCCCTGTAAAAAAAAAATAACTGCGCGCGCGCCACTAAAAGGCCCCCCCCAAAACTAAAACCCGAACCACAGGCTCTGCCCAGATCAGCCGCCACCGCTAGGCTCAACTATTAAAGCACCTCCCCCGCCTGCCGCTTCTCCGAATCTTTCCCTTCTGCACTACACTTCCTTCTGCCCCACCACAAAAGCATCATCGTTTTCTGTTATTCATCAGTCAAAACACCACATCAGTCATCATGGCTCGTACCAAGCAGACTGCCCGCAAGTCCACCGGTGGCAAGGCTCCCCGCAAGCAGCTCGCCTCCAAGGCCGCCCGCAAGAGCGCCCCCTCCACCGGAGGTGTCAAGAAGCCTCACCGTTATAAGCCCGGTACCGTCGCTCTTCGTGAGATCCGTCGCTACCAGAAGAGCACTGAGCTGCTGATCCGCAAGCTGCCCTTCCAGCGTCTGGTATGTTCCCCATCTCGATGACCATCATGACCATCGCATCGCCGCTAACAATCCATCTCCAGGTCCGTGAAATCGCCCAAGACTTCAAGAGCGACCTCCGCTTCCAGTCCTCCGCCATTGGCGCCCTCCAGGAGTCCGTCGAGTCCTACCTCGTCTCTCTCTTCGAGGACACCAACCTCTGCGCCATCCACGCCAAGCGTGTCACCATCCAGAGCAAGGACATCCAGCTCGCCCGCCGCCTCCGCGGTGAGCGCAACTAGAAAGCTTTTGCGATAGAGCTTTTTCTTTTTGCGTGATTTGAGGAATGGATACCAATTTGGTGGACAGACATGACTTTTGCTTTTAACACGAGTGTTTTACGGGGGCAAGGGATAATCCAAGGCGTTACACAATGAGACTTTTGTTTTTTACTATTCCCAATTCTATGGTTCGGGATGTATATTACATGCGCAGTCTGGGAAAAAGAACTGCCCAAATGCAATCGGGGCTCAATGCCTCACGGTTTAACGAATCATAATACTTCGCAAGCCTCACTTTGTCTTTGCACTGTGACTGTTCAACTGTAATCTGCTCAAACCTGTGATTTCCATGTGCGCCACCCGTAGATTAGGCAGCAATGGCCGTGGCTGATCCAGTGCTGACACGGTCATCTCTTTGAGATGCGCGCCGTGATCCAGATTAGTGGCGCACGCGTCAGCTTAGCCGCGGT